TTTCTCCACAATTGGTATCCTGCAGATGCAATGCAATCTTAATCATGCTCCTGATACTCGACCTCTATACGAATGGGCTGGAACTTGGAATGGCCTGCAGATCGCTGCAAGTGGTTAGTCACACCCAAACCCACCCCCGAAAGCCATGATGGTGTCCATTGCCCTTCCGTGGTTCAAAGCCGGCCACCCACACGCCATGATTACACCGACCGTACCAACCACCACCAATCAGGCCCAACTGCGCACTTCAATTCACTCCAACCCAACCCAACATCGGAACCGGTGCTTATTTGTCCCTCTGGGAGAGTTTTTGTGGTCCCGATGGATCCTCTCTTCGACTTGAAATTCAAAAACTCGTCCCACTCACCATCCCCTTGGCAGACCTCTCCCACTTTTTGTGCCAACAGTCGCAACCATGACCACCTGTCCCGCTACTCTGGGAAGTGTATTAGTCACTCGGACGTCTTCGCTCATTGTGCCGGGCATCGCTCCACAAAGGGACCCGGCCTGATGCCAAGATTTTCTGTATTTGGAAAGCACAATTTGGGCCGGGAGTGAGTCCAAGTGACCATGAACATTGGGCAGCAGACCACCTTCAATGGGAGTTTAGAGTTTGCGTAGTTGATTGTACTGCGTAAATTGAAGTCACCATCATGCCTGCCGGCTGATCTACTCATAGCTGACTAGCTACAAGTAACAACAGCAGAGTTGTACGTCCCACACTAGCCTTACCCGACCAATCAGCACGGCATTTTTCCAGAGACCAAAGGCTGTCGAGGTATGCAAGGGAGCCAACGAGACTTCAAAGCCAAAGTCTAAACAACAATCTTATGACACTCGAGCTCGAAAGCAGACGAGCAGGCGCTTGGTGGAGCCCAGTCCTCAGCGCCCCGAGAATAAGGATGGGTAAAAACGGAAACACCGATTTCTGAGAATCCACAAACGCTTTCCTTAATCAACTCAGAACTTTGAAGCGAATTAACGATGGGATCTTCAGACACTGGTCTTCAAGCCCGACGCCTGCGGCTTTGATGCTCCTGCTGGTTGCTGCCCGAGATCACCAAACGATCGACGTTCAAATGTGAGCAGTCGAACAAGAATGTAAGATTTGAGTTCAGTGGCCTTTCAATGTGCTTTCGGCAGTTGAAGGACAGTGGGCAAAACAGTATCTACCGTGGGTACTCGTCAATGAATTCACTTGGGCTTTTGACGAGAATCACGACTACTGTCTGAATTTCCAAGATCGTTTCGACAATCGTTCCAGGGGCCACCCTCGATCCGTCACCCCAGAGTATCTCGAGATATCGCTTGAGATTCCACAGTCTAGACATTGGTCTACTCCGTACCTTGTACTCATACTCGAGACCCCATTCCTTCCAAACCCACTCAAGCTCCAAACGTGGCAGACTAGGTTCACCCTCCTTTAGTCCCGTCAATGAATTAGCGAGAAACAATGTTGACATACGGGGTACGAGGCCTCGTACCAAGGCTACGCAAAAAGAGCATCGTTGCTGGTAACAAGTTGCACCATCTTCGCTAGCCTTGCTACCGAGCTTTCGTATGCCTGTAGAGTTTGCATCGGATCCCGTTCCGTCTAAATAATGCTGCACCAGCTGAGGTAGGCTGTTGTGAGAATCTACGCGCAAACTGATATTAAACCTTTGCAAACAGGGTTCTAGCATCAAGGCACACACCCAGAGTCCGGACTGCTGATGGACTCGAAGCATTGCCCCTGGCGAGATTATGCAATTTCCATCTGATACTTCTGGGTGAGAGGTCACACATCTGATAGCATCGAAATCGACTAGGGGCCTGCGTGGGCCGCTGGTGAGTTCTTTTTCTCGCGACATTGGTGGCGACTATCTCAGGATAGCCTCCTTGGGGGCCGGCATCTTAGTCGAGTGGGCACTGTCTAATTAGCTTCTGCTCCAACTCGTCTCCCAATAAGCATCAGTCCACCGCTCTGTCTCCATCCTCCCAGGCCGCCCATCATGGGGACAGGATTTGACGCTTGGGGCTCTACCATTCACGCGGTGTGGACACCTCAAATCAACGGTCGTACCACATGGCAAAGTTAGGTAATTTTTTCGAGTCGTCTGCTGGTAAATACGATTCAGCACCGAGATCATCGCAAGCTAGCAACACTGTCTATGTTCAATTGCACGGGGTGATTGAAGACCTGACATTGACCGATGACAGAGCGCTCAAAAACCGTCTCTGGAAAAGGATGCGCTTGTGGCCAAAGACTACATCGGAGACAAGTCAATGAAATTCACGGAAATGGGGTCGAAAAACTTGTGTTCATCTCTCACTTGAGCACACTGCATTTTTTTTGGCGTCAATAGACTCATGCCACTATGTTCAATAGAGCCTGGCACGCAGTCGAACGGAATTTGTCGTGTGCATAACTGACACTTTCTATCAAAATCAAACGCGAGGCTTGCGCCATACTTATCTCAACAGTATCCTAGTCTATTCCACTCCCCCAGCCTTGGATCCCAAGGTATAACCAACAGTGTTATTCTCACGATTGTTCCCTGGCAAGCAGCAGGCCAGATGCTCTATCAACGTCCAGCCTTTGACCCACATTTTCGCATGCATTCAGACTTCATCCACACAGCTCAGGTCGTCCTCATCTCTTCCTTCGCTATGAAACTTTCCCACAAAGCTGCACCTGACCTGCGCACCTGGGCACAGCCACTCGTGGTTCCCACTCGCAACAATGTCCCTGCTTATGACGATCTCAGGTTCCTGTGAAAAGAAACAACCGGGATATCGTCTATAGAGTGGCGGAAAAAAACGCTTTGAGAGCCAGGGAAACAACCTGGGAAAGTACTTGCCTCGAGGCAGCCACTCGGCGCAAAGATCAACTCTGGCGACGACCAACCCTGCTTTTGCAGTCTCGGTCTTTTTACAGACACGCCGGGGACGTCACCTCAGACATCTGTGGACTGGCTCAGATTAAATGTGCCTGATAGGTGAGTTAGTGTGTCTAGAAAGAAGAGGTCTCAGGATAAACTCTCCAAGAACGCGTGGAAAATGTGCCAGTTGTGATATCTAATACTCTTTCGTGTTATCGAAAAAGCCCAAGTCAAATACAGGCACATTGGCATCATCAAGAGCCAACGAACCATATGAGCATCTTGCCTTGATGGATCGTCCTGCATTCATCTAAGGTTCCATGAAAATTTTACCGATGAATAGGCTATCCGTCTCATCTTGACCCTTGAATGTCTCGAGAGACCACAATGTTGGTTCAAGCCTATCAGTCCGGATGAGCCTCTACTTTGAATGTCTTCCGTCATACCAGTCTACGCTGGATTACATGATTGATTGCAGCCTCGAAAAAAAAAGGGAAGATTAAACGTGTCAGCGCGCTGGTTCTCTACGTAGAACATCGTCGAAACGGTCTAGTTGCAAGAGTATTTGGTGCTAGATACAATTCGATCTTTTAATGTTACACAGTTTATAATACCGTTTTTGCAGCAACATCCTAAAGCGTGTTCGACTCCCATTGCATTCAACAATCCTAAGCACCGTTACAAGCGTTGGGTCTATCTAAGTACTGTAGTTCCCATGCTTCATGCCAGCAAGAAACGCGTCCTGTCTATCTATCCCCCAGGACCTTAAGCTCATAAATGTCATCTTCACCCCCGTCCATCATTGGTCCAGGACATCCCGATGTCGAAAAGCCAACAGGCGAGCACGATAGCTGGCGAGCAGGCCATTCCAAGCTGCACGCCATGTCGTGCCATTGTGATCGCGTATTCGTCGGCATGACTCCATAACCCGTAGACCGAAGAGAGAGCACGCAGACAAGGGCAAAGACAGGCATTCTAGTTAGCTTCCTCTAAGGTCCCCCCTTTGCCAGAGCTCACTGCACACCGTAGGTATCAAGCTCGGCAATCACCAACCAGCTCAAAAGTCAAAGACGAGAACCTATGTACGAGTACGTCTCTCTGACACACGCTGCCAGTAGCCCGAGGTACGCGGACGGCGCGATTCGCATGCAAGGGGAACAGCCAAACCAGACCGAGAGACCTCCAACCTCGACCCACTGCGTGTCTTCTGCATCGATGACGAGTAGATCGGCTGTTTCCACCACATGACGGAGTCACCGTAAGAGTCTCTAAATACGTACGCGTTGTGGTCGATCGATCAGTTAATCTGCAAAATAAACCTGAAAGAATAACGATATTAAAAAACATCACAAATAGCTCCCACGTGCCGTCCGCTGGTCGATGAAAGTTTCAAGACATGAACACTCCCAGCCCCCACAACAGCACGAGACTCGACTCGCAAGGATTTTCTGTCGAATAAGAAAAATTACAAACGTGGAATGGAGAGAAGTAGTATTCACCTCAGAGGCAAATCTGTGTGCAGTGAACTATACTTATGCTTCTCAACCGCCAAACTTTATTATTGAAACAGATTCTACGGAGATTTCCAAGTCTCCATTCATGGCGGACCACCGTCAAATCCAAAGTATAAACATCGATGCTCTAGCATGTGCTTAGTGCAGAAGAGGGGAACAATGTTGAAAGTGTTGTGCTCGAATATTGAAGGTTTCCTCGACGATGAAGGTATTTGAGACTTCACTCTGGCATTTGAATGTCTTGTGATACAGCTCTATCTCTATTGAGTCTTAACATGCTACTCATGCTTCAATGAAAGCGTGCACATGCCATCCGTTGATTTGACACGTTTGCTTCCAGTCACTGATCGTTGATACTCGGTATGTCAGCAAGAAAATGTCCAGCAGAGACAACCTCTCCTGAAATCCACAATGTCTTTTCATCAAGAAACTTGATTTCAGCCCGCACGTTAAAACACAACCCTGTCTTGACCTTTGTTATCCGCAACCTTGAACGCCGTGAACCCACCAATGCAATCCACAAGAGGTCTATGTGATATCTCGCCTGAAAAGAAACAAGTGTATGATGCAAGAATAACGAGAATCTCGATCATCGAACGGCGTACATTTCGGAGTCACGGCTTGTTTACCATCTGCTTCTGCCAAGTGGAGCAGAATTGCTGGCAGTATATCCACCGCCACGGCCACCGCGATGGCCACCGCGACCGCCATAACCGCGACCACCGCCACCACCTCCTGAGTAGCGGCCCATCTCTGCAAGACGAGGATCAATAGTCTGCTTCGATTCTTGCAAGATGTTGACCAAGTCACGGGCTTGTTTGGCATCTATGAAAAAATTAGTATTGAAAACCCCGGAAAGGATCAAAGGCGACTTACTCTCAGTGGTGAACAGTGTAATTGCGGTTCCTTTGCGACCTGCGCGACCGGTTCGACCAATGCGGTGAACGTAATCCTCTGAATTGTTGGGATAGTCATAGTTGAACACATGAGTAATATCGCGAACATCTTGACGAATAGGTTAGCATAACCAGCCAAATGGTAGTCTTACGGAGGTGTTGGGGACCATGTGTGGTCGTGTGAGCGGAGATGCAATCACTCTCTTTTGACACTCGGAGCATTCATCATTGTGCGAAATGGCCAATGTCCATGTCCCGGGAAATGGCAACAGTCTACGGTCCTTTGGAAGAAGTCCTGGATTTGCAGCTTGAATGATCAAGTTAAGTAGACCTCCACTCGTTCGCAAGACGAATCGAAAATGGAGGTTAGATATGCTGTCTCCCGGCAAACTGCAAAAAGATTCCAAGAATTTCTAGGTTAAGGACCAATGAGAGCACGAAGCCTGGGCAAGTTACGCATGTTCGAGGCGTAACAAGAGAAGAGAGAGCGCATCATATCACACGACGGCAATGGTAACAAATGCAAAAGATAAAAAATAGAAAAATGGAGGGAGGGAGGGGAGGGGCTGTTTTCTTTTCATACCAATACCACGAGACGCGACGTCCGTAGCAACCATGATTGGGCTTTTGCCAGTCTTGAATTCGTTCAAAACCCAGTCACGTTCGTTTTGTTGCTTGTCGCCATGAATAGCTTTGCCACAGTTAGTAAGATCTGGATTCGGGTTGAGACAAGGAAGACTTACAAAGTGCTGGCCAACCATCTTGACGGAGAAATCTTGTAATGTCGTCTGCAACACGTTTGGTTCCAGTAAAGATCAGAATTTTGTTCGCCCGATCCTCCATAATCTGTTCGAGATGTTTGGTCATGCGATCTCTCTTCTCGAATTCTGAAACGACTTCCACAATCTGAGTGATGCGATGATTGGCAGACAAATCCATGGAGCCAATGTTGACCTGGATGAAATCGTTGAGGTAATCAGATGCCAGTTGACGGACGTCCTTTGGCCATGTTGCCGACCACATGCAAGTTTGACGATCAGGACGAATCTGACCAATAATTTTTCGGATCTGAGGTTCGAAACCCATGTCCAACATGCGGTCAGCCTCATCAAGGACAAGGTAAGTGACACGACGTAGATTTGTCTTTCCAGATTCAAGCATGTCGATGAGACGTCCTGGAGTGGCAATGCAAACTTCAACACCTCTGCTTAGATCGCGAATCTGACCACCTTTGGGAACACCACCATAGACACAGGTATTTCGAATGCGGGAAGATTTACCAAATTTGGTAATTTCTTGTTGAATTTGAACAGCGAGTTCTCGAGTTGGTGCCAAAACCAGGACGATAGGGCCATCACCCGGGGCAAGAAGGGGCTGGGCGTTTATGTGAACGATAGCAGGAAGGCAGTATGTCAAAGTCTTTCCGGACCCGGTCTCGGCAATACCGACAACATCGCGTCCAGACAAGGCCATAGGCCAACCTTGAGATTGAATGGCAGTGGGATGAGGGAAGCCTTGAGCCTTGACTTCTGACATGACGTAGGCAGGAAAGCCAGCCTCATCAAAAGTCTCAACAGGGCGGGGAACTTTGGAGCCTTGGATGGAGATTTCGTTCTTTCTGCGGAAGTCGTCTACGTCGCGCTGGGAGCGATTGGTGACAGCAGGGTCTTCCTTGTAAAAGGATTTCTCAAACTTGGGCAGAGTGTCGAGATCAAAATGTTGTTGTTTCAAGCCTGCGCCCAGGTTGGACATTTTATCACCGCCGCCACCGCCAGAGAAACCATTGGAGCCGCCGTAGCTATGACCGTTGCTGTAGCCGTTGGATCCGCCGTATCCGTTAGACTGACCGCCATACCTATTGACTTGTTAGTGATGTTGGAGAATAGATAGGCAGCCGCGCCGGAGCAGCAACGATTGAAATGATGATAGAAATCATGGAAGAGACTTTAAAAGACATGGGAGAAATATGTATGAAGGCACAGAGGGAGACATACCCATTGGAGTTTCCATTGTAGTCGCCACGGGAGCCGTAGCCACCACCGTAAGACATGTTGGGCGCCAGCTTGCTGATTTCCGACAAGAAAATTGAGGATATGCGTGAGGTTGGATGAGCGGGGTCTGCAGAGTAAGAATCGAGTGGTAAACAATGAGAAAGAGAAGAATCCTTTCAAAAATGAAGGATGGAAAGAAGGATGAGGGAAGAAGTCGAAGATGAGGTTGTGTCAAAGAGATAGACAAGGAAGGGGCGAAGTTTTGAAATGGTAAAATTTGGAAGCGGGCGATGAAATTGAGCCGGAAAAACTCGAAAAGCGACAAAATGCCGAAATGGAAGGTTAGCCGAGACTCCTTGGCAGTGAAATCTTTACCCCGGCCGTGTCAATAATGACTGACGTCAAACAGTCACATTCATCTTCGACTAACATCACCATGGGCAGGGTCCAGGTCTGGAGCAAGGCATTACTAGTACTACTAACTGTCGAACTTTTCATATAGATTACAGTGGGAGTGAGTGACGATGTTATCCCCGTATTCCTCTACAGAACACTCTCGGCACTGCAAGTCGAACCTCAGAACTGCACAAAGTTTCCAGTATTCCACATATCCGCCATGTCAAAGTCGAACAGCGTGTCCGAGAAGACATTAAATGGTTGCCCGGCATTGTCAAATACATCAATCTCTGGTAGAGGTTGATTCGAATCGGGATTTCCACTCATCCCCACCAACGTAGTTGCGCCACTCATAGCAGCCTCCTCAAAGCCACTGGCAGGGGTGGGTTGGGCAATTTGTTCGGACATCATGAAAGTATGCAAGCGGGATACTCGATCCGCTGTTTGTTTGGTAAACTCCTCGGTCGGTAGTAAAGGGGACAATTTCGCTCGCAGCAGACCCAGTGCACTTACTCCCAACCAAAAGGAGTGAAATCCTTGACCAAGACTTCTGATCCGATTCTCCATAAGATCAACAGCTTTCACAACCATTTCCACTGCCAAGGTATTGTCTTGTACCAAATCATCTACGGCATGACGCGAGACAACAATGTCGTGACAAAGCGTAAGGCAAGCTCGATATACATCCTCGCGGAGGTTGGCAAATAAAAGGCTCACACTCTGATGCATTTCTGAGTAGAACCTGAGGGTGTTCAAAGCGGCATTTCGCCGCGCGGCTCGTGAGAAAAAGTATCGTGCTTGTCCATCCTGATAAGACAAGGTAGGTTCGTGGATGAGCAGCAGGAACTCGTAGAGGAGCAATCGAGACAATGATTGTGCGGTGGTGCTGGATGGATTCTCCTTCCATGACGGAATGTCGTCAATAATTCTTCTGATTTTCTGATCATACTCGGCGGCAGTTTCATTCTCGAAACAGAAACGTATACTATTGATCCTTGAAAGCATGTCTAATCGTATGTGCAAGTGCTGCTGGGCCAAGCACAGAAACGACGTCCTGGTGAATTCGTTCACGGGCCTTGTAGGAGGCATCCTCTCTGTTGTCAGGTCAAAGTCCTCATCATGGATATTTAGAGGTGGTAAGGTGTCCCAATCATAGGGGTGGATAGTCGCAGGCATCCCTCGATCAATACAAGCCTGTGTTTCAATTTCCAGGATTGTAAACCACAATCTCCTGCGCATTTCCTGATCGAAGACACCGATGCTCTTGCTCAAGAATGTCGGCTCCCTATGCAACCCAGCAGACATGGCGAGTCGTAATAGATGTCCACTTATGGTCCATTCTCTTTTGATCTTGACACAATTGAGCCGTTTTGCAATGACCAGCAGGATGTGGATCTGGAAAGTCTCCATGGTAACGTGTTTCTGGCTTTGCATGTCAAGCCACTGCTCGGACCGCTGGATCCAGTTCAAAGACATGTCCCGGGCTGCAGAGTTCCGTCCATGAAAGCCCGTGGGTCCTCCCTCTACTGAGGAATTAACACAAGCGCAGATGAGAATAAGTTGAACCAAAAATGGCGCCGATACCTCACTCGAAGACCTCCGGAAATCTTTATAGCTCTGAAAGAAGGTCGGTGTGTGGAGAATACGGTAGGTCGTCTCAATGGTAGCAAAGTATTCCTGCACGAGGGTATCGGTCCTCTTCTGATCAGGGACCATGCTGGCCAGTGTCTCAAAATGAGGAAGATCCCACGAAGGTCCCAGCTCCTGACGTTTCTGTTTGAAGGTCAACCTCGTCTTTTCCAAAGCCGGGATGTTCAGAAGTATTGTCTTCACAAATTGTGAAAGCTCCTCATATTGAAGAAGGATACCTGCCGGGTGACTAGGTCCAAAGTATTGTGTTTTGAAGCCTTTTCCTCGCAGTAAAGCTCTTTCGTAGTCCTGTGAAGAGCCATGATTTGGAGAGTTCCCAGGGAACATCGGGTGTCCCATACCCAAGTACTTTTCCGAAGATACTGGTCTAGAGCCAGCAGCCCTCACGTATGTCTCCAATTCATAAACTCGTTCTTGAAGCTCCAACAACGAGCGAGTTGGAGGGCGATTCGGAACTGATGGGTTGTTCATTGCAGCCTCGGCATCAGGCTTCGCCCTCGCGTTCGCGTGCTGCCTCGACCGGGATTGCCAAATGTTTGCATCCTCAGTCCACGAGTTAACGGATTGCTCGCGATTTGCGTTCGAGCTTCCCTCGGATCCAGGAGTGGGTATTGTATGATCGGCTTTACCGGTGTAAGAGACATAGTCGCAGGTAACATTTCCTCTCTGACATCGAGTACATGTAGGAAATGTTCTGTCACATTTTACCTTCCTTCCGCGACAAGCAACACAAGATAAAGCTAAACGACGACGCTTTTGACCCATTGCTTTGACCTGTGCGAACGGTGCGTGCTAGGTACAAGCAGCCTTAAGACCGAGAGCGGTCGAGTTGGGAGGCACGACCGAGAATGATCCAGAGCTCGTGCAGTTGACCAATTAACGGGATCTTTCTTCCAGGGTGCGTTTTACCACAATTCGTAGCGTCCACCCACTTCTTGTTGGTTTTCTTATTGACTGTCTGAATTCTCCTCCCTTGGCAGATTCAATCGGGAGAGCGAGCGAGTTGACAATCGTTGCCGATACCAAGGTTTGCAAAAGTGAGGTGCCTGGAGCTGTGTCCTGTTGCCTAGCCGATCTGTTGATAGCTCGCTATGACGCCGCTTACGAAGACTCACTGCAAGAGAAGCAAGCTCTGACTAAATCTAGGTGCATCGGCTGGACTGATGGTTCCTATCTCAAAACGAGCAGTTGGTTGTGGTGGGCCTGACCTGTCTTCATGGTTCGGTCCTAAGTTGACATTCAAGCGAGGTTGGGTTGTCTTCGGCCGAAGATACTGCCGAGTTGATATTCGGTTGAACTATGACTAATGCTTCTAAACCTGAGTATGGGGGCTTAAGCGGCAGTTCTAGACTTGGATGTTATTTCGACTTCTACTCGTACGGGTGATCCTTAATCAAATGCAACGTACTATATCGATGTTTTATTGAAATTCGTGACTGAGATCTCGATTTCCGATTCTGTTTGGGTCCTGGTCCTATCAGGGTCTGATTTGAGGATCATGATATTTGGCATTAGATGGCCTGGTTCTCTCTCTGTGTCTCTCCCCCCCAGAATCGACCGATGACCAGAGCGAATGGCACGGAAATCTTAGACAATCACAGGCTATTTCGCCTTCCGATGTTTAATGATCGGCTGCTGTTGGCTCCGATGATGCTCAAAGAATAGGTCAAGAACTAACTGTCGCGCCTTTGGTCATGGCTGGTCTCGTCTGCCCATAATGAAACCCTCGACTTGCACCAAAATTGGCTAATGTGGGAACCACCTCAGAGGGGACATGTCCTGCAGCATCTGTTCTGACAGAAGGAGATTGCAACTTGCGTGACTTCTCATTTGTGCTGGCTTCGAGATCAGCCATGGGCTGCTTGTGTGTCTGTGAGCGGATCGATCGCCCGCGCTTCGTGCACAGACGATGACCAATATAGCCAGTCATCGCAATCAGTACCGCCAAAGCAACAACAATCCCGACGCAACCTACAATGTCAACTGCCATATTCAAGGTCGAGGTTCCGCTTCTAATCAATTTTGAGATGGTGAGATTGTGGGGGTTTAGAATGAATTTTCTGCTGATGGAGATATAAAATGTCAAGCGCCATAATTGGTTCGTGTTACCAATGAGTCGTGATATATGGACACTGGCATTATCATCCCCTCGTTTGCATTGTCGTCACAATGCATGGAATTCACAATGAAGGGTTACTGGACACTGAGCATTGAAGCACCTCAAGAGGACAAAGATCATACTACCTTGAAAGGACACGCACAACAAGACAATGATGAGAACAATTGATGCTTTGGTTGCTCATCAACTTTCCCTCAATATCGATGCCTCCTGGCATCAGCATCTGCAGGGTATAAAGGCATCCAACTTCAGCAACATTCCAACCCGGATCAGCCTTTGCAAACTTTACGATCGAATACATACACTTTACAAAGATCTTCTACAGATTTATTCAACACCACTCCAAAACACTATTTGATTCGCAAAACTTGCAGATTACCCTGAATACTTCCAAGGCTCAGTATTAATCACAACTTACAACAGAACCTCAAACAACAACACACTCACGCAACATCTTTCAATACCAAATAAAACTCAGTAACACTCATGGATTCCGACACTCAACACAACTCGCCACCTTCAATTGATTTCAATCCCAACTTGTGTCTTGAAGGCCTTGACGTCGATCTTCAGTTCGAAAAGCTAGTCGCCGACATGCAACCCACCAGCAGTGCCACTCCGGCTAGTTTCCAGGCTCTACCTGCGTACAATCTCGAGGAAATCCTTGGCTTGTCCGGACTGGAGGATCCATTCCCACCCTACACTCCACCATCCCCAGGGACAAATTGGGAGGAATTCTTCTCGAAGCAACCCGACATCGACCTTGATACAAAAGATATGTTTGCCGAGTTCACAAGTCTCGATGAGAGTGTGGAATTCTCAGATTTGTTCAACAGTGACATCGACATGACGGATTTCTGCGAAACCTCTGAGACGGCTCCCTGGATCAGCACTAGATTTTCTGGAGACGATGCAGTTCTTACACAATCGCCTTCTACTATCCCAGAAAATCTGGAGGCTCAATCTTCAAAGTTACCAGAATTGGATCTTGATCCAATGGATTTCGATCTCACTCTGCCATTAAACACGGATGCTATCCTCATGGACCAAGATATCCCCATTCCCACTGACGATCTGTTCTTGGATATGGACCTTGGTTTCACCACTCCAGAACGCATTCTAAACAACGACATCAATTTCGATGGAGTTGATGACCTGTTCTCGGAGTTTGACTTCAGTGACTTTAAATTCCCAGGCTTGGATCAACCAGACAATAGCCATTTCAATCCTCAGTCAATCGAAGACAGCCCCAAACCGGAATCCCTACCCAGACTCCCAACCCAAACTGCACCATTGTTACCCGAAAATGCTGCACCTCCAAAGGGCAAAGGACGGTTCTTATTGCTGAAAAACGGCCAAACTGTACTGAGTGTACCTCCTGAGGGACTCGGAACATTATTGAATGGTCTCTCGAATTCTGGATCGACTGTGGAACTTGTCAACCAACGACCTGCACAAATGCCTCCACGACAACGACTATCAAATGCACCTCTACCCGACTTCAATTTCCAATACTCGGAAATCGTCGATGGACCAATCTCCAGCAATGACCCTGTTCCTGTTCCCAGCTGGAAGCGCGACATTGACAAGCTTCTCCCTCCACGACGACCAGCAGGGCCAGCAGTGGCTCCTCAACAGGTCGGCCGCGGCGCCGGTGTTCCTAGAGGCACTCCACCCATCACCATGACAAAGGAACAAGAGCGCAAGCTCGCCAAGGTCATGGCAGACGTCCCTCGACGCAACCGCGCTCTTCTCGACCGTGTCCAAAAGCCACGCTACCCTGAAGACAACCACCGCTCCCGCCACCACCGCGAACGATCAAGAGAAGCTAGGTCCCCCTCCCCCGAGTCCGAAAGTGATTACAGCCGACACATTCGTGCAGCTCGCCGTCACGCCCAGGTCTCGAAGCGAGTCCAATTCGAAACCGCACGCCACCACGAACGCGCCCGCGCCCGCGGCCCCGGACGCGAACGCGAACGAACACAAGCCGAAATCGCACGCGAACGTGCCCTGGCGCATGAACGCGAGCGAGACGAACGTGCGCGCAAGCGCGACCAAGCCAGCCGTCGTCCTCCCACCTCGTTATCAGGGAAAGCACGTGGGCAAGCCGAGCGTATGCGTGAGCGACGGGATAAGGAGGATCCGGGCCACTCGTACCGAGAGGCTCTATCTCTATCCCTATCGCCCAGCCCACCACCGGCCCGATCAGCAGCCAGACACGCTGGCGCTGATCGCGGTGCTGTTCGCCGCTCTGATCGTGTTCATCGTTCCGACCGCTCCGACCATGATGGTGAACGCCGTCCCTTGACACGCCGATATGCTCGCCAGCATGGTGTCTCCCTCCAACCCCCAGACTTCTTTTCCTAACCCACAAGGAGGATGTCTGGACTACCAAACCTCCCACGAGGTAAAGTATCTGCCCCCTTTTCCCCCACCGTCCTTGCAAGTTTTCTGATAGTTTTAACATTTTTTTGAGCAATCTGCCCTCTACGCTAATAATACTCACAGGTCCCATCCGTACCGAGCGAGCAATTGAAAACAATAAACAACCAAAAACACATCAAAACACAAAATATGAGACGACGGCAACATCGATCACAACCGACGATAAACCCGACCTCCCATGCAACCCAAAAAATCAGACTTTTGTTTTTTCCAAATCGCGAGCGAATACAGATCGGAACTTATTTCAAGAGTACGGAGTCTCAACGAATAACATGTTAGGAGAGACACACTCAATCAAACCAATGAATGGTAAGTATGTAATAAAAATCTAGAAAATGAAAGCATCGCAAAAAAAAAAAAACCGGTAAGCGAAAACCGGTAAGTATCAACATCCTGGGTCCGCGACTTGGATATGTCTCTGCTGGGAAGCAGATTCTTTGAATTGACTAACACCACAGCTCGTGCAACATCTCTCGAAGCTCCTCCCCCGACCCACGCCGGACAGAAGGGGGTCAAAGGTTGTGATTTTGAACTTAATCTAACACGGGGCAATGATTCGTCAATCATTTCATCACACTAACTCAGCAGCTTTTGTGTCTCTGTAGAAATCCTTTCCGTATCTCCTAGTACAAGTACACCCAAATCAACACCTAGTGCAGCTTTCCAAGAGGAAGCATGCATCCTATCTTCCCATAACTCGTCCGATGCTCTATCATACCAAGAAAGGCAAGCGCGCTGGTACAACGCATGCGACCCGAACAATATCGTGACAACTCCATTACAACCATGAACATCATTATTTACCCAAACCCTACGGGGGTGCTCATTTCTTCCCGATCCAACTGAACTTCTCACTGATCTTGCTGGTAACATCACTCAAACTCATGCCAGAGCCGCTGGAACCAGTCATTCCGGTCTTGCCTGACTCTGAGAAACCGCTACCTACTCCTTGCTTGTGTCGGCCATGCTCATCGCCGCCTCCGAAGATGCGTTCGAACTTGGCTTGAATCCTGCCTTCTACAATCGCAGAGATGACATTAATGATCAAGAAGGTAGAAGAACCAATGGCACGGAAAAGAGCCAGTCCAGCCACGGTCCAGAGGAGGAAAATGAGGTAGGTGTTCTTGTTGATATGGCTACCCACTGGATAGGCTTCTGAGACCGCCATCGCGAGAATTGCGTTGCAAACAAGCCATGTCGCCACCATGTACGTCCGAACAGATTTGTAGTAGTCTTCCTGCATTTGACTTTCGCTTGGTGGTGGTTTAGGTGCTTCAAGCCGGTCTCGGAGATTGCGGAGTGCAACATCGTAGCTCGAATCAATATCCAACTGATCTGAGAGCATCTCCATCTCGACAGTATTTCCAGTGCCGGTAGCTTTGGCCATTCCAAGATCAGTGTGCAAGACATTGTCACCTTTGGTTCCCCAGGTGACGTCGTGAGTGTTACAAAACGCGTAGACTTGCAAGGTGCAAATATATGAAGGTAGTAATGCAAAGTATTGAGCAGTACTGGTGAACATGTGCCATGGATCAAAGTAGAGGAAGGACATGAGGAAGTAAAGACCGATCGTGCTGACAGTGCTGACAATCAGATTGGTGAAGACGTTATTTCCCAACTTGTATGGCGATTTTGGGTCGGTCTCTTCCAATGAATGTGCTGTCAATTGTTTGATGACAATGTAGAGCGACGCGAAAGTGGTGTAGATCATGATGATAGCGTAAGTAATCATACTACCCATGAACAAGCGTTTGGCACCCTGTGGTCTATTTCCCAAGCTGACAATGAATTGTAGACAAATGGACAAAACAGTCACGTATCGTAAAACCACAAAGATGTACTTGCCAATATTGTGACCAAATGGATCGAGGAGTGGATCCGCCAGAGAGCCGGCGATGAAGTAGAAGGTGAGATAGAAGTTGGCCAGCGAGAAAAAGGTGAATATTAGTGAGACAAATTGGTACAGGAATTCGATGTGGAGCAGGATCTTTCGAGTCAAAGTATGATCTGTTGTCCATAGTTGTTTAAAATGAACAAGAGAGTATACGGCAGCAAAGAATGCACCATTGAGCCATCGTCGACGTTGAGAAATGAATTCAGGCACCGTATCTGTATTCGAGTTAGCAAGGATTTACTGACGGATATGTTCAACAAGATCTTACCAGGAACATCTGTTTCGCCATAAGCACTCTTGACGAATTTCAGAACCCATTGTTCACCACGTTTGGCCACCAATTCCCAGCAAAGGATTCGATCTTCAGCCAGATACATGTTTGCAGTGAAAACATCGGCATCGGCACCATGAAGGGTTTCTCCTTTGAAGTATTGACTGAGCGGCCCATGTCCACTGGGATCGTTCTGGAGTGCGTAATAGCGATATGCTGATAAAGCACCGGGTAGCACCGTGATGTAGCCGAAGACTGACTCCAACGGCTTATCGAGGATATTGCTCATTTTGTACTCAAAGTTCTGAGAGGCAACGAGTGGATTGAGCAGACCCATCCACCCTTTTCCTTTGTCGGCTTTAATTTCACCCGCTGCACCCGCAACGTTTGAGTCTTGGTCAAATGCTTTCCAGAGATGGTATAAAGCTTTCGAATCTGGTTTTGTGCCAACGTCGAGTAGGATACAGACATTGGGGACAAGAGCCCTGCCAAAGGCATTGAAGAACCATCTGTGGGAGTTGAGCTTCTTCTTGTTCTGTTCTTTCAAGCAGAAGATCATCTGACAGGGTACGATGCCCTTTTCGGCGCCCTTGAACTTGAGTGTTTCATCCAGAGATACCTGTGTAGTGTATTCATAGACATGGGCAGTGACTTCCTTGTCATTGACAATATTTTTGGCCAGACCTTCTTGATAGACGCCCAATGCAGCCAAAGCGTTCAAGGTTCTCGGGTGCACTTTCTGTCTACCATCTGCAATGACACAGACCACAATCTTCTGCCACCCATCCTTGCCCCATGTTCTTGATTTTGCCCTTGAGCAGAAATGAGATATGTTCCGCATGATTCCGTGCATAGTCCTGGTAAATTCGATTTCGCCTTCATTGTACATGGTGACACAAATGAAAAGCTCCGTTTCTCGTGTGGTCGATCCAATATTCTGTCTGAGCTTGTAACCATTGACGACAAAATCATCTGGATCGCACGTCACCGCTGTATAGCGTAGGTGAGTGAACTCGCGCTCATCTCTTCGTGGCAAGAAGCTGTGTAGAATAGTCGGGATTTTGGTCTCCAGAATCAACTCGCCATTGATCAGATGGACCTCTTTCTTGGCCATTTGAGCTTCTCTCAACCCTCTTCGATCTTGTTGCCCATCAGGTGCAGAACCATATCGATCTGTTTTCTCGGTCATAGCATCTTCGTTGTCATTTCCGTTGTCCTCAGTGAAGGTGGAGTCTGTCATATAAGAGTGAGCCGATTTGAGGCTTGCTCGTGGGTCATGGTCGGGTCTGATGGAATGACCACTTGAGAAGATATCACTTCCAGCATGTGTGTCTGGCATTGGTATTGTGGTCTCGGCCGCTCCACCTTTGACCGAGAATAGAGGCGCAGGAGGTAGGGGGCGTCTCGGACTCCCTCCATATTGTGATGAAGGTGTGCCTGGACGAGGACTGCCATTAATGTCAGGAGGTTCATAGTTGATACTTGAGGCTCTTCCCCAATCTGTAGATGTTCGTGACGGGGTGGAGGGTCGTATGGGAGATCGAGGATTGGCTGTGGGAAGGGGAATAGATGGAGCTCGGCCAAGGCTTGAACTAGGTCTTGAGCTGTATGCTGTGGAAACTCCGGGTCGATGATATCGGTCAGGGGATGTACGACTAGAGGTGGTGGACCTGTGGGTTGGGTTTGGGTCAGTTTGGGGACTTTTTCTCATCTTCACGGTGGCTCTCAGGGTAGGGGTCCGCCCAATAAACACATGAGATTCGCGGGAGTGATTCAGCTCTTTCTCCGCCTCTGAAATCAAAGAGGCGACTTCACTTTCCACTCGAGCACATTTTGAAGGATCCTTGAGTGGAAGGTCATCCCAAGAAACACGGGATATTCTTGGGGATGACAATGGCTTGCGAATCACCAACGAGGGAGGTATGTCCTGGGTAGAACCACTGGGAGTTTTCACATACGATCTGTAGTCATCCTGAGCGTGCGGGAGCAGTCTCAGTGACGAGTTATTTCCTGGGATACTCATATTGTCTTCTTCTGTAGGTGTGTGTACATAAGAGGGAAGTCCATCGGGATAGCTTGGAGGTGGGCGAGTAGGTGTTGGAGCGCCGTCCATTGTGAATATGTTAAACTGGTTTGTTTACCAGCGGAAGGATAGTTGGAGGTGGGATCAGATCAGAGTTGTGTCCATGCGCAATCAAAAAGGATATACTATTGAGAGTGCGCAAACCGACTGGAAATAGATGTTGCCTGTGTCACGCGGAGAATAGAATCATCGAATAAGATTGTGGATTGACAGGAAGTGGTTCAGACGAGGCTTTGATGTTGCGACCCGATTGGGAACCCATCCTTCACCACGGCAACCACCATGACGTAGAAAGTCTTGGCGACCTCAAACTTATCCCATGTCACGTGGGCATCTTTGCTCAGTCACCACTAAATACTTACCTAAGCAGGTATGTCTCTTCCTCATTTCCACGTCTTGTCCTCGACATCTTCCCACCGCTAGACTTCTGCTTCCTGTCGCAGTAAATCGAAAGATCTTGCATTTTGTTCAATGGCTGTGACTGAGAAGTTTCTTCGGAACAGATGTGCAATTTCTGGCCATCCATTGAGCTCGATAACCCAACACTAAGATGAACATGCTATTCACCACCCATCCGGTGGCTTTGACCACTGAGAGGTAAGTCCCGCTTTGTTGTCACCAGGAGAAAATGTCTATGTGATCCTAAGCCTATCCATCTCTTGCGTTTGGGATACTTCCTTTCCCCATATAAAGGCGAACCATTTCAGGGGCAATGCTGCATCCGGCAGCATGAACAAAGCCCCATTGTCACCAACTACCAACAACTCAGAATGCGCTCTTATATCACAGCATATTTCGAGTCTCAAGGTATGTGCAAACTCTCCTTAGCATTCAATAATTTCCACTCCTCTATCCGACATACATCCATAATCCATACCGCCCGAACAACCAACAGAATAACGCCCACAAACACAAGACCACAGGAAAACCATGTGTCTGACCAAAATCACATACTATGCATGTGGCTGCTTCGAGTCGAAGCGGGAGATATGGTGTCCACTCCCACGACCAGCATGCCCAGAGAAGCTGAAGTACCCAGAAACGCGAACCCTGGCATTCCGATGCCCACAGCACGACACCTTGGGCTTCAACCGGAAGAGGGGATCACCAACCGAAGCAGAGCGGTGGTCGCCGATCCGACCAAACAGCATGAGCTTCCAGCAACAGCCCCTAGAGAACAGCTCGCTGTATCTGGCAACCCCGGATCTTCACTCCCAATGGTCGGCACTGCCGAACATCCCGCCGCCGTCGTCGTCGCGCAACAGCCGGAGCGGAAATGGCAGCGGCAGCGGCAACGGGCAACGACGGCAGAGCAAACCGCTGACCTCAGCGCGCATCGAAGACGCGCTCAATGACTTCAAGGACATGAACATGCCGGTGCGCAACCGCGAGTCCATGGTCGGGCTGTACAGCCTGCGGGAGCACGAAGCGGAGCAAATGGCGGCCGACGCACCGCCGGTTCCGTCGCTCCCGCCGGGCTTCGGCAACACACTGCAGCGGACGAACAACGCGACGAAATCGCATCACCGCCGCCAGCAAAACCAACACCAACCCACCCACATTGACACGAGCATGTGGCACAGCAGCACGAAGCGCACGCACCCGCAGCGGCAGAACAGCGGGGGCGTGACGAAGCCGTTCTCGCCCAAGTCGCGCATCTCGCCACGCACGGCGGCGCTGGCGCAGCAGCAGGCCAAGATCCGCGCGTACCGGGAAGCGCTGACCAACGCGCGCCGCTGGGCTGCGTCCGTGCATGGCCCGTGGACCGCCGATGCTTTCTTCAACCAGCCGTGGATTCTGGCCCTCAACGGTGCCGATCGTGAGATGCTGTGGTCCGAGCTGCGGAATCGCCTGGCCAGGGGCGAGATGCAGCGGGATCGCTTGCGTTGGGGGCGAGGCGGTCACGGTGCCGATACCGGCAGTGCACACCAGGGATATACCTCGAATCAGAATCAGATGTTCGAGGACCAAGGCCGTGAGCGTCGGTTTGGGAGGTCGAAGAGGTCGAATCGGAAGGTCGATTCTTCATCGGGTTGTCGGGTCATGTAAAGGAAGATTGCTGGAATTTTTATTGACATGATATGACATGACATGACATTCCGATGTTCGTTGTCAACGTTGTGCTTTGCTAACCGTTTTTGAGTCGGGTTATCATGCAGTCTAAGTCTGGTATCTAGTCAGCATTGGGTTGTAATTCCTAATTTATATCTTGCCTCTCTTTTTGGCAATTGTATCTGTCTTTCAGCAATCTAGCTGCCCACTCCCCGAACACAATCGGATAATTAGTCGACTCACAGTGACGAAAGATAAAATCCACACCCATACTTGGACATATCCAGACCGAGAAGAAGTCGAGAGATCACGAAAAATTGATCTAACTCCAAGGAGAAAACCTTTCTGGATTTCAATTGTCTGATCTGTGATGGAATCTACTACCTATTTAAACAAGCCTTAACTAGATAGCTAGCAATGGGAAGAAAAGCGAAATCATCTTTCCAACCGAACATCACGTCTTCTTCTTTACTAGAGAAAGATCCAAGGCCAGTCAAAATTCTGGCCATCCCGTCTCATACCCTATTTCAAGTAATCACCAGCGATAGTACCTGGTGGCATAAAATAACCAGTGGAAAGGAGACGCCGATGCGCCATTTCCATCCAATCCATTTGCCATATGGGGTATCTTTCAATAAATCACAACGCTAAAGAAGGGAAAAAGAAATAAAGGAAACCTAGGAAAACGAAGATTTCGAAGGCGAGCAAGTTGAGCGAGTACCCATTCTCTAGCCATTGGACGGCCATCTGCTTCTTCTTCGTCGACCTTCATGGTTGAACTAAGACCCCAAATTTATGAGCCTGATTGTGAGGTATCTTTCTTCATGTCCGACTGCTGAGGAGTCTCAGGAATATCCCAGATTGAGGTCTCTGGAGCAATTGCATGCGCCTTGGGTATTGATGCCGTGGCGAATGGAATTGGCGATTGAGAAGTGAAAACTGGCAGGTTCTCCTTTGTACGAGTGGGAGTCCTCGTCCCGGTGGATGAGACCTGTGGAATGTTTTGAATTGATCTAGGCTGCTGACCTAAAATATTGGAAGGTGGAACTGAGGGCAAGATCTTTGGATTCTCGTGGATGGGTGGATGCTCCACATATGCTGGTGGGGGCATTTGGTCAGTCTGCATTGTCTTCGCGATGTCAGGAAATTCGACTTTCACCGCAGTTGGAGGTGGCGATTCAAGTTGGCCAGTTGACAGAGTGTTAGCAGTGTGGACGTGGTGATTTTGCAACGAAGCTGGAGGTTGTCCCTTCAAATGTTCTGGATTCATGCTTGGAAGTGCTGCTGGGAGAGATTCTGGAGCATCAACCTTGGCCGCGACTGGCTCTGGTGCAGGCGTGGTTTGGGTGGGAGGCACGCTTGGAATTGTAGTACCGCCTACCACTTTGAGAACTTCAATAGGTGGGTTCTCCGTGGCCTTTGGCTGGATGGCCACGAAAGAATCAAGCGGTGTTGATGGATTGGATTTCGCTGATTTCAGAAGCTTTGGTACAGCAGGCTTTTTTGCCCGTGGCTTCTTCTGTTTTTCTTCGAGGGCCTGTTGTTGCTTTGCTGCATGCTCCTCTGGTGTTGGCACTTTCAGTTTTATGCTGATCTTCTTCATGCTGTTGGCAAGGTTCTCCATATCATCCGGTTTTGGTTCTGCACTGGTAATATCACGTGAGGACGCGGACGGAATTCTTCCATTAGAGGTCAGATCTTTTTTGATACCATTCGTGCTGGTCAAAACTCCCGGCTTTCCTGTGGTTGTTCCAGTTGTAGAAGTCGATATTGGGGCTCTAGGCTTTCGAGGACTTGTTTTCGGCTTGGCGGGCGCTTTGGTAACGGGAGGCGCTCTGGTCTTCTTCACAGCAACTGTTTTGGCAGATTTTTCTGGAACAATGGATGTGGCTCTCGAAATATTGCCGGTCTGGTTACTTGGCAGTGTCGCGGAGGTCGAAATGGTATCGTCAGAAAGCTTCATGCCTTGGAAACTAGACAATATGCTTGAAGCATCACTGGATCTTCGACGTGGTCTTCCATTGACTCCGACAGGTGGAGGCATGGAAGGATCGGGTAACTCGCTCACAGCTGCAATAGTGGTTCTCCTATTCTCTGTACGGGACGATGCTCTCGCACCACCAAACTCCGACGCCTGAATTCTAGTTCTTCGATCTCGAAGCTGCATTCCCTCACTTGGTTGAACTGTAACACCAATATTCGATCGTCGTTCACGACGAGCCTTTGTGGCCTCAGCATTAAGCTCCTCATGAGTGCAACTCACTGTTTGACGTTCACTAGGAATGATGACACGAGATAGCTCATATGAAGCCACTGCCCAGTCAACATCGGGTGGTGGAGGGACATACTGTGACTCTAGAGACAATCGAGCTTGTAGAGCAGATAGAGAGTGCCTATCACGAGCATTCTCGGTCATCTTCGCTGTGGAGGCGTGAGTAGGCGACGAATAATTTCCTGTTTTGTCTTGCAGAGATTTCGGACCAGCCGGTTGACGCCCAGCGACAACGCTTTCTAGGTCTTCCAGATTGTCGAGCGCCCACCATTCTGAGTTGAAGGTATGTTTAGCACTATTGGCCATGGCTTCATTTTCCGGGATCCAATTGTTGATGGTCTGAAACTTTGGAGTACCAAACATTTCCGATGAAGATTGCAAAGTGGGAGCAACATCCGTGGCCAGACCGCAAATATGACTCAACACACCAGAGGTCAGGGCGCGATCGCTGTAGCCTCCCTCAAGAACGCTAATAAGCCGGCCGTCAACTCCCAAGTCTTCTTCCTGTGATAACTTGACCAGATCTGCGGTGATTCTTGCATAGAATTCAGTCGGTACGTTGACGCTATGCCTCTGCATTCCGGCACTTTCCCATTCACTGGCATCAAACCCTGCCGAAATGAAAATGGCTGCTCTGGGTTCTTGACTGCCTGCAGCGCGCAACTTGGCAGTATGAGTTCGAAGGAAAATTCTAGCCTTCTCAAGCAGTGTGGAATATTTTGTCTCGTAGAGCTTCCAGAATTCTTGATGTGTGCTCCAGGACTCCAAATGGACGTTCCAAATAGACTGACCATGGGCGTTGTCAATGCATAAACTTGCATTGCGGACCTTCTCTTCGTCGCCCCACTCACATGGGTAAGAGTTGATATCGTGCAGACTGTAATATCCGATTGGAGTCTTTCGGTGAGCAGCAGCGTTCTTCGGAAGATTTTGCGCCTTGCGATTTTGATCCCAGGCAATATTCTGAGAACCGTCGCCATGATGGAGATCAAAATCAATGATGGCGGCATGAGTCAAACCATGATTCATGGCAGCGTATGAGATACCAACATGAACATTGTTTAACCAACAAAATCCAGAAGGGAAATTGGAGGAGCAATGATGACCAGGAGGACGAATACAAACAAAGGCACGTTTGGTGGGGTTTGCCGAGAATATTGTGTCGACAGCATCACAGACACCTCCCAGACAGCCTTGTAGCGCGTTCAGCGACTCTTCACAGAGATACAGGTCGCCTTCGTGCAGCTTAGGGAGTGCGGCACCACTTTCATCCTTGCCATATCCGATTGGTCGGACCAACTCCTTCCCATTCAAGGCCAATTTGGCTTCTGCAGAGTCGCACATGATCTGCAATTCTTCCATCCATTTCGTGCCATGGACGAAGGTGACCGAGGGGTGATTGAGAGGAATGGTGCGAGAGGTCTTTCGAATTTGGAATGGTACGTCCTTGACATCTGCGACATCATGCTTGGGTCGAGGCATGTAGGGGCCATTCTGGTGTCGGCCACCAAGTCGTACATATGCAGTGGCAGCACCTAACAGCGTGGCGTGAATGCGCTCGGGTCGTTCAACAATACTGGCCAGGGCGTTCTTTGTGGATCTGGGTCTTGAAAAGCGATGTCCATAGCATGCATCATGAACAATGACAATAACAGGAGATTGTAGATTGGCATGCGCCTCCAGCTCTTTCCCGAAATAGTCTTTGGCAACTGAGTTGGCCGTGACTGGTGGTTTCTCTGGGATGTTCATGGCGGCAGATTTCCCATTTGAAGCGGGGCTTGAGGGGTTGAGATTGGACGAAGATCGGCGATAGAGGGGATGAAGTGAGGAAGGAGTGGTTCCTCTTGCCGTACTGAGACTTGATGTTGATCTTTTTGTGGTCAGAGTAGGAGTTGCCTGTCTTTCTCCACGATATGAACTTGCGACTGAGGGGGATCTTGAGGGTGGTTTTGGTGAGACCGGTTTGTACTGAGACGAAGAGCGCAGAGGTGAAGAGTTGTACTGCATTCGAGGGGATTCAGTCGGGCGCCTTGGAGTTGGTTTGGAGGGGGTGGTGGTGTTGAAGTTTGCGGTGGTCGCCGTGGTGGGTGGTCCCGTTGACATTGTGACGGGGCTTTGGTTGATGACAGAGAGGCCGCCATGATCAAATTCGATGGACGGAGCCGGTATATCTGGATCCATGATGTTGTTACACAGTGTTTGTCAGGTTGTTCTGCTTCTTGGAAAATCCCATAAATAAGATGATGATGATGATAAAGAATGAGACGCGATATCAAACAACGTCATTGTGCTTCAAACTTGAAGGCCACTAAAACTTTGTGTCCCTCTCACCCACTTCAAGTTCTGCCAACAAGACGCGTCCAGGTTGACCAAAAACACGTACAGCGACCGCGTCTATACTCCCCCGTAGCGGGTTGGAAGTCCCCCAAGTTGAACTGAGACAACACCCCCACAATGCCTGGACGTCCTTTCCCCACCGCCCCCATGCGGGAACACTTCCAGGCCCTAAAGTACCCTGAAGCCCCTGCCGAACTTAGTTAGCCAGTAACCACACCTGCTCGTAGCTGGCATGCCAAACAATCTCATTCTTCTAACACTGCGTACTTTAGAACACATGAATGAATCATTGCTCATAACACGATTCTTACTCCATCTATCATAGGTAAGCTCGTGATCCGACTCTGTAGCAGCAGGAAACGAACTGCCTCCGAAAGCAAAATGGACAAGACATGAGGTCGATCGTGACGAGGTACTTCTCAAGGGACTCGGAGGTCTAAATGTAAACGTACGGCTCTCGGCACTGATTCCAGATCATTTTTGCACACCATGCAAAATGTTGGCTCGTCCAAGGTTGACACCACGAATACGGTGTCTATCACAGTATCGATCGTTCAAGCTTCCAATCATTGCAACTCAGCTTACTCGAACAAGTCAACCAGTCCTGTCAGGTCAGTGGTCAGAGATCAACTTTGTTCAACCACTGCTCTCCGGCCATTTTCCACCAACAAGAGTCGTAGGCCGGACAGAATACCGACCTCATACAACACAGGTAAGAAGAAACCCCAATCTGTCGCCTTCCACCAAAGGTGTCCTTCCAAGGGAGAAAACATTGAGGACCCCCATACTGGTCTCGAATCACCCACTGGTGATCCCAGTGGGGTTCAGTTTATTTGCCGGTATCTCATCATGACCAATTCTTGAGTTACATGTATACATATCTCAGCAGAAGACCCCTTTTAACATCTCTCTCAACCTCAGAAACAACCATGTCACCACCACCTCGAATATTGATCTTCGGCACCGGTAGCATTGGCGCCGTCTACGCATGGGTATTGGCCCAAGCCGTTGGTGAATCCAATGTATTCGCGGTCTGCCGGTCCAACTATGACATCGCAAAGAAACAAGGCTTCACGATCAACTCGGGCATATTCGGCGATAACCTGAACGTGCGTCCAGTGATAGTGCGATCCGCCGCCGAGGCAGCAGAAATCTCAACCACGACATCCAACAACCGAGACCAAGTCCCCATATTCGACTACGTGATCATCACCGCCAAAGCCATACCAAGTACGCCGTCAATCCCCAGCCAGATAGCACCAGCCATCAGTCCCCAAACCACCATTGTCCTCATCCAAAACGGCATCGGCATCGAACAAATCTACCACGACGCCTTTCCAGAGAACCCCATCCTCTCATGCGTCGTCTACTTACCGGCAACCCAAACCTCCCCGGGCACCATAACACACACCGAAGTCGAACACCTCCACATCGGCACATATCCCTCCAACACTAAACTCAGCACCAGCACCAGCACAACCGACTCACCCCCAACCCCAACCTCTGCAGCCCAAAACGCAGCCTCAACCTTCACATCCCTAATCCGCGCGGGCCACGCAACCGCGACGCTGCACAGGGACATCCAAGGCGAACGCTGGACGAAACTACTGGTGAACGCGTCGTGGAACCCGATGTGCGCGCTGTCGCGCAGCCGGGACGCAGAAATCCTGAACAGCTCGCCGGCCCACGCGCCCGAAGTCCTGCGCGCCGTGATGCTCGAGGTCGCGGCCGTGGCGCGCGCCGCGGGCTATGCGCACGTGTCGCCGGAGCGGGCGGAGATGCAGCTCGGGCGGGCGCGCGCCAGGGCCCTGCCCGGCGTCGAGCCCAGCATGCTTGCCGACGTGAGGGGCGGACGCCGCATGGAGGTCGATGCCATTGTGGGGAATGCATTGCGCGTCGCCGAGGGGTTGGGCGTGCACACGCCGTTGTTGCGCTTGTTGTTCGTCTTGTTGAATGCCCTGGAGAGGAGGGTGGAGGACGCCGAGGTTTAGTGTGAGATGTGATGTGGGGTCGCTTCTGGTCTCTTGCTATGCTTTGCTTTGCTTCTTGCTGGAATGGGCGGACGCTGCAGAGTGTGCGAGACTGGTTGGTTGGTTGGCTGGCTGGCTACCTGGGTGAGGTAAGGACCTGTATATCTGTTTTCTTTAGAAAAATTCGAGATCTAAGTGTACCGGATATAAAGGCCGGATATATGGATTGTTTATACGGGGTTCAAGCCGGTCGGAAGATCTTGGTATACCAAAAAACCGTGGGTGCAGGAATGAAGGGCCCGATTTACAACTATCCATGGACAACAGCAGATACGAAGACATATACATCTACGATAAAAAGAAAATAATCGATCCTTACACTCTCGAGGAGCCAGAAGTCATCAGAACCCAAAGATTGATGTCTTTCTGGCCTCTCGGGAAACTTGGGATATAATTGGAATCAATCCCAATCTCTACAAGCCACTACTAAGTAGACGAACAGCCTCATCTCCAAGAGTCCTCGATCAATCAGATCGTAATCCCCACTCCACTGAGCGCATCCCTCGCCCATTCTGGCGGGCCGTCTTTCTCAAAATACTTACGGAAGAACTCTCGCGCAAACTCGGGGTATCGATCCTGCAGAATCGCCTGTCTCGCGCGCCGCATCAGCGAGAGCATGTGGTGTACGTTGTGGATGGTCAGCAGATGTGCGCCGACCGTCTCTTTGGCAGCCAGATGGTAGATGTATGCGCGGGTCATGCCGAGTCCACCGGCGGCTTTGGGCCGACATGTCGTGCACGTACAGTCGTCTTCAACGGGGCCGAAGTCTTCCGCGTAACGTGAATGTTTGAGGTTGAGCACGCCTTGGGACGTTATAGCGTTGCCGAAGCGCTACGTTCAGGATGGGTGATTAGTGTGAGGGCATAGGGAGTTGCGGTGGGAGTGCATGAAGTTTTCAGCCATCGATAAATATAAATGACTTACAGCTGTTCTCGTGGGCCAGACACAATCGAACATGTCTGCTCCAAGGGCAACGGCCACAACAATGTCTTCGGGATATCCCTGGTGATGTTAGCATCAATTACCAAGAGTACAGGTGATTCGATTCAATAGACATACAATACCCATCACATATCTGGGTTTGTTTTCAGGCAACAGACCGGTGCACGTGTCGACCCTGATCAAGAATAAATTAGCATGAAAACTCGGCACATTCAGCCATGCAATGAGACATACACCTTGCAAAAGTCTGCCTTGGCCTCACCACCTGAAAGTCCTCCAATGGCTATTCCCGGCGTATCTCTTTCCACCATCTCAATGGAGCATTGTCTCCGGAGTTCCAGATCGAGTCCGCCCTGAATGATACAAAACAGATTTTGCTTTTCCGGATACTTGTGGGCTTTGATGCACCGGTCAAGCCATCGGACAGAACGATCGGTTGCCTCCTTGATCCTTGCATGGTCTGGAGATGTTGTTTGAATGACATCGTCCAGTTGCATGATGATGTCGGAGCCTATCGAGTTTTGGAGTGACATGGAATGTTCTGGTGTGAGCAGCCTGACGATCATCATGTCAGTATTCAGTCTTTTGCTATGGTCTCGAGTCGTGTTTGCGCTCACATTGGGCTGCCATCATGGGGACTCAAAAACCGAACCCCCTCTTCCGTGACCTTTGCCAATTTGAGCAAGGAGACCATTTGGAACCTTTCACAGATATATCAGTTCCCCCATTCTTGGTCGGAAATGTTCATAGAAGGTCCACCAACCCACCACTGTCAGTCAGGATATTGTAGTTCCATCCTTGAAATCGATGAGCACCCCCGACTGAATCCAACACGCTTTGGCCCGGCTTCAAGCCCAGGTGATATGTATTGTTCAGGCACAGCCTACAACTCGTATCTTCCAGTTGTTCTGGAGTGAGACCTTTGAGTGAAGCCTGAGTTGCAACAGGCATGAAGATAGGTAGCTCGACGGGGCCATGGGGCAGATGTAAAGTCGAAGCACGAGCCTTGGATGTCTATTCAAGAGAAAGAGGGAGATTTGTCAATCGAACGGTCGAGGGAGTATTGGGGTGGTAGAGCCTCGCGGGGGGATTGGATTTGTGGTTTCGTACCGAACAACGGGCTTGGAGATCAAAAGTCAAGGCCGAGGGTTTCGTGGCGGTGGACATGTTGACGACTGGTTGTGATGCATATGGAGCAGCAGGAAAGAAAAGCCTCGCAGCGGTGTAGACGAGAGGACTTGTATTGGGTACGCAACGGCTCAACCACATATGCGACCGGTTGATTGTGTGAATTTGTTGCTGCGGGCGACCGCAGGTGACGCCGGGATGGACTTGGGATCACCAGCTCTGCATTGATGGATAGACAAGGATTAGAGGGTAGGACACTGGACAATACAGATTGTTTGGTCAGGAAGTTTGGAAGAGCGGAGAAATGTCAAAGAATGAGAGAAGCCGAACAAGTGGTTTTTTAGACTTGTGGTTGGATGTTGGAGGAACTTTTGTGGCGGCCGGAGGATTTCTGGGAAACAAGGTTCGGTTCGCCCTCGGTCGACCACCACCACCACCACCTTCAGTTCATCCAAAAGCCACATCCATTGAAACCCGCAAAAAAACCCAACTTAGGTATCTGGATACCTCTATACTACTAAGTGCCTTCCCTTGGAATATGTATACCCTAGTAGGACTCTAGACCAAATCTTGAGGCATTGCTCTCTAGTTCTTTTGCTTACCGCCTAATGACATGATTTGACATCCGCCGCCACCAGGAAATCATCTCCTGTGATTACCAGGATCTCATGTATCACAACAGATGAGGTTGCACTGCAGCCGAAAAATGGCAGCTGTTGTGAAAAATTGGGATAAAATTCATGCAGAGGTGTAGAATAGGTTGTCATGATGTAGCGATATAGGCTCCTCTCTTAAGGGGACAGACTTCTCAAAGAGGTCGTGTAGGAAAAGAATGCACGTCAGGTACCCCTGCTGAGTCGCTGGACCCTTAGGCATGTACCCTTGGGAACATAGAGGCTACTGTTTACATCAAAAAAATGTGTATGGATTCAGAGACACTCCTCTTCTGACCAAAGAGGCGGTCTGGAAATATTGAGCAGAGGACTGAGACCTCTAGCCAGTGACAGGTACACAGAGAGAAAAGCTCGCCCACACGAAGATAACCACTTAATCTAATTCTTTGTTTTCCCCATCCGACTGCTGGTACTGATCAAGTTTATGATGATGATTATGGTTGGAAGATTGTCGGGTGAGCTGAGTGTAGAAGAGGGAAGATAGAAGGGAAAAAGAAAAGGTAGGAAAATCAAAATGACCAAACCCAAAGAAAAAGTTGAATGGCTTTCTCTGTGTTGGTGCTCCGCCTTTCAAACGCCATCGCTATGCTCCCCGTTGTAGTAGTGACCCAAGTGGTATTTCTTCGTATTAACACATTTTTGGGCAGATACCGCTCAAGACGCCCTTGAAATGTTTCGTCCGCATGTAGCATCAGCTTGTCGACAACATGAGAGTGTGACACAGCTCGAATTATTGTAGCCTGGCCCCAACGGTCTTGACTGTTGTCAAGTCGTGATCTAGCGATATGCGCCGCTGGGGTAGCTGGATGATGAGGAACGGTATGATGTTGACTGGCTCGAGCTGATGGATGGGTTGCGAAGTTTGGTACAGGCGACTTCGGCGGCATCTTCTTTGGCGTTGTTTAGATATTGTCCATCGTACCAGTATCTGGCGGCAAGGTTCTGCCCCTGAATGGTGACTGTTGCAGACCATGCTGTCCGCCCACCTATTTCAGATCTCTTAGATTGGTTCCACTTCCATGTCACAATATGGCACAAACTCACCTCGTCGATCTGATACAATGTTGAACACTGGAGCTGGGATTCTCATTTTGCGACATTCAGCTGGAGCTTTCATTAGTTCTATGTACCAATCTCAACCGATCAATATCATAACATACCAACAAGCTCCTCTTGCCACGTCTTGTGAGTCTTGGTGGCCATTTTCTTGTGGAGAAGTGAATGAATGATCTGGCTTGTACCAAGCTAAGCTCGATTCTGGATGCCACTAGTTCTTTTGTGAGAATTCTCAAGGGTCGAAAGGAGGCTTGCAGGTTGAAATTCCCACGGCGGAAAAAGGAAGGATTCTGTTGGTGAGATATATAACCACCCAGGAGCCAACGCACAACTCAGACTTGTTACTGAAAGATAGGTCAAGCGTCGGGTCGGCAGCAGTCAAAAGTTGACTACAGAAGGTGAGCAAAGGATAGCTGCATACACAGAAAAACACAGCATCCGTTTCAATGACAGATTCTCTGCTGTATCAATCAGCGCCGCCCCATTTAAGGCAGCAAAATCAGAAAGTGGCAGTAGTGGTGAATAGAGGAAGTCCTCTTGTGCAACATGATCTGTGAGAGATCTTGTGACACTTGTACCAATATCGAAGGCCGCCCTAGCATTGTCTATATAAAACCAACAAGGTGACACAGATGCGAGGGATGCAAGCCCTGCAACCCGGCCAGGTGTATGGTCTTTCGAGACGTGGGCAGAAGGGATGGGGTGCGGAATGAGTTGCAAGTAGAAAAAATTGGGTGCAGAGCAAAGGACCAACGCCGAATCAGCCTCACCCTTTGCCCAGAGCTAGGAGCTTGACAACACATCAGAACATCAGAGCCGGTACTGGGCGAGTGGGCAGTGGGCTGGCCCTGGAGCGGACCGAGAGCAAGCGATGTCATGCATAATGGCGTAGCAGAACTAGTAGCAGTAGGAATATCATGGGATTCCGTGGGAGAGAACTACTCCGTAGTCGACGTAAGAGCCGGGTCAAGAACAATTCAAGGTGGGGGCAGCGTTGTGGAAGCCGAAGACAATCGAATAAAGCAGTCGCATAACCAGGTGGCTAAGGTGACAGAATGCGACTTAGTGGAGATGTACACGGCCTGTTGCGGACATTTGATGATCGATGAGGTCTTGGGGTGAAAAACACGTACAAGAGCCGTACAATGAACGCATCGAACTACTCGAGAGTCTAGACGAACTCTTTTTGCCCTTTGCATTCGACGCTGGAGCTCAAAAGAGTGACCACCCAGAACAGAGAAATCCAATTGCAGGGTGAGAAGATTCATTGGTCGCTCTATTTTGCTTTGGGCATCAAGATGACCTGTTCCTGGGGGGTCAGAAAACGCATAAATCGGTCCACGTCTTACCACTGGCAATCTGTACCTTTGCGTGTCGCAGGTGTCCTTGACATCTGTAAAGTGGGAACGATAGTAAAGGTGGTCGCCCGATTTGCGAATGGGACACTATAGATAGAAGAGGCGGTAGAATAAGAAACTAACATGATAAGAGTTGCAAGAAATCAAACCAGTAGCAGATGGAGTTTCCTTGGATGACTGGTTGAACTCGGTAATGGTCTGAGATGCCAGAAGACTTCACTTGCAGCACTGCAGAGACGAAACCAAGTCAGCAGCAAACCCAGACTTGATTGGTTACAGACCCCGTCCTGGTGTGGGCAAGGAAAAACTGAACCCTGTTGCTGGGACTTGCAGATTTTGATGGGTTCCTCGAAAGATGTTGATTGGAGGCACGTCCAGCTGAAGCTTTCAACTTGACAATCGTGAAGATTGTTGGAGAAGCGCAGGGCAAGGAATGACGAATGAGAAACACATTTGCACCGAGACGACGGGTCATGCACTTGTAGGATGGGGAGGGAGAGGTCAGAGGTGCAGTAGTAGTTGAGTTGTTCAGTGGACCTGTCTGTAGAGAGAGCCTGGACAATTCGACTGTGGCACTGAAGAGAAACCGACCTTGAGAGAACGAGAAGGAAGAAAAGAGACCCAGAAAAACACGCCATTCTCGTGTTCGGCAATGGGCGTTGCCAAGACCGCATTACCCGCGCACTAAGTCGTTAGTGAGCTCTGCAAAATGGATTAGAGTCTATTAGTGTGGGCTAGACGTGGCTAGAGTGGATGAGGGTGGGTTAGGGTGGATTACACTTCTTTGGCTCCAAACTAGATTGTGCTGCTGTTATTATGCTCGACCTTCCCTCAAATTCTGATCACCGATTCAGTGAGATTGAAGCAGCCATGCAGGCGCCCACCAAGTGTTGATGGTCTCTGCTGACTATAACCAAGAGTGACACGGGGGAGATTTTGAGATATCTTATCACCACTGAACCACTATCTGTGAGCCTCGATTGCGGGTTGTAGGTATGAACCAGGGATCACTCTACTAACATGCAAAGATCCCACCCAAGTGGCCAGGACTGGTGAGTTTCCAAGTTTCGAGTTTCGAGTCTTGATCGATGATTTTCGCCTCTTGAATGATGGCCAGTGTTCTGGTACTGGCATCAGAGGGATTATGGCAAACACACCGTCCGTGAAAGATCAGCTGTCCCCCAGAAACTTGACACGAGATTGTTTCAAGATCTTTGATATGCCCACTAGCCGTGGATGCAATTGTCAAGGATCAATAGTTTCATATGTAACATGTCTGGGTCATGACTATGGCATATCTCATCAAGCACGGATAAATACATTTCAGAAGGTGAATGACACCAGAAAAGTGAAGTTTTCCCACTTTATCACCGACTCCTCATGGCCTTGTCCAGACCCTCCGAACCCGTCAACACACACACATAATGTACAATGGAGCCAACCGTTTTGAGTCAAATCAACAAATGTCTAATATAGCCGCCCGTCCTTATCCGGGTTTGATCGGTAGTATCTACACCGCTATCATATCCGTGTAACATATCCGAGATGGGTGACACATTCATGAGAGCGTCGAAGTTTCGTTTGGGAACAGGCAAACGAAAATGAAAATGTGATCTGTCCTGTTCTTCAGGGAGATTCATGAGCGGTGAGCATCACGCCAGTGCTGTCTAATGCAGTCGTCGGCAAGTGTCATCAATCCGGTTGCAATGATAACATCTCCAAGGTCACCCGATACCTCTTTTTCAGTAATCCTCATACTGCAAGGCGGTACCCAGGTTCCTTGAGAAATCTCATGTCTGCTTTGATGACGAGAGAGTTTGTCTGGGGTGATATGAGCCAAACAGTTTCCTGAGGCTAGGTTGACCAACTCAAAGGAGAAGATCGATTCTCTTTCATCTTTGTATATGACTTTTCTCCAAGTATATTGTTGGCCCCAGTATTCAAAGTCGTACGCTTTGCCGTCACCACGCCGAGTCCGCTGAAGTTCAACTTGAGCATAATTCGAGAACTCGATCCGGATGGTTTCTGTGGGAATACTGGCTTCCACATCCGCCTGGTTGCAAATATCCAAGTCATCTTCCGACTCGCTGTCATCGACCTCGTACGAAGGTCTTGGTCGAGGTTTGGTGGAAAAGGCTTTCAAGTTCATTTTCGTCAAGGCGTTGACGAGAGAACCCTTTCTTGAAGATAACGATGACTTGGAAGTCGGCTTCAAGTACTTTCTTTTCGAGCTGCAGACTTCTCGACCCGACTGCCGCTGATATCGACGAAGAGAGAATTGTCGTTCAGCCAAGTCATACATTCTTAGATGGAAAAGCGTCAATTTCACCCGATGGCCTCTGGAAATGGTCAACTCGGTGTCCAGGCGAAGGTTCAGGTTGCCATCTGGACTGGTATCGTCATGTTGAATAAGAAGTCGGCGGGTGGAAGGGAAGAGCTCCCCAAACTCGGCCGGAGTGGTTGATATGGAGTCTGGTTCATAACAGATAGAGCGCATCAAAGGGTTGAGACTTTTTCGGTTGTTGGACTCCTTCTCGTCGGGAATGGTCGAGGCATATGTTTCACTCGAGGCTCGTGGGTTGATGTGATGGTCTTCCTCATAAGAGAGAGGCTTTTCCACGACCTCACATGCTTCATATGTAGAATGTCCTTTGATGTCGGGTTTTGTGTCACTATAGGAGTAGGATGTGAGGTTTGTGTATTGTGTGTGGCTTGAACTGTGGCTCCGAGTAGATGTGGAGCTTGAAGATGTGGAGGAACCTTTCGACCAGACTCGGATAGGAGAAGGACGGGGCATATTATGGGCAAGGCAATTGAAGGTATGTAAAATGGTACAGTGTAATAATGTATGGTGGTGAGTTATGATAGAGAATCTTTCGGAGCAGTCATGATAAATGAAAGATTTTACCTTTGGAAAAGCAAATTCCAACGAAGACGAGGGAAGCACGAGGGCTACAGCTCGATACTACAAACGGCATATCAAAAGCAAACGGAAGCCTTGTGGTGATTGGTGTTGGAGTGCCAAAAATGGTCGAAAGGGTCGGGAATGATGGTCACTCCACGAGCGGACGATATCGTGATTCGTGTGCAGCATAATTTGTCTCGACCATTTCTCATAAGGAGTGACAGGTTCCAACTTTTCCGATCAACGATGGCGCAGCAACGAAACGCGAACTGCCAGTGGCCATCAGGTCCTGGAATTGGAAACCCTCCGGCAGCCTGAACTTGAAGAGGAGTGAAGCGGGTGCGGCCGGCACCTCCCTTCCAGGCGATCTAGCGGCTTCGACAGGCATTCTTTTTTGGTTTGCTGATGTGAAATAGTCGCCGAAAGCCACCTTGTTGCTAGTCCGTGGAGAGCTGGAAGCGAAGGCGATTGGCATGGTGACATGCCGGGCTTCCCCCCTTAGTCGCATGGTTTGCGATTTGAACAGGCACGAGCATAATAATGCTACTACGAGGACTCGTACAGATGGCAAATCGCGGAGCAGCAACCTTCTTCGAAATCAGGGCATCTTTTCTTGTGGCGTGTGGGATGGCATGGGCGAATCAAATAGAAGCTGGACGAAGGAGAGGCAGTGGCAAAGCTGCCAGACCATGCAGTGCCAGTGGTTCAAGTTGCAGAATTGGGTAGCTACGGGTAAAGAGGGGGCCACGGGGGCTTGACCACAGTGGTCCAGGTAAAAGCCCGCTTGGTTCGCTTGGGGTTTCGGGCAGCATTTTGGCTCCCAAGCTGTAATCGTCTGACCCAAATAGCCTGTGGCCGAGGTTGTCCGGGGGGGGGCTCTCGTTGAGATATCCGTTGGGTAGGCGTCCAGAGCTTGACTGGCACTTGGAGCCTGTTGAACGTGCTCTTGACCTGAGGAAAGACCTAACGAGACATCAGTGAGCTTCCTGTATCCGTAGTGCTTCGCGCCCCTCTCAACTCTCGCTCATTTCCTCGCTCTCTCAGTCTCGTGGCATGATTTCATTGGCACCTAATTGTCCGGCCCAAAGCCTAACCCTGCCTTCCCCTCCGACCTTATACGCTGCTTCAGCCTGTCAACTTCTCATCACCATGCACTCTGCACTGTTGACTGCCTTAGGGGCTTCAACGTGCAAACGACGAACATGTGTTCATAAAAACTTGTCCTTGGTTTCTGTACCTGCACGATCCTGTAATGATCACAAACTAGAGTTCAGTGTCTCTCCAAAGGACAGGGCAAGCGTGGAGAATCACCATCGGCTGAAACAATTCAATGCTCATCTGTGGGTAGCTTCGGACCACGCTTCTCTCGAAGCAATTCCGCAAGCACCTACGTAGTACTCGTACGCAAGCGACATCAGGCACGATAGTATCAGCAAGTACCTCATCTGTTGTCTTTCCTGGGCACGTGCTTCACCATAGGCTGCTGCGCTTCGGATCAGACCATCACAGGTAATCATCAGTCATGAGGTATTTTCATCAACGAATCTGGTCGACACTCAGGCGACTCCAACGCGTCTCACCAGAGAGCTACGACTAGTCAGCCTGCATGCTTTCGATCTGCAAACCAGTCTTGAGGTGCTTGCTCTAGACATTCGGACCGTTATCACGATCACCTCCACCAAAGGGTGGCTTTTTCCGTCCATCCACTACTTGAATTAGACCCCAAGCTCAGAAGTCCATCGGCACCTGACTCGCGCAGCCCCTTGAGCTATTCACTGGACAGTGTCAGGGGGCGAGTGTTTGAGAGGTTGATCCCAGACCTCCGAGCCAGGTCAGACGCCGCCTCACATTGATCGCAAGACTTAGCAACACGACAGGTCAAGGTGCTGAAACCTGTGTTCTTGTTCAAGAGGTGATGTCTGATTTTGTATTGGTCAGAGCGCATCTGCCGTGGGCCGGCCCTCGGCTCGTCCAGGCTCGTGCCGTGTCTTGAACGTTTTCCATGGCTGTTCCTTGACACCACGTCCAAGACTCAAATGTTTTGCTGGTGCGATCGAACTTTCGCTCTCCTCGGTGAGCAAGCATCAGTAGGTGCAATAAGATAGGTCAATTTCATGTTGTCCAACTATCACTCAGGTTTTGCGAGCTAGCAGTGCACTTCCTCTGCAGGTGAACGTTATGGAATCTGGTGTTCACAAGCATTGCTTCTTTCGAGCGAGATGGTGAAAAGTTCTACGACATTACGATGTTGAGATATGTTCAATCTCCAATGAGATTACACCTCAAACCAGGAAAAAGGAACGATCAGATATTACGTGTCATTATATGAAGGCCATTGGTTGGTGAAGTTGCTTTATCAGTCGAACTGGCAAGGCAAAAATTCTCATTCGTCGTGAGACATCAATGTTGTTGCTCTGGCTCATGCCAACCCCAGAAGATCCCCACAGGTTACACCACTTGGAACTAAAGCTGCAGTATTGGTCTAACGTCGAGTTTGCACAATCTGGAGTTGCTCACGACCCTGCACAGACCAGTGGTACCGTGCACGTTGTTGTCTTACCACGCGTTCCAGACAAGAAGGCTCGCCAAAGTCCAGCAGATCACTGCAAGATATTGTTTTGCTGAAGTATAGTGGCACGAGTCATCGAGGTCGTAACGACTCTGCAGCGGCCGTGATTCTGGAACTTCCGTGTTCCTCCGCATCGTAGCAAGAATCGTACCGGCGGACGGACGGCAGATGCAAGTGGTGCGTGATCGGCAGTCCCAGTGTGAAGAACCGCCAGGCCTGGGATATATAGCCATACGTGTTGACTGTATCATATATGAGCGGAGTCGATCTTACCAGTAGCAACAGGGTCAGTATGAAGTTGTTCTCAGCGTGAATGCCGAGTTTCACGCCGAGTGGGCAATGTTGCTGTTGTGAGAGCAGCCGTGAACACGAAAACGAGAAGCTGGCTGTTCCCTCAGAAAAGGATCTACGAAAAATGTCCGGCGCTGATCAGAAGAAGCTGGGGGCCGAATGCAATTAGTTGGATGGCAGTTGTCGAAGTTGCATTCTCTTTGTCTTAGACATGGGGATCCATCAGACCATCCCCCACAAAGGTCGAGGCAGTTCGATCTCGCGACCGACTTCGACGCCTCGACCCATGAATCCTCTAGCTCTATTGTCTACACCCACGTAGGCTTCTCTCCTTCTGGCCTCGCCCTGCACATCCTTGGTGACACTCCAGGTCCGCAAGCCGTAGTAGCTCCCCACGCAATGGACCAGCCAACGAGCAAAGGAAGCGCCCTTGTCGTTGTCGAGGCCGTCGAAGATGAGCTTCTCGGAATTGATGGTGTCACCATCCCACCCTTCAGCTTTCTGCCTCTCCTTCCGGCCGGGCGAGTCGTGCATGACACCGTTCCTGCCAATGAAGACGATCTCGTCGTCTTCCTCACTGTCACTCATCAAGGGGACATCATCTAGACCTTCTTCGCGTAGGCGAGCCTCCCTCTCATTCCACTTCTGCACAAACGCGCGCACCGTCTCCTCGAGATCTTGAAGCAGACCCACCGAAGCCCGCGCTCGCTTTAACCGGGCACGAACTTCTTTTGGGATGTTGGTCGCCGCCTCTTCCATAGGGCTCATGCCGCTGTGTTGCGTGCCGCTCTTGCCCCGGTTCCTCGTGCTGTTCTTGCGTCCCTTGAGCTTCGCCTCGACTGCTCGTTGGAACTCGGCCGCGTCCCACAGAGGGGCCAGGTAGTAAGGGACCGTGCGCCGCGGATAAGTAGGAACCACTTGCCAGTCCGAGGGGAGAGGAGGCACAGCCCAGGGGTTCGAGATCAAGCGATCTATATAGAGGGTTTTGTGTTAGTGGTCGTGCACGATTCTGAATTCGAGTCCCGTTATCATGGGGTTGTTGGGGCCACGCATACCATTTTCCCATCGTCGCCGCTGACGTGAGCCTTCTTTGCCCTTGAGCAGCGCTTCCCTGCGGTCCATGCTGTCGCGACGAGCAAGTTTGCGGTCTGGGTAGACGGGCACGACTCTCTTGCTGGACGCGTCGAGCGGGATAGAGAGACGGACCGGGTTGCCGGTGGCAGTGCGCTCGGGCGTGGTTGGCTGCGGTGCCACCGATTCCGACATCGTCAGGCTGCGAGGACTCTGCGGTGCTCGAGGCACGGCAGGGTCGGCGGATACCATGATTGGGACGATGTTTGTTGTGTGCACCATGGTTTAGATGCGGTCTGGAGGATTCGTCAACACGCGTGGCAATCTACTTATAGGAAGTGGTGTGGCTCTTTGTGTGCAGTAGATAAGACAATACAAACGACTCTAGATGGAGGACGGGCGAAGTAATCTAAGAATCAGATAGAGCAAGATTCAGAGGAGATGGGAATGGTTAAAATCCAAACGAATTTAAGAATGTGCGAAGGCAACGAGGCAACGAGATGCGATGGTTGAGTACTCGTAAGGAGTGGTGGCAGTGGTTGAGTTCAAAGCTCGGGGCACTCAGGGAACACGGGGGGAGGCTCTTTACGGAATGTTGGAGTCATTATCCGGGTGATGGGTCCCTCGATCCAGCGAATGGTGAGTCTCAGATCATCCGCATGGGTGAGATAAACCGTCATGCAGTGACTCAAGAGTTGGAGTGGAAGACTCAGCAAGGCACTTATACGCGTATAGGGAGATGAGTATAGATAGGATGTATTCATTTGACTCATCCGTTTATGTTGATGAGATTGAGCTGTTGTACTTCGAGTTTGCTCTGTTACTCTTGTAATTCTATGATGCTGGATTCTGATATCCCAAGGGCAATCTAGGGACCGATAAGCCCAGATTAGGCACCTCGTTTATTTACGAGTAGGCCGAGGTGCCCTACTAACCACCTACAGGCTAGCCTGTGTTTAGTTCATCTCGTTGCCCCAAGTTTCGTAGTCCAAGACTGCACCACTCACCTGCATCTTCCAGCCACTTTGGAGAGGCATCATCATCATCGACGTCAACTACATCTATTTCTTGTGAACCAGGTACGACTTTTCGACACAGGCTTTACCAATATGAAGTGCCTTATTCCTCTCGCCCTGTCAGCGGCATCCATCGCTTCCGCTCTTTCCATTGATTCTCAATTTCATCAACAAGTCCCTCTGGAGAACGAGAAGCCTACCTCGTCCGAGCAATATCTTATCGAGTTGTCCCCTGGCGAGACGAGATATGTGTCAGAAGAGGACAAGTGGGAGTTATTACGGGTGAGTCTACAAGAGACAATGTCACACTGACTCACGATCGTCGATACTGATGGATTACCTCTTGAACAGAATGGCAAAAAGTTTATGGACATCACCGACAATGGCCACACATTTCCTTACGTGGAGACAATGGCGGCATCTGTAACATATCCTGCGAACGCTACACATACCAAAGCCGTCAAGTCGTTGAGCAAGAACTTGTCCACCAAGAGTATGCGAAAGCATCTTGAAGGCTTGACCTCTTTCCACACACGATACTACAAGAGCCAATATGGAATAGATGCCGCTCAGTGGCTACATGACAACATTCTCCAGGTGGTCAATGCATCAGGCGCATTTGACCACGGAGCCACATTGAAGAAATTCGCACATCCTTGGGGACAATTTAGCATCATCGCCCAGTTTCCGGGAAAGACCAACCACACCGTGGTGATCGGAGCACATCTCGACAGCATCAACATGTTTTTGCCGTCTATTCTTGCGGCGCCTGGAGCGGATGACGATGGAAGCGGCACGGTGACTATTCTCGAAGCTCTCACAGCACTACTTCAGAGCGATGATGTCGTCAAAGGCAAAGCAGAGAACACGATCGAATTCCACTGGTACTCTGCTGAAGAGGGAGGCCTTCTCGGAAGCCAGGCTATTTTCAAGTCGTATCATGACAGTGGGAGGGATGTCAAGGCCATGATCCAGCAAGACATGACGGGCTATGTGGCACAGACACTGGCAAATGGCAAACCCGAGTCCGTTGGGGTCATTACCGACTTTGTGGACCCCAAGCTTACGGAGTTCGTCAAGGAGATCATCACCACCTACTGTGATATCCCTTACACGCTCACCAAGTGTGGATATGCATGCTCTGACCATGCATCGGCCAGCAAATATGGTTTCCCGTCAGCCTTTGTGATTGAGTCCGACTTTGAGTACTCGGACAAGAAGATCCATACGACGGATGATCAGATCAAATACCTGAGTTTCGACCATATGTTGCAGCATGCTAAGATGACGCTGGGATTTGCGTATGAGGCTGCGTTTGCAAAGTTTTGAGCGAACATGTACATGTATACTGGGTCAATGAAAAGTCAACCTTGTCTCATTTTCGAGCATTTCTTAGTCATCCGAGGAGTTCAGAATGTGGCTGGTATCTGCATGATCGTGATGACCCCTGCTTCATTGCGAACGCGGAGGAAATGGGGAATTGGAGAATTCCCTGACTTGCACCACTGCCATCGATGATGGCCCAACAGCCTAGCTCCAGTCCGGTTAGACAAATGACGTAATAATTTCCCCCGCGATACGCAGGTCACGGAAGGAACGCATCTGAACCAATGAATTCGGCAGTCGCGACCATCACGCACTGCGCAGCAGCTGTTCTAGCAACGGAGCAGACCTGCTAACAACCAACTGCCCACTCTCTGCTGCTCCACAACTCGCTAACCTACGATCACGAGAACAGCTTGCGTTTCATCCTGCCATCAACCTGGCATATAACGACACCGCCCATTGTGATAGTGTGATTCTTCTTCTTGCCCTCCTCGCTTCTTTCATACCACCTCAATACGAACTTGACTGAGCGAACAGGCTTCACGGCGAGACGCTCCTGAACCACAGGTCCCAAGCAGAGAATCTCTTGACAATCCTGAAAACCTCCCGAAAGTCGGTGCCTGATTTAGATCAACGTCGTCAAGATGCCTGCTTCAGACTGTGAGAACTACCAGATCCCTCTTGAAGGATACCTGCTAACCTCTGCTTGCCTTCTACAGACAACCCGTTCGCTAAACGGGAAGAATTCTCAAGCCGCAATCTGCTAGCCTACAAGATCCTTACTGTCCTCTCATGGCTCCTGCTCGTCGTTGTGGGCGTTTACTACACATTCGACAGCCCTCATGATCATTACAAGCACCACCATAATCATACTATTTGGGGACAGAACAATCACAGACGAACACCCTTCAGCCTGAACTCTGTTGTGGTTAGCATCTACTGGGTGGTTGTGTTGATTTTGCAGGCACACTATGTGAGATATCTATACAGTGCAGACAAGACCTTTGTCACCAGCGCTGCCAATGTCGGAAGTCATTTCATCGTGGTGAGTTGCATATTGCTTCATACTGTAAAAGAGATGTTCGTTCTAATCCCGTCTATAGCACAACCTCCTCAGCACTGCCTTCATCCTTCTCTGGGTTAGGGCTTTCTTCTGGCCGGCCGAGGTGTTTCTCATTCTCAACTTGTTCAACCTTACCCTGCTCTACTTCCGCCATCCCACCACCCCACGATTCGTTCACATCCCTATCGTCTCTGCTCCATTGGCTTGGACTTATATTGCAATCCTCTGGGATGGCGCAGCTGCTGTCAATGCAAGGTCGCTTCCAGCCAGGATTGTTGCCAACCTCTTCATCTGGGGAATTCTGGTCCTGGGCGGCTTCTTCCTTCTCACCTATAAGGATTACACCATTGGTATTGAATTGGCAATTCTATCGTTGGGTATGTTTTGTCTCTGCTCTTTAACCGTGTCTCATACTGACAAATCCACCAGCAATTGCCATTGCTCAGCTTCAAGTTCATGTCATTGCCTTCCAATGGATCTTTGCCTTCGTCATTGCAGGTGTCTTGTTTGTCGGTTCCCTTGTTATTGGAGCTCCGCAAGTCTTTGGACAAGATCGAAGTGTTCGACAAGAAGGTGCCATCGTCAGTGAAGATCGCGAACGTGCACCTCTTCTTGACGATCAGTGAACAAAAATCTACAAACCAACCGCCACATGACTCTGCTCTGAGATTCAGCCTGGCAAACCTGACAATCCAAAGCAGACAGCCTTGTATAGCATGCCTGCCCACTCGGCCCAATAATATCTGAGCATTCTTATGCAGCGACGGACTTGGCACATGATGTGCCACAGCCCCACCATTGCTCGATATGACTTTTTGAGAACGGCGTATATTGATCGACTCAGTTGAGCGTGCTGGCATTGCTTTCTGATTCGGAAGGATTGCTGGGAGAAAGGTGTTGCAGGACCTGCGTAATATTACTGATTGCATAACTCCTCATTCCTAGGTACGTAAGGAGATATTGGTATCGAAGATTGTCAAAGTGGCGGGATGACATTATTAGACCTTCATAGCCAATCTGCACAATCACATTCATTGTTATACGCATCATGATGTCCCCAATTGATTGATGAGGGTTTTCGCCCTGACTTTGTTTGTTCTGCGAATACCATGGTTGTTGAGCAAGTGCCTACCTGGTAGGTAGGCAACTGCTGGGGTGGCAGGCGTTTGCGAACCTGACGAAGTCAATTCTTTGTCGTCGCCTTGTGTCCACCGACCTTTTGTTAAATCCAAGCAGGCTTCCATGTGCCCCGGAAAATAATTGGGTTACCGAAACCTCTTACCCTGCTAGATTCTATTGCTTGTCAAACAACCATCAGCAAACTTTTGATTCGTGCTCTGGAGACCTTCATGGATTTCCTCACTTCACCTCACTCAAGTACCTAATATTGCTCTTGGGTTTCTTCAAACACCTTCCATGTTGTAGCTTGGTCAACAATCCTATAAGCACAGTCAGCGTCGAATTATTCAGTTCTTCGGATCGGGAGAGGCTTCTGGATTTCCAAACAGCCCTGTTTGCCATCCACAAAAAGTCTTGATTGTTATAATTTGACCACTCCCGAACAATCTCGGTCATCATGGCTCACAATCCTTTCTCATCGACCACCAACAGCAAAACCGACGATAACCTACAGCCTACCAAGTCCTCACAAATCAGTCACATTCACACCGAAGAAACTCTGGAGTCAGGGCAATCAACCATGGCTCACACTCCACAATCCAGCGAAAATGGCCTGAATGACGACGTGCATCCAGACATCAATCCGAACGACAAGCTCAGCATCCTCCACCTCGTCACCTTGTGCTTGAACGGCTGGAGAATTCAGAAAGGACGAGGACCACGCCACAACGAGTTCTGCCTCTACTGCCGAGCAGATGTGACCGATTCAACGCAGATGCTTGTACACGCGGGAAACAAATGCGGAAATGCATGGCCGGTGTCGTGTTTCCTGACCCTCATCAAATGGGAATGGGCCAATCGTGTGCGACGCCCGAGGAGCCCCATGCGATGTCCCATGTGTCGACATGCCATCTACACGGTTCCCATGATTCCTCCGACTTGGAGCCAGAGCAGCTGCGGATTCGCTGACGATCCAAACGTGCTCGTCAAGATCAGCTTGTTCTCTCCAGACTTCGTCGTCAAATGTGCCGCTGCCACCATGGAGAAGGCTCGTCCGATCAGTTTCATCAAGCAGGCTGATCTCAAGCAGGTGCCTATGTTTCCCGAAGAAAAGAGATTGTTCACCCTCTGCAGCAGTATAACTGTGATGGGGAATCCTGGTGACGGTGCAGGAGAGACTATTGATGTCAATTTAAACCCGGTGCTTCCCTCATTCGTGTCTGGTTTGAGCAGTGAGCAGCCTGACAACCACCCATCTTCTCCCGTCTTCGACACATGGGTGCTGATCGATTTTGGACACAACATCTTCCGAGCATGCACGTTTCTGCCATCGCAGATGGAAGAGTTGCAGAGGTCACTGATCAAGGCCGGGCTACATTACGAAGAAGTCAATGAGTCGTATTTCTCGAGCGCCAGCACAGGTCTCGCACAAGGCGGTCTGGCAGCGGCGCTCGACGGTATCACGGCCGGTGAGCTCGACAGAGACATGACGGAGGCTCAAGAAGCTGCCAAGGTGTATTTCTGCGAGTCTGAGATTGTCAAAAGCCTCGAATCAGAGCCATGGCGCCAGCACGCGAACTTCCACTTTCTCAAGTTGATGTTCGCGGCCGGACGGGCGAGCAGCGACGGCGTCGTGGAGAATCCCCTGTACAAAGCATTTTTGCAGAGTGTTGCGCTGGCGGAAGAGCGGGATCGCGCTGCCAGACTCACGGCCGTGCAGAAGAAACAGTCACAGTTGGTACAAAATCAGCCTGGAGCCGACGGAAAATCAAGCTCGGCTTTTGGTGGTTTGCCACCCCCACTTGGTGGCCCTCATTGGTCAGCTGCTCATCAGGCTGCTTATGCTCAGTATTTTCAACAGGGTCACCTTCAAGACGAGGAAGAGGAGAATGGGTGGGGAGATGAGGAAGACCAAGAGGATGAAGAGGGTGAAGAGGGTGATGATCACGACAACTCCTCCGACAACTCGGAGGCTAATCAGTTGGCGACTCACAATGCTACATCGTCAAAAATAGTGCCAGAAACCGTGTTGAAATCACCGGCAACCGTGTTGGATGGTTTGGATGGGATTGACAATAAGAAGAATACGGATCTGACGATGACGGGGACTTCCGCCTCGGAAAACAAGGGAGAGTGATTGGTTACCTAAGGTACCTAGTTAACCTAGGGGCGCGTCGGCTTTAATCAATGCGCCACTCTGGGGGGTTCAGCCGATAACCAGGTGCCTACGAGTAAGGCATGGTTGTTCATCCATGTCCTCAGCCACATCGAAAACCCAGGTCGAACACCTCTCAAGAGCCTGCTTTTTTTGACGGGTGCCTGGATATGCACGAACACAACCCTTTGACGCCACCGAGATTCTTAATCTACCTGCAATCGGGCATAACCTCGCGCTTCCAAGATCAACATCATGTTCTTTCCCTCTTTGAATGAGGTCCTGGCGGTTTAAGGAAGACCACTCCATCCTTCGGTTTTGTGTCTTCATGCAAAGGAGATGCTTCTCTAGTCATACATAACTACATCAGTGCCCTCCGTGCTGAATGCCATAAATGAATGGCATGATGCCAGGGTCTATCATACTGATGGCAAGTTATCTGCCACTAAGTACTCGACTTGGGACCTCTGACAAACTCATCCGAACGTGCTCCTCTCGCGGGGGTTTCTATGCCCGGGCCTTTGATAATATTGTACCCACAAACGGCACCCCGGACCAGCCGCTGTGGCTGTGTTCGGTCGTTAGCCATATTCGGTCGATTCTGCGAATGACGGTATCTCGCCTACTGCAGGATACGAGGCTTGCGATGGCACTGGTGATGGTGGGGTTTCATTCTTTTTCAAGGCTGCCTTATTTCCTTCTCGATTCTGGTTCCAACCGTTTCATTGTTTTTCTCTCTGTATCGTTTAGATTTTTCAGTTTTTGGGGACTTGTTGATAGTCTGAAATTTGTCCCTAGACAAACCTCTGACAGCGTCGTCATCGTCGACGATCGTCTTCAACAATCAATATCTGCCCTAGTCTCACGGGCGATTGAAATTATCTTGAAGCTGAAAGATCGTGTTTCTTCAGCACTACCCACCAGCGAAACCCCTTGTTCTTCTCGTCTGTGCCCAGATAGCTCCTCTTGAAAGTAGGACACCATACAGAGCGGCAAATATGCCTTCCTCAGAGAAAGCAAATCTGCAAGCCCACCTCAACAACCAAAACCAAAACCAACCTCGCGACCTACCACCAGCATATGAAAACACCGTCCTCACAACACCAACATCGCGCCCCAATCTCACCTCGGGGATCAGCAATACCAGCAACACCACTCTCCAACCCCAACACCAACCTCACAACAAACTCCACATCCCCTCGCAAAACCCCTTAACGACGCTCTCACGTCTCGCCGCCATAAACCTCTCAGCCTACGGGGTCCGGGACGCAGCGCTCTCAGACGACCGCACGACCCTCACGACCTCCAAACCCGAACTCACCAGCACGCAATATGCACTGGCGAAGTTCATACACGACCAAGCCTCGCTACCGCCCAAGCCACTAATGGTCGTGCGCGGCACACACGCCTCATACAGCGTCAACGGCGGCACAGCGGTAGATTTCGAGCTCCGCCTCAATTTGATGGGGATGCTGGATCTCGACACGGCGCCAGATTTCGACGGGACAGGACGCAGCCGGATCAGAGTCAAGGCGTTCCAACCCACCTCTGGATCATCATCAACACCTCAGAGCAGCAGCTCGAAGCGACCCGGCGGCAGCAACAGCAACCGCTCGACGTCTTCCCAAAACGACGACGACGCGAACCCGCTCGACGCCTGGATCCGGCTGTTCACCGAAGACAGCAAGACGAAAGCGGACAACCGCACGTTCACGCTGACGCGCGTGGCGCTGAACCTGCCGTGCGCGATCCTCGAGGGCCAGGTGCGCACGCTCATCGCCGCGACCAAATACCGCGGCAAAGTCACCGTCGAGTTCCCTCTACTGCATCGCCATGTCGTCGTGCAGCGGCAGAATGGGAATTGGTTTACGAATCTCTTGAATATTACGCCGACGAGGAAATTTGATGTTGTGGAGAGTGTTTGGACGGTTGGTGGGGTTGGTGGGGATGCGCAAGGCGGGTTTGCCGGGGAAGGGGGGAGTAGTGGTGGTGGTGGTGGGAGCAGTGGGAATGGGAATGGGAGTGATAGTGAAGGGGAGAGGAATGGGAGAGCGGGTTTGGTGGCCCAGGAGTGGTGGAAGGAGTGGCAGGGTGCCATTTGGAATGCGGTCCTTGCGGGCAGGAAGGGTTGGGTCACAGTCGAGGATTACGTTGAGGCGAGGATGGGCATCAGAGAGAAGGAAAAGGGGAGGGAGTGGGGTGTTGATCATCAGTCATGAGGAAGACGGGTTGAGATACGGTCGGCTTTTTGAGATGTTTTGAAATTTGGAACGGAACGGAATGGGACGAGATGACATGAATAAATGCGCGTATCAGTTTTGTGGAGTTGTTAGGTCTGTTGAACTCGGAATCACTGCACGATGGTGTACGTTTATTATCTCCTGGTCAATGAGGACCTTCACAAACATGTATCAGATAATAATCCCAGTGGTATATTTCAGCCTTGCTCTATTCAGACGTGTAAGAAAATCATCCCTCGCTTCAGCAGATCGTCCCACCCATCAACTCCAATATCCCAGCGGACCAAGCAGCCAATCCCGAGAATCCAGAGCCATGTCCTTCACAAAAGTCTTTCATAGCCATCAGCCTGTCTTTCTTCCACCGCAGCTCCTTCTCGTCCCAGTCCGGTGCCACTTCATCAACCTTTCTTTTACCCCTTCCCTTCGAAGCCGGCTTCGAAGAATCTTGGCTATGGGAAGTCTTGGTCAGTACTGCCCACGCGACTTTTGCCTCACAAACGGGACACAGGTACGGGGGTTGCCGCATATCCTCAGCCACAGAAGAAGTCGACTGCATGGCGCAAGCCCGGTACATGCAGTGGTCAAGTCCAAAGCAATGCCCGAGTTCGTGTGAGGCAGTGCGGCAGAATCTAAGGAGGAAGGCAGAGCGTAGATCCGACGCCGTTGGTGATCTTGTGAGCTGATGAGCTCTGACGGCACGTTCTAGTGGACTGGCCAACACGTCGGCGGATTTGTTTATTGCGTCTGAAGTCTTAACTCTTTTCTTGATTGTGTTCTGAGTCCTAACATCCAGCATAGACTCATCGATATCAACGTAACTCATGCCGTCCACATATTCTGTACAGTGACTCGCTGGCCACACGTGTGCAAAGTCGACACCGTGCAGGTCATCAAGCACAGGATGATATCTAGCACTGCTCACGATCGCCACTCTGCTTGCACCCCACGCCCTTCCACAACAGAAATCGTCATCGATTGATTCGTAGAGATCATGTTCGGCTGTAAGGAGTAGTGCGTAGGCATCCGATGGCAGTAATGACAATGCTACATCAGTCATGTCGTTGAGATCGAGTTGGTATTGGTAAGGGAAATAGTTGTGGGCGGAAGACTCATCTCGCCATGGAGTCTCGCGCACACGAATCCGAATCAATTCGTCACCAGTAGAGAGCCCGACAGATCTGATCTTGTCAATGTCACTAGGATCTGCAGGTACCGTCTTGCCAGAGTTTGGTGTCGGTTCGCCTTCCCAGGCACTGAAAGTCAATGCCACAGGCAGTACTCTTACCTCAAGCCCATGGTAGAAAGCTTTCAAGTAAGCAACAAGAGATTCCATGTCAATTGGTTCTTGGCTTTTGGATTTCTATCACTATCAGTCAGCAATAGGCAGCAGCGGGCCAGCTTGACTGGGCAGAGGTCATGATACCGGTATTGCTTTCCCTCGAATAATAGGGCGGGACCAGTCTTTCATGAACCTGACGCTGTCGTCGATTTTGGCAGGCTCAGCCACGTATATCACACTCCTTCTTGTCGTCAATGGGTTTCTTTCCGGAATTTTCATCCACGCGTGCTTGCTTTGTGTTGGGTATTTCGGGTCAAACGTGATATCATCGTCTGGAAGACCCAATGTTGATGGGAAAGCCTCAAGAATAACTTCGGCTCCATCAGCAGCTTTACGTTTCCGGCTCCCGCTGGCAGCAATCATAACCTGCGAATTGGTGTGATGGCGATAGCCTGCTTTTAGTGCATGAGTAGACGGGCCGGAAGTCAGTTCTTCATGTTTACAATGGTTTGCATTGGCTGTCTTTTTGGACAATGCACGACTCTTTGCTTTGGGCACCATGATAACGGCTGGTGATTTCTGGGAAACTGCAAGGGGCAACGAAAGACCAGGAGCTCATTTGAGCTTACATAGCAACATATTTATAGTTCCAGAAAAGGATAAATGGAAACCGATCAGGCATCCACTCGCGTGCAAGGCATCAGCAGCGCGGCGAACATACACAGTGAAGAATCGCGTTCGAAATAGGCACCCGGATAGGCAGCAGGGGCACAACAGTTGATCGATCAAGTATATCTAACTAGTTAGGCGGGTTTCAGCCTCATTAGCCGTGAGAAAAGAAGTGACTGGCCGTGTTGATTATTAACTGATGTTGATACGGTGGAGCAATATCGGCCATCAGCGCACTATAGTCACGTGCTTGGCCTCGCTTATTCTTGACTTCAGGCATTCCCCAGCCAGAACTTGACGACCTTACAAAACGTTTGGAATATCAAAGACATCCTCCATGTTGCAACCGAGGTCAACTAGATGCTGAGAAGGGAACGGCAGCCGGAATATATGTCACACAAAGATGCATGCAGATGATTCGATCGCGTTCCAACTCGTTGTCGCCTGAAGCTCCGGTGATAGGAGACGCGTTCCTAATAATTCAATAAGCAATCGAGCGCTACGTGTGTATGAAACAAGGCGAGCGACAGGTCGAAATGTGGCAAATGCGCTTCAATCTTCATTTGAGGCCCAACATGATGCTCTTTTACCTCGTTATAATTATACTGGCGGTATTGCCTCTGAACGTCGTTGCGAATAGTCTAATCTGGCAACGGCCGCTTGAAAAAGAAAGGGTAAACGCTCCTTCCTCAAACTGGAAGGCTCATCAGTTTGGGCATAATGAATTTGTGAGTTTGCACTATACTTATCGCTTGGGAAGTCAGCAGATGCTTACGAGGAGTCAGACCTTGAGCACTATTTTCCAGCATGGCACTTTGAAGAACGGGACTTCGCAGCTGCGTCTCGTATCAACACGGCCAGAGGGCTATAGACACCCTGATACATCTAATAAGTTCATTCGAACCAATATCCCGATCAAAGCTCGACCTTTGCGAATAAGCAAACCATTTTTACAGGGCCGAGCCTTTCAGGGCACATCATTAGGCCCTTCTCCGAACGAGCCTATCTTCGACTCATGGCATACCACAGAAGTGCTAGGACCTGACATAGGTGACAAAGACACTGTTGTCAATTTGGCCAAGATGTGTAGTGATGCCTATCTCGAAGCACCACATCGGCCCGACTGGCTAAACACCTCTCTTGGATTCAATCATTCTGATACGTTTGGATGGAAAGCAGATGGACTTAGAGGGCATGTGTTTACCGACAAGATGAACGAAACAGTGATCATTGCGTTCAAAGGAACCTCCATCGGTTAGATCTGTCTCCATATTGACCTTCATCTCCTACTAATCTAGAACTAGATCCACGGGACGGCTGGTCTTCCAATGATAAGTTCAACGATAATCAGCTTTTCAGCTGCTGCTGTGCGACACAGCGCCCGCCTCCATTTTGGTACCCTTCTGTATGTGGGTGTCGTATGGATACGTTCCAATGCAATGCTACATGCCTGACTACGGAGATCTTACAAGTAAATCGTTACTACTTAGGGGCCTATCAGGTCTTACAGAATGTGACGTCCACATTTCCCAACGCTAATTTCTGGGTAGTTGGCCATTCTTTGGGAGGTGCGATGGCGGGTCTCATGGGTTTGACATTCAATATTCCGGCGGTATCTTACGAAGCAGTCCCGGAAAAGTTGGCTGCTAAACGTCTTGGCCTGGCTATTCCTCCTTATACAGGTGCTCACCACATCGGTAACACTGCGGATCCCGTGTATATGGGTGCTTGTAATGGTTATTTCTCCTCATGCTCGGTGGCCGGATTTGCGTTCGAAAGCCAATGCCATACAGGAAAGCGATGTGTCTACGATACTGTGGGTGATAAGGGATGGGGATCTAGCATTAACAATCATCGCCTGAATGTTGTGATCCCACAAGTTCTGGAAGCGTACAACAGCACTCCAACATGCAAAACGGACGACGAATGTGTGGATTGTTATAACTGGGAATTTCATGACTGAGCATGGTCTCCACGTCAACCCTGATATTTTGATCCCTCGCATTCCCTGGAACCGCGCTCCTATGCACCACCATTCCTACCACGGGACTTCTACAAGCTCAAGACTATCTCCCATGGTTTCCCAGAAACCAGCATTTCTGTACTTGCCCCTCGGGGCCCTGACAAGCTCAACAACGACATTAGCTCCTTCCAGTGGATCCCTAGACCCTCTAAACCCATTGAATGCAGTTTTGCAGTGTCCAGGACTGGCGAGCGAGAACTCAACATTCGCATTTGCTGGGTCTCGGCTCATTTCGATCGTCAAAATATTCAGCGCCGATTTGGAAATGACATATGGGATTGAGACTGTCGGTGGCAGCTGACCACTGGCAGACCTCGTAATCGATCCCCTTGCCGACGAAATCTGAATGACCTTCCCACCATTTTTCGCTTGACGAAGCAGAGGTAGAAATTTTTGTGCAGTTACTGCTACTGATGTCACATTGGTGTCGAAGACCTTGCTGTATGTATCCCGCCAGTCGGATGTATCAGAGCTGGATGGTATGGCTGCATACCCGGCGTTGTTGATCAAGACATCAAGATGGCCGTATTGTGATTGGACTGATTCCACGGCTGCAGCAATCGATATGTCTGAGGAGACGTCTAATACGAGTTCTTTGATATCTGATTTCACGCCCAGTCGATGAAGTTGGCCAATTGCGTCTTTTCCCTTCGATGCATCTCGACATCCAAGCAGGAATGTCGCTTTTACTGTGTCTGGGTGTGAAGCAAGGCCTTGAATGATTGAAAAGCCGATTCCTCGATTTGCGCCTGTCACCAATATGATTTTACCAAGTTCAGTTGTCAACATTTCAACAAGTACAACGGAAGAAAGGACAAAGGTATGGTGTGGACCTTTCTGGAGTTCATTTCTACATTCTGGAATATAGTTACCTTATATCCATCAATGTCTGCAGGTCATCCGTGGTAACTATCACAAGGTCTATTGATACGAGCTGGACACGACCACGGAGTTACTACATCTGGCATACATTGCTGTCAGCTTTCGTACTAGACGATTGGCCATCGTTCATCAGAGAAGGGAGCTTGGCGGAAATAAAGGTATATCCGGCCCTCGTACCAACTTCGTACGACCATCAGGCTGCAAGGGTACACGTGACCTTCACACAGTCTCAATTTTCGTTTCTATCAGCATCAGAGCCGACAAGATGGCCGCGATCCCCTCATGTCCATTGCCAGAGCTTTCAACTGGTTCATGAGGCCGGTGGCTCTCAACCCGTATGGACCACCATACCCCGTTGTGTTACGGTACCTGGCAGATGTCAATAGTGGGAATTTCAGCCTCGGCCTACCCGATCCGGAGATACACTAGAGCAATGTCCAATAGGAGCCCCCGAAACCCAGATCCGATCGATCGTGCCTGAAAATCGGTGGATCCAAAAATCCATGATGAAGCGGTGGAAACTTTCTTCAAGTGATGACGCATGATATTGGTGCATCCATCTGAGGAACTCATCCCTTTTCACGCGTTGAGTGCTTGCATAAGTGCTAACCATGACCGTGATCATGGTCATGGGCACCGTAATTGATTTCCGTTTGTATGATCGCCATGACTGACACGCAGGCAAGTCAGGAGGAGCCTAGTTGCCACGTTCTGGATTTCTTTTACGACAAAACCGACAGCTGCGCTCTTACTGCATTGATTAACGGAGTGCGATTTCATATTATCATTGATGCGGATGAATTCAAGAAGTCGGACGATAAGTCACTCCTGCAACCTTATCTAGACCTGCTCCAAGCTGTCAGAAATGAAGAGGAGGAAGCCGACTCTGCCGAGGAAAAAAACGACCACAACAACCTCCATGGCGTGGAAGCCGCTGTTGAGACTTCGCCAGAAGACAGCCGGGAGAGTTCTAATAGCCTTGAGGACCGAGATAGCGCGATAGACCTCACCGCCGATCAAGATAAATTATCAAAAGATGAAGTCGAGAGCAAGCGTCGAAGAGCCAAAACAGAGCTCCAGAATTGGATGCTGTCTGCTTTTGGTGCAGAAACAGAGCGCCTTGCTTCCGGGGCGCAACGTGCTAAACGGAAAACGATGTATGATTGGTATTATGGGAGGACCAACTTCTTCGAACTGAGGATCCATGAAGGAATTCTTGTACCACAGCAACTTGAAGAATCAGCCGAGCTGCGTGAACAGATGGTGGCACTTGTACCTCGGTTGCTCTTGCCAAAATACATCCAAAACATGGATGTCCCATGGTTGAAGCCAAATGACATCGAGGTTATCTCTGAGATTCATGATCCCGGACCATCGCACCCAGGCGAAGTGAAAGTCGGCGGAGACATACAGTTCTTCAAGCCGGTTGATCCCAGCCAGTCTGAGCCGACCAAACGTGAGATCAAGATTCTCAAAGATATCGCGGATGTCGGTCTTCATGACGAGATCTCTGTGCCGAGGTTGTTGGGATTAGTCGCCCTTCCAGAGAGTAAAACCGAGATCATGGGCATATTGCTCACGAATATCCCCAACGCGCAACCCCTCACGAAGCTCCTTGACTCTGATGTGGCAGAAGAGAGGCGCCTGAAATGGGCAGACGACAGTAAATCTATTGTACAGAGTCTGCACAAGCACAAGATTGTGTGGGGAGATGCGAAGGCTGATAATTTTATGGTCGACGAGAAAGACGAGCTTTGGATTATCGACTTTGGAGGAAGCTACACCGAAGGGTGGGTCGATCCTGAGCTTTCGGAGACAAAGAGTGGCGATCGGATGGGTCTCGAGAAGATTGTAGATGCGCTGGTTGATCCGGATGAGAACACTTTCGACCCGGAGGATGAGGATGAGGACGATGGGGATTACAGTCCTCCCAGTGGCAATAAGAAGAGGAAGCGCAGCACCGATAAGGAGTGTGATGGAGAGGAAGAGATTTCAGACAGTAAACCCGACAGGACATATTGCTACTGCGATGGTATCAGTTCTGGCGAGATGGTAGCCTGTGATGGGGATCACTGTCTTCAAGAGTGGTTTCATTTGGAATGCTTGGGTTTGACCAGCCCGCCAAAAAGTGATACCTGGTATTGCAAAGAGTGCACAACTGTCGCCAAAAAGGATGGCGTTGGTGCAGATGGCTCGAGGAATAAGAGACGGTGGCGAAAGTCATGACACTGCAAGATTCCTTCCGCCGTGGCCTGTAACAATAGTATTACAGGCAATCACCACACTGAGGAGAGAAGTGAAGGCTCCTTCTCCAGTCTAGGGGGGTCCAGGCTAACCTTCCGAGAAGAGCTCTATCGTAGATAAGTATAAATAATTCATATCTTTAAGAGGCTTAAGAAGCTTTAGATAGAAGTTAACACTATACTCGAAGATCAGTTTATATTGTTTGCGCTCTATTCTATCTCAAGAAGATAGTTCCTATCTGTTAAGTACGATACTTCTCAATTACTTAGTAGTCCTTGGAGCCATCGATCTCTCGAGCCGTCGACAAGCCTCGCATGGATGATCATCCGACGGGGGATCCATTACACTCAATCTCTCGCCCGTCAGGTGCCGTTGAGGTGTATTTTCTTTTTTGGAATCCGACAGCATGTGTGCTAGACCTCAGACCGCAAAAGACAGGGTTACGAAAAGTTAGAGTACTCCAACAAAGATGATGCTTGGATGGCACCGCCGCAAAAGCGGCAGTCATACTTAATTCTGTTAGGAATTGGATTAAGGACGACTACGAGGTAGGCTGGACGAGGAACACTGCCAGGGTGATTGAGAAAGCTCGCAGAGAAATGCAGGCCACAGAAGCCAGAAAACGCACTGGGTTCAAATTGACAACATAGTCGACCTAGCGAGACCATGATACAGCGTCTTGAGCAGCTACATGCTGCCCAAGGAAGAAGAGGAGACAACCGTGAGTTGAAGGGTCAAATGTGTAGATTCATCAGTAGTTGGGGGTTGACGCAACCGTCGGCGGGATTTTGAGACTACCACTCAACTAGATTGCGTCAAGAATCAGGCTATGGCAGCGTAATAAGGAGGACAGCCTCGTCGATTTCCACCAGGCATGTTGATAATTCCTCTCCTTCTTCCTCTTTGTTCAGTTGGTGATAAACTCAGACTACCGTGACAGACTGAGGTTGAAAGGTTGTTCCTACGACAGGGTGTGTATACCATCTATCTACTACATTTTGTAAGCGTAATCGGGGTAAAATCGCTCCGGCAATAAACACCTCCTCGGTCTTAATTGAGAGCGCCTACACCTAAGCATTATGCTCAGGCTCAAAATACCATGCCAAGAGGGTCTTACCCCTATCAAGCGGCCTTTAGAGAACCCTCCTTTCAGTCACCGAAAGATCAACGGGACCGAAATCGAGTTTCATCCCGAAATACAATCCCTTGCTTAGTCAGCGCTCTGCTCTCATCCAGTATCTGTAGTGGTTTTACCCTCGACCGCTTCTCGTACGAGAGACAGCAAAAGTGAAATCGATGGAATCTTTCCAGGCAATGTTCCCCATGATGTTCGTACTGCATATGATTGGCTTTATGCTAAACTCGAAATGACTATGATCATCCAACGAAGACCATTCTGCTCCGGAGAGTGTCTTGAAGGACTCTTTGAATCCTGTGACTGGGCGCGTCTCTCACGTAGTCCTAGGACTAGGCATGCTGAGTGGTACTTATAGTACATGATCCACGACATTCGCAAACATATAGAGGTATTGATCCTTGATAGAAATGTGGGTAATTTAATTGCGTTCAAGTTCTTTCACTTCAAAGACACTAGCGCCGTTCATCCCTTTGTTCATACACGCATACAAACCATGGTTTCTGCTTCTACTGCCACAACACCGCGCAGCATCGCCCTTGCCTTCTGCCAGGCGTTCGAGAAACTCGACGTGGATGCCCTCGTTGCACTGCGTACACCAGACTGTCGTCACACAATAGCACCAGCGGCCTCATTAAGTTTTGTTACCGATCCAGAGATGAGCAATGAGCAATGGGCCGCGCATTTCTCATTTTTGAAAGATATTCTCGCTTCATTCCCCGTGACGCCATTGGAAATTTTTGAGGGAACGAAGTGGGAAGCGACATCTGGCGGTCAGAGCCAGGAGGTGGCTTCGGTAACCATCTGGGCATTCAGTGAAGCGATCTTTCTGCAGGAGGCCAAGGACAACGACGAACCCAAGACTGACTGGAAGTTTCGCGGAGAATATGTCTTCGTGCTTGTCCTGAATGAAGCGGGAGACAGAATTCAGAGGATCCTCGAGTTTGTGGACAGCAAGGGACTCATGGAAGTGTCTTTACCGTTGTTTCAACGTGCGGCGAGAAATGTGGCATTAAAGGAGGAGAACAAAGGAAGGGGATAGATTTAACAATCTATGTGGTCTGATGGTCCGACTTGTAGAGACAAGCAGCAAACGTGGATGGTGTCGTGATGCAGGTGATAGGATATGCTGCATGGCCATAATGGCCTCCCGCATCAGTCAACTATTCTAGTTAGTAAATGCGACCGATTAGGCGGTCTGGACGTGCTGATTAGGACTGGCACCTTCAAGTTTACCCTATCGGTGGGCAACGTAGGACAAGCATTCCAGTAGGATTGAACATCTGCAGATTCCGCCGAGCCCGGTCGTGGTGCGGCTTGGTTTGGACACTTCCGAAAGCCGTGTCTGCAAGCTCTGAGAGATTGCGCATTCGAATTGAAGCCTTTAGATCAATAGACATGAGACCGGTCTTTGGGCCTAGTCCGATTGTCCGGGTAAGAAACCCTCAAATCACCACGGCAGCTGGTGATGATCGACCGTAGCTTTCAACTTCAGTGCGCCTGTAAGCATCACTGGAACTGTCCGTGATTGATGGAGACTCCATGGCCCGACAGTCGTTCATAGAGAAGTAAGGAGCGACTGGAATCTGTACTTCGTCTCGTACAGGAAAGGGATAAAAATCATGTCTCAACTAGAAATTTTGATGATGCTCAAGATAGGTTTCGGCTATTTATCTAGCTTCTCTTCTGCTGTTTCAACCCACTTGATTTTGAGTTCTTGATGTCAGAGCTTCGTACTACTTACTCTCTGAGAGTGCCATCAAAGTCAAATCACCTTTTGGCACCTCGATCTCAATTCATGATCTTGGTATTTGATTAATGATTTCAGCATGGCGCACCCTTCGTCCCCTCCCGTCACACCACAAACTTGATTAGTGGCGAAACCCGGCGGACAGGAGCTTTGAAAGTGGATCTTGAGCAATCGAGCTTCACTCACTCATACCCACGAACCACAGCCGATCGACGACATTCTTAACATTTTCATGCTGTTGATGCCAATTCACTACAACTACAACATAGACTGCAAATAATCGAAAATGCTCACCGATGCATTGGTTGTCGCCAAACCAGGCGCACCCTTTGTCTACCAGCAAATCGAGCTCAATGACAAACTCCGGCCAGATGAAGTCTTGGTGCGCATAAAAGCCACTGGCGTCTGCCACACGGATTTGAACTTCGCCAAAGAGAAATCAATGCCGGAGCTCTTCCCCGCTGTTCTTGGACACGAGGGAGCTGGGATTGTCGAACGAGTTGGCACGGAAGTGACCAAGGTCGCTCGCGGTGACCATGTCATTGTTTGCTTTACGTGCTGTGGAGAGTGTAAATACTGTCTACGCAAGGAAACGCCATACTGTGATTTGTGGTTTCAGTATAATTTTGGCATCGGCAGGTTAGATGGATCCAAGGCTTTTTCTTCGAGGGAAGACGGTCGGAGGATCACGTCGCATTTCTTCGGGCAGAGCAGTTTTGCCAAGAAGATCTTGGTGGCCGAGAACGGGTTGGTCAAGGTTGATGATCATATACCGTTCGAGAGACTGGCGCCGTTGGGTTGTGGTGTAATGACGGGAGCTGGAGGTATGCAGCTATTCCACCCTAGATGAATCTCCTTTGTGAGCATATTGTGTACTAAAAAGAGACTCGCAGCAATGCTCAACGTGGTCGTGCCCACCTCAGATATGGCAGTGGTGGTGGTTGGAGCTGGTGCCGTCGGGTTATCGGCGATCATGGCGTTGAAACTCCTGGAACATCCCCCGAGAAAAATCATTGCAGTCGACATCGTCTCATCCAGACTGGAACTCGCTCGATCGTTCGGCGCCACGCATGGTGTTAATTCCAAGGTCCGCCCTGACCTTATGAAGGTCTTGATGGACATCACGCGGGGAAGAGGCGTGGATGGTGCCATCGACACCACAGGAAAACCTGATGTCATTAAAGCTCTAATACATAGTGCAGCGAGGAAGGGAAAAGTGGTTACTGTTGGAGTGGGTGATGTAAGTATATCCTGAAATCGTCCCTCGATCCCCATCATTACAGAGACACGTGTCCCAAATCACTGACGCTACATCGGGCTCAACAGCTATCAGCAGAGGCGTCGCACAACATGTTTGAAATGGTCAATGCAGGATGTAGTTATATCGGCTGTAACCAGGGAGATTGCTTTCCACAAGAATTTCTTCCCGATTTGCTGACGGCAAACCAACTGGGGAAATTCCCTTACGACCAACTGATTAAGACCTACCCGGCGCGAGATATCGAAAAGGCGGCGCATGATATACATACAGGGAAAACTGTCAAAGCGGTGCTGCTATGGGATTGAGACTGGAGGACAGATATCCCCTTAGGGTTGTTCTTCAGAACCTCGCTCTGCTTGCCGAACCAGGCGCTCGATTTTAAAGGTCATACATCTGGAGTAAGTTTGGTTGACAGAACACAGGAGTAAAGGAGTTAGTACAAAATCATATTTCTATAGGATTTCCTTTTTTATTGCTTTCAGCATTGGTTGAAATTTAGGCCAAATGAAGATCGCCACATGCAACGCAGCCTCGTAAGTTCGTGATTACCTAAATTGCTCAGCCTCGGCGCGGGGAAAATAATTGGCGCGGCGTTCGGATCAATCACTCCGTATTGGCAAAGGCACTTCCATCTCGAATCTTCCAGCCTTACGCAAGCACCTTCAACCTCCAATATCTCTCTCTGACAGACCCTCAAGTGACGAATCCTGCTGCCGGCCTGGAAATCGAGTGGCGGCCAGGCTTACCGAGACAAAGCCAATTTCATTGTCCCATATAAGCCCAATATAACAACATCTCGCCCAATATGTCTACCTCCACTCCACCCCCAGGACCAGCGGACAGCACAGAAGCAACATACACAGCCATGCACGACAGTGACCTAGACGCCATCGGCGCACACTGCGAACTAGAATACTGCCATCAACTCGATTTCCTTCCTTTCCGCTGCCTATCATGCCACCACACCTTCTGCCTAGATCACCGCAGCGAGACCTCCCACAAATGCAGCCATGCTGGAGAATGGGCACGAAACCGACGGCGCAACAGCGTTGGCCGACCCATGACAACATCAAACACTCCGACTACAAAACCCACCCTCATGACCGCAAAACAATGCAGTGACCCATCCTGCAAAACATTAATCAACACCATGGGCAACACGGGAGTACACTGCACCGATTGTAACCGGGAGTACTGCTTGAAACACCGGTTCCGCGAAGAACACAACTGCAAAAACCTGATCCCACTGGGCGCTCGCCCCGTCGACCTCGCCATCCAGAGCAACAAGGAGAAAATCAAGCTCGGCTTTGGCCGCCTGAAGACATGGGGCAAGCAGCAACAGACATCTCTGGAAGCCATGAACTTCAAACCCGCACCGAAGCCGACCAGCAAAGCCGCGCAAATCGCCGCGCTGAACAATCTGAAGAAGGCCGCGAAAGGCGACGACAAATTGCCGCCAGAGAAGCGCATCTATCTGCACGTCGAGGCCGAGGCCAAGTCCACGACGAGTAAACTTCCTCGTGCGGATTTGTTCTTCAGTTCGGATTGGACGATTGGCCGCTTGTTAGACGACGCGGCCAAGCGGTTGCAGGTCGCGAATGTCAATAATCGGGTGCAGACCGAGGAGCAGCGGCTGAGGGTGTACCATGTTGAAGGCGGCAGGTTGCTGGAATACTCGGAGAAGGTCGGCGGCGGCCTGGCGAGTGGGAATACTGTTGTCTTGTTGCGCGGTGTTGGCCCCGATCAGGGAGCTTAATTCCAAGTTCAAGTATCGGGTGAGGATTTCTCTTTCCGACACGATATCTGATTGTGTGGATTTCTCTGGCATAGCGAACGGTGTCCTTTGGCGTGGGTGATGATCTTATCAAAGATCCGGGTATGAGCCTGAACTATTTAGCCGATCGAGCGATATCTCGCCCTTTTCCCATTTCTTTCTGAGAAACTATGGATCGTATGATTGAATGACAATAGACCAAGAAGAGTCCATTATTTATCTACTAGTACCACAAATCTGCAAAAGTCTTGTTCTTTTGAACCGTATCAAGTGAATCCTGAAGCTAGGTATTCGCAGGGAGTCCGGTTGAACGCCATCCCACTCACTGTCCAAGTGAGGATCCCTCCTTCTTTCGTACCTGTTCATACACTCATCTTCATCTTGATGCCACCATGCGGTTTGTAAGCCACGACGTCAAAGTCTTCCATTTTCCAGCCGTCCATCTCCCCACTCCCTCGGTCATCACGGTTAATGTTCAAGGTCGGGAACTCTCTTGGCTCTCGTAGAAGCTGCTCTTTCAGAGCATCGATATGGTCCAGATAGACATGCGAGTCGCCCATATTGTGGATCAGCTCACCTGGCACAAGATCACAGGCATAGGCCAACATGTGTGTCAAAAGAGCGTAGGAGGCGATGTTGAAGGGCACGCCTAGTCCCATGTCACATGAGCGCTGATACAGCATACATGAGAGATGGCCCTTGGATTTCTCTTTTGGTACATCTGCTGAACCGTTGGTGCCATTCTCTTGCCGCTGTTGAAGTGCAGCTTCACCTCTAACGGCATCAGGATAGCTGACATAGAATTGAGCAAACATGTGGCAAGGTGGAAGAGCCATCTTGGACAGATCCGCCACGTTCCATGCACTCAGGATGATTCTACGGTCGTAGGGATTGTGTTTCAGCTTCTGCACGATTTCCTTGATCTGATCAACACCTCTGCCATTGTAGTCTGCATGACAGTTCTCATACTCGGCTCCGAAATGCCGCCATTGGAAGCCATAGACGGGGCCAAGATCGCCTTCCTCACGTTCGGTGAAGCCCAGCTTGTCTAGGAATTCTCGCGACCCGTTGCCGTCCCAGATGTGGATTCCGGCTTCGGAGAGAGGCTTGGACGTCGTGCACCCGGAGACAAACCACAGAAGTTCTGTCGTCACGGCACGGAGGAAGACACGTTTCGTGGTCAGAAGTGGGAGGACTGGTATACGATCTGCGCTGGGTGATGTGGGATCTGGTTTGGATAGGCTGAATCGCAGTTGTGGAGGCGCAAACAGTGAGAGTGTGCCTGTTCCCGTCCGGTCTGGTCGATGCTCTCCTCTGTGTAGGACATCGCGAATGAGGTCTAGGTATTGATATTCTTCATGTGGAATTCGTGTTTGTGTTGGAAGGGAGACGACCGTGGCTATCGACGTTTCTGTGGCACTGGACGTGTCGTTTTTCGATGAGCCATTTTGCAGTTGTTTCGCATTCTCCTTGAGGAATTTCAGACCATTTCCTGGTGGTAAGATCGATTCGGTCTCTACTGCCGCCGGTGCCATTGCTCAGATTGAATAGGCTTTGACTTCAGGTTGGCACTGGATGGAAGAGTTGTGTTGATGATGGGAAGGGCAAGACACATCCCGCCAACGCGATCCTCCGCAATGCCAAACACGCGACGCGTAAAGTGGTCAAATGACGTCATTTTGACCACCAAACATTGGGCACTGTTAGCAGTGGCCGCCACTTACATCTTCTACCATCCTCCAGTACTCTCCACGTAAGATGAAAAAGCACACTCTACAGTCCGATTTCGAAGACAGGGTCGTCTCAGTCTTCGCTCACCCACAGGAGTGGCGGGCGAAGCAATCTGAAAAATGCTGGTGATTAGCCCGACACGAACAAAGAGTTCAGTCTACAACCAAGAAAAGTCGTGATAAGTGGTTGTCAACATGGTATATCAGAAATTGCTTTGAGCTGTGTGCTGAGATTCGCGTGAATTTCTGAGAATGTCTCTCGGTTCGAGACATCCGCATCAAGTGGACTCTATGATATGAGTTTTCCTCTTCACGTGGCCTTGACAGCATATCGACTCCGTCCCTGGGAAGCTCTCAGCTAGGTAGGTCAAAGCAATAACTACAAAGCTTGCAGGAAATTCTCTTTCTGTTTACCCCTTGGTCAACACGATCGTGGCCATCTCACACGAGGTGGCCACGATAGGTCCTCCTCTCCTTTTCGTTCCATTGAGCCTGAACACCTGATTTTGCTGGTATGAACAAGCTTATTTCTCGCACCCTATCTTTGGCTGAAGATGTGCCATTCGACGAACTAGATTGAGCTTCGTATTCACACGCCTCAAATATCACCAAAACTTGACGATGCCGCAACTCCTGCACTGACCTTTGTCCTTGGTATCATCAAACAACAAACCCCAGGGTCGAGAAGCACATCTTCTTCAACATACTAGAGCTCGAGACTTCGACCTCAGATCTCGGACTTATATATATCTATCTACATAACTTTAGCCCGCCTAGCAGCCCGTCAGTCTCGAACTCGTCGTACCGAGCTCGACGCGCCCCGAGACCACTTGGCCCGAATCCAAATCATTCATACACATGACAAGGATGGCGAGACAACTGGACCCTGCCTCATCCATATTTGACGCCCTCCTCGTCCTCGAACTCGAGTTGATTGACCCTGATACTGTCGAGGCGCAGCTTAGCGACCATGCTAACGTGTGATTGTCTTGACAACTCCTGGAAGCTACTGGAAGCATGTGCAAACCCACTTTCAGTGCTGGCGCGACTGGCGTGAGATCGATGCGCCCCGAATCGACTTTCGGTATCGCATAGATGGGCTTGCCTAGTCGACGAAGCCCATCAATTTGGAAAAGAATGACTATATTTTAGATGCTAAACTTCTTGGTACGCAACAATTGGCTGTAACCTAGCCTTGTAGCTCAAAAGGTTCTGTCAAAGACTAATCAATGTTCCATCGCAGCACATTGGAATGGCAATGGCATACGACATCACCACCAGTCCTAGGTACTAATTATTGAGCACAATTCAATCAGCACTAGCTTCTGCCCAAAGCCCTCTACCGCCACAGAGCATCCAGTCGGGTTTGCGGTGATTTGATTAGTCGAGAACGTCCGAACTGAGTCTCGTAAGAATTACGAGGTTCCATTGTTTGACAATTACCCCCTTTGATGTATTCACGACCCCAAAAGCACATTCATCTTTTTTGACAATGCCTGCCTTTCTCATCATTTTCATTGTTGGCTCGACTGCACTGTCTGGTTCATCGTCAATCTACATCGTCAAAGTGCCCCTCCCATTGTCGCCCTACCAAGGCTGAGTGAAGTGGACAAGGGATTGAATGGCGGAACTGAGAATCTAGTGGTATGTGCGGGTGTACGAGGCTTAGGTGTTTTGTGAGCATAAGAGGAGGTCTATGTGCGCGTTGTCGGTGCATTCCACACTCCCAAGTTCACACCAGAACAAATCAAAAACACACTCTAAGACCAATACCCAAAAACAACAATTTTCTTCCAAGCAAGACCACACAGGAATCTGATTTACTTCCAGATTAAACTTCAAAGGTGAGACACCCCCTTTTTACAGCTTTCATACCCATACACAAAACAGGAAAACATGGTCAACACACGTTCCGGTAATGGCCATTCGTCCACTTCACGTGGTGCTGTTGGACTGACATCTTCTCAGGCAGGCAGTGTTGGACTAGGGCCGAAGAGCTCCAAGATCACCAAAAGCCAGGGTTCTGGCAGCGGTGGTGGTGGTGGTGGTGGTGGTGGTGGTGGTGGTGGTGGTAAGAAACCCCAAAAGACAGCCAAGGGAAAAGGCAAACAGACTCGATGCCAGCCCTGCGTAGATCTTCATAGGCAATGTGATAGGGCTCGGCCAGTCTGTACCACATGCGAAGAATTGGCCGTACCCACCATGTGCGTGTGGCCAGATTTGACACGAGCGCCAAACAGTGCCATGCGGCGTCTGCTGGCCCAGAATATTCCTGCTTCACCAGCGGCCTTGGTTGCTCCTGCACCGGCGGCCGCACCAGCTAATGTTCCTCAAGCACCTGCACCACAGCCACAGCCGCAGGCGGAAGAGGACGAGGAACAATCTGATGCAGACGATGCAGACGATGCAGACGGTGCAGGTGCTGCAGATTTTGGTGATCCTGAGTATTTTGATGTTGACGAAGACCCGGCTCCGCAAGAAACCGCAGAACCAACTTCCCTCCCTAATGAACCTCCAACTGAGGAAGAACTCGCGGCTTTAGACGCAGCTGCCCCACGTGAACAATCGCCCATTTATTTTCGAGGAGACTCTGACAATGAGTAGGTAAATCGTGGCAACAGAAGCCACAGAATCAGGTGCTCGGGAGCAAAGCGTTGAAAGGTCCCCAGAGTGAGATTTAAGAAAACCCCAAAGTTTTATTGAATATTATTGTTATTGAATTTGCAGTATCACCAACCATATTTGCTTCCTGCTTCCTTTTTGTTCTTCCTACCTGTAGCAAAGCTTTCCTCTAAAGCATCTTTTTGATTCGTAGCTGCACTGACCAATTGTTTCAGACTGTGCTTGCCAGAAGCGATTGCGCGAACGGGATTATGCTGGACCTGTTCTCCACTGGCACGAAGAACTTCGTTGGCGGCATATTCCTGATCAGTATTGAAATTTACAACATTGACAGCAGACCCTGACGACTGTTGGCCCTTTCTTCGACCAAACAGTTGCCGTCGGTCTGCTTCTGATAAATTCAGATCTGAGGCGATTGAATCAAGAGATTGAGCACCGGTGTTCATTGAAGTTGTGGTAGGAACAAGTGCCTCAGTGTGGTAGTCGTTGGTGTCCACGCCGTTAGGTTCTTCCTCCTGATAATCATCGATTTCTGGAGCCGGAACATCTTCTTTCGAGTCCGAATTGGTTCCAATGGAAAATAAGCTGATTTTCTTGGGTGGAGGGATTGGATCTGGTTGCGCATCCTGAGCTGTCGAAACGGCAGATTTGGCCGCAACGGATGGGGTTGGTACCTTTGAAAATGTATAGGCCGGCTTCTTCTGTTTCTTCCCTCTAGCAACCGATAAAGGCTTGAACATGAATGCATTGCCTTTGACTGGCTGCTCTGTGTTAACCACTGAAGGGGTTTGTATCGTAGTTGTTCCTGATGTCACGCCCGGTGTACCATTCCGGGGCTCCCGATCTTCTGCAAAAAGATTCCGTAGTTCCGCATCAGACTCCCGACTGAAACCTGGTTCAGCACCAGTCTTCAGGCTGAAGACTTTCCTCGCAGCAGGCTTTGACGATGTCTTCGCATCGGAGTCTCGCTTCGGCGGAGGTAGAAGGGAGTTGAAGCCACTGAACGTCCCAGCTCCGACTCTTGGTCTTTTGGCAGCAGGTTCTTCCACATCTAGGGCACTGGTGTCTTGTAATTTCACCTGAATCTTTCTTGGATTAGTCTTGTCAACGGCGAAAGTTGTTCGGCTGGCAGTAGGATTTGGGGCGGTCTTGGTGGGGTTTGGCTGTGGATTTTCGTCCCCTGAACCTTCGGAGTCAGAATACCCGACGAGATCCATGACATGTAGGCGTTATGAGGTAGTCAAGTGGTGGTAATGGAGGTTCTGGAAAAGTTTAGTTGTGAGTTGCACGGATGGTTTGGCCGTGGCATTCCTCTCCGCCTGCGTCATTTTCGACTGTCAGCTGTAAAGTGTCATACATGAAATACATTACCATCCACACTCGGGCAACCGCAATTCGGACTATCCTACGTCATTCTATGAAAGGACAATACCATAATTACAACAACCAAATACCACGACAACCTACCTCACGTTTCTACGAGTACTTTTACAATCGTCAACCCTTCAACTCACTTTTCCTCGTCACCATGCTCTAATCGACCCTCGGTCCAGCTTCATACCTTCCAGCTTTCACTCCGTTTCTATGTTCACACTTCGAACAGCCTTGAGGGCTGCCGGGAAGGCAACGAGCCGGCCACTTGCCAGGGTTACGGCTCCCCACCAGGCACCCTCTGCTCTGCAATCCCATTTTTCTTCCTCGGGTCCGCGTTATCAGAGATTCAGTGGTCAGACACAACGGTCCAAGGGCCAGCAATACCAATGGAGCAACTTTGGGCCAGTGTATCGCGTACAATATGCCTGGAGGAATTACCGCACCCCAATCATGGTAGTTGGGGCGGGTGGCGGAGGCATATATATCTACAACCTGGAAGAGGTTCCTGTCACCCACAGGCGCCGATTCAACATCATCTCGCCGGAGACGGAGAAGTCGTTTGGGGTCCAAGCATACGATCAAACACTACAGCAATTTCAGGGCAGGATCTTGCCAGCCGACCATCCTTATACCCAAATGGTAGGTAGGGTAGTTGAGCGACTTCTCCCAGCCACGGGGGGCCTGGCAGGCGACGAATGGCGTGTCCATGTTGTTGATTCGCCCGAGGAACAAAATGCCTTTGTCATGCCTGGAGGCAAAGTCTTCGTCTTCACCGGTATCCTGCCTATTTGCGGCGACGAGGATGGTCTAGCCGCAGTTTTGTCCCACGAAATTGCCCACAACGTTGCTCATCATGCAGCAGAGAGAATGTCCCGTGGCGCCTTTGTTATCCTTACTGCCGCTCTGATCTCCATGGTCTTCGACGTTGGTGGACAGCTCGGTAACACAATCGCCGACTTGTTCTTCTCACTCCCCAATACCAGAACCCAAGAACTTGAGGCTGATCATATCGGTCTTCTCATGATGGCAGAGAGCTGCTACGACCCACAGAGTGCCGCGAACTTATGGTCTCGAATGAAGGAAGCAAATCCTCAAGAGCCACCTCAATTCCTGAGCACCCATCCATCTCACTACAATCGTCGAGATGCCATCGTCAAATATCTTCCGGAAGCACGCGAGAAGTTTGAGGACAAAGGATGCAGCGCTGTAAATGTTCATCGCGGTTCCTTTATAGATGCATACAAGGCATCTCAGCGCTCGACTAAGGGATCCAGACAAATTCCGATGATGCCATCAAGACAGGGCTCTCAAGATGACGACGATGACGACTTTTTCTAGATTGTTATGTTCGCAAGATTGTTCCTTCAAGCTCCAGTCAATGCCATCGTTCCTCTTTCGATTGAGGAGTATGGACTTGCCTAGGTTGAAGATCTGGCACTTCACAGAAATGGATCTTCACCATCGCTGGTGCTCTATTTGTGAAGGGACAAGCGAAACCTAATTCCAGATTACGCCTAGCTGCCGCTGCCTCGTGAGCAGCTAGTCGAAATATCTCCACTCCGACACTGTTCAAACGTACATCCGAGGCGGTATCCGCTAGTTGCTTCCGTTGACGTGGCAAGCGCGAGGATGCACGAGTTGTAGTCCTTACAAATCGGAAGAAACACCATCAATTGACTGTGTTTCTATTTCTCGCTTGACAACAGCCAGAGATATTCATCCAGCACGACGTAACTTCACGCAACAATCTCAACTTAACTGACCCCAACACTAACCATCGCAATGGCAATCTCTCCCGATCTCCCTGGTGTTGCTCTTATCACTGGCGCTGCTTCGGGCATTGGACGTGCGGCTGCTATTGCCTTTGCTGAGGCGGGTTGTACACAAATGGCACTCCTCGATCTGAACGAAACTGGTCTGCAAGAATCCAAAGAGCTTGTCACCCAAACCATTAGTGCAACAACACCAGCCAAAACTCCAAACGTATCCACCTTCACAATCGATGTGACCTCCACAGAGACCGTCACTGCAGTCTTCGGTGCTGTGAGGACACATTTTCCCCGAGTTGACTATTCTGTTCAATGTGCAGGAATCATCACTTTTGGTGGAGCTAGCGCTACCTGTCCCATTGATGATTTCGATCGCCAAAACGCTGTCAACTACCGAGGCTTATGGCTCTGCAGTCGTGAAGCCATCAAAATCATGCACGACCAAGAACTTGACAGTGACGCTTACCCAGATGCCAAAATCAGTCCCTTGCGCGCACAACGCGGTGCTATTGTCAACATCTCCTCTGGTCTTGCGAACTACTCCCAAGCTGGCTCTCCTGCGTACTGTGGTGCGAAGGCCGGCGTACTAGCACTGACACGATCCGATGCTATTGACTATGTGGGCCAGAGAATTCGTGTGAATGCCGTACTTCCAGGAATCGTCGATACACCCATCACCAATCCATCCCCAGAAATCAGGAAGTGGTTGGAGGAGAATTCAGTGCAACGCACCCCCTTTAAGCGTATGGGTACTGCCGAGGAAATTGCTGATGTCATTGTCTTCCTGGCTTCCAACAAATCGAGTTTTGTCACAGGAGCGAGCTGGTCAGTGGATGGAGGTTTCGGTGCTGGTTATTGATTGGCCAGAATAAGAGCCTTTGGACGGGACCGGCTGTCATGGGCAAAGCTACACCTAAGCGCATCTCGACCGTTCGCGCCTAATTCAAGTCCTTTGTGCAAGTGTGAACCTTGATCACGTGTACTTACCGTCGACTCTGTCATCTGTCGTTATGAGATTGGAGTACCGTATTGCTACCAACTGCTATGAAGCCGAGGCAAAAAGCACAGAGATTCCTCTGCTGTATGTACTTGATCTTGCATCACCTTGGAACTCATACTCCCCATGATAAGAGACCACAAAACCCAAATGATACGAAACCAAAGTCATCCGTGACTAATAAATCGTCCCATTAAGTGATTAATGACCAATCCGCCCCATCTCGCTGTTCAAAGCCATGTGCTCTCCATTTCCTTCCGTCTGTTAACCAGCTCAAAGAACAACTTCTCAGTCACACATCTTTTATTTCTCGTTCCCCCTATCTGCTTCAGCCTTGCCACGCTTAGTTTGTCACCAGCTGCCCAGAATCAAAAATGAGATACCTATCTTGCAAAGAAACACGCAGCCCTATGTGCGCTGCTCAAATCATGCCTTATATCCTATAATAGCTCGCTGTAGCGAAACTATGCGCATATAGCCCTGGATACATTCCGCAGGGTAAGGAGCAGATTTATCCCAGACTCGTCATATTCTCAGGTCCATCTCACACGAGATCACACATTGATCTGCCCAAAGGAACAAAATATTTGCTCCACTGGGTGCTACATATAATCTACTATTTCGATCCTTTTTGGTCGTTATTGACAAACCAGAGTCAAATTTTTTACCCATAGCCAAGCGTCACTCCAATTATCCCTTTCCAACAGTGAAGCGAATACAGTAATGCCCTAAATTCTACACTCGTATGTTGAGCCAGCACGAGACTCATCCAGCGCAGGAATCGGAACAGTCTAGATAGATTTCTAATCTTATCTATATCCTTTTATCTTTATGGGTATTTAGGATCTAAACTATAGCTCCTACGTCCTTAGGCAAGACTTCTATAATCGAATTTAAAGCCTTGTAGAGGATATTCACTGCCAATTAGTAAACCGCGCTTTCTAATGCCTTGTAAGCGTCTGAATGGACAGCGCTGGAATCTGGCAAACCTATGGTGCTTCCTATTTTGAAATAGGTTTCCACATCCTCGACATTCTGTCTAGGAGAACTTAAGGGCCTACGTTTCGCGACATCCACCGTGATGCAACCTGCTCTGCACGGCTTCGGCGGCATGGTTCTCAACATGAGCCGGGCGTCCGAGGAAGCTATCACTACGAGAGGAAAAGCTCTCCTCAAATCCGCAATGGGAAAGATCCAACTATCGGTAAAGTGGGAAATAGCTAGCACTATTAGCACGGTCTTCTCCAAAACGAGCTACGACGCAATTAAGCCAGTTAAACTCCTAATGCTTAAAACCCTAGGATACTTACTAGTGAAATATCCGATTTTGGCGTTCCTAGAAGCCGAATCCCTATAAAGGATTATCTATAAATTCAACCGCGACCACATTAAAGGCTAGATCCTAGAGGAATTCGGTAGTACTCTCTTTTAGGCTATTTTGAGAAGCCGGCGGGGGCCGCTGCTGCTTAACACCGAAAAGCTACTCAAGGAAGGCTAGGTCCCAGAGTTCATCGAACCGCACCGCATTACAGTTCTAGGGAATAGGGCGCTGACGGACGAAATACTCGTCCTCCGCTCCATGCCCAAGAATACCGAGGCAGTTGCCGCCGAAAACGTGGCCATGAAGATCGTCGCGGTCTTCGAGTACAAGGCCGGTAAGGCCAGCTCCTGGGGGCTCGTGTGTAGTGGGTATACATCGTTCGAAAAGTTTCCTAAATACTGGCAGGACAGCATCCGCGTGTAGGCTAAGGAGATAGACGAGACATTACGCATCAACGCGAGTAAGCTGGGTCAAAAAGACAGCAGAAGAAATGATGAGGTCGTTCAGGAAGTGTTCCAGGACAGCAAGGCCTCTGATAGATCCAGAAGGACTACGAGCGGATGGTCGAGCACAATGCCGTCCAAATCGATGGCGTCCCCACCATCATCGAAGTCACTAAGGAAGAAACGTAGTGGTGGGGTCTCGGGCCGCGCGGACTGCTAAAGGATATACTCGCTAAGATAGAGAAGCAGCTCAAGGGCACCGGGTTTCTCTAAACCTTTATTAAGGTGCTAGACATCAGGTTCGAAGACTCAGAGAAGGTTGTAGATGACCTGTTTAAGCTATCACAACTCGTCTATTTCAAGCTAAAGTGAAACTCACGCGACGAGTGTTTTTAAAATGTTTCGCATTAGGTCATAGTACGAAGAATATAAAACAAGAATAACGACGTTTACGTAGTTAATAGAGACTTTCCATCTTTTGCGGCTTAGCGGAACCGAAGAAAGGCTCATTTGTCGGCTCCTCGATTTCGTGAAGTGGCACAGTATACCTGTGTGAAGGAGACCCTCTACTCCCTGGTGGCCTCTGTTCGGCGTCTAGTAGGCGTACGGCCTGCTTTTGAAAAGGAGATGTCAATGAAATAAGGCTCTTAGGAGGTGGCTGTCTAAGATCTAGTACCAGCTGTCGATTTATAATTAGAGATGGCTTCCTACGTCTAGGAAGGAGAGTTGACGACCAAGGTAGATCTAGCGGTCCATCGAGATATTCTCGAACTTCGTGCCCGCGGACTTTCTCGTCCGGCTGAAGAGATAGTCGAGGCTTAGACGGCGGGTCTCCCATAACTGCGGAAGTGTCTCTCAGTGTACGTGGGGTGTTGGTGAGGCTGACGTCTGGCGTTCTAGTAAGTGTTCTCAGATGGTCTAGGATATAATTTTCGTCCCGGTATAGTGTGAAGTAACAATAACTATCCACTACTAAATCCTAACTATATCGTTAATATCTAGCGGGATAAGTTAAATATATCTACGTTTCTAAACCGTAACTAAAAGTCTACCGAGAAGACTAAAGACTATGAAGGAGTACGTGGCCGGCCTTAGAACGTAAGCGTCTAAAAGGCGTGATAAGCTCGATTAAGCTTCTACAAGCCTCCGGAAGTTTATCGTGGCGTCTAATAGGCGAGGCTGGACCGTTCGATGGCGCCCGCCACCAATATCACGAATACGAGGCAGACTCTCTGCAAGTCTTTCGGCAGCTGAGATAGAACAGTAGATACGTCGCTTTTGATTTCTTTACACGAGGAAAATGCTTTCCTGGTGCTCGTTAAGGGGTATCTTTTGCTGCCCAAATCTCTCCTCTTATGCCCCTGTGTAGTACATCGGGCGCGGTAAAAGGTTAAGTCTTCTGGGGGCTATTTCGTGATAAAGAGCGTTTCACCCCACATCAGAATAGAGATTATCTACCTGCCCTATGTTCCATTCGTTGTAGCGAAGACGTCTCTACCGAAGACTTTAGAATCAAGTACTTCGTCCTTCGTACGCGTATCTCTAAGTAGACTCGTCGCTTGCGTAAGACTCGACTATCGGACGCAGCCGAAGTCTGCATAGGAGATTAGTGGCTGCTGCCCCTTATCCTTAGTTGGCGCCACCAGTAGATGGCAATGGTCTAATAAAACTATCGTCGCTCGAATAGCACTACAGGAATGCCCTTAAAGCGTCAAAGATTTTGATGCAGCTTTCAGGGGAAGCGCCGACGCACGGTCGTCTTTGGATACTAAATAGCGTGATTCCTCCTGACACTTGACCTTCATAGTAGTTTGCCCGGCGCCTCAAGCTCAATATGCATATTCGTCACTCAATTTCCGGTATACTCGCGTTATTTGCACCGCGTGTCTCTGCTGCGCTTTGGTATGACGAAGGCACAGATTCGTGCTCTATCTCGCGACAACTCGGCAACTCTACTTATTGCTGTGATGGTGCGGGAATCGGGGACAACACATTCCTTGGTTGTCTAGACGCCTCACCTCGTCCGTCCTGCCCAGCGTCACAAGTCATGAAGACCGGTCCGAGTAATACGGCTTTCGATATCGGAATCGGAAACTGTTGGGGAGGAGACGAATGCCAGTGGGACAAGAATTTATGGGAGTGGGCTTGCTGCGACTGTCCACCTGGCACGGTTCCTGAAACTCCTGGGGTCTGCCCTGATTGTTGTTCTGGTTCTCGCTATTGCGTGCATTGCACTGAGTCCGATGAAAGATTGGCCTGGAGTGAGGTCAGTTCTAGCAACGTCTGCATAAGCTCCCTTTTCAATCAACACCAATGCGACATGTTTGAGGCGACTAGCGCTACTTTGGACAAAGTCGGTCTCATTGCGACATGGGCAGGTATATTTTGTCCCTTAACAAAACAAAGTGATGTGCTGAGTGCGCTTGTGCAAGATGCTATTGCTGTTCAGCACGCATGGGAGAATAAAAGCAAGACTTCTGGCATTTTCAGTGCGCAATTTGAGGCTGCATCCGCAGTTGTTGCATCTCTGGGTGCATATCTGATTGGAGCCGCCGTGGTAGCTGCCCTGCCAGAAGAGGCTGCAATAGCTGCTGTCGCAGCAGCTGCTGAAGGTCTTGGTGAAGCGTACGGACTCTTCTGCCAAGTTGTTTCTCGTGGAGGGGAAGCGCTGACGGCTGCTTCCCATGCAGCAGAGTCTATAGCACATTCGTCTTTGTGCCCACAGACCTCTTCCAAACGCTCTACTGGGAAGCGGGTTCCATATGAAGTCGTTGGTTCGACCCACAGAACTCTTGTCGCCCGCAATGTCAGCTATAATCCGTGCTCGGAATTTCTCAGTTATTTCAGAATCGACTTCAGCCTTCCTGCGCAATTGGATAGTGTGTGTACAGATGTAGAAGCATACAGCCAGTCTGACACCTTGTCATCTGATCTAGCGAACGCGACAGCAGTCATGCAGTCCTTTTGTAGCCCATACCAGAGCAGCGGGAACAGCACGCTCGCCATGGAATTTGCCGACATTCTGACAGCCTTCCAGAATGCCAAACCATTCTGCGACTACAGCATTGTCCAAACTACTAACAATTCGACGACGACCTCTTCACTCGGTACATCTACACGCTCATCTACGACTTCCACAGTAAAAAAATCTTCAACTCTAGGCTCGTCTACTAAGTCGTCGAGTACTCCGTCGAAGACTACGTCCTCACTCGGTACATCTATACACTCATCTGCTACTTTCACAGTAAAAACGTCTTCAATTTCAACCTCATCCACAAAGTCATCAAGTACATCGAAAAGGTCATCAACTCCACTCTCGCCTACCAAGTCATCAGCTCTACTGTTGTCCACTAAGTCATCAAGCACTTCGTCGAAAACAACCTCTTCACTTGGTGTGTCTTTTCACTCATCTACTACTTCCACAGTAAGAAGGTCGTCGTCTTCAACTTCAACCTCATCCACCAAGTCAACACGTAGTTCAGCAGCCTCAGGATCATCGCATTTGACGTCAGCGTCTTCGCCCTCCTCAAAGCTAACAAGTACATCTACTGCAACCTCAACGTTGCCTCATACAACTTCTGTTGCCTCCTCACTATCCTCGTCGTCACATAAATCCACGACTACGAGCTCCACAATTTCAAAGAATTCAAAGAACTCAACTACTAGTACAACTTTCGTCTAGTCGTATCAACTTTCCTCCGCTGCCATACACGTCTTCTCTGCCATGCAAGTCTTCGTCTTGATCCAAGGCCAGTCGTGGCAACATCCCTTGTTACCGCTCCATTGCGGGTGTGAAGCCTGTCAAAATGGCCAAGTTCCAACGCGAGCAACGGTTTCCAGATCCTGCCAGCATACACGCAGGATGGATCCCTCTTATGTCGTGTGTTTCAAGGTACCACAGACGGAGCTGTCTTCGAAGTCCTCCTGGCACAGCTCTTGCATCACTGTGAGCCTTGGCCAGGATGTAACTTAGTTCTGATCCTGGACAACGCATTAATCAATCCTTCCCAGAGATCAATGATATGTGCTTTAATGCTGGAGTTAGGTGAACCTGTCTACCCCCTTCGTGTCCCCCCTCCCCTTTGTCCACACCTCAATCTGGTTGAAAAAAAGTTTCCCCAAGTCAGGGCTATTGTAAAGCGAGAATTTCCGAAATTTGAGAAGAATAGCGAAGATGGCTTCCAAACAATTTTGGAGAAGGGTATTTATATGACAGGATGAGACGCAGGAAGCGCTAGAGCTCACTTCAGACATGTAGGAGTGACAGTCATGGAGTTTGGCCCGGACCAAGTCACTTGGAAATTTGTGTAAATCATGAAGATATCCAGTATTGGACGCTAAAAACCACCCCCAATGAAATTCCCTGTACTCGTAGAATAATTAGTCTCACGCGATTATTGTAAAGGACTTCATGATGTTGTCTATCACAAAGTAACACTGAATCCCAACCATCATTTTCCACAGCCTGATCTACCTTCTTAACCTCCCACTTCTGAGACAAGCTACTGACTCATGATTTTTGATACTCCATATAATCAAGTACAGAAATATCCAGTAGGCCAGAATCATTAATCTCGCTTTTGGTCAGTGAGTTAGATGACTGGATTGTGGCAGACGGCTCATCCTATAACTATGAGAGGGTCGTCACCCGTTGACCAGGTAAAACATTTATGTTAATAGGGGGTACATTTGGTGACATCACCATTTCTCTTCTCATCTTTCAGTTCAGGTTTTCTTTCTCCTTGTCAGCCAGGATTTTCCATTGAAATAGGAGTCCTGCCGCTCTCTGTTGGACTACTCAGGATTCCGTAATATTCTGAGTAATACTCGAGGAGCATTTGCAGTACTTTCGAATCACTCATTTCACAAAATTTTCGAGTTCGCCATTTTCTTACTTCGGCCTCCTGCCACTCCAACAGATTGCATACGGTGTGCACCGACCGACCGACGAGTGGACCCGAGGAATAGTTGCTTGCATATGCCTACCCTCTCCGGACCATCCTCCACTTCCACCACTCAACACGCGTAAACAGGGATTGGCCAGGAGCTAAAACGGACCTTGCGTCTGTTTCCGCCTCAGAGACACACCGTACGCACCCCTAAAGGCCAACCCTTCCTAGACCTTTCATCCCCTACATCGCGCTCGAGGCGAGGAAACAACTCGGCGTCATGTAAGTGAGGTGCGATTTCCCGTTACAGCACGCGGACCGCGACGCATGAACCTGCATATATAGGGAGTCTCTAGTTAGATGTAATGTATCGCGGAGGCAGAAACAAACAAGGGGGAAAACAAGGAAATGCAGAAAAATGCGTCCGCCCTGTGGAGTTTGAATCTGTCAAAAGCCCCGGAGAAATGGGGGTCCTCAGCCGGTGAGACTCGACGCACGAACGACTTGGTGGAAATCTACTAGTAGGGTGAAGATTCGGCTCAGCCAGCCCCATTCCTCGACGTAAGTGAGCAGGGATAATTAATGAGCGACTCGAGAACGCAAGCTCAAGTTCCTCCGGCTAAGTAAGGTTGACACCGGACACAGGAAACTGTCAGTCAGCAATCACAGGCCTGGACAATTGACTTGCGCCCCCCGTCAGCCTTACCCACTAACTTACATTAGCATCACACACCGACCGAGTTAACCGAAGAGCGAATTGTCGACGATTGGGTCAGTAGAATAGTCGGAGCTCTGAAAGACGGGGAACGGGAGGTGCTATCCGTTGGGCAAGGCTGGAGGCGGACAGGTTGGACAGATGGGGTTGTAAGTGGCACAATCCGCATTCGTCAACATGTCAGATCATGCCATGCCCATGCACATCACGTAGAATTGCGATCGCTCAGAGCACATCTAGACCATTAGAGATGAATGTCCCGCAATGTGTGAGAGTGGGCCGACTTCGAAGGGTCGCCAAACCTGAGAATGGCGGACACAAATTCCCCATTATGCCACCCGGTGAAACGAAGCTAGGCTAAGTTCGACTGCAGAAATGTCATCAAAGCTCGAACTGAACTTCTGGCCGTTGGGCAGGATCACCTTGGGGAAAAAGTTGACAGGTTCGAAAATCTGTTTTATCAACCCGCGAAGTGGTTTAAATATGCAACGATTGGCTTCGGGGAACAGTGGATATACGTCCCGGTAATGATCCGAATCACTAGTTGAATCAGCCCGAGGCTCCGCCCTCGTGAAGTTGGGTTCGCAGTACTGGCGTCCAGCCTATATCGACGGCTTGCGTTATCTATCATTTATGACGAATTCTCCTGCCCAACGGCCAACCTTATCTACTCTACCACAAGATTGGTGCCTCTTGACCAACGGCCAAGCCAGCTGTCACTCACACGAACGGGAACTGCTGCCCAACGGCTAAGGCAGTTCAAGTCATGGAAACATCTCTCAAATCCTCTCAAGACCAGATCCTGCTCTGATCGGGCTCACTCTGGGTCTGGAGATACGGGGCCCTGATTTGAGTATTATAGAGCTCTTTGCTAGCTTCCAAAATTGTGGGCAAACTGATAAAGTGAGGTCAAACGTGGTCTTATATCTGAGTTATCTGTGGTTTCTGAGTACATGTTCGGGCAATAGCCTGAGCCCGCGAAATTTGTGCAAATTGTGAAGAAATCAGTCGTAGTCAATCGTTGGGCGTCAAGTTTGGAACGCCATTCCAGGACTGCTTTCAGTCCCCTGCCCGTACTCCCCGCGGAATCCAGCCGCAGAAGGTCAGTAAGATGTTCAGACCTGCCAGCAAAAGAAGTGCCGGAGGGTCACTTTCTCTGGACGAACCCTTCAAAAAGAGTAGTGGTATCGTATTCCACCAGCGTCCATCCTCCTGGGGCATCCCCAAACATCAGAGTCCCTGTGGTCGTTGAAATGTGTACCAGGTTGTCCAAGGATTGGCAGGTTTGCTCATCAAGCAGTGCTTTCCACTCATCGTTCGTCAATATCGCATCATCAAGCACCAGATTGATCTGAGGTAGGCCTTGGAGGACAGGATCTGCCCAACTTCCACAATATTTGGTGTCAAAATCGAACTGTGTAAAAGTTAGCATACCTAGACAGGGTTGTGGTTGGAGGACGATCATGGTACTTCGTTCTGGAGGAGGTGTTCAGTCAAGCTCATTGTAGTTGGAGACATATTTGTTTGCTGCCGAGCAAGTTTTGAGGATTTGTATATGAATATATAGGCTAACTGGCTGGCTCCCTAGAGCTAACAAGCTCCACAATTGAGAAAGCTGGAGGCGTGGAACTGGACTAGCATTCAGGAGGGAATATCGTCGGAGGAGACCGTGATGCTGTCCTCACCGGGAAAGCGAGACTGACCGTATGACCCTCCTCCCGTCCGTTCTCAGTATCATACTCAGATTGACCAATTGCATTCTATACCTTCCAGACAGAGACTGGTTAGGCAATTGGTCGAGGATCACATGCCAAGACGGATGGTAGTCGGGTTTCCGCTTCTTGCGCTAAGGATCCTTTGGTCTTCATAGTGTCGTACTTCAAACGCTGTATACTTGATTTGGGCATCATTGGCCTCTCAATGATCAGTTCTTCTCATCCCCGTAAGAATTACCTTGCACAAGAGGTCCATAGAATCCATGGCTAAACTCGAGTGGGTGGGCATAAGGAAATCGTAGAAGATTGTAGCACTGGATTGAGATATTGATTCCGTATGCTCGGCGAAGATTCGGATACGTCAACGCCGTTAGTGGCCTTCACCCAAGAGGTCCCGGACCCGTGCTCGTTTGACAGAGGAGATGATACAACTTCACCATCCACCGAGGCCTGCAGGGTCACCAAAACATGGACTTTTCTGCTATCCCCAGATGACAGGTCCACGATTTACGAAGCACAGAATGAGGCTGATATGGTGGATTGCTCAATCACCGGAAAAGGCAGGGTGATCCGCCCTTTAGTCCTCAAACTCCATGAGGACTGTTGGGCTGACTTCGCTCAGTTTCGATCTTAGTCGCGAGCATCTTCACATATGTGCTCTGGCTATTGGGACTGGCAGCCAAGACATCAAAGAGATATCTCAGCTCCAACGAGTCAGACCAGTTGCAATTTGCAATAGTCAACGCATCCATTAGCGTGTACGCTATCTCAAACAATTTCTCAAATATACCCAAGCCATGCACCAAGATTGAATCGTAGCTTAGTTGATGTGAGGTAATGAGTGCACAGAGATCTTTGGCTATTATTATTGGGTATGAGGATGAGAAGATGGGGTCAGCTGCGCTATAAGAGATCAGACCTTGACGCATTGAAGCTTGCCAGAATATCAAGCGTAGCCATTGGTGAGTAATGAGCACGTCTGCTTTCTGAACATCGGTCATAGCAAAGTGCTCGAAGGTAGTTTCATTGAGATTATGTTGTAAGATGGCTACATTGTCGAGTGGTTCATCGCCGATACTAGTAGAATTGCTGGTCCAAAGCTGGACGAATTTGTCGTCTAGAATGGAGAACAAATTCACAAGAGCTGAGAATCCCGCAAGCACGATCCCATCTTGCTCATCGAAGTATTCCGTTCTGAGGGGCGGGATTTGCGTGATAAGCGTTGGTTTATTACGCAGGATGGCCAGGCCACGTTCGGTGATGAACAGTATGGCAAAAGTGCGTCGGGCGCAGATAGCTTGGATCTCATCCATATTGACGTAGGTGCTGTCCAAATGAAGCCCTTGATCAATGGCCATGCCTATAGCTTCGCGGATGTAAAAGTGATGAGCACGTGGCTTTTTCAGTTCAAAAAGGGCAACACAGATGTGATAGCTTGCTTGAATCGATAATAACGTGGAATTTTCGATCCATTCGGCATTGCTTCGTAAGTAGAAGCATATGTCCAGGAATTGTTTACCCAGTTGCCATTTCTTTTCCATTGACAAGTCTGATTGGGGAGCAGCGTGAAGAACTGTCATGGCGCAGAGGGACAAGATGAGTATTTTCTCTTCATTATTCAGGTCCTCGTTTGACTGCATTCGTTGATGAAATGAAGACTCATGAATCATTGGTCGAATAGGATATAAATGTCTGAAATACTGGCGAATACATTGAGACATGAGATACGCGGACATGCCTACTTCCGAGCTTAAAGCCTGTATCCTGATCTCTATGGCGAGGTTTCCAGAGTCACTGCGGTAGAGGTATTTCGGACCATAAAGTGGTAAGGGGGAACCGGAGTTTGTGGTTGAAGGAGAAGCAGTATTACTTTTCAACATGGCATCAATTGAGCCAGGCTGGGTCATTGGCGTTGAAGTTCGCGAGGGAGTTTGGGCATTCGACCGAGGGGGCGCCAGATTTGAGTTGGGAGCCGATGTGCGCGTTGGTTCTGGGAAGATCTGTTGTGCGAGGTCGCTTACAGAGAGATAGCCAGTAGGAGAGATTGGGGCTTGTAGGAGGAGTTGCTCTGATGGTTGCATCTGCCATGAGGCAGGCAGTTGAATACCAGCCTGAGCAAAGGCAGTATAGGCGTTGGGTTCGAAATCTGCCAGACCCTGCATCCCCAGAGGTATAGATCTCGGAACGTTGGATGGATCTGATGTCGGACCAAGCGTATCGCTGAAATGTGATGTGGTAGGAGATGTGAGAGGTGAATCTAATGGACTATCACCCGATATAGTTCTGTGGAGAGAAGGCATCTGTAATTGCAGTTGGGAGAGGTCAAAAGCTGGCAAGGCTTGATCTTGTGAAGATGTGTAGAAGGTCTCATCTCGCAGTTTGGCAATAACCGACCCTGAGCCTTTTTTCGGACCTCTTTTCTTGCGCGCAATATCCCTGGTACATCTTAAACCCGCGCCGATACATCTGTCGCAAGGCTCAGTCTTGGAGCACTTGACCTTCCTCCTTCGGCAGGCATCGCAGGGAAGGAGAGATTCAAGGGAGGCTGGAAGGCCAGACTGATCCTCGGAAGTATCGGCCATTCATGAAATCTGGTATGCAATAAAAATCGGAACAGAGATGTGAATGAGCTCTTAAAGACGATTTACATCAAAAGCCGGTCGATCGAACTGGATCTTTATACTCGAGCGGTTGCGTGAGCGACGAAGCAGGACTGCGAGGGAGAACGTGGACCCATGGTGACTCGTTGGAAAAAGCAAAAAATATGACTTGAAACTGTTGGGGCGAAGGAGTACAAGGCAGGTAAAGACACAGCTTGACTAACAATGATCTAAATTGACTATGTAACCCCAAGAGTGTGTATAGCGAGAGTGAGAGGTTGTAGCCGTGGATGATGGAGTTGAAAGTGGGTTGAGCTGGGTGGTGAGAGGGCAGGTGCGGGCATGTGATTTGGTATGGAATCGAGGGGGAAGGCGCGACTCGCGAGAATCCAGTACCTAGGCAGCCCACCGCGGGGAAGTGAGAATCAACCTGAATTACCACCTTAAAAGCTGGGGAAAGCTTGGATGCCACCTTGCTGATTAAACGAACTGACCCCCATGCACCGAAATTCTTAACTAGCAGTGCATCTAACTAGCTAGTCTTCTCGACGCAGCTCATTAATCCGTCTGGGCGCACCCTGAGCCTGACTAGCGAGCGCCCGTCCCTCGCCCAATTTTTCATGTGAACATAAGTCTCGTATTGCGCCTAGAACATGTCAAAATTCATGACTATGATGAAGAATAACTTCATCATCCCATACTGTCGTTCTCGCTACCCTACTACCCCAACCACGATGACCCTGCGAAGTGATATCGTTGGATACCTTCCAGAGTAAGGCTTACGAGTACGAAGAATACCGTCGACGCATATATCGCGACTGCAGGGAGTTCAAGTTCAAGTCGGCACCGAGATTAGACTTTTCACGCTAAGCCCATTGGGACTGCCAGTAGCCATATTAGCACTTAGTCACGCACTAATCGTAGCACTACCACAGTAAGCAGCCTTGGCAGCGGCGTATAGTGGCATACGGAATACTTGGTACGCTGTCCGCTATTTACAACTGACAGAATAGGAACATACGCAAACGCATACACGCATCACCCGGACCTCGACGTCCCGTCACGGCCAACCTAAGGTATATATACCTCCTCACAGGACCAGCTATACCCTCAACGCTCATCCTGATCTCCAAGCCCAAGTCCACTCAACATGGCATCAGCAACAACCATGACGACCTCACCCCCTTTCACACTCGACGCAGGCACGGCATTCTGTCTAGCCGTGGCCTTCTCACTGATGCCGACCGCACAAGCCTTGGCCGGAATAGCCCTCCCCAAGAACATCTCGCGCACCTACTACTACCTGTTCCTCTGGCACGCGTACGACTTTCTCACACACTTCATTATCGAAGGCAGTTTTCTCTACCACACCTTCTTCTCGTACATTGACCTCCCCATCCCGACGTCCGACTACCCACACCCGGCGTCGCGCGGAGGCCATGTCGGACCGTACCTGTACGGCGACGCGAACCGCCGTTACGGTCCGATATACTCACAGGCACCGATGGCGCGGCTGTGGCAGGAGTACGCAAAAGCGGACCGGCGCTGGGGCGGCGCAGATCTTACGGTCATGTCACTCGAACTGCTCACGGTTGGACTCGAAGGGCCGGCTGCGGTGTATGTCTGTTATTTGATCCCCAGAGTCCTCAAGTCGAGCGGTGCGTTGAAGGCTAAATACCAGACGAGGCTGTGGTTCGTGGCCGTCCTGATTGCCACGGGAGAGCTATATGGCGGGTGGATGACCTTTGCGCCGGAGTGGTTGAGTGGGAACGCCGCGTTGGCGGGTGACGATCCGGTTTATTTGTGGTTGTATTTGGTCTTTTTCAATGTTCTTTGGGTGTTTATTCCCTTGTGGGTGCTCTATGTTGCTTATGGGGAGTTCTCCGCTGCTTTCACCTCCCAGGCGGTGGCGTCGAAAAAGACCACTTAGGCGATTTCGGAATGGATTAAAAGCTTGTATATAGATATCGCACGACATCGCAGAGATAAGCAGACGGTGAAGTGGAATCACTAGGAACGTGCCGAGACTTGATCCTGGACTCGGAAATCTCTGTACTTTTCTATGATTGCCAATGGCTAGTTGTCCTAAGATGATTCTTCATCTGATCGGAACCTCCTCCACAGCCTCGCCGGGCTCTCCAGGCTCAACACTCTTGCCCATGGCCAGTTCTTCCTTCTTCCGCTTCTTCTCCTCCTCCTCAATCTCTTTGAGTCGTTTCTGACCCTCCTCGTTTGTCGCATCGATCACTCCCTCCTGCAAACTTAACATTCCTCCTTGACCAAGTAGCTCAACAATTTCTTCGGCTTCATCCACACTCATCTTGCCTAGGATGAGGTTGACTTGATCCAGACTGCCAGACTCAAGTGCTCGTTGAAGACCAGGAGGGAAGTTCTCGAATATTTTCCTCGCTTCCTGCTCGACTTCCTCCTCCGAATTGGGTTGGGGGACGTTGATGTGGATCTCGGTTCCCGGTTCAACGGCGTGAAGTTGAATTTGTTCGACACCTGCCGGATCATTGGCTTCTTCTTTCTTCAATTCTGCTGCCCGGATTTTGATGCGTCCATAAGTCTCGGTCAAGTCCTTGTTGAAGACTTGCTGTGCTTGATGGCCCTTTGTGGTGATTCTCTTGAAGAAGACTCCCACACCATCTCTCCCCAGTTGACGGCAATATTGTACTAGCAGACTCTGATGAACACAGGCACGGGCATAGGTCTCTTGACCCTTCATCTGAGCGTTGAAGGCCTCAATCATCAGTGCATCTTGTGTCCGTTCATTGACAATGTCGGGGTGTTGGGAGATGAACACCAGACTGGCCCGATAGTCTCCCAGTTTGATTCGTGCGAATTCTTTGCCTTCCGGCGTCAGCTTTAGGTTGGTTTCGGTTTCTTCCTCGTCGTCCTCATCGTCTTCATGTTTCTCAAGGAGTGCATCGTCCTCAATGTCGGCCTCTGCACCTGAGGAGACGCCTCCGTCGGTAGACTTGAGGGCATCACGAGTGGCGGAACTGAGGCCTGAGGGTTTATTCAAAAGTTCCACATTCTCCGACTTCTTCTGCTTTGGCTGTGCCTTGGGTTTCTCGGCCGGAGGAGGCGCAGGCTTCGACTTGTTGACGAAAGAAGAATTGAACCCATCATGAATGTCTTCGCTAGTAATCTTAGCAACAGATTCCTGTTCTAGAGTGGCGAGACGTTTTAACAAGTCTTGTTGTAATTTCTGGACTTTCTCAAGATGACCATTGACACCCGTGACAAAGTCTTTATATCGTTCATTGCTTGCCTTCTCATCGACTTCCTTCTTGACCTGATCGACCAAAGCACCCATCATCTTGGAGTAACGTGGTTGTGGCTCCTTTTGGTGGGTGTACACACCAGGAGGTGGCTTGGGAGGTTCATCTTTGGCGGGGTCACCTGCGCTCTCAATCAAGGATTGAAAGACGAGTTCCTCTGGATTCTTGGTGAGAGCTTCATCCTGGTGTTTCTTCAGAGCATCAAGTAGGGCATTTATTCGTTCGAGTAGGCCATCGTTTATGACCCGTTCGTATTTGAGGGTTTCGATTTCGACTTTGCGCTGGGCCCGCTGCTCGTGGATTTGACGTTGTTTTGCTCGAATGAAGCTTTTGGTGTCTACGTTGGGGTGGACCTCGACATCCGAGTCATCAGAGACCTCGAGTTTGTCCCACTTGTCATAAGAGATTGGCATGGTTGTCTATGCAGGAGTGGAGGGGAATGTCACCTCTGGAATTGCTTGGAAAGTCGATGGACTTGCTGTTTAGAGGGGCAAAGGAATCTGGTGGAGCGCAAACACCATGATGTCAACAGCATTTAAAATCTCAATGCTCTACACTACAATGAGAAGATAGCACTAGCCGTCTCAATGATCTGCACTAGAAAATAGGGCCTTCTCCGCTCGGGTTTTGCGACCAATCCGACGTCGTCATCATTCGGTGCTAGGTTGTACATCCGATCTCGCGCGTCTTTCTTCACTTCGGTGACCTCAACCATCACTGCTCACAATTAGATTCTCCCATATTCAGCGACTGCCACCCCAATCCTCGCAGTTGACACCCCTCTATCTCCTGCTCGTCGACATGGCGAGAGGACGTCAAAACACCCTTCTTCTCTAGATAGATACCCACCAAGCACCCCACCATGAATGCGACACGCAGCTCCATCCTGCTCGGCTTTAGGCCTTTCCAACATGGCTCTCCCCTAAAAGTCCTCGACCAGAACATCCTCTTTTCTCTATATAACTCCGCTCCCAGGCACTCACGGATACTCTCCCGCTCTTTTTCCGCTTGTCCTCCACCGACCACCATCACTGCTCGACCCTGCAACATTCTATTCGGCGATTTTTCTGCACCTGATACCCCTCTCCGTTTCGCTCGTCCAACTATCTCCTCTCAAATTCGTCGCTTTTCAGCGTGTCGCGCATTGAAAGAGAGCCCAACTCCGGTCATAAAGGTCCAATCAAAATCAAAGTCGGACGATGAAGCTGATGGAGAAGAGGAAGCTTTTGAGAAAAGTGAAAAGGCCGCTCAAGCATCTCAGGTCAACTTGAGCGCAAGACTCTCGAAAGAAGGCGCTTCGGGAAAGTCCTCGGGTTTTGGTGAGATATGGCGACTCATTAAAATTGCCCGCCCAGAATCGGGAACTCTTGTCTGGGCCTTCGTTTTCCTCCTCATCTCTTCCGCCATCACAATGTCAATACCATTCTCGATCGGGAAGATCATGGATATCGCAACTAAGGGACAAGCGAAAACCGAAGGTCCAGATACCGAACTCAAGACCGACATGCTCTTTGGTCTGAGCTTGACCACATTCTACACTGCTCTACTAGCAATTCTTGCCACGGGTGCGGCTGCCAACTATGGGCGCATTGTCATCCTGCGAATTGTGGGAGAACGCATTGTTGCCAGGCTTCGATCACGACTATTTCGCCAGACCTACGTTCAGAATGCGGAGTTCTTCGATGCCAACCGCGTTGGAGACCTGATTTCTCGCCTAAGTTCTGATACCATTATTGTAGGCAAGTCCATAACCCAGAATCTTTCGGACGGGTTGCGTGCATTTGTGAGTGGAGCAGCTGGGTTTGGTCTCATGGCTTGGGTTTCATTGAAATTGACCGGCATCTTGACTCTACTCTTTCCTCCTGTGGCTATAGCAGCATTTTTCTATGGCCGTGCCATTCGCAATCTCAGCCGAAAGATACAGAAGAATCTGGGAACATTGACCAAAATTGCGGAAGAGCGACTGGGAAATGTGCGCACCTCTCAGGCGTTCGCTGGAGAGATATTGGAAGTGCATCGGTACAACACTCAAGTACGGAAAATCTTCGATCTTGGCAAGAAAGAATCGTTGATCAGTGCAACCTTCTTCTCATCTACTGGTTTCATGGGTAACATGACCATTCTGACCTTGCTTTACGTTGGAGGTGGTATGGTATCGAATGGGACCATCAGCATTGGTGAACTCACCTCATTTCTGATGTACACTGCTTACGCTGGGTCATCGTTATTTGGGCTATCCTCTTTCTACTCAGAGTTGATGAAAGGTGTGGGTGCTGCTTCCCGCCTCTTTGAGCTCCAGGATCGAGAACCCACGATCAGCCCAACCAAGGGTCAAAAGGTGATCTCGGCACGTGGTCCTATCAAATTTGAGAACTTGTCGTTCAGTTATCCGACCAGACCTGCTGTTAACATCTTCAAGAATCTTGATTTCGAGATTCCTCAAGGATCTAATGTAGCCATCGTTGGACCGTCGGGTGGAGGAAAGAGCACGATTGCATCGCTCATCCTACGTTTCTACGTGCCCAACCAGGGGCGAATACTGATCAATGGGAAGGACATTTCAGAAATGAATGTCAAGTCGTTACGGCGAAAAATTGGCATAGTCTCGCAGGAGCCGGTCTTGTTTTCGGGAACAATTGCCGAGAACATTGCTTACGGACGGCCCCATGCAACTCGGTCAGAGATTCTGCGTGCGGCTCGGCGGGCAAATTGTCAATTTATCAGTGACTTCCCGGATGGGTTGGACACGTTTGTTGGAGCTCGAGGAGCACAACTGTCTGGAGGACAGAAGCAACGAATCGCGATTGCCCGAGCGCTGGTTAAACAACCGGACATACTGATACTCGACGAAGCTACATCGGCGTTGGATGCCGAATCCGAAACACTGGTCAATGAAGCACTGGGTCAGTTGCTCAAGGCAAGTAACACAACAATATCGATAGCACATCGTCTCTCGACCATCAAGCGATCGGACACAATTATTTGTCTAAGCAGCGATGGTCGAGTTGCTGAGATGGGATCTTTCAAAGAACTCAGCAGCCGACCAGACGGAGCATTCACCAAACTCATGGAATGGCAGATGAGTGGTGGTGAGACAGAAAAATCCAAGGTTAATGACCTTGCGATTAATGCAGATCGCAGCGGTCCACCATCGGAGAAAGATGACATTGAAGCCGACTTGGAAGCATCGGATGAGGAAGAGAGTGAGGAGATCAAAAGCAGCAAAGCAGAAGAAACAGTCAGCCAAGTGGTGGAACCAAAGACGCCGTGAAGGCAAAGGGCTGAGGGCTAGTGTTGAGGGATTCTCATGAAGGATACCCGGAGGCAACATTGCTTGGTTGCTTGTGTAAGGCTGAGTGCGACATTGGGGCTTTATTGTCAGTCAACCTCTTGTTGTGACTGATCAAACGAGTACTCAAGGATAGCTGATGGGCCGACTATATAAATAGGTGTGTATACATAGGCAGCGAATTGGAAAGCGACAATCCTCGACTCAGACTCGAACGAAGCTACTTAAAGAGTTGGGAATTGCACATGCTCCGAAGGTGAAGGCTGACTCGTGCTCTTGGTTGAACCTGCACGTGTCGTGCTGGCAACTGGTGGCCCAACAATTGCAGCCGAATGATTTTCCCCCACCAAATTCGGCCCTGTGTCCCGCGGCGCGTAACATGAATTATTTGCCCGTGGTCGAGCTTCGTCATTCCATGTGCTTGTTTTGTACGCAGCTTTTTTCTTTTGCCTCCACGGCTCAAAGTCAGGGTACGAGGACTACCTAGTATACTGAGTAGTCTTGCCCGTGCAGGTAGGTGGTATTCAGACCGTCATTAGTACCTGAGGGTCCTCCGCCCTCCGAGAATCTCTTGCGCTCCTGCCTTGGACATGTAAGCCACCATTTTGACTTCCTTCCTTCGATGCTGTCATTGTCAATGTGGAAGTTACTGTTCCTCGCTCCTTCCCCTTAGGAACCCTCTGATTTCACCTTCATCTAATCCTCCTGGTTGACGTTGACATCCAAATCTGGTGTTGATGGCAGCCCAGGTCGATCATCACCACCACAGTTTACACCACCACTATCAATATCACTTCTAGCATCTACACTTACCATCTATCTAAAATGGCCACAAATATACACGCCCTGCTATCAGACGCCCAGGACATTGCTTCCAAGGATCTAGCTGGTACCAAAACCCCCACCCAAGTACCCTCACCATCGCCCTCACCCTCCTCCAATTCTCTTCCTCAGCCTCAAACGCAGCCAAAAGCAAAGGTCCGAAGCAAGTACCGCCATGTTGCAGCATTACATTCCAAAGTCCAACCATCCGTCCTTAGTCATGAGACTCCAGAGAGCCCTAGTTTCATTGGATTCCGCAATCTCATGGTCCTCACGATCATTGTCATGAACCTGCGTCTCGTCGTTGAGAACGCTCGGAAATATGGCCTGCTCATCACTCTTAAGTTCAGTCTCAGCAACCATGATATGAGGACCGCCCTCATTCTATACGCACTCACCCCCTGTCATCTATTCGTGGCATACATCATCGAGAAAGTTGCCATGGAGAATGCCAAAGGTGTCATAGGCAGACGCAAGAAGGCGGACTTGGGCAAGAACGATCCGCAGATCGAGAAAGAGAACAAGGATTTTTACTATACCTGGTGGTGGATTGCTGTCATTCATACCATGAATGCTTCTCTGGCCTTGCTGATCACTAGCGTTGTCGTCTATTGTTTCATGGACAACCCAGGGCTCGGAGTCATCAGTGAACTTCATGCCATTGTGGTATGGCTCAAAACCTGTTCATACGCATTCACAAACCGGGATCTTCGACATGCCATGTTGCACCCAGGAGGGCCCGAATCAGCCTTGCCTGAACTATACTCCAAATGTCCATATCCACGAAATGTCACTTTGGGAAACTTGTGCTACTTCTGGTGGGCTCCAACACTGGTCTATCAGCCTTACTATCCAAGATCCGATCGAATCAGGTGGGCGTTTGTTGCAAAACGACTAGGAGAGGTGGTGGCTCTCAGTGTCTTCATATGGCTCACTTGTGCTCAATACGCAGTCCCCCTCTTAGAGAACTCACTCAGTGGCATGGCGGTTTTGGACTTCTCATCCATCCTGGAGCGATTGATGAAATTGTCGACGATATCCCTCATAGTGTGGCTTGCGGGATTTTTTGCCCTGTTTCAGTCTTTTCTCAACGCATTGGGCGAGATTATGAGGTTCGGAGATCGACAATTCTATCAAGATTGGTGGAATAGCACAAATCTGAAGACATACTGGTCAACGTGGAACAAACCAGTATATCACTTCATGCGGAGACATATCTATTCGCCTCTGCTGGGCCGCGGTTGGTCTCATCAGGCAGCCAGTATGTGGGTATTTGTCTTTTCCGGCTTCCTTCATGAACTGGCGGTAGGCGTTCCATGCCACAGCATTCTCGGCGTTGCTTTCTTCGGTATGGTTGCCCAGTTGCCCCTGATCCTCATAACCGAGTATCTCCCCACCAAGGTCGGCACGGGTAAGGTCGTAGGGAACTGCATTTTCTGGGTCAATTTCGTGTTCGTAGGTCAACCCTTGGCCGCCATGATCTACTTTTTCAGTTACAAATCGAAGCACGGTCAGTTGGGCGAGGCTATGAACTAAAAGTGAGGGTCTGGAAAGTTTTGTTACGAACATAGATATTAGTTATTCGATTCGCACTGGATTGTCTTGTCCTCGGATCTCTCCTCCGAAATCATGGAGCTGACACTTTTCATGGAAGTAGGTGAGAAGAGAAATGATATAGCGGCGGGATGTGGCTGCCCAGCTAATCATGGTTCGGTCGCCGCTCTAACTTTCCGGCTGCCGTAGACTAATTCGCACTAGCGTGAAAGAGCTAATGCCATATCGAGGCAAGTTGGGTGCTTGACATTCCTAACATCTCGAACTTCACGCTTCAGTCTCGCAGAAGAACGAGTTCAACTGATGCCCAAGACAATGACTCTTAGCCCTAAAAAGGACGCATCAAGTCGCGTGTAAGACAGAAAACCATGACCACTTGAACGCAATCGCGACAGCACAACAAGTTCCTTAAGTTTCGCCCTTAATCTGAGGAGTTCAACGGTCTCATGTCAATATTACTCCATCAGTCAACGGTATCGATCTCAACCAAGGTTCGTGGGCGAATGAATAGACCCATTTAATATGGCCAACGTCTACGACGACCAGCAAGGCGATGGCGGATTTCGCAGAAGGCGACCCCGGCCCATCACTGATTATGGCAGTTCTATGGTCCAATGGCTGAACAAGCGCAAACCCGCGTATAAGGGGTCAAGTCACTATGAATCAGAGCGACCAAGTCTGAGTTATGTTGTCGATATGTTGCCGCCTCATGCGCGACGCGATTCACCGGCCGAATCAATTCCCGTGCGCCATCTTCACACGTCGTTGGGCAAGTCCAAAAAACCTGTGACGGTGGTACGGTGGATGCCTGAAGGCCGCCGTCTACTGGCTGGCGTTCACAACGGCGAGTTCATGCTTTGGAATGGCATGTCCTTCAACTTCGAGACCGTGACAGTCATGGGCTCGAGCTCTCTACGTTCTGCAGAGTGGTCGAATCGAAAAGACTGGCTAGTTGCAGCCAATGACGAAGGGACCGTATATTATCTGCAGCCAACACTCAACAATCCTCACCGATTTAAAGGCCACGATGCGCCTATCAGAGATCTGGCATTTGCGCCCAGCGATGCAAAGTTCGTCACCGCTTCTGATGACAACACTCTTAAGATTTGGGATTTCACTTCTTCGACCAATGAATCAACTTTCAAGGATCATGGCTGGGATGTGAAGGCTTGTGATTGGCATCCGACCAAAGGTCTGGTTGTGTCAGGCAGCAAAGATCACAGTGTGCGACTATGGGATCCACGAACCACTCGAAACCTCACAACACTGCATGGCCATAAGAACGCCATCACCGCCACCGTCTTCAGTCGACTACGTGATCAGCTTCTTGCAACAGCAGGTCGAGATGGCCAAACACGAATCTTCGACCTACGGATGATGCGCGACGTAGCAATTCTCCGAGGCCATGAAAAGGGCGTTGCAACTGTCGCCTGGCATCCCATCCATCCCTCTCTCCTCAGCACAGGTGGCGACGATGGCTCATTATTCTCATACCTCCTCACCGAACCCAACACCCCCGCAGGCCTCTCTTCCACCACCATCTCACCCTACGACACGCCCGACCCACGCTCTGCACCCCCCCAATCAATCTACCCAGCCCATCGCATCGCCCACGCGCACGAATCCTCTATCTGGAGTCTGGACTGGCATCCACTAGGCCACATCCTCGCCTCCGGCTCAAACGACCACTACACGCGCTTCTGGTCTCGCAGTCAGCCAGGCCAAACAACATGTTTCAAGGACCAATACCACCTCGGCGAAGAAGGCGCAGAAGCCCAGGGCACGTGGGATCGCAAATCGGGCCGGAAGCAGGCTCGCGAGCAAGAAGAACAAGAAGCAGAAGACGAGGCCGAGGGTCTGGAGGATCAAGATCCGAACAGCCAAGCTGGTGGTCTTCCAGGGCTTTCCATCCCAGGTCTCCCCGGACTCGGAGGTGGTGGTCTCCCCGGCATTGGGATGAACGGTGGTTCCGCCGGCATGGCCATTCCGCCACTCCCAGGCGGCTACCCACCACCACCCCTTCCCCTGCCACACCAAGCAGGGAGCTACCCCCTCAGCGGCGCACCTCCATTCCCCAACATGAACGGCTTCCCGCCAACTCTGGGCTCTCACCCTCCTCCACCACCACCAGGAATGGACCACGAAACACTCCAACGCCTCCTCGCGCAAAACCCTCCCGGCCAGCTCGGCACGCCTCCCCCGCCCCTCCCGCACCCCCATCAAGCGCCTTACCTGCCCCTCGATTTCGCAAACATGAATCTGCAGAACCTGCCGCCGGGCTTTCCGCCCCCACCCCCACCAGGAATGCAGTTTCCGCCGCCCAGTGGTAGTGCCGGCCTGGGAGGTATCCCCGGTCTCGCAGGCCCGCCAGGTCTGGGCACCTCTACGCCACCGAACGGTCTCGCTATGAGTGCGAGTGCGAGTGCGGCTGCGGCGGCAAGACAGCGGATCCCGCTCCCGAGTCAACAGGACGGATTTAAGGCTGAGCAGGCGAGGGGGAATTTCCGGCATGCGAGGTAGAATTGGGAAGGTGGAGGTTAGGTGAGGTTACTGGGGAGGTGTGAGAGTGTGCATGATTTGTTGGATGGATGGATGGGCCGGAAGGGTCTCGTGGAACGGAGAGTGAGATTTGTACGCTCTCAGCAGCAGATCCACTGTCAGCGATTACTACTTAGGCCGTCATTGCCTCGACGCGTTCAGAATGGAAGCTGGTTAACGGATACTATCTGAGCCATGGCACCGTATCATGGTGACCAGATTGATCTCAGGTCATGTGAGTAGGTACCTAGGTTAGATAGCGGACGACCCCCAATCTTTCTCCATTTAGTCAGGTATTCTACTGTCTTGGATCCGGCTTGCGTGAAATATCTCATTTTGTGCCCTTGTTGGTATGTTGTTAAATGAATGGGGTACGCTGGAATCTGGATCCTCTTCCCTCCCTGGATGTGGGTTTGTCAACATGCCTGGATTTGTGCATATGGTGATACGATGTCAAAGGTATTGGACGGGTGGAGCACGATGACTATGTGGTACCGTTGTACTCTTCATATATGTTGAGAATTTATTCATACTAGGTGGGTATCAAACAGACATATGATTCATGATCAAATATCCCCTGTATTTTGCGCGTTGTTGTCCATGAGCTCGGCAGTCGGTTGCTGTGTTGATGCCAACGATTCCGAAGAGTTGCATCAAAAATCATAGCGCCATAGCGGTGGTCTTTTTCTGTACTTGGGACATGAAAGCCTTGGATATTCAGCTCCTTACTCATCCTCACCGTGCTCGCTGTCTCCGTCCGACAAGATCCACAGACGCGCTTCGTCTCTCAATACATCATCAATGTTCAGTCCGTTGCGTTCCAAGGCTCTGCACCACTCATACCAACAGTCCAATACAGTGGCAAGTGCAGACGGCGTGACACCCTGTCTGGTAATTTGAAGCAGATCGACCCCTGCCTCTATCTAGAAAGCGAGTCTCTCTTCGAGGAAGCCCTCCTCTCCCCGTTGTCCACATTGTGAGTACATCGCTCGATCCAGAGCATTTCTCCCACATTTATCTGTCGTGTAAACGTTGACGCCGTTTTCGCAGAGCAGACGGCAAATTTCAGTTGAATATTTGCCTCGTGTAACTGACAAACTGAGCAACGATGTGCTTTGGGAACAACCCTGTTCCTCGAGTTCGAAGTTCTTCGCTTCAAGAACTCGAATGATGTCCCCCATCATACGTACCATCCTGTCTAGATTCGAGTTATGGGCTCTCAAGCAGCCTGTAGGTACTGAGTTTTCAGAGTCATCACAAATGTCGAACTCGGCGAAAACTTCCGCAGAGTAGTCTAGCATCGCCACAGAACTAGAATCCGCAAACATCAAAGGAATGTCCACAATCCCCTGCCAGAACCCTGAAAGCGCGCTGAAGCCATCGCTGTGCAAGCTCAGTGTTTGAAAAGTGGGACCTGAATGCACTCACTCCAGATTCATAATTCCAATACTCTGACTATCAAAATATCGTAACAGGTCTGTCCGGCGGAATCTTGCTGCTAACTATAGACAGTATATTAGTAACAAGACTTTCTATCGTTGTTCCCGCGTGACACGCGGGAAAATAGATAAAACTCACGCCGATACAAGCGAATACTCGCCCATCTCCGCTAGCATCGTCATCAAATACGTGATATGGAGATATCTCTACGTTACGGAAGGCCCCATCAACTTCTCGAACGGTGCCAAATAACATGAGCCTGTTGCGTCTCTTATTGTCTTGGACAACGGTGAAAGCATTGAGTTGCGTACAGGACCTTGGTTCGCATCCGCCGGTGACCTCCTTGATGAAACGTGCAGAGATGCTGGCTTTACAGAAATTCGCAGCAGCTGATTTGAAAAACAAGCTCACTTCTTGGGAGTTTTCAATACCTTCCAGACCAATGTTGACGCCTGGAATGTTGAAGCGCAGCTTCCCGGAGGCCCATCATATGCCAAAGGTTTCCAAGTTCTGCGCGGCCGCTTTCTCAACGTCTCCCGATCAAGATCATCTGCATCCGCGCTAGCTCCCATGATGGCTCCGTGGATTCTCTTATGGCGACGTGGACCTGTCTGCGTGCACGATTTTTCATTTGTGTATTGTGAACCCACTGCCATACCAGGTGTCGAATGAGGTTGTCGTAGATCCAGGAGAGAGCGCTGCAATTTCTTGAGCCGCCGATGAGACAAGGTTGTCGTACTCCGACTGTAGTCAGTACAGCCGACCTGCCGCAACTCCGTCGGTGTCCTGTGAGAGACCGTAAAGAACAGCTTCATGGACCTGATCCTTCATAAGAACAAGTTGAGTCAAGACTGACTCCTTGCTTTCTCCCAAAAAGAAGATCTTTCGCCCACTGATCTTTTCCACCGCAGCTTGTTCCGAGATTTTGAGGTGCAGATCATCAATTTTGGAGCTCAGGACATCCATCTTGGTCAAGTGGGCTCTGTGGACATGAGTGAGTTGCTTCCTGGTTTTATTGTGCTCCTGGCGAGAGATCGAGCTTGCTTGAGAAAGATCTCTCTGTACCGCTTTCATATCTCTACCATGGCCAGTACTGCCTAGCATGGTTCTCTGCTGATGTACTAAGAGTTTCTTTTGGCCTTGACTAATTGAAATCGACCTGTGATTCAAAATCGATATTAGAGCTTGAAGACTTCGGTTAATAGTGCGTTCGAAGACCTGTGCTGTAAGAGCAGCATCTCGTCTAGACCAAAGTTAGAAATCGGAGAACTCGGTTGAGGCCAGCATGGCCGGCGAATAAATATACGAACCTTCCAACCAGAGCCAGAGTAGTATTCAATGTTGATTTTGACTTCTCAAGACTCTGTTGTGCTTTGGCAACTCTACGTGTATCGAGTAACCACTGAATCCGTCCGTAGGATTTGCTTGGGCCACGATGCTTCCTAGCGATGGTGACGAGTGACTCTAGTTCGCGCTTTAGGTTTCTGATAGAAGAGGCAAAGAGCGAAACTGCTTTGTCAAGACCAGAGTTTTCAAGAGATGCCTAAGAGTCCGGCGCGCCATTGTTGAGAGTTTCTAGGTAGTCTTTTGACGCTTCCACAATAGGTGTGGTTTCTTGCAGGCCGAGGCGCAACTTCTCTACCTCCGCCGGTGCATCTTTGATATCACTCAGAAAACGGATAGACCCTGTGCCGGCTTGTAAACCGACATCAGCAGCCCCAATCACTGCGCAAGCGCTGGCAGCAGGAGACAGCGGGCCCATAATCGGGGCACTATCATGGGAGACGACAAGAATAACAACATAATGTACATGAGAAGAATGAACACCTCTTTGCTGCAAAGTATTAGAACAGCCTCAAGCCTGTTCTGCAGAGATCAAAGAAACTGAGGCTGAGCCTGGATTTTAGAGCTCGGAAATAGCTGGTGCAAGACTGCAGCCGCCTTCAAACGGCACTGGTGTGATACAACGGGCGTGTACGACGTGTACGACATGTCTCTATACTGCATGCTAGTCAGTTGACTCCTTATAAAGAAGCTAGGCGCCACTGGCACGGATGGACCAAATCGCCCGCGGGCTCGAAGGAGCCCCTTGTCCACTGCTTGCAACAATCGGATGGCCTGAGGGTCCTTGACAAGGCTGTGCGGCGGGAAAGAGCCCCTTTATTTCTCGCCATTCAACTGGCACTTATCCGTTAGGTACTGTACTGCGCATTTACTTAGGTTAAGTTGCCCTCAGTAACTAATTACCAACGAGGGTATCATCTTTGGCTATGGAGATGTTGACTTGACCAAGGCGAGGCCGACGCACAACATTTGTCTACTTTCTCAATGATGAAGTTTCACACATGAACATGAACTAAGATGATTAACGACTTCTGGCAGGACCACGCAATTCGACCCTTATAGCGGGCAGCACCCGTATTCTGCTCGCGTCGACCAGCACATCTCGTTCAGCTGAACGAGTTGATATTGTACAACCACCGAATGTTGCGAACACAACCTTGTGTCTCCACTCAGTGACCAACGTCACAATTCGGCCAAGAAGCAACAGACCACGTCATCAAATTGGTGGAGAATCACCGGTGCACACTGGGAAGAGCTCGACGATAGGCTTCGAGTCCCTACCAAGCTAAAACCTGGTATTGTGCAGATGGCCATGTTTGGTTAACGAAGAATTCGTGGTATAAAGCAGCACATCCCACTGACGAGCACTTCTATCATTTACTTGTGATTTCCAGCGCTGTTGGTGAAAACGAAATATGTGGGAAGAAGACAGTGATTGCGTTGAAACTTCAGCATATGTGTAAAAGACCTCGGTATTCATTTAAATGAATGAGTAATTAGGTAAGGGAGTTAGGTCTCCAATGTCCAACCTGCCGACATGACAATAATTTGATGACAAGATAGTCTCTGAGACCACTTTGTATATTTACAACACTCTGCCCTTGACCTGTTTCCTCTTCCTAGTATCAATAGCTCGCCACATGAGAACAGCCGGAAAGCCCAGAGCAGTGATTGCGGTAGCCGCGATCAACATGATTCTCTGAGAATTACCGTAAGCATTCTGGATGCCAACTCTCGTTGGATCTCCTACAGGATAACTGAGCTGCTCAACTAGACTGCCCGCAATGATGGTCGCGTTGGTCTGGCTCTCTGCCGGGAGGTATCGTGCAAGGTCGGAGGTAAAGGTTCCTCCCCACACAGCGCCAGCGATCGAGCCGCCAATGGCCCCACCAATGGAGTTGAAGACTGACAGAATAGCCAAAACAACGGCGATATATTGATGAGTAGTGGCTGCCATGGCGCCAACTTGTTGACAGATAACGAGCGTACCACCTCCGAAAGCGATGAACAGTTGGCACATGACGATGTAGCCAATGTTGACATCTGGTTGGCGGAAGACGATCATAAGTACAATACCAAGAAACGTGAGCGGCATGCCGAAGAGCAGAGATTGCCACTTGAAGTCGCCTGTATATCGTAGGATAAAGCCCGAGATAAAACTCCAGAAGCAAGCGCCCATGCTGTAGATATTTAGGACGTATCCAGTCTGCACAACATTAAGGCCCGGCACAACCTGCAGGAATGAGGCAAAATAGCTGTTCCAGATATAGAACTCAATGAACAAAATGGCAGCGATCAAAGCGCACCCGAGGATTGTCCGATCCTTTAGCAGGTGGAACGGAATGAATGTGACTGGCGCAAACTTCCATTCCCAGATGACGAAGGCAATGATGATGACGAAGCCTAGAATCAGCATTGAAAGCACCAGAGCGGAAGACCATTGCTCCGAAAGTGTTAGGCCTTGGTACGGGAAAAGACTGAATGGCAGCAAGAAAAGTGCAAGGCCAGTGATGATGAGGAACAAGCCAATGGCATCGCATTCGACCGCGTAGAATTTGATCGATTGCAGTATCGTGCGGCCGGAATCGCGAACGGGCACAAGGCCCGCCTTGACGGCCTTTCGTTGATAGTACATCAATAGGACGATCAGTGGTAGGTTGAGCACTGGGTGGAGGATAGAAAAGATTCCGAACGCCCAGCGCCATCCGGGGCCGTTGAGCATTGCCTGTGCAAAGTAGCCAGATGTGAAGGTTGTGATTAGGTATGGCGAGGCGATGTAGGCGAAGATAAGTCCTCGATTCTTGAGCTGCGAAGTATCGGCAAGGAGCACGCTCAGGATATAATTTCGGTTGTTCCCACTGCACCAACTTGATCAGAATACTCGTTCTGGTCAGTAGCAATGAAGACAGACTTACCCTGCTTGACTGAAGACTTCCGCCGCAGCATAAGTTTGAACATTGTTTGTAGCTGCCATCATAATGGATCCAAGAGTCATGAGCGTCACACATATTGCAAGGCCTTCAGGGCGTCCCCAGACGTCAATAAGCTGTGTACATGATTAGTTGACTGAACCATTAGAGTGAGCTTTGACAGGCACGCACCTTGGCGAGGGGAAGTCTGGATAGTCCAGCAACCAGTTGAGCGACAACTCCGGTGATGGCAGTGAGACCGTGTAGGGAGAACTCGCTGGTGACATACGGTGTCAATTGCCAACCAGTTGGGCCTTCAAAAGCGTCAATGAAGTAGATGACCCAAACCCTAGTATTGTCAGCATTGCAGCAGAACGCAAGCCTGGGAGCGTGACTTACCAGGCATATGTAAAGTACAATGCCCATTTTGGCCAAACTTGAGCCATACCCTCGATCTTCTGGACACCAGTCTGCATGTCCTTGTGCACGAGCTCATCACTGTTGTCAGAGTCCTCGGCCGCGACAGACTTGATGTTCTTCGACTGATCGGCATCGAGCACGATTGGTTCACCACCCGTCGAGCCATGTTTTTCGTTGGCAGTGACAGAAGAACTTCTAATGATTTCGGGCGACCCTGCACTGGGGTCAGGCCGTAGCCTATCGAGTATACCCATGTTAATGCAAATACTTGGCTTAGTGGAATGCCTAGGTTGTAAAGGGTGAAGAATTGATAAGATTAGATGGACATAGAGAAGGGGTGGGCGAGACTTTAATACTTTGGATAGGTTTTCATTTAGTCATTGATCGGCATGGCACCCTCCAAAGACAAGGTATATAACTTCGCACTAGATTGGAAAAAAAATGCCCAGGTGGTCGCGACAGGCACCGGCCATGTCCTGGGCATCGTCTTTTTTTTCAGGCGGGGATTGGCACACTTCAGAAGATCTCATATTGTGGTTCGATGAAGCGCGTGCAGACTATTACCGATAGTCGGCATGCTATCGTGTGGGTTTCTTGGTGGAGTCCCCCTTGAGCCACAACAGCATCAACCCCGAATTTGGTGGCGACGAAGACTTCAATACGTAGTACTCGGTTCATAGTGTCTGTAAGATTTGATCAGATAAGATGACAGAAGCAGCGGCCTACTGGCAGCGAGCCAATGAGTAGCTTCCTCTTGAGGGCGATTTCCCACTGCCCAGAGCTCGGCGTGGGAGTACCAAGGAGATGCCAAGTAGAATTTCCGAGCTCCAAGTGGGCGTCGGCTGGGAAAGATCGTCAACGAACATGGATTCATGTGTGGAATGACGATCCGGCAACCCTGAACTTCGGGTTCAAAAATTCAAAAATCCAACACTGAGTACACGCATCGACGTCGAACTGCTGAGACGAAGCAGCAAGAAAGGTGCGACAAAGATTCTTTTGGTGAGGACCTGGACAGGTATAATTTGAAGGCTGATGATAATTGTCGGTATTCTGTCCGTAGCGACAAGACACCCACGCGCCGTCCTCGATCGTGCTCGCAGGTCCAGGTGACAGGGACGGCAGGATCTCAATGGCGCCCCCTTGGCACGACAGGGGAAGCTTAGGATTGCGGTATTTATCGTTCACAATTTGTCAATACATAACAATAATCAATTGATGTTCCTTCGCCGAGTAAAGGGTGCAAATGTTTCGACGCGATGATGAGCGAACATACAGTCTGGTCACATATCGGATACGTGCTCCGATGTCCTAGCGAGCCAGGCTGTTGATCAATACTTCGCACGACCAAATTGTCCCAGTGGTGGGGTACATTCAGACTTTTAGCATTAAACTATGAGGTCTTCGAACTCGATCTCGATCCAGGAACATCGAACCTTGATGGGAACGTACGGATGCGCATAGAGCGTTAGCCACAACGTAGCCTTTCACATACGTAGAACTATCACAGATTTCTGAGACCACCTAATAAGCGTAATTAATAACCCTCTTTTTTCTACCTGTGGGTGTATTGAAAAGAACATTAGCACGCTCGCTCTCGATGTGAATGGGGAAGAGCATTGAACTCATGTCCCGGTCAAAAAGACCTCCAGGATATTTGCACTGCCCTCAAGATGGGGAAAGGTCGTGACAGGTCACGTCGAATTAGCCACCTACACGATGATATGAGGCGACGCAAAGTCGGAGGGTCAGATCCACCAAGAGTCTGCAAAAACCCTCTTGGATGTTATCTGAACTTTCTACTATGGTGTTCTCACGAAACTAGACTCTCCAGCCAAATGCCGGATTTTCCTCGATTCTCTACAATGTTGCTCCTCTACCGCGATTCTGGAAGCGAGGTTAGAAGAAAGTGAATAAGGCGGTGTTATCTCGATACTACATAAATTCGTTACGCAGTAACCTCGCGTACTTTTCCTAGCCTTGCTGATGGCGTCATTATAGATATGCTGGCCTTGTGTTTCTTGAACATTTCTCAGACCGACGATGCGTGATCCGTGCTGGGTCGTCTGTTTGTTCTTCTACCACTTGAAACTTCAGGTAGTGCAAGTTCGCATGGGCTTAATGAAATCTAGAGTACGGATCCTGAGATCTTTATCCCAAGTTCGAACATGGATAGCGATCGATATTTGCGCTGGTCAATCAAGACGTACTGCATGCGATAGTGACATTGCCTGAAGCTTCGAGAGGCACGATAGCGGCTCAAGTTATTCTTCCCAGGCGTTATGGAGGTTTCTGGTGAGTAGATTCGCGTCTGTGTCAGTCGCTGGAGACGCGCCGATCGAGGTGTGGATTTGTCTTTGACGAAGGATATCAAAGTGGATAAGTTAGTTACTGAAGCGCGAGGTTCCAATTCATGAATTGCAGGGAGCCCGACGACCGCCTTGCAAAGGAGCCCGAGATGGTAATAATGCTTGTGGTGGATTGAAATGCCACGATCGTAGTTCTTGTGCCATGTTTAATAGGTACCTTGTACCTCGTACTCCGTACGGGTAGAAGCTTAAGCTTTCCCGTTTGCTATCTCTAACCCCACAAAAGAGAAGACACTCCTCGCGGATCAGACCAAATCTGTGCCATTCTACCCACATTGTAGTTGAATACGGCACCATTTTTCCCAGAGATTGTTCTCGTCACGACTCACAATGGGCTCATTGGCCAACGGTCATCAACTACGAGGGCTTGATGGGCGGGGAGGAGGTGCGAGTTGGCTTGGGCTCATAGCAGGATGACCACCCCTTCCAAGCTACCATAAGCCTGACGCGGGTGCTAGCCACAGATGCAATAGACCCGAGCCAACTCCTCACTTTCCCTCCAAATTCGTGTCCATGCTTACCAGCTAAGGCCAATCGCCTATCTGAATCAATTCTGGAGCCCAATTGAGTGAGCGCCTCGGCATCGTCCTCGGTAAAGTCTATCAAGGTCCATTTGTTCCTGTCCCCTGAATCTTTTCCCATCTAAGCCCGCCTTTGCAAATGGACGACTCACTCATCCTAATAAACTGGATTGCTAAGTATTCAGCTCAAGTTGTCTAGAAGAAGTTGTACTAGTCTGTTCGGCGAAGTATTGACTATCTTCTTCAATGAACACCCTACTAGAGACTATTTCGTCACCCCAACACCGCTCAAAACGGGGCAGTAAAGCATATGGTGGGTGTTGGACCTGTCGAGATCGCCGTGTGAAATGTGACGAAGGTCGACCACATTGCAAACGGTGTGAGATGGCTCGCATTATTTGTAATGGGTACAACATCAAGTTGACGTGGATGGATCTTCCAGAAAGTCCCGAAGGCAGGCAGCCATCCTGCAAGACCAGACGGAAACATTCCCAAAGGTCCAGAATGCCTCCAGCAGAAATAACTCTCCCTCCCAAGCTCACTCGTGCAGAAGTCGCTTCGATTCAACACGAGCTTAACGCCGTGCAGTCGAAGTCTGGCACGTCCTCCTTCAAAGACCTTTTCTCTGTCTTCTACTCTCAGCCGTTGGTGGTTAACCACCACCGAGTCTTCGACTCGGTGCCGTCTATCTGTCAGATTAATTCGTCTACTCAATGCATAGACCAATCAGCCCTCAGCTCTACCAACGATGATTCAGCTAATTTGTATTATTATGGTGAAGAAGGCTCAGGGAACACCAGCACCGATATACGTTTACAATCACCAAATTCTTGTGATACTCCAATGCCGCAGCTACATGAGCACTCGGCCAGCCAAGTAGCGCGGAATCACTATCGAGCTTATTCAGAAGAGTCTTTCCCCCTCGCATTTCCTCTGGTCCTGGACATGTTGTCACCATCGGCTTACCCTCAATCATTTTTAGACACGTCGGCACCATTGACCTCAGCCAATTCGTCCTTGAATAGGCCTATCGAGGGCTCCGGCTATGGCCCAGATTCTTCATCAATATCTACTGACGATTGTCAAGCCACTTCTTCTCCAGATCATGACTTGAAAAAATCCTATTTTGATCAGGACAGCGACTGCTACTTTCGCAGTATTCCCCGTATTGAGTTCATAAAAGCACCAGCTGAGCAAAAGGGGCTCATCCATCACTGGATTACTTCGCTTTACTTGGGGATGTTACCAGTTGCAAGAATTGATAAACCCCAGCACAATATGTTCATGCCAATCGCGCTGGCTGGATTAAACTCAGGACTTCAACAGTCAACTGCAGAGATGGCCGTGTTTCACGGCATCTGTGCTGCTTCGGCATTCAACCTTTCGATCCTAAAAGGTCCCGAAAGCCACTTTAATCAGCTCGCTACCAAACACCGACAGCTCGCGCTTTACCATCTGCGCCAGTGCATGGAGAAGGGCCAGGCCAAGAGCGAATGCGTCTGGGCGGCCATCATAACATTTGTGTTCCAAGCAGGAGTACTCGGCCAGGGAGGTGAGTGGAGAGCCCATATAAAGGGTTTGAATTTCGCCATCCTCGCCAATCCGCACCTGATTCGAAACAGCCATGTCGCACAGGGTATCTACGAGACACATCTTTGTCTTAGCATTCTCGGAAACACTCAAAGTGATGTCGACCTCAAGACGTTATGGCCTCCTGGACTGGACTATATTGGATCGGTTCATGGAATGACTCTGTCTATACTAGAGATTGTTTCCAAGATTAACAATCTCAGCTCAGTCAAGCCATACCCATCACCCACAATATTGGACAGGCTTGAGATGGAAATCTTACTGTACTCTCCCGAAAGCGTGTCAACGCAAGGGCTTGACGGGCGCTCGGCGAAACTGCTCATTCACTACTCCTATATCTATAAATATGCAACTCTGATACATTTCCACCGTGTGATTCACGGAAAGATGCCATGTAAGTTGCAAGATTTGGTTGAAATTGCGATTGAGCATCTAGAATCGTCTGAAGAGATAGGAAACCGGCCCAAAGGCTGCATTTGGACTTGGCCCTGTCTGGTGATCTCCGCTGAGTGTACCACACCACAACTGCAGAGTCGAATGCTCGCATGGTTTGATAGTAAGAAGAGGCATGGATTCAAGAATCTGGACGGCGCATGCAAGCTTTCAAGTGAGCTGTGGAGGAGGAGACTTCTGCACTCCGAAGACCCGAAAGACCTGCATTGGCAAAGTTTGATCCATGAAACAGAATACGACGTCCTCCCACTTTAGCTGTATGTGCGAATAAGCCCATGTTTTGAAGACAGAATAGAATGAACATTGTGGTCGTTTACAATCACATGTAAGAACTGCCGTACAACGGTGGACCCAAGTTGTAGATCTATCTAAGCACTTACAAAAGCTGGAAGAACAAATTGGAACAGACAGAGATTGAAATACTGGTGAGGCTCTTCGCAGAACATTTTGTACATATAGCTGTAGGCATAAATGAGCCGTAAGTCCCTGAACATTGGTCTGAGCATTGGGGACGGTCGTCCCCCACAACTGACAACGTTGCAGGATAACGCACCAAGCTGTGATCAAGTCCCGTATTCTATGGACTGAGCTTTGGACACAAGTTCGAAATCGCCCCCGGTTATTGTTACGCTGCGCACGCTGTCTATCATGGTTCTTCTGTTTTGTTTGGCAGGTGTCCTCACCAGATTCACGTACTCCGGATGCAAGAGAACGCCTTTTATGGACATATTGTAGACCCGTATAAATTGTCCATACCGTTACTTATTCCAGATCGATTGGACCTATCCTTGAACCTTTTTGTCTCCCTGTCCCAAGTGTTTAGACCAGTTAGATAGCAATCAAGGGGTCTGGTTGTGCTACCTCTCGACGTAATCCGATGGGACCCGCAGTTTGGCTGTGGTTACCAATATAATCAGAGTATGCTCTAAGCTCACCGCGGTTTCCAATTAATTAGGTAATCAACTTAGAACTTTCGTTTGATAATAAATGACCGCTTGGAATTAGCAACAAGAGGTACGAAGGACAGTTGTAGCGCTAGCGAGCTGCATGTATGGAAGCTCTTGGGGGTTGCCTCCGACCTACGACGATCCATGCACCATCGTCGGATTAAGAAACCAGGAGCGAACCAATCAATATTTTCGCTTCCTGGCTAGCCAGGTTTGTCCCTCCAGTCCCTCCGCTGGTGACATGACGAAGTACTAAGTACTCTTGAAGACTCCCACAAGCTGGAGTCTAGCAAATGAGTTTGGTTAAGATCAACGGCTCAGATGCCCATTGTCACAATAATGTAATAGATGTAAGGGTCTTTGGGTCAATTGAAAAATGAGGCCAAGAGTCCACTTCAAGATATAAAACTCACCAGTAGTGCCTCCTTGTCCTCTGCAAAAGCAGTCAAAGTTGGTCAACTCGGCCATCTTTCGAAAGGCTCAACGGCCACACCGCAATTTGAAAATTCGACATTCCCGAAATTCGTCAACTCCCAGACAAACAATCTCACTTGCCCACTCATCAAAACCTTTGATAAGGAAGGAGATATGTCGACCGCACAGTATTTTCAATCCCCCGGTCCCCTAGGGGAACTATACGAGGCCACGGGTTTCTCCCACGCCGTCGTCTTGCCTGTCGGTGCCCAATTAGTGATCACCTCAGGGCAACCTGGCCTTAACCGCCAAAAGCGCGCGACGGCGACCGCAGCTGAGCAGATTGAGGGATGTTTCGACAACGTTGACACTGCACTGAAAGCAGCAGGTGTGACGGAAGGACTTTGGAAGGCACATAAAATCCAGTGTTTCTTGCTTGACGTCTCTCTAGAGCCCACCATGATGGAGATCTGGAGGAGGAAGTGGCGAGGTCATAGGCCAACATGGGCCACTGTGGGAACAAGTGGACTATGTGGACCGGGCATGATTATAGAACTTATTGCTGAGGCACATATTGTGCCAGAGAAGACTACCCAGCCTTAATGTACGTGGTGTGATGTATCGCGATGCGTACATCTTGGGTAGATGAACTCGCGAAGAAGATCCAGTTAAAGGCTTTGCGCTCAGTTCTTCAGTGGCCCAGTGGCTCCCCTGTGCATACTTGAGCATTCGGAGTCTCGAGTTTTGCTTATCTAAGAAGTACAGAGCTCTCGTTCATCTTCTAGCTCCATAGCCTGCTGCTCCGCGTAATTGAATTCCTAACGCTGTCAACACAGCTAAAGGCTTATCAACGTAGGCGTATCGAGCCTAAAACTCAAAAAGACCAGTGCTGCTTTTTCCAATTCTGATCCAATCACTTTCGTCATGCAAGTGTTATGCTCACCTTAAACTCATCGATGTCGAAATTTGCCTGAACGCGTTCTTGCTTGACCTGTCGACTTCGGAGCTAGCCTATTCTCTGTCGATATTGGAGATACTTGGTGCTAACAACCAAGGGCCGATCTGGCTCTATCAAATTTCGTAAGTCCAGAAGACTACAGCAAAGAACTGAGTGAATAGAAGACAGATTGGTCGAAACGCCCGTTATAACTTTCCCTTTTTGTCCGATCGACGGGATCTCACCACGCGATTGGATAATGTGAAGCTTTTGGGAGAACTTTGAAGCTGGCACAGCTGCATGTCGTAATATCTGTGAGACAAGAGCCTTGTTGAGTAGTAGTCTGGCTCAATTAGGAGTCTAGGTAGTTGAGAACTCAATGCGGACTCTGGAATAAGAACTGTAACCTAATATGTCGAGCCATGGGTTCTTAAAAGCAGGGATGAACTTTAGACACAGATCATTTTTGACTTAGTACCTAGTAACTGCCGTAAATACTGAACCTATCCTCCACTCATAAATGCTCTCAAATCTCCCCTCTTCAAACAGTCTCGGGATCGAAACCAAGCAAGGAGACCCTGTCTGGCAACTAGTTCGTCCCATCGACAAAGAAGCCAAAGCTACTTATTCTCAGTTCCACCTATTCAAACCACGCAATCCTCCGACACCCTAATTAGTATTAAAACCGGTCAAGATGTCTTTCAACCGTGCAGTCAACCACATTGCCATATCTTGTACGGATCTCGAGGCGCTCACGAAATGGTATATGCGAAATTTTGGCTTCGAGCTCATTGGAGCCGTCAGGCACTTTAAACGATCAGAAGACCCCACGCCTTTCGAGACTATCTTTGTTTCATACCCCGACACCTTGAAGGAGCTGAAGTTTGCTATCCTTACAGCTGGCAATGGCGTGGGCCTAGAGCTATTTCAATTTATCGACCCTGCACCGGCATTTCGTGGCCAAGAATTCGAATTCACGAGACCTGGCTACTTCCACATCTGCATTACCGATCCTGATCCAGAAGGGTTGTTGAAGAACGTCATCAGCGATGGTGGTAAGCAGATTGGCGACTGGATGGATTATAGTAGGTACGGGTTATATGGCCAGAAGGGCGTGTATATGCAAGATCCTTGGGGTAACACAGTTGAGGTCATGTCGTTGAGCATTGAGAGAGTCTGCTCTGCCGGCGGAGGCATTGCGTGGTACAAGCAACAAGAACTGGAAAAGACTGGTAAATTTTCGTGAAAGGGATGTATCACTAGTCATTAAATGAGGGCGATAGCTGCCTACGTGATGCGCTAGTCTTTTTCCTCGGTCACAATTGTACTTCCCAAAACAAGAGTCGTACTTTCATCGAGTTCAGATTGTGCACGAAAGCCTCCTATTACTACATACTCCGAACAATATGTTCGTGTTTGGATATGTTTACATCTGAGATGATTGGAAAATCTCCAAATTAGTTGCGATGAATGAGCCGACGAATGCTGATGTGAGGCGTGTATCTGGTCACAGGTAGGCAGACTAACTCGTACCCAAGGCCATTCTCGAAGCCGAGGACACGGTCATCAGAATCTCCAAAATTACCCTTATCGCCAACAGGCTCTCGATACCTAAGCCATTGTGGACTAATGAAGTGAATCGACATAGGCGAGCAATTGGCTCAATCTCGCAGAAGAATCCTCGCTCGTGACTTCCTATTTGAGGGGCTCCAAAAGTGCAACAACTCTAAAATGGAAGGGTGAGTGGGGATGTTTGTGTGGTCGGTAATCGGCAATACTCCTATCGCTTGCCAACGAAATGCTCAGCCTATCTACTATCTCCATAAATTATGTTTCCAGGCTGTAGAAGAACCTCCCACTTAGGATGGAATCAAGGCCCACGCCCATGGACTAGACCTTGGGTTTGAGTTGCCCACTTCTGATTGTTCCCACGCATGAGAACATTGAAACTCCCATTCGTTTAGACAACTCCACATAAAATCATATGGCTGCGGTGTCACAATCTGGTGTCTTCGACATTGTCGTGGTTGGAGCTGGTCTTTCTGGGCTGCCTGCTGCGCATCTTCTCCAAAAATTAGGTCTATCAACAATAGTCCTTGAGGCTTGCAACCGAGTTGGGGGCAAGACACTGACAACAGACCGTGTGGATGGAATAACAATCAGGCAAGAATACGGCACAGCGTGGTTCAACGATACGACGCAAAGTCACATATGGGCGCTTGCCCGAAAATTGGGAATACAGGGCTTAGTACAAAATTCTGAGGGTAAGACAGTGGTTCAGGACTTAGGTGGAAGTTGCATCGAGTTCCCATTTGGCGAGACACCTGTGGTTAGTCCCCAATACTTTTGCTCGTTCGGACACTACTGAGTTGACCAAGTACTCATCTGAATTTGACACAAATCAACGTATTGCAATCCGCGATCTGATCGAAAAGGTGACCACAGATCCAGGTGGCCCACTTCAGTCACCCTCGCAGCGCAAAGAATTGGACACTCAAACGTTTGAAGGTTATCTGTACCGCAATGTCAACGGCAGTACTCGAGCCTACGCCACAGCGAAGGTGTGGTCGCAAACCCTGATCGGCTGTGATCCTGGAGAGGTCTCTGCTTTGTTTATTCTTGACTACATTCGAGTTGGAGGTGGGTTAATGCAGATGCGACGCGATAAACGGGGCGATGGTCAATACATGCGCATCAAAGACGGTGTTTCAGCATTCCCGGAGCCGCTTGTCCAGCGTCTTGTTCCAGGAATATTGAAGTTAAAGTCTCCCGTAACAAGCGTTACGGAACTGAACGATTCAGGCTGTTCTTTGGTCAATACATCTGGGACGTATAGACCTTAATCTTATCGAGCGAAGCGGGTGATCATGAGTATTTCAACTCCTGTCTATCGAACTATACCTTCTCACCACGTTTATCGGCTGCCAAGCGTGCTTATGTCGATGGGACGCGATACCCCCATTACATCAAATATCTCGTAGTTTTCAATAAGCCTTTCTGGAGGGATAATGGCTATTGTGGCTTGTCAATGTCTCTCACAGGCGCAGCCTGTGTGTTCCGAGATGCTAGCATCGAAGAAGGCGATGGCCAGAGCTATCGCTTCACCGCATTCATCGCCGGGTTTTCCGCCAGAGCCTGGTCTTTTCTTCCCCGCTCAGAGAAGCAAAGCAGTGTGCTCAAACAACTCAGCCAGATGTTCAATGGCGGCAAGGATGTCACTCCATGGTTCATTGAAGCCCTCGAGTCGCGATGGATGACCGAGCAGTATTTCTGGCTGGGGCTGCCCTATCCCTATACTACCACCAGAAGTTTTCAATAAATGTTGGGACTCGTTCGTTGCTGCAAAAGGCAATCTAAATTTCATCAGGAATGAGACCGCTACACTCTGGAGGGGATGTATGGATGGAGCAATCAGGATGGCCGAGAGAGGTGCCGCCGAAGTCGTTTCAGCGTTGAGAAAGGAGAAAGCACAGCTCTAGCAGACCTTTCAGGTGTCTACTGCTGTCTACTGCTGTCTCACACTTGGTCATAGAACATTCTTTTCCTTTCGGGTCTAGACTCCAACAGCAGACGTTATATCTATCTCAAGGAGGTAGGCAACGTGAATAGAAATACCTCATTAACATCTTTGTAGTCGGTATGGATGAAAGTCCCCTGATATAAGTAGTTCAAGAATCTTGTATTACCATTAAAGCCACTGGGTCGCGCTGTGAGCATAGGCTCATTCTGTAATGGTAGACCTCCACAAGCAAGACCACATAGAGAAGGCGGAGCCTTGTCTCATGACATTTAACCCCAAATCCACTCAGAGTTACATGTTTTTGAACGCCCAGCCGGCCTTGATATTTTCAAGGTAAATCTTTATTCAAGTCCCACTACTACCAAGCTATATGTGAATAACACTCCTGATAACCTGAGATTGGTTGACTTGAATCGCTCGAGGCTCTCTCCCCCAATGATGCTTGGGACCGCCTGACTATCGTGCTGCAACCGAATAAGGAAAGAGCGAACGAATACCCTGGATTTATTACTACATTATGGGTCTTGAAGCTAAATTAAATCGGCCGTTTTTGACGGGGAAGCTTACACGACACGACAATTTGAGATTTGATAACGGTGGGCACAGTGACGTGGCTTATCAGATATTAACTTCACAATCTCTTCTTCAGATCGAGCCCTGAATTAATCTAACAACGTGTAGAGTGAACCGAGGCTTAGAGCTCATGTGTGATCGAAGTCGGTGACCAATGCGGAAAGGAATTGGTATCACTCGCCAAATAAGACCTTCGGGTGTTTCCCTGTCCGTGGTTGTGCATCACGAAATCATCGCATCTTCAATTCCCCACCACGACCGAGAAAATGTCCACGGAAAACGCAAAGCTTTCTCTCTTGCGAAGGCACCGTTTGCTCGCCCCCTCTGCCGCCGTCCTCGTCAGTCCAATATGCTTGGGAGGCATGAACTTTGGGGATGCGTGGAAATCCAAGCTGGGTGAATGCAACAAAGATACCACGTTTGAGATTCTGGACTATTTCTATCAGATGGGCGGGAATTTTATAGACACGTAAGTATCTGTGAATACGGAGTTTTGACACGACTGAGGACACCTTGGTCGGGTATCCTTCACCTGCCTTGTCCGGAAGTTGTGCTGATGCCAGGGAATTTAGGTCAAACAACTATCAAGCTGAGCAAAGCGAAGCGTGGATTGGCGAATGGATGGCCAAGTATCCCCATCGTCGTGACGAGATGGTAATTGCGACTAAGTACGCTGAAGACTGGAAGACTTACACTGGACCGCATCTTCTACAATCTAACTACGGCGGCAACTCGGCTAAATCGTTACATATATCAGTTGAAGCATCTCTAAAAAAGTTCCAGACAACATATCTCGATTTACTCTACGTTCACTTCTGGGATTACACCGCCTCAGTTGAGGAGGTGATGACGAGCTTGAACATACTCGTTAACCAGGGCAAGGTATTGTATTTAGGGATCAGTAATACGCCCGCTTGGATCGTGGTTAAGTGCAACGAGTTCGCTCGGCGACATGGAATGAGAGGGTTTTGCGTCTATCAGGGCCGATGGAGTGCCGCTGATCGAGATATGGAAAGGGATATCCTACCAATGTGTAAGGCTGAAGGTATGGCAGTGGCTCCGTGGGGCGCGCTGGGAGGTGGATACTTTAAATCGTTAGTTCTCCCTCCCAAGGTCCGCTAATAAGGTCTATGATACTGACATACCATTTTTCTGAAGTCCAACTCGATCACAAACCGATGATCAAGGTCGGACGTTAACCTCGTTGGTTGTTGGAAGAGAAGAGGCGCTCTCGATAGTCCTTGATAAAATCGCAAAGGCTCGGGGTACTCTCATCACATCAGTCGCATTTGCGTACATCATGCAAAAGGCACCCTATGTATTTCCAATCTGTGGAGGCCGCAAGATAAGCCACCTTAAAGGAAACATTGAGGCATTGGAGCTCGAGCTTTCTACGGAGGAGATTGACGAGATCGAAGCGGCGTACCCTTTTGATGTTGGCTTCCCATTGAATGTGATTAACGGCCCGAAACCACCTCTGGTACCGCAGGACAACATGCAGACGGCGGTCCGGGGAAAATTTGATTATGTGGAAGGTCCAAAACCTATCAGCCTGTCTCGCACCAAGGGACCATCATTGTAGCTGAGCAAAGTCTGATTCAATACAATCACTAGTTGCAGCACCATCCATTACTCAGCGTGAGCCAAGATGAATATTATCATAATCGAGCTCCTGAAGATCGAAATTCAAACGTGAAAGAAGGAGACTTGACACACGCGCCTGGCTTTGAGGACATATGATAGATACCTCGTATCACACGGTGATGAGAGGCCAAATTTAATGGTACCAACCCACGAGAATAGAAAAGGACATCGTTGTTGCTTGGGAGATACAGCGACTTGCTGATTGACTTCGGTTAAACAAATGTTGTCCTAAGCTTAATCAATGTGTTGTTGTCGAGCCCCTTACAATTTGGTCTGGTAGGGCCATGCGCCCTTCAGCTTGCTGGCCACACTAAAGTTCAAACCTGTCGCCTACGAAGTACGAAGTACGAAGCACGAACGCTACCTAAGTAGACATACATAGGGAACGAGGCTAAGAAATGAAGACATTCACTTAGTTTCACCGCCTCGTTCTGAATTCCCTATTTTGTCGTGGTCGTTCACACAAGAGCTCTGTTATCAGAATACCTCGGCACTGGACTCGTTTAAGATCTACCAACAGAACGAGTGGCACAGTTCAAGGACTTGTAGTTCAAAATATCACTACTGTAAACAGAGATGACCAGCTTATGAACAAGTCCTCGCCATCTCAAACTCTACACTGCGCGACGTCAGCCTGGCAGCATGAACATCATGCGCTGCCAGAGGTAGCATACCCATGATAGGGCTTTGACTAACAACAATTCTGCAAGGCGAAGTTCCACCACAAAATTGGAATCAGATCAAGTCCCGAAATCCATCGTTTAGTAATAACCGTTCACTGCATTGCAACTTGATAGAGTTCCAAGGGTAGATGGATTTCCGAATGGGAGATATCAACATGAAGCCAGAGTGGTCAAGGTTCTACGACGGCCTTAGAACGATACCGGCTTCAGAGGACGGAATTGAACATTTTCGACGGAATTGGACCAAGAAATATGTGGAAGATCCCGAACTCAAACCCGTTGTATCCTTCTCACAAGGATACCGAAGGCGCTAGGAGAGGACACCTTCTTTTCCAAATCGTTTAAAACCCCCGGCACGATTTCCAGGTGTTTGACTTTGGTCCGAAAGGATCTTCTGACCTCAACCGAAGACGAGAGCAAGCAGCACGCGCTGGACACCATCACTCTGTTTGATATTGGCTCGGATCTGAATGGCTACACCGACACGATTCACGGCAGGGTCCTGTGTGCATCCCTGGACGAGTCTTTGAGTGTCTGTGTCGAGATTCATCGCGCCAGGTCCCCTGCCAAACCAGCCGGTGCTTATACGGTTCGTCTCGCCACCGACTTTCGAGGTATGGTCAACAGTCCGATCGTCCTCATTGTCAAATCAAAATTTGAAATAGCAGAAGGCCGAAAGTGGTTCTTGAGAGGCACCATCGAGGATGAAAATGGTAGAGTCTTGACCCAGGCGGAAGGGATTTGGGTGTCGGTAAAGGAAAAGTTGTGAAAGTGGAAAAGCTGATTAGATGTCAAGCGCGGAGTGCTACCTACTTAGATGGAGACATGAGCAATCGTGATGCTCCAGATAACCCCCATGCAACTGTGTCGTACCCTGCGTGGCTTTGATGAATTGATGGGCGTTTCCCTGCGGATGACTTTCCTGACCTGCGCATCATCGTACCAGGTGGAATGACCATAACAACACCAGCCGCTCTAATCCAGCCAGGCGCAGTTGGAATCGTTGTACACCTGAGCTGTAACTCACTTCTTCATACCGAAGAGCTTGACATGCGTCGGTCAAAACAGTTAAGGCAACTTGCATTTCACATCAGGCCGTCCACTGTCCCTTCTCGACATTGAGGTGGCTTGTTGATTTTGAAGCCATATGTCTGTGTATTTCCACCAAGATGCTGCTTGTCAACATTTGCCCTATGTTTCAGAATTGTTCGTTAAAGCCGTTATGCTTGATCAATGGCCTCTGGCCCTGTGAATTTAGCGTATATTGCGACCCACTACTTTTTCTCCACCAGGACTAACCTTGGTCAACATCCCGATGACCTTAGTATTGGCGATGCTGCTCCTGCAGAGAGTTCAATAGCCTGAGTCTGAGGTGCACGTAAGACTTGAATAGCGCCCCAGCAGGCGAGAGTTTATGCCAGCCGCTGAGGCGTATCACATAGCCTATCGGCAGGAGGATTACTTCGCGTTGTGTAGAATACTGGCGTCGGAGAAGAACATATCGGGAATATGTGGGCTTCGATTCCGTCATCTGATTTCCCAGGAATTGGTGTGGCCGCAGTTCTACCGTAACGTGAGTAATAGAATTACTTGTGCGCTTCCAGCAGGCAATCTGCATATATTCTCCCACGTCAAATTATCATCACTTAGCATCGTCGTAACGATTAAAAGTCTCGAGCGAGCGATCTAGCTCCGTATGAGTTCGACCAGTGGTGTATCGACATCCATGGCACCATTGAGAACCGTCTCACCGTTGAAGGCAGTTTCTCCACGTCCACCGATCAAACCCCGAGCCGCATCGTTGTCCCTCTGATCCATAGTTTCATCCATATCCATGGTCATATTAAGGTCCATATCATTTTCGCCGGCTTTTTGACCACTCTTCCGGCGAGCTTGCTGTTCCTCGTTGGTCTCTTCGCTATCGATCATCCATATGCGAACATCTCGGTCTTTACCACCACTGGCAAGAAGACCTTTGCCCTCTTTGGTACGTCCGTAGTCCACACCTAAGACCACATCTCTATGGCCCTTGCCACGCCAGAGAAGGTCCTTGCTAGTAATATTCCAGACAAGAACGTCACCGTCTTCACTGCCACTAGCCACAAATGCCTCAGAAGCTCCACCCCACTGGCCGTTGGGATAGTAGTTACCCACGGCTCCACCTAGGCTATATTGTTTATTCACGTGGCCTTGGTATGTCTTTAAGCAGCTGCCATCCACGTAGCGCCAAAGCCGGATGGAGCTGTCTAACGTCCATGCTAGAAGATACTTTCCATTCGGGGTGAAGCGTACGCTCGTAACGGGCCTACGGTCTTCATCCACAAGTGTGCGAAGACACTGACCTGTGATGGCATCCCAGATTCGGATCAACCCATCAGCCGCACAAGAACAGACCATTGTGCCATCACGTATAAAGTCCACACCACCGACTGGATCGGAATGAGCAGGTAATTGACGCATAATACGTCCAGCGCGGACGTCCCACAAGAAGATGGCTTCATCATATGAACCAGACACTAGCATGTTGCCTTTCGGACTAAATGCTAGGCTGTAGACGTAGTTGCTGTGGCCTGTGATTGGAGAAGGTGAAATAGGGAAGTCGGATGCCAGAGGTGACCAGAGAAGAATTGATTTGTCGTCACTAGCCGAGGCCAACGAATATGGTGGTCCCACGGCTGACCATGCGATGGCATTAACGCCCGCCAGATGTGCACGAAGAGTACGTAGGAGTCTGAATGGCACTCCAGGCACCGGGTTGGAAGGGACGGAGTAGATATTTATGGTATTGTCAGCGGAGGCAGTAGCGAGTAATGTCATGTCGGGAGAGAACTTGAGAGAAGTGATTCCCCTAGCATGTGCACGAGGAATGGTGACAAGTGGGATGAAGTTCAAAGACTTTGAGGATTTCGCAGGAGTTGGAGAGGCCGACGGAGGTTTAGTTTCGTCGATCGAGGAAGCATATGAACGAAATCTTGACCGAGATCTCGACCTCGACCTGGATCTTGACCTCGAAGTCGATTGATGTCTGGTTCGGGATTGTCTTCGTTCAGGATAACCTTGCTCCTCGTCCGCAGTGTCGTAGACAGAAGAACTCCTGCTTATCCTTCGCCTGGATTGAGATCGGCTTCTTGACCGTCGTCGCTGCGGAGTGTCATTTTCGCTTCCAGCTCTGCTCCTTGAACTTGAGTATTCTCTCCTTCTTGTTGTTTCTTGACCCGACCGAGTCGACTCGGGTTGGCGGTGCTGGGGACGTCGTGCATGGGCATTTCTGGACGAAGACGAATCTGCACTGGAAGTGCGCCGCCTTTTGGATTGTTGGTAGCGATCTTCATCCATGTTTCAGGAGGCCCGCGATGTCTGGGAACTGTGGTTTGTAGGATGTTGTCTGTCGGCACACCAATGTAGGGATGCGGCCACAGCGCAGGAAAGGAAAATTAATTGGTACGGCGGAGTAGATGACGCGGTTGGGGACGCGCCAGATTTGGGGCATCCCCCAGTCAGCCGCTTGGCTCCTTCAGCCCCCACACATCACCTGTAATGGCTGACTCGTGGTGGCAGTCCTAGGCGCCAGTTAACTACTCACTAAGCGAGTGGTGGGAGGACACCATCAAATAATGCGACGGCGAGCACTGAGGAATCTTCTTTCTTGATACGGGCTTCCGATCAAACAAGCAATACCTCGTATAGCTAGCGAGATCTCTAATTGCGCCCAAAGACAATGCTTGGCTTCAACGGCGGTCACCCGGATCAATTCCTCCTTGTTGAATTCCTTCTTACGAGTAGCAGAGCCTTCCAGGTGGGGTGTCGTGGTGTGGAACGTGGTGTGGTTAAAGCTTAGGTGCCATGAGACGGAGCCCGCATACTTCGTAGGTTCAATCCCAGTCTCCCGTTATGCCTTGATACCGCACAGGCTGCACAGCTAATCAATCGCACTCCCGCCCATCCACATTGTACCCCAGCACTGCTTAAGTAGCTCCCGTGGTCTCCTATCATTCAACTGTGGTTGGGCTAGAGGACCTAGGTAAGCGAGCCAAAGCATCCACTGGAGATAAGTAGTTAGTTGCGGAGAGGTCTTGCACTAACTACCGCAATACCAACTCACAACTCACACCTCACAGATTCCCTCTCTTCCAGGCTTGTCAATTCCGCCACATCGAGATCTTAATCTCCATCAATTGATGACATTCATAAAGTTGTCGCAACCTGATTCTAATTCACTTTATTCTTGGATACATCAACCCTCCAGTTGCGCGGTATTATCTGATGATCACTGGGTATTTGTATTTGTCATGGAGTTGATGGCGCGGATCGCGACCATCAACCATAACACTTAGGCCTGAATATTACCCTGCTCCCTTGGACTGGCGCTGTCCCGGCTTTGTATATTTAATTCCAGTCCCTCTCGATGCCTCCTAAAAGGATCCGGACTACTGAAGGCTCGTGCTGGAGTTGTAAACAACGACGAGTCAAGTGCGACCTTCAAAAGCCCAGCTGCCGGAAATGCCTGGATGCTGGTGAGAAATGCAACTACAACAAGATCGTCCTCAAATGGAACACCCGTCCCACCAAAGGCGCCCCTGCTGCGAATCAATTATGTTTGTATCATCAGTCTCTCCCAGGCTCTCTGGGTTACTCACTAGCCACCAATGAAAAACGAGCCATAGAATACTTTCGACTGAGGGTCTGGCCATTATTTCACATGTCTGATACACCATGTCAAGCGCCTGTTGCTCTTGCATTGGGTGACCGATCTGTTTTATTGGCCACATGTGTCCTTGCCGATTCTCACCGTGTCTTGCACGATGGAAGGCATAGCAGAGAGAATGTTCAAAGCAAGAGACTGCATTGTTTGAGCACTTTGAGGAAGCAATTGGCTGAAGTATCCAATGGCGAAATGCTTCTGTCCTCTCTTCTGGTCGCAGTTCTACTCTTGTACTTCTCCGACGGCTATGTGGAGTGCAATCAGGAATCTGCGTCTACCTCGAGTCATCACGCCGGAGCTAGAGCTATCATCAATTCTATGGGCGGACTACCGACCATCATGAGTGGTGCAGACACTTCTATCAAGATGCTTCTCTCGGAGTTTGCAACAACCGATGTGACCAATGCTTTACTCCACGGCCGAGTCCCTTGCTTTCCCTCTGATGCTTGGGACGTGATGGATCCTGATGCTGTCTGGTGGGATAAATCTTCAGTTGGGATGGAATCGTTCGATACCATCTTCAAGAGGATGTCTGAGCTTGCCTTCTATCGTGATCTCGTCGAAAGAGATCCCAGTCTATTCACCATGGAGAGAGTTCAGGAGTTTGAAGCTGCACTTCACCCAGCATACGCTACCATGGCAACCAATACTCTAGCGGAGTTAGACTCTGAAGGGGATATTCATCTTGTGGATGAGGACATAGTTCCTTATCGTACTCTTTGTCGAGCTTTCCAACACAGTGCCAATCTTTATCTCTACCGCGCTATTTGCAATTTACCAACAATACATCCCTTAGTGCAGCAGCATGCCCAGGCTTGCTTGGATTGTATTACCGGATTGCCACCTGACAGCAAGGCGCTGAACTGCGCCCTTTATCCGATTCTGACTGCAGCAGCTCATACCCTGTCGGTCTCTAACCAGCAATTAGTGATACAGAAATTGGATATGGTTTACGAAAATTTGAAATTCGACTCTGTCACAACCATCAAATTATCGTTGAGGGAGCTTTGGGGTTCAGCACGACAACATGGATCGTGGAATGATATGTTTTCAGGTCTCAAGCAACAAACATTGGTTTTGTAAGACCTCTGGACAAACACAAACCCGAAGTGTAGCCAAGGGGAGGCTCCTCTAAAGTTTCACATACCTCCAGTCTTGCGATTCAAGAAGAGGCACGAGTTTCAGGAACAATGCCTGTTTCACAGCTCACAGGAACAACCGTGAACTTATGCTGGCAACGTCGCATATGAGAAATATCATTCTTCAATAACGCAAGATTACTGTTCTGTGGACAGTTTGTCTCTATCAGACCAAGGCAGCCATGTTATGACCACTCTAGTCTTCGTCACGGGGGCAAGGCCTAGCAGCCGTGTCGTGGCGCCTTTGGTGTTTATCAAGACAGGGCGGGGGCGCAAGGCAAACAGCACTGCAAGCGGACATGGGAAAACAAGGCGATTTGCGGTTCTCATTTTCGAGAACCCTGAGAAGTTGAGTATTCGCTGCCGAGCTTGTATCCTGGGATTCGAAAGCCGCGTGGCGATTACTCAGGTAGCTTGTGAGAGGCCCTGACTTAAGCTCAGCCTCGGCTCGTTTGGCATGCTACATCAACATGGGAGAGCTTTGAATTATCATCAATTCGAAGCCACTGGGGACCCATCAGCACTACAACTTCCTCCACCAAGACATCCAGGTTACCGTCGGACATATCTATCTCAACCCATACAGGTCTCTAGATCGATATTGGCGCTTCCTCATAAAGACGAAGGTAACAATGATAGCGATGGCGAGCAGACCTTCCCACGACGTCTGCGATACTACCTCTAATCACCGACTTTCTGCCGTCGGCCACGCAGGAAGACTCTGATATATCTTCTGACCCTGATGCCGCGGCTGTCGAACGCCTCGAGACACTGGCAGTGCAGGCGCTGGCTCTGGCTGTGATACGGGTGGCGATGTAAGCATCAGTGGCTGGCCAACCGAACAATATCGCTCGTTCTGATGCGCAAGCGTAACTGTACCATGAAATTATCGCGGCTCGTTCGATGTAGATACTCGAAACAGGAGGCTATGGAGCTTGGGCTAGCTACTTTCTGCGGCCGCTTTTTCAACATTTATCTGCCAATTCACCACTACAGGTCGGACGACCCAGTACTTGGAATGTCTTGATCATACTCATAGCAATCCTCATTATACGTACAATCGTCTTCCTTAACGCAACAACCCTGCAGTCCGTTGACGAACGCAGAGATCGGTCTGGAGTCGGGACATTCTGGTGTCGTACTGCTGGGATAATCTGGCGGTAGGCTGCCGCAGACCTGCGAATCTGCGTCTCGCGGCTCCAGGACAGGAGGAGTGTTGAATGGTTTCTTTCGTTTGGTAGGCCCTTTCGTGCTTTAAGGTTGAATACCAGTTGCTATTTGAGTCATATCGAGGATTGAGTTACCATGGGAATTGGAGTTTCTCATGGCTTAACAATGAACCCAGACGACGTCAAGAACCCTTTCTCCGTTAAGGAACAAGAATCTAGCCACGTTGAAGCGCAGAAGATATCCATACCGACGATCAGCTGTTCTGTTTTCACCAAACAGGACTTTATCACAAACTTTTGCCCATCGAGTGACAAAACTTCAGGCGTAGCCAAGAGCTCCGCAGGTGCAGAAATGGGAATAAAGCAAGATCGTCAAACCCACCCACCGTTTGGAATGCAATATCGCACAGAATCTGCTCGATTCACGTGTTAGCCTCGTGCTTGACTCCAATTCATGTAAAATGTGGATTAATGCCCAAAAAGCCTGGTCCGCCTCAGAAGGCACCCCCTGGTTTGCACAGCCTTGCTGGGAGCGGCTTCGGCGGTTGGCAAGAGCCTCCACCTACAAGGACTAAATATTGAATAGCATTGAGTTTTGGTTGTATACAGGCCTCCTCATTACCCCTCTGGCGGTCGTTTTCTTGAACGATTTACTGTCTGTTTCATGGTACTCTTTACCCAGATATTTGCACTTCGCATAATCCTAGCTAGGCTTGGCAAGACTTATTCTTGCTTTGCTTAAGCGGCACATAAGAATCCCAGATGGACATTAATCGGATTAGTAAAACTCTGAATAGGGTATGCATTGCGAAAGGGATCAAATCATATTTTTATTCCCGTGTAAACGTTTCAAGCAGCGCTCTTGCTCACATTCGTGAACGTGAACGGTGTTGCTTTTAGAGCAGACGTTGTAGGAAGCCCGATCTCCGACGGAACCACGATTTCTCGGGGCCGATGGGTACCGCTACGGGCACGAACATCCATTTACTCAAATTCAAGGCCGATGCTCTGCCAATCGCATCTCTCCTCTTGACCTACGATGTCAGCTCGATGATTCTTTTCCCTGGGGCTGGTTTCAACAAGCTGTGACTTGAGTGCTCTATCTTCTGCTTCACAATGTCTGTTTGATGCTAGTCAGGTTTCCTGGAAGTTCGATGTTCACATTATGCTCAGCAGCAGTGATTTCTGTGAGGCCACCAATGCGTATGTGGGATTAGCGTCAAGGTTAGTGACTCTGACTAGGGCGTATTTACGTTCTAAACCTTTGTGGGCGGGCACGCAATCGTCAATATCAGATGGAGATAAAAAACGACGTCCGGTGCCAGCCATGGCCAGGTGAAATACATATAAAGGACCCTTGAACCACTTCACCACCAGGCCGATCCCAACAATCAACACCTCCCCAACTTTCCTATCATACGTATCTGATCTTCTAATCCTCCCTCACGCCATCATCCAATATGTCATCCAGCCCAGCCGCCCTCGACGGCTTCTTGAATCCCATTGAAAGCCGCCTCTCATGCTACGGCCTCACCAACAGTTCACCGATCCCAGACTCCAAGATCAGATCCATCGTGGAATTCGCCATCAAAAACGCCCCGTCAGCATTCAACGTGCAATCCGCACGTGCCGTCATCCTGCTTAAAGCGGACCATGAGAAACTGTGGGACATCGCCGACAAGCACTTGAAGGCCGCGATGCCAGAGCCTGCGTATCAGGCCTTGGCCCCTCGCGTCAAGATGTTCCGCGCTGCGTACGGCAGTGTCCTGTGGTTCGAGGATCAGGATGCGCTGGATGCGCTGAAGGAGAAGAATCCCGCCATTCAGGCTTCCGTGGCCGAATGTATGTGACTTTGATTTATGATGATGAATTTTATTTCCAAACTTGTCTCTTCATGCAATGCTAACTAAGTTTGTACCTGATAGGGTCACATCACTCATCTGGCATGCACCAATTCATTGCGTGGACGGCCTTTGAACTGGAAGGTCTGGGCTGCAACCTGCAGCACTACAACTTCATGCCCCAGTTCTCGGCCGAGGTTGCCAGTGAATGGAAACTTCCAGAGAGTTGGAAGCTGTTGAGCCAACTGGTCTTTGGCACTCCGACAGATGGGCTGAAGAGGTCAAGAGAACGCACTTACCTTCCTGTGGAGGACAGAGTGAAGGTCTTCGGTGAGAAGTGAGTCTCTGCTCCTGGGGTCGGCAATTGAAGAGTACCACGCGGGTCGACGAAGTGAAACTTGCGGCAAGTGAGAATTTGGTGAGAGCCACGTAGAGTAGGCTTCATAAAGAAGACTCAAGATAGACAAACTGAGATTTGTTGCAATACCAATATTCCCTGTAGTCTGTACGAATTATTGCTGGACAGAGGAGTGTTTGTCCTGTTGTTTGAGTGATTGATTCCATGTGTTGCAGATATGAGCAAACACTTTGGCCAGACAGCCTTCGTGGTGACATATAGGAAGGGTTTCCTCACTTCAGAGTACTCTCACTTCCAAGTCAAATGAGAAAGATGTGAGATTTGGCGCGGACTTCACTGTGATCCTTTCACCTGCAGGGCTCTCCGCGTCGTATATAAATATGTGCTTCCCACCACGCGATTCCTTTCTCTCGCGCACCACTCTTCATCATCAGCACTTCTTCCACTGCGCAATCTCGCGCTTTTGTGCACTCATAATCAATCGCGACGATTACGAGAGTCAAAACTGCAACACATTCTCTTTCCATCGCGTTTTGTCTAGTCCGTCAAAAACAATCACCTGACCACGCGACATGGCAACCTCAGTCGACTTCCTCAACTTCCCCAAAGAGATCCGAAACTGCGTCTATGCCGCCATCAGTGAGAACGCCTATTGGGCCAGAAACGACAAGGAGTTCAGACAAACACAAAAAAATCTCCGTCTCACTTGCAAGCTAATCAATGAGGAATCCACACCAATCTTCATGAAGGACAAATCCATCAGCTTTCGCGAACAATCCAGCGTCGAAGACTTTGAGTGGGACATCTTGCGTGCCGAACACCGATCTATCAATTTCGTGGAAAACATCCGCTTCGTGGAGCTGTCCATTGACGCCGACAAGCTCAGATTCTGCACATGTGCGGACAGCGTTCACCCATGCAGGAGCTGGGTCGATCCAAATGGTGGGTCCAATGCGCTCCGTCTCAGTGACATCTTCCACAACAAGAAGCTGGGGTTGAGTCCGGAACAAGTCACAGTCTCCTTCACGGTCGAGGACGAGGACGGAGAAGAATTCCATGATCCGTGCACAAAGGAGCCTGAGGTCTCACACGATGGCAATGACGAGCCTGAGGATCCAGCTGCCAATCAAGCGGAGCCTCAGAACCCAACTGCCAATCAAGAGGAGTCTGAGAATCTAGAAGCCGAGGACGCCGAGCTTGAGAATCCAGCTGCTGGTGGAGACGAGCATGAAAATCCAGACGAAGCCGAGGAAAAGCGCGAGGATTCAGAGTCGGACGAAGAAGAAGAGGAAGAGGAAGAGGACGAAGAAGCCGCGCAAAGCGACGAGGAGAATCAACGATCGGAATGGGATATTTACGCGGGGAGTGAAATGTGCAGCAGCCGTGGCATCACCGACAATTTGGTCGACTATGGAACCATGCGCCGTGCAGTTGCGACATATGCGAGAGACCTAGGCTGGGGTGAGGCGGTCTTCACCATTCCAAACTGGAAGCCTGGCAAGCCCAGGAAAGTCGTCGATATTGAGGCGGCAGAGAAAGATCAGAAGAGGTCTTTGGATGAGGAGGAAGATTCTGGAGCGGCATCGAAGAAGTTGAAGGGCATGGCAGATTCGGGAGATGAGGGTGTCGGTGATCAGGGTATCGTTGCTGAGTGGCACGGACGATCGGAAAACATTGAAGAGACAACAGCGTGCCGGTCCCCTGTATGGGACTTCGCCAGTATCAACAAGCTCGCCGCGCGCAAAGATTCCTCTGGTGGCACTGGCGAAGGTCGCGGGATGTGGTTGGGCGAACTTGAATCCGATTCAGATGAATTCGAGGAGGTATGATGGATCAGCAGCATCTTCACCCTCACACCAACTGACATCAGATGAAAGTATACTGAAGGGAGTGGGCTTTCCAGTATCGCACACCGCGTGCCAGACGACCAGCGAAATGCCACAGCTGTTGTGACTGTGCCGGCAGCAGCGTTAAAAGCCAGGAAGAAGACCATAAAACAGGCTCTGGCAACCGTCGCAGTGCTGAAGGAGGCACGCAACAAAGCTGATGCAGAGTTAATTCGTTGAACTGAGTTCCGACGCTGTCGGCCTGGGGCTAGAGAACAAGTACGCAGTGGCTCGCTGGCTTATGCTTGTGGAATCGGTGCTGTATCTATCCTATGGTAGCCCAAGACGTGCTTAACACTGAGTAGACGAACCTCTATCCTGAGTGGTTTGTCTCGCGACTCCAACAAAGATGGACTGCATATCATGTCCTGTAATGTGCAATACTTAGACATTACTCCATTCAATCTTCAAGCTCGCTTTGACCTGCGTGAACGACTCGGGAGCTCGACACTGTCCCGGCGAGGTTTCTTATTATTACCGTCGCTTTCCTGCTTCACGTCAACAGCTTCCACTTTCTCAGACTTCGTAACCCTTGATTTGGCAGGGCTGACAACTTCTGCCTTGACCTGCTCAATAGGCTCCTCTTTCAACTTCGCAAAGAACATGTTCTCCACCAGTTCACGGCCTTCAGCTTCCTTCTCAGTTTCTTCACCACTATTCTTTGACGGTTGCTCTTCTGCGCCATCGCCGGCCACTTGTTCATCAAGCTTGAGTTTCGTAATACCCATTGCATGGATTTGTTCTTCAACGGTTCCTTTCGAGACCAATCTGATAACCTCGACTTCTTTAGTTTGTCCAATTCGATGTGCTCGGTTCTCTGCTTGAATGTCGTCCTGAGGATTGAAGCCGCTATCGAACACGATGACTTTGTTGGCTTTTGCAAGGTTGATACCGGCACCTCCTGCTTTCGTGCTAAGCATAAAGACTGGGGTTGTATTGTCATCAGCCGAAAATTCGTCGATTAAATCTTGACGTTCAGAAACTTTCGTGTTTCCATCCAAACGAAAATAGTCGATAGCCTCGCGCTCCAGTACTAACTCCAGAATATCAAGAACCATGACGAACTGGCTAAAGATCAAGGTTCTGTGACCCTCTGACATGAACTTGCGAAGTAATTCGATGGTCTTCTGCACTTTGCCGCTGGCCATCCACTCGTTGTCATTGAGTGCGAAATGCTCCAATTGTTTATGCGAATTGCATAAGGTGGTGATTTCCATATCGGAATAGGCCTTCAACTCAGTGACAATGAGTTCTGGGTTGGACTCACGCCACATATCCACACGCAGGCACTGCCTAGCGATCTTAGGTAGCATTTTGTCTGGATACTGGCGGCGGAAGAGGAATGGGTGAAGCGATGCCTGCCTCAATCTCATGAGGATATTAGCAGATTCAACGCCCATATTCTCACCTCTTTCTCTCCGCTCTCGGATGCTATAGGCCTTTTCAAGCCATTGCTGATAAATTTCGGCCTGTTCAACAGTCATATCACACAACTCCACTCGGCGCTCTTTCTTTGGCAAGTCCTTGAGAACCTGGTATTTCTTACGTCTCAATATGAACGGAGTAAGCATAGATCTTGCCCTGAGAATTCTTTGTTCTGAAAGTAAAGCTTCATGGTTGTTATCCATCGCTTTGACGTTGTGAGTAAAGATTGTTTGCAGTTCTGATTGCTTGTCCTTGAATACCGTTGGCATCAAAAAAGCCAGAAGACTGATGAGTTCTTTCAAATTGTTCTGCAGGGGTGTTCCAGTGAGGAGAAGTCGAAAGTTTGACTGTATTCTTTTGAGTTTGGAGGCCACTTGGGAATCTGCGTTCTTCAATACATGACCCTCGTCGTATACGGTGCAGTCGAATCCAAAAGTTCGCAGCCATGGAAAGTCATCCTTGGCTTTCGCTATGGTGTATGTGGTGACGATAACATTGACCTCGTCCCTGGAATCTTCTAAGTTCTCTCTCAGGATTGCACGTTCCCCTGGGATGGTGGAATAGTATGGCTCCACGTGTAAAGCTGGACAGAAACGTTTGAATTCCTTCAGCCAATTTTCGAGAGTGGCAGCGGGTACAACAACTAGATGTGGACCTGTGTGGCCTTCCTCGAAAAGATGTGCCAGGAAAGCGATGACTTGGCATGTCTTCCCAAGACCCATATCATCCGCTAATATGCAGCTCAAGTTTCTTTTGTACAAGAGATTTAGCCAGTTGATCCCAGCAATCTGATAATCTTTCATCTGAATATCTGGGGACATGAATGAAGGTTGACCAATGACTTTTCTCGACCCTGGTTGTCTGATATTGTCGGGATCTTCATCACTGACTGGTGTTCCAATGCCTGAATCATGGGTCTTTTGAGTATTATGCAGAGATACTATCTCAAGCTCTCCACTTTGAGAGCCGTGCATGTTAATACCCCATTTCTTCATCTCATCAGCGAGAGGTCGAGCTAGGTCCTGGCATGTCTTGACGAGAAAATCCACAGCTTCATAACTTACAAGCATCGTTTCAACCTTTTCCAAAATTCTCTCACCTATTGGAATTGGCTTCTTTCTGCTCTTTGACGGTTTGAGAGAAGGATCTTGAAGCTTGGTGATCGCTTGAACGGATTTGAAAGGCCGTTCGGAGACGAAGAATTCGGCTAGCTCCCTGGTTGTCGACGCAGTATCAACAAGGTCTGCGGCGGAACATGTATTGAAGAACTCAAGAAGTCGAGATTGAAATGTTGTGCTAACTTGGATATCTGAATCCACGCCCGAGTTTGCTTCGTCGGAATCGTCGGAATGTATGGTCTCGATTGGAACGGCTTTGGGTGGTGGTTTGGCAGGGACAGCTTCGGATGGCGAGGAAGATCGTCTTCGGCCACGGACTAGAGTCCTTTTCTTTTGTGGTTGTGGGGTGTCAAATACACTGATGACTTTCGGGGGCTTTTTGATATTTTGGGTCGAGCCTCCCCATTTCTCTGCGATCGTTTTTTGTGGCACCTTCGCCTGCTGCTTCACATTTGGCGCCGGTCGCATTTTGGCAGCAGGAGTCGGCATCAACTCATCATCAGAAGTCAAATCAATTGCGTTGACCTTGCCACTGGACTCTCTTCTTTCGCTCAAATTCAGGAGCTGGTGGGCAGCGTCATCATAACTTCCTTTCTGGTGTTGTAAGACATTGTAACACTCCCGAACGGACAGTGTTGGAAACATTGCCAGCAAGCGTTTGACTTTCTGCCTCGTATTATAGTCGTCGACATCATCAAGATCCATTTCAGGCTGCTTCTTCTGGACAGGGACTGGAATCGCCCGAGCAGGACCAGCCTGTCGTGGTTTCTTGGTAGCATTCCCGTAAGCATTGGCATTGGTGTCTGCTGATCGTTTTGTGTTGGACGGGGCTCGATACATGGAGTTGGCAGTGATCTGCTTGAATCTATCTGAACCATCGCCGTGGGCGTGCGGTGATTCAGCAACCTTGTCTGGATGAGTTTTGCGTGAGAAATCAGATGTTTTGATGTCATTTGTCCTTGGACTAGGCCCATCATCATCAGAAGAGGCTGCACGGTATGTTGGACCCTCATCATCACTATCAATCGTGATCGGTGGGGCTCGTTTCTGTGTGACAGGTAATCTGAAAGCGGTGCCCGCTGGTGCCATAGCACTGGCGAGAAGCCCACGTTGTTTTTGCATTGCTTGTTGCGCCACTACCGGAGAGGATGCTGCCACCTGGATGGCCGACATCTTGGGAGGGGATGTGAGAATGTCAAATGAGGACGATCGAGGTATTACTTGGGTGGGTTGGGTCTGTCGACTTGGGTTTGGTCTGCTCTTATTAAGGATGGACTGGGTTGAGGGGAGAGTCGCCATGGTGTCAGAGTCGGAGGAATCATAGTCGCCGAGATTTGGTCTGTAGAGGGGCAGGGTCTCGACAGTCTCATGTTGAGGTTTGAAATGTGAGCTGAAGAGTTCGTCGTCATCGGAGAGCATTAACGAGTCCTCTTTGGTGGCCATTTTTCGCACCCCTCGTCAGGGTTTGGAAACAGAATTTGTCAATGATGAATGCTAGCAAAACATTCTCATTGTGAGGAGAGTGGATGAATGTGAAGAGTCGTCGCCGGCGAGACTGTTCAGCAGATGTAGAACTCGATGGTAAGGGCGGTGTCGAAGATATTATTTCTTATCCCCAACATGAAGACACGGGCCCCTCCCTGGGTGCCATCCTCAGTCGCCGATCCTGATCGATTTTAAAAGCGGAGCACCCGCTAAACGCGTCGCGTCATGGCAGAAATTCTAATAGCCTTATCACGTGGTGTGAATTGACAGCCTTGTGCCGCACAAGGCTGGGAATGTCGGTAGTTCAGATCTCATAGACAATACATCTAACTATTTTCTCTTGTGGGAAGTGGTATCGTTGGTCATTACCTACAGTAGCAATCTCAGGCTTCAAATAACTCGTGAAGTATCGTTCATACGGATTCACACTCAGCCTTCCTCCGATATGTCTACCTGTCCTTAGGATATCTCGTTGACATCTTGTTAGGTATCCATGGTAGAAAGAAGGCAAGTTGCGTGAACAAGATTTCTCCTTGACCAAGTCCATGTCAAATGTCCTTAAAGAGGGGCAAGATTTCCACCAGAGTTTGAAACTGATCAAGAACGATCAAAGGAGATCACGGCTGGCTTGTGTTGCAGGGTGTGTAGAGCCGGACTTGAGGCCGTCATCATGACAGCTAATAGTCAAACAATGTCACCCGTGCAGATCAATCTGCCCCATCTTCTGCACGGCATGTAGCGTCTGGCTCAGGCCAACTTTTGCAGACTCGTAATTGCTGGCCTTGGTTGAAAGCCGGGAAAAGGGATCTCCTTTGCGTTCTGTAAGCGCATCACCAATATTTAGGAGCCAATCTCATTGTGGCCGATCTTCAATCTCTAATCGCACCTCTATCCTTTCAGCCTCAGCAATATCTCGCTTACAAGCCTGATTGAGCCCTAAGTATTGCTCCGTGCCTCCCACCGTATGCTGATAAAGAGCCCCAGCTGGCCCCTTTCCCCAGCGATATGCGCACCTCCGCTACTTTCCAGGGCCAAATTAGTCAACGAGCCAGCAAGGCTCGCCAGCACCGTGTCCAAACCTACGATCTTGATCAGACAAATTGTGTAAGCCAGACTAGATCGGCCGTCTTCGGAGTCGTCTACTGCTGCCCGAGAGCAGTCGGAGCCGGCGTCATTGCATAGCCACGTAAGCTCGGTCATCCCTTCGAGCTTCACTTAGCACGCTCCCACTCCAGTACCCGTACAGATGCTGCTGGTTCGATCCGGATAGGTCCATCGGACTGTTGGAGCAAGACACCAGATTTGCACGATCGACGTAACCGGAGCGTCGTGAGCTCACGAGATCGTAAGGTGTAGATAGTTCGACAAAAGTAAGGTTGAGCTCCTGCTCAGACACGTCAGGTTGCTTCCAGTAAGACATCAATCCCGCCAATTTGTCCGAGTCAAGTGTCAGATCGTCACCTGTCGCTAGCACCTGTCGACTCTCGGATTTCCTTGTAGGTGGTGTCCAGTCGAAACCTTCACCATAAGCAATAGATAATTCTTAGACCTTTGTGATGCCGCCCGATACGGCGATAGCATACTCACTCATGCAAAAGTCTAGGACACATTGTGATGCTTCCTCAATGGACAGTCCAGTCACGTGTCCCTAGTCGAAATCGGGATGTTCGACGAGTTTGGCGTACCCATGTGCGACCCAGTGGTCTGCAGTGCCGGCGAAAGACTTGTTAGTGTCAGAGACGTACGCATCTCTAATATCCCACACCTGCTCCTAGACGATTTCCACGTAAATTGTAAATTCGGCTTCGGTATTTTTCCAAGTCACAGAGAGTTGTGAAGACGACTGGGGAACGTGGAGGCAGCCCGTCTGAGCCATCAAAGGTAACCTCGCACTCTCTTATGATCGTGGAATTATCGGCGGCTAGAAAATCCCGTCTTGTCACCTTGTAAGTCACAGCCTTGCAGGATGACTCGGTTTATGACATCTTCACACTGTTGGCACCAGCCCTAGGATTTGATAATCGGCAAGGTACAATTCCCTGTTGGGCAAAGTGGATCGCGTTTGAATTGGCTTACATCTGACCAGATACCACGGTTGACCGATTCCATGAGGCCCATGTCCAAGCTGCCAAACTAGCTCTTATCGTAGCATGTGTGAAAATGACTTATGCCGCCAGGTCTGGTGCTTGCCATGTATGTGTCAGGCTCATAATGGCTTGAAGAAAGGGATGTATATCGCATTTCAGATATAGAACATTCCTAGAATTGTATGAACCGTTGCAACACGACCCGCCCAGAAATAGGGGCACTCCCTAGGCGGATACAGCCAAATTCTGGTCGATTAGGGCTTGGGCACGGACTCCGACATCCGATGGTTACGTAGCTCGCCAGGGTCGTTAGGCCGAGGAAGCAGCCGAAAAGCAAAAAGACCCTTTCAATCCAAGATGACAGATGTAGACATGTAAGGGAGCACAACCTCCGCTATGAACACCTGGGTAAGACAGATCTGTTGAGAACGGCCATGTCGACAATTTCACAATGCTTGATCTTCCCAGTCGAATTCTCTTCAAGTTCTGGTCTCTGATGACCATCTCCCCACGCTCATTATTTCCTTGACTGCGACAACCCGATCGAACTCGTTTCTCCTCTCCCTGTCGCGTTCTCCCAGTTGTCCTTGAAGCAAGGAGGGACGCTGATGCGATGAGCAAGTCCACGTCATGGAGTGGTACGCCCTCCATCAAAGGCTCATCCGACGCGATTCGAATGTGTCTGCTCACTTTCTCGTTAATCGGACTGCAGTAAGTACATGATCTGAATACAGGCCCCTCTCCTTGTCAAGTCAGATATTGACCTATGCCCGCCTCACAGATTCACATGGGGAATTGAGATGACCTGTACGTGTCCCTGACCGCCAGTCGAGCTCGCCAACATTCATTAACAATCTTCCTCCGCAGATGGCACCCCCTACCTTCTCCAGCTCGGCCTCACAAAGTCCAAAACCTCCCTAGTATGGATCGCAGGTCCCCTCTCAGGCCTCATCATGCAGCCCATCGTGGGCGCATACGCGGACAAATCAACGTCAAAATACGGTAGACGGAGACCCTACATGATCGCCGGTGCACTCATCACGGGCATTGGACTGCTCTTGTTGGGATGGACGGCCGAGGTCGTGGGAATATTCGTATCAGAGGGCCAGGCAAAGAAGGACGCGACACTCTTGGTCGCCATCCTCTGTATCTACGCGCTGGATTTCTCCGTCAATGCTGTCCAAGCCTGCTGCCGGAGTCTGATTGTCGATACTTTGCCAATCTCACAGCAGCAGTCTGGCTCTGCATGGGCCTCGAGGTTGACGGCCGTGGGACATCTGCTGGGATATTTCATCGGCAGCTTTGACCTCGTGGCCATCTTCCCTGGCTGGCTGGGTGGCGACACCCAGTTCAAGAAAATGACCCTCATCGCAGCCAGCGCCTTGTGGTTCACTGTCGGTGTCACCTCCTGGGCTGTGACCGAACGCATCAGGCTCTCTGGCGACAACGACTCGACCACTGTCAAGGAGGTATTGGCGAACCTCTGGCACCGCACATTGAACCTCCCACCGAGGATACAGGCCATCTGCTGGGTCCAATTCTGGAATTGGGTGGGATGGTTCCCCTTCCTCTTCTACTCCAGCACCTTCGTCGGCGAAATCTACTATCGCTACGAACATCCTCCGCCCACTCCAGGGTCGAGCGACGAACATGACGCCCTAGGCAACATCGGCCGCTTAGGGAGCGTCGCACTGGTCATCTTCTCCCTGATCACATTCTGCTCCTCGATCCTTCTCCCCTACGTCGTCAAAGCGCCAGAAGCGGGCGAGTCGAAATTCACACCGCGGCCCCCACCGTCCCTGACCAAATCCCTGCAAACCGTCCTCGTCAAAGCCGCAAGCATGCAGCCGGACCTGACCTCGGCATGGATGCTTTCCAACCTCCTGTTCGCCGTCATCACCATCTTCGCACCCTGGACACGCAGCCTCCGCTCCGCCACCGCGCTGGTCGCACTGTGTGGCGTCCCCTGGGCCATCTCATGCTGGGCGCCGTTCGGCCTACTCGGCATCGAGATCAACAAACTGTCCTCCGGCCCACACGCCACGATCAACGGCTCTTTCGCCCCGGGCTACTCCGCTGTCCGAGGCAGCGTCGATGAAGCCGACCGCAGCGACGATATTGAAATGCAGGAAGCACGGCAGCATCATCGCATCGCCTCCGACGCAAGCGGCGTTCTCCAGCTCCATCACCCTGAAGACACCACCACGCACGCTGCGCATTCCTCGACGGGCGAGCTCGCGGGCATCTACCTGGGCGTCTTGAATGTGTACACTACCCTCCCTCAGTTCGTGGGCACATTTCTGAGTTGGATCGTTTTCTCGATCCTGGAGCCTGGTGCCAATGATGCGGCTCTGGCCGATGACACTGATCCGGAGCATCATAAGTGGCTCAATCTGAAGCAGAATGCGCCCAATGCCATTGCTGTGTGCATGTTTGTGGGTGCCCTGTGTAGTGTTGTTAGTGCAGAGGCCGCAAGGCGCTTGAGGAACGTGGACTGAAGGTGCTAGATCTTCCTGTAATAACAGATGAGCTTTTTCATGATGGCTGGGGCTAGGCTGTTATGGATTGTATCAATAATTCATCTAGGTTAGACTCTTTCGAAATGGCTTCATGTGAAGTCCATACCTGATGAGGTCTTTCAAAAAATATGCATGATGCGGGCAACGAGATCACATGTGGAATCCCCTCCATCCGAGTCAAGTAGAGCGGATCGACGGCAGTACACGTTTTGCTGAACGATAGATATCAGTCATTGTTGGTAGCCGAATGCATTGACCCGCGTCAACAATTTCGTGCAATCCACAAGATGATGTTGTGGGGAAGACACTCGGTAGGTACGATTCCTGCTGTTCACTCGTACGATATGTCAAGGGCTGTGTTAAGAAGTTTTTGATTCTTGCTCATTGCACACGGGGGAACCGTGTGCTCATACTGATTTTTGGCTGTCCACGGCGTATCGAACAATAGAGCAATGCTTGATTCAGGAGGTCGAACGTGACCATCATGAGTGATTCTCCAGTTTTCTTTTCTAGAAGACCATGTCACAGCATAACCGAATCGGCGCCATATCACTCCTCAGCATTGGACCTCGACCTCCAAGAACATTCCGTTCTGCTCTGTTTTCACGACCTTGCCCAGTCACTCTCCACCACCCGTGAAATCAAATCATATCGAACTGGGGTACAAGAAAATTCTGACGCTGGCACCGAAGCTCTTGGGAGGGAGGTTGTGGACGAATCGTGCTCGGACAACGCCGGAGTTTCCGTGTGGCCGTGTGACTTTGCCCCAGATGACTCGGATCTTGCTGCCTTGTCGTTCCTTGTTGGCGCGGTAGACGAATGCGACTCGCTTGCCTAGGTAGAATCTGTAGGTTGATGGAAGATATCATGTTAGAATTTGTGCTCGATTGTGATTGGAAGAAGGGCTGCTCCTCCTCGTTCTTCTCGGTTCTTTCCTCGATCTTGAACTCTGGGGGTTTGGAAACGTACTTTGCGGCATTGGTGTCAGCGACACCTTCGATTTGAAGGAGAGAGGTGTTGGGGTTCGTGTTGCGCTTGCCACGTTGATGGGACAAGTGCTTTCCTTTCACGTATACTGGATGAGAGAGTTTTGTTAGTCCTTGTTTTTCGTTTCCTCCTCTGATTGTTCGATCCATGTCGTGTTATCGAGGGGGATAACTCACGTCTGTGACCACCGCCGGAGACCATCTTGACGGTATTTGTCGAGAAGGTTGATGGGGAAAATGTTGTTGGCGACAAAAAGGACGTTGATGGTGCTTCGTTCAGAGCGTCGTCAAATGTTCCGCAGTCACCTCGAAAATTGAATTGTGTGCCACTAGTGCGGATTGGGAGAGTTATGCCAAGTCTTTTCACACCAACCTAATTCAGTAATATCTGTTGCCGCTATATTTCCGCCCAACATCATGCTGTTTGGAGTTGAAGTCCTGACTTCGGGACTCCGCACTGTGCCCAGGTACGAGTAGTCAATGTGAGATTATCTATCAGTCGAATTCACATCGATGTTGCCTCAGAGCAGCTTGCGCGTTGAAGGTCTTCTACATACCAATTTACGATACAAGTATCTCTTCGCATCTATGACTTATCTAGTAAGTAGTCGAAGGTACTCTATGGCTCTTGTGGGCTGTCGGAGTAGAACTTTCTATGATATCTTATCATCAATTTCACCCTCGGACTTCAAATGGGCACTGTTGGCCGAGATATGCTTCGTCTTACATAATGCGATAGAGGATACTCTTCCGGACGCAGATAGTAATTGTCCCGCAGCTTGGTCATCGTCGCTGACAGAGGTTCGGAGATGGTGGGATCGGAGCTCGAATCAACTCCCATGGTATTCTACAATCACATACGAGTAGGATGCAATGAAAATACCGTACACAACAGGAGTCATCTGCCAGAGCAGGCACTCGTAATCGAGTTGCCGAGTGAAACCGTTCGGGAACCCGAGTCGCCTGGGCGTATGGTCTGTAGTTACAACTTACAAGGACCTGAGTAGTCTGTACCACGGGGTCATGCTGGAGACTGCGAGCTTGAGTTTAGGCAAATGTCCACGGAAATGGTTCGAGACATCAAAGCACAGAATAATGTCGGTGAAGAACAGGTAGCATCAACTTTCTTATCACGCTAATTCCGTGGCCCAGAAATCCTTGCTCTTCAGGTGGCTGATATCAAGACCCATCAAGTGCTTGCCTAAGGTAGGTGTACATGTGAGGGTAGACCTGAACCTGCTTTCTACTCTTGAAAAATGATCGAACGCGATGGAGGCTGGCGTTTGCAGAATCAGATAGATTACATAAGGACACACGAATGACGAAGCGCGATTCAAGGTTGTTAGTTGGGTAAATCATCAACCTTGTCTCCTGCAGGACTCGAGATTGATCACGGATTGACGGTCCAGGGGCCAGGGGTAGGTTCCGTAGCCGAACATTCCGCTGCTTGTGGAATACACATCCTCGTACATATCTCGATAGGCTAGGTTGAAGATCCCACCCGGAGCACAACTGCTTATTGATTAGTGACGACAGTTGGAGCACACTTCCCTCGGTAGAAACAGTTATAACAATCTTGATAGGGACTCTGTTCCGGCGGAGTGGTCATAGAAGTGACCATGAACCGACCCTCACATCTCTGCCTCAGACGACGACTTCCACTTGTTTCGTTGTTTGGGCTGTGAAACACATCAGCGACTGCTGTGACACCAGATTCCAACAAAACTTGAGATCCGTGCTTGGGGCACCTAAAACCCGAGCCTAGGCCAGAATTATTCCATACCTAAGCTGAGGCTTGCGGGGGGCAGATTAGGCCCGAAAAGGCCGAGACCAGCTGCGGTGGAAGCTCTCTTCGTAACCAAATCTTCACCGCGCCAGGTGCCAATTGGTACGAGATTTGGAGGGGGTTCCATACTGGCTTCCTCTTTCCCTCCCACCTCGAGTTACTAACTAGCAACTGCAGTCTGCAGGGCCGATTTCCCATCTAATCAGTCCCTCCTGACCCCACCATTATTTTGCATCCAACGCCGCAAATAATCACTATCCTCCTCCCACAAGCTTTGTCATTCAAGTTGTGCTCACTGCCTTTCCTCTCTTACCTTCATCTTCTTGTCTCCTACTCTACCTCACAATACCATACCAGACATATTATCCATCATGTCCGACACGATACAGCGCCCCGAAGAGCCCGAGAATGCTGGGTGAGTGACCACCGACTTCGGCCTCTTGACTCCGCGGCACCATCCTCCCCATCCCCCCACGAGTCCACAACACTCGACCAAAAGAATGATGTTGGGTGACTGACCGTGGACGATGATAGAACCATTGAGCTCAAAGAGAATACCACCATAGTCGTCTTGGGTGCGTCCGGTGATCTTGCAAAGAAAAAGACTTTCCCTGCACTTTTTGGCCTGGTATGACCTCGATGCTTTTCCGCACCGCAATTTCAACACTTGCTGACCAAACACTAGTTCCGAAACAAATTCCTGCCCCAGGACATCAAGATCATCGGATATGCTCGAACTAAGATGGACCATGCTGAATACCTCAAGAGAGTCAGATCCTACATAAAAACCCCAACAAAAGAGGTGGAGGAGCAACTCGACCAGTTCTGCTCCATCTGCACATATCTTTCCGGCCAATATGATCAAGATGAGCCCTTCCAGAAGCTTGATGAGGCCATCAGGGATATCGAGAAGTCCCGTAAGGAGGGCAACAGAGTCTTCTATATGGCTTTGCCACCTAGTGTCTTCATTCCGGTTTCAGAGCATCTCAAGCGCAACTGCTATCCTGACAAGGGTATTGCACGAATCATTATCGAGAAGCCTTTTGGTAAAGATCTGGACAGTTCAAGAAAGCTACAGAAAGCGTAAGTAACAGGCTCCAAACTCCTTTCTCCGGCTACACAGATGGCATACTGACTATTTCTTTCGCAGCCTCGAGCCTGACTGGAAGGAAGAAGAGATCTTCCGTATCGATCATTATCTCGGAAAGGAAATGGTGAAGAATCTCCTCATCCTCAGATTTGGAAACGAATTCCTCGGTGCAACCTGGAACCGAAATCACATTGACAGTGTTCAAATCACCTTCAAGGAGCCCTTCGGTACCGAAGGACGAGGTGGATACTTCGACGAGTTCGGCATCATTCGAGATGTCATGCAGAACCATCTGCTCCAAGTTCTGACTCTGCTCGCTATGGAACGACCCATTTCCTTCTCCGCTGAAGACATTCGTGACGAGAAAGTCAGAGTCCTCCGTGGCATTCCCAAGATTGAGCCCAAGAACGTTATCATCGGACAGTACGGAAAGTCCCTCGATGGCACCAAGCCTGCATACAAGGAAGATGACACAGTGCCCAAAGATTCAAGGTGTCCAACATTCTGTGCGATGGTAGCATTCATCAAGAATGAGAGATGGGATGGTGTTCCCTTCATTCTCAAGGCGGGTAAGGCTCTCAACGAGCAAAAGACCGAGATTCGCATCCAGTTCAAGGATGTCACATCTGGCATCTTCAAAGACATTCCACGAAATGAGCTGGTCATCCGTATCCAGCCTAACGAGTCTGTTTACCTCAAGATGAACTCCAAGCTTCCCGGTTTGTCCATGCAAACCGTGGTTACCGAGCTTGATCTCACCTACCGCCGTCGTTTCTCTGATCTGAAGATCCCAGAGGCTTACGAGAGTTTGATTCTTGATGCCATGAAAGGAGATCACTCCAACTTCGTTCGTGACGATGAATTGGATGCCTCCTGGAGAATCTTCTCCCCTCTCCTCCACTATTTGGACGATAAGAAGGAAATTGTTCCCATGGAGTATCCTTATGGTAAGTTTTTGGATCTTTGTTCGCATGTTTTCTCGGTGGTTAACGATATCTATAGGCTCTCGTGGCCCTGCTGTCCTTGACGACTTCACCGCATCTTATGGATATAAATTCAGCGATGCCGGTGGTTATTCGTGGAACACAGCCTCCACACCCAACAAATTGTAGACTGATTTGCACCGGGTGGAGAATCCACAAACGAAAGCACGAAACCTGATGGACACTCTTGTCAACCTTCGACCGGTGCTCGAAAAGCTGGATAGTGAGCTCGGACATTTAGAAAGAGTTCGACCAGATTGAGTGCGGGTAGTGATCTGGACTCGCTGTCGATATCTATTGATTGTTTGGTGGGGGGGATCCCTGACTGTTATGAAAGGCCGGACTCACTATGGAGGACAAACAGGCAAGAAGTTTACGTGACTATGCATACGACAAAAAGCAAAGACCAAAGACCAGTGGGAGGAGACGAACCTAGACTGTGTGCTCATGGGAATATTGCTCGAGGTCGTGGACAGGATGAGCTTCTTTTGATAGCACTTTTCCTTCCACTGCGATAGAACCATTGTCTTTCTGCTTCTCATCCGTGACCACCACAATACGTGCGTTTGATGTGATGAGCTTCACGTGTGCGCGAGTGTCGTCCGTCCATTATTATTGAAGATGAATCCGAACGCTCAAGCTCGTTAAAGCAGCGGGATTCTGCGGTCAATTCGGAGCCTTTCTCCGGTGGCCAAAGTACCTACTGTACGTCTCACCGGAGGGCAATGGTCCATTACGGACGGAGGTCCACGAGTGGGTTTCGGTATGTACCTCATCACCGCTGAAAGGCGGACGGAGTATATAGGTCGGTCACTTGATGCTCTCGGACTCACCTCCTTGATTGCGATGATACATTGCGAAATCATATACGAGCGCTAAGTTAAGCCTCGAAGAAAGGCCCCCCCAGACGAGTATTCCCCTGCTTTGCCAAGTTGGTTCGGTGAGTGGAAATGTTCTGTCGTAAGGTAGCGGCCACCCAATACGGTATTCCTTGCAGATATGGAACATGTGGTGCGCTTGGTCGTTTTGGTTTTCATCTCGCCGTGCTCTCTGGAGGACATTTTAGCAGCGACTGCCCAGGGATTCATCCGTCATCGATGTGCGTCCAGCGACCGACGTGTATCAAGGTCAAGAGGGTCGTGAGGGGAGTATAATGCTCTCTTATTTGGCATTCCTGGTCGGGTTTGCGACGGTCTGGACATTCCCGGGTGTCTGCCATGGCCTCGTCGCTTCTATGCAGCGTGAGCGATGCGGTTGGTACGGTCATGTCATCCCCTGCCCCCAGAGGAGCGAGTTGCGCTTGGCTTGTCAGGAGAATTGGGGAACAGGTGAGTCGATGGACTCCTTACCGTAGACCAATTAGCTTTGGCAGGGAGTTGAAAATCGGTGGGAAAGGAAAGGTGGAAGTGCCGCTCAGCAGTGAACTCGACGGTCTATGTTCATGATCGACATTCGCGTACATATGCATTTGAGATGGTTGACGATTTTGGGCTCGGTCCACATAGCCTCTTTTCCGGATGGCAAGAATCATTCTGAGGAACCTGGCATCGGTTTCTTCGAGAGATTATATCCGGCATGGTGGTGTCATAGCTCTGATGAGCTGCGAGCACGGCAACTGCAGGGCGTTGGTAGAGGTAAGTCCAGTATTGGTGAAGCAAACACGTTGATTCGTCTTCTTGGTGCGTGGTATACATCGATTTCCCACTGTTCGAAGTCTCGGAGAACGTCCGGCTTGAATACTCAATAGCATCGCGGGTCTGGCTCTCGCTGCACACAGTGGTCGGACGTTCTTCCTGAGGGTATCATGGAAGATTCCGTAGCACTGCCCAGACGAATGCAGCGAGGAGTACTCGATACATGGGTCGCCTTTTTAAAGAGTACGTAGGTATGGAAGATGGAACTAGGAGGGGGAAATGGTCGCAAGTTAAGTGCCTACTTTCATGTTCTCCTTAATTATCATCTTGCATGGACAAAAGGAAGTACCCTTGATTATGCTAGTTCGGCAACATGGCTGATTGTGCAACAGCTGGTTTCGGTCCTAGATGTTGAGTAAAGGCCTCATTACTTTCGACGGACGTGATAATTCGTCGGCGCTATTCAAGTTTGAACTTGTCTGTCCACTCCGTACTTAATATGGACCTGAGTCGCGAAGAGACGAACCGGAAATCAACAACTGGTTCGTCTGTAGCGGTTGTCCGAGCTCTAGTTTCGTTAGGCTTCCGAGAAGGTTCTCAATTCCCGAGTTCTTGACTCGTCGTGGCGTGATAGTGGCGTCGAGTTTGTGAACCGAGTGCTCCGTTCGAAGGTGGCTGGTGCGCGGCGGGAATTTTCCACAGACATGGAATGGAGTCAACGGTTCTTTTAGTGGTTGCATCCGCAACGTTCTCTAGTGTGACATGTTGAAAGCGTGCACGTTCGTCGAAGTTCCTACAGCACAAATACGGAATACGGATACGGGACCACTGGCATGAGAAAATCTCGAACTCATCGATGAGGGGAGTTGAATACGAGAGCGGGAACGAGATTTAGGTTTGCTTCACAATGGTCTGGAGGAAATGGTGATCCCGGCCACACCATGAAGGACAAGACCTCCAATAGGCAGCTCTGATCAACAGGGGAAACCTCAAATCGCGGGGTTGTTGGGTCCAAGGAAGCTGACATGTTGAGGGTTCGCAATGTGAGAGTAAGCATGTCCACAGTGGGAAAAAGCCATTGGCCTCCTCGAAGTAGCGTACTCGAAGTCCATCATAGAAGATGTTAGCATGAGTAGGAAAGTAACGTGTCCTCAAGATACTGCAGCTACATATCACCATGAGTCGAGATGGCGGAAATGCATTTTGAATTGTGGGATAAAGAACCAGCAAATATTCGGTATCTCCGGGAGAAGCATTCGAAACAAGGTTACGGATGTTGCAGTATGTCTCATATCTATGATGCAGCCACGCACAAAGTCGACGAGTCGGAGGCTATGATTAACGGGAATCCGAGCTGAGGGTCGGGTGGATTCCCGCCGATAGCGTCAAAAGAATAAGAAGCCTGAGGGCATGATGGATGAGTGGGCTCGGTGTTGTTTGGAGACAGCAACCGACTTCTTGCATAGGCATCTTGCAAAAGCACTCCGTAGACAATGCTTGTCTTTGAAGCGGCATTTTGTACGCTCTGATGCTGATTGTCGTGCTGTGGGCCGCGCGTCTCCAAGAGAAAGAGTGACTGAATGGTCAAATGGTGTGATGGACTTTGAAACCATCATAAGAATGATCCATCTGTTACAGACAAGAGAGAATCTCCATATATCTATAGGCGGTTGAGTCAGAGCAAAGACGATCATGTCTTGCATGTATCCAGTGGGCTTTCCAACGGCCTAGTATGATAAGAACCGGATCGGCTGGAAATTATTTGCGGTCTCAGAATACTCATAACGTGACAACAAGTTGCAGATCCAAAATGGATTAGTGGAGGATTGGTCTGGAGGGGATTTTCAGACGGAACCAGGTTAGCCAGGGACACGCGGCAAATAGAGAGCCACGGGCATCGAGTTCCACGCTTAAGAGGTAAGAGGGGCGAGAAAGAACCAAAAGAGAGCGCACGAGTGAACCAGGGTCAAGCTCTTAATACTCCGTTTGGAACGCTACAAAGAATAGCGTCGCAGAAAGTTCCAAAAATCAAGAAAAAAGTGCGTCAATGTGGGAGGCGAGGGCCATGGTTAAGTGGATGGAAATGGAGGGTGCATCAAAGCTGCATCAAGGGTGCAAGCCGTGCAAGCCCAAGCCGTGGCCCACGGCCCCTAGAACGAACCCCTAGCACCTGGCGCCCCGGCACCCGGAGCCACTGCCACTGCCACACCCCTGCTCGTTTTTCATACTACGCCCCAACAGGTTTAATGCCATCGGTGCTTTCTTTCATGTTGGGCCCGTTGATTCAATGATTTTCTGCAACCACATCATCATCACTCTTGTCCGTGTATCCCAATGCCCTTCATTTTCCCATGGCCATATTACCAATGTACCACAGACTATAGACTTTTGACTATCATAGACTTGACCTCCCATCTTCTTGTTCTTCGTCACCGTCACTTAATACTACAACCGACACACGTGGACTAGGGACTTACTGCTCTCAATAGCCGCGCAATCTCAACACACGGCAGCCACGCCACGCTACATCATTTGATACTCCGACTCGTCTCCTTCCTTCGCGATCAAGTTGTTGACCATTTCACATTCCTCCCTTTTTCGTGAGTCGACAACAAGTTCCAGAAGGAGCGTACGAATACTATTACGACTGCCTTTTGTACTCCATCCATTCACTATTATTTCTTGTTGGACTACGTTACCACTTCCACCATCTCCACCCCTGTCTGGTCGTCCTGAAACAAATCCTCACTCACCCATCTCATCCCTGTCATCTCCCCGCCACCCGAGCCACCATAACACTGGCACGTCGCTCGACTCTCGAGTTCCACCTCTCGTCCATCTGCATTATTGAGTCCGCTGTGCGAGTACTCGTTCTGATCCCGCACCATCGCTGTCACTCTATTCATTCAACCCTGGGTCAATTCTCAGTGCTCTTCCCTCTCTTCTCGCATTCCATCTGAGTCGCTCCTTCTAAACGACGATTCAATCTCCATCAAACTTGTGAGATCCGGCATCTCGACTAGGCCAACTAGCTCCTCTTATCAAAAGTCCAATCTATAAGTCTCCACTCCGCAATCGATACCATCAACGCCATGACAACCATGTCTCCAATCTCGCCTCAACCGCAGGACACTCGTCCGAGGGCCCAGACAAATGTCAGCTATACCTCACATCGTTCCCGCCGAAGCAGCGGTTCAGGTCACAGAATCGAGTTGACCGAGAGTGCACAAGACAAAAAGAGATTGAATACCAAGGCAGATCCGTCAAAGGCCTTGAACGAAGCCACTCCAGGTTCGTCACTGACTGTCTCGTTCAATGTGGTTCATGTTATTAACCAGTCTCTCAGCGGAACAAGCACAAGAACAACCGACTGTGGAGGACCTACGGTTGATCATGCACAAAGATGCTGAAGGCAATGTGATAAGTTAGATTTACCCATAGCAGTCCTGGAACACACATGAATACTGACAAACACCTTAGCCGACCCTGATCGGTCCAATCCCACCAGAAGTCGCATGGAGAGACCACTAGATACCATTCGAGCATTCAATGCCGCAGCTGAGGGTACCAGCTCCCGCCGCTCCTCTTTCAACAACAGACCACCGTCTCAAATTGGTTGGAATAATGACATGAATCGCCGAGGAAGCTATTATTCAAGTGAGTTCATTCATCGGCATGACTCCTCAAGCGTCTTCAGGACTAACTTTTCTTCAGACAACGGGTACTCACCTCAACGCCAACGACCAGCTCCAGGCGGCGGTTACTACCGCAATAGCTCCTATGGTTTTGGGCCTCAGAGCTCAGTCGAAGAAGAACCTGGCGCAGCACAAATGCACGGCCGAGGCATGCGCCAGTTTTCAGCCCCGGAATATGCGCACCACAATGGGTACCAGAACGGCCAACAGAACGGCTACCAGAACGGACACCAGCATGGACCTCATCCTGCATATGCGAACGGTCACCAGAATGGCTACCCTAGCAATGGCCAGAACAACCACAGCCCCAATTCGGCGCATTCATACCAGCACTCGCATGAGACCATAACCTCGGGTTCTGATGAATATAGCAAATCCACCAATCCTAGTTCGCAAAACAGTTCATTTGATCAGCTACATCAGCTTCGAAAACATGACGATTTCACTCCCGAGAATCCGTACGCCAATGACATCAAGTTCAATCAGTACACACCTACGAAACCCTTCTCCGATGGATTCACGCAAGGCAGTCCATATGGTCCGGGTGCTGTCCAGGCACCTCTACCGACCAACAATGGCTACTCGGTCCAGAATAACCGGCAGCCAATGAAGCTCAATTCTCCCAGTGGAGACGATTATGGTGACAGACCTACTCCCCCACCCAAAAGGCAGAGTTGGATCAAACGTCGATTCAGTCGTCGGGAAACCTGAGTGCCGAATTCATGACCAAGAGATGGATCAACAATACAATCGTCCCAAATTCGGCGACCTTGGGGTAACATGAATCGTGTCCATCGTCACTTTTTGGGTGCCTGGTGTCTGGCACGTGCAACAGTATAAGACTCTCTTTTAAGCCCTACTTCTTGATGATTAATGTTTGATGTAATGGTGAGGATTTGGAACGAAAAGTGGTCAGTGGATTATAAGGGGGATGAGCAAAGTGTGTAGAGCTGCCCAGCCATTTTTTGGGGCGAATGGGGGTGATTTGGCAGACACTTGCAATATTCTGTAGCAAGTACAGACTGCATTCGTTTGACGGGCCCGAAAGGACCGGAAATATCGAATACCAAAGGCCTTTCCAACTCCATCCAGGAATTGTTTCGAACACGTAACTGAAGATTAAATTTTCCTCTATAGGCTTGCTATTGACCCTTCTTCCTTTTCTCCTCCTCGATCTTTTCCGACTGGTCCTCCCTAACCGCAGCAATGATGTAGCCAATCAGCACGACATTCGCCATGACAGCCGCGAAGCCTCCCGCGTACGACGCGTTTCCTGCTCTCCATGGTCAGTTGGGGAATGAAAAAGTAGCCAACGCGTCGAATGCTGTGATATATGCAAGGGGGGGTCATTGGACTGCACTGGATTGGAACGGATTGGAATGGATCGGGGCACGCACCTCGGAAGAGAAACTTCAACGTGAAGAAATACGAGCCGAGCGGCACGCACACCATGGCGACGGTGAAGAAGAGGAGCTTGTAGATGACGTGTCTGTGAGTTGCAAGATTGGGTTGGTTAGCATGTGCGTGTTTATATGTGTGTGGGTAGAGGGTATAGGGTATGGGTGAGATGAGATGAGATGAAATGGCTTGATCTGCTAGCATTATTGAATCAAGACATCAGGGGCGCGCGTGTCAGTGGGATGGATGGATGGGTGATTTTCTGGCCTGGGGAATGGGAAGGAGAATATTCCAGCTCCCTTTGAATCGACCATAGTCTTCATTCGTCTCCCTTCTCCTTTCCATGGCATCGGCCCCTGTCCCGGGTCAAAGCAAGCCAGCTCTAGTCTCATGCCGTAGAACGATCGAGAGACAGAGTTACTTGCGTCTTGCGTCTTGCCTCGCCTCGCCATGCGTGAAACGCACCCAGAATACGCACTTTTTCCAAAAACACCATGAGAACGAAAAAAACGATCGGGATATTTGAAAGCTGATAAACAAAAGGAAGAAAAACATAACATGACTTACGCAGGCACAGCAGGCGATGTGTCGGACGACAGGCCCACCGTCGACGGACCGCCCTGCGACTCGGCGATTGTCTTCTCGGTCTCAGCATGCTGCTGCTGTTGCGCGGCAGGACGCCGAGCCGCCATGGTATATGCTGAGTGTCGTGAGTTCGTGAGTTCGTGGGGTGTGTGGTGGTGGTGGTGATGTTGATGATGGATGTGTAAGAGGCTGGCTGGACAAATATCCTTGTGAAAAGAGGATCGATTTGTCTTGTCTCTCACTCCAATGGTATATAGTGCGGGTTGGAATGGTTGGTTAAATCGTGGTTGTTGGTTGGTCGGTCGGTGAAGAGCGAGAGACGGTGGCTCCCACTGGATTGTGTTGTTGCTGGTGGTCAGTGGGAGAGAGAACCCGGATGTTTCAATAGTATGCGGATTTTCACCTGTGTTGAGGTTGAGAGAATACTTCCGACTATCTACCGAAGCAATTTATTTTGGGACAGATTAGGGAAGTATCGATTTGGTAGTTGTGAATACTTAGGGCGGTAGTTCTTTTGCCCGTGCCTGATGTCCAGCCAGATGTCATTTATATTCAAGGCTTGGCGTAGATGTGGGAAGTTCAATTTGGGGAATAAATACCTGGTATTCAAGCGGGATATGTGATAGAAACTTTAATAGTGTTGGATCTAGGTATACAATCTCTGATAAAGGGACAAGTTCGTCCTCTAGACCAGTGTAATCTCTGGTATTTGCAAGGGCAAGCAAGCACGAAGCACAAGATGTGAGAAATGACACAAGAGCAGCAGCCATGGACTGTGTAAGCGACCTATATTTGCTCGCAGGCGTCTTATATCTGATGCTCGCACATTGTCGACTTGGTTTGAGAGTTAGAGCCGATTCCCTAACGTCGCCATGCCTGTTTATACTGCCCATCATGGCAGACGGACCGAATATTTGTAGGAACAGTTATGTCCAAGTAGAAGTAAACGCTCTTCACCTGTCTAATTCACTACCTACAAAGAATGATTGCCTTTTGTCTATTCCATCGCTATTGGGATGGGATGTTCTCTTCCCATATCATAACTTCATTTGATGTAGTCGGTAGAGGTGGCTCCAGCTCCTGGATGATATCAGTTACAAGGGGTCTCGGATTGATCGCTTAGACGGCCGCACCGGAGATGAAGAACCATTTGTCCACAGTACCATCAATGGGTGCTGGTGGAGAGTTGTCGCCTCGTGGAATCTTGGAGAGAGATGCTTGATCAACACGGTCTGGGGAAGATTGGTTGGTGACATTGGCCAAGCTGAGATCACCACGTTGTTGCTTGCCAGTGATCAAACGCTCCCAAGCATCACTGCATTCACGGATGATTTCCTCGGCGTACTTCTTGTTCTTGCACTCTCCGCTGAAGGCAAACTGGTTTTCTGGCTTTCCATCTGGGATTTTGTAGATACGGAACCACTCGTTGGTGGCTCGGAGAAGACCGGGGAGGTGTCGTTCAACATCCTCAATGTCGTTGAGTTTGGGTGCCAGAGGGTCGTTGACCTAGAAAACAAAACGTGTCAAGATACGGTCAATGCTAGACCAAAGAAGAACTTACATCAATGACAATGATCTTCCAGTCGGTCTCTTCCTCGTCCAGCAGAGCCATGACGCCGAGAACTTTGACTTGCTTGATTTGACCAGTGTAACCCACAAGTTCACCGATTTCGCAGACATCAAGTGGATCATTGTCACCTTTGGCCTTGGTCTCGGGGTGCACAACGTTGGGGTCTTCCCAGGTCTATGATTTCTTGGTTATTGAAGCTCCTCATGAAGCCATTTCAGTGCTCACTTTTGGGAATGCGCCATAGTTCCAGAGGTAGCCCTTGTGAGGGAAGCAGTTACGGACGAATCGTAGTTTGCCTTTCTTGACGTCCTGTTTGATGGGATTCCTAGAGGTGTCCAAGTTAGATGACAATTGCCATGAGTTGAGGCGGTGGAGATGTGTGGCTTACAGGAACTCTTCTTTGGAGATCTCAAGCTTTGCATTGGACCAGCGAGGAATCTCAACGACCATGTTCAAGATGGTCTGTTGCTCATTGGCGTAAAGAGGAATGTCGTGGAAGGGAGAGACGGGAACGCCATCCTTCTCGATATACGTTCTGAATTCGTTGGTGTGCAGCGAGCCCACCTTACGAGGCTGGTACTCTGATGGTTTTCCGTAAGACATGGTGGGGGGATGTGAAGAAGCAGAGGTAGAGAGATGTCTGGCAATAGCTTCAGAACGTCTGGAAGCTATTTTTGCGGATGGAGGAAGAAATGTTGAAGAGGAGGGGAGGGGAGGTGAAGAATTTGTGGGCGCCAGCGCGGGGGATGTTGATGATTGGCGAAGATGCAATGACGATGGTTTTGGGAAGGAACAACGGTGAAGCAGCGATGCTCCGGAGCTGCGAATGCCAATGCTAGTACTGCAGGTCCTGGTACTGGTGCTGGATCTTACACGCGTGCGTGATTTCAATGGTGCAGGCGGTCGCTTGAAAGGAAGACTTGTTAGGCCTGTACGAATAGCTGGTGATGGTGATGGTAAATGCATGTGCATATGGAGAACAAAAACTGAGGCTTGAGGAGGATTGGTTTATTCTTAATTACTTTTCCCTAATCCCGTTCTTGGATAATCGTTCTGGTCCTTTGGAATAATCGTGGTAAAAGAAATCGAATCTGACCTCGGCCTTGACCTCCCTCAATTCACATTGCTTTCCCCCGAGTTTCTGGCGCGGGCATTTACGGGATCGTCCCCTTTGCCGCCAATTTACTCGCCTGTTTCACCACTAACTGTGTTTGGTAAGCGCACAATCCTTATCCGCCTTATCACCACGTGATACCTCCATACATCTCAATTTCTTCCACTACATCATCTTCTCAAATGCCATCCTGCGTGCGCCCACAATGACTCAACAGTCCCATCACTCTCATTCAGTCTAACCTCTACATGACAGTGGCTGTTGGCCATGCTTTGCGGTCGCAGCCTTTGCTACGACGCTCTCTACCCTTCGTAACCATCTTTTCATCTCGTGCCTTATTCTCGACAGTCATGGCCACCTCAACCTCGGACGTTCCTCACGTACCCATCCCCGCAAAGGGTGTCGACTACAGGGGTAAAGTCGTTCTCGCTCCTATGGTCCGATCCGGAGAGCTCCCTTCACGTCTTTTGGCTCTCAAATATGGTGCAGACCTTGTATGGGGTCCCGAAACCGTTGACAAATCAATGATTGGCACCCAACAAAGAGTGAATCCTCGAACTGGTTGTATAGAATGGACGCGATCTTCCAACAGCAGTCCGGACTCAGCAATGCCAGGGCGCGAAGCCATCATTTTCCGCATCGACCCAAAGCGAGAATCGTCTCAACTTATATATCAAATTGGCACCGCAAACCCCGACCTGGCTGTCAAAGCCGCGACCCTTGTCGCGCCATACGTCCGGGGAATCGATGTCAACGCTGGCTGTCCAAAACCGTTCTCTACGTCAGGTGGCATGGGTGCCGCACTCTTGCGCACTCCTGATCTTCTTTGCAGCATCCTGAAGGCATTAGTCGAGCACGTAGGCACTCCCAACGAGATCGGAATCAGCGTCAAGATCCGACTTCTTGAAACACCCGAAGAAACTTCATCTCTCGTCAACCAACTCTGCAAGACTGGAATTGTCGGATTGACCATCCACTGCCGGACAACTCCAATGAGACCACGAGAACGTGCGATCAGGGAACAGCTAAGGATGATCGGAGACATCTGCAGAAGTCACGGTGTTGCTTGCCTGATGAATGGAGACGTGACGTCCCGAGAACAGGGCCTCGAATTGGCAGCCGAATATGGTATCGATGGAGCAATGATTGCCACGGCTGCCGAGGCGAATTCCTCAGTCTTTCGGTCCAAGGAAGATGGCGGGCTTGCACCATGGGAAGCAGTCGTCAAGGAATACATGGTCTTTGCCATCACTGTCGAAAACAAGTTTGTCAACACGAAATTCCTCCTTTCACAGCTCATGCCGGGGAAGAATAAAGCATATCAGCCCGTTCAGCAATCTCGGAGCTACAGCGATATATTAGCGTCATTGAACATCACAGACGCGGAAATCGTTAGCCAAGCTAAGGATGTCGATAGGATTCTAGGACTCGATCATCCCAGGGTCACCAAAGCCGATATCAAACGCCAGCACAAACAGCAGGCAAATGAAAACAAGCAGAAGAAGCAAGAAAAGAAGAGAGCTCTACAACGGGACGCTGATCAGAAACGAAACCACAGTCAGGAGCGCACCAAGAAGCAAAAGGCCGAGATCGCTGCTGACAATGCTGGTTTCGATGGGATAGGACAGGGTGCCATGGCGGTTGCAGCATGATGAGAGCTGGCTAGCTCTGCGAAGAGACACGCTAATATTATTGCCATTCTCAGTGGGAGATGAGACGTGTTCTACACGCAAAGATAGAGGGAGCTTAGACTTTTGGAAGAGCTCTATTGCACAACTATTTAATACATATCAATTGTGCAGACATACCACAAATGTCGTAACATTTCGGCTCTTTTGCAATAGTAGTTGTACAGACTTCATCCCAGCATATCAACCTTGATGAGGTAGCTTTCGCCTGGGCCATTAGATGTCGTTGTGATTTGTGACACACTTGAGTAGCGATTCCCCAGTTGATGTTATACAGGCATTCCTCGCTCTTGCATTGGGTCTGTCACTCTCGTCTTCGAGCCTTTGGCCATGATCTCAGTTGATAATGTGCTTCGATGTAGGTGCGACTTGAGTATCAAGGGCCAATGCTTCCATCGTCTCGGTCCAGCCATGGTGGTGGTGCATCCTTGTTATCCGAGAGCACTTGTGCGAACACCGAATGCGCCCAGTCCTTCGACGGCATGGAAAGAGATCAGGACCTCATCATGACCATCAACCTGCACCGGAGAGCAACAAAGGTTCTCATCCACAACCTGGAACAATTATCCTGCCGGGTAACAACAATCAGCCCTTTAAATCCTCCTGCCGCGACAAGACCCTGGCGTGCCGATCGACCTCCCACACGATGTCTCTAAGTTGAACCTTCTCAACTTTTTTATTAGCCGCCAGCGCAGCGGCTTTGCTCTCGGGCGTCTCGAGCGCCCAGCTATATTTCAGCGTCTTGCCGTCCTTGAAATGCATCTCGAGCGTGGATGGTTCGGTGGAATTCCGCGGTAGTTGTTTCGATACGACCTTGACCGTTCGGTGTGCGCTGGCGGGGAGAGACGAGAGGATCAGTCGTGGGATTTTGGCGGTCGCCAGGAACGGGTTGAACGTCGCGGTTAGCGTAGTTAGATAGGTGGTCTTCATGTTGTAGGTGAACTGAGCCCTGGGGAGGGTGTTGATCGATGCTCGATGTCTTTCAGGTGAAGGTCTGGGTGGTGTGTTCCAGGTCGAGGATTTGGTGCCTCACAGCTTCTGGACGCTGCGTCGCAGAAGGAACAGGCTTTGACTGTTGTTGCACTTCAGCCGCCGGCGACAGGTGATTTGTTTCGTCGTCGTCCTACTATCGGGGGGACTCGATGTCTATTAATTAATTGAATGTACGAGCTTCACTTTGGAAAATCCACGCTAAATTTCCCCGAAATATTTGCTATGTTTGCTACATTTGCCAGAGCAGACGCTCCCATTCCTAAAAGCAGCGTCTCACTGCGAAGCCTCTCTCCTCCGAGTCGTCGTCTGTCTGTCAATATGTACTTGTCAACTAGAAGCTTTACACGTTACTAGCCTTCCATGGCATCCGTCTTTGGTCCTTGAGAATGAAATTAACACTCAAGACTGTTAGAAACGACTTAATGCATTTGCTAGTCCAAGAATGTGTCTCCGTGCGAGCCGAAAGTCGAACAGCCATCACACAGAAGGAAAGGTCGGGTCCTCTATGAACACAGAGCAAGCCGGGTTGTGCGCCAGCCTCCTTAATTTTGCTAGAGCTCATCTCTGAACATGCTGTACCTCTTGCCTGGGTTGCGTGATTTCGATCTCAATCGATAAACTTTCGCTGAGTGTCGTTTCACGGCCACTGTCAGCGACCCACGAGCTGGAATCTCTGCCACCTGTTTGCCGAGAAGTCGTGTATCATGGTTGCGCAATCCTTCCTGGTAAGATATGATGCTCGCGTTATATCAATTCGACGAGTTGAGCAGCTCATGTGCGCCTTGACGAGAATTGGATTTTTCAACCAGCAAACGTCCCTGATCATCGTCCATCTTTGCATACCAAAGCTCGTGGACGAGCCAGGCTTCGTTGCCTTGTGGAGCCGAGCACGAAGGCCCGTCTCCCACAAATATGTCTTCGAACCCACCGGCCAACGTTGACCTTTCCAAATATGAAGCTCCTCCTCGTTTAAAAAGCTCTTAAGGACGGTAAATTGCTAATTTCTTAAGACTAGAAATTCTGAGGTACGATCATGCTTCACCACTTGGTTGATTGTAACACAGTCAATACCTCCAAAAGGTGGCAACCCGCTCATCTGGCCACTATGCTGTCAACGGGTACTCGCAAGAGAGAACTTGCCGATCCGAATGGAAGGACAATCCGAGGAGATCCAGGTGACTTACCTAACGAATGCAGCAGAAGTTCCTGGCCTACTAAGTATGCTCAGAGACTTCCATCCACAATTATGACACCCTTCCCTCTGTATCCACCAGTCTTCAACATCTCCACCGCCGTCGGGACTTGATCCAATCCATGAAAGATACTCTTCTCAATCTTGATGTTATGCTCGACCACGCATCGGAGCATATCCTCAGCTTCCTTTTGTGAGCAGAGAAACGATCCCTTTACACGTATGTCTCTGAAGATGTATTCTGAAAATGGTATTGAGACCTCAGGAGGCTCCCTCATCTGTTAGCCTCGCGACCACTCGAGTGCTGTGACAATCAAAACGAATTCTCTTCAACTCACCAACGCCATCTGCACCATGGTTCCGTGATTTTTTGTGATTGCGCAAGCAGTTGCCGCTGCTAGCTTTGCATCGCTCACATTCAGGGTTGCATCCGCACCCTTTCCACCAGTGGCTTCGAAAACCCGTCTCGCAACATCTTCCTTACCAAAGCGCGCGTCCAGCACAACATCTGCACCTGCCTCTCTCGATAGAGCGATACCTTCGTCCCTGGCGTCAACACCAATAACCTTCAGCCCTCTCGCTTTTGCAAACTGAATGCCAAGATGTCCCAAGCCGCCTCCTGAACCTACGATTCCTAGCCATTGACCCGGTCTTAGCTCCGCCTGCAAGATGCCTCTCCATATAGTGATTCCAGCGCAAGCCAACGGTGCTGCTGTTTCAAATGCCATTTCGTCGGGGATTCTTGACGCCTCTGTTGAGTCGACGACCAAATATTCTTGAAAGGCACCATTACGCTGCACGCTCATCATTGTCTCTCGATGCGGACAGTAGTGACGGTAGCTTTCCGGCCCCTTGCAGATTTCACACTCGCCACACCGTCCAAATGTCTGGCCTGCCATTACGCGATCTCCTGCGCGAAATCTGGTGACTCCGCTGCCGACCGCAATGACAGTACCTGTTCCTTCATGTGAAGCTGTCACCGGCAGAGTGCAATCCAAATGGCCTTGAAGATACTCCAGATCTGAGTGGCACAGGGACGCCGCAGCCACTTTCAAGAGAAGCTCGTGCTCGCGCAGTGACGAGGTAGATGGAGTTGGAATGGTTCGGAGCTCGTGGGTTGAGTTGTATTTTACAATTTGGCAGGCTCGCATCGTTGAGGGCAGGTGAGAACCGCTGGGTGGAGGCCGTACGGATGGTAGACGGCAACTTGTCGACATATGAAGCGGTCGAACACAGCATTTTAGCTGTAGTTGCTGTCCGTGCACAAGTTGGCTGGCACGCCGCAGACTCAGACTCGCAGCACACACTGCTTTCATTCTGTCATAAAGCCGCTCGCTTCAACAATGGTGGTGGTCTTGCCCGAGAGAAAGTGCTGGTCACTCCGTACAGGCGTAGGGTATGTAAGTAAGACTTGAAAGCTGATCAAGTCAAAAGGTCTTGGCCCAGGTTTTCTCCTCTTCTGAAACTTGTCGTTTTTACCTTGATGGCATTATTACCACGAATCATCCTGTTTTCTTCAGGTCTGGTGCCTTTCCATGGTACGCCACACTCACACGATGCTACGTCGGCGTATGCAATTTCGAGTATCCACAACGACGACTCAGGATCACTTCTTGGACGAAGCAGACTTTGCAGACTTCCACCACTATGTCTCCCATCACTTCGAATAGAAATACTGCGCGATGATCTTCGGTACTTCATATGGTCAACATAAAAATATCTGACCTTTTTGTCCTTCGTGGCAGATTTCCTATCTTGTAACGATCAAATCCCCGTATTCGGCAAAAAACTCCGAGTATCTCATGGCGATGGCCGATCGGCGAACAAGCATTACGTGGATCTCGTCAACCTCGGTCGACGAGTTCTTCCTTCTTCAGCCATCGGATTATGATCTTCGAGGCACAGTCTGGGGAATGGGGAGAACTGCTTCCCCAGATCTAGATGGAGCGAGACTACATGCGTCCAGAATGGTCCACAGGATATGCTGTCCTGATAAATGCAGTGTCATCTCGGACCCCCGTGAGGACTGCAAGCCTTCTCTCTGTAATCTACCACCGCAAAGTCCATCATGACCGATTCAACACATGCACATACCAATTTTCACGTCTACCCCTTATGGGAGACAATGGTCATCCTCCTGGTTGTGGCAGCTGTGGTCTACCCGCTGGTTTACTATTTCCAGGACCCCAAGCAATTACGGCGATTTCCAGCCCCAAGCATCGCAGGGTTCTCAAATATCTGGATGATGTATCAACAATACAATCATAAGCGTGCCCTCTCCACTCACGCTGCACATGAGCGCTTGGGTAAGATTGTCCGCGTTGGGCCAAACCACCTCTCTTTCATCGGCCGGCAAGCCACCAAGGACATATATGGGCACGGTACGCCGGCTCAGAAGGATAAATTCTATATTTCATTCACCGGTACACATGAAAGTAGCCTCGATGTGACGGATCGACATATGCACAGCGAGAAGCGGAAGCGACTTGCGGCTGCATTTGCGCAGAAACGCATTGCTGACATGGAGCACCTTGTGGTCGAGGACATCCAACGGCTGTTGGTTCGATTCGACAAGGCCACCGACTGCGGAGAAAACATCAACGTGCGGTGGTACATTAATATGCTGCTCTTCGACCTCACGGGTGACCTCGTATTCAGCCAGAACCTCGGCTGCGTGGAACGTGGGGACGATATGATGCAGGCGCAGAAGCTTGACGGGACAAAATACTGGACCAAGCCTGCAGATGCGCTTCGTAATTCCCTTCGCATTGGTTCGACGATGGGTTGGAACGCCGACTACTTCCGCCTGCTCAAGAGACTGACTTGGTGGCACGAGGGCTGGAAGGGAGGCGCCGACTTCACGGCCATTGTGCTGCACATGGTTCGCACACGGCTGGAGAAGGAGAAGGAAGGCGTGGAGCTCAACGACTTCTTCAAATCTCTGCTTTGGGACCGCAATGGTGAGCCCCTGGGCCTTGAGATCGGAGAGATGGTTGCCGAGTGCGGCCTGCTCCTCAATGCTGGCTCTGACACGACATCGATCGTTCTCACGGGAGCGATATTCCTTTTGACCAAGTGGCCACACACTGCTGAGAAGCTACGGAAAGAGCTTGATGACGCCCTGGGTGATTCAGAAGATCCCGGCGTCTGTGCTTTCGATGAAGTCAAAAACCTGCCCTACTTGCGTGCCTGCGTCGACGAGGCAATGCGAATGAGGCCTCCACTTCGTGGCGGGTTGCCGCGCGTGACACCTCCGGAGGGTATGATGATCGCTGGCGAGTGGATCGCCGGAAACACGACTGTCTCGGTGCCGACGTACTCCCTTCATCATGACCCAGATTTGTTTTCAGATCCCTGGACGTACAAGCCGGAACGGTGGCTCGAGGCTGATGCTGCGGACTTGCAGCAAGTCTTCATTCCTTTCTCAGCTGGTGGACGTGGATGCAGTAAGTGGACTTTTAAACTTACCGCTATAGGGGTGCTAATCGTTCCTGCAGTTGGCCGAAATGTCTCGTATTTGGAACTCCTCGTTGTCATCTCAACGCTGATGCGACGCTATGAGTTCGAATTTGAGAAGCCCGATTTCGAGCTCGAGACGAAAGATACAGTGAATGCGCATCCGGGACCTATGATGATGAAAATTCGAAGAAGAGTGCCTAAAGTTGAAGCCGGCTGAATAGTTGGATGTGTACGAGATGGAGCGTTCTCATGTTTGATAGCTTTGACGACTTGTGATGATCAGTTACTGGTGAAATGTTATAGAAGTCGAATGACCTTCTCCTTGTCTTTTTTTCTAGATCACCGAACGGGGGACAGGTGGGGATTTCGTGATGCTTCAGAGGTGAGACTGAAGGTTCTTTTGCGACTGGCGTCTTCTCGAACATGGGGAATCCCAACTACGTCTAGCCCCATACATCCTCGTGATAGAGGCCAACCTTTCCCATCTTAGCGCTGACCCAAGTATCTGCCTCCTCCATAGTCTGTTGCCTGCTTTTCGCTATGACTTGATTAAGCCGGGCCCTCACTTCTCTCGCCATCGTCGCAGCTCCACAGATATAAAAACCCGCGCCGTTGTCGATCATATCCAACACGAGCTGCCCGTGTTCAGCCAACCCGTCCTGAACGTACATCTTTTTCTTCGTCAGCAGCCTGGAAAAGCACGGAACTATAACGAAGCTGCCACCAAGCTGAACCAGTCGCTCCTCCCATTCGTTTTTGTACAAGTAATCGTGGTCATCGTCACGACAGCCGAAGAAGAGTAGCATCTTGCCAACTGATTTGCCAAGCTCTGCGAGTCTGGCCCGTTCCTGGACAAAACCGCGGAATGGGGCAATGCCTGTACCGGCTGCGACCATGATTATGGGGATGGCGGGGTTCAAAGGTAACTTGAAGGTCGACTTTCTGATATGCATGTAGATCCGTCCGCCACTGAGCTTGTTTCTTGGACCATCTAGATCGTAGCCGGGCACGGTGCCATACGACTGCGACTGGGACCATGGAACATTCTGGTCTTGCGTCTCCTTGACTGCCATCCTTCGGTCATGGGCCAAGAGGAAGTTGGTCGCTAGGCCTAGAAATCTATCCTCCTTGTTTGCCCTATCTTGTGACAAGATCTGTCGGTTGTTCACGGCCATTGTAATTGTAGGCAGTCTTGGTTGAACAAGTGGCGAGCTCGAAATAGAGTAATATCGTGGCTGAATGCGATTGAAGGACTCGATTAAGAGGGAAAATGGCACCTGAGACCAAACCTGATCAGGCGCGACCATTTCCATAAGGCTACCGATTGAAGCGTATCTCCCGGCGACGTCAGTCCTGAAGGCGCTCTTGTCAGTGCCCAGCCTCAGAAGTTCTGCTTTCGCAGCTTCCGTTGGTGCGAACAAGGAAATCATAACGAGCAAGTCTCGTGATGCGAGTGCGCAAATCTCCAGGTAGTACTTCAGAAGGGCCTCTCTCGTTGTTGGGGAAGGCAGATTTGGCCGCCTCGAAGTTACGTCCTTGCAGTTGTCAATCATGATCGGCTGTCTGCGTTTGTTTCGAGCGTCCAGGCCCAAGAGACGAAGCAGCCGCTCGACCTCATGTTCAGGATTAATCGGCCAGACGGCCAAATGATCCCCTGTCTGGTATCGAAGCGCGGGCGCGTCCGCAATGCTGATCTCCATGTGGACGCAGAGTCGATCTGGAATTGGGGATAGCGTTCTAGAAGCCACGAGGGGTGCTGGGTATGGATTCTTAGAATTATAGGCCACCTTCTTGGTCATGTTCAGCAGCGCAGCCTCGCTTGGTTCACCCATCCAGAGGCTCTGCTCGTCAACGCAGACATCGAGCACATTCAAAGTTGGCTCATAGGTTATTGGTCGCTCGTGCAACGGAATGCTCTTGCCGAGATCTTCAAGGACACTCTCCTGCCATTCCATGAAATCTTCTTCGGTGGTGCCTTGACTTTCGTCCGCTTGTCCCAGAGGACCGATACGAACGCCTCCAAGATCAGTAAGCGTGCGGTCCAGGTTCTGTAGATGTATGTTTATCAGCCTTTTACCATGCCTGTGGTCAGTTCAGTACTCACAACGATAACCTGGTTATAGTGCTTGTAGTTCCTATTGCCCATACCAAGTGCCAGGTAATACAAGCCGTCGACTCGAGTTCCTTTCTTTTTCATTTTCTCGAGTGCTGCACAGAAATTGACAGCATTGTCCGGAGGGTCTCCTTCTCCATATGTCGAGCACAAGAAGACACACAGCTTTCCAGCCGGATATCCTGACAAGGAAGAAGCGTCATAGTCATCGAGGTCAGCCACCAGAGTTTTGAGTGCAAATCGTGACTGCCATTGTCGAGCCAGTCGCTCGGCAAAGGCTTCAGAGACGCCCGATTGAGAGCCCCAGAGTATCGCAATGTCACACCCGATCTGCTGCAGTCTCTCGCCGATATTTCTGGTCTGTTTTGGCTTTGCTTTCAGGTCGCCTGTTTTCTGCGGCGCTTCATACCATTTGTATTGATTCTGATCTGGTCGGCCCCAGAGCTTGCCATCTCCCAGGCGAAAGCAGAACGCGCAGAACAACGCCAGTATAAATATCCAGTCCCCCACTCTTGTTGCCAATAGTGTCTGTGAAACGCCCTGCAGGGCAACTGGGAAAGGATGTATTTGCAAGAATGTGTCCATAGTAGCAACAAGAATAAAGAGAGATGAACTTCAACTTGCTTTGAGAGAGAAGAAAGAATCAATGGTAAACTCGCAGGGAACACGGAGGGGAAGATAGCAAAAGGTTATCGATCGGAGGAGATTACATGGTGGCCATGGCCATCCCGCCATTCCGGCATGGTTCACGATCTCTCTTGAGTCTATGGAGAGACTGGAGCTTAGTGTCGTGAAAGACAAACTCGTGAACTTGAAAGGCAAAGTCGCGACATTGAAACTGGGGAAGTCTAGCGTCCCGTTAACGTGAACCTGATGGTGTGTTGGATAGTGGGACAGTCAACTTGGAGGAAGTCGCCGCGATGCCGATCAACTCGCCTTGCAACGCCGTCCTCGTCCTAAATTGCTATCTTCGGAAGTGTTGCAAGTTAAGGCTTTGCCCCACAATAGCTGGACCCATCTTCTGTTCACTCGCCTCTCATGTCCCGCCCCTCGGCCGACGCAGCCCCAGAAAAGGATATTCAATGCTTCGTCTATCGGAGATGCTAGCCGGCGACGCGTCTTGTCAGATACGGCAAGACTTGTTGCGGTCCTTGTGGGCCAAGAACGTGATGTGCCATTTCCCCGGTAGTACCATGTGGCGAATGTCCCTGCCAAAGTACAATGTTCCCCACGGGGAATAGGAAATCCTGCCCGATGTTGGTGCGCAAACTTTGGTAATGATGGATACCTCATGCATCTCTATAAATGAGGACATCCTTCGTCGAGTCACTCTGGCAGCAGCACCAGTCTTCGAAACATTTCCTATAGTGTGCACGGGTTGCTTTCCATCCACCTTATTTGGAGTGACCTCTCATTGACTTACTTCATCCAACATGTACAAACCCTCGGGAAAGACGTTGACCGTCATCATTACGGCCATATGCTCAACAGCTTTCTGCCTTTTCGGATATGATCAGGGAGTCCTCTCAGGAATCATCGGCGCTGACAATCAGTTCGGCAAAGACTTCAACCATCCCGACGCAAACACTCAGGGACTCATTGTCTCCGTCTACCAGTTGGGCAACGTTGGCGGATCAATCGTCATATTCGTGTTCGGTGACAAACTGGGCCGCAAGAACTCCATCTTCTGGGCAACGATCATCATGCTCATCGGTGCCATTCTGCAGACTGCCTCGACCAATCGTGGAATGATGTACGCTGCTCGGATCATCACTGGAATTGGAAATGGCGCAAACACTTCCACTGTCCCAGTGTATCAGGCAGAGACCTCAACCGCCAAGTCGCGGGGACCTTTGATTGCTGTAGACTCGTGTGTCATCATCTTTGGCATCTTGATAGCATACTGGATGGATTACGGCTTCGCCAAAGTCTCCGGTCCAGCCCAGTGGAGATTCCCGATCGGCTTTCAAATGGTCTTCATCGTCATCATCCTGGTTTTGCTCCTGTTTGCCCCAGAAACGCCTCGGTTCCTTCACGCGCAGGGCAAACATGATGAGGCCGAGGAAGTGACAGCGCGTCTGGTAGGCAAAGATGTCTCTACCAATGACCCTCGCGTCCGCGAGCTCTCCCAGGATATTTTGAAGGCCCTCGCGCTCGAGTCAGAGGGTGGTCCTTTCCAGTTCAAGGAGCTGCTCCAAGGTGGCAAACTGCAGAATTTCCGAAGAATGTGCATCAGCTTTGCCAGCAACGCGTTCCAGCAGCTTGGTGGTATTGTAAGTGTCTTGACACTTCATGATCTTAGAAAAAACTCCATACTGACCAGAATCTCAAGTGCGTGATTACCTACTATCTTCCGAAGGTCTTGGTTGAATCCATTGGAATGTCTCGCGAACTTGCACTGTTGATCAGCGGCATCATCACGACCGAATACTTCCTTGCCTCTCTCGTGCAAATCTGGCTTGTCGACAAATTCAACCGCCGAACACTCATGTTCGTTTCTAGCGCTGGTGAAATCGTCACGATGGTCATCCTCGCTATTACAACCTGGCAAGGCTCATCTCCAGCCGGCATTGCAGGCGCGGTTATGATTGCTCTCTACAATACCTTCTACGCGTTTGGCTGGTTGCCGATTCCATTCATCCTGCCGGCCGAAGTGTGCACCTTGAGAGTCAGAGCTAAAGGTGCTGCGTTGGCCAGCGTTGGAGCATGGATCATCGAGTTCATGGTCGTCCAAATCACGCCTGTAAGTACCCCCAACCTCAGCTTCCAGCAATACTGAGCTAAATTTCTGCAGATTGCGGTCCAAAACATCCATTGGGGCACCTACATTCTCTTCGCCGCGCTGAATCTGGTAATAATCGTCCCGACTGTTTACTTCTTCTTCCCAGAAACTGCAAACATCCGGCTCGAGGAGGTAGATTATCTCTTTGAGGCAGGTGGGATCACTGGCGGAGTCTTAATGAAGAATGGCCGTCTCGCCGACAGACGACAGGATATTGAGGTCGCACATCATGCTCAGTTTGAGAATAAGAGTGAATCAGGATCAGGCTCTCAACTCGCACAGGAAGTGTTTGAGCACCAGGAGAAGAAGTGACGTTATTTGAATGACTAGTCAGATAGTTTGGGAGAAATTTTCAATGTTCCGAAAGACTCGTGGACAAGCTTGTCGAACTTGCAACCACGCCTAGAACCCGTGTTATCGACCAGCTGAATTGAACGGAGTTGGCATTGACGTGTGCTCTTGGGCGTTGATTATATCCAATTCCATTCCTCCTTGAGGCCTTGGACGAGACTTGCTGTGGGCAGCGCATTTTCGACCTCTGCTCTCTTCAGCAGCTGCAATATCAGCTCCTGTTGCTCTACAGGCCGATCATGGAACCATGGCCCGCACGCAACAAGCGCAGTGCAAGTTGTGATTCTAGCCGCCGCCAGTGGAGTAGCCAGTGATATCCCACAGATCGCCTCTGCATTCTTGAGGACCTCTTCGTCCATAGTGCGGCGAAGACGTTGGTATCCCAGTCCAACTTTGGGGGCATTGGGTTTGTAGATGGCGAGGAAGAGTCGGGCGATATAGTAGTACTGCATGCCGGTAACTATTGTAGGTTAACGTTAGTCTCGAATGATTTACTATTTTTATGCCTGTTAGAGACATACCATGCCAAGGATGGCCAAGTCGTATCTCAGGATACCACCTCTTTGCTTCCACATCCTTCGGTCGATACAGGATTGGGTCGAAACTCTTTGGCCGCCGTAGGTCCCACATGTCAATCTTCGCTTTCAAGTGCTCCCAATCAGCATCGCTGTTCCCGAAACAGCAGCTGACAACTTCGGCCACCATCCATATCATGCGTTGCGCCCAGGTGCAATCATTTGTCTCATCGAAGCCTAGGTCGAAACTCAATTGCTCTTCCCAGCCTTCCAGATCAACCTTGAGCTGTGTCTGTGTCAAGAGTGACATGTAGATGCACTGACGAACGTAGATCCAGAAAGCATTGTGTCCCAATCCTCCCCAAGTTTGAAATTCAAGCTGAGCGTTTGCGAAGACTGATGTACCCGTCAGATGGCGCTCTGGCTCAGAGCCCATGTTCGACTCGCTTGTTTCTTCAAAGGCTCTGAGGATGACTGTTGCTGCGAATAGAGTCTCATCAGCGACTAACTCCTTCTGGTCAAGCATCGGTATCATAAGCCGTACGCAAGCCTGGTGATGGCGTTCGGCGATGGTAGGCTCGAAGTCTGAGGTCCGGCTGAGATGTTGAGCAGAAAACGCTAGTAGGGCCTCGAGCAGTACAGGACAGAACAGGGCACGCTCTGGCACATCTACAGCGAAGTGGCGTTGCATGTCCGTGATATCGAGCTGGCCGGCTAGTGATTCCATGTAATGTTGGAAGAGCATGGCTTCCTGAGCATCGTGGAACGGCAGCGGCATTCTGGGACCATAGAGCTGAAGCCGTGAAGCTTCGGACGAAATGCTATGGCTACTTAAATTGGGAACTGGCCTCACAACAAGGCTGGAATGGGAAGCAACAGGAGATATGAATGCCGGGTACGAGGGATGAGAGATTGATTGTGTGACATCAACGGGATCGGAGGGATCGCTATCCACGAGGTGCTCATGCACATCTTGTGAAGTCGAAGTTGACGGTCTGTTTTGGACGAGAAAGGAGGATTGCTGAAGATATGGTGGGGTTGGCACAGGTTGGTTCTGGCCTTGGGTTTGCTTGCCAGGACCGTCGGCGCCGTCCTCGGTCGTTATGGGTGCGAAATTCCCGATGTTGTCGTCTTGAGCCAACACCTCGGCATCTTCAGTTATCAGAGAATCGCCCACTGTATTCTTGTAACGTAGTTGATGGTGTCGATATTCAGCGTCCACGTGAGCTGTCTCATCGATAAAGGATATCACCGGAGGTGTATCCACCCATTTCTGCTGGTCCCCAAAGACATCGTGTGTATCTCTGTGGACGCGTAGCTTCTTGATCGGGCTGGAAGGAGCATTAAGTTGTCCCCTCGCGGCGACCTTTTGGCTGTTGCGGAATGTGAGCAGATCATCTGGCACGCATTCTCGACCACTCCGGCGACAGCGACCGCAGTCTGGCTTGAATTCTTCATCGCATTTCAAATGCCGGCGTCGACATGTCAGGCTGAAAGAAACAAAGCTGATCAGCTATTCGCAATACTGTCTCCAAGCTAAGGAGGCTTGCATACCATCCCGTACGACCTCTCCGCGATGCACGTAAATTTGCTCCCAGCATAGTAATGCCTAATTGTGAGCCCGCATATAGAGGAGGACTCAGCCACCGAGTCGGCCTGCCTAACCTGTGTGGTTAAAATGCTTGCTACAACTCAGTCACTGAGGAATCGAGGAAGAGAGCGAAGCGCTGGATATTGCCTTATGTAGAAGATCGGATTTTAGCATCCAGAAAAGATCTCGAAGGTGGAGCAAAAGCACACATGACATTGATCAGATGCGGGGAGAAGTTGGGGGAGACCGCGTTGGCGCTCAGGCTTGAAAGACCCTGGACATAGGAGGCTCAAAGGTATCCATCCGCCCCAGAGACCGCGAAGGCAACGAGTGGCCTAAAGAAGACATCGAACCAGTAGAAATGATGTAGTCGATCATCAGACTCGCGAAAGGCTGTGTGGGATTCTGAGTGGCTTACTTTAGTAGACAATTTCTGCTCCGGAGACCCGTTTTGGCGTTTTGGCGTTTTGGCGTTTCTCCATCTGGGAATTCCTGACGATAGGGGTCGTCGAAAGCTTGGGGAAATGGTTTTCAGAACCTCGGTTCTAATCGCGAGCGCCGAGGGGACAATTGGGGTGGCAATCACCTTCGAGGTGTTGTAGGCCGCAGAGGACGGTCGACTCGTGTCGTTGATGAATGGCCTGAAGTCTTGCATAGAGTCATGGACCCCAGGACGGAACTGACATCCGGGCATCCATATGCTAGGGGCAACATGGCTCTCGTAGGCTTCGTGACTGTGTCCCGCAAGCTGAAAGAGGGAATTTAAGGCGAAGAGAGCTATTCACATCGTTTCTCGAGTGCTACGCACTCGGAAGTCTAAGGCAGCCGTTTATTCTTGCAAGACCCAAAAGAGTAGTGATGATGAAATCTCCTTGCAAACCGTGGGAGTCCAGCTTTTATTGCTTCATGTCGCTGACGATATAACTCTGTCCTCCTGCTCGCCTACGATGTAGGCAACTTTCAATGTGATCAAGAGAAAAGAACCAGATCTGACTAAGCTCGGAAGACTGTACAAAAGGAGACAGAAGCGATTCTTGACGATGGTCATCACCAATGGAATCGCTAATGGAGTTCGCAACAACTTACCAAAAGGGCACCAAGCGACCTTTTCCTCTGAGAACATACCTTCCTCCGAATTCCAAGAGCGAGTAGAAAGAGTTCGCGATGGCTTACGAGCAGCTGGTCTCGTAGGATTGATATCCTTCGGCGACTGCTGGCGTGGCGCAAATGTGTGTTATTTCACCGAGTTCCGACCTCTTGACGGTGTCTCGGACATAGCAAACGCCATATTCTTCGTCGGAGCAGATACGGAGCCTGCTTTGTTTGTGTCAAGGCAATGTTTCCACTATGCTTCAGAGGTCACCTCGTTCGACGTGTTCACTTTCGATGAGATGCAGGCCAAGCTGGAAGGTTTCTCGGGAGCACGGACCGGTACTGTGGCCCTCGCTGGTGAAGCTTACATACCTGAAGACCTTCACCGCCGAATAAGAAATTCTCTTGGAAACTTGACAATGGAGCCTCATCCAGTCCTGGCGGAGATCAAGGCCATCAAGAGCGAACGAGAGATTGCGCTGATCCGGAAGGCGTCATACCTAACAGACCAAGCCATGGAAGCAATCAGGGAGACGCTTGCGGACGGGCACCCTCATACTGAACGCGAGTTAGCCTTGTTGGCAGATCAGAGAATGCTGGCTGGTGGCGCCGAACGAACGGCGTATGATTCAATGGTGCAGGCTGGTCCTCGCTCTGCTTTCAACCTGGCGAGGCCAACGGATAGGATTGTGCAGCCGGGTGACTTGGTCATGACTGATATTGGAGCCCGATATCGAGGCTACTGCGCTGACGGCGGTCGTGGGTTCATATACAGGACGGAGAAAGCGGACCCACAGAAGAAAGAAATCGTCAAAGCGGCTGCTGAGGCTGTCGAGGCGGGTCTCAGTCATGGACGACCGGGTATGACAGCGTCTGAATTGAATGCTTTCATGCAGCAAGCTTTGGTGAAATCAGGGTATGAGCAGTACTCCAGTGAGGCCAGAGGCCATGGAACAGGACATGGGACAGGAATGGATCCAGAGGAGGAGGCCCCATGGATTGGTCCCGGCAACAAGACTGTTTTGAAGGAGAACATGGTCTTCACGTTGAAGGCTACCATCACGGTTCCTGGAGTTGGTGGGCTACGGACCGAAAGGATTGTGAGGGTGACTTCAATGGGGATTGAGGCCCTAGACGTCTACCCAATGGAGCTGTATTGGTAAATCGAGTCATGACTCGAGTGCAGGAGGAAAATTAAACAAGCCTCAGCCCCTCCTAGCAAATTCTTCTCGTTATCCATTATGGTATTGCAGGCTTGAAGTCACAGATAGTGGTAGAAATGGAAACACGGCCATTCATGATGAAATGAAATTTGGTTCGAAGCCGATTTACAACAGAATGCAAAGTGAATGAGCTTGGTTTGGCTGATGAAAATTACAGGGCTTAATTGCGCTGGGTGAAAAGAACATAGATCATAATCTCGCCCTGATTTTCCCAGACAATCTCATACTAGCGTAATGGAAAAGGAATGTAATTGAGGGTATGCAGTGTTACTCCCTACCTATGGACGCAGAAGCGCCTGAAGGTTCCAAGGTTGAGATAGAGATGCATCGCGCTAGACCGCGCCAAGCCGCATAAACCGTCACTAGTGGTTCACTACGGATTGCTTGGACGACGACGGACTTAGCCTCCTTCAGAACACTTGCCCGCAACACATTTCGCCGCCGCCTGCACAGATGCGACTTGCCCAGGCTGAAGTTACAATAACCCAGATTTATGCCTCATGCCTCCCTCTCTAACCCATCGCTTACAAGCCATTGAGCAAAACTACAAACAGATCTCGGCGCTCGTACAAGAGTTAAAGACATTCTCCGTAACGGATGAAACTACCGACGAACGACGACTTGAACTCGCGACAGACATTCACGAAAGATTAAAGGAATGGGAAGACACTCTTGAGATTCTGAAACAAGAAGTTGAAGATGACAGTATTACCGCCAAAAGGCGGCCTCTTGCCTCCTCTCCACGGCCCGATCGAGAAACTGAGCACGAGCACAATGCAGACCTCCTCGCTCGCCTGCAGGAGGATCTGAAATCTGCACGGGCGAACTTCAGAAGGGCGCAACTGCATGCGAAGCAGGAGTCGGATGCATTCAAGCGGCAGAGTCGAGAAATGCTATTTAGTAGTCGAAAGGCGTCCGTGGAACAAGGAGACTCGGCACGAAAAGCATCAAAACACGAAAAACTGACCCAGGATGAGATCGCACTGCGGGCGGCTGACGATGTGACTCGAGCACTGACGAGGGTATACAATCAAATGGAGGGCGAGTTGGCGCAGTCACAATTTGCGCAGCAGACTTTAGATGAAAGTCAAAATGCACTAAAGGCCCTGGACGAGAGCTACTCCGGGACCACGAATCTGGTCAAGTCTTCCAGGGGCTTGATCGGTCAGCTAGTCCGGAGTAGCAAGTCAGACAGTTGGTACCTTCGATCAGCCTGGTATATGTTGATCGCGACAATTTCTTGGCTGTTCTTCCGGCGGATACTGTACGGTCCTATTCTGTTATTTATCTACTATCCTATCCGGATAATGTGGTTTACACTCAGCAGCGTTAGCACTATTATGCTTGGGAAGTCACCAACTCACGCTGGAAATCGTGCGCCTCCTAAGCCCACCCTTTCGGTCTCGATGCCTGTGGCTGGTGTGTCGAAGCAGAGCGCTGGACGGCCGCCACTGAGTATAGAGCTCCCGGCGAAAGGGGGTGGGTGGGATCGCCCTGTTGTACGTGAAAGAGGAGAAGAGCAAGTAGAGAGCATCATCGAAGAGATTGAGCGCTTAACAGGTGTGGCTTCCACAGCTATCCAAGAATCGGAAGATGGTTCGCAGGAGAGCGAAGAACCTGCCCGAAATACCAAAAAAAGAATGATGGAGGTGGATGTTGAACCCTCAGCTAGATCGAGGGATGAGTTATGAATTGTAACATAGTAATGTAAAAGACAACCATCATGGAAAATCTGCAACTAAGATAGGTAGGAATTCAACCTTGGAGCTCTCAGCCTTATCACGTGAACCACTTAAACGCGCCAAGACATCCTCGCGTCATGTGTAAGTCCGACGCGTTTTCTCCTTTGTCCACTGCATTGAACCCCATACTTAAACAAACCCATCTGATAGTCTATGGATTTCTCATCGGCTACAACTACCCAGGGATATTCAAGAGCATTTCGATCGATAAGTTGAAAACTTCCACGTCATAAAGGCCTCATTCAACGCAGAACACGGCCAGCAGTTGGTGAATCGTGCGGTGGTCTCAATCTGAAGAGTGCCTGTACGAAGTCTCAAATCAACCTCAAGAAGGTGTCCGATTGTCGAACGATTGCGCATTGCTGCCCACCGGACTACGTCACGTCCGGGAAGATTTACAAGTCTTCACAATTTAATATCCACTGCCATCGATTTCACAATGTCGAACTTCTTCGACAACAAAGCCCGGGCTGCTGCCGCCAAAACTGACACTAAGCCAAAAGCATCGTCAGAACATACACTCGCTGCAAGAGCACAACCTTGGGTCGAGAAATACCGGCCGAAAACTCTGGACGAGGTCAAAAGCCAAGAACATGCCACCGAAACTCTTCGACGCATGGTAAACGCCAACAATCTCCCTCATTTGCTGCTCTACGGACCCCCAGGCTCAGGCAAGACATCCGCAATCCTTGCACTTTGCCGAGAACTCTTCGGGCCAGAATTGTACTCCAGTCGAGTCCTAGAGCTCAATGCCTCCGATGAGCGGTCGATTACGGTTGTTCGGGAACGTATCAAGACATTTGCTGCTTTGCACCTGGTCAACGCCCCTGCCTCCAAAGAATACAGAGAGCGTTACCCCTGTCCCACTTTCAAGGTTATCGTCCTTGATGAGGCAGATCAATTGTCTCAAGACGCTCAAGGTGCCCTCCGCCGTGTGATTGAGATTCACTCTAAAATCACGAGATTTGCTCTGTGCTGCAATTACGTGAGCCGTGTCATCGCTCCGCTCGCAAGTCGTTGCTCCAAGTTTCGGTTCAAGGCACTTGAAGGGCCACAAGCCGTAGGTCGAGTGGCAGACATACTAAAGGCCGAGAAAGTGAGCTATGATGAGGGAGTCATCGAGAGGTCTCTGAAGGTCTCTGATGGCGATCTTCGTCGTGCCATCAATTTACTGCAGAGTGCAGCTCGTCTCGTTGGCGTTGGAATTGCTCCCTCAAATGGACACGCGTCAAAGACTGTCCTAGACGATTCTGATGAGGAGATGGACGATGGCGATGCGAGCAAGCCAGCGACACGGGCTATCAGTATCAAAGTCTCCGACATCGATGAGATTAGTGGTGTCTTTCCAGTTGGAATGACTGATCATCTGTTGAAGGCATTGCAGAAGGGCAACACACGTAATTACAACACCATCGCAAAGGAGATCGCCGACATCACCGCCTCAGGATATTCAGCCAATGAAGTGCTTCTGAGTCTCTACAATAAGATAATCTTCGACGAGCTGGTCGACAATAAGAAGAAATACAAAATGACGCAGATTTTCTCAGACTTCGACCGCCGTCTTATTGATGGTGTTGATGAGCAGCTTGCAGTGCTTGATTTGTCCTGCCAGATTGCGGGAATCTTGGCGAAGTGAAGGAACAGGAGAACTTAAGATTAATGGGCCATGAGCCATGAGATTCCCACACAAGACCACGAGCACAAGGTGCTCCCAAGACACACAGCAGTCATACACGGAGACTCTCCAAATGTGAGAAGGTTTATGGTCTAACCCTCGCCGCAAGCCGAATGTTTGTGACAGGGACTATCGTCCTACATCGAAAGGCAAACTCACACCGTGCCATACGTGCTTTTCAGACCATATGCAGTCACTTCCAAGTATCCCCTCATGCGTTCTCATGTTCCGGCTGCAGTTACGCCATATCCGTTTGAGCTGGCGTCCAGTTTAGCAGCTTCAGCACAAGACACAAGATACTTTGAATATGCTTAGGTCGGAGCTACGGGGTCTCGCGAAAAGGTTCTCTATCGCATGATTCTCTCGATCCAGTCTGCCGGGTGGCGGACGATATGTGATGTCCCAACAGGACATGTCGAGTGAATACGCAGCTTCGAATATTAACCATTAAGCAGCATGACATCGTGGAAAACTTCAAGGTTGCTGAGCAACATGCAAGATCCGAGTTGAGAATATGGAGATAGAGAATATAATCTCCTGTGTATGAACATCTAAAGCTCCGTTCCATCTCTCCCTCAATCCAGAGCTTTCCACATTGTGAATGTTTGACACTTACTGCCCACCACAGAATCTGAAGCAGTTCTGCTGACTTCTGATTATTCGTTCCCACAAACACGACCAAGACAGCCGCATGAATTGCCATGGCTATCAATGTATCAGCATTCCTCGCACGCACGGCTACAGACATCGCAGCCGCAGGCCACGTGACCGCCATCGAAAAAGGAATTGGAGTTTTAGCCTTGTTCGACTCTGGCAACATCATGACCACTGATGCACCGTTGTTGATCCACAAAGATGCATCTGGAAGGAAGGGACGATTTCTGTGAAGTGACCATCAAAGGTTAGATCGCTGGCAGAAGTACAGTAACCAAAATAATCCATGTTTCTACGAGATTGGACATCTTTGTGGCTGGTAGTGATCAGTTTGCTTCAGTCCTCTGCTTCGAATTAACCTCCCTACCAAGTTCTACGTTTTAGATCAAGGTCTGGACATGCCAGTATGAAGCAGGAGAAATAGAAATCAAACATACTTTCTACTCGTCCTTCGAACTCAATTTCGTCAAGCCCCAAATTAAGGCGGGGTCGGCTGTTGCTGTCAATTCTTGCCTAACGGGGTAAGCGTGCGATATCAGCCGTCTCAACCAAGAGTCCAAGACCAACTTGAACAGCTCAGACTCGATACCCTGGTGTAAAAGTGGGCGGAGTCACCTTTAGCATGGCTACCCACCCATTCTGGAGAGCACAAACCCTAAGTGGCGAATGAATACATTCAGATGTTATCTCCTGGATCCCTCAGTGGCCTTCCTATCAGGTAGTGCCATTGACCTATCTTGCTCTATCGAGCCTCGCAATCATAAGCCTCGGCGCTACCGCAAGTTTACCGTAGCCTGCAGGTAGACTGTTCGAACCTTGATGGTCGTGCCTAATAAGCAATGCGGAGCTATGTCGGTCCAGCCATCATATAAACTCGAAATTCCTCCAACACTCAAGACGCTCGCATCTTCCTTCAGGCAATTCCACTCCTTAAAGACTTGGCTCTGACGATCTTTAAGGTCGATAGCTTACGCGTTGCTAAAACAAGGAATTCTACGGAGTGTGCCAACGTCCCTTGGGGACAGAAAGTTACTCCTCACAATGATGTCGGAAGTTCCTGAGAAAGCCCTCCACAAGTCGGAGACAGTGGCGTCGAATGCCGGCACCGAGGATGTTGGCGGTAGCCATGAAGGTCACAATCGTCAGATGCGAGTCACCTTCAACCTCTGGAGCACTTTAGGCCTGGTGTACAGTATTACTGCCACTCCAATTGGTATTGGAAGCTACTTGACCTTCAGCTTGGTCTTGGGTGGAGCGCCATTTTATATCTACGGGTATATCTTCGCGGTCAGCCTCAATATCATCTTGTGCGTCGCATTGGCTGAAATTGCGTCCATCTACCCGCATCCATCTGGTAAGTTGCTACATGCACTGGGCTCTCAGAGACTCCTGATCGGCGATGAAAGGACTGACACAGGATATGTAGGGCACATCTACTGGGTCGGCAAGCTGGCACCTGAGAAATGGGTTTCGTTTCTTAGTTATTGGACAGGCATATTGACCTCGGCCGCGTGGTTTTTCTGGAACGCGGGAACCTACCTTCTCACCGCGCAGATCCTGCTCGCAATGGTCATGCAACTTTACCCTGATAGCTACTCGACATATCCAGCATGGCATGCACTTCTGGTCGCTTATGCGCAAGCGCTAATTGCAGTCCTCTGGAACGTTCCTTTCTTTAAGTCCTGGCCATACATCCTAAAATTCATGGTGGTCTTGACCAATGTGGGAGTCGTCTTTTTAGCCATCTCACTCTTGGTTCGCACTTCTCCCAAGCAATCGGCTCACACCGTCTTCGTTGACGTCGTCAATACCTCGGGCTGGCCGTCCGCGGGAGTGGTTTTTTTCTTGGGCCTCTTACCTGGCACAACCGCGATTAACGGGTTTGATTCGGCGTCACACATGGTGGAGGAAATGCCTGATCCTGCACGTCAGGTGCCTCAAGTCATGGTCGGCAACGCGTTACTCTCTGGTGGGCTAGGATTGCCAATGGTGATCATCTTCTGCTTTTGCATCTCCAACCCCGAAAACTTGCTTGCTCCATTAGGTGGTGTGACCATCATCCAGTTGTTCAAAGACAGTTACAATAGCGATGCGCTCTTTGTTCTCGCCGGCCTCCTCTACGTCGTCGTCACCATTATCGCTGCCACCGCCGTCACTACAACCACAAGCCGGGTGTGGTGGTCTTTTGCCCAGCACCACGGTTTACCGTTCCACTCCTGGCTCTCCAAGATCCAGACGACTTCGCTCTACGCAGTCCCTGTCAATGCCATTATTGCCAGTACTGTGCTCTCTTGTCTGGTTCTCTTGATCCAGTTGGGACCCAGCTACGTCCTCGCCGCCCTGTTCAGCACTGCAAATATCTGCTTCTACCTGAGCTACGCCATCGTACTGGTGTGCTTCCTCCACCGCAAATGGACGCAAGGCCTGCCGCCCCATTACTTCGACCTAAAGGGGCTCCTGGGTTCTGTGCTCGGCGTAGTAAGCATCATTTGGTCGGTCTTTGCGACAGTCTGGCTTACTTTCCCATACTATCTTCCTGTCACAGCTCAGTGGATGAACTGGTCCGTCGCCCTTCTAGCAATTACGATTGTTTTGTTTTCAGTGGATTGGACACTCCGGGCAAGAAAGACATATATTATTCCTTCGCCGTTGGTTATCTAAATCGCTAGTGTCTAGGATAGATTAGGATCTTAGACCAATATGCAAATCATCATCACAGTTGTCGGCGAGCTCCCTCTGTTCCTTAGCCTTCTTGATCGTCCTCATGGGTTGGGCATTTCCAAACTACTGCAAGTCTGATACCGATCCCCGTCATGTATGCGTAGTCGACACGCGGCCAGCTCTACTCCAGGTCGACCTCTGGCTTACTCTGAATCGAGTCAATCGGTTAGACTTCTTGAGTATCTGAGGTCTGCCTTATCGGGGGCCCGCAGATTGTCGCACATGCCACATGGTATCCATTGAACTTCGTAAGCTCATCTTTGATCCTTATCGAGGAGTGGGCACCAGACTCGTCCTTGACACGGCCCATGCTTTTAATCTTCCGTTGTTTCTCCATGCTTTCGCCGTCCTTGTTACTTGTCACAATTAAAACTAAGGGCTCTCCATGCATTGTATCAGAAGTAACCCATGGCAGAAAGTCTAAACTTGACCCGTGTTGCGTCTAATCCCAAAACAGCGCAGATTTAGAGATTTAAACCCTCTTCGGACTAGCATTCCCCCACGTTCTAGACTGGGGAAATTCATGATCCCTGTCATAGCGATATCAAAGTTTCGAAGGGCAAGATATCGAGAATGTGAGTTAATCATCTTGTATCAATTGAGAACAATTTAGATTCACCGATCCTTGTGGTTTTTAGGCAAGCAGGAAAGGGATCTTTTGCCTATCATAGGAAACTATTGCCCCCAGGTATCTAAGCCCTCGGAATCTACAGCTGGTAGCGCCCTGGCGACGCTCAAGCGGAGCGTCATCTCCTCTTTACGTGTCTTATGCTTTGCATTAGAGAGAGAAAGGGTTCGATATCCTAGATCTGCTGTCTCCAGGAGTTTACTATACTTTAGACTGAAGGCACACAGTGGGTGATCTCGGTTTCAATTTCTGGAAGTCGCTCAGCACGCAGCATTCGTCCTTTCGTGAGAGCAGTCATGGCACCTTCGGCCATACTTCCAGAAGTCAACACCGACAAACCAGGGAAACAGAAAGCACAGCTCGTCAGATTGAGTGCCAAAGACCCAGCAACAACCTCAGATGCTGTGATCGAGGTCATCAACCGTGACGGTGGGGTCATCGTCGAGAATCTGATCACCCCCGAGCTGGCCTCGCAGATCAAAGCCGAGCTCAAACCGTGCTTCGACAACGACATCATAGATCCCAGCGGCTTCTTTCCAGAGACCACCAAACGCGCCACGGGTTTGGTTGGGATATCGCCTGGCTTCGTCGAGTACATGACAACGCCCCTCGTGACCGACGTGGCCAATAAGGTCTTGACGTCTAACTTCACATATTTCTTGGGAGAGACGCCGACCACGGTGTCGTCGAAGCCTCAAATATCGTCTACCGTTGGTTTCCGGGTGAACCCTGGCGGCAAGGCGCAGGCTTTACACCGAGATGATGCGTAAGTGCCACTATCTGGGGGGTTTCCTTCCCGTCTCACTGTTGAAAAGCAAGAGTCGTGGCTAAATGATATGGTCGTTCCAGAGATTACCACGCTCAACTGCAAGACCAGCCACTGCTACTAGGTTTCATTGTTGGCATCAGCCGGTGCACAGAGGCGAATGGTGCAACGCGGGTAATCCCTGGATCGCATAAATGGGGTCCAGATAGGGCACCAAAAGTCAGCGAAACTGTGCCTGCCGAGCTTGAGATCGGAGATGCGCTGATTTTCAGCGGCCATCTCTACCATGGCGGTGGTGCCAATGTCACCGAGTATGTATCACCGTCCTTAGTGCTGGGTAAACTCGGAGGGCATGATTTCTGACGAAGGATTGCAGAAACGAAGCGCGTGAGAATATCGGCCTGTTCTTGACCAAAGGCTTTTATCGCCAAGCTGAAAATCAGTATCTGATGGTTCCCCCCGATATGGCCAGAAATCAGGCTCCACAGGTGCAAAGATTGCTAGGTTATGGCATCAGTCGGCCATCCAATGGCTTCTACAAGTATCAAGATCCCATGCGGGTGCTTTTTGGGGTGGAAGACGAGGAAACTGTAAACATGTGACGTAGTTTCTTGTGGTTTTGCCAGAAGTGCCGTTGTGGAAGTAGATGGTGCTTGAGGGCGGATCTGATTCTCGAGAGATATGTAAGCTATTGTATCAGAATAGGATCTCCAACTCGATCCCACTGTTTCGCCATCGTAATCCAATTCACAACGGTCTGTTGCTGACCAGTAGCCCACAGCTCACGAAGAAGTCCCATCATGCGCGCTCGATCAAGACCTCCGGTCATTTTAATCACTTCGAGCATCTTGTGCTCGATGAAAATCTGGTCATCAATGCAATCGTGGCACTCCGTGCCGGCGATTAGAAGTGGCCAGGCCAAACAGTGCGCAATAGATTCCATATCGAAAACTCCTCGTAACGATTCAAAGAGGTGGTTTCGTGCAATCGTGCACGAAGCTTGATCAGCACAATCATCGCCCTTCACGCGGAAGAAGTAGATGAGGGTCGCCTGATAATAAATATCAATCATAGCAGAGAAGGATTGCCTTGCCTGGCGAGTTTGGAAATCGATCTTCTGTATTTGAACGGTCGCTATACGCCTAGCTTCCTTGATGTCCTTGCGAAGGCAGTCTGAGTTACGAGTTGAAATGCTCTGGTTCGAACTAAACCGCTGGTCACGCGCCAATTCGGTAATGTGACGAATGATGCTGACGTATTTGTGAAATGGTCCCTCAGCCCTATTACAAGAAATTCGCAAATTCCAGTTTGGAGGCCGATCGATAGCAGTAATCGAGCTCCATGTCTGAAATTCGCTCAGTAACGCTATGATAGACTTTTCGATCCCATCATCATCTTCCAGGTGAGTGTCATCGGCCGCCAGCCATGCATGAGAAATAGCATAAGCAGCTCGCATGTGCAGCCTCCAAATCGGGCCGCGGCCCGTCCGAATGCCCAGAGAAACGAGCAGGAACATTGACACAAGCAACCCTCGGAGCTCGTCCACACTGAGAGACCCATAGGGATGAGGATTATGAGTCAGTTGATAAATATGAGCTGTAAGCGGGCCCAATGCCTCGTGTTGGAGCTTATCCTGCATGGACAAATAGTCAGGACGTGGCTCCATAGAGTTGGACGTCAGCATAGAGCCAAGATCGCCAGCGGCCAAAGCCAGAAGTGCCCATCGGACCGAGGGAATTTCCAGGCTGATCAATGGGATGTCGTTGCGATAGATGTTCTGTGAAGTATCGATCCAGTCCAGTTGAGGTGCAATCACCATCACATAGTGACACAGTAGGCGACGGAATGTCGGCTCAGTAAGATAGTGTGGAAGCGAGCTTGGCGATTGTAATAAAAAGAGAGAAGAACTGGAAAAAGGATTGCTTGGGATGGATGACACCGTTCTTGTTGGTGACGAACTTGGATAGTGTGTTTGTTTCTGCTCAGGGCGACTTGCGAATACAGTGGTACATGGCGCAATCTTCGATGGCTTCCACCGATACTCCTTGCCATAGCCAGGGCACTCCAAGCTCCTAGTTCCACATTTGAAGCATTTTGGGATCGTTCGATCACATATGATTCTACGCCGACGACAGTTCTTACAATCTGGGTTACTCGTCAGCGTTCTACACTCATATCAATTAGCATCAAAAGCAGTTGAGTTACCCGAACCCTTCTGATTCATGTTGGCATTTGCCTTGATCATATCGCACGGGGATAGGCGCCCCAGACAAATTGACTTAGGGTGTTCCGGATTGGCATCTTCTGGAGTCGCACTCAGGCGCCATCCTGGTCGGCGAGAAGTGACAAGCAGACCTGGACGAGAAGATAGTCGACTCAAAGGGTCGGGGACAAGGAAGGCTCGTAAAAGATAGGTAGGAGTGATAAAGATAGGGACTTATCTGGCTGAAGTTTACTTCGGGGAGTGCCAAGACTCCGTGGAGGCAGCGCCGCTTTTACAACTCACTACCTACTTAAGTTAGGTGGGTAGGTACAGCCTCGAGAACACCTCTGGCACCTTAGGTATGGAGACACCTCCCTCACCTCTGGTCTTGGTTTCCCAGGTTTTTGCATCTCATCGCTGAAGCGCCAAAACGACAGGTCAGCCACCAAAATTTGCATCACGGACTGAATAATTTAGAATCTGTATCGGGCTGTCAGTTTTCGTCATGGACCCCATTACAGCCGCCGGGCTGGGTCTCAGCATCACCTCTTTGGTACTTCAATTGTTCGGTGGATGTATCAAGGGCTACGAGATCTTTCTAGATATGGTCGGGATGCCAGCCAAGTTTGCACATCTTCTAGTGCGGATGCAGCTCGAGCGGACTCGTCTTCTGAACTGGGGCGAAAAGGTGGGACTCCTCGAAGAGGTGTTGGAGCAACCCAGTATGACCTTACACCTTCATCGCAACCTGATAGTCGACATTCTGTTCGAAATTCAGCGATTGTTCAAGGAATCTCTACTTATTCAGGACAAGTTTGCGAGTGTAGGTAATCTGAAGGAGGATCGTGCATCCCCAAGGACTATTGACCAAGCTTCAAGCCAATTTCAGCCAAAAAATAATGGAGCCCTACTCGAAAAGGCTCTCAAAGCGTTGAAAACGGCCGCTGAAATCCCAACAAGACTGCAATGGGCCCTCGTGAAACAAGAGAAGTTCGAGATTCTGGTTGAGAAACTCATTAGTTACAATAACTCGATTGTCTCACTTCTCGACAGAACAACAATCCAACAAATTTATGACATGCAGATACAGACTCAACTGACAATGCTTCAGGTGAGTAGCAAGGTAGACGACTTAAAACAATTAGCACTCGCTATTCAAATGCAGACACATAGTAGTACTCCAGCCTCGGTTGAGATCCACATTGGAAGCCAATCTGGACCAGCCAGAAGTCACACAGACGATGCTGCCAGCTTTGCACGACTTACCAACTTCAAGGCTCAGCAGATCAATCTTGACCTGGAGTCTTTGAATGACAGGCCTGGGCCCTTAGATGGGGAATTGACATCCCGTGACACTCGGTGTGCCACAAGATCTCTCGCATTATATGGTGGGCAAAGGGTCTGGATAGAATGGAAAGAGTATGATCCAGACCATCAATTGGTTTCGTGGCCTCAGATGATTGGAGAAAGAGTCAAAAAGCTTGCCATTCTGCTAGGCATAGAAGATACTCCTAAAGAATTCAGAGCTCCAAGATGTCTCGGATATTTTCAGGATATTTCAGAGGATGCAGCCAGGTACGGTCTCGTGTACAAAATCCCTCCCGGTCTGGTTGAAAGCGAGCCAATGACCCTCCTTGACTTGATCCAACAGGAAGGCAAGCCATCGCTCACTCGGAGGATTGGACTGGCTCACAAAATATCAGAAAGCATCATATACCTACACGCAGTCAACTGGCTCCATAAAGGCGTCCGAAGCGAGAACATCGTATTCTTCGCAATGCCTGGACAGATGCCCGATCTCGCCTCACCCACCATCTCTGGCTTTGAATATGCAAGGCCGGACCTCCCAGAGGAGCTCACGGAGATGCCCTCAGAAGACTTCCATCACGACATCTATCGACACCCTGATGCAATTGGTCGTGCTGAAACACGTTCCAGGAAATCATGGGATATTTATAGCCTGGGTGTTGTCCTGGTTGAAATTGCTTTCTGGAAGTCCATTGCAGATATAGTCGGTCTTCATGAGACACAAAAGGGTGCTCGCTCAAAATTGAGGCGAGTGAGAGATACGCTACTGGATGATCAATTTCTCAGGCAAATTGGTGCGGAGGTAGGAGAGATATATCAAGGTATAGTACGGCGTTGCATCGAAGGCGGAATGGATCTTGGCATTCCTGATGGTGCAGATGAAGCAGTACCAGAGACAGGAGCTGAGTTACAGCGAGTGTTTTCACAAGCTGTAGTGCAAAGCTTTCATAGCATCCGGCTCTGATTCGACACTACTTTCTTTTATCTACGGGAGCTCAAAGGTTCGAGCCATTGCAAGGTCATCGTTGATGAGATCATTATGGCCACGGAAGCAACCCCACAAGATTTGACTTAGATAATGGAATTCATGATGCTTAAAGAAGACGTACCGTGGGACAGGGGATAGCGTACCAGGCAATGCTGTCATGGAGGAGGTTCTGGCTTCATACTCATATATCTGAACGCTAGGCCGGCGGGCACGACGCGTACCTGAATGAGAGTTATTGATAGTCCCGAGCGCATGTGAACCTGCTCGATGTTCGGTGCGGTTGGTAGACAGAGTATTACAACCTGACGCCGATTTAAATGGCTGGGGATTCAGTGAAGTGCTGGTCAGCCCTCCTATCTCTATGTCTTACAATCAGGCTTTTAAGTACGGATAGAGAATCCACGTATCTCGTATTCAATGGGGGCTATTTATGCCATAAGCAACCTCGTACTCTAGTCCGAATTGGCCTGCCTGCGAGGTTGCCATGTCTGAGGCCGAGACCACAGCCGCCTTCGCGAAATCCCGCCTGCGCATATGCATGCTCTTACCATGGTTGCAAGTCAGACGGACTTGATTATCGAGTCCGTATGCTCTTACAGAGACTGTCGCAGAGTTCTCGAAGGGGTCCTGGTCTCCCTCTGGCCGCACAGCTGTCGCGTTCGAGGGAGGTGAAGCCCGCCCGGCTCGGGCCATGGCGCAACTCGCCGCACGCACCAGCATTGGTGATATCGCTGAACGCGCTCTGGACGCCCTACTGACGCCATATTTGAATTCAGGATCTGCGCAGCGCGCACATCTATCGGAGGTAGACGTTGGACAAATCTCTACCAATCTCAGCCGCATAGGCAAGATTTCGTGGAGCAGAGTTCCTCGTCTCTACACGGTCCTTCGCTTAGTTGACCATGTGCAGGTCCTCGACGCATTCCTCAACCAAGGCGTTTCCGATGTCTGGTTTCCATTCTCCGAAAGAACTTTGCCAGAAAGCTTACGAAGTTCTTCTGCTCGACTTAAGTTCCTAGACCTACAACACGTCGTATTGGCAACAGCGCTAAGTTTGGAACGAGAGGATACCGGCCATTGCCATTTTTCTAAACAAGAAGATATACCTCTAGAGAAGGTGCAAGAGCTAGGCAAAGGTGGGTTCGGAACCGTGGATCGCGTCATCAGTACTATCACCTACACAGAATATGCGCGCAAACGCATACCCCGGGGAAAGACATTCAAGAAAGATACCCAAATACTAAGAGACTTTGAGCGTGAATTAGGCCATCTCAAAAAGCTGTCTCATATCCACATCATCAAACTCATTGGAAGCTATACCGATCCTAGATTTGTGGGGATGTTGATGTCACCAGTGGCGGACTGTGATCTCAAAGACTTCTTAAATCAGAATCTCTTGAGTGCCGGACAGCGATCATTCTTGCGGACTTTCTTTGGATGTCTTACCTCTGCCTTATGCTATCTTCACGAGAACCAGGTACGCCATAAAGATATCAAGCCTCAGAACGTACTTGTGAAGGGCCATAATGTATACTTGACAGACTTTGGGGTATCTCTAGATTGGTCAGACCTCGGCCAGAGCACAACAACTGGCGTAACTGTCAGAACTCCTCGGTATTGTGCCCCTGAGGTTGCGCAATACATGCCGCGGAACTCATCCTCGGATCTGTGGTCACTAGGATGCGTATTTCTCGAAATTTGGACTGTTTTGAAAGAGGAGACGATCGACGCTCTTTACAAGTACCTTGAAGGTCAGGGATCCCGGTCGAGTTGTCATTATCTGAATCATGCTTCATCCCTTGCTTGGGCCCGTCTTCTGGAAAACAAGAATGAGAATGCTGAGGAGAACGTGCCTGTTACCTGGATTCGTGGGATGCTAGTGCCGGACCAAGCTCAGAGATGGACGGGACAACAGCTAGCTAACCATATAGAAGAGTCCAACGAGAGTCCGGATTACCGATACGCTTTCTCGGGAGAATGTTGTTACCATGGGGATAATTCCACAAGTTCCAGCCAATCTTCGAAGCGCTCTTCTAGGATTTTGGAAGAAATCACTGCCTCACTAGTTTCCCCCAAAACAAGGGTGGCTGAAGAACCAACTCGTGAGTACGAATCAAGATTCAACCAAGGATATCAACCTGATATCATCAACAAGCCTTCTGCTACTGTGGCGCAAGGTGGACCTCTCTTTCGAGGGGCAATGAAAACATGGGAAAACACAGAGCAAGAGAAACAGAGGGAAGCCGAACACCTCTCTCGGTTGAAGGACGCGATACAGCAGAAGAAATTAAGAAGTGCTCAACAGACTTCTCTGACCATTCGATCATCTGAGACACCTGGGGCTAGGCATGGAATAACGGAGAACCAACGTACTGCTGAACAAACCACGATCATTCCAACCACCACTACTTCAATTCCGTCAAGGGACAGCAAAACCATTCAGGCAATACGACGGAAACCCCTGCCGAATATACCCGATCATAAGTTGCCTCTTCGTCCTCGTGATGATCCAGGCCCAGAAAAGAGGCATCTTCATTTCGTAAGCGAAAAGCAGAAGAGGCGTGTTATCTCATGCTTGCCATGCCGCGAAAGCAGATCCCGCGTATGTCTCCCTTATCCTGGAGCTAATTCATCGTGTTCAAAGCTGATCCTTAACCCAGTGCACTGGCGGTATCCCATGTGCGACGTGCTTGAAGAAGCGCACGAAGCCTCGCTGCGTTTACCCGAAGGTCAGTCCAGACAACACAGATGTGGATGAGGTGAGTATTCCACCATCGGGAGCTGCGTCTGACTAGTGCCTAACCTGAGGTTCAGCTCGCCGAATTTGTGGACCTCCAGGAACCTCATGAGAACCGACCTAAGCAAGAGAAACGATATGCTCAAGACAACTATACGCCTGGTCGAAAAGACTCTGGATTAGCCATGCTATCTGATCCCATTGCCAACCTACCACTTTTCGATAGGGACGGGCGACCAACAGATGGAAATCGCCCGGTCGAATTCACGGGCCTCCCGCCGCGAATCCCAAGGGATAAGCCACTGGGCACGAAAGTTGATGAGCCCAAGGAGAAAGATAAGAATAAAAGACAAGGAGAAGACAGCTTAACGGAAGATGATGCCAAGCTCATAGAAGCATCCACTGGTGAAGACCGAGTTCGCAGTTTCCCGGGTTCGCATAGAAAACCCCACAATAAGAAGAAGGGAGATAGGGCAGCAGAGACTGATGAGGAAACAATCACCCAGGATCTCGTTACAAAGAACTTGACGAAAGCAATGAACGACAACCCATGGTGTGAGTACTCTCTACAGACCTGGTTGAACGGTGATCATGCTAACAGTACCCGAGCATTCGAGCGAGCTGCTCCGTTGTCCTACATCGAAGTTCGGGTCAACGACATACCACTCAAAGCCTCCGTCGAAACAGGGAACCAGGTAACGATAATAACTCTGCCAACTGCTCAAAAGTGTAAGGTGGCAGCTTTGATTGATAAACGGTATGCAGGCACTGCGAGAGGGGTAGGCACAGCAGAGATCTTGGGACGAATTCATTTCGCTCAGATCCAAATTGGTCGACACACTCTAGCTAGCAGCTTTACTGTGATTGGCTCAATGGCGATAGACGACGAGGTGATGAATGTGATGTTGGGCCTGGATTTCCTGAAGAGATATGACATTGCGGTTGACTACAAAGAGAACTGTATTCATCTGATGCAGGACAAAATATATTTTCTTTAGGCAGTCAAATCAATTAATTTGGATCAACCATTGAAATTGAATATACCTAGGTATGTACGTATGTACCTAGGTAATATAGCATTGTACGTGAGAGAGGGCGGCATCACCTTCATCCTGACCGAGGTTGATTTACAGGCCGCTTTTATCCACCTTGGCAAAAAGCCTCCGCGTTAACTCGGCCTTCAAGGTTCCTGTGTCAGTGTCACTTCTTCTCGGACAGACCTCAGGACGTTCGAGTACTACCTGGCACCAGCTTCCGGCGCACAAGTTAGCTTTATTACCAGTCCAGACGAGGAAGGATGCTATTCATCTCCTCCCGACTGCACGGACTGGTATGAATAATACCAACGTCGTCAGTGCCGCAGTCCCGCCTCAGAGAAGCCTGCGCATTCCTGACAAGATTGCGACTCTCCAGAGCCTCCTCCGACTGCTCGATGCCTTGATCTTCCTCGAACTCGGGGCGCTCTATCTCCAAGATAATCTGACACTCTTCCTCCTATTGCGCGCTGTCTCCCAAGCTCTCCACAATCCTCCAGCGATACAGCTGCCGCCCGTGGTCCTGATCAATGTTATCTGCTTTGCGACACATCTTCTGCAGGCAAACCCGGAAGCCAAAGGCTGGGCATCACGGGGCTACCTTCATGGCGGTCTGATCATTGATTTCGTGGGGGAGTTGGGGCCGGTTTCGAAATGGAGGCTTCTCTCGATGGATCTCCTCATATTTGGCCTGCAACTGATCGTACTGGTTGTCAGTAACGAGAAACTCAAAGCTGTCGGCGACCCAGAGGCGCAGCAATCGCATGAAGAACCAGACGGACAGGATTTGGAAGCGGCCGAGGAAGGTCGTGTGACGGGTTCCGCCCGACCACCGACCGAGACCGAGGAAGGCATTGAACTTCAGAACATTCTGCCAGAACGGTCAGGACAGAGCGGTTCCGACGAACACAAACCTCCCACTGGTAATGATCCGGACGAAGACATCATCAACTTGGACATGCGACAAGGACTGACGTTTTTGCTACGAAGAAGTCGCAACCGTACCGCTACGACTACTACAGCTACAGGCACAGACAGTGCTCCAGGGAGTGCCGGGTTCACTGAGATACTAAACAGAATAGCCGCTGCTAGGGCGAGAGCTACATGAATCGATATTAACCTTTACCTTTCCACATCTACGGCGGGTTCACTGAATGACTTATTGCATAATCTCTTGACTCTGTCTAAACCTTGTATCCTTGTAGGCTGTTGGGGAAAACATCAACCAAAAGGAGCATTGCCAGTGCTGTGGGCGACGCCATTGATACCAACCTTGTGTAATGCTCTACTCCTAGTCGAATCCCACATCTTTATAGATTGCGGGCAGTCTTGGAGTGATAAGGCTGAAGCACTAGTCGTACTATAATCCACCGTACTTGTCGCAAGGCTGAACTCCAAAAATTGATTGTGAACCACATCCTTCCTTTGCTGCTTTCTTCGACACGACTTTTCCCCTTCGCTGTCCATCATCGTACAATGCGGCAGTTACTCCGGATAGCACCGCGGCTATCGGCGCGTGCAAATGTGATAACACCTTGCACAAGCCTACAACCGCAACGACAACAGCGGCACTACTCTCGGAATGCCACGCCGAACACCAGCTGGTTGCCCGTTCCCTTTGTCACCGAGAACATCGGCGGAGCTCATCACACAACAGATCTCTTCAGCCGGCTACTGAAAGAACGCATCGTAGCTGTGTATGGCGAAGTCGACGATCGGATGGCCGCAACCGTGACCGCCTCGTTACTATTCCTCGAATCCGAATCTGATAAACCTATCTCCATGTACATCAATTCCCCCGGTGGCTCTGTGACTGCCGGCCTTTCCATTTACGATTGCATGAACTACATTGTGCCAGAAGTTTCCACACTGGTACTCGGCCAGGCTGCATCCATGGGTAGTCTACTGCTGGCCGGAGGCGCAGCGGGCAAGAGATACTGTCTTCCACACTCCAGCATTATGCTGCACCAGCCTAGCGGTGGTCACTATGGTACCGCAGCGGATATCGCCATCCATGCAAAAGAGATCCTTCGAATCCGAGAGGTTCTGAACCGAATCTATGAGAGGCACCTGAATGGCAAGAAGAAGTTGACTCTGCCGGATATCGAGAAGCTTATGGAGCGCGACTACTTCCTTAGTGCGGAGGAGGCTTTAGACCTCGGTATCGTTGATGAGATACTAGCAAGCAGGAAGAAAGCGCCGGAACCAACGGAGAACAGCTGAAGAATGAGAGAAAAGTCACCACAATCACTGGATTGTGGACAATGGCCCAGCTACTGAGCTTGAAATACCGGGTCTGTTCGACCTAGCAGCATAACTGTACAAAAAAATACAATGTACAACAACAACATCTTACCTCAATCTCAGCCACGGACTATAAGGCGTGGGGGAGGCTGTCTGAATATATTCGGATTCATGAAGCATGTCTCACCTCAGTCCCACGTGGTCGATGATCGCCTCCCAGCGGGTCGAGAGAGAGATGAGGATCGGAGAGATTCAAGTCCCTAGCAGGCGCTCGGCGCCTTGTTGAACAACGGGCAGAGAAGATCCAGTTGCAATCAAGACTGACGCAACGTCTGTAGGATCAAGCATTCCAAACGATGTGAGCGAGAAACTCCTCTTATTCCTCAAACTATTGACCCAGGGAAGCTTGGGACGATAGATAGGTAGAATCTCAATCACTCATTCACAACTCAAAAGTTCATATCTGATATGTCTACCATCGGTAATCTGCCTCCTCATAGCAATACATACAAAACGGACCCCCAGGGGCGGCCGCCATACCCAACAACCCACCTTCCCCATCCGAAGAGCAGATATATTTGAATTCCCAGAATCCCTTCCAACAATTTCCTAGATCTACAGTCAAAAATGCATCCGCTTCTTAGTCCGGTGTCCACGTCGTGAAACATGGCTTGATGGTATAGCACCAGATTCCACAATTAATGGGCGTCTCCTGAGATCACACGGCTAGGAAATTTGTTGGAAAAATATCAAAAAAAGACCGGTGCTTGATACTCAAAATGTGGTATACAACGCCTTAGTAGTGGTCTTTTCACTTCCCACGCACGTGGTTGTGTTTTTGCATTTTTTGCAGATTGTTATCCCTGGGGCCTTTTGGTCGTGGTGTTGCTACTCTTCCTTTGAGCTTTTCAAGTCTCAAGAACTCGAAACTTTCGCTCACTTGACCTTCACCGTCTGGTCCTGCCAACACGTCCAAAGAGTGACGGATAATCACGCGTCAGTCCAGACTCTCCTTCCTTCCACTTCAGTTCATCAAGTACCACTTTCGATTTGTCCTTCAAACCTCTTTGCTTTTTATCACCTTCTTTGACCTCGATCACTTAGTTCGTATCGTTCATCTCGTTCATCTCGACTTCTTTGTTCCTCATCTCGACTTCGTCGATCTCTCTATTCACTTTACACCTTTCTTTTCATTTCAAGTTGTTCGTTCATCTCGATTCTCGACTTCGTCGACCTCTCCATTCGTTCCCCTCTTCTGTTCCCCTTCAAACTTTCCTACGTCTCGGTCATGGACTTATCGGTCATTGACTTCATACCGCTGCCAACTCATCCATCCGAGGTTCTCGACGAGTACAAGGCAACCCTGTCCGTGAGTACCCTGGGCTTGATAGTCGATCATGGTCCAAAGACTACAGCCAACAAAGCCAATTCGTATGCCTATTTCCAAGTCTCAGATGGACTTGCTGGAAATGCATTGGACGAGGTGAACAAAACATTCCCGGTAAGTTCTCGAAACACATGAAAATCCCGCGAATCATAACCACAACTTACCATGAACCCGATATAAGTAAGTTAGCTGACCTGTCTTCTTCGGTTCAAGCTGGACGTCGAAAGATAGGACTATAGGTCAAACCGCGGCCTAAAGCTACTTAGGATGGCAATCGAGATTTCTCTTGAGGCAGAAGTCGCAAAGGGCGGTTTCAACGACGCCATCGCTGCCATGAGAGACTTGAACAGAGAAGAGACGGTGTTGGCGTTGAGAAGAGGGAAGATCAAAAACAGAATATTCAGCCTTCGGTTACACTTGCTTATCTGAATATCAACGCGGAGCGTGGCCGTCCGGACCCGAAAATCCTCGAAAAGACAATGACCAAGCTAGACAAATACGTCAAGAAGGATATCAGCGAAGCGGGGCAGCCAAGCCTGTGTGTTTCGAAGTCTCTTTGGGGGCACGATAACTGGAGGTACGAAGGATTGTATATGGCAAGAGAGAGTCGTGGTGACGCTTCTCTGCCTTGAAAGTGACTGATGGTGCATAAGTGTGGTGACCCCCGAGGCTTTGGAGGATTGAGTCAGTGGTTTGTGCGGTTCGACCATTCCTTGATGGCTCAGCGCAGAACATCATTAAATGCCAGAGTTAGTGTTTCGAAGGATTGATCGAAGCTGCAGTGTGTCTGGTATGAGAGTTCTTCCCTCGAGTTAGGTAGTGCAGGCTCTTTCAGTACAAGAGGAGAAGGAAAATGTGCATTGCGAGATTCTCTACCTAATCTCCTACTGACCACGGAAGAACAATGAAAAGTCTATTTCCCATCCTTGGCCCATAAGCTAGGCACAACACCGAACAGACTGACAAGACTGAGCCACCACCAAGCCCAACCGACCACACCACGTTCAAGGCCCTGCCCAAACAAGCGTCCCGCAACGACAGGCCCAATAGTCCTGAACGCACTCGAAGTAGCCGCTCCCATCCCGTGGATAGTGCCCAGCATGGCCGGACTGGGACTCGCGTTGTTGGTCAGGAGCACTATGCCCGGAACTGCGAACGTGCGCGCCGCGATCTGGAGGACTGCGACGACGAACAGCAGGAACCAAAGGAGGAAAGGCACGGAGACGAGGAGGGACAGGTATGGCGCGAGGGCGTATGGGATGGGGAAGACGAGCAGTGCCCAGCTGGTGGATTTGAGGAGGCCGAAGCGAGCGTTCACCCGTGGGTAGAGTGCGAGCTGGACGGCGATGCCCGCGAGGCCGAGCAGTGACATGGAGATGCCGATCTTAGGCAACGAGAAGCCTAGGCCGCCAGTGAAGTGGAAGGGGAGGGCGACGGCTTGGCTTTGCTCTTCGCTGCGGCGGGCCGTGGATAGGAACGTCGTCCATAGCGTGGTGAAGCCGCCCATTTGGAAGTCTAGGATTGCGACTGTCATGAGGAGGAGCAGTACATTTCGTGTAATGGCTTTGTAGAATGGGGCTGCCGAGTATGTTGTTGGCTCTTCTGGTGCCTTGGGCGCTATTGGTGTGAGAGGTGTGCCTGATTCCATGTTCTCATCGCTGGTGGTGTCTGGGCCTGATTGCTCGTCAGGGCTGATTTGGCGATAGTCGAATCGTGCAAAGATCAGTTTGCGTATGTTGTAACTTATATGCTCTGCTAGCTCGATACCTCGATCGCGAGTATGTTTTCGAGCTTCGAGGGTTTCTCTTAGGCCCAACCAAACTAGTAGTGCATCCGCCAATAGAGCGAAAGCACAGAAAAGATTGGGCACAGCATACGGGAAATTTGTCATCCAAACAACGCCCTGGCTACCACCGAAAGTCGAGTTTGGCCCGAAGCGACCTGGATAGCTTCCCACCGGATCCGACAACAAGCCGCTAAAGAGAGGTCCCAAAATATTCGCGATGTTCCAGGAAAGAGGTAGTAGCAAGAACGTTCTCGAGTGATATTTCTTCTCGGTGCTCTCCGAAAGTGCAGTCCTTGCCCCCGGAACAGTTGCATTGACAGCGCCTCCGAGCAGTCTCCAGATGACGGCGGTGATGAACGATCCTGAGAACGCAACCGCAACACAACTCAAGGCTTGCCCAATCAACGAAATCAATATCACGCCCTTCCGACCGAATCTGGGCGAGTCCATCACTCGGCCCCATAGTATTCCGGTGAAGATCTGGGCGGCAGTAAAGACACCTTGCAGGACACCTGCTTCGAATGATATCCGACTATCATCTGCATCTGGAGAGAAAGACTTGAGTTGATAGAACATGAATGCCTGTAATGCTGCTTGCTGGAAGAAATCAACAGTCCGGACGCTGCAGACTATGAAGAGCTGGAATTTGTGAGGGATGGAAGTCCATGATATCGGAGCTGGCTTCGGGCCAATGCCCTCACCATCTTGTGCCATGGCACCTGTCTGTCTGACCTGATCCGTATGGAAATAAAAAAATGTCCAAGAGAATTGTATCGTGCTTTAAGCTTGATGCACTAGTTATAATGGGAATCAATCGAATTCTTTTCGTTGACTGAGTCATAATTGAAGCATTTGAGACATTTGGTTTATGTTAGCACTCCCTGACTCAGAATTTCCGTAGGCTCTGTGTACTATATGTTGTTAACAGTCCAGCGACTCGACCAGGCACTTAGTGTGTACGCGAAGAGAGAGAGAGTGCACCATAGCAATCTTTAGAGCGATATATTCCGAGGTGGTTATAGCCTAGAACTCAACTACCTACGATAGCCGATGAGACGTCATTCAGTCCGGAGAGGGGTAACATGAGCCGTTCTCCAAGCATTAGGAGTTCCTTATTGTTGGCAAGTGAAGTATCTCTCGATTCAAAAAGACAATCGCATGGTCACCTTTAGCTAGGGCGGGTAGTTTTTGGGAGATCAAAGCGCTGCCATGCGGAGGAAGCTCGCAATCAGGACTCTTAAAAGTGTCCAGCCCTACTCGTAAGAAGCCTTGAGGAACTGCCACCAGGCATGACGCGATTCGCACTAGCCAAACACGTGATTGTGGCGCCGACGCACCGAATGATGTGACGTAGACGTATGTATCTCAATGCTCCACCGTGAATATTTCTTGTCTTCTTGAACAAGGGAAAAAACACAATGCCGGCCTACTTGTAGTTATGCGCAGTTTTGTGTCTTATTTCCTGTTACAGGTCAATTCATCGTGTTGGACTTGATTTTCATAGTCTCCAACATGCTGCGAGAAGTGTATGTACCGCTGCTTTCTTCTGCTCCATCTTCCTACCGGACTAACAAGGCTGTAGAAAACCTCGAAATGCACGCACGGCTCGCATTGTGAAAGCCAGAGAACCCCAACAAGTTGAGTCGCGGAAAAAAGTGTTACTTCTGCATGGCTCAAAATGTCCTCAACCAGTCGCTACGATTCTTAAAACCGTGCACACCTTGACCAAACCAGACGCTGTCCAGTTGCACAAGAAAAATGAAAATATTTACCCATTCGAGGACCCCTCCTCTCTGGAGTTCTTGGCCTTGAAGAACGAGTGTGGTGTGGTGGTCTTTGGCACACATTCAAAGAAGAGACCGAACAATATCACGATCATGCGCACGTTCGACGGGAAATTACTTGATATGCTGGAATTATTGGTGTTGGTACCGCCAGAGCAGCAGGAAAAGAAAGACCAGTTACTCCAGGTGGGCGTAGCGATGAAGCCCTTGATTCTGTTTAGTGGGTCGCAGTGGGACGACACTTCCGCCTCGGCCCAGGCAGCGCAGTACAGCACTATCAAGTCAATCATGCTCGATCTGTTTCAAGGAGAGGAAATCGCTTCGATTGATGTTGCCGGACTCCAATTTCTACTGATGATAGCAGCGGGCGAGAGCTCAAATGCTTCGGCGGATATCAGCGATCCAACGAATAAGCCCGTTTTGCATCTCAGATGGTACAAGATCAGAACACTGCGATCCGAGAATCCAAAGATACCAAGAGTCGAACTCGACCCGGTCGGACCCACTTTCGACTTTCGAGTCGGTCGCTATCGCGAGGCCGATGCTTCCGCCATGAGGGATGCTCTTCGCCACGGCCGAAGACCCAATGAGGCACGCACAAAGAAGAACATTGAGACAGATTTGGTGGGAGACAAGATCGGCCGAGTCCATCTTGGAAAACAAGATCTGTCAACCCTACAGACTCGCAAGATGAAAGGGCTCAAGCGAGGACGAGCGGATATCGAAGCAGACTCGCAAGGCGACGGTAGTGAGAACGAAGATCTCGGAAGTGGGGACGATGATTTGGACGATGGGGGTATGGAACTAGATGGGGACGACTCGGATGGTGGCAGCAGTGGCGGTGGTACTGGAGACGAAATCAGTATTGGCGAGGACGACGATCAGGAAATGGAGGATGTCACGGACGAGAAACCGAAGCGACAGCGACTTGCTTGAACCTAGGAACGCCTTTGATGAAGAATGACCCACGAAACCAGGAATCTTTATCGCGCCATCAATGGCTACGGAGTCATCTGAAGAAGTCGCATATTACCTGATTAGACATGGGGATGCTGCGTTTCCATCCGCATACTATCATTTCGAAATGGTTCCATGAAGCCGACAGAAGTGGAATGCATGGAACAGTGCAGACGTTCCTCTATTTCTCATGGGGGAAGGACACGAGGCAATCTGCACAGCCTTGCCACGATAATGGTGAAGGCGGATGCAGAATGGACACGCGAGCAGTAACAAGTTCGGTATCCATTGCCGGCCGACCTATGGATCTCGGCGTTTGGTTCTAGCTATGTAGCTTGCTGAGCCAGCGTTACCATGGACGAGATATTGCCGCTCACTGTGTCGGCAATTCAACGAGCTTGACGAAGGCTACGAGGTAAGTCACGCCAGTACTCGACGAGGAAAGCCGAGGTACGGACAAGGAAGACTGGGAGGAATGGTCTGTGGGGAAGACGCCCAGGGAACAATGATTATGCGGGCGATAGTTAGGCGCAATGACGATATATCTCGGGGTTTCCCACCTGCACCTACCAGGGCGTTTTCTCGTCTGCCCGTCGCCCACTCTTAGCGTCAAGTGCAGCTGCATTTTTCCTCGCATTTGCACCTGCCACTACATCTTTTGACCGAGGTTGATCGCTCCTGCCCTCGTCCACCCGCGAATCTGTGACTGCCGCCCCAGTTCTCCGTTACCCCAATAAAACCCTACCAAGTAACAAGTCACGGCCCATTGATGTCAGTCTGCCAAACACTGGCACAACCACATGTGAACTCGAACTCAGGCTCAGGCTCTTCCTTCACTCTTGATGTTCACATGCTACTGTTTAACTCTTCTCCTCCTCCCCTGACCTGACCTGTGCTGTACTCGCGAGCAGCTCGTGTTCAGCATCATCCACTTCTCGAAGCCCTTCCTCGGATTCAAGGCCTAAACACCTCATCTGCAAGAGCTTGCTCCTCGTGAAGGCAAGACAAGTCCGACCTGTATACTTATCCTCTTCGCTACAATGGATGTTTTAAGAGTATGATACCCGAATGTGACGTGCCTGCGCTTGTTCGCTAACAGCTCTGAAGGATCACGCGGAGGCCATCATCCTGAACCCGGATCTCGCACCCATCCTCGCTATCCTCAAAGCTGCTCGAAATGGCGCTGTCTACGGTGCCAAAGTCCGATTTCCTCACGCCCTAGTCATGGTTGTACTATTCCGGAAAGGAACCTGGAAAGAGAAAATTCGCCTGGTGTTGAAGGCCACAAAACAGCATGCAAGCAACCTTGCTAGGTTCGCCGTGGTTTATAAAACATCAATGTTGATCCTACGCCTACTCAACCCTAGTCGGCCTGGAAAAGAAGGCCCATATGATGCATTCTTCGCTGGATTGCTGGGCGGATACCTTGTCTTTGGCAGCGCAAAACAAGGCGGGTGAGTTGGAGCGTAATTCTCTTCTCTCTTGACACATACTAACCCGTCTACTTGCAGAGTCAATCAACAAATAGTCATATACGTCTTCGCTCGAGTCATTCTGGCTTTGGCACGACTGAGCATCGAGGCGCCTACCATGACAAGTACGACGCCCACACCAACACTCTTTACCCAAAGACTCTCGCCTGAGACCAAGGCCATGATCGAAAGAAATGCCTGGCCTGCCTTTGCAAGTCTGAGCTGGGCTTTTGTCATGTACATTTTCCGGTGGCAACCAGAAAGCATCCAGCCCAGCCTAAGGAGTAGTATGAAATACATGTATGTGTCGAATCACTCGTCTCCATTCTTCGAATTCCACTGATGATTGTCGCAACAGATACGTGAACTCGGATTATTGGGATTCAATGCGAAATTTCCTGCTTTATAACACCTAAATTATTCACATCCTGGACATATTTTGCATTGTGAATGGCGTTCGGCGACTAGGCCCAGGACGATTGCATGTACACAAAAACGACTTGATTCCCGAGATGGTCCGATGATATGGCCTGTGAATATTTGAAATATTCAAGCAGGTATTCGTCCCTTTTTTAGAAGGATGTGAGGATGTGGGGCCCCACCAGTATTGGGGCATATTTTATGGAGACTACGTTGATACGGGGCCGGCTGGAACTTAATGGTGCCACGACATACAGGCCAAGAGCATTTAAAAGAGGTAACCGCTTGAATGTGGTTGTGGAAAAAGTGTATGACGGAAAGGTTTCACGGCAAAGAACTGCATGGATAAGCCTTGCTCACACGTCAACTTCTTCCCAGAATGGCGGGAAAACTCATCCTTCAATCTGGCCTTCCCATTCCGACCACGCGATCTGTCTGAACTTCCCAGACGATAATCGTGCACTCTGCATGTGGAAATTGGGTTTTGGGTTGGTCTGACTTCATCAGAAGGATGAGCGATTCAATCTAGGTCGCGGTAAAGATATAGAGCTAAAAGATTGAACCAGTCATGAACGGGTCGTACTGGTCAACTATTTCAAGAGTCTACCTGAGTTGGCTTCTCACCCCTCCAGGTATCTACTGTCTACCTAATGCTACATACGGAATTGCTTCCTCACCAGAACCCTTTTTTTTATCTGCTTTTCCAGTTCATTAAAGGCGAACCCTCCAATAAAATTGAGCGGTCAGTTGACCGCTCAGGACCTAGAGAATGCCAAACATAGAAGTATATCGTGGAAGCCGCCTGCTCGCCGAACTTGAAGGTCGTATCGTGTCCTGCTATGCCTATCACAACAGCCTCACCAATTAAGCCCCAGTCATTTGACTGACTAGGGTGTGCGAGTGGTTATGTGTGTACCTGTGGGAAAAATCACCACCGCCACCACCACCACCAATGCCCCCATTGGGCTTTATTCAGCCCATCAGACGAAAACACCCGAGTCCCAAGAATTATATTCCATAGGCCCGAAATCCTGATAGCCCAGCGTCGGGACGCCGTTTCCTGATCCTGTGCTGGTATTGTAGTCCCAGCCGTAGATGTTAGTCCCGCTTCCCATGCCGCAAGTCGTCGCGTCGTAGAAATAGCCTGCGCTGCAGGGCTCGGCAATGTCAATGCTCGTGCCACTGCCACTGCCGCTGCCGGTGGTGCTGGTGCCATTAGTGCTGGGGAAGGACATGCCCAGGCCCAGAGAATTAGGAACCAGAGGTTCGCGCATGTAGGTGTTGGCTGAGCTGAAGGCGAATGGGAGTGATGTTTGCGATGTGGTCCGTGGCATCATTGCAGGGCGTGCTTGGGCTTGGACTTGGGCTTGGGCATAGAGAGGTGTCTCGGACATTTGGGTTTGCTGTAGGCATTGCTGCTGTCGCTCGTATTGGAAATCCGACTGGGAGGAGCTGACATTTGGTGAGGGGACTGGCGTGGTGAACAATTCGTCGCTGAGTTCGGGAGAGGAGTCCCATGGGCTCGGTGTGCCGGTGTACGTGCCTGTACCGCCTCCTCCGGATTCTGGGGATGAGGCGAAGTATTGGCTTGGTGCTTTTCTTGCGTTGTTATGGCATACATGTCTTGACAGTGGTGACTTTGCTGGGGCGATCTTTGCACGGACTGGATTTGCCGATACTGGAGAACGGAGCGGTGTTGACGAGTCATTGGTGGATCTCTTGTCGGGCACTTGCAACTGTGGCATGGGTGGTAATCTTTTGATCTTGGGCCCGGAACTGATATCTTTGTTGGTTCTGATTCTTAGAGGTGATACGGCTTCACGTCCAGACGGAATATCCGCGCCCGTCTTGTTTTCGCTATCGACTTCGTCCTCGCTCTCGATTACGCCTAGTTCTTCAAGAATTCGATGCACACTGGGAATGCCATTGACTTCTTCGACAGGCGTTCCGACCCACTTGTGACCTTTTAGTGATCGAGAGTACAGCTCAATCAAGCCTGCCGTAAGTGCTGCATGATGTTGGAGAAGTAAATCCGTATATCTTGAGTTTATGACAGTCAGTATTTCATGCGATTTTCTTCTGTGGCTGGGGCTCTTGGTGACCGAAAATGAATCATTCCATGAATGAGTGCTGTCTCTTACCTTTGAGTGGCATTCGCTGATTCAGTCTTTCTCCTGACCTTATACGTGCATGGCGCCTTATCCAAGTTGCACCGTCTGCATGGCTTTGCACCGTCACACTTCGCTTTCTTGATCCTGCATCTTTGACAGGCGCGTGACACTCTTGGCCGCGTCCGTGGGTGTTGCTCGGAATACATGCTGGATCACTAGTGATGGGCCTTCAAGGCAAGTATCTTATCTTCTTTGAGTTTGGCTGACAAGCATGGCGTGAGGGTTGGAAGCAAGCAAGACTGGAATTTTGGTGACGAGTATGATACCACTCGTAAGAGTTTACCTTTTCGATTGAGTTTCGAGCAGGCACTGAGAAGAGACTTAAGACCTGTCGTGGGACACAAGTGGTAATTTAACCTCTATATTCCATGGAATGAACTCTTTAGGTATCCCGATCTTTCCCACATTGCCAGTCACAAGGCAGTAAATATAACGAGATGCATCGAGCCATAAGATGTGGGGTCCTTCGCTGCTGACAGAGAAAAGGGAGGAAGGACATGACCGGCTATCCACGCAGCCAGGCACTATTCTTGTGAACGGTCTTGTTGTTATATTATGAGAATTACTGTGCAACTTTGATACCGCGATTTAGTGGACAACAAGAAGGCTCGTGAATGGTTCATTGATCTTGACTCTCCCAGTAGGGGCAAACTTCCCTAAAGTGCCAATAACAAGGATTGTCCCGAAGCAACGGGAAACTCTGGACGCAGCCGACGAAAGAAGGCCTTGAAAGCTCCGCTTCTAGTAGGTCAATGCAGTAGGATATGCTCAGCATTGAAGAGCCGAAATGTCGGGGACCAGATAGGGTCTGGCACAATGTGCGAACGGGTGAAGCCGGTCTATCATTCTCTTTGCTCCAGGATGAAGTTGTAGGCTTTGAGCGAATCAGTGAGCATACAGCAAGCAGAAAGGCCAATTGAAGAAACAAATGGATGCCCAAAAAATTGTTAGTGGATGTTGCCAACAACATTGAAGGTGAAAATACAGTTTGTGGTTATGCGGCAATCGGGTTCGGCGAGTGTGATAAACCCACATCTGGAAGGAAAGACGCAACCTTCGGCGGTTGCCGTGCGTAAAAGAAAAAGCAAGTGCCGATGTTGAGTGGAATGATCCTCACACCATGCACTCCGTGGGCCAATCATTCACAAGACCTTGACATACTTCTTTCAGCGTTGCTGGTCCTGAAAGCAACTACAAGCTGCATCCTTGAACAGCTTCATCGTCTGTGGATGCAGTGGAATTGACCCGCGCCGGTGACCGGGTAGGCACAACAAGGCATCAAGAATGGTACTCAAGGCATCGTTATCTCAAAGGTTGATGGCATGCTTCCGCAATAGACGCCACGCGTAGCGTGATGTTCTATCACTATTATTGTCGTCCAGAAGTTGGTCAATAATCTCAAGAAAGGGTCAAAGAAGATAAACATGAAATAGTATGAAAAAAACAAAACAGAATCAAGAATATTCGACGAAGTCAGACTTTGGCCCCGAAGGAGCATTGACGCTTACAAGACGTTTTAGTTAGGTGGATGCGCTCCATATTCCGCAGGTACAACCTGTACTCCAGACTTAAGGTAGGCATGCTACTTCGTACTAATATGCAGGGCAAGCTCAGTCCTTGATCCAGTGTTAGCTTGACACCGATTCAGTCAGATTAAGTGTTTTTCAATGCCAATAGCTAGTCGAGGCTGAAATATTAGACTTGGGTATAATTATGTGCGAGTCGATGCTTGAAGTAGGTATTGGTATTTTATGCAACACTGTGCACCTGTATTTCACAAAACATCACCAGTTCATAACTTCTTGCATTGTTGTTCTCTACCTATGAGCTAGATGGAGCTGATTACAGTGCACCAGTTGTAAAATTGCAACGCACAGCGGACTTCTCACGTGGATGAGTGGCCTTGTGTAGGGATAGCAAGACCATCAATCAATCCCAGATGCCGATCACTTTGGATCGGGAATCCACGATATGATTGCTCCAGTACCAGGAAAACACGACATCATAAATCATAGGGGTATTCCTTTTCAAAGACGCCAGCGCAAGAAGTGTAGATTTGCGCATCTCCGGTTACCATTTGACCTCAGCACCGATTCAGCAGAAACATTTTATGTTGCAATCGCTCCGATAGTATCAGTATCGATGTTCAGGGAAGCTCGATTGCCAACTGTTTCGCGATAGTGGCGGCCCAGGCATCGATTTCAGCCCAGTTTCGGTGATCGCCCAGCTTGCCGCCGATACAGGAGTATAACATCCTGATCGGAAACGAGGTTGACGACTTTTCATGTTTTCCTGCGAATAAATGATGGTCTCGTACTTTCGGCACCTTGTGAGTAATCGTTGTTTCGATCGATTTGTTCTCTTTGTCCGCCAGTCGCCGTCGCATCCACTCTGGGGACCTTGCTAGTGCCATGCTTACACTGAATGTCCACACTGGTCGCTTCTGAAGGCCCATGGCCTCGACATCAAGGAACTTCAATCCGTCGAGAAGCCATTTGTGAGACTGTACTGCGCTTCCAAGAATGACAGCACTGTAGTTATCGACACTGTAGACCCGGTCTACCGGCCTGCAATCGACACCGAAGCCGGCAGCATGAAGGCGGGCTGCTATGCGTTCTGCTACCTCCCTCGTCGATCCCCTTGAGGTGGCATATGTGACTAAGATAGGCATAGGGTGATCTTGGGAGTTACCGTGGTTTGTCAACGACCATCGATAGCTGAACAGCTGATGTAGTAAAACTTGACTGGCTTGGTTGTGGCTTTCGTATGGTCGAGCTTGTTGTCAGGGGGGTCTATGGGAGGTATATGAACAATACAAACCAGTATGATCTGCCGCACTGCGAGATGTTGAGAGCGTCATGTAAGAATTAGTAGCTTACTCGTACATCGTGGTCGGAAATAATGGGAGGGCGAGGAGGCGATCCGCCAATGATCTTCGCCATCAACCAATACCAGATGATCTTACTAAATCTGACCGTTGATAGCCTTGGATTGTATCCAATCGAAGTCCTACGAAGCGATCATAGGCCTCGTGTTCCATCAAATCATTTGACTTGGGCTGGAAAAAGAATTCGCTCGCAAACCGTTGTCCAGTTTCAGAGCTTGAGCTGATGACGAGAATGGCTGGCACAAAGGTTCCTCGAGGCACTGAGAGCCGGAAGCTCAAGGATCCGATCTCACGAATTGCGGCCGAACACAATTCCGACAAGGCTAGGACTAATAAGACTTGCCCGTTGAGCTCTAAATCCTGAATAGCGATCATGCAGAAAGTGGACAAAGTACAAATGAGGGAACGGGTTTGACCCGCATGGTTCCGGTCGTCCATTGAACCGTTGGAAAAATACCCCGTAGCCACTCGTACGAACAGAGGGGTAGAAAATTGTCACAGCTGACAGAATCTATGCTTTTCGTTACGATCGAGGATACTACGAACAAACACTCACCAGAACTTGTTACGTCCGAGTGGCGGGTAGACACAATGTTAGAAAGCAGAGAACGGAATTGGGCGTAAGCTTGGTCATTACCGCGCTCCGAGGCCAAACCACGCCAAGGTTTGCCATGTGATGCGCGCTTTTCCTTCGCTTAATTTCGGTTGTGAAAGCACCTTCTCGATCTCTTCGCCATCACTACGTCAACGAGGTCGAATTTCATATCCGAGTACCATAGTTCTAGGCATGTGACTCTGAAGCATCATCAGAGTATTAGCGATTTTTTCCGTACGAGGAATCATTGTCCCCCAAGCAGTATGCACGATATGAGACCGATAGCTTGCTCTGGCAGGTAGCATCGGGTTCAGATGGGAGATCTCACGACTCATGAAAAATCTGTCACTATGGAAAAAAAAATTTTACAATGCAAAAGGACCGTTTGCGAATATACTACATCATTTCTCAATGATAGAGCTACTGGGCCTTGGTACTAGCCAGGTTGGCAAACGCGAGGTTGCTTCTCAAACACCCAAATCGGGTCGAACACGCCTTCCCATGTCCAGCCAAAGGTCTCAATGAAACTAGAGATATACTCAGTATAATAGTAGCCTCCTTCGGGCTTGTCTTATTCTGTCTGCATCACCGCTGGGCGAGCTGACCAAAGCTATTGTGATTTCGTCATCATTCATAATACTGACCCAAGTGCCAGTATCCGAAACGCCGTCCTCCCTGAAAATGTTGGTTTAATGACCCAGAGATGAATCTACATTGACCATTCTCCTTCACGAGTCATTATCCCATGCAATCATTCAATTTTGTTACATTGCGAAAAGGTCCGTCATGTCGGCTTGCTCATCCTGCCCAACACCAGATATCAGCATCGGCATCAATATCTCGAAGTGCTCCTGATCGTGCGACTTCGCGCTATATGGCACAATATTGTGTCAAAAATCACATCTTTCCAGCCAGGGAACGGGTTGGAAGGGACTGGGGGACCGGTAGGAGGAAATATTGCTTACCCAGCAATAAACCAGGAACGCGATCCCAGAAGTCATTGCTCCCAGCGCCCCATAACTGCTAATATCCCGGACTGCTAGCGGGACTATCGTTGCTTCAGGATGAGATGATGCTGCAACTTTGGCTAAGATTCGCTGTGAGGGCCCGTGGTGCAGTGGATGCTGGAGAGGCAGTCGGTGAGCGATGGCGAGCCGTGTGGATTGTGTCGAAAATCCTCTTACGACCGAGGTCAATCGTAAAGCTGCAGTTCTCATTGATGCAGAAATAAAAATCAATGGATAGGTGAGGCTTGATCTTCGAGGTCGAAAGGGTGCTTCTTATTACTGCCCAAAGTCTGCTATCTTTTTGTGATGCAGTACAAATTCGGTTGGCTTGCTTGATGTGAGGTTTGTATTCTTCAAATTTTGTTTGTGTCCAAGTGAAATACAACAGCGCATCAAAAGTACCTACAATATATTATAGCCTAACAGCGCCTCGTCGCTAGAATTCGGGCAGGAAAGGGAGCATCATCCGACACAGGAAGTACACCATACATTCTCGTACGGGTGGTGTGGTCAACCTGGTCTGGGGCAGTCACGCTCCGTGTGGAGTGTTCAGATCACCGCGCAAAATCAGCGCAGCGACAAAAGGCTCACAGCAACAGAAGGAGTAATTCGACGCTGTACGGAATACGCTCATCAATGGAGGGAATCGGCGACTGCCATAATCATGACTGACACTTCTTGCACGCAATAGCTCAGCTTACATCGATGCGGGTTAGTCACCTTACCAAGTGTCACACCACACTCGGAAGGCTGAGTAACTTTCCAATGGTCGGAGAGCATTTCCGGCGGATCACATGACCATCGGCGATTTCTCCTTGGCTTCCACAGCCTCGTGGAACCGGTCTGTCACGTGCCGTTTCATTATTTCTTAGGGTTCAGCTGTTGAACTAGGTCCTTGAAGTCCTGCTAGACCGGAAGTGAGTCTCTTTTGCTAGCAAAGAGAGGAGCAACGTGCGGCAATTGTTCGGAATGCTACAGCCTGCCCGATACCAACGCCCATCCGGTCGCCCTTAGAAGCTTGCGTTGAAGGAGCGTTACGGAGCTACCGACACGGCCAGGCAGGCAAGGTGTGCTGTGCACAGCTCCTGGAATCTCCTCCCCAATGGAGTTACTAAATTCTCATATCAGCGATTCGTCTGTCAATTCGAAACGGTGCTCTACTCCGACCTGGGTGTCCGCTTGCAACGACCGAGGGGTCCTCCTGCAGGCCCTGCAGGCCCTGCAGGGTTGGCGACATGGCTGATTCTTCACAGGAAGGCGTCGCCATAAAATGAGCCCATGACTAAATTGTTCTCTAGGCTTCTTCCGTCGTGGTGGCCCCTCAACATGTCGCTCATGGGGGTTCCATCCTCATAATCCCGGTCCACCCTCGTCCTTGACACAGCCCAATAAGGAAGTTCTGAATGTACCAATTAATTGGTTGCTCGCTGAATGCTCCATATCGGCATATCATCGCAGGCCAACGCCATGTGCTATCGGGAGTGAGGTCTCGCACAAGGAGCTACCCGCAATATGATTACTTTCTGAAGCGGCTGAACGGCTCGGATAAGATCTACATCCTAATCTCTGGCATGGAACCATCTCATTGACAGCGACTCTATCGATGGAGCTCTAACCATCAAAGTTACGCGTACACGTCTTTCCTCCACCTTAGTGCCTGCTTCTGCTGTGCTGCACGGAAATTCTGTACATCCTCACAGTACACCTCAAGACCTTTACCAAAATTCTTCCAGCGTGCTAACAGAGTCCCGTCCAAAAGCTCACGCGCTAAAATCCACATTCCTATGCGCTTAACATGAAGAGGAAGTGCCTTTCTTGGCTACAAAAGATCACCGATCGTTTCTCAACCCCAGTAAAAATGAGAACTGGATTGAAGCAATGTTTAATGCGGCCGTTCCCTGTCAGCTTGTTCCAGACACTTGGACTCAGATCCGGCTTTTTCCAGACCATCGCTAACATTGGCGGCTAGTAAATGAATGTCGTACTTCGTAAATTTTGAATGAAGACGATCTGCAGAGCAATGGAGAAGCACCAGCGATTCAAACTGCAACTATCTCCTCCCTTGATTCTTCCGACGCTGTCCACGGCAAATTCCTGTCAACTCCTCGGCTCAGCCAGAATTCGAGGGGACGCCTTTTCATGGGTGTTCCACCTAGTTGGAATGACTTGAGTATGAAGTGTGTTTTCTTCGTCGGTGTCAACGTTTTTCTCTCTTTCTCTCTCTCTAGCCCGCTTGATCACAAGAAACCGCGTGCCAGTTCTAATTTCTGTCCACCAGTACTCTGGGACTTCCGTATGGCTAATCGCTGAAAGAATGGGCTATTGGTACGGTTGTTCCTTCTCGTTCTTGGAATCGGGCGCCTTTTCAAGCGATCACCGTGGTTCAAGTTTCACTGGCGATTGGTGCGAAATTGTATTGGGCGGTGGCTCTTTGGGCATGCCGATGCTGGGGGTTGCCCCAGGGTATTCAGGCTATCCCGGCAGCTCTGGTATTAGAGACTTCCACCGCCAATCTGAGGCGGTAGTCAGGACAGACGAAGCTACCCCATAAGCGTAGCCTAGCAGTGTGGACATACCCTTCAAGTCATGCCCCGATAACACCCCCATTGTTGAGGACTTTTCGATCGACGACTTCTCCTCGGACGCCTAGAGCACCTCCGGAACACAGAAAAAAGCTGAAGTGTCTTTTCCAGCTCTGGGGATCGCGATAATGTTAATGTACCAATATGAAGTGTTGTCGAAACAATGTATGTCGAGGTATGGTTTGTGGCTTGAATTGCGGAGTGCATCGCTTCCCCAGTTACGAGTTTCTAGACCCAAAAGTATCGTATGAGTAAGTTTGGTATTTCTAGGTGTGTCCCGTTTCTGTACTACAAAATATCAGTCCACTCGTGGTTTTACTGCGAGGACACCCGTATTGGTACACTTGTCAGCAACATATCTCATGATTAGTTCAATCACCTACGCATGGCAACTTCCTCTAACGAGACGTCGCTAGCGTATCTCGTAAAATTACTGGAAGTCGGGTCGAGGGCGGCAGATCCATATTCCTGGAAAGTAAACTCTCAGGGTGCGGAAACCGCGTTTGACTTCAGAGTCTGTCTCCTAGCCCTGTATGTACTGACCTACTATGTGGTACCCGGCAAGGCAACATTGTATTCAGTAGTGAGTTGTACAGATCAATTTCTTGCATAAAGCATCGACTTGCTATATTTGCGCATGCATGCGACGATGAGATCCCAGAATTATCTTTCTATTGAAGTCGTCATATCATCTTCCGTACAATAAGTATCTTCTGTACCTCCCTGCCGTAATAGTCGACCGAATCTGCAAAAGCAATTAGATGTGAGATTGTGCCTTGTCCTGCAGCTATAATCCAACGAGCCGATTCGCAACTTTGTTCGTAAGTCCACAATTGGTATTTCCCAGAACTGCCCGTAGGCTTTCTCCCAAATGGCAGTCCACCAAACTTGCTCACTTGAGCATCCATCCGATATGTTCGAAAATTATCCACACAGCCAACGCCGTCCATTTTTTCAAGCGCATGTACATCGTCAGAGATGAGTCATAGGTCCGAAGCCGGGTCCATCTCGAAAATCTGCGTAAAATTCATTCATTAAGCGTTCTGCTGTTGTAGCTGTAGCCGAACCATCTGTTTGAGCAGAGTGCAGTCTTCACACTTGACAAGCTTCTCTAGGGCCATGACTCTGTCGCTGAGTCGCGTGATTTCATCGGTCATGTGGCGCATCTCCACTTCGGATTGGTGAACATAATTCATTGCGTCGGTCATGACATCTGACTTCCTAACTTTTCCTCGGTGTTCTCGAGAGGCATAGAAGTCTTGCGCAGACATGCCAGTCATTCTTGAAGTAGTGCCTGTGGCCGACAGCGCTCGGTGGAGCTGCATGATCTTTCCATTCAAGTTGTCTCGATATCGTCGCTCGACAACTGAGTGGGCTTGTTTAGCTCGGATATTGGCTGACTCGTCTTCACTTTCTGAAGGCTTGTGGGCTCTTTTGTTGCGCGACTTCTTGTCTCCGTCAGTTACTTGCTTAGATCGTAGTTTGCTTTCGCTGGAGACAGTCCTTGATGGTGATCTTCTGATTGGCTTTTGTTCGACAGAAGATCCAATGCTGGTGGAGAGGCAAGGCGGACCATTGCAGTCTTCGATTTCCGCAAGGTTAGCAAGCTGAATGCAGCTGGGTTCTGGACCGCATGCTTGGGGAATGTTTTCCAGGACTGAAGGATCGAAGCCCCCTGTCGAATAAGACGTATTGCGACTCAAGCCTGGCTCGGTCTTGAGAGGATAGCTCGTCGACTGACGCGACAGGGCAGCTGATTCTGGTGAAGTTCTGTAGTATATGGACTCGTTTGAGACTGTGTATGAAGGGATATCTGATGATTCGAAATTGAGGAACTGAGAGTAATTCGGTGAACCGACAACGTCCTCAGTAGTATCGATAGCGTTCAGGTCATAGTAGCCAGATTGATCTTGACCCTTGAACTCGCCAATAGGAGGCTGGAGGTTGGTGAAATCAACCTCAACCCAAGGTTGCTGCTAGTATTCTCAGCATAGTGGCAAAAAGCTCCCACCACTTTAATCACATACTTGATTGTCGTAAGATGGATCCTGATAATGCTGAAACATTTGAGAATATGGCATCTTGCTTTAGGATGGTCTGAGAATTGTTTGATGTTGAATTCCAAAAAAATAATAGTTGTGAAAGACTTAGAGGACCCTGAGTGTCACCCCACGTGTGCGAGACAGGTCCTTATTATTGTCAATGACAGAGATAGTGATACCTTCCCTGTCCTTCGCTTAGGCGAGTGCATTGGTAGCTTGGCTTTCCAGATCGAAGATTCAGGCTCATCAGACCACCAAGAATATGGAGCAGGCTAAGCCGGATGACTCCGTCAGGAAGTCCAGTTCTGGAGCCCGGCAGTGCTCAAAGCGCTTGGCAATGGGCAAACGGCAAGGCTGGCCCTTTCATCCCGGACACACAGGCGAGCTTGACGCCTAATGAGTCCCTACGCAGCAGCCCCCAAAACCCGAGGAAAATTGGAAACTCACCTCGACTCGCAGAATGACCCATTATTACATGATCCACACTCATCCTCACGAATAGCCAATCTTTCCTCATGGAGCAACGACAACTATTCTTGGTGGGCAAACCCTTTCAATGAAAGCTACTAACGTAATGCCCAAATTTCAGAAAGCCGAGCATCAGACCTAGTATCGAACCTTCCATGCCGTTCGGAACAAAACCGTTAGGTAAAATATAGGGTTGCAAGGGGAGAGTTTTGAACGCTATCGACAATGCACAACCCCAAAAGTTGTGTTGCGTGCTTAATGGCACATGATGACAACTTTTCTAGTGCCTGGTCAATCCAAGATCCGCCGAACAACATTCTTGGTCCCAAATAGGTATCTGAGACTGATACTAAACAGTGGCTATTCAATATCGAATATCAAATGGCTCAAAATGTCGGCATTCATCTGTTTGGCCCACACCGCAGCATTCGGGGTGGGGTGGAATGCCACATACCCAGGTGAACCATATTAACCAAGTAGTTACAAGCATATCCTGATGTCCGCAACAGTGCGTCGAGAGACATTCTGGCTCTTAATGTGCTACTACATCGTTTCCGGCTCACGCCATTATTGTAGTGAATCTACCAACACCTCATTCTGAGCTATCGATTACCCGAGTGAGAAATTTGCACTTGGAATATGGAACGTCGATCACAAGACACGTAGAGACTTCAGGTCACAAATCACAGGCTTCTTCAAGTTGAGATTAGACTTCGAAGATATATACAAAGCCCTGTGTTTAGTAAATATGATAGCGGCCGATAAACAAGAAAGAATTCCACAAAGTTAATCAAAGTCTTCACATACCTAGTACTACAGATGAAGTTCAAAACGAGAGAGCTCGAACTATCCCAGGCCTTGGACGAGGTCTTCCTCCGTCTCTCCCTCGTCGCAACCCGCACCCTAGAGATCGCGATATCCATACCGATCATTGGACTCGTTGCTGCAGTCACCAGTAGCTTTTCCAATGCAGAAGTAAAGGTGCCCTCCAAGGCGACAGGAGCGCTGGCTGTGGCTTGCTTCTGTGCTGTTTATTCTGTTGTAACAGTGCTTCCTGTGTTTTTCGAGGGTCCAACATTCTTCACAACACTCGCAGCCCTTGACGCATTGTTTCTGGTGGGTTGGGCGACCCTGGTAGGAGTGTGGGACCATAGCGCTACAGGCAGCTGCCCAGCTTTCATGGCAGAATTCTTCGGCACGCAGACACAGAAATCCTCTTTCACAACAGACTGCAGACTGATAAAGGCAACTTTTGCTTTGATGATTGTTAATGTGTATGCAGCCCATTGCTTGTTTTTGAACTATTCTGATCTGCCATCTAGGGTGCTTTTTGGAACTACAACGCTCCTTTCCTTCTGTCTCCGGACAATCGAGCTTGAACATGCAACCAAGTGGAACACTCTACCTCTCTTTCGCAACACCCGTGACCCAAAGGTTGCTGAACATCATTGCTCCTGTTGCAATCACAGCAAACAGAATCCTTCGCCAAGAACAAGCTGTGATGGTGACGGAGCCCGCGCTAGCTTTTGATGTTACGAAGGAGGATGGCGTGTTAGTCGGTGAGAAGACAGATGTACCGCAACTGGAGTAGTTAGTTTCTCGGGGATAACATTTAAATTGTGTATAATGATATGACAATACTCAGCTGGAGACATGTCAGCTGGCTCTCGGAAGAAGAGACGTTGTGGAAAGTGAGTTGCGACAATCTTGTTGCACTTTCTCAATCATCGAGACCATCCTCCGAAAGCTCAAGCAATCCCTGCTTCTTGGGTGTCTGCATCTCACAACTCGGATGCCTCCCACCTTGTGTGATTACATCTCGCGCTGAGGAGAGTTTCGAAAAACCTTCATTCATCTGGCTGTCCCGCGAAAATAAAAATTCGTTCCCTCTTCCCCTTTTATCTGCCTCAAGATTCGAAGCATTCCTCATGGAGAGAGTTGTGCTGTCCAGGCTCGTCGGCAAGCTGATCATTTTCCAGTGAGACTCTTCAGCGGCCTGCGCAGACACCAACATCTGCTTCTTCTGGTGTATAGAAAGCCTACAGCTTTGAGGGCCGGATTCTCCGTCTCGCAGCAAGTCGCACACACAAAGGAGTCCTAGTGGAGGTGGATTCGTCGGACTCGTGCAAAGCGCAGAGTCATTGGACCCGTCATACCGGGCGACATGTTGTGGTGGCGTAATCCGCGGGCTCGAAGAGCTGCAGTGCTCTGTTTTGGGATGAAGAGGAATGCAATAGCATCCTGGAATGTTCATCTGGCTTGTGACCGGCTAATCAAGGTGTGTGAGATCAAGTTATAATTGGTGGCAGTTGCGATTCCTAGGGACAATGAAAATGAGCCGTATGCCAAAAAATCCCCAGCATAAAGAATGACACAAGTAACAATTCAGTTGGTCAGGTGTTTAAAGAAGGAATAGGTTGTGGACGGAGGAGGATTTGTTGCAACACGAGAAGTTTGAGTCTGAAGACAGTTATCAGGTGCTCTTTCGTCGGCGATATCCGAGCAAATTGTACATGTTGCCTGACGGTCAATGTTGAGAGGTGATGATCGCTCTGAAGGTCTAACCTACTAACGACTTAGAACCGGTGGTCAACTGTGAATGATACTAACGTTGCAAGTTGCTCATGGGAATTCGGGATATTGCTGAGGTACATGATTGTCTTGGGTATGGGACCTTTAGAAAGTTCCACAGAACTTCTACCCTCATGCATCCGATTACCCCTGTCGATCACAGCCTTGCGCCTCGACTCGACAAGCGAATAGGCTGGAACATGTTGGCCAGGGTGGCTTGGTGCGAAAAATCGATTTCTCACTGTTAACTACATCAACTGGAATGGTCTCTGGACTACTACCTACTGAAATTCTACACACTCTACCATGAAGATGAGGTTTTGTGCGTGAGAGTCTAGGCTAATATAGCGATCATTGGAAACAAGCCAAACCATTTCCTCAACTACTACCCCACAGATAGCTGATTATACTACTCTGCCTGTTAAACAGACTCGAAACATGCAGAGACGAAGGGAACAGATGGGAATGTGCCTTTTTGCATATAGGCCTACACAGACTCTTGTTGACTGTGACGTATGCCACTTGGGATCTTCCGAAGCTCTTTACTAACTATGTCTAGAGTCTTGACACTCAAATCAGACGGAACGAAACGCTGACAGTGCATTTTGTCAAAGGCTGTCTGCTGCTTCGTAATCTACCTATAGCTGGCAACTCTCGAAGGGGTGTCTGCTCGCCCTTCTTCCACGCTTGAGCGACACCAGATTCGGCCGATTCGACTGCAATCCACTTTCCCGCACAAGTCTAGCAGTGTCTACGAAGAACAACTTAGTATGGTGGTCTGACCAGGATTAGCCTTATACAAGTGCCGGTATTGATACAAGCTGCAAGGTAATCCGGGGAATGATGCACGCCATCCATCTGCGGGTGATGTGCTAATCACTCGAGATCAAATCCGTTGTTAAGCGAAACCCTACAAAGAATACCATTAGCTCGGCTGTACACTAAAGGCAATAGGCTTCTGCACTTTTGATTGCTGGATGCGCCTCCGCTCTGAGGTCTCTTGACGCTGCGGCGTATGATTTGGCAGAGCTGACAAGCATTGGTTGACACTCAATCACGACCATGATTATGTGCTCGGTTAAGCGTAGTGATGACTTGAAAACTGCCAATCAGCCAGAGAACTCCGTAATATCCAATTCTTTTATCCTGTGAAAGCATCATGTCAGCAAGAGAGTCTCCTTGTAGGTTCTCACTAAGGCCTTCCTTCAGGATAAACAGGCTGTCTCACCTGATAGTAACATCTAGTAGTGTTCCATTGTGGTATCTAGACATCCTACCCTAGAATTATCATCATGAACAGCTTCCAACTGGAGAGACTTGGGTTGAGTTTCTCTGAGCACTTTCGCTGAGAGCTGAATTTCATTTGGTCATGATATCTGTTACATGCCTCTGGTACAGGCCATTTTACTCGCCGAAGCACCGTGCTAAATGCTAAGTAAATTTCTTGAAATAGTAATCATAGGCCTCATTTTCGCTCAATCACAAGGTGGAGCTTGACCATCGTTGACCTGAAGGGAAACAGGGCGGCACAATGCGTGGGCATTGGAGATGTTGCCGGTTGGGGTATTTCTAGGACTCGAGTGAGTCAAAGTTCGTTTCATCATTCGTTCAATCCACAATAAGAACCCTCTTCTCAACCGAAAGCCTCCACAAAGATATCCTCGACTTGTCGAAGTGACAGAACACGAGGCTGTTGGGACCAAAGCACAATGTCATCGTCTTCCGACTTATGCAGAGGATAACCAGGGTCTGCAGTCTTTAGAAGGAAAGGGTCAGATTCGCCACAGTGTAGCAACGGTGGGTCGATGTCTTCTTCTTCATATGTTGTGTCACTCCAATGTCCTTCATCATCGTCCCCAGCTTCTGTGCTGGCGTTGCTGCCATTTTCCCACTGCTGGTCACAATGCGGCCGCGATTCAATGGACGAAGCATGCAAAATTGACAGTGTTCGGGGGGTGTTTACGAGCTGTAATGAAGGCTCTTTATGCGAAGAAGACACCGGTTGCTGAATGGCTTCTGCATCCATGATGGATGTCGGATCATCCTCGATATCCTCAATATACTGAATTGTTGCGTCATCCTCAAATTCTTCCCACTCCAGAACAGGGAGTGTTTCGACTTCCACTGGCTTGAGTTCTTCGTCATCTAGATGTTCATTGATGTAATTTCGAGCATTGTCGAACAGGAGTGCATGGCCAAGGAGTTTGCATAGGTGAGGCTCGGGTTTCTGTGCTTCGTGTCGAATATTTAGCCTTGAGAGGTAGCCAAGTTTGTAGGCGAAGTATTTCATATCTGCACAAGATGTTATTGGACACCCTGATTCTATGGCCTTGGTCGTGTATTGTTGACAATCTGTCGTCGGATATATCTTGGTGTGGTGCATACTGTCTAATGCGGTATGCTTCGACTTGTCGTCAACGTGGAGTAGGGGAAACCGAGAAAAATGGCATGCGCATTATGGGTTGCAGTAGACCGGGAGTATGAAGTGAATCTAGTGAGTGAGCTGGGGAATAGTCTTGCATTTGAGGTATCTATGAGAACGAAATATCTCGAGATCTGTAATCCATCTGCATTATTCCGAGGGGCTCTGTCGGAAGGAGATGAAAGCCCAGTAGGGTGTCGTATGATTTCACTGGCTAGCGTTATGCTTCTGCACTCACCCCCACAGAGAGAGGGTTTACGTTCTGATGCAATCAGTATTAAACGGTTGCCAATGCCTGGAATGCAGCTTCAGTGGTTTGCATCTGGTAGCAATAGGAAGAAGCGGAAATTGATAGTGATGCTTTGAGGGAGAGTGGTCTGACTTCCCGCAGAGCTGGCCTTCGAGTTAGGCTCTGTCCCCACCCCTCTGGTGATTGAGGTAAGCCGTACGAGGTAGATTGTTAGTGCAGAAATCTGTTCCCTACGACAAATGTGCCCTCGGGTGGCATGTCGTTGGTCACAAGTTACCCTGAATGTGTTAAGCTCCACGGGCGACTTCCAAATGGTCATCGGGCTGCTCCGGGCTATGTTAACTCAACTATTATTGCACTCGACGTGTATGGCCTGACAATCACCCACGAAGGTATGAGAAGTTGAAAAGTGGTCACCGTGCTCGATGCTTGTTGTTTCATCTCGTTCTTCATGGTGAGAACTGAATGTTGACCGCGCTGTGAGAGTGATGGATGTTCTTGCTTCACCGCTATTCTACGTGGTGCTCAGACTGTTGTTGCAAGGTCGAATAAGCAGTCTCGGGTTTGGCCAAAAAGCTGTAGCTTCCCACCCGTGGTGGCGTTTCAGTGAAATACTAGTCTTGATCTCTGGTGAAAGATAATTCGTGAGAATTTCAGAATGAAGCCAGGATCCTACATCGTTTATAGTGGGAAAAGGGCAGGATGTGGTGTCGGCATCTAACTACTGAATATGAGGAAGTCGGTCAAAAACCTTCCTCAGTTCAGCTAGTCATGAGTTAGACGATGATTGGTTACTACGTCTAATGAAGAGCAGGTCTCCAAACCCCAACGACAGTGAAGAAACGGCTATTAGATTGAAGAAGACCACGTACGAGCATAAAGTAGCATCTCTTATCGTTCACGGTGGTGGGAGAGCGGGTGTGACAACAGAAGCTCATTCTAGATCTGGGTCCATGGCAGTGCATCCTCTCGTACATTCTCCGCCTTGCGCCTCACTGTGGAGGATCAAAGCACCAGACTGTCTTTAATTGGCAAGTGATGGAGTTAATTGCTGGAAATCCAAACCTAGAAACTCTGCCCCAGCGCCATCATTTACAGTTTAGGACAGGTTTAAGGGCTTCTAGAGGCTGGGTATCCACAGAATCATCTTAGCAATGATGTCGCACAGAAAGCCTGAGCGACTAACGCTCATATTTACAAGTAAAATGACGACTTAGATGCGTATCGTATGATGGGAGGTTTACGCGTCTAAACCCCGAGACTTATTCGAATAATCGAGCAACGTTCTTCAAGGAAAGAACCAGTGAGAAGAGCCAGATTTGCTTTACCTACAGAGTTCGAAGCCTAGCGTCAATCTTGGGACAGAACCCCTTGGTTAAAGCAGAAGGATCCAACCCACGTAGCGGACGATAATATTAGTGAGGACCAATGGAAGTCACGATATTGGTGAAAGTATAGGTACTGAATCTTGATGCCTGACATACACTCTAACCTAGGTCAGGATAGTTAGGTGGCCGGAAGAAGGCTTGAGTATGTACAGGATAGATCAAACAACCTGCTTGGGGTAGATTGAGGGTTTTTAATGAAGCTTCATGTATTGCTACAGGAGCGCGTTTCAGGTACCTACGAGTAAGCCTCCCCAACGGCTAGGTCTGGCCTCAGGGTATCAGGTGTTGCTCGTTCTTGGCAATACAGACCTGTTTCACAAAATGCCGTAAAGCATACGACCTGCATTCTACCATACCACTCTGTTGCCAGACGGCTTCTTGGATAAGATGTGGCAGCGCAACGGAACACACGGACAGAGTCAACAGCTACAACATCAAAGCAACCTTCACAGCAATCATCAAAAACGTAAGAGACTCCGAAGTAAAGTGGCTGCTGTGTTCATCGAGACTGTATTGGTGGCATGAATCTTCAGACAACCTATTTATGCGTGGCATCCTCAAAGTCTGGACGCGCAATGACCCAGCCCCTTCGATTGATGGTAAGTCGCATGTGGCTAACCGATAAGGTTCCTTGATTTAGTCCGATCGACTTGCGCCTGGAGCGTGGCGTGTAATGGAGAATGAGTCCGGTTTACCTGGAAACATATATTTCCTTGAGTGGGGAGCTGAGCGCTTTGAGCCATACGGGTACAGTAGTCGCACCACAGTGTGGTGTGACTCCTGGGACTGAGTTGCAAGACGACCAGTTGGAAGGGCCAAGTCGATGACTCCCCCAGATCCCCTATGGACTCTACTTCCTTGATCTCATTCACAATAGAAATCATTCGCAGAGGCGAAAGAGTGCCTATTATCACCTGTCACTTGTGCCGTTGCCCTATTTAGCTACCTAAGAGGCAAATGCTAACAAGTGTGTCATGTCACGCCTGATACGAATTGCGAGGCTCTACTCTATGCTTACCTGTTAAATAGACATTGCAGAACCACAACCACACGTCTTGCACCACCCTAGACCATTCTTACGACCCCATGCCTACAGCCATGCGCTTCACTACTACGGGAGAGCCTGCCACGATGGCAGAGGTATGTAAATTGGCGTGGCACACATTTTATGGCATGCAAAAAGCTTGCGAGGACTTTGAGAACCTGCGTTTCGAGGTTTGGACCATCGCCATCAGTCTGGACTCACTCCATAGTGTCGGCACGACATCATTGTTGATTGACCGACAACCTGACAAAGCCAGATGGGCACTAACATTCTCAAAAATCTTGTCCTCGTTAGGGGCAGTTTTACGACCATTGCACAATCTTGTCAGACAATATCTCGGCAGCTCAGCTAAGGATAGAGCAAGTATCAAGAATTGGTTGTTGCACCGCGATGTTACATTTGAGGGAGTCACGATACAAGATTTCAGACGGAAGCTATCAATGTTGGTTGAGACACTCAACGTCTTCCTCTCTTGCCTCACACATGCCGAGCTCGCTAGGGCACGGGAGACATCCGAATCAGAGGAATTCCGGGTCTTGAGCGAGGTCTCGAAGCAAGTCCTGCATAAATGGGATGCAGATCTCCCAACGGGAACACAACGGTCCACGGATAGGTCGACCCGACAGATGGAATTTATTCAAGAAGCCCGAGTCATGAGCTCACCAGTCCTGCAAAATGGATCACCTGGACTTGGACTACAACTTCCTAATGTTCCACCATCACCAGCTCAGCTTAGGCATCCTCAGGAACCCCCTTCACGTCCTCCTCCACCCGGAACGATGAATCTTGAGACGATTGAAAACGGCTTCCGTACTCACATGCACGCCATGCGGCGTATACGGGAACAATTGCGGCACCAACAAATCAATAATGATCATCCTGCGGGTCAGACATCCCCCCATTTTCTTGGGGTAGCTGATAACACTCGAAGCCACGGCTGGGGGGCTCACCCTCCACCGACACCCACAACACCCACTCTACGACATAACATGACAGACTCATCTTCGTCATCGGAGCACTCTGGAGACTACATTGAGACCTCCAGCAGTGGCAGCAGCGACCGAAGTCACCACAGCGGCTCGATTCAGAGCTCTGACGCAAGTAGTGTCCACTCACACCAGCATTTAAATACGGTCGAGGAACAAACAAGACCCATTCCAGTACCACATCAACAACCTTCCTCTGCACATATTCGAAAACGGAAGAGACACCCCGAGTATCGCTTCAAGACTGGTCTCGAAGCCGAGAACTCCCACTCTAGCGACGGCTCCGGCTCAGATGAGGCCCCGGATGGAGGCCACCATCCTAAAACTGCTCTGGAACGAATGCTGAGTGTAGTCTTGTTCTTCGATCAATAGTATCAGAACAGACAGGAATGGAATTACGACGAGATTGAATTACGTTTGTCTGCGGATTATGCGCATCGGGATGGTCAGGTATCATTATTGGATGTTTAATATCCGGTCTAGCAAGGGGCTTGGACGTTACTGGGAGGTTTCACACACGGTTTGGCAGCGCACAGTTGAGTCAGAAATACATACGCACGAGACACAGTTTAGAGACGATCAATGATTACTCCGTAGTACTATGCCACAAGAATGAATGTTCTCTTTCTATAAATCTCCCAACATGAATACCATGTCTTCGAAGAAGTCACCAACCATTTGCAATCCCAAGTGATTGTTGTTAGGTCAAGGCAAACTATGCTTCAGCAGAGGTGGGATGTTGGTGACAACACCACCACTCCGGCCAGTGGTACGATAGGAAAGCGGCCTCATACGAAAGCATCTTGCACTACTACATTGACATGTGCTGATTCTTCAGTCGCTATCTCGACCCCCTGGATTCTCAGCCGTGTGCCGCACACATGCATCTTCAGCATGAGTTCCACTTTTCGACAGAGCCAGTAAATGCCGTAGGACTGTTACTGGATCCTCCTATATTTCGCAAGGCTACAACACGCGTTAGAAGATCCATCTCTGGCCAATGAGGCTCGTCACGTCAAATCAGAAAGTGATCTTGCTGGTACACATGATTAATTAATAGCTATGAGGAAGCTGAGGTGCTCTCCAACATGTGATGAAGAACATCTGTCCTGCTTGATGACATACAGCAAAAATCGCCTCCTGGTGTAGGGGCTGATATGCAATATAATGGAAACCTGAACGCCACCCAATGAGCCGAATGCAATTCATGCGCTCATAACTCCTATCGTATCAATCTGACATGCATTTCATGAGATCTTTGAGACTGACATCCTTATGACTTTATTGGCCAAGCTCGCAACTCTCGTCGTCACTGTCCATGAGGAGATCATTGGACCTCCTCACTTCCGGATCTAGACATAGAGCAGGAGATCGTCAATAAAGTCAACGTCCTCTTTTCGAAGCGAAGCGAAAACTGCTCGCCACAGTGGGGAGGTCTTCTTAAGAGGACTTACTCTCATGTACATGCTTCCATTCCTCCCAATCGCTTTTGAAATGTCCAAACCATGCGGATCCATGGTTGTGTGGTTGTTGCGATTGTCTTTGTTGCTCGTCTTTCTGGTGTTCGAAGTCCTCCCGTTGATGGTTGAGTGTTTCAAACCACGAGTCCCCGTAATTGTGCGGACGGTGAGATTCTCGCTCGAGTTCTTCCGATTTTCGATGCTCCAAATCTTCTCGCTGATGGTTTAGATTCTCAAACCAGGAGTCTCCATAGTTATGTGGTTGAGCTGCTTTTTGCTCTTTCTGCTGGTGGTATTGTGTTACTAGATCGTTCATGCTTTCAAACCAGCTATCTCCATATCCGTGCATTGATTCAACCGATGTGTCAGATATGCTGCTTGTTGTAGATGCTGTGGATGTTGGTTTGTGCATAGCATTTGATTGTTGAGATGACTTTGCTGCCATTGAGGATTGTTGGTTGGTGGTTGGAAAAAGAGGTGCTAATGCTTAGGTATAGCAACGCTTATCAGGGTGTAAAGGTGTGCTGAATTGGTTAAGAGTGTCTTATCTTATAATACTTGTTTGGAATGAGGAGTAAAACCATCGAGAGGTGTGCTCTTCAAGGCGCTTCAAATAGTCTGGGACTTGTATACCAAGAACAGGTTGCGATAGACAACCTTGGTCATCACCGTCCATCTTACCGTACAATGAACTCACATGCGCCAATAGCATCTGTATTCCACGCACAACGGGATGTATCGGTACCATCGTAATCATGATTGAGACATGCATTGCAGCGCACCTCAAAATGACGCGTGCACTGACTGGTAGAGAGGTTGCAACAAACAACTCTGGACAAGAGAACCAGGTACCTTCCGATCTCCTTGAGCCAATTACGGGCGTGTATCCTGTGGCGTATGACTACGAGATACTCAGAGAGAGAGTTATCAGACCACTTTGTATCTTGCCGCCAAACGGCCAAGCGAGAGGATCTGATTTCATTGAACCCCAGGGGCTCCAGGCCCCCACCAGTGCCACCACGCCTGAAGCTCACACCATTTCCAAGCCTCGGCCTTCTCCGAATGGTGCAGTCTGGAAGCTCTTGCTTGGGGTATGTCGCCTAATTGATGCAGGTTTTTTCTCACTCATCCGTTATGAGCATCGTCGTTCATCCAGTGACCTCCCGCAGTAAGGGGAACCACGACTCTTGTGAATAACATACCACGTAACTTATCAACATCTCCTACGCTCTCACATGACCTCTAAGACATGAGAGCTTCGCTTGGCTCGGAGAACTTATGGCACGATCCTCCTAACATCCTCGCAATCACGCAGTTGTGGCTGCCTTTCTACGAGCACTCTGTAACGTGCGAGCGGTAGGTGCACTCGTAGCATTGTCTGTTCTGTCATGCAGGTACAGTATTATCCGATTGAAGTTCTACGTACATGGTACGGCGTGCTGGTCCGTCCAGAAGAAGCTGTGAGGTTGCCCTCTTTGATATCTCGGAAATGCATCTGTATGTAGAGAGTTCTCGGAACAAGAAGGGCAGTCCTGTTTGCATTCTCGGAGCTGTCCTACCTGTTCGACCTCAACGATGCCTTGTATTCAAGTCGTTGACAGGCTATATTGTCGGAGAGCGGTCCACCAAAGTGTCGCTCTTTGAGTCAGCTCAGTTAGGTTACTTCGATGGACGGATGGGATTGGGTATCAAGCCGAACAAATGTTGAAAATATTGTCACCGTCGATTTTCTTCGAGATTCTCGATTTCTTTTGCAATCAGTCCTCGATCTGTGGCATCCGACCAAAGCTGAAGGCTTGGAGCAATACCACGGCTAATGCCCAAACCAGGGACCACGGAGAAGCAGCTGACTGTTGAGCATCACGCGGCTCAATGGCAAATTCGGTCTGTACATCTCCAGCCCATTCGATATGTTGGATCTTGATGGCTTTTGGGACGACTGCTCCCTCGTCGTGTACAGGAGGCAATAACCATCCAGAAGAGAGAAACTCGATTTCCTCGTCGGAGCCACCATCATCCACCAGCAGACCTAGCCTTCCCTTTCTATGCATCTTGCGTGGATGAGAAGGGTCTCAATGCACAAGACTAGATAGAGCCAAACACCGGTTGGTACAGCAGAAAGAACAGCTTTCGAATTCACTCAACCTCAACTCCTGCCATGACGAAGATTCCCAGTACCAGATCCGGCGATAAAATCGCATATGTAGGCATTTCAATGTCTCTTGCCGAGCATGGCTGGAGCATAATATCCGTTATCTACCACTTAGCTGGAAGGCTCTCGTATCATCCTCAACTCGAAGCCTGATCATCAATGCCCCCAAACCCGGCAGTCACGTGGAGCACACTACACAAGGCGAATCACACCACACTTGCATGGAGCCAATCACGCATGCCACCCAAGCAACGACTATTGTATATCGGATCGCCGATGAGATCATGGCCGAGAAGCGAAGTGGATCTGGGAAACGACGTTCATGCCTCGGTGGCAAGAGTTGTGCGGAAAACCTTTGATGATCTCCATAATCCTGCGCCGTTGATGAAAGCATCTGCCGTGCTAACATGTCCTTGCGATGAATCTGCATATCCGAATGCATTGAGAACAGTTCGGAACTCCGCAACGCCGTGGCTATCACCCTCAGACATATTGAAGTATTGGATCTCAGATGTGGCCAGCTGCATATGATGGCTACTTATGCAACGTCTCATCAGTTCTGGTTGAGGACAGAAGCCGAACTTGAGATCATTTCTCTTGCTTAGATCCACCCAGCACCGGTAGATGATGGACCTCGCAGCAAGAATATAGCCGGATCAGCCCTACCTACCAAGGCCCGAGGCCGTCCCCTCGAATCTTTCAGGACACGAAACCATCCCATCGGACTCGAAGAAAACAGAGAATCATGTCCTGCATGGAGGCTGCAAGCATCCCCTTCAGACTGGACCCCCACCCATTCCCCCACAGCCAACATCAACATCAACATCATCAGCATGAAAACAACAAACAAGGCCATCGCTCCGCAGCGAGGAGAATAGGAAACAACCACACACGTACAGTACGAGTCGCCGAGCCGAGCTCCTTCGGAACCCACTCATCACTGTCAGATGATCGACAGGGTTGTTGTCATGAACGACATTCTCTCCTCTCTCTGTGTGTTCTGTCGGCTTCGATGCTGGTTGGTTAATTGACTGATTGATTGGTCCTGTCAATGATCGTTGGCAGATACTAGTGAGCTGGACTGTGCGTGCGTGGTGCTTCATCCAAGGCTTGTTATATCTGTGCGTGCGTGCGCGCGTGAGAGCAGGAGGAGGTGGACTTGGCGGATCGATCGTCGGTACACTTGACCTGACTTGACCTGACCTGACTTGGTTGAATGAATGAACGGGAAGACTGGAGACGCGTGAGACGCTGATGCTTGATGTTTGCGAGGGCTGCGAGATGGGGGATGTTTCCTCGCCTTTTTTCTTCTCTCTGATCTCCTCTCCTCGCTGATTGACAGCTGAACACCGACGCCTGATAAGTACGAGTGGCAGCCTAAGTTCCGAGTAATTTTGTCAAGAAAACTTAGAATTTATCAACTCGAATTGAGTATGGGAATCCTGGCTCACAGGCACGATTACTCTAGACTTGTGTTGGGGCTGTGGCTATAGATGGCAATCTACAAGACATGACACACTTTCAGGATGACTCTTCCATGTCCTCGGAGTGTGGGAATGAGATATGTTAGGTATATCGATCGTGGGAAACACGTCACTAGGCAAGAGAGAATAATTGTTCGTTCTCAGTTGGATCCAGATGAGACATTAGGCTAGTAAGCAGGTATTTCTGGAGGTATGAGATCTCGCATTTTGCATTGCATTTGCACCGGCAGGGCCCCGAAAAAACAAAGCACCCAAAGATATATACACGTGAATCAAAAATTTGCCCTTTTGGATAGAGTGCTCTCCAAGAAAAAACCCGGTAGCTCAAAAAAGCAAATTAGATAGCGTGGTAGCACGCTTCCATAATTGGTAATTTGAGGTGTTGCTTGATTGACTGTTTGATCATAGCAGCGAAGCCATCATCTATGATGGTGGTGGCCTGTTGGGCTCGCCGTAGGTGTAGGCGGTGTAGATGCCAATGGGGCACTCGTCCTGGTCCTGGAAGTACCAGAAGTTGGTGTCGTTGGTGGAGGTCTTACCAGCGACACAGGTACCAGCACCGACGAAGCATGGTCCGATGTCGATGGTGTATGCGTTGCCAGGCTCCATGTGGATAGGTGGGAAAGCTGGGAACGGACCTGGTGCTGGTTGATTGTTGTAGGTTGTCTGGGGTCCTGGGCAGCTGCCTGGGTTGTAGCCAGTGAAGAAGAAAGAACCTAGTTTTCATGTTAGTTTGAGCTATTTGGTCTGCGAATATCTTTGATTTGCGAAGAGTGTTCTGATGTGTAGTATAATGATATGAGAGTGAAGACTTACCACCACCCTCATACTCGAAGTTGGAGGTCTTGAGTTGCGACTTCAATGGGAAGATGAACTCCAATGTGCAGTTGGCATCAGCTCGAGAGGCGGGGACATCGAAGCTGAAGATGGACTCAATGTCGTTAGGTGTGAATACACCGTTGAACTGAGGACCGAATGACTTGTCGGGCTGAGATTTGGAGATCTGAGTGATGTAGTGTGGGAATTCGAATTGACCGGCCGTGAGTTCACGAGGGCATCCTTCTCTAGGCTTCAATGCGCGCTTCTTCAAGACTTCTCCAGGAAACGCGGTGGCGAGGCCAGCCAGAATGGCAATGGCGGCAACAGACTTCATCGTGGGTATTATTATCAAAGGGAGGGTTGATTAGAGGTATGTCCTTGTGATAATAGATGTTCTTGGCTGTTGTTGATATAACGAGTGACTGTGGTCAAGCGAATGACTGTGGCGCGAGAACGATCAGTTTCCAAATGGAGAGAGGGGAGGAACCGAGAGCATATGAAGGAAAAGCTGTGGGAGAGTTCTTAACTGTTGTGGGCATATAGTGGGAGATTGGATCTGCAGAGCGGCTGGATATGTTGTTGGTGGCAGATGGGCCCCCAGAGCAATCCGTCTCCAAACATTATCATTGAGGGATTCCATTTAAGTGGACACGAGGCTGAAAAGTACACCGGTTTGTGCAGGGATGCAACGTTTGGGCAACCATGCGCAACTTTGTCTGAGACATAGACCACGAGTCTTCCCTGTTCAGGGAGGAGAAGATGCGACTGTCTGGTGTTTGGCGGCTCGACCGATTGAAGTGACAGGCGATGGAAGCTAGACCTACCGACGCTGGACGAAGCTTGTGGCGGTAGTGGAAAGCTTGAGATTAGAGCTTCAATGGGCTTGTTTGGTTGACAAAGGTTGACAAGTGGCCCAGGGGTATAAGTGGATCCTCATGACGGTGGATCTACGAATCTCTTGAATCGATCTCATTCGCACAGTAGAAACACGATGGGCTCGTGGATGGATATTCAGATCGTCTAAGACCAGGATGACGAAACCCCAAGGTCAGTGGAATACGAAGTATTTCGTAGACTCCATATCCTTGTGTTAGTGAATCGAATGTTTGTCACCAACTCAACATACGATGACTCTGTCCAGCTCATAGGTTTTCTGGAAAGAATGACATGCCTATTCAAAATATCAGCTGTCTTGTTCTCAGATGAGAAAACAGGACCTTGTAGTCCCAGGAGAACCCAATTTTAGGCGAGACGTAGTCCACGTTGAACACGGGGCAGATTGGAGGGCCAAGGACACCCTGGTAGAAACAGACGCCAGACGAAGGAGCTTCGCCTCTAGCTTTGAAAGTCGACCACACCACATTCCCGAGTCCCGAGCAGGTTTTCCTGGGTTAATCACGGTCAAGCTTTTGAGTGCAGGATGCCGCCTCATGCACGTTGACAGGAAATGACGAGTGAATGGGCCCAGGCTCATAGCGCAACACAGCCCGTGCAGAGTCGGATGGGATAGTGCAGATGAAGGAGCATTTACTCCGTAGACGCTGAAACTTTTCCTGGTGAGCCTCGAAATAAGCATCAACAAGAATCTGCCAGGTGTCTACGATTGTGTTGGGCTGAACTCTGTCGTGTTGGTTTGAGTTCTTTTGTGGCCACCACCCGGCCCAAACACGACCATCGCAAACTGCAAGAATGAAATTGGTCCGGCGCCTCAAAAGCTTAAAGCCATCGATGCCGAAATGGGCGTCTAGCCGTTCTCAGCCCAACCGTTCCAAGGTCCACCTCGTGATGGAGTAACGATTTATTGATGGGATGTGATCCAGAACCGGGAGACGCGGCAGATGGGGATTCCTGAAGCAAGCAACAGCAAGTTTTTGGGTTCACGGTGACCTGTGTCTTTTTCTTCGCATCTGGCTTCCCGTGTCTGCATGTTCCAACATTTTGAATATGAGTTGACGTCGACAAATCAGATACCAAAGCATCAACGAGACTGCTCATGCATGGCTCAAAGCGTCCAGAAACTACGCCGGCCGCGTAACCCGAAGCTGCCAGTTCGGCATGTCGATGCCGCATTCAGAGCTCTCGAGGTGTCTTCTCCATGCGTTTGATTTGACAGGTTCCAAAGAGCCTCAAAAGTGCATGTAGAGCTATTTTCATCGATTTGTCGCGGGAAGCTTTGATGATTCTCCTTCCGGTGATATTTGAGGAAGGTAGGTATCGTCCTTGGTGTAACTAGTTGGGCAGGAAGCTGCTGTTTCCCATATCCGCGGCTGGCTGCTCCTACAGATTCACATCCTAGGACGCATCCTGAATCGCCTGGAGGTGAGCTGTTCAAACACGGGAAGAAGTGTCTCGCACAGCTGCCACTCAGTTCTCTTGAACTCACTGGCAGAGGAACGCTGTCCAAGGACGCAGATCATCAGTCGATGAGGAAGGTACATTAGGCAGCGCCGGCATACGGATTTCACATCCTATCTACTGGGCGACAGGAAGGAACGGGTTTCCTTTCTTTGAGACCACATTCGTCATCTGCGAATGAGTCTTACTTCACCCCTACCATCCTTCCGTTCTGTTCTAAATGTATACAATGGAATGATGTAACGAGGATCTACAATTCAGACACCATGTGCTGAGTCCGGCCTTGGTTGAAATGATTACGTTCCTCAGCCATGTAGGGAAGAAAGCTGCCCGATATGTATCGGTTGCCAAATATGTACGAACCATACCATTCCCATGTCTATCTAACAATATTTCCTTATTGTGTGCACGAGGAACCCCACACAACCTCTAATCCAACAGACATTAAGGCATAAAATCGGCCCCAAAAGGAAGCCTCGAGTCGCTCCATCTCGGTCGTTATAGCTGCCATCGAGAGTGACATTCGTTCTATTTGTAGGCGGTTAGCCTGAAACCATCAGTTGCAATGAGGGTCTCGAGTTGACATTTTCTTGCACTCCCGCAAGGTTGGCATCGAAATCAAGACCCCATCGCGTTGCAAAGCCTTCACATATCTCTTGGCAGGTTCTGGCTGCTTGTCTGGTTCTGCATCTGCGATCCCAGTCCCCGGCCTGGATAAGCATGATACTGTTTTCCACGAGTTCTTCTTCGATGCTCATGTCATCGACTTGATCACGCACAGTCTTGAGTTTGCGACTCGCCGTGTTCGCTGCCAGTTTAAATTCTTGTAACAAGTCGGTGATTGAACGTAGTGTCTGACCCAACTCATCGGTCTGTGACGCCAAGATCTGAAGGGAGAGCAGTGGGTTTTGCTGACGAAGAAAGGGGATGGTCGAGATGAGTTCGTTTACCTCATCGAGAAGTAAATCGAGGATCTCTTCCGGCAAATTCACCATTCCACCATACAGCAGGGAGTGGCTCTGAGTGAAGATGTCTCGGGTTTTGTTCGTTCGGTGAGATGCCATAGAGGTATATGCAGTGATCAATCGAGTCACGCCATACTCAATATTGCCTTGAGGGCCAAGCTCTTTCAAACTATGTATGGTTCTGCGAACGGTACCACCACCTTCACTCACTGCATCCTCGGGATTAATGCAGAGGCGAGTCAGACTTTCGAGGTCCCGTATTCGCTTTCTGAGGATCGGGGGCAGACTCTCATCAGGCTGCTCAAGATCCGAATCTGGGCCATAATCTGAGCCATCATAAGCCGACTCATTCCTCTGATGTCCCGATTTCCGATGACCCCTTTGTTCGGAATCTCGACGTGTCTGGGGGACGTGTAACATGGGAGAGGGCCCATCGAGTTGGGTCGGGTGTGGGCTTTGCATCACCATGCCAAAGCCAAAGTCGTGCATGTCGTTCAAGTCGTAGGGGCTGTGTAAATCCCGCATTGACGGGTCTTGTTCAACGACACCTTCTCGTAGACCCTCCAGGAAATTGGAATGTTCTTCGTGGTTGTGGTAACTATCTTCGTCTTCATCTCCGTCCCAAGCATGTCCCAACTCGTCAGCGAGACTACCCAGGCCGTTGTTGTCTTCCAGTTGTTCTAGACTTCTGTTGCTGTGAAGACTTGTCCTACTGAGTCTGCGTTGGGAGAAAGATGGGGGCCTGGAAGACTTGGAAGACATGGGTCTGGGTGTCACCGGGGAGCGTGGTTGGTAGGAAGTCTGCGACGTCCGAGAGGACCGTCTCGAATAGGAGGAGGTGGCATTGGTGGTGCCGCTGGTATAGGGACTGAAGGAGACAGTCTCACCCGAAGCAGAGGTCGTGCCATTGTTGACGTTGGATAGGCGCAGTGACCTGCGTTTCCGTGAAGGTGTCAATGGTGAGGCCGGTGGAGATGCGACAGTCATGGTTCTAATGTAGATGCAGGGGCAATAGCAGTTGCACTTAACCGATGCTCGAAAGGGCGTAAGGAAGTGGGTATCATGTAAATCGAAGCATGCTTTTGAGAAGAACGAGTTCCCAAGGTCAAGGGAAAGAGAACTCGCCGTTTGTCGATGTGTTGGCAAGGCAAGACAATCAGGCAGTCGTCGTTCAGTCGGTCGGTCGGTCGGTCGGTCGGTGAGGATTGGTTCTGAAGTGAACAATAAAGGCATCAACAATTCCTGGCCGTTGACAGTTGGGGCCGTTGGTGCAGAAAGAATAACGCGTCCAGGCGTTTGACGGGGGGCCGACGGGGGGCCTTCGGGCTGCAGCGGACTGTTCAGGGCAGCCCATGGCAGGTGGCTGCAGGCTAAACTTCACGGTTCGGGGCGTGCCCAGGAGTGGCTGATTTCATCACCCACAATCATCCCTCATGGTGAACACGACGAAAATCATGCAGGTACAGAAGAAAAGATCCCTGCAATATCATCAACTGAAGACATCGGAGGCTCATCGACCATGCCAACCATACGGAGAGTCCAACCTTCGGACCTCTTCCATCTAAACCTGTGCAATCTTGATCCTTACACCGAGAATTACGACTTGGGATTTTATCTAACATATCTGATGAGATGGCCTTCGTTATTCCAGTGTATTGAAGAACATGGCCAGATTGTCGGTTATATCATCGGCAAGGTCGAGACATCACCATCACATATGCAGTGAGTCGCACTCTAGATATTCGAGTGAGAACATTCTGATGGTGTGAATTCTGTAGGGGGTCGCCACATTACTTACCATGGCACGGTCATATTACTGCACTGTCCATAGCGCCACAATATCGACGCCTTGGCTATGGGAAACTTCTCAGTGAGTCATTGGAGAAGGCATGCAATCAACAAGATGCCTGGTTTGTCGATCTGTTTGTTCGAAAGAGCAACAAAAACGCCATCAAGATGTATGAAAGCATGGGTTACTCGACCTATCGAAAGGTCGTCCGGTACTACTCGGACGACCCGACGGGTGTATCCAAGGATGGAGAAGATGCCCTGGATATGAGAAAGGCTCTCGACAGGGACAAGGACAAAATTCATGTCCGAGAGAACGGAGAGACTTTTCTGGTTGATCCCGATGATGTCTTTTAGCCTGACATGGGCCTCGCATGCCCAGCCGAGTCCTTCCCCGAGCTTCGATGGACTTCATGATGGATTGGTACATTCTCAACCTGAGTTTGCTTCCCAATCAATCCAGCGTTGTCCGGAGACAGCGCAAGTGTGACAAGGCCGATCTGCTCGTGAAAATACCGCGCACAGCCTTTCAACCAAATCCAGAATTCATGACGTGGCACTGTTTGAAAATGACACGCTGTCCCGCGAACTTGTTTTATGCTTCGTGTTTGGAAGGCAGAACCAAAGACACGATGTTGAAGGAAGACGCTATGGAGGAATATCACAACCACATTGGAAAAGCCTCAGTTCGGTTGAAAGAAGAGGTCGAGCACCTTTAGAATCGGAGTTCTAGCTTATAATGTTTACACCACCATGCACTGTCGTCAACCGTGAAGATATCGCCATCTTGGCTTTCTATGGCACCAAGTAATGATAGAAAAAACACTGCCCTCTCCACAGCCAAACCAGCCACCATCACATCCTTGACCTCTGTACCTAGCTAAACACGCCTCGCACCCGGGCCCCTCTCCTCCCGATTCTGCTCGTAGTTGAGGCGCTTGAAGCTCATGGGCAACAACTGCCCGATAGTCATCATGACGACCTCGCCCTCCAAGCCATTCTTGCCATACATGTAGATGGGCAGATCATCCGAAACGGCGAACTCGTTGATGAACTGTCTGCACATGCCGCAGGGGCTAGCGGGAGGGCTGATGTCGGTACTGACGGCGATTGCGCGGATGATGGGCATCTCCGGTCGCTTCATCGACGCCACGATCGGAGCAATCGCGCAGCGTTCCGCGCAGATGCCGTTCGGGGTGCTGGCGATCTCGACGTTGGAGCCGGTGTGGTACGTCCCTGTTGAGAGCAGCACCGAGGCCCCCACACGGAAGTTTGAGTATGGACCTGGATTGAGTGTTGGCTGTGAGTAACAATTCTTTTGACACGGATGATTGCGACGTGATGAAAGGGCTCTTCCGGCAAGAGCACCTCGCTTATCATTCATGGCCAGTTTATAGTAGCCATTAGAAGAACTCTGGCCTCTCGTGCGCAACAATACAGCAACGCGACAATTGAAATCATGCCCACGAACTTACAATATGCTTTCTGCTTGGCCTCAATGGCATGTTCCGCCAGTATCGTCAACTCCTCTTTCGATAGCGGAACGAGAGTGTTTTCGGAAGCCATTTTCCCGTAATAAAAGCTCCTTGATGGATGAGTAGTATTTATGAAGTGGTAACCGATTGAATGGAAGGTCTCAGAGTCATATATGTGGCAAATCTGGGGAATCTTGGACTTCAATCCAGGGCGCCGTAGTTCACAGTGAGGTGGGCGTGGAATGTCAGCCTTGCCAAGATATCGTCCTTCGAGCGACAAGGCTGTGCGCCATTTTGAGCTGTTCCTTCCCCACAACTATCAAGGCCAGTTGTCGACTTGAGTTCACTACACCTGGCTTCGCATTATTATTTCTTTTGCGAGATATCCATATGACACCATCGGAGCTCATGCAATCCGCTACTGATCCCTCGGTCAATTTGACCCGAAAGCCCACAATGAGTCTCCACGGTAGATGCCTGACATGTTCAGATGCGAAACTGCCGCCGTTACGCTACAGCTAGCCAAGTTTCATCAACACCGGAGTTAAACTACATGTTGACATATTGTATCGCCTCAAGGAAGCACCTCGACACACCTCACGTCTCACACAGAGGAATTACAAGCACGCCATTCCCGCACGATGCTGTTTCCACGTGGATTCGCCACTGCGCATTGACTCAGATATGGCAAATATGCATATTGCCGCGACGAGTTGCATTATTCCTCCTCGCCTGTTGCCTCGACTATCGTTGCCGATCGAGCGCTACTGACGAGAGCTATCCCAAATTTCGGAGGATAAAAGTATGTTGAAATTAACGGCGCGGTCTTGCTGCTTCAGGCCCTAGATCATACATTGGCAGCTACGGTAGGTTACAGGGTGGATAGTAAACAAGTATAAAGAGAAACCTGTCTCGCCGTCGAGCATCTTGATGGTGGTTCTGCAGATTCATCGTTGAGCGAGTTTCCCTTCCAGTCCTCCTTCCACATTCCTCTTTTCTTCTTGTGTCGTTTCCATCCATACAGCTGGTCTGTTCGTCAATCAATTATTCATCATTCCCTGCAATTCAATTCATTCTTGTTCTATCAACCAAAACAGCATATCGAATATGAAGTTCTCAACCTCATCCCTCGTCCTGAGCCTGCTCCTTGCCCTGTCATCAGCTGCGCCTGTGACTTCCCCAGCCAAACGCGCTCTCACGGCCCAGTCATACAGCCAATTCCAAGTTTCGGACGGCGTTGCGGGCAATGCTCTGGCCGAGGTGAATGCAAACTTTCCGGTATGTGCAATCGCGACATGAGAGACAGGAGAGATAGGAGATGTCAACAAAGGGTGACGATGGATAGATAGCACGGTCTAGATATTGGCATGGCATGACACGAGACGGGATGAAAGCTAACGTATCACACCAACAGATCGACCTCACAAACCTGGCCTCCGTATCAGCTGCAGATTTAAAGGTCCTCAAGACTGCGGCGCAGGTGGCCGAGCAAGCGGAAGTCGGGACCGGCGGGTTCAATGACGAGCTGGAGGCCCTCGGCAACGGGGACACCACAGCGTTGCAGAACGGGAAGATCAAGAACAAGGTGCTCAAGCTGCAGTTGCAAGTGCTGGCGCTGCAGGTCCAGGCCGCGCAGGGAGATGCAGACCAGGCGAAGCTCGATGAGGAGACGACCAAGTTAAATAAGAACGTGGCTTTGGATGTGGCTGCGAAGGGGCAGGCGAGTGTGGGTGTCACCAAAACTTTCTCTGGGTGAGGAAGTTTGGGTTGACGACGACGGAGGTGGGCATCGCTGCAGTGGTTTGCGATGGTTGCTGGAGAAAAGGTACATAAAGTATTCAAAAGTACCTTGCCCAGCAGTATCTGAGCCTCATGACTTGCATACCTACTTAATCTCAACCATTTAACTGCTTAGCCCACATCTCAGGATATCTGCCGCCGGCCGTCTCAAAAGAGTGGACCAAACGATCAATCTCCGCAAGATCCTCCGGAGGCAGATCGACAACCGTGAAATTTTCCTTGACCCTATCGGGGCTCGAGGCGCCTGGGATAGGAATGAAAACCGGGTGTCCATCACGTTGAGACAGCTGCCGGACCCAATTGATAGCCAGCTGTGCATTGGTGATTCCATTCTTGTCCGCCACACTCTGAACGCTCTCGACCAGCTTCAAGTTGCGAGAAAAATTCTGCGGCTGAAACCTGGGGAACAGGTGTCGGAAATCGTTCTGAGGAAGGTCTTCGACATTCTTGAACTGTCCCGAGAGGAAGCCGCGACCGAGTGGTGAGTAGGCGATGATGGGGATGTCGAACTCGGCACAAACGGATGCAATACCGTCGTTGAGAACGTGGTCTTCCCACAGTGAGACTTCGACCTCGACGGCCGAGATCTTGTGGATCTTGACGGCTCGACGGATCGTGTTCGCGCTGACTTCGCTGAGCGAGATGCCGCCAATTTTGCCCTCTTGGACGAGCTCCCCGAGTGTCTTGATTGTGTCTTCGATTGGCGTGTCCGGGTCGACGCGGGCGCATTGGTACAGGTCGAGTTCCTTGCGACCGGTAAGGATGTGCAGGCAATTGTCCACCGTCCTCCGCACTGCGTCGGGCGAGCCATCTGGTGTTCGATCGGGCCGGAGTCCGCCCTTAATGCTCAAAAGCACTTTATCTACGTCCTCGGGATATTTGGCGAAGTAGTTGCTGACAAGGTGCAAGGAGTTGGCGTCTGGGGTACCATAGTTTTCTCCACCACTGTTTTGTCGTGGGAATTAGCAAGATGTTTTGAGTAGAAAGGGACCAAGGATACAAGGATTGACGGACTCCCAGAATGTTGCACCAGACTCAAGACTCTGCCTCAGAACAGCGAAGGCCTGCTCGTGCGACAAATTTTTGGCAGGATTCGTCAGGTTGAGAAGGCCCAAGCCAATAGCTCCAATATCTTTCCCTAGTATTGTAGGCATCGCCAATAAGCTCTCAAAATCAGGACTTGGATCTCAAGGTGTATCCCTCCTGGTACATAAGTTCTGACACACGTCAGCCTCACCACGTGCAGCCTGGAGGTTTTAATACCAGCCTCGCCTGGGGGCAATATGTGCTTGCGTCGGAGTTAGAGGTAACTCCGCGGACTGACAGATAGTTTCGTGTCTGTCTCTGTGACAACCAGCGATCGTTCTCCCATCATATTTGACGGTGTGTCCCCATATTTTGGACATCTGAACTAAGGTACGAGTCTGCATGCCACCATAGAAGTGCAAACGCACGACTTCGGTCGAATTTGGACTGCGAGTAAGGTTATCTTGTTACTGCTCAGCCAGGGAGTAGTATACGACTTGCCTCTCAGGACTTTTTGACAAGCGAGCAAATTGGCAGATGACTGATCGAAGCTAGAGTCCGACTCATAGAGCATATGCTTGTGACAGTAGCGGTATGATAGAGAGGCATGGAGTCCGACGAAGAAATGCTCTTCATGGCCAACAGTAACGTCGAGAGTGATGTCAAAGTGCTCTCACCCCACTGGGGATTCATTGGCCAATTTTTTGAGAAATAGAAACCCTGACGCGATGAAAAAGTTGTGACATCCTGCATCCTAATGATGTCCTTGAAAGCTTCAAATGTGACGACTGAAACCAGCTCATCAGGTATCTTGTAAGCGAAGCGACGTCCTATGTTAGCATCTGATATTGTTCAAACAACCCAACTTACAATGCAGTTTAAGTCCATGTGTAAACTCCGATTCTTGCATATTAAGACCTAACCAAGTAAGTGCGGCTGACTCGGTGGGTTAGGGTAGGGCAATAGTAGGAAAAAGCAGTTCGAGCTGCCTGATAAAGAAGACAAGCACTGCGAGCATTGCGATATCCGAGACATGAAGCAGCTGGCATCCGAACTCGACGTCTTCCTGAATTGTTTAATTGTGAACCGGCCATTACTGACGTCTGTTGGGGCAACCATAAACGCCGGTGCTATGCCTTGCTCCGTTCTTTTATTTTTACACATTCTTGAGAGGTATTACTCTTTGAAGGGCGTCTCTTCTAGCCGGTCTCGGCATCTTCTTCCTTTGCGAGGCCATGTTCCTTCAATAGGTTGTTGATCTCCTCACCTGACCATAGATGATGGTAGATCTTTCCATCCTTTGTCTTTCCCACCGTAGCAAATTCGACTGCATTGAGTGGTTAGTATTGAATGTAGCCACGGCTTGAGGTTGTTCTCATGGGAAATGTATGACTTACTCTTCTCACTGCTCAATTTTGTGGAATCCATCGTCTTGCTCAAGACCTTGACCGCCATGCCGCACGCCTCTTTCAGGTCACAGTCTTCCTTGTAATCTTGCTTCAACAGACTCTGGGCACTAGCATTGTTGGCGCCGACACTGGTTGCCTTCCAGCCACCGTAGTTGCCGCTGGGATTGCTTTGGTAGAGTTGGAATTGTCTCTGAGGGTCCCAACCAGCGTAGATGAAGGAGACACCAAATGGCCGGAGACCACCATGCTGGGTGTAACCTTGCTTCAGATCACACAAGCGTCGGACAAGCTGTTCACAGGGAATGTCTTCGTTATAGGTGAGTAGGTATCGTTGGGCAGCTTGTCGAGCATAGTTGATGAGGATGTTGGCATCTGCGGTCATGCCTGCAACAGCGCAAATCATGTTGCTGGCAGGGGAGTTCCGATTAGCCTGTTGCCCTAGAAAAAGGTATCATGTCCATCTCACTCGTTCAAGATATACAACTTCTCAGCGGAAGTGTCCTGTTCCAACAACTTGCTTGTGACTTTTCGTTCCGCAGCCAGGACAATACCATCCTGCGCTAGAATTCCCAGAGCTGTGCCGGCGTGTGAGATGGCTTCGAGGGCATATTCGACCTGATATAATCTGCCCTCAGGCGAGAATATGGTTGTCTGTGGAGGCTTGTTTAGTACGTATTTAATTGCTTGGAATGAGGTTCAACGAACCCTTGAGTCGTATCTCCGAGACATTCTGAGTTCTAATGAGGTGAAAAGAGGATATCGTACGAATCAATTTTTGAAGAGAGGTCGAAGTGCAGTAGGAAGTGGATGGATGGTAGGGCAGTGGGAATTGGATGATTGCGCAGTTTGGATCTTGTTCTCCAGGCACTTCTTCCACGCGTAGTCCTCCTGTGAACTCTCGGCCAATCACATCCTGCAAATAATCTCAGCCTTGCCTCCACAAGGCTGGCATCAGATTTCTCCAAACTCCAACATTGAAAACGCACCTGCACTGTGACAGTCTCGACTTTTACTGGAAGTTGCGGCCAACTAAGGTTGCATCGGTCCTAGACTTTCTAGTCGCAACTGTTGCAGATTTACAATACTCTTTCGAGTTCTGGTATTTGCACTCTCTGTGCAGGCTTCGCCATGCTCAAATCTACATACCAGAAATCGACACCCACCGTGGGGTCTGAACCCGCGCCACTGCCACCAGGATGGGTCGAACATATGGCACCCACGGGCCATCCTTACTACTATCATGCAGAGACCCAGACGAGCACGTATACCCGCCCGACTGCCCCATCTGAAGAGCCGTTGGCCATTGATTATGGTGCAACCGAACCTGATCATGTTGTCCGGGCATCTATGCAAGTCATGGATGAATTCCACCGGAACAACAACCCTGCGGAACCAGGCCATTTCACTGGTGGCCGAAGCTATCAGGATCACTCGAGACGTCGAGGCAATCAGGGCGACCGCCCAAAGTCCAAAACGCCCATTCCTTCTTGTCAACCGTGGGTGCTGGTAAAGACCCAAAAGGGCAGGAGATTCGTTCATAACACTGAGACTAAACAAAGTCTGTGGAAGTTTCCTCAAGATGTCATGATGGCCGTGATCGAAATGGAAACCCTTGAGTGGAAGGCGAAAAAAGCTGCCGAGGAGAACAACGGGGGAACACAGAAATCTCAGCCACCTGAAGAAGGCGCCCAATCTGGGGACCAGGGTGGTCCTCAGCCTAACAAAGACCAGACTACAATTGAGGAGTACGACAGTGACTCGTACGAGGAAGTGGAAGTTACCGACGACGATGTTGAGGAAAGGGATCACTCTGCTGCCAAAAGGCCACGCATTTCCCAGGACGACAATAACAATACCACACCTCCGCCTACGGGGCCTGTCGAGTTTAACGAGGATGATATTGCCTGGCAGTTGGCACAGATGGAAGGAAACTATTCGGATCAATACGACGAGGATGGGGAGCGAGATATGAATCCTGAAGTCGACGAAGGCATTCCTCTCACAGCAACCGATAACATAGCCCTTTTCCGATCCCTCCTCGATGACTCTGGCGTCTCGCCATATAGTGTATTCGAGAAAGTTATCGAAGATATGTCCATTGTAGAAGACTCTCGCTACACTGCCCTTCCGAACACATCCTCTCGCAAAGAGGCTTTTGCGCAATGGTCTAAAGACCGGATTGCCATGAAGAAACAACAAGAACAAGAACAGGCCACCCTTGAATCACAGCAATCATCCACCTCCGCCTCGACACTGGCCGCCAAAGACCCCAAGATCCAGTACCTCCGTCTTCTTCACCGCCACGCGACACCCAAACTCTACTGGCCCGAATTCAAACGCAAATATAAGCGCGAATCGGCCATGACCATGAAAGCCACGACATCTTTCCCCGAAAAAGATCGCGAAAAACTCTACCGCGAATATATATCCAAGCTGAAATTATCGGACAGTGAGCGACGCAAGTTACTCGTGGAGATACTCAAAGCCACTGAGATTGATCATCATTCTGTGCGATCTGTGGCCGACCTACCCTTGGAGGTACAGCGAGACCTGAGGTTGTATCTGCTGGAGGAAAGGAGAAGGGAAGAGCTAGTCATGACGTTTCTAGAGACGGGTAGATAGAAAGCTCGAATGTACGGAGCCAGCGGAATAGCACTATTCAGCTCATGATGCAGAATATTGACCTCTGCTTCGTTCCCCTCTCTTCCCACACCTTTCGTCTACATCATACAAACCAGCAAGGAGTGAGCAGCATATCCGAGGCTCCATCACCCAATCTCAGGTCACAATTGTCAATGCATAGATAGAGGCAAGGCAGATTTTAAACGCCATATCCATTCATTCCATTTAGTTACAGTACATGATAATGCCATCGACGAATCAACTAGTTAGGGTTGTCAGCGGTCACTAATTTAGCAGTCACTCACACCCTCAAGGCCTCCACTTGACCATTTCAATCCCGCGCACTTTTCTTCGCTTACGCAATGCAGCGAGGGCTCGAATTGCTAGATAACATTCATCCAAATCACCTAGTTACACACACACGCACAGGCATACACGCAGGATCCAAATGCAGGGCGGAAACTGCACGCACGTGTTGATCCGAATGAAGCCGGCCCACAGCGATATCTCGTTGCAGTCTTGCGTGCTGGCTTCTTAATCCATTGCTGAACGAGACGCCCTGGTCCTGGTTCGACTTCAGATGCCAATGCTCCAGTGTCCATCCAGTAAAGTAGCAGTAGCAGTAGGGACCTTTTTCCATCTCCCGCAATCAATCAAGTTTTGAAAAGAACGGGGCCCAGCAGGCGAAGTCGTACTCCCATTGGAAGGCGAAAAAACAAAACAAAGAAGGACTGAATGCTAAGGTATTCATTTATTCCTGTCTGTGGAAGTGTGGGCAGGCAACATAACATACATACACAGCGGGTTTTCTTTTAATCAAACACACCGAGTCCATCACAGCATCAATCCGTCTCGTGCCATCGAAACACTGAAAATTTCGTTTGTCCAAAAGTTGACGCTATTTCTGCGCCGCCGAGAAGTGCTGCAACATGCCCGTGAGGACATCAAGACTGTTTGCGGCTTCAGGGTTCTTCTCCAATATTTCCCGGATCACGCCGAACTCGTGCTCGCCTGCCGTGGGCACCTGTGCGCAGAGTTGAACTACTGCTGGAGCTGTGGCAAGGGGGCCGAGGACGCGTTGAGCGTTAAGCACGGCTGGGGATGGCTGCTGTTGCTGCTGGAGGATAGGATTGAATTGCGGTTGGGGCGGGTATGGTGGTTGTGACTGCGGGCCAGGGGTTGGATATGGGTGTGGCGTCGCGGAATTCGAGCCAGGGATCTGTGGTGTGCCATTCAAGCCGTAGTGACCTGGGGCAGGAGACTGGCTATAGCTGCTTGTCTGATGGGAGTCAAAGGTGCCGTCGAGGGGTGTCATGGGGGTTTGTGCAATGGGGACACCTCCAGGACTGGCAACAGATGTGCCGGCGAGGTTGTGTGGGAGCTCACTGTTCTTAATGACGATGGGAATCAGAAGCATTCGTTCGCGGGTTGGGTCTGGAAAGTCGGTCTCGAGTTTCTTTACGAACGTGGGCAGTTCTTGACCAGCTTCCAGTGGGATCAGATAGACGTCCTTAACTGCCGGTATTGGATGAGGAGTTCCGACACCAAATCGATCTTTAGACTTGAAGTAGCGGAAAAACTTCTCGAATTGGATTTGATCAGGTGTGTCTTTAGCTGGTTCTGGCATGTAGACGATGACGAGATCGGAGGTGTTGCTGTATTCCAATCCACAAAGATACTCTTCAGCCTTGGATGGCTGGATACGTCCAGCGATAACGATCGTGTCGGGTAGTAGTTGATGATATGTCATGCGTAAGGTCTCGCTGTCGGGTGTTGCGCCCGCAGCATGTTTGGCAGAGATGTGGAACTTGCCCAGGCTACCACCATTCACGTACCCTTGCCAGATAGTGCCGTCATTTTCCGTTGTATCTTTAGGTGAATATGGAGGTGATTCGGCTTCCTCGTCCTTGAGGAGTTCGTCGATATCAGCATCGGCCTTAGTACCTGGAACGCTTGGGTCACGGGCTGAAATGACTGGTGATTGTTGAAGTGGTAGCTCGCCAAATCGCGGCCCATCTCCGTCTCCCCCACCTGTAGGAGAGTTTGCAACATTCGACCACACTTTGTCAATGTCAAAATTGGCTGAAGATTGTCGTCTCGCAGAGTCGACCGATGGTCGAGAAGGTTTCGTGGGACTCTTGATTGTCTGATCGGGACTCTTCACATCTCCATCATGTTCGGCCGTGCTGGGTTTTCGGACTGGAGCATTTGATGTGACTGATTCTGCTGCTACCTGTCTGGACTCGTCCACGTACTCTTCGCCTTTGTGTGTTCGCCGAATCCTAGGTCCCTCCTGTTCGATAATAGTGTGTTGTTTTTCCATTTCCTTCATAATCGCCGCGTCTTTACGCTTCTGCTCTTCACTTGCCATATCTGTTGGATCCATGTTGGCAAGTTTGTGAGGTGTAAGATCACCCTGGAGTAGCCTAGCACCTAGAGCATGGTTCTTCTTAACGTTGAAGGTGATGGCACGTAATTGTTGTTTGTAGGCGTCATTGGGTTCACCACTACCACCAGCTTGAATGTGATAGAGGGCATGTTCAACTCGTAGACCCGTCTGGCTGGCAACATTTTGGATGGAAGAGCCGCTGGGAAGAGTGTATTGGCCCTGTTTCACCAACTCTTTGACCTGCTGTTCTATGAGCTTGATCAAACTTTGTGCAGCCCCTTTTCTCGTGGGATTCGACAACTCCTTGATATCAGATACAATGGCAGGACCACTCGCAGGCTCTGATTTCGAGGCCTGTCTTGACGGAGTCGAGGACTGGCTGGGTTTGCGCTCAACTGAAACTGGAGCCGCCGCGGGTGCGGGTGCAGGGGTTTGGTCCTCAGCAGGTGGTGTAGGTTTCGATCCATTTGTGTCGACTGCTGGTGTTCCTCGTACCTTCTTGTTCTATTGAGTTCATCAGTAGACACTCAGGGACATCTTCGACAAGATAACATACCTTGATTTCGGGCGCGGCCGGCGACTCCTCCAACTTGCGCTTTTGCCCCGTGGCTGCGACCGGTGTTGGCTGCGGTGTAGGTTGTGGCGTTGGCTCCTCTGGTTCCTGTGAGGCGACTGGTGCTGCAGCCTCCGATGCTCTCGTGCCTCCAGACTTTCTGCCTTTTCGTCCACCTTTCTTCTTGCCCTTCTCGGCTTTCTTGGCCTCTGCTGATGCTTCCCAAGGCTTCTCACCACGTGCGATCGCAGCCACCAATTCTTTATGGGTCTCAGGCTTGCATTGTTCGCAAAAGTAATTGTCGGCTTCGTAATCTTCTGGAAGACCCATACATCCATTGTGTTGCCATGCGGAGCAATTGTCACAGCAGATCATAGCTCGAGGGACATCTTCCTCCTCTTCGTACTGCCCACAGACGCATCGGATGATTTCTTCGGCTGCTTCCTCGACTTCTTCAACCTCCTCTTCCACTACCTTGCCTTTAGAGCCTTTGCCCTTACCCTTCTTCTTGGTCGCAGGTGCATCTTCGGTTCCGTCGCGATCTTTGGTATGTTGGCCTTTGGTGGCGCGACCTGAACGTCGGGGTTCGTCTGCAATCGAGTTAGCGAATTGATCACCTTGAAGAGATGTGTCACGCCGGAAACATGGGTGGTCCGACACGCGACAGAGGATGCGAATTGCTTACCAGCCATGGAGATGGAGGAGATGGATCGCGTAAAGCTACAGAAGACGAGATAGATGTACACTTGTCACCAATCACGAATTATGCGCGATCTACGACAAGGATCAATGAGAACTGTAACTGTAGTGTTCACACGACCTTCAGAAACTTGCGCCAATGTGGCGCTCTTGTACAGATCAAATAATAGCCTCACGGTTTTTGTTGAATGATGGAAAAGATAGAGCGGAAAGGATGACCAGATGAGGGTGACTATCTGAGAGTGGGTGTGGGTTGGAGTTGTGCTGAGAGTTTGATTGCGAGAGATTCAGAGTCTGGGTTGAGTTCGAGGTTGATCTCGGGAATTGCACTTCTGCTTCTTCAAGTTCGTCCCTCACTACTGGCCTGAGACTCCCGCAGACAAATCAACGCCTCTCGCTCTTCACGTAGAAGCTACCAGACGCCAAGATTTGTCCGAGCTAACGGATGACGCATTAATGATAATCCGAAAGAGTGGGGTGCCTCCTACGTCAGCCTGGGGCTGCGAAAAAAGTTCCAGCACGTGATGGCTGTTGCTTCAGCATGGACCAGCCTTCGAACCAATGCCAGGGTTAGATGAAACGTCTTATTTCTATCTACGCGTCCCAGGCACACGCGACGGCAGGATCCATATACATACACTACCGCAATCCCAGATTCGATCTCAAGCACAAAACTGTCCCCAGAAAAAAAACATGGCCGACGTGCGAGCTCTCCTCGCCGCCGAACGCCAATCCCGGCGCATCACGCACGCACACCTCTCCTACACAAAAGCCGGCGTCCTGCTATGCAACGTCTGCAACTTGAACGTCAAATCCGAAGCACTATGGGAAGGCCACTTGCGGAGCGCGAACCACCGGAAGAACGTGCTCGCATCGCAAGAACCCGCGACAAAGCCGCAGAAACGCAAGATCGAGGACATTGAGGTCGATCTCCCCCAGGAAGACCGTTACCAGGCAGACAGGGATGGGAGGAAGAAGCCCAAGTCGAGGTCGGTCACGTTGACCAGCACCGCGGATGGATATCGTGAGGGAGAAGCTGGGGCGCAGGTTCGATCACCACCACCGGAGCTGGAGCCAGAACCAACCGGCCAGGCAGGTCATGTTCATGCTACTACGTCCCCTTCCCCCAAGATCTCGTCCACTCTGGACGTCCCTCCACAGTCTCCCCAACCCTCGGAACCCCACCCTCCACCACAACCACAACCAGAAGTCGACGAAGACGAATGGGCAGCCTTCGAGCGCGAGGTCGCGCCCCTGACCGCCCCACAACAAGAATCCGGCACCATCAGCCAACCACCGACAAGCTACGAAGGTGCCACAATCACCGCAGCACCTCTGTCCGCGGCGCAGATAGCACAGCAGGCGGACGAGCAAAAGCGGCGGAGACTAGACACGGAAGCGGACGACGAGAAAGAAGACGAAGGCCGGCGTCTCGAAGAGGAGTTCGACGTCATGGAGGAGATGGAGGAGCGGGTGCGCAGGCTCCGGGAGAAGAGAGAGGCTTTGAGACATCTTGCACCGGGGAAGGAGCTGGGTGGACAGGAGGCTGGCTCGACGGGATTGGAGTCGAAGTCTGCTGCCGATGAGCCGGTGGGTGTTGTGCACGACGAAAATCACAATCACGATCACGATCAACAACATGACAACAATGACGATGACGATGACGACGATGACGACGACGACGAGGATGATTGGTATCGGTAGTAAATAGGTTCATTAGGTCGTTAATCACACAGTTGGGGAATGGTGTTCCCAATCCATTTCCCCCTCCAAGCATGCTCTTTCATATCCAAATCATCAGGCCACCCCACACAGAAATGCCTCCCATACATGAAACCATAGCTTCTTTTTTTCAAGCCTTTCTAATATGGTAAAGGGGAGAACAAAGAATAATACATCCCTCTGGTTTTCCTTCCCTCTCGAAAGGAGGGGACAATGGAAGCTCATACAAAATCCTCGCCCATGACGTCTTCAATCTCGACAATGCCTGTGACTTCATTGTGGTCGACGATTCCAAGCAACGTGCCTCGACGCAGGAAACTTTTGCCCCGACCATTCGACGCCGCCCCACGCATCTGCAGGATCCATTGCTTGCACTCTTCGACGGTGCTGGAGCCGAGCACGGAGATCCAGTCTGTCTTCTCGACTTCGAGGTTGCCCATGTCGTCCTGGAGATCGGCGACGGGCTGCTCCAGGTGTTGAAGCCGTTGTATCCGGCGCGGGCTGATGATGTGGTTCGGTGAGGTGCGCACGTAGCCCCGCGGTGAGCGGACTGCCGCGATCAGGATGTCGTAGCACATCAGGGGGAGTCCTGGACGGGCCGAGGCAATCGGGACTTGGTCGACGACTGTCGCGAGATCCGCCATGCGCGGAGTCGGGGTGGGTGGTGCGGATGGCGGCTTCAGCGCTGCACCGATGGCACCACCAGGGTGATTTGCCGCGAAAATTGCTGGCGTCTGCAGACCAGCTGCCGTATGAAGCTCATCCGCGACGGAGAGGGCAAGGCTATCGCCCAGTGCCAGTGTGATGGTTGTCGATGTCGTAGGAGCAGAGACGCCAAATGAGGAAATTTCAGATTCGTGGATCATGGTCGGAAGTAAGATGTTGATGGCATTTCGTCGTGCAGGGTGTGTGAGAAGAGGGCAGGTGGTTTGGCTGAGATGGCCGCTCATGATAACCAGGGGAATTCCTGGTTGGATGTGTGGCAGCAGGGACATGAGTTCAGGGGTTCGTCCTGAAAATGTGATCATCACAACGGTATCATTTGGTCGTACGACTCCCAAATCACCATGGAGAGCCTCGATGGGATGCAGGAATTGCGCGTGGATCCCTAACGACACAAACGTTGCGACCAGCTTTTTGGCGATATGACCCGACTTGCCCACGCCGATGAAGATGGTCTTGCCATGCCGGGTTTCAGCGCGAATGATCTGATTGATAGCACGTGACAACGACTCCTGGGCTTCTGCAGAGTTCCTATAGAGTTCTTCGAGGTGTTCCAGCGCTAGCCTTTCAGTCGCAAGCACGTGGAGGGCTTTGCTGATAGTCCGGTGATCGGTTTTGAACAACTTTGGGTCAAAGTTCTCGGCTATCTCTGGAGGAGTAATTGGTAATTTTTCGATTTGCTCTGGTAGAGGTCCATTCACCGGCATGGAAGGTGTCAGTGGTGTTGGGAGCGATCCCTGGCGTGTAAACGCCATCTTTAAAATCCTTCTATTCTCCTTTAGGAAGAGTAGACAATGTTGAGACTTAAGCGGGACTTTTCTGTAATAATAAATCCAGTGATGCCCAGGATGGATTCTGCTCCCCGGGAAGACGGGGATAGATTGTCCCACGTGCAATTCAAACTCCTTGAGACTCGACTGACAGTGGCCGACAACGAACAGGAATCGACGAGTCTGAGTTACAAAGCCAGATAAGAAAACAATTCAATCTCCGTCCGTGTGTTATGGTTGTTCAACAGCAGGCAATCGCCACCCCGTGTAAGCCTCGAATGTCAATAACATGACGCCATAGATCTGTGGGACGAAACGGCTAGTGCGTGCACAGAGTCGCTTTTGATTCGAAGAGAATATAAGAATACAAGGACAAAGTTCAAGAGATGAATGTAAAGGGGGTCCTAAGTAATAGTAATTCCATCGTGGCCAAGTTCCGTTGTGGTGGATGAACGAAAGGTGACTGGAGCAGATTCCCAAAAATAATCGACCGGGGTTAGGACACTTGGTATGGATTAGAATTGGACAGAGCTGGACACAGTCTCTTTCGAGTGGCCAGTGTGTAAAAAGTTGTGTGGCCTTCGCTATCATCATCGGGGCCAACAAACACTAACTACTGGAACAACCAGAACATCTCAGCGCCGGCGGATGGGGAAACGGGTGGATTCAGGCCTCGCAGAGAATTGTCTAGCTCCGAGTACTGGACTAATAGTTCCCAAGTCAAGGGAGATAAGGTTGTGCTGAGACCATCCCCGAAAATGCCGCCCGTTCCTCGAAACGACATCTCGAGCCCAGCATTATTCACTTTTCCAAGGTTCTTGCCTGGCGAGTTTTCTGACCGCCAGATAGAGCAGCTCAGGTCTCGCCGAGTACGGAGCGGACTCTGAAATTCCCAGGCAGGGGGATCCTGTTGTCCAGGTTAGGGATCAGAACCAAAGATGACCAGAGGGACAAGAATTGGTAAAGATGTACGAGCTCTGTAGGTAGCATTCGGTACTCCATCCAAGTCGAGAAATTATGGAGCATGAAGCATGGGACAAATAAAAAAGGTACCGAGTGGTGGGAAAGGAGGGAAAGTGTAACTCCTCCCTGCATAGGGGGTAGGTACCTGTACTGGGTATCCATGTGTCGCAACTGAATTCGCTGCTGGAGAGACGAACGAGGTACCTGTATCCATCCAGGACCTGTGCCTTGGTAAGGTCCACGGTTGATACAGCACCGGGCTGTAGGCAGCAACTGTCAACGAGTCAACCATTTCCTTCTCTCTCTGGTCCCCGGGAGGAGGGGGAATCTGAGGGGCCGATAGAAGCATGCAGGGTCGATCTTCGGGAAAAGTCGTGGACCAAACAAGGTACATTATCAATTGTGGCTTTTTGGTGAACAATCGTATGTTAACTCGGCGAGATACAATCCCGCTACCTGCGATCCCAAGCCAACATGTACTACTAAACACTAAGTGACGAATCTCATGTCGTTATCTTGAATGATTCATCATCCATTCACCCAACACGCTAACGACCGCTAAGAGGATCATGGTCCCTTCGCTGGCATATGCATTCCGAGGTATCCAGGCAAGTCTGAAAGAAACCTGCTTCAGATATTCATCCCCAACTCGCAATTTATCCAAGTCAATGTGCGGTTGGCTGAACTTGCTCAGTTACTCGAGATACAACATGCAGCAATTGTCGAACAGTCCCATCTGTCTCGAGCACGAAGAGACGCTAAGAGATTGTGGCAGGTAACCGAGCATTAGCGGCATAAGCCATGAGCTTCCAAGCTGACCAAGATCATGCATCGAGCCCGAAGGGCCCATGGATTGCGCCATACCGCCCCCGAGAGCTACGCTATGTCAGAGGTGTCCACTGGGTGCCACTGTCAAACTTGAAGAAACGCCCACTCCAGGAAGGCCAGAAGTCCAGAACCCTTCCCATTGCCGAACAGGTGGCACCGGCACATCCCAGTATCAATCTGTTGTGCAACCTTCCATGCATACACATGTCCAATCATGCAGATATTCACAAACATGTGCTTAACTTAAATGGCAATCCAGGTACTCAAGAGATAAGTACAAAAGAACCGTACAGCGTGCTCTCTGATGGGCTGGCATCAGAACCAACAGCTCAATGACCCAAACATATGGTCAGCGTCGACTCGGTCTGAGAATGACCGTTTATTGCGAAACAACCTTGGAATTATCCTGAGATGGCCTGCTGCTTTGCTTCACCTTACCTACAATGCGACAGTGAGAGCAGTTTGTGCTGCAATGCGCATTTTGCCCCGTCTGTCACCTCTGCAAGGCGCAATGTGACACTAGGTTGGCTATCTCGAGCCTGCTTGACTCTGCCGCTTCCAACTGTCGCGCCCCGGCCCTGAAATCGCTGAAGCGTTTTTGACAGGTCCTGTATGGCCTAAGTAAAAGAATAACGTGTCCAACCATGTCAAATGATATACTGTGATCTATCGCATTGGCATATGCACAAAGCCCTGCGGTGATTGGGCTTGTTCCGGTGGGCTATTGACTCGTTCTGGTGGTGACGTTGACTACCCTGCATTTTCAGAGGGTGATACCATATATCGCGTTCTCAAAGATAATGGTGTTACACGACCGCAAGTGAACTCGACCTCGTTGAATCGTGTAACACGAGATACCGTGTTGAAGCAACTATTGAGCATGTCCATTATCAAGCACCAAACATCTCCCAGCATTTGACTTTTCAGGATGATGAAATACACTCTATCGGCACAGTATCATTGATCACTGGTTCATTGACTGCCATGACGTTATCAAGTTACCTGTCGTACTCCATTCTCATTTTCATTCAGAAGGTTGTCGGGCAGCTCCGATCCCTCCAGGCGCCCAGGTAAGCACATACCCGCTTCGCTGTAGAGCTGCAGCCTTGTGGCAGTTGGAAGCTACCTTATGTACCGTACACCAGCATCCCGACCTTGGCGTGTGAATGGCAAGCTTCACATTACTGATTGCTTGAACCACATCAACGATTCCATTTCTCAATGGGAATCTCCGGTGCTTGGATGTGTGCGTAGCTTCTCAGGGGTACGCGAATACGTTATGCCAGAGCATTATGCATGTTATTAGACATATCAATTGCGAGGTATTTTCATTCTGAGTGGATCTCTCGAGTTGATCCTCACGACGACAAACATTTCGTGACCCTTTCCCCTTGAATTCAAGTGAGCTAGTCCATCAAGCCCTTGACGGAACGCCCAGAACATCAGAGCGTTTCGATCCGGCCCAACAACCACTGCAGATGGCGATACGTGCTCCTAGGCTGGAACTGCGGCTGCATGTGGCCAGAGAGATAAGTCTCAGCCCACATGAGGCCACGTTCAAAATGCTGCACACCCATGACGCCCTGATAATCGCTGAGGCCCTCAAAGCCGCTCGAGACAAAGACGTCCTGGTACAGCAGGTCGGCGAGTCCGATCACGATGGACTTGTTCGGCGCATTCTCGAATCCCAATCCGCCGTTCCATGTCATGTTCTGGATTGCGAGCATTGTGCCGTTCGTCAGGAGGTCCATGTCCAATGCACCGTTTGATCTAGCGGGGTTTTAGATAAGTTTGGCATTGAGAAATGAGCCATAGAGAAGAGACTTACATTAAAACACGATTGGTAGCTTCGATCACACGGGGAAGAACGGCTTGCAGCGGGTCGGCGCTCAGGTCGCCGCGGTCCTGAGGACCACCTTCACCCACGAACACATGGTAGCTGGTGCACAAGGCCCAGTCTGTATCCTGTGGCGCGTGCATTGCTTTCTTGACATCTGACCGGTTGAAATAGGGCGGTAGTCCGGGGTAAGAGTAGATCAGATCGGTGGGGAATCCCAAGGGGTCGGACAATAGTGGACACTGTAGGTTCGGCTCGTAGACGTTGAAACAAGGGTTCACACCATAGGCATTGAGGTACACATCGTTCCAGAGATCGCAGTCAGGGTCCGCTGTGGCGTTGAGATACAGTGCGGGCTGCGTCCCGTTGGCCGGGAACTGGAGGAAGTCTTCGCGGTATTGAGCGTAGCCGCAGGACTTGTCGCGCGCGGCGAGGTCTGCAACGTATGTTTTGTTGAAGCCGATGATGTTGTTGTTTTGCTCAATGAATGGGTAGATTGATATCGCGTTGGTGTAGTCGAAAGACCCGATGCACGGGTCGTATACGAGAGCCCCTATGAACGTGAATCAACGATTGCCCCGAAACCAGAGGAAACCTGGACTTACCAGATAGGTTGAAATGTGTGGTGTCGTTCTGATTCAGCATTGCATTCGCCACGTACGGTACGTATCTTCCAGCATAACTCTCGCCCGTGACGTAGATTTGATAATCGCTGATACCAAAGATTTCCTGGCGGTTAAAAATCAACAATAATACTCAAGGAAATATAAACGTGAAGATTAGGAGCTCGAACCTGGAAATTCTTGAAGAACTCAATAAACTCATCTGCCGGATCTTCCTCGTTCGTCGCCGTCGGCTCACCAGGAGAGAATCCCACTCCGACAGGATACTCGACCCACAGCATATTGGTGAGGTTCACCCACGAGTACGGGTTAATTTGAGGCGTGTACTGGCCCCACGCCCATTGAATCAGTCCATTCTCCTGGAAGAAACCTTCCAGAGAACTACACCCAGGGCCACCATTGAACCAGATCGTGATCTCGTCGACTGGGGCTCCGACTCGAGGTTGGAATACATAGAACAATCCTCTGCTGTCATCCGACTTGTTGAGATTGATCACCCCGCTGTACATCTCTGTCATGAAGCCTTGAGGAATATCTGGCAACGACTCCACGAAATATTCTAGTATCGTTCCAACGTGAGCACTCGTCGCCGTGTTCCTATGAATGCGAGAAGCTCATTGACTTCACTCACTTTTTGTGTCATTGGTGTAATATCTCTTCTCCGGTGCCTGGACTTCTCGCCCATAGAGTGATCGTGCTCGCATTTCCTCCATGGCTTGCGGCGTGAAGCCTCGTCTGGCAGCGACATCGGGGCGATGGGATGAGGCTACGCCTGCCACCAGGGCGAAAAGTGTCAACGCTTGACTCCAACTGCCCATCATGATGGGCAATGCTTGTAACACCTCGACGAAGAGAATGGAGGGAGGTTAGAAACAACGTGCACACCCCCGGCTTAATAGTTTATTAGCGAAAGCAGTGGGGTCTTGCTCTAGGCAAGGAAAAGCAGGAACCGGTCGAACAGAAGCAGGCTATGTTCACAGTATCACTTTCACTGCCAGCATTGCTCTTGTGATACGCATCCTGCCGGTCGAGCCGAGGGGTAGATACTGTTGTGAAGCCAATCGTTCTCGACGAGCATCATTGCTTCAATGTGTCTACGGCACACTAGTTCGTCTGTAGCTCGGATGGAGAGCTCCGAAGATAGAGCAAGAGCTTAGAGTGACCGATTCGTAGTGAACACACTGCTAGGTGGCAAAGAGATGTCACTCAAGCACACTGGCAGGGAGAGTTGATAACCATTCACAAGCAGGTTGTCCGTACGCTTGCGATACTAAAGGCTTGCCCCGAAGCTTAGTGAGCTTGATCAACAAATCAGTGCCCATTTCGTTGTTTCTTGCTGCGTTTGTCACTAGGTAAACACCATCGGCGAAGCAGGCTCATCAGATTGTGACCTTGTGGCATGACTTGATCGAGACAAGCCTTTGATAGCTTTCGACGTACTCGTACATGATATGGCATCCTTGGGTAGTATCGAGCGGGGTGGGGTGGCCCGAAAACAAGGATCAGAATCTGCATAGTTAGAATAGCCTGAGAAGCAGGTAGCCAGATCAATTGTTGCGTGTTCTTTTTTGAGTGAGATCTAAAGGGCCTCATGGACCTGTATCATAGGCTTCAATTCACTGCCGACATTAGAAATCGTACTGCTTTCAAGCATCCGACAAGGTCCGTTGTAGAGAGCGATGAGCTTTCGTAGAGCCTCATCTGTGCGATCAAAGGACGAGATTTTATCACTGCCGAAGTACTCGCCCTGAGGCCGCGATTCCTTATCAGCTGCAATCACTTAGCGAACATCTTGAAGACCGAAAAGCGTCATTGTGGATTGTCAGATTGAATCAGATAGGATCTTCGGAGGTTGCATCAGCATCGTTTTGAACTAGGTGCTCACTAGTCTATCCCTGGGATTCCGGGGACAGCTGTGTGCGCTAATCTTGCAGTGGAGGCAAGCAGAGATATCATGATAGTCTTTCCTGCAACTGGAGAAGTCATTAAGACCTCAAACAGTGATTATTCGAAGAAGCTCAATAAACAGTGGTAGGCGTGCCTCGAGAATATGCAAACTTTACATGTTGCACTCCTAGGGAGAGCTGAAAGTCATGGGTTCCTGAGAGTCATACATGACATCATTTTTGGTTTGTAAATCTTATATTGTATATTTTGTATCTCAATTATTTCACCCGTACTCTTTTAAAATGTCTTAAGGTCATCTGCTACAGCGAATTTAGCCCGCGTCTTCGCTCTTACATCCTCCACAGTTGAACCCTCTGCAACTTCAGTCAAGGTCAGTCCTCCACCGCCAACTCGGTCCACCTGGAAGACAGCCAACTCGGTGATGATTGTACTGATGACGCCTTTACCCGTAAGTGGTAACTCGCACTCGTCAAGTACTTTACTCCGTCCATCTTTGTCTGTGTGATATGTGCACACAATGATTTTGGTTTTGTCTGGGTTGCTGACAAGGTCCATTGCACCACCCATACCGTTGAACGCCTTGCCGGGAATGATATAGTTTGCGAGATCACCCGAAGCAGAAACTTGGAGAGCGCCGAGCAGCGATACATCCACATGTCCTCCTCTGATCATACCAAAGCTTTCTGCGCTATCAAATGTCGAGGCACCAGGAACAAGCGTGACTGTCTCCTTACCAGCGTTCACGGTATCTGGATCGGCGTCGGCCTTCGTCGCAGGATAAGGTCCCATACCAATGATTCCGTTCTCGGATTGCAACCAAACCTTGGTTCCAGCAGGGAGAAATGACGGAGCAAGTGTAGGAATTCCAACTCCCAAGTTAGCGTAATAGCCTTCGTGTAACTCCTTCGCTGCCCGTTTGGCAATCCTATTCCGCTTCATAGCTTCGTCACCGGTCTCGGCAGTTGCATCGTCCGTTGGTGCTAGTACCAGCTTTTCGAACTGTTTATCTGACGTAGCAGGGCAAATCCGATCAACATAAATACTTGGTAGGTCGATGTGGTCGGGATCAAGTGAGCCAATCGGAACGATATGTTCAGCTTCGACAATTGATAGCTTCGCAGCCTTAGGCATCAAGACACCATACGCCTTGGTGGTAGTCCGAAAAATACAATTGCCAGACTCATCAGCCTTCCAGGCCCGCACAATAGCAACATCTCCTTTCAATGCTGTTTCCATCAAATAGGGTCTGCCATCAAAGATTCGTGTCTCACGCGGGCGGCCAGGTTCCAGTACTTCGTGTTTGCCGGTCTGGGGGTCCTTCGGACCTAATCTGTGTGGAATGCCACCAGTTTGTATCAATGTGCTTGCGCCTGTAGCTGTGAAGAAGGCTGGGATGCCAGCTCCGGCAGCTCGGAGACGCTCCGCAATCGTGCCTTGTGGGCAAAGCTCGATCGCCACTTTTCCCTCGTGATACTGCTTTCCGAGAGGCTTATTGTTACCAATGAAAGAAACGACCATGCGCGATATTTGGCCGCCGGTTGTCAGTTTGGTGAGGCCGTGCTCCCCAGCACCCGCGTTATTGGAGACGACTGTTAGATTCTTGGTTCCCTTCTTCCGAATAGCATCGATGAGGGTTTCTGGTCGCCATCAGCTCTGTCTAATCATGTCGTAGACATTGCATACACCCAATGCCTAAAACACAAGTCCTATCGACGTACCTGCGACTCCGCAGAGTCCAAAGCCTGAGCTCAAGATGGTGACGCCATCTTGGAGGTCTGCAATTGCCTCATCGGCACTCTTGTAGACCTTGGAACCACTTCTTTCGTTGGTCGATTTGGCGTTTATCTGATCGATTATTCGTTCGACAGGGCTTTGCTGCTCTTCTCTCCGCCAAGGTGTTGAATGAAATGGCCGTTGTCTTTCTCGACCTACTATCCGAGAGCCTTGTAGGCAAATTGTGGGCTTACCAGTTCTTGTACATAAGACAAACGATGGGATTGCTCTCGAGGAAGCAGTTTCTAGCAGGAATGACATTGTTTCCTCTATCCCAAAAGGCCGTCAGCCCAAGAGAAAGCAGATGAAGATGTCTCTATGACCATATAACTAGAAAGCGGAGAGAGCTGTGGGGGATATTGATGCTGATATTGAGCCCCATGATGGTGTTTGATTGGTGGGGCACGGCACTTGACACAGTCTTCGGTGGTTTATTTGGGTTCCGCACGGATCAGTTCACCGATACTCCGTATAATGTACCTAGGCTATTCGAGGTCCCTTTGCGGATAGCACCAAGTATTCGTAAGTGTCGCATCACACGGCGACAAACTCCAAGCAAATAGGGTTACATAAGCGCCGAACAGCCTCGATCTTGAAGCTTTGATGTTTCCTCGCAGAAATGTTCCCTCTCTTAAGGATTCAAATTTCGAGCATAGTGATAGAGCAATATAGATAAGCTTTTCACACAACGCCTCGCCGTTATCCTTTCTAGAGAAATTGAGCAGCTTCCTTTTTGTCGATCAAAGGAAGTTTGAAAGCAAACCCATCAGGACGAGATCATATACCGAAGCAGGCCTAGATAAGGGGCCAGCATCGTGTCGGCTGTGCGTGGCTGTGGTTGAATACCGGTTCAAATCCCTGTTAATCTCCTTCAAACGACCCGCGCTTTTCTGACCCCCGTCGCATCTGAAATTCACCCTCAGTTTCGCTGGATACGGCTGCTTGATGCAACAAGCGCCTCCAATAAGTTAGCATAATATGACAGTCTCGAGCTCGACGCCCAGGAATGGCCAGGAACACTGCGACTTCTTCACATCATCGTAGATGCCTCCCTCGGTCTTTTTAGTTCGAAACTCTGCCTTTCAATCTGCCAACCGGGACGGAGCGACACTGGGTTCGCTTGGCATGTTTCAGATCTTCGAATACAACGGATACTGACCAAATCACAGTAGGAAAGTGCACTCCATAACCTAATCTGAGGCTCATTTGCCTTGGACATGGGCCAGTCGTTGAAACGAAAACTTCAGGCCCCCAGGGTCAAGCCAGCGAGGTGGACTTTGATACGCATGGCTTAAGGGCTCAAAAACCCGGGAGTCCACCTTATCTATTCGACGGTGCTACTCAGGTGATGGTTCCTCCACATGTTGTAATGTACAAACTGCAGAGTGAATTGTGTTTCTTCATTTTAGACACTTGATCCATCAATCGTTACTGCGTTGTTCCAAAGGGACATTGGAACGGATGCATATTCTCTCGTTGACCCGACTTTATCGCATCTAAACCCCGGATTCCGGGTCGCGCTTGATCAAAATGGGTGCCAATTCACTGTGGTTGGTTCTGTCGACATGTTTATGTACACTGCTCAGCCAGACCGATGGTGTTGCTGCATACCCTCGATCTTCGTTGGTGAAAAGAGCGCTCGATCCTGAGTGGGCTTTCTCTGCCGACCCAGCCTTGTTTCATAGAAGAGGTTATCATTCCAGTATGGCTCTGTGCAATCGCACGAGGTATAACGAACTAATTGTCTTCTAGCTGTTGTGACCGGCAACCATCTTTATATCGATGGAGGAGAAGTTTACTACGTCAATAACGGGTCTACACCCAAAAGCTTACCGCTGAATTCGACCTACTCCATCGACCTCTCCAAGTCCTGGTCGAATGATTCCGTTATCCTCAACCAGATCGACAAAACTTCTGCGCCTCGAAGTCTGAACGTCGGGAATTTGTTTCCAGATCCGTCAGGAACCTCCTTCTACCAGTGGAATGGCAAAATCAGTTCAGCCTTGCCCTACGACCAACTCCCCGATCCTCCAGCTGCCAATTTATGGCAGTTCCGAGCCGACGGCGATCAAGGAAAGTGGTCGCTCGTTACTGCGCCGAACTTGAAACGGCTATCCCGTGCGGCATCTACACAAGGGAACGGGACGGCGTATTTCTTAGGTGGTTTTGGAGACTGGCGGTCTGATAAGGACTACTATTCAAATACCAGTTTGCGGTTCAGTGGTGGAGGATTGGTTACCTATGATATTCAATCCCAGTCCTGGAACAACTACAGCATCGAGGAGTTTGCTCCAACGGGTTGGTCATTTGATGCCAACTTTCACTACCTCGAAGGCATGGGAAGAGAAGGCCTGCTGCTAGCTATGGGTGGTGCTACGTCGCCCCCAGGTGGTACTAATCGTCAAGGCGATGAGATTTTGAATCCATTCAACTATGTCACACTTTACGATGCCATGGTGAACAAGTGGTACAATCAGTCGACCAGTGGAGATATTCCCGTTAAGAGATTTAGTACTTGCTCCGTGGGGATTGCTGGCGATAATGGTACATTCGAGGTAGATGGAAATGCTTTTGCCCTTGAAGCTGCATGTTTTGACTAACGTGGCCTAGATATTTTTGTACGGTGGTTCTGTCACAGCATCTGCTAGTTCTGGGGAGGAACAGCAAACCAACCTAGATTTTTCGGAGGTTTACATTCTCTCGATACCTTCTTTCCGGTGGTACAAGACAAATCTCAAGCCTACAACATCCAGATTTCGTCATACATGCAACGTTATTGGTCAAAGACAGATGGTGGTTGTTGGTGGTCTAGCATCCTTAGCCCTCTCGAGGCTGCCGACAGATCCCTGGGGCCAAGGGTTGGGCATCTTTGATCTCACAGACCTAGAATGGAAGAGCTCGTACGACGCTTCTGCCTCTCCCTACCAAAGCCCGAATATGGTAAAGGAATCAATTGCAAAAGACGGACGATATCCCTCTAGTTGGGACTCGCCAGTCGTCGAAGGGCTTTTCACCAACAAAGGTAAGCTGTTTTGCAGATGTTACGAGTTCATGACTGACAACCATCACAGCGGTGGACAATGATTCCAGCAGTAGCTCTCCCGAACCAGCCACTTCAGGTAAGAGCAATAATACAGGAGCAATAGTGGGAGGTGTCATCGGTGGTATCGTAGTACTCGCTCTTATTGGGGTTGCGGTATGGTTCCTTCTTCGACGATCGCGGAAGCCACATGCGGAGCAACAGATGTTGGTAGAGCACTCGAAGATGGACGAGCACTCGAAGCTGGATGACGAACCTCCTCCAACGAAGCGTGCGGAATTGAACAGCGAACCAGATGATCTTCACAGCCACAGCGAAAGCTGGGAAATGGACGGAGGTACCAGTCACCGATTCGAGCTGCCTGCTTCTGAAGGCCAGAAAGCCTCGAATCATTCAAGTGGGATGGCAAAGAATGGTTGATTGATGGATTGGAATCTTCGATTTAATTACGGAGGTAACAAACGATAAGCAATGTCGACGAACAAGTCCAAACCGATCGGGTCAAGATATTCTCAATTGAGCAGGCTCATCGCACCTCGCCAATGCTATGGGACCGTGGAACCTTACAGCGCCGACCTAAAACTCTTCAAAGAGTTCGGAAATGGCGACCGATATCAGAGACAATGAAGCCCACTGAAGACCACCACCATCACATGGCCAATGCCCAGACCAACATAAATGTGCCCCAACATCCCACTCAGGCCGAGCTAGTGATTATCTCTTGCCAGGAAGGTGCTCGAAGTGATGAGTCTCCGACCGGGCGGCGCAAGTCACAATGGTAAACTCAGCCATAATACGGAATATTATGAACTGGACACTGTTAGATCATCAGTCCAGATGGCAGGGTGAACAAGTTCTATGATGGAATGAAGCACGAGATCTCAACTGTGCTCAAGGTGACGTGGTTACATGTTATCTGTGGCGGAGCATCGAAGCTAGTCTCCATTTAATAAGTGGACAATGCAGTGAGAGAGCTGTCTACTCAGTACAGACACTGTTGGACACTCGTGGAGGGATAGGTATTCTTCATAACGAATACTTCTTCAGTGATGACTTTTCCCCAACGTAGATATTGCGCTTGGCACGAGTGATACCCACCGTAGTGGAATACCTTGGCATGTTTGTTAAATTTGTGTAGTGGCAGCACCTGGCAGAAAACGGAACACCATCCTTTTCAAGTCCGAACAGCCGATTGCCCCAGTCGTGATGGTTGTCTGTTCTCGCTTGTGAAGCGCTCACCGCCTGCAAGGAACAATCTCTTTATGCGTGGGCACTGGGCACGCCACTCGTCAGCCCACCGTTAAGCTTCTCCAGTGGCTCGATCGCCCGGATGCTGTTGTCCCTTTTTTGAGCCGAATGATCCCACTGCTTCGAGATCCAATAAAGTCTCCCACCGGCTGCAATCCAAATTTCTCCCAAGCCCCATCCCATCAAAGTTCAATTGACCGACTTCACTACTGCATTCCTTTATTCTTTTTGTTGTCTGCGTCCCTACTTTTTGGCCCGATACAATTTCTTGCCCTGCTGGCACGCCTCTGCTCCCTGGACAAGTCCTCCAGAATCCTACGTTTACCGCCGCCACAATGCTGTACGTCCCCCCAGTTGACTTTCCTCAGCCCAGCGAGGCATCGAGATCTTGAACATCAAATGGATCGTTGGCTAACCAGCACTGGGTTACAGAAACTCGACGATAGCCTCTCCGGTTACTTACACCGACTACTTTAACGACATCTCTCAATATAATGTTCACCTCAACATTTTTGAGAAGGCCTGGGCCGCCTGGTACGCGTACATGCAGAACGATGTACTCGCCACCGGCATAATGTCGTTTGTCCTCCATGAAGCAGTGTACTTTGGCCGCGCCCTACCTTTTATCCTAATGGACAAGATCCCCTATTTCCATCAATACAAAATTCAAGGTGTAAGTTGTTGGCTCCTGTCGATATTCAGTGGTGGGACCCTCGAATTGACAACTTATCCAGCAAAAAATGCCTACCTTTGCCGAACAATGGGCCTGCGCAAAACTCGTCCTTTTATCCCACTTCACGGTCGAATTACCTCAAATCTGGCTCTTCCACCCCATGGCTCAATATTTCGGTCTCTCCACAACGGTCCCATTTCCCTCGTGGATCACCATGTCATGGCAAATCGCCTTGTTCTTCGTCCTTGAAGATGCCTGGCATTACTGGTTCCACCGCCTTCTGCATCAACCGCGCCTGTACAAATTGATACACAAGCTGCACCATCAGTACAGCGCACCTTTTGGTCTCGCTGCAGAATACGCTTCTCCCCTCGAAACCATGATCCTCGCCTTCGGAAGTGTCGGAATCCCCATTACCTTTTGTGCATTCACAAAGGATCTGCATATTATCACTATGTATATCTGGATCACCCTCCGCCTTTTCCAAGCCATCGATGCTCATTCCGGATATGAATTCCCCTGGAGTCTGCATCATTTCCTGCCCTTCTGGGCTGGTGCCGATCACCACGATGTGCACCATGAGAAATTCCTTGGAAATTATGCCAGCTCGTTCAGATGGTGGGATGCGATGATGGACACCGAAGCAGGAAGTGCGACAGAAAACAAAAAGATCGCGGCCAAGAAGGCGCAATAGACATGTTCTCATAGAGCATCATTTCGACGAATGCTCCACGTCTATGGAATACCGGTTTTCTCCGGTACGGAGTTGTTTTTCGACCAACTTTCGCTGTACATATTCTTGTCGAAAACCCCAACTTGAACCTAGGGGAGAAAACCTTGCATTGAGCGTGAAACCGGGTGGTTTGGGGCGTTTGGATTGCGGAAAGATTTCATGATAAAGAACCAAAGAATTAAATGTGTCCTGGAAGGGGCTCACCAAGCAGAGTCGTTTGATTAATCTTATTAAAAATGCCGAAACATTAATCAACACACCCATTGTGAGATTCGTTTCAATCGTTTCATTTCGCCATTCGAGAGCACTGCAGCCAAATGAGAGAATAAGTCCGGTAAACCGAGGATTCGACTCATGTTCGACCTTGTCACGAGACAGCTTTAGCCGAACTGCATCCACAGCTCTCGAGCGCCTTCGTAATAGCCTCTCGATTGATCCGGATAAGCCTGACCTGTTCTTCGTGAATCCGCTCAACTGACTCGTGATCATCTAGAGCGGGGGTTGTCGTCGCAAGCAGGAGCTCAGAAATTCTCGCCGCCAACCTGGTATCCTTCCCACTCAGACCCGTAGGTTGATGCGTAGTACACGTCACGGTGAGAGGGTAGAAACCACCGCCCGAGTCACCACCACGAGCCACGTGCGGATGATGCTTCATGTCCTCGGCGGCCTGCATGATCTGCTGGACTGCTTCCTCGCGTGCTTGCTGCGAGGAAAAAAGAAAATGCCGGTGGATGGCATCGCCTCGGGGATCGAGGTGCCAGGTCTCAGTGCTCGTCTTGCGAGATGCAGACTGGGTTTCTTGTGGTCCTGAATCGGATAGTAGTGGAACCAGTGCACGTTGGAGCTTTTCACTGCTGATTTTGGGCGTCGGTCTGAATTGCTGGGTTATCGTTTCTCCATTCGCGAGGCTGATGGTGATGGATCTGCGGTCGCTGGAGATCTGGATCGGGTTGCTTGGTGAGAGATGTAACCAGCGCTGGCAAGGTTGCCATCGTGGTAGTCGGATACTGTCCTTCACGGTTGCTTTCCCGGCGCTGTGGTGGGCGAGGCTGTCAAAAACGAGGTTGTGGCCATGTCCATGTCGTAGAAGATGGGACGATGTCTGTCTTGTCAGATGCCACAACATGCTTCGCAGAGATCAAAGCAGAATCAAAGTATGTAAGCGTCCGACGTCAATGTTCAACGTATGTCGGTCGTTGTCCGTAGATGTAAGATGGGTAGCCTGATCAGCTTGTTCCTTGCATGATGTGCACGATCTTTGTCGGCAGATGGATTTGATATTCCGGCCTTCAGGCATGAAGCCTATAAGACCCCGGGACACTTGGCCGTGTCCAGGGGGCAGGGGACCTAAAGTACAGGGGTTATACAACTTGGCAGTGCTGCGAAGGATGCCCTCAATCACATTTCTTATTATTACGCCCCATATATCCCCATCTCACTACTCTGTTCTCAGCTCCTTCGATATGACCCTTTGAGGCGGATGCTCTTCTTTCATCCAATCTTCCAGTGCGAGAGGGTACATTTGCGATTACAACCCGCAACCTGTGTTCACCTTTGGCCTCTCCGTGAGACATAGTTGAACCAACACTGCTACTGAAAGGGCACATCTTTAATGTCCCTCCGAAGTTCGGATCTCGTCTCGCTGGGAACACGAGAAGCATCAATCACTGCCCCAACAATGAAAGCCTGACGAGAAGGTTACGAACTTACAAGGCTTCCCACCGGACGAATCAGTGTGCTTACATCAACAGTAGCTCCAAGCTCCGTCATGCACGGCAAAGAATTGCAATCATTCCGCCTTGCTTTAAATACCTGAAACGTCTGGTGTTCAGGATTCCGCTTGGCTGGACCATAGCTCTTCCCCATGCGAGCCCTGGTTCAAAGGTCAAGGTCAAGCTCAGCCCCCAAACCAGTCGGACAGTCGAATTTGATTTGACACCACGCGACACAACTCGACTCAAATGGAGTAAAAGTCCACGAACACATTATTGAGAACCGGCCTAATGCAGGTACAAGGCTACCTAAAAGCTGTGGTGCGAGGTTGTTCGATGGAGCAAAAAGGTAGGTACGGGAGAAGCTTACTCTGCCACTGCGAGAACTTATTATGTACTGCCTCGCGCCGCTTCAATGACCTCGTTTGGACTTCGGCTGTCGTATATTCCTCTTTCAAAACCTTTGCGAAACACCCAAAGTTTGCGTGCTTACTACCATTCCTTTCCTTCTTGTTTTTGTGTCTCTTCTTTTGCTTGCTTGCTTTCACGAGCTTTGACAGGTGGTCACTTCTAATCCGTGCGAGCTGCCTATCATCAGCTCTTTTAATTCTGGCTCTTTCAACCTGAATGTGCGTCTTCGTTTCACGATCAGACCACTGTTGATAAGAGCTTGACTCCCAGACCTTGAGATTCGGATAACTTTAACCGGCCTCTTGGCCGAGTCGGACATGCGTTGCTTCGGGGGTCTTCAACTCATATTCCTTCTCTCCTTGACACAGTGCATCACAGTATCTTCATTACCACAAGGACAAGGGTTCTCCAGACCAACACCGACAAGTGTCGAAAACCTCGCCAGCGAACTTTTAAGTGCCGCCAGTGCCTTTCAGTCTTCCACAGTCGCGAACGGGAATGGAGGCGGTAGCTCTAATACACAGGCGACAGCTACTGGGTCGTCTGTAGGAACCGGGACAGGAACCGGAGCATCGACAGCGACTCGAACATCCAATGCTTCGGCTGGACAGTCAACAGCAACAGGAACGGCGACAGGAACAGCAGCGGCTGACAGGACGGGAACAGCAGGTGCCGCTTCTGTAACAGGTTCAGCATCCAATTCGCAAGGCACTGCTGGAACCGCTTCGGGAGCGACTGCCACAACAAACTCGTCCGGCGCAACGACTGCGAGTAACTCGGCCTCGCCTGCGAACACAGGCGGCGCATCGTCCAACGACGATCCAGATTCGACCTCGGGTGGTGGTGGTTCAACCGGTGACGGCTCAAGTGATGCCGGCGACGGCGGAGGGTCAGGGTCAGGCTCCGCTGCCGACACGCAGAACAAAGGCTCTAGCAACGGCGGCCTATCGAGAGGGGAGCTTGCCGCCGTGGTCATACTACCAATTCTAGCCGCATTCGCCATCTTCTTCCTCTTATTCCGATACTATCGCCAAATACGAGAACGCTTCAACGATTGGCGGGCGACACGCAATGAACGAGGCGCCTATCGTCGCGCACTCGACGATCCGGTCGGTATCTTCGCCATCAAACATCGCCGACACTCCACGGGCCTCAGCTTGCCGGACATGCAATCCATCATGCGCCCGTTGTCGTTTGGATTCTCCCACCCCCAACGACAAACCATCAAACGCAAACCACTGAATTACGACGCCAGCAGGATCAACGACGGCGGCTTCAGCTCCATAGGCATGGCGATACCGAACTCCACGACCGAGAGGAATGGCGAGGGCGGTGGTGATGGCGAAGCTGGCCATCAACGGAATGAGTCTGAAGTCTCGGCCCTCACGCATGCCACCGCCAATGCCAACGGAGCTGCCATCGTTGGTGGGCGACCGAGAACAGACAGTAGCAGCTCGTCTTTCAGCTCTGTCTCATCGACCTCTTCGCAAGAAGAAAGTACGGGTTTCGTCGACGCCAGGACATCTCAGCGTGCCAGTCAAATCACTTCTTGATATCCAAAAAGTTTCGCATCATTTTTTTTATCTCCTCACACATATTGATTTGATTTGATTGAGCGATGGCGTTGGAAAGCATCCCCTCACGGATTTATATGGCAGTTATATATGTATCACATGCCAGGATGATACTATTTAGTCACCCAATTAGAAACTCTCGAAATATGACATAAATCCTAGGGATGCTTGTTTACGAGATTCTGTAGAGCTCCAAGAAAAGGAGAAAGAAAACCTTGTTGGACGCATAAATGAGTTGAGCAAAGTATGTTGTTGATCTTATGTTCGCAATGTGCTCTAAGAGGATTCTGACCGCTACCTTCTGAGGATGAAAGGTGATCTTGACTGTTTGATTTTACTTGGTGTTTGGAAATATGCGTGGGCCCTGTATCTCGGTAGTTCAAGGGTTTCCTCTTCCCTCGTACTATGGTAGACATCAAGGAGGACCTAGCCTTTTTATGGGCTTTGAGGTTGGGAAGTGTGATACATATTCCCGCACTTGTGACAAGTAAGGCTGTGGCGCACAAATATTGCTCGGTAACCGGTGTGAACTGCTGGAAAATTCAGTCACCAAGCTCTTAGCCAATACGCTATCTTCAAGAGTGCTCTGCGAGGATCATATTGCCATAGGTGGACTCGGAAATCCGATTAAGCATAATACAGCGACTTTCAGGTAGCAATGTACTGTAGAGGCAGAGGTGTACCAGGTCCACTTCGGCTTGGGTGCTACTCACGGTGTCCTCAGTGAGGCTCGGTTCAAGCTCAGGTTAAAGCGACCTTCTCTCATCCTCGAGGATCAATCTGTAATAGGAGAATATGTTTTTTGTTCGCGAGTAGGTTAGGTACTGAAGATACAAGTTGAAGTCCCTTTTCAAGTTCCATGATGGTCTTGGCGAACCCGTTTGTAGCGCTCATTGGTGGCATCCAATGAGCGTCATTCTTGATGACATGCTTCCGAGTTTGTCGAGACGAAGATCAGTTAAATCTGCAAGGCAGATCTCCAGGCAAGTGAGTGATGTTATTGTCGAGACTCCCGCTCTATTAAGTTCGTGTAACATGCGAGAGAGACACTTTCAAATCGAAATCAACTGTTCATAGAGTCGCACAACCGGAATTTCCAGGCCCAGGATATAATATACCGTCGTGTTCTTCCCCGGGTTGAACGAATAAAGCTTTTGGAGTCTGGCCGAACCACGGCAGATATCGCTTTCAATTTTCGAAGCAAAGTTTCCATCATTCCAAAGGATCTTCTGATTTAATAACAAGTACCTTCACTTCTTGAGTACTCCTAGAAATCAACACACACCTCTTGCAAATTCGGGAACATGTCAACACCACAGCCCAGCAACCATGGTATCGACCTCAGCACGTTGCGCGACCACCTGGAACAAATCGCCCTGGAAGCGGGCGTCATGATAACCACGGCACACCCATCCCTGACGTCCACGGCAACAGGGACGAAGAAGAACACCGCAGACCTGGTCACCGAGACGGACCAAGCGGTGGAAGCGTTCATCTCGGCACGCCTGAAGACGCTGTACCCGACATTCTCATTCCTGGGCGAGGAGACGTACCAGCCGGGGATGAAACTGGGGCCTGAGCCGACGTTCGTGGTGGACCCGATCGACGGGACGACAAACTTCGTGCACCGCTGGCCGTACGTCAGCATCAGCCTGGGGTTCGCGGTCGAGCGCGTCCCGACCGTCGGCGTCGTCTTCAACCCGTTCACGCGCAAGCTGTACTCCGGCGTCCGGGGCCAGGGCAGCTCCGTGCGCGATGTGCCGCTCGACATCGCTCAGGACCGGGACACGCCGCGGCCACAGAGGCACACCCTCCCGCTCAAGCCGCTCGAGCCCCTGCCAGGCCTCGACAGCAGCCTCATCGCCATCGAATGGGGCTCCGACCGGAGCGGCGCGAACTGGTCCACCAAGTGCAACACGTGGGCGCGGCTCGGGCGTGACAAATCCGAAGGAGGTGCCATGGTGCACAGTGTGCGCGCCTTGGGGTCGGGGGCGTTGAATCTGTGTGCTGTCGCGGAGGGGACCATCGACGCTTACTGGGAGGGCGGGTGTTGGGCCTGGGATGTCTGTGCCGGCTGGGTCGTCCTCACCGAGGCGGGAGGCATTGTCGTGGATGGGAACCCGGGGGTTTGGGGACGCGAGATCCCTGTCGATCACAGGAAGTATCTTGCCGTTAAAGGGGCGAGGGATGGAGAGGGCCAGAAGGAGTTTGTGGAGGATTTTTGGCGGAATATTGAGGGCGTTATGGTTTACGAGCATTGAGCTGTGAGCATTGATTGAAATCGATGGACTTAGACGGAGTGTTATAGACGTAGCATATAGACCTGCATGGAATCATGAATACTTCCACAAGGTGGACACGAGTGAGCCCATGACTTTCCATTGAGGAAAAATGATTGATTCTTGCCACTCGCCTCAAATGGCGATATCTATGATGTCTTTTTGCCATAGTATTGTTACAAGAGCAACTTGAATCTCAGCGCCATGCAGTGCAGTGCAGGTGCAACAGAACATCCCCCAAAACAAACTGCAGAGTCTACTTCCATAATTTGCCCAATGACACCTCTTTGTCGTCATGTTTGTTGAGAACCTTGGCCGTTGCCAAATCAAAGTCTTCTTGAGTGACATGAACTCTTCTCTCACGCAAAGCAAACATACCGGCTTCAGTACAAACACCTTTGAGCTCAGCCCCAGAGCACCCGTTCATCTTTTCGGCAATTTTCTTGAGATTGATACCTCTTGTCAAGTTCATGCTTCGTGAGTGGATTCGGAGAATATCGGCTCGCGCTTCGACGGTTGGAGGGGGAAATTCGATTTTACGATCGATGCGACCTGGTCGCAGAAGAGCGGGATCCAAGATATCCAAACGATTGGTAGCCATGATGACTTTGATGTTCTTGGTGGGCTCGAAACCATCAAGCTGATTCAACAGTTCCAACATGGTTCTCTGGACTTCGGAATCACCACCGCTGCTTCCTTCCACTCGGCTAGAACCAATACTGTCGATTTCGTCCATAAAGATGATACTGGGAGCGTGCTCTCGAGCCATGACGAACAATTCTCTCACCATCCTGCTACCTTCGCCAATGTATTTTTGGACCAATTCGGATCCAGACACTCGAATGAATTTGCAGTCTGCATGATGTGCCACCGCTCGAGCAAGCAGTGTCTTGCCAGTTCCAGGTGGGCCATAGAGAAGGACACCCTTAGGCTGAGCAATGCCTAATGACTCGAATAGTTCGGGATGATTTAGACCAAGTTCGATAACCTCTTTGATTTCTTTGATTTGTTGGTCGAGACCTCCGATCATGTCGTATGTACTGTCGGGGACCTTTTCGACCATCATGAGCGATACCAAGGGATCGACGGAGGATGGGAGCATTTTCTCCAGTTTATACGAGTCGGAGAGTAGGGAGACACGCTTGCCGACAGTGAGCTTTGCGATGTCGACGCTTTCAGCTATATCAACGACTTTTGTAAAGATTAGCAAAAGCCGTTGCCGGTGGGATAGAACAGATACAAACCATATTTGCCTTCGGGATGGACTTTGACCAAGACCTTTTTTGTGCCCATGACCTTGACCACTTCTCCGACATATGAACCAGGCTGCTGGAGAAGGCCTAGTTCCTCACGGAGTAACCGGACTCTTGAGTTGTAGTCATTCCGCTGTGCTTCTAATCGACGAAGGACTGCTTGGCCTTGAATGATTTCTAGTTTTAGAGATTCGATTTTGTTGTGATAGAAGTTGTCGAGCGCCATGTTGACGAGGAGGTGAGTGGCTGGCGAGGGAGAAGATGGGTGGAGTGGAGAGCAGGGTGACAGCGTAGAAGAATTGAATGATGGTGTTGATGAAAGCGAGATACAAAGTCCAGTATTACAGGCTAGTACGGATAGTGTGCAGAGCAATTGAACTTCATGACAGTTCGCAGGCGCAGGCGGAGGCTGCAGATGGACGCGCCGTCAATTGCAGCCTCCAGAAAACTTAGCTAAGCAGGCGGCTCGCGTTTCGCGGTAGCGGCTAATTTGATCATTAGCCGCGATTCCCAGACATGCACTTGCCACTAGAGTCGTGCTGAAAGGCCCGTCAGAGCCTGTTGTACATTCGCTGCCTGCCGAACCCATGATGCCCGAAATGCACCTTTACAACATACAGCTCCGATTGTATCTCTGATCTTTCCTCCGTCCACCCCATTGCAGGTCATCTGCTACAGATAGCCACAGAGCGGTCAGAATTGGTCTGCCTGATCAGCACACCAAGCTTTCTTCAGGAAGGAGCGCTACTGTAGGGACTACGTAGATTATGGAGTGATAGAACTGAGGAGGGTGTCGTTGTCGATATTCAGCCCACACATCGGGCTTTCATAGGCTCTTCCATGCCTGGAGTCGGGAGTCCACGCAGGGTTGTTTGTGTGTTTGTTTGGATGACCCAAGCCTAAGACGCCTAGCAAGCCCCATCTGTCAAAACCCACAGGCGTGCTACGAGTTTCTCCCCAGGCCTTCAACCCCTAAACGGCCTAGTCTTGGGCAACAGATGGATGCCAATGGGTATGCGTGGCCTGCACAGATCGCGTCTTCCCGGCTTTCTGCAGACCACAGACCCCATCAGCTGCACCATTACATCGTTGAACTCCCAATAACGACAACCCAAAGATCAAGTCATCTGCCTCTTGTGCAATCGGACTTTATCGTTCAAGTTCAACTTCATTGCACGTGCTCGCTGTCATTGGGTTGTTGTCGTGCACTGGCTCTCTACAGTTCCCACCTCCCCCGGACTCTCATATCTTTTTCTATCAATCGTTATTCTCCTCGCTTAACATCTCTCTCACTTCATCGTCGAGCCTACCGTTCATGCAGCACCTAGGTCTCTGATGTCGTGCGCGGTTGAGCTTGCAACATCAGCTGTTGCGGCGTCTCCGAGCCACTCCCACTCCCACCATTACTGAGAGTGTCAAGTTCTACATCTCTACCTCCAGCAGCATAGCACACACCTCAATTGTGGCAGACGACATAGTCCCACCTGTTTGCCCATCTTATGATTAGGTCGACTAGCCCTAAATATGCCTTCCACAAGCGGCACTCCTCTGAGAAGCCCTGGTCTCAATCCAGCTTCAGATTCTCAACCCACTCCCTTATTTAGGTCCATCACACAAGACGATAATGATTCCAGCTCAGAACGGGGAGGACGCGGTTCTTCCTCTGTGCGACGGGACTATGGTACGGCTTCACGGCTCTTTTGCTTCTTCCATGGAAATTAAACTGACTGTGCGACAGGAACACTCACCACTACCTCTGTCCCAGCTGGACATCGACCTCAGAGTGCTGCTGCTAATCCACCTGGCTCTCCTCCATCAAGACGAGACAATACCGATACCAGTACGGCCATACTATCCCCTCAGCCTTCAACGCGCGCAAAGCGACCAAGTACAATGAGAAGAATCTCGACTATGAGAAAGCAACTTCCCCACCGAGGTGAACAGTTTTCGGTCGATGACGATCCTACTGAGGTGGAGACCGATCGAATTCCCCTGCCTCCAACAACACCTACTCAGCAGTCATTTTCGACCAGCCGACACCAGTCTACAGTCCGTCGGCGGACTCAAGCCGTAGCTACCTTGCCTCGTGTTGATTCGGCTGAGGAAGAGGCCGAGCAGAGAACATTAGATGAACAAGAACCGGCTCAGATATCACAGGAAATCGAGGAGCAAGCATCGCCAGAAGAGATTGATGAGATCGAAGGCGACTTGGCTGACTCGGAGGATCCAGATCTGAGCGATGCGGAGAGCTTCACCTTGAAAGACCGGCAACTTGCCATCAATGAGACACACCCCTTCGGCATCAGAATATGGAAGCCTGCCCTCTATAAAAAGAATCGTTCGGTGGAGAAGACTGCCGAAGAAGATATTCACTCATCCCCCAGTCAGATCGTGAGCAATTGGCTCTGGGTATTCAATTGCCTATGGACCGTACTCTTCGGCTGGTGGTTGGCCCTTGCCGCTATAATCGGCGCCTTGGTCTGCTTTTTGTTCGCCTTTGACCCCAGTGCGGCCGCCTATGGGAGAGTCTTCTGGTCTCTTGGAGGCTATCTCTTCTGGCCCTTTGGCAAGTTCGTTAAGCTCGAGCAAGACGAAAATTATGCCGAAGAAGACGAGGGCGAGGGTCGAAGTATCAGTGAGTATGAGAGATGGCAGAGTGGAGATCTGGAGTATGGCCGTCTCATGTTTGGCCCCACCATCACACACACCGGTTCTATTGTTGGTCGACATAGGAATAGTATCGATTCTGCCAGCGAGACGGACAGTCTGCTTGCACGAAGTGGTCGAAGTGATCGACAGGACACTTCTACGAGTACCCGAAACAAACGACGTCTTTTCGGCCGTGGCCAATGGACCCTGGGAAGAGTCATCTTCTTCGTCTTCTTCTATTTCAATGTGGCGCCTCTGATGCTTCTCGTCTCGATGATCTGTTGGTTTATGGTCTTCTGGATACCCATGGGACGCGTTACCCTGATCTTGTTCTATCACCTACGCAAGCGACCGCTCTCCCTGACCTTCCATCGCGATGTCTCATACGCCCGGAGCTCTGCAAAGCCATCGTCAATCATAATCTGCACGTATCGTGCGGTTGGGACGAAATACTGGAAGTACACTATTGACGGAACCAATATCTTTTTGATCAACTTCCTCGCTGTCGTGGTCTTCGTCATACTGGACTACTTCGTACTGGACATCGCATTAGGATTGCACATTTGGCTCACTAGCCCGGCCTTGATGTTCACATTGGCCTTGATCTCCATCATTCCCCTAGCATACTTTATTGGTCAGGCAGTGGCATCTATCTCGGCTCAGTCATCCATGGGTATGGGAGCCGCGGTGAATGCCTTCTTCTCCACTATTGTGGAAGTCTATCTCTACTGCATTGCCTTGAATGAAGGCAAGGGGCGACTGGTAGAAGGTAGCATTATTGGCAGTATTTTCGCTGGCATCTTGCTGTTACCCGGGCTTTCCATGTGCTTCGGTGCTATCAAGCGTAAAACTCAACGATTCAATGTCAAGTCTGCCGCGGCAACATCGACTATGCTATTGTTTGCTGTCATTGCAGCTTTCGGACCAACTCTATTCTACAAGATCTACGGCAGCCACGAATTGATCTGCAAAACCTGCTCAGCAGCTGACATGGGAAGCCCGCGAGACTGCAGACAGTGCTACTTCCGACAAGTGCCTGCCGTGACCGATGATTTCTTCACCAAGGCAGTGCGACCCTACTGTTGGTTTGCCGCTGTATTGTTGTTCTCTTCCTACATTATCGGCCTTCTGTTCACACTTCGAACACATGCTGCAATTATCTGGACCACAGAGGCCGACGAAAAGAAGCCGCAGGTCGCACAGCATATTGCTGAAGTGAGCCCGATGGATACTCGACATCATAGTGCAGGGAACTCCCAGCTCCTCCCTATTCCCAACGGATCGTATGTGCCACGTGCGGCTATAAGAGAGTCACAGTTGTACAAGAGGATACTGGGCCACTCTTTGAGATCGACTGGGCTTGCGGAAGATGGTGACTTTGCAGCCGAGCCAGAAGCAGCTCCCATTTCCAAGGCCGATGCGCAAGTCGAGGCCATTGACCATCAGGCGAAGGCGGATTTGCCCTTCATGGTACCACCTAAATCAAGCCATGGATCTGAACGCCTTCGCAGTCCCGTCCTGCGCCCAGTGGTTCCTGGCTTGTCAGAAGAGGACAACAATAACCTTGTTCGGCAAGTCGCAGAAATTGCCGCTACTGCCGCCACGGTCGCTGCTAGAGACGCTGTCAATCACCCTAGGTCGACCTCATATCAAGTGACTCACTCCTACAAATCAGATACACTGAAGTCCAACCGTCCTACAGCGACGCGACATAGTACGGTCGCGGATGCTGCTGCTGCTGCGAATGCGGCTACGGAATTTGCGGTTCACGGTACTACTGAAGGAGGTGGTCACGATGCACCAAATTGGTCACGTACAAAGTCCTCAGTAATATTGTTGACTGCCACGGTAGCTTACGCAATTGTGGCCGAGGTTCTCGTGGAAACAGTGGATGTTGTGCTCACGTCTGTTGATATTGATGAGAAATTCCTGGGAATTACATTATTCGCCTTGGTTCCCAATACAACAGAGTTCCTCAATGCCATCTCATTTGCTATGAACGGTAACATTGCATTGAGCATGGAAATCGGATCAGCATATGCCTTGCAAGTTTGCTTGCTTCAGATTCCAGCATTAGTCTTGTTTTCAGCGGTTCATGGAAGCTATATCGATCCGACTGACTTGATCGATCATACTTTCAACCTCATTTTCCCTCAATGGGATATGGTGACTGTGATCCTCTGTGTGTTCTTGCTCAGCTACATGTCAGGAGAAGGCAAGAGCAACTACTTCAAAGGAAGTATTTTAGTACTCACGTACTTGGTGGTGTTGATGGGATTCTACTACAGTGGGTTTACTACTCTTATGATGGGTGGTGACCCCCATGATACACTTGCGATCATGTCGAGTATGGCGTTTCAACACCAACAGATGCAAGCAGCAGCAGGAGGAGGAGTTGGTATGGGAGTAAAGCCGAATGGAAGGGAGCTGTAAAGGTTAGGAGTCTTGCTGGTCTATACATTATCTGCATTTACAACAGCATGGGTGATTGGGGTTGGCCTGAAGAATGCAGCATGGCGTTTTTGAGGCATCGTATGAACAGGGCTGGCATAGGACTGAGCGGTAGGCGTCGGTGGTATACCGCTTTTGTTGAACACCCACCCAAGGCATCTCATACTTCATACCTACATTAATACCACGACATCATTACAGCAATGCACCCGTACTTTGAGGTACTTTATGCTCGTCTAGTCCCAGTTGACCACGTGTCTCGCTGTCCATTTCTTTTATATTTCTGTTGACGAAGGATTTACCAACATAATCCCACGGAAAGGGGGATCTCCCAAGGGGACTGAAGTTGGGGGATCAATCTGGAGCGGTGAGACTAACCCGAGACGGACTAGTGTCTCAACTATTGAGACTCCAAGCCAAACAAGCAGTCACCAGCCAGACGCCGTCATCAGGATTCATCAGGGATCAGTCCATTGCTGGTATGCTTTCAACCACCTGACTTGGCCTCGCCTGATCTGTTCTCTCTCAACCGGCCTCTTTCCTTTTTATCATCTTCATCCTTTTGTATCCCATTCTCGTCTCCTTCGGACATTCTCTAGAGAGAAGATATCACTTGGTTTATTCTCCCCTATTCAGATTACCCCTGTACCCACTACGACATCGACCATTGCTGAGATATGTATATCGAAGACGATTACTTGGATAATTCACCACCCCTACCAGTATCATTGCTCGACTTATTATCAAACTCACTTGTTCTCGACCACATTGTTCCATATTTGCCACTGTCTAGCATCTTTGCTCTTGTCAGGTCTTCCCGCGTCTTCCGCGACCTATTGTTGAAGACTCCCTCAGTATTCCGCTCTGTCGACCTATCCAAATGCAGTGGAGCCTATGTTCCCCCAGATCTACTGACTGGGATCGACTCCGGTGGTCATTCGTGGCGTGCCGAACGTATTGACGAAAACCTGACGGAAGATGAGTTCTATGCGGGTCCACTCCGAGGGGTCTTTTGGAATCTGCGTCGAATGCATGTTCTGCAGAGTGTTCAGATTCTCATTCTCGACAACTTGGCTTCGGTGACGAGCGACTTGATCAGTGACATCGTCTTCACCCCAGAATACAACATTCGAATTCTCAGCATTCGACGATGTGGGAACGTCAATCAAGCCAAATTGCAACAGCTTCTTCGCCATTTGTGTCGACCCAGCCGTCCTGAAGGTACTCCACGACTGCAAGGACTGTACTACTTTTCGCAGCCTGCCTCCACGGGCAATCATTTGCTCAATGATACAACGGCTTCTTCAGGAGTCACATTCTTAGATGGTGCACAACTCGGAACCATTCCCTGCGCGAAACCCCTTTCGAACTCTGCGATCACAGATCCGTGGTATTCTCCGACAGGCAAAGTCATAGATAAAGGTTTCGGAAAACGGTCTAGCTGGGAAGAAACCTTGCAGGCATGCTATGGAGTTATCAGCTTTGATGCCGTTCTATGTACCCATATGCATACTGACATGGCGCCTGTGCTTCATGCTGCATCACAGGACTATCTTCAGGAGCACAAGGCCGGAATTGCTCCCATGGCCACGATATCCTTAGGTCCTGATGGATGTGCTGGTTGTGGTCGCCACCCGCAGGGTGCACCGGTCTGGGGTGAAAGTGATATCTCCGAATTCCCACTTCTCTGGCCACCTCCAACCAATGCCAAACTCATTGATGCCGTGCGACCGCCACCTCGATTTTCAGAAAATGGCAAGCAACTCAAACAACGACTGATCGTCGCTTGCTCCTGGTGTCTTACTAATCGTCATTGTGAAAGTTGTCACCGCTGGTGGTGCGCCGATTGTTACAATCCGAAAAAATCCAAGAAATGGAGCGACATGGAGAGATTAAGCACTCTAGGATTATCGTATCTTCCGTCCTTGGATGAACTCAGGAATGGAGCTGGTAACGATGATTACGAAGAACATATCAAGGTATTTAATGGTCTCTGCGTTCAAAATTGCCTCGTTGCCGAATACATGGCCGGAGCCGGCGAAGGCGGTATGTGGGGATGAAACGGCCGAAAAGAGATCAAAGATGACCTCAAACAACAAAAAGTCTCCGAACAAGTTGCTACCAGCAATTCAGGAAAAGAAGGAATATGCAGTCTCCACAAAGCCGTCATCGACCGAGCAAAAGCTGAAAAACATTCTTGCCCTACCACGGAGAATGATTCATTCAAGAGACACCATTTTTCCTATACTATATTCCTAACCAACCGCAAGGCGAAACATCAAGGCTGACACGTAGCGTCTCTCTTTCCCACGATATAGAACCACCACCGACTCAAACTCCTCCCGGGCCAAGCAGCAGTGACACGCGACTGCTTCGAATGCGGCCGAGTGTGCAGCGAATGCGCACCTTTGTCGACGCGAATCTGCAAACGGTGCAAGAGCAGCTACTGTGTCATCCACAACACCGGCTGCGACGAGAAAACCGTATGTTCTACCTGCTATCACCGCTTCTGCTATGGGGAGCGGTCCTTGCGAAAGAGAGGAAGGCTGATGATGGTCGATTTGATCTAGTGTGACTGGTGTATGTTTCGCGGCGGACGAAGAACTAGGGACCTTTATTGATTGATTTTTGATTGCGTGTTTTTAGGTTGCAAAGTTGGGTGATTGGGGGAGCGTTGTTTATGCTTTGCTTTGCTGTGCTCTTCGAGGATTGGATAACTTGTTGGAGGGTGGGTGGTTGGTCTTGTTGGTCCTGAGGACTTCGGTGAAGAAAGGCTCGGTTTGGGTTCTCCGATTCTCCGTCAGCAAGATTACTTGCACTCAGGAGAAGTGATTTCGAAGCTGAACCTTCATCGAATCACCAGGACGATCTATTTACCGCGCCCACCACATACGGCTTCCAGCCTCTTACAAGAGCACAGTGCAACCTCCTTCGTCATTCGCTTGCTTACAACTGACGACTTCTTCGATACGAATGCGAACAGCATCCGCCAACTGGAACGAAACCCGGTTAAACCTTTCCCCCGACTGCGACGCTCACTTCGAGCCCCCAACTCGCTGGGGATGAACAACTTTCACGACTCTCCACTCAAAATATCTCTCGACTCTATCAGATCTCTAGCAATGGTTGGTAATCGACCGTACTTACTATTATTCGCCGGCCCAGACGCGTCTAAGTCACTCCAACAGCCACGTGTTCGACCGATCCCTTCAATATACATTTTTAGCCACCAGTGTTCGTCGACCTTCACCTTCTACCGGAAGATCAACCACTCTAACCACAGTTCTTCATTTTCTCCGCTAGTTTCCTTTCATATTGCGCTGGCGCTGGCAGGCAGTAGGGTTCTGCTAGGTGTGGGGGGCTTTTCGTTACGTCAGCTTCGCCTTGGGACCTATAGTGACTGGGATGAGAGCGGTACGGATAGTATGGGTATCAATCCGGTCTTGATTGAATTGGCGTTTAGGGCATATTATATGGCTATGGATATGGCTATTAACCCTTCTAAACAGCCACCACCTTGCTTAGAAGTAATTACTCAACCAAGCTCGTGCACAATGAGACCTCATTCCTCTCCTCTCCAGAACCAAGGTCCAACAACATCCCCCTTGCCAGCGAAGCTCACCTCCGTCAAGATCACCCACCCACCCATCCCAATCCCCGTGTGATCGTATGTCCTTCGTAGTCCAACGACACCCCGACTACCCGACACCGATCACGCGAATCGATAGCGCACGCCACGTGGCTTTCACATGTTCGTTCCGTTTGGTATACACAAAATGACTTTGATCGTGCCAGAGGCTCGGAGGCATATTGAGTCCCGAAGCGACTGGTAGTAGATAAGGTCGACAATAGCTAAATGCACGGCAGGGCAATACTAATTAATGACGACAAAGACCTAGATGCCGAGTATGGGGACATATTGCCTACCTAGATACGCTTTTGTGAGAGGAACGCCTCGCCTAGGTTTCGGCATTTCTGATCAAAAAAACCCTGTTTCCTGCTGTGTTGTTCGTGATCATGTCATGTATCGTGGACGCTATTCATTTCATTGATCCCAGGGCTTGTTTTGATTTAAATAAGATATGAAAATACCTGCTCATAAATACCTCGTTATTTCTGATTCGTTGCATTCATATATCGTGTCGCTGATAGAATATCTCAACTTGAGCGCTAACTAGAACTTCGTACATTTCCACCCACCCGAAATGCAGCGCCCAAACACTTGGACATGGGATGCATCGCATAGTATTCTTTAGAGCTCGAGACAACTGCTTTGCCATAGAAGAGGTCGAAAGCACATGTTTCAATTCCCTCACTTCGTTCTCTTGTGGAGACCAGCCCACTACTGCTTCTTCTTCTCGGCCTTCCCACCCAGCTCCATCAAGTCAATCATGCCCAGGCCAACCTGTTCAGTCTCACGCCAGGTGCGCTGGCGATTCCAGAATTTCGAAGCCGGAGTAGTATCTCTCAGACTATCTCTCCTAGCATCATCCTCGAGACTCTGCCTGGTAATGCTAGCGAAAGAATTGTCACCGGAGTCGTTGGAAAGAAGAGGACTGTTGGGGGCAGTGGTGAGCGGTTTGATGGCGTGAGCTAGCCCTGCGTCTTCTAGGTATTTCTTGCGCACCATGAGACGTTCGCTACGTTCTTTGCGCAGGGCTGCGGAGTCGAGTTTGCTAATCGCTGTTCGCACCAGAAGTCTCACGACAAGGAAGATATGCTCAGACAGGAAGACGCTTAAAAGTAGTGCCCAGAGTTTGATTGCGTGAGGCTTGCCATCTGGTCCGTCACCACCGTTGAACATGTAGACCAGTGCGGCCGAGGTGAGACTACCTAGCCATGCGAGGAAGACGAGGCTGTCGAGCCAGGGGCCAATGGAGTCTGCACGAGCGGGATTGGGTCGGCGACATTCCACCGTCAGTTTGAAAGTGTCTCCGCGAAGCTCGACCCAGTTGTTGATGAAGTAGGAGACCGGTGTCAATGGCCAGATGACGGAGAAGAGCGACAGATAGCCGAATTGCATACACATTTCTCGTAGATCAGATGTGACATCATATTCTGGCAGTGCAGCCTCTTCGCGGACTCTGGTCAGGAATTCCTTCTCCTCAGGTGGGTCGTTGGATGAAATAGAGGGAGCCACACCTCCCTGTTTTTCGGCACGGGACTCTTGTATTTCCTTGAACTTTTTAGTGCCCTTTTGCGTGATGACTGGCATCAGTGTTTCCAGAGCAAAATTGACAATCTGTGCCGTGACAGCGAAATAGATCATTTGATTGCGCAGACGATTTGGATTGATGGTGAAGGAGGCTGGGTCTGGGGTCTGGAGTTGTTTCTCGTTCTCAGCAAAAGGTTTGACTGTTAGTCCGAAGATGTCGAGATAAGGAACGAGTATTGAAGCAAAAGGGACGTATACAAATGAGGTCAAAAGGATAGCCGTGTATGATGTGATAAAATTGATAACGAAGACTTTCGAGATCATAGCCTTGTCATGTGATTCTTGCGTTTCATAGTTCTCGAAGTTGGTTAATCTTTCGGCGAATTGGGTCAGGAAGTTACTGATGGTTGGAATCGCTAAGGTGAGGATGATCGTTGGGAGGAAGACGAGAACAGATTTGAATGGACCACTGTAAACCTCGGAGATGAAGATCTCAATGGCGTAGCATGTGCAAATAACCGCCCCAAGTGCAACGACGCAGAGAGCTGCTAGGGGGATCTGAAGGAGTTGCCTTTGGAGACGTTTTTTCGAGGGGAAGAAAGACACCTTCTCGCCAGTGACAGGATCGGTGATTGTCTTCTCGGGGACAAATTCCTTTCTCTTGTCTTCGATAGCAGAAACGTTTTTCACATTCCATCGAATGGCCAATTCTTGTTCCTGTCTTTTCCAGTATTCGACAAAAACAACACACCATAATCCGTTGACGATTGCGTATACTGGAGAGAAGTTTCCTAACAACACCCAACAGGAGAAGCCAAAGGCAGCCGGGAAAATCATGAAGGAGAAGTAGGATTGGAGAAAGGCATAATAATAGCCAATCTAGACGAGATATTAGTACCATGATCGAGGTTTGGTAGAAAAGAAAGCTCACCTTTTCGCCGACAGTATTCCGGACCTCGTCTAGATCTTCTGGACTTAGGAAAGTCTTTCGAGAGAATTCGGTCAACCATTTCTTGTTCTTGACATGGTCATGAAGAGGGAAGATAGCCTCGACGTTCTTCCAGTCCCCGTATTTAGGTGTGATACCGGCACCACCTTCTTCAGTTGGGCAAGATATCATGTGATGAATCTGGCGATAGCGCTCAGCGTCGGTCAGGGGTTCGGCAGCCAGTGTCTCTGCAGGGCTGGAGGTTGGTTGTATCTGACGGACGCCATATAGCCAATCCTTTATTCTTGATCTGTATACCACCTGTGCGAATACATTTTCGTCGGCCGCCTTGACAAAAACCAGTAGAGAGGTTTCGTCTCCTCGACGGACCTCAGTTGTTAAGCCGATCTCGGTGAGGGCACGGATGAGCTTCTTGAATTGTTGGATGCCTTGTTCCTTGTCTGAAGTGGTCAGTGCTGCCCTGTATAATATATGGAGGAAGACAATTTACCAGCAGGGAGTCGATAGCTAATGACATAGTCAACCTCAAGGTTGGTCTGCAAGACCTTTGCAGCCATTATCGGAGGAGGATGGGGATGTGAAATTGGTCACCTTGGGAAAAGCGTGTCCAAGAGAAGTGGCCACGTCCGATGAATTCAAGGAGAAGGACAGAATACTATACTCCTGGCATCAAGACCATGAAAGTGGGCAATAATCCGAATTTGGGGTGACACGCAGCTGGAAAGTTGTATGAATGACGATCTCCTGGGAGTCTCGCACTCGACGTCATCAAGCGAAACACGAAGGCACATGTTAGTGATCGACGTCTCGTTAACCGTCCAATGAAGTGATGGATAGAGAGACTAGTCCGAGATAGCTGTGTGCTCACGTGGATAACATCACGTGCATTTCGCCGGAAGGCGGTGAATCAAAACAACCCACCGACCGAAATAAACCCGGCAGAATAAGCTCCGACTTTCTTCGTTTCACCGTCATTTTTATGACTCTTCTGCCCACCTCATAGATACGTACGCACACTGGCACTGGTTGACCATCCCACCTGCCAATATGCCGGAAAAGAATACCTAGATTCTACCCAAGTATTTGCCATGTTTTCAGTGCTTCCTCCCTCTTTTTGCAATGCTTTTTGTGTCAAGTAGTTTGCTCTTGCGACTTGAAGTTTCCGAAAAATGAAATATGAGCCACTCCGCTCTGACCTTGTCTGCAACTGCAGTCAAGGGCCATTGCTCAAATTCAACCCACCATAACATAGCTGCAGATGCTCTAAGGTCATACCTCAATTCCAGTAATCCGGTCTCGACAAGCAGGAGATCATACTCTTCTCAATCTTCTCCTCATACCAAAGATGAGCAGAAGAACTCGATCCGGCGAGATGGCTGGTTCGCATACAGTGAAAAGCAGAGAATGGCAAATAAAGAATTCTTCACCAATCTGCTGTCCTCCGCAGCTACAAAAAGAGATGCCAAAGCTTACATTTCCCGTCTAAAGACCCCCGAGAGACCTCAGCCTCCCTTGACACCATCATCTTCGTCCACTACCCAACCGCTCAGAGCCGCCAAGCCGCAGACGCAGGTCAACCTGGGTAATCTGTTTACACGTGGACGGGCAGTTGAATCCAGTCCTATCTTTACCCAAGACTGGAATGCCGAGGAACAAGCTTTGGAGGAGGAAGAGACACTACACGTTGCCTTGGTCAAGCTGAACGGAGTGAGTGTTATGTCAGACTCACTCTTGAGTGGAATCTCCAGGACCCTGGCTTCCTTATCTCGTCTAAGTATGGCACCATGCGTTGTATTGGAGGAAGACCATCAAACCAAAGGCAAGGCCTACAGTGAAAAGCTTCGAACAGCTGCAGACCGCTTGGTAGCAGCCATTGATAATGCAGGAGAGTTAGGAGCCAGACGAGTCGACAATGCGCTGAGCCTTGCCGCCGATGGCCGTCCACGAGTCTTTGTTCGAAAGCTTCTCACTCGTCCATTGCGTAGAGGTAGGATTCCCGTGATCTTACCTGTCGCCTACTCTGAGGAACAACAATGTGCCATCAACATCACCGCTGACCAAGCACTCTTGGCTTTGACCAGGGAGCTCTCCAGTGAGACTATCCTGAGGCGACCAAACAATACCCCGGAAGTACCTCCCCAGGAATCACAGACTACCTGGAAACCTATTTCCGTGGACAGGATCATCGTTGTCGACGAAACAGGCTCCATTCCAAGTCCTAAATCACTCGATCAGAAACACGTCTTCGTCAATCTCGCACAAGAATATTCTCCGTTACAGGAAGAACTACGCAGCTCCACAGACATTAACGTTTCGCTGAAGCACGCTACGAATCTGAAAATGTTTCGTGACGCACTGCAGATGCTACCGCATTCATCCTCAGGACTGTTGACTACCCCATCCGCCGCCGCCAACACGAGCAGCAAGCAAACAGACTCACAACCCGCGGGCGTTGGCGTTGGAACTCGTCGTCAGAAGAACCCTCTGATCCACAATCTTCTAACCGACAAACCTGCCTACTCATCTTCCCTTCCCAGTGGCCGCCTCATCCACGACGCGCAATCCTCCCCCACCACGGACTCCACATTTGTGAAGCGAGGCATGCCCCTAATTCTCCTCCCGAATCCAGACGCCCAAATATGGACCGCAGCTAGTACACCGCGCCTGAAACTCACAGATCCACGCATCGACCTCGATCGGTTGGTCCACCTAATCGACGACTCCTTCAACCGCACCCTCGATGTAGAAGCCTACCTCCGCCGAGTGAACAACCGCATTGCCGGTGTCATCATCGCCGGCGCCTACGAAGGCGGCGCAATTCTAACATGGGAGACCCCACCACACTCCAACATTCGTGACACCGATACAGCACGCCTGGTACCCTACCTCGACAAGTTCGCAGTACTGAAGAAATCCCAAGGAGCCGGCGGCGTCGCAGACATTGTGTTCAATGCAATGGTGCGCACGTGCTTCCCGAACGGCGTATGTTGGCGCAGTCGTAAAGACAATCCTGTGAACAAATGGTATTTTGAACGGTCGCGGGGGACGTGGAAGATTCCTGATACGAATTGGACGATGTTCTGGACGACTCCGGATTTGTTAGCGTCCGAAAAGGAGCAAGTCTTTTCCGATTATGAAAGTGTTTGTCGCAACGTGCAGCCGACTTGGGCGGATGGGAAGAAGATCTTGGATTAACTTTGGGGGAGCAACATATGGCAGTAGACATTCTTATGTTATAGAGGTCAATGAGTAACCAGATCTGGTCGTAAAACACTGTGGGGTATCTAAGCTAGGATTATAAAATGATAGTCTATAAAGCAAGAAATAAGAAAAAGCGACGTAAGTCTACACCAATGTTCAGACAACATTCTTCTCAATAACAGGACCCATATCCGACATGCCAATCGACGCGTTATCACGCGGAGTAGCCTGTCTCAGATGCTGTCCGGGGCCGCTCGCGGTCCTGGTGTGGGGCACTGCCATCGGCGCCTTCTTCTTCAGCGTTCTAACATTTCCGCCTAGCACCGCGAGCAGGAAGACGCCCTCGAGAATCTCCGCGCCTGAGCCTGTGCTGTGCGCTTCTGCCTCTGCGTCGGCATCGACGCCGCGGGCGTGGCGCGCACACGTGCCGTCTTCGCTCGGGGCCGCTGCGCCGGCGACTCCTTCTTCGCCGTCTTTGGCTGCGTCGCTGCTGCTGCTGCTGCTCTTCTTGGAGATCCACACGTTGCCTAGCGCCGTGCTGGCGAGGAGGGTCAGGGCGAGGATGGGGAGGATGGAGATGAAGCTCCACATTGTGGCGGTGGCGCCTTGAGCGCGGATGGCGGCTTGCTCGGCGGCGGGGAGCTGTGAAATACTGTCGAGCGAGGCCTGGCTGTGCAGATTGACGGTGCCGCTGTCGGAGCCGACCGAGCCGAAGACGTTGGCCATTTTGTTCTGGAACACCGAGCCCATGATCGTCAGGGCCAGGGTGCCGCCGAAGGGGAGTGCGAAGCGCAGCAGGCTGTATGCGGGCGCCAGTCGGTCGCGGAACATGCCTGCTAGGTGCAGGTTCGACGGCATGAAGCGCATGCCTGTGCCTGCGCCGGCGATGGCCATCATCACGTTGACCAGGACTTCGTTGCGGATCTTGATTGCATAGCAGAGGACCGCGATGCCGGTGGTTTCGATCACGGTGCCGAGGAAGAGTGGCCAGAAGGTCTGTCGCAGCCACACGTTGCAGACGAACATGGCGAAGTAGACGCCGACGCCGAGTCCGGGAACGTAGTACAGGAGTTGCGTGCCGGCTTTGGAGGCTTCGTATCCCTCGACCAGAGTGAAGTAGATGCCGATGAAGTAGAAGACAGAGTAAAGCGCGGCGCCCGTGCCAGCGGCAATGATGCAGATGAGTGAAAGATCTTTGGAGGATAGGATCGCGGATGGGATCGCGGGGACCGTCTTTGGAAATAGGCGGCTCAATAGTCGACCGGGGCCCAGAAGGTATTCCCACGTAATGAATAGGATGAGGAACACGCAACCAAGGACCAGAGGAGCAATGACAGCACTTGAGCTCCATGCATACGTCGATCCGCCCCAGGCAGTACCCAGGATGATCAGCCCGACTCCAAGGATGAATAGCGCACTGCCGCCGATATCAAGGGTGGCAAGACCTGATACCAAAGCCTGCACCCGAGTCTGATTGCCGGCTGGTCGCCAGACGGGCACTTTGCCAGGCACAAGGTCGTTGCGGATGATAAAGATCGACAGAAGGCTCATGACCGAGAGACCGGCATTGACGACGAAGCAATATCGCCAATTGGTGTTGGTCAGATAGCCGCCAATGACAGGGCCAACACTGTATCCCAAGCCGTTCATCAACTGAAAGATGCTCGTGTTCACTGCCTGTTCGCGCAGTGAGACTCTATCTGCCAAAATAATCATGATGACATTTTGGACTCCGGCAGTTCCAACACCTTGCAGGGCTCGACCGAGCAGTAGAACGCCCCAGTCGGGGGCAGCCGCACATAGGATACTTCCCAGAGCGAGCAGAGCCACGGCGGCTTGTATGCTGGCATAGCGGCCGAAGGTGTCTGCTAAGCTTCCAAAGATGGGGATGAATGCAGTTGATGTCAACGTGAATGCTGTCACAATCCAATTGAGCTGGTTGAATTTATCTTTTGGGGTGGTTAGTTAATTTTCAAAAGAAGAGCAGCATGTAAGAACTGACCAAAATGAGAGGCGATTTGAGGTAGTGCAGTTGCAACGATGGTCAAATCTAGACTCGCATCGAAGAATGCTGGTAGTAAACAGAAAAGTAGCTTCCATCTGTATTTCCGGGCCGCACTCTTTTCTTCCTTGCATTGTACACATTTGGCTTTCGGGGCCTTGGGAAGAGTACTGTTGTTTATTACAGTCACTTCTTGCCTCGTTTGAGCGTTGGTATTGTTAGGAAGGCTGTGGTCTGTGGTCTGTTCCTTGCTGGTACCAGCGGGAGCAAGGCTGTTCTTGGTAGCCTGTCTTTGCTGGTACTTTTTTCGAGCGAATCGATATGCGAGAATCATGATTGAAAAACAAGGACGTGAATAATGGGTTTTGAGGCGAGGGGGGAATCACCGTGGGATGGACGAAGAATACAACACGGTATGCACAGGGGATATCGAGACTTACTTATAATTGATCATTCCATGAGTGGTTGAATAGCGTTTCGTAGCATTTTCAGGACAGTTCGCAGAATGAACCAAATCAGATGAATTGCACGAAAGATTGACGATAACAAGGAGAGGCTGAGCGAAGCAAAAGATACCCCTGCAATTCGACTGGAATGGATCATCTTGGTTGGCCCATCGTACTCGGGTTGAAGCCAAACCCTCGCGAAAAGTCCTCGCGCAATGCACCAGAACAGGCATGGTGGCCCTTTGAAGATCGCTCACGGTCTTGAATGGCCACGAACACCATGCGTGTCCCACTCAGCTGCCCTCGGCCGGAGCATAGGTGCCTGAATTAGGTATCCATTGCCCGGGGAAGTTTGCTGCCTTTAACACGAGGTGCCATTGCTTCGCCCAGCTACCGCACAGACAAGGTACCATCCACGCGATAGCAACCTTCTCCATGGATTTCGTCATTGAGCCATTTCACACAACTTGTCCTTGTTCATCGTCTCTGAATGGCAAGGCTGACTTGAAGACATCTTTCGATAAATGTGGGGTGGAGACGCAGTCGGTGGCTTGAAACACTGAGAGAATACTCTCTGAGCGATCCCTAACTGATCTCGACTCTTTACGCGTCACGTCTGTGGATGTCTAGCTAAATAGACAGCTAGAACTACTGGTACTGGCCTACATGTTCCGAGCCTTCTTTTGATACCTTTTCCCACGGTTCTCTGCAATGGCGATATCTCATGATCCGTACTCCAAACTGATGTATTCAGGACTCGCGAATACATGCGAAAACCACAGTCATTTGCCTGCAGCTTGTGTTGATTCATTCGCTAGACTGAAATACCTGCCCCAGCAAATACGAGCCGTCATGTGATATTCAATCTGCGACTCGATCAGAAATACGATGATAGCCAGCTGAAAACCCGAATCTTCAATGTCCGTCAACTTTAACTAGTCTCTCCATGTCGACATTTCTCGGTGCGTTGCACAGCTTGATCTCGATTTATCACGCAGTGCAAAACCATGAAATCCTTCAAGCCAAATTGTACTCTTCCACATGATAGCTATGGCTATGTTTCAGGCGTCGACATCCGGAGTACCCTAGATATTGTCTGGAGCTGCCTTGGAATCTTGTTGTTATGTACGTGGCAAATTCAGCATCTCAACGTGCCACGACAAATCAGCTCGACAACGGTTTCCGAAAGAGCTCGAAGATACCTCTATCAGACTTGTATAAAGGCCAAGTGGATGGTCATTACAGTTCTTGCGCCAGAGATCATTTCTGGTAAAGCATGTGCTGACTGGCTATCCGCCAAGGGCAATGTTCGAAAAATGAACGAATCCTCTTTTACTGAATTGGCTGAAGGCACAGTCCAATGGACCTACACACATTCCTTCTTTGCTGACATGGGAGGAATTGAGATTCACTTTCCGCCACGAACGACCCTGCACGTGGACCAGGATCCCAAGGAAGTCGGAAGCGCAGAACATGCGCCTTTTATCTCATTGGCAATGCGAGCCGCAAAGAAGGATCTACAAGAATTCTCTGTGAGGCAGGCTTTAGCGCCGTGGTCGTCAGGCTTAGTAGATTGGAGAGCAGATCCCGTCAACGAAAGGCTCGTTGTAGAGGCTTTGCAAAGCGCTACCGCCGCAGATTTAAAACTCAACCATCTTTATCGGGAATGGTTTGAGAACCTTGCAGTATTGCAAGGTAACATTTGGATTCTAGATGCCAATCAATTGCGACTCGCCCGCGAACAGGGAGTGATCAAGTGCCTCCCAAACATAAGAGAAGATGACCTCGGAGATCGAGACAAAAGCGATGCACTGATCAAGTTCTTGTCCGTACTACAGGTCTTGTGGCTGATAATCGAGTTGATCGTTCGCAAGTCCCAAGACTTAGGATCATCCCAGCTTGAAATAGTGACGGTCGCATATGCAGCGTGCTCAGCGGCAACTTACGCTCTGCTCCTTTACAAACCACAAGGTGTCCAACAACCTTTTGCTGTTGTAGCATCACGCTATCCAACACCATTGGAAATGATCAAGATTGCGGCAGAAGGGCCTTTCCCATATATCTACGGCCGTCAGGGTCACTGGATGCCAAACAATGCTTTTCATTATGTGGAGTTTTGGGTATACTTTCGTGGCTTTCTGGTTGGGAGCGTTCTCGGTGCGACAATATTTGGCTGCATACATTGCATTGCCTGGAACTTCACATTCCCGACACAAGTCGAAAGGTTGCTTTGGAGGATTGCCTCTGTTCTTACAGTGGCTGTGCCTTGGATCACGATGGCGGTGAACCCTTTCACAACGTCCTCTCGAATTGTAGACCGTATCTGGTGGGGGTTTCTCTTTTCTTCAGCCGGTGTCTACATTGTTGCAAGATTGTTCATCACAGTGGAAATATTCCGGACGCTGTACTTTCTCCCACCGAACGCTTACACCGCGACCTGGTCAATAAATTTCCCACAGTTTGGCTAATCAAGCACCAGCGGACGACGCTGGCCCTACTCGATAGTGAAATCAAAGGTTGAGATTCGAATTGGAGTAGAGCGAATAGCAGATAACTTGAATTTGAGATACAGGACCTATGAAGCAGTCGAACTTTCACCCTGTTGTTATCCGAGACCGCTGTTCGAGGTCGTTTGGTGCATAGCCTTGTCATCAGCCAAATGTGCGGTGCCTCGTTCTGTAGTGCGGATCAGCCATGCGGGCCCCGCACGTCAGCTTCAATCAAGCCTGCCAGCCGCGTTGGCATCATCGAGTCTTTCTCTCCTCCCAAAAACCATAGCCTGCAAGCTTTTCAGTGACACGACGGCGATTCAGACTCATTCGTCTTCTAAACTCTCCTTTCTGAGTCGTATCTCTAGTCCCGAACGCGTGCGAGTTCAGAAATGCTCCAGGGCTTATACTACGCGTTCTTGTTGATGTCCAATTGAGCGTCGGGCAGCTGTCACGGAAATCAGCTTCAGAGTCTATTGACAGCGCCAGACGGCGTCAAAGTCGGTGCACAGATCGTATTTCGAAATTATTCCAGAAGTGATGTCTTGTCATTACCTAGAGCAGCGCGTTTATCTGGATACGCTCATCTTCAAGCCCCCCACATAGCTGTTGCTTTCACAGAGCTCGACACGATCGGTCTGGAGCTGCTCAGGTACGTACCAATGAGGCGATGCTGGTCCAGGGCTTCGAGGTACTTCCCCTCCAGCTTGTTCAGCTTTGACACTCGAAGTACCACCCATACATGTTTGTGACGCTTGCTCAATTTACCATGACATGCTCGTGAATTCCACGGACACTCCCCTGCACCCATCCCCTATCGAGCTAAGATGAACTATTGAGCACAATTGAAAAACAATGGATTTCCCAATCTACTTTATCGATTGCGGTTATCATCCTACTCACAACAATCAACAATAACATTGATCAACATTGAGAGAGAAAGTGGAATCGCAATTCCAAAGCATCGAATCACAGTTCCGTGGTTCTATCTTGGTAGATCATGGACCAATCACACCAACCAGGCTTTTCCTTGTTTCCAATGCCGCCAACGCCGCCGACGAACAAGCAGCGAGGAACGAGGTTGTTGCGAGACCAACAGCAGATTGCGATGGAGAAGCTCCCAAGCCATCAATTCACAACATCGAGCCAGACACAACAAGCGACCCCAGCACAGCTACGACCTGCTCCACTGAAGCTTCGTAAGAGACGACCTGTAGAGCTCAATCATACTCAACCAAGACCAACCCTTAGAGTGACCAATCCGGACCCTCAATCAGCAGACAATTCGGTTCCGTGTTCACCCACTCAAGGTTATCACGAGGTTGATCTCACGCGCACAGCTTTAGCTCGCACGGTGGTCGTGCCGCCCACTCCGGTGTGCTCACCAACTATAGGGAACGAATTGCAATACTCATGGCCAGCAATCACAGTCGAGCAAGAGGGGCAACCTCCGGTCATTGCCGACATCAAGCCTCAGTTCAAGAGACGATCACATCGGGCTAGCCAGTGGATGGGCCCAAATGGTAATGTTGATCGGAAGAAATTGTCAGTGTACTTGAACAAGGTGTTGGATTCGTCCTTTGAAGTGATCGATACTCCAGATCGTGACGACTTGCTCAGTTCGCCTCTTTTGCTGAGTCCTTATCTGGACAATTCGGACCTGTGGAGTAGGCATGGCGATGATGAACAATATGCCAAACGCCCTGCAGAACAGGTTCAACCTTCCAAGCACTTTCTCCTTGCCAGTGAACTAGAGGAGGCTCGGTTTCAGCAACCACGGCAAGTCCGTCGTCGATGTGCATGCCCTCCAGGCGTGGCATTGTGTCGAAGCTGTTCCTCTCAAGAATTCGAACAATTCCGACACCGACAGGTCGAGCATAAACCCAACACAAGCGTCAGCTCCACGAAATGCATCCTCTCTGTACCCAGGGCACGATTCCGAGGAACTCTTCCAGATGTGGAGGAACCAGAATCTCCCTCAGAGGCATCATCACCACCCGGCCTGATGTACGATTCCGAAGAAAGTGAAGAGTCAGACTGGTCTTCTCCAAGCTCAGCCACCGTTGTGAGTAGTCCTGCTCCATCAGTGCAGGTTACTCCAACACCAGCACCACGCTCAAGCGCTGTGCCCCGGCCGAATGCAGTGTCGAGACCCAGTGTCCCCTCCTTCTCGCTCCCATTCACTCACGGCCGACAAATCACCCCTCGGATCGTACGCGATAGTACTGGTTGTACATCAGGAGATCCGTTCTGCTCGTCGCCAGCCTCTACGGTTCCGACCCTGGCAAGCATATCCACCATCTCTACCTTCACATTCGACTTCGCCACTGAGGATGACAATACCGAATATGATCCATTCGAGTATGGTAGTGAAACGAGCGAGATCAGAACATACGAGCCTATTCAGAAAGCCAAACCTGTTCTGGTCCATTGCCGTGGCCCCTCACCACAGTCGATCAAATATGGACATGCCTTCAGCCAAAGATCGAACGGGAGTCCGCGTTCGTACCAACTCTCGGAAGATAGTGGACGTTCACCATATTATAACTGAAAGAACCTGAGTCTCTGGGAGAAACCGGTGCTATTCATCTACTTAGCTGAGGATATGGTATGTAGGATGGTGTTTGCGGTTTTAGGGAGTTTAGTCGGCTCATGTATATATATGTACATCGCATTCATGATACTGTAAGCCCATGTATAAACAAATGTTCATAGATATGACAATAGAGGTCTAAAAGAAATGCTTCAAACGTCCGGCTCCTACCTAGGCATGTTGATGATATTCCTAGATTCTCTCACGATCCATCCCCAGTAGATATTACCAGTAACCTGAAGGATATTCCTGCCGAATCGCGGAGGTGACGGCTCAGTCCGCCACCAATCGACTCATTCCGCCAACGACTTCCAGCCACTCGGAAATGAAGCCCGGTCGCTTAGCCACAATGAAGCGGATGTTCAATATCTGATGCATATGATGTAACTACATCTTCCCCATGACGCGAACATTCCGCCAACGTCAGTTCAATGTCAACCCGGAACTTATCCTGAAATGATGAAATGCTACGTAGTCGTAGGTAGGTAGGTGTTCAGATAGATATAGATACTAACAATCTTAATCATCCCTCTGTAAACACCCACCCGTCCTCCAGCTACCAACCATATCACCAATTAGTAGCCAGCAATCCATATATACCTCAAAAACAAAACATGCAATCAACACTCTACCGCCGCGCCCTCCCACGCCTACCACGAGCCTCAACATCAACGCGGGTGCGCCTCACCACGACACCGAAACGCAACTACGCAGCGCCAGCCGAAGAATTCACTAACAGATGGCCACTGTGCGTGTCCAGGAAGATCCCCGCCCCCCCCTTCTCTCCCCACAATTCTCTCTCGCTAACCACCGTGCTTACAGCATGGTAGCCGGCGCCCTAGTGTTTTCCGTCCCAGTATACTACATCATGCACAGCGACAAGCCGTCCGCCTCGGAACAGGCGGCGATCAAGGAGAAACGTAGGAAGCATGGCACGGAGGATGAACACCGAGATCCCAGGGATAGTCCCGTCAAGACTTTGGAGCAGAAGCGCGCGAGGGATGGTCAGTAGGTCTAGTGAAGAAGGCTTGGTCTTATGGAAGATTCTGCCTCTTTTGTCCCCTTTTTGTCTTTTAAAATACGTGGGAAAGGGAAAAGGGTTCAAAGGAGATCCAAAAAGTGGTGGGTTGTACATATCAATATGCATATCTGCGGTGTTTGAGAAGGAAGGCACCGCCTGAGCTGGTCGTCATGTCTTAGCTGGTCGGCTTGTGATTATCATATCAAAACGGCCAACATAGCAATGCTTGCAAAGACCAAACTCATCATGTTCGGTATTCGCAAGTGATTTCCTCCGTTTCCACCAGCAGCTGACGTTGGGCTTGCACTCGCACCTCCGCCACCACTCCCACTCTCAGTCCCGTTTGCTTCAGCCGTCCCACCACTTGTCCTGTTCGCCAAGTCTGGGAACAGCTTGGACGAGTAATCATCCATAACAATGTAATTCTGTATCACCGCACTGCCGTCGATCACACTCTCCAGCTGTTCATCTGTACAAGTCCCAATGGGGTAATAAGTGTAGCACACAGGCGGATCACTTTCCGGGGCGACATTCTTGACGGACCATGTATCCGCGAGACCCGTCGTCTTATAGCTCTGGTTCCCGGCTGTGTCGACCGTGCCGTCAGCCATATCGCGATTGAATGTCGCTCGCATGAAGAGCTCGTACGATGTCTCGGCTTGATATGCTGGGACTTCATGGCCGGCGTTGAAGACACGCGAGAAGCTGAAGTTGCCGAACTGTCGGACGAGGCCACCGACGTAGCTCGAGTTCGTGGTGATGTTGGCATACCCGGCAGATGCAAAATCCTGGGAGTGAGAGTACTTCACAGCTAGCGAGACCGCTTCGCCACCGATCCAGTTGCACGCATAGTCTCGGTCGCCGTAGACGAGGGCGACTTTGATGCCGTCTTCGATCAGAGATGATAGATCCTCGAGATAGCCTCCCCGAGCGTAGTCGCCCGTCAGCTGAAACCCGTAGTAGGGGGCATTGCCTCCGGGATTCGTGTAGTTCACGGGCACACCCAAGGCTTGTTGGACGTGTGGTTGGTTGAGCCAGCCGATATAGTAGTTTGGAGGGAATGGATCAGGATCAATGGCGGCGATGTCGTAGTAGTTGCGACCAGAGTACTCGCTGTACGGTGCTTCCATGGCCGAAGCTGCATCACTTGCTGCTACACATGCTTCATTGACCGTTACATTGTTGCCTTGGTTCTCAGGATCGCTTTCCGACGCAAGTCGCCGACATGTCTCGATCAACTCTCGAACCCCTCCAGGCTTGTCGAAAGAAGCCAGGGAAGCCTCATAGACGGTTCGATTGATCGCTTCGATTCCATATGTGTTGTTGTACGCCATGTGAGGATAACTAGGTTCTTGAGTAAGCAGATCGACACAGCCATTGATTATCCCCAAAGTGTCAAGGTGGATTGGATACGTTTCACCTGCATCGGTCCAGGTCTTGTTGGCGATCTTTTCATTCTGCTCTTGGAAAAATGCCGTAAAAGCAGGTCCGTACCTCCCACCATAGGATTCCGTCCAGATGCTGACACGATTGTCATTAGGTTTATACTCGGGGAAATTCTGGAACCAGACTTGTGAGAAGTGCCAGAGAGCTCGGGCAGCGTTCGTTGTACCATTGGAGCTCGAATTGATCAGTTGACTTGGGAAGGTGCCGACCAGGAATGTGGTATTCTGCTCAGGAACTCCACCTGAGAAATCCTCAATGATAACATCGCCCGATGGATCCAATAAATCTTGTGTGCCGTTGCTCAGAACATCGTAGCCGAGACCAACTTGATCTGGTTGATCAATATACAACCTGACAGGTCATGTTAGCCCGGGACCTTTCCTAACTCCGACATGAATAATCAACTGCTCCTGGATACTTGGAACAAAAGAATAAACTGAATAGGGGAGATCATATCCATAATTCCTCGGATTGCGTTTGAAAGACCTACATGTTGACTTCATTATTCCAAGACCATGGGTTAAGAGTAGTCGTATTAGAGTCATAATTAACGTTGCAGGGTCCTGATATCCAAATGTTAATGGCGTTCTGCACAATCGAGCTTGGAAGACTTGCCATTTTCTTGTAGCAATCCGATCATCGAGGAACTACCTGGACCACCATTCATCCAGATCGAAAGCGGAGCATTCTCAGGGTCTTTTCTTGACTCGAAGAACCAAAAGAAAGTGTTAATAGTGTAGTTTTGAAAGACACCCAAGTCGTCGACGACGCCCGGAGGGAGGTGGACATAGCCGGCGTACGATCGTACTCCTGGTGTTGTCTCACATAGTCCCGGCTAAAGATGTTCAACATTGGCAACTAGCGATGCTCGTACTTCACATACCTCTTTATAGGAGACGTAGACTCCGTCTTGGATTTGGGATTTCACCACTGTGACATTTTGCGGTTCTGCTGGGAAGTACTGGGCAATCACAGAGGCAATGAGAGAGCCCCCGGTGATAAAGAAATGATCCGCATATTGAAGTTATGATGGCTCGTGTGCAACACAAAAGAAATCGGCAGTATGAAGAGATCGAAGAGCTTTCATTATTCAGACTTACCACAAGTCATCTTATCATTCAAGCGATCCTCCGTCCAGGGTCTTGAACGCTAGTCCCAGGGTAAGGCTACTGCAGTGGTTAGTCTTCACGATGCTCACGATTGTGACGAAGCACATCACTGATTCCTTCTGCGAATTTAGGGCATCCTACCTTGCCCCACACAGCATGCATGTTTACCGGTCTCTCTCAAATCTCCATCGCTCTTCCTCAGAAATTGATCAAAGAAACTGTATCATCCTCGCTTGGCTGGTATTTTGTCCGACTACCAGAGCCGAGTATGAAGCTTACCGTGCTCTTATCAATCACGAGACATCAATGCATGCTAACGGATGCCTCGGTAAATACAGCAGAATATGGAGCAAAAACGGATGAAGCAAGAAAGGAAGGTTGCATTCGCCAGGAAGCTTAGGAGCAAGGCTTATCATTGTCTTGCATGTTTAAACCTGACCACTTTGCAGCTTAAAATCAGCTAGTGCGACTGAGGTTAGATCAGTCTTGGCTAGTTTATTGTGTTTACCGCGATGGTCCTTCGAAGTTCTTCTACGATTGTTGTCTCTGTTCCAATCGCGCCTCAATCACATCATCTACTCAGCAGCTTCATTGAACAAAGACTTTGAGAGCTGGTTTCTGTTTCAAACTCAGATTGTTCCTCTCGCAACCTGGCGTCTCCTCACACTCTGCTTTCTGGGATTTTTCGCCGCAAATAACTCATCCAGTTCTTCTAAGCTGCGACCTCTGGTTTCGACAAAGAAGAAATATATGACGATAACTCCAAAGGCATCCCAAATGATGTATAAGATGTAGAACTTGTAGCCACTGTTGGCGATAGCCACTGGAGGCACATAGGTGTTGAGTACCTTAACAGCGTTGTTCATAAAATTGAGATATGCCAATCCTTTGGCACGAGTCGAAAATGCCAGCACCTCAGACGGGTACAGTGATTGCATGGGTGTCTTTTTCGTACGCGTGTGTGAGCTAAAAATGCCAAATCTGGTTACGAAATGAGTTCACTTACCCAAGCGAAGGCAAAGACAACTAGGAAGACGTATAAGAACGCGACTCCTGTTGCGCCGACAGCTGGTTTGCCAGCTTGATTGGCAGTACATGCAGTTATGACTGCCACTGATGCCGACATTCCAGCAGAAGACGCCATTAACACCTTCCGGCGTCCGAGCTTCTCGACAAACCGAAGTCCACAGAGAGCGGCAATCATCATGATAGGTGTTTGCAGAGCATTCAGCAGAAGTTGAGTCTGGACGCTGGTTATACCGGCAGTCTTGGCCATCAAAGGGAAGTAGTAGCTGGTGGGTGGCAGATCGAGTTCTCCAAACCAAGCAATGCAGGTCACTAAGAATGTCCGATACCTGGCGGATCTGCTGTTGAATAGCTCTCTGAAATCCCAGAACCTCTTGTCCGAACCATCCATTTTGATGACTTCCATCATCTCCTCAAGCTCAACTTTGACTACGATTGAATCGGGATTGCCGTCTCCGTGGTATTTAACCAAGATATCGCTAGCTTCTTCCAACCGATCGTGGGCTAGAAGCCTATAGCATGTCAGTCATAACGGCACCATCTCCTTTGGGAACCATTGACTTGCCATCTCGGACTTTCAGGGATCATCCAAACACAACAGAGGATTGCCAATGAAGGTGTAGCCTGTACAGCTAAAGGAACCCGCCAAACAAACGAAGATGAAGTCTTGCAAAAGTACAAACCGTATTCCAACCAAGTCGAAATAATGGTTCCCAAGAAGAAGCAGGCTTGATATCCGCCGGTGAGCTGACCTCGATATTTCGGATACGCGATTTCGACAACATAACTAGGACCGGCCGTCTGTACGATAACAGCACCTATGCCCAGGACGAATCTTCCAGCCTCAAGTGCCGACAAATTCTGGGCAGCAGTTTGTGCCACTGCTCCGATCACACAGATCACGGATCCGATGGCCATTCCTGCTCTGCGACCGTATTTGTCTGAACATGGACCCGCAACGAAGGAGCCCGCTACATTGCCGATGACATACAATGCTGCTACTAGGCCTTGGTTGTTCTTATTGATGCCAAAGTAGTCTACGAAGCCTGGCATTGCTGAAAGCCCTCCTAGTCGCAAAGTCAGTGTAAGTATATTGGACGGCGATCTCAAGATACCAAAAGTGTTGGCATCGAAGCCATTCGTTGCACAGCAGAGATATGCCACGAATATGCAGGCATATAATTTGATAAAGCTTTTTCGCAGTGCTTTCGGGTTTTCTTGGGCCAATGCTTCCTCCATTCGAGATACGATGATTCCATGGTTCTCTTCGAATGTTCCTGCTCGATCGTGATGTTTGTCGACATCTTCGAAGTGGTTGATACCGGTGACCTTAGTATCCATGTTTGCAGAGATGAATGGCTATTTTCGAAGGCCAGAAATATATGGGCGCCAGACCTCGAGATCTGTAACCTATGTTATAGTTGAAATACTATCGCATCAAAGGTATGCACGATGCATAGCCTAATGCTTCGCGTGCTATGGACTTAGCCTTTGTGTCATTAACACCAACCCAATCTGACTGGGATTGCTATAGCTTTTTCTCCTCACACAGACTTGGGGCCCCCCGCGAATTGGTGGAGAATCCTTGCGTAAGGCAGTTCGCAAGTGTGCTGCTAACAAATTCGAAATCAACAAGACCAATCAACCGACCCCTGGATGCCATACCGGATAAGTCGGCATAGTACAGCATCAACTGATGCAGTCAAGTGCTGGTATTGACATCTCAGAGCCATGCCCTTACAAGATGTGCAAACCAAGTAGTGGACTCTAAAGCGCATAACAATCATTTGTTGGGGTGTTTTAAATAGCCGCCGAACTCTCACGCATCAATCGACAAGGTCAAGCTCATTAGCTTGAGAACCAAGCATTACCAAGACATTACACAAGTTCTCGGAACACCTAGGACTAATCCTGGTGGGTTTAACATTGCTTCCACGCAATTCGAACAAGAAGAGAAATGGATAGATCAAACGGCATGGGACACGCTACAAGGTCCATGAACATACTTCCCGACAGTCTACAAAAACGTTTCGGCCAGCAGCTACAGTCCACGGACCATCACGATTGCGAGCACTTTCCTCATCCCCCTCTTCTACAGAATAGCCTACAGGGATGAATGTTCGTGCTGGATTCGTAAGTCGGATGCATTATGTTCGAAGAGCTTGCCTGACAACGAGCCATATTGACTATATCGGCAGGTGGTAGTCCAAATTCCAGATTTTTTGGACTAGTTGTCATAACAGTTGATACACTACCATTTGAATTGAAGAGAGCACGTCCTCGGCTTGGTGAATATATCTTTTATTATGGTGGTACTACTCCGGTTCAAAAACTCTTTGGAAATGGCATCATGGTATAATGAGATCAGAGCCGAATTTGCGAAGTTTCAACAGTTGGGAACCTCGCACTCTGGAGGCCCGAGTCTTGGGTATGCACTATCGATGAAGAGCCCGCAGTCACCGATGTATGGGATATGAATTTGTGACTGGATCACTGGTCTCGCTTAAGCAAGAGCTTTCTGATCACGATATTGCAAATCGCAAAGAGCCATTCAGCCGCTGTTCGCTCAACGAAGAACTATGGCGTTGAGGGACCAAATCCATTCCGCCAAGCTTTGCATATCGTCGAGCATTAAATGCCTTCACAACGAGCTGACCCTCCAATGTCAATACCAAGGGAATTATGTTGCGACAATGACGACGAATATCTCTCATCTGATAAGCATGGGACCTCCAGGTGAACCGTGTGAGCTTGGCCGGAGATGTTTCGATGATCATCTAGAAGTCGGAGAAGAATCTCTCCAATCCGAAGTCCGTGCATGCAATAGTTCCTCTGCAGGGACCAGAATATGATCAGGCACATTGCTCTCGAGATCCCGCCAGCTTCGATCACGACAGCCGAAGGGTCTACCAGAACCACAGCTCTGGGATTTCCACGTGGTGGACGTGCGCTGCGAGTGTCTGGATACGGATGCTAATGGGAACTTGTGCATCCCATAGAGCCGGAACCGAGGAGAGAATCACCCTACCGCACGGACATGAGATCTCCAAAGAGGCAGGCGTAAGATCATGGTCGTGATGAAGGAAAAGATATAAGTCCACGAGCTGGGGGAAGTGCGTTGGGAGCCACCTTCTGAGATCGATTACTCTCGTGAACTCCCACCCTCATATACAAAATGTCAACCCAACACTGCACACCCATGTACCGCCCGCTCTCTGCCCGGCTCTCCTCCTCTCTGATAGGCAATCTCAACAGTCTCTTCAAAGATCTGCGAGGAGTCCGCAGAAAGTCCCAGCCCCAGCTCATCACCCGTCCAGCCATAGCAGTTGAGCAAGTCAGGGTACTGCATCATCTCCGCTTCGAAGACAAAACCTATTTGGAACCACGCCAGCTCGAGCCCCAGCAACCGGACTCCCCGAGATCAGTCTCCAGCTACTTCTCAACAGTCGAAGAACTCCCTGTTGAAGTACTCCAATGTCAACTATGCACTCAAAACACGGAAGATGACATCACGCTTGACACCCAAAAGTACTTCACGACCCAATGTGACGCATGTGCGATGCGAGATCTGATGGAGAATCTGGAGTTTGCGGGGATCAGGAATTCACCGATACTGCAGTTTCTCTGAATTGAAAGAAGATTCACTGCTTTCGATATGAACGCTTGTTGGGGCGCATTGACCTGGGCAATGGGCCACGATCATAGCTCCGCCGTCAGGGATGCACACTGAGGCACTTCTGACAAAGACATCTTGCAATCATATGTACGAAAGACCGCCCGATCTCGATGGGAGAGGCCAAACGACTTCCACCAGCCAGATCAAACTCTGGACCATAATAAGAAAGAGGCGTTGACACGGCTCGAGGTTACGTCTTTGGGCAACGGCCTGTTCTCCAGAATCCAGGAGAGTCAAAAGGAGATTCTCGGGGGCTGGTGCGAGGTGATGTCTTGACGAAGATCTGGCAACTACTGCTAAACCCACTCAAACATATGGTGGAGGCCGTGCTGTGAGTGAGCACATTATCGCCTTGCTCAACAAACCGGGGGCACTTGTATGGGCGATGAGATCGAGCTGGGTCTCGATCTTGTAAACTTTGAGGGAATGGAGTCTCATGAAATGGAATCATGCTGAGAAGAGACTTATGATATGATAGATTAATGAATTGATGAACTTTAGAGTCGGACATATATACATACTTAGCTCGTCAGATATGATTTCTGACCTGTCAAATTATTCTGCCTTTCCCATGTCTAGGATTTTCAGTGCATTGCTTTGCGGGTGTCCGTGCCTGCTCTAGATCCCCTCCTTTGGTGTCGCAATAGGCTTTCTCTCTGCGCATGGCTCATCTGATATGAAATGAACGGTTTCAAGCTGGGCGAGATTGCATACGCCAACACTCGCAATGGTCGGAGAAGTCGAACTCTGCTGGCAGACTGGCGATGGGAAGGTATTGATTTGATAGTGGCGCTTCTGATGGCTCAATGGGTATCTTAGACAAATTAGGATGAGACTTGCATCTCGAATGCAGATTCAACACAATATGTTGGCGGACATACATACACTAGAGTTGAAGTGTAGTCTGGGCGATTTGTATTGTACTAGGTCGAGACCACCCGGCCATGGTTGTACGATTGGTATTGTCATTTTGTCAATTTCTCAGCCACCTCAATGAGAAAGCACATAAGTGAACAAGGACACCATTGGGTCACGAGACTTTTCCAGCGGCAGTTGGCAACGACATCGACGTATCATCTTTCATGACCATCTTCTCTTCAAGAGCCCGACCAAGAGCAACACATTTGAGATCAATGAATCTGTGGAATAAATCCGCCATCCAGATACATGTCGGCAGTACAATCAGATAACCCAAGACCCATATCGTGCCAAGTTCCCGTGGAGTCAATCTGGATTCGGATGCGTAGATCTGTCCATTTGAGTATTGTGTAGGTGACAATTCGGTCCATCGTTCACCGGTGCCAATGACGAAGATGTACAGCGCAGGCAGAATTGAGTAGCCCAGGGATCTTATGACAAAGCCGTGAACGAGGTAAAATGCAAAGGATATTTGACCTAGGTATGTTGAAACAGGATTGCTTAGAATGAAGCTGATTATTGGTGTCGAGGATGCATCACCGCTGATGGTGCTGATGTAGGTGATCGGCCAGACAGTGAGGACTGCCCCCAATGCACGCAGAGCATCTCCTTGTTGTCCAGTGTTCATGTACTTCGGCATGTAGGCGAAAAATCCTCGATAGCCTGGGGTCTCTTCGGCCCACAACAAGGGCATTGATAGTAGGTATAGTCCAGAAATGCATGATATTGTCGACATAATGTTGCCGATAGTAAAATAAGATCCCAATCCGGGCGAAAGCCGTGATTGGAATGAAAGCCATGGCTTGACTGGATCCTGGCCGGTAGACGCGTTTGATGGCAGTGCCTCGGTTGGCTTCAGTCGCGCTTTTAGAAGAATATCAAATTCTGCAATCAGCAGCCCAGTGAAGAAAAGTCCATGATTTAGATGGCTGGTGAACCAACACCAAGCGACAAGCAAGGAGTGGATTAAAACTCGGTATCGTGTCCAAAGCTGACATGTTGCCAACAATACCAAAAATAATGCCAGCGAACAGTAAAACTCGGTGGGCATTGTCCAGAGATGGCTATCGTATTTCCCATACTCTGGTAAGTCAAAGTGCGTACTAGGATCCAGAAGCTTTTGAGTCGCGCCCAACACGTCCCAGAACTGATCGTAGAATAATGGGTAGAGGGGCGGTGGGGGCTCGAAAAATCTGAGCTGGAACTCCTGAGACCACGCATTCCGTTCACGTATTGCAACACTGCTGTGGAAAACATGCAATCTTATGGCCACCAAATAAATAAACATCAATGCCACAGGTGGTAGGAAAATCCGAGTCGCCCGCCGTAGCACTGCGGAGGAGATGAAACGGTGAGCAGGAACTCCTTTGTGTATCATGGTGAGAGTCTTCATAGACAATACATAGCCGCTCAGAACAAAGAAGATATCGACATGACTGGTTCCGGCCCAGAATAAATAGTAAAATGGTCGATGGAAGAGATATTTGGTGTTGGTTTCCCACGAACCACCATCATTGGAGTCCGTTATAGCGAATGTCCAATGCATGTGCATGACCATCAGGCAACATAGCCCTCTAAGGCCGTCGAGAGCTGAAATCTTGTTACCAGATGAAGTCTTCGGTTTCGGATTATGGTTGACGATGTCAGCGATGAAACTTGGTAATAGCCACATGAGTGAGATAGAAGCTGAAGCATGTCGACGAAGCCAGCTTGCGCTATGTTGAATAGAAGCTTGGATCGGGAATGACATGTAATTGTCTAGGCTTGCGAGAGGCATTGCCATAGGCCGTGTGCTTGGTAGCGACGTAGCCTCTCCTGATAATTGATCAATCTTTCTCAACCAGCCCCCAATAAGTTCTTTCGTGCTTCCAAGTGTCCGTGGCGAAGAACGGTCCATCATCAAGATTTCATCATCTTCCATCCCATGGCGCACTGCATTTATCGGATCGAAAAGGTAATATTCTTACACAAACCTTGACTTGCACGTTGGAGGACAAAGAACGCTCATCAGAAAAACATCAAAATGGCGCTTTGTCCAAAGTTGAAGACCTTGGTCATGGATTTGGAGTAGGCTAAGCGTGCCTGATTGTTAGGCGTGGACACTGACATTCTCGAAAAAGGACAGCCAGAGTCATCCTATGCTAAGCGAACGTGTCACATTGCCATATTATGGACATATGCCAAGGGGGACCGCACTCCAGACGGCTTGGTGCGTTCGGAAATCTCATCTGACGGACGTGGAGTTTTGCTCTGAACTCTGAAGCAGCGGAGCCTAGCCCAGAAAAACGGCTCCAAGCCTGACATGTGTCTTCCCTGACGAATCGCCATCACTGGACCGTTCAGTAGTCCTAACGTGTCGCTCAGGGGTCGCTTACCCACAAATCCAACGCTTAGAGATGCCAATTGTACCACTTCTAGGCATTTTCAATCGCTAAAGTGGTATGTGGGTGGAAGGAGAAAGGAGAAAGGAGGATCTTATCCACCGATCAGACATATCCTCCCTGTACCCGGCCCACCTACTGTTAGGCCTGTTCTGAACATCTCTTCATTGAAATCTTGAGTGTTACTATATCCATAACTACCAGCGGAAGGTCGAAACTTTGACTCTGAGTGATGGTTCAGCTGAAGCTGACCCAAAGTCCGAACGATTGTGTAACATTTTTGAGGTTGAAAACCGAGTTTCAAAGGTCGTAATGACGACGATCGGTCAGGCCGCAGACGATGTTTCACGTGGCAGGGGGCTTGTGGGTGGCTTGAATACGGATGTTTAACCAGACTTCATTCCCGGGTACTACCCCCAACGTGCTGGGAACCTGCCGATAGCTGCAATAACAATACTACCTCTCAGCAGCTCGAACCTGCGGCCTGGAGGAAACCTAGGGATATTCTTGTCATCCGATCAAACAAAGTCTGTACCGACATTTTAAACGCGTCAGCTACGGTACTACCAACAAACACTTCAAGTATCACTTGTGATGGAGGAACATCAAACTTCGATCCAACACACTACACAAAACAACAAATGCCTGACTGCTTTCATGTGTGCCAATGGTGGAATTCCACAATCCACTCTACTCCTTTGGCCAGAAGATTGTATCTGTGGGATTTTACAGGCAGGGAAGTTTGCTTGCCACTTCAATGCTACACTCTACACACTCATGGTAAACCCATTCGGACATTAGTCTTCTCATTAAATCCCCATGCATCTTTACTCCCATCATGCACAGTGGACCTACTGCGGAGTTAGTTCACATAACAGATATAGCCTAAAGTCAAGGGAATCTCATCAACCTACCTTCTCATATCTCGCGCATATTTCTCCATGAAAGTCCCCTTGCCAGCCTTGTGCATAACGCCAGTGTTGTCCCAGAGAACCAGGTCGCCAACGTTCTCCCATTCACAGCTATAGAGGTACTTCTGCTGAGTAGCGTGCGCAAGCAGCCTCTCAATCAACTCGGTACCTTCAGCTTCGGGCACCCTCTCGAAAGGCTGTTGCTTGGTAGGCACAAATTCCTTCGATCGCGGTGTCTTGTACTCGAGGTGATGTAAGTGGTTGGCAATGTACAAATTCTGTCGACCACTGGCATGCGTCTGCACAATGCTGTGACGACCAAATGGGTAATCATTTGGATCGATGTCTTTCAACCACGGGCTATCTTTGGGGGCAGCCTTTTTGCGCGAATGCATTATGCTGTGGGCTCCAATGAAATCATTTTCGAGGAGATCATTCTTGAGGTCCTCGGGAAGATCCTGGAAAGCTGCTTTTGTGTCTGCGAAATCGGTATTACCTCCGTGTCCTTTGGGAGGAAGTTTGTGCGCATTAAGAAGACTAAAGCCTGCTCGCCGTGGGTTGAAGCTTGAGTCGACATGGAAGATCCCATTGCCCTAGACAGATTCAGAAAATCTCTCTTGCATTGATGTTACATGCATGGACCTACCAATCCCATGTGATGTCTCTTGCTTCCCAGTTTCACCAAGCTGCCATCGTCCTCCAGATTGCTCACGTCGAATAGTTCGTCGAAGGCAAATCTATTCTTTCTCCCTAGCAGGATATACGGCTTGATATCATCGAGTTCGCCGAATAGGGCTGAGAAAGCCACGTGGCGAGCATCGTCGAGGGACGCTTTCCGGAAAACCAACACACCATACTATGATGGCGACTGTGGTCAACATCGAGTCCGTGGTCTCGAAAGGGTGATTGAGGATTGGGGGAACTCACATCGACGATTGCTCGACGAATCTCCTCAAACACCTCTTTCCCAACAGGCTGGGAGAAGTCAACGCCTGTGACCTCGGCAGCAAACGTAGGAGCAAGCTGCGTCAGCTGGATATGCTTGTATTCTGGCTCCGTTGCGTGAGGCATAGTCGACTGGAGGGGACCTTTCCGACCAAAGTAGAGGATATGTGTAGTAAAGAGTGGAAAGGGAAGATACGAAAGGTAATTCTCAATCCGATTCAAGTTATTCTCGATCCCTCCTATCAATCGAAGCAGCCCCAACGTCTCTAATCGCTTGTTGATAGAGTCGAGGATGACGACACGCTCAACTCCGAATCCGCCTGCTGCATAGGCCGATTAGACCACTACTTCGTATCAAAAGATAAACTAGACACAGTAGATAGTGAACACACGCCCTTCGCAGGAGCGATATCGACATCTATCTAAGTGTCTAACAACAAGCCATCCAGACCCTAGCCGGTCGAGCGTGTTCGAGCTGTCGATATCGTTCGTCCAATAATGCCGCCCCCGCGGGGTAGTTTACATCTCCATCTGCATCTCCATATCGCAAAGACCAGATACCTCGGAAGCATTCTAAGAATTGGAGTTACAGGCTTCTAGCCTCAGTCGCCGCGCCCTAAGGCTGTGAATGATCGACAGACGAGCACCAGTCCATGCCTGGGGATCTGGGGGCGGGATACGGCTATCCGGAACGAATGAGTCCATCTATCAGCGACGTTTGGGATGAAGTGGCGGCGCACAGCGCGCATGCGTTGCTGAGCGGGGGTCGATTTCTTACTCAAGACAAAGTTACCTGCCCTGGTGCCCCGCGGGATGGACCGATGGACCGATGGATAAACTACCTTGGAGACATACATTGAGAGTCGTTCGACCTTCATTGCGAAGATAGGGGACCGACCACATACGGGACAGGTACATCGCAGAATGTGGGGGAATCCTGACCTACCCAGACTAGGTCAAGTAGGTTTCCTGACGAGCTGTGGAATCGCGGCTTCAATCTTCGCATTCTATGAGACATGACGATACCAACTCTTCTAGCGAGCTAAACTGCATTTGTCGGTGGAACTTCTCCAGCAGAATTTCACCGGTCGTATAATACAGCGACAAATAGCCACCAAAACAGGGACTCGTTCTCATAGCACACGGGATGTTCCTAGATCAATAACGCAGTTGAGGCAAAGAGTGGGAAACATGCCTTCTCTCGTCGACGCTGGCCTGTAAGTCGCACCACCAACCACATGGCAAGGAATAGCAGGATGTCCGTAAAGTAAGGCCTGATTCAAGCATGGTTCGTAGAAATGTGCACGATACGTACATTCCTGCCCAAGACGACGTTCAGTAGTCCCCTTCGTTAACTATTCTCCATATTGCAGTACAGGTGAACGGTGGGACATGCTCGAACAATGACGGGAGCCAGGTTATCTATCAGTCTAGTCGTCAGCGCCTTCTCTTATCCGCAAAGTCGGCAGTTAGGAATTTTCAACAACGACCTGGCCATGCCGGGCCAGGACAGGACAGGATGCAAAAAGAATAGATGACAGGTTTGTCTTTTTGAATTATTCTTTCTTCCTTCATTGGATCAATAAAATACAGCTCTTCTCCTCTCTGATCGCATGTCTTCTTTCCAACGATGGCACACGCTCTACATAGCGCAATCATGGATGCCGGTGGGGCCCAATTCATTATACTCACTGCGGGTAAGGAAGCCCTTGGAATTACCCTGGTCGACGATGAAGACGACTTTGGCCGCGACCTGGGCGCCCAGGAACGACGCTTCCTCCATGCCCGACACACTCGGGTCCTTCCACTCTGGGAAGTACTCGGGCGGCTTGACTGTCTTGATGGACGTGGGCGACTGGCTGAAGCCCCGATGGCTCTGGTGCAGGCTTGGATCTGCGCCGCCGGGGATTTGAAGGTGTGGGTTTGAGGGGTTGGGCTGCATCATGTTCTTGGTGGCAGCTACAAGGAGCGGATTGACGCCGTGGCCGCCGAGATGGTGTTGGAGGTGCCCCCCTTGGCCAGGGATCGGGGTGTTGGTGCCTGGGGTGGCGACTGGCGTCGTGAAGTTTGAGGGAAGTTCGGATGTGAAGATGGTAGCGGTGGAGGGCGAGAGCACGTAGCGAGCGTTTAGAGTCGCTAGAAGGGAGCTGGTGAATCCTGGGCATGGTCAGCATTCGGTGGTTTGGGATGGTGTAATGTCAGTGTACATACCTCTTATTCGACTTCCGTTGCCTAGAATAATCAAGTTCTCCCATAGAGACGATCGTTGGGGCACTTCGGGTACACTAAGTACGGTATGATGCATGGCATCGGCTATCCTATCAATGATGCCTTCCGTCATACCAGGCCCAGGTGTTGCAGCCTTGAACCTCTCCACCCCAACTTCTACCTCTCGCTTTCGTTTCCGGGCGGTCGGTACAGCATTTGGTTCTTCTGAATCTTCGATCGGGAGGTATTCCACGTACGTAAAGCTTGCACGTACTTTTTCGGCATTTCTCAGTCTTATTGGACGGGGAGGCTCGGCACCACCTTTGCTCTTGGCTAAAAGCTTTTCAGCCTTCTCACGCTCTCTCTTGGCCAGCAGTTCGGCAGCGTTGTCTCTGGCAACAATTGCGGCAACATCTAGAACGCCATCATCCTCTTCATCATTGTCACCATTGATGCCTTCTATTCCGACCGCTGTGCCATAGCCAGGGCCGCGTGGTTGTTGTCCAGGACGTAAACCTTCTGTGTCTTTCGCATTTGCTCCCGAGTCCAGTGCTCCTGTCGAGGCAGCGGCGGCCGGATTGATAGTATCCACGTTGGCCGATGCGGAGGGTAGTGGAACACCGAAGGGAAGAATTTCGCAAATAGGACTTCTTTTCAATTGCTCAGCCATATCCTCATCAAAGTCGTTCTTCTTCAGTTCTTGTTGCAATCTCTTTGTCATTGCTTGTCCGCCGGAGTTTGCGATCGCGAGACCACGGCCAAATTCGTTGACTTGGAATTCCGTGACAGCAGTTACGTCTGATTTGCCATGGCCAACGTCCACAACTAACGCGGTGGGTACTCCATAGGCATAACATGCCGTCAGAGCAGCGTCCATGAGACAGAAGGCGGGGATTTTCCAGTTCTCGAAAACATATTGAGTGATCATCTCCTTGTCGCGGCTGGACCAGCACGGTTGTGATACAAAGAGGACCGGCATGTGGAAAGGCGGAGATATCATGTTGTAGATGTGTGACAGCAGCGCGAAGAAACAGGACCAGTTCTCTATGCGACCTTCGCGAATAGGATATACCGCTCCCTCCGTTGACCAGTGATCATCTTCAAAGGTCTCGATGGAATCCTCCTCAACAATCTGTGTCGTCTCTTGTGGCTCAGCCTCCTGTTCATCCTGCGCCACTTCCTGCTTTTCTTCCGTAGAATTGGCATTGGCATCGCTAGTCTGTTCCTGTCCCTGAGCTGGATCTACCGGTTCTGCTGGCTTTTCTAAAGGAGGTTCCTGAGGTTCTTCGTTCGTGGGTACCGGAAGATCTGATGGTGCTGCCGGTGTAGCTTCTTCGGTCTTTTCTAGCAGCACAGGTGCCTCTTGCATTTCGACATCAACGACCGCGGGTGCAGGGCCTGGTGCAGGTGCAGGCACAATAGCTTCTGCATTCGTCTGCTCGGTCTTTGGGGGCGTGGTACCATTGGTCAAGGTCTCTGTCGCCGTAACTTTCGGTACTTTGACAGTCTTGCTTCTAATCCTCAAGGGCTCCCATTCTGACGGCTTGACGCCAGGAAACATGCGAGTGGGAAAACGAAACTTCGGGGGCGTAAAGGTTTCGGGCAGTCCCAACTGCGCGGAAGTGATCTGGGACCCTGGTGAAATGATCTATATAAATAGATGACATGGTGGTTAGCAATGGGTTCTGTTGTGGAAGGAAAGGGTCGCGTGAGAAGTGGGTAGAGAGAAACGTACGAGCACATGCTCATCCTTGAAGGGGGGCATCGTGGCGACGACGCTGGCGCAGAGTGAATTGCGTGCGTCGTTCGGCGCTCTTGAATTATTGTATCGCTCTACTTGGTCTCGATTTTGGGGATCGAATCGCGCTGGCTTCTCGCTTCAACGCGCTTCAAGGATGCCAAGCCGGCAATCTTATCACGTGACATAATAAACCACCCACAATGTCAAATGGCATATCAAGAATGTAGTGATCGTATGGTACTACAAGTTCCCAGAGTGTCATGCTATACAAGTGCACGGATACGATGAACAGGCAGATCTATGGGTTTGGAAAGTAAGAGATCGGGAAGGAAAAACTTGTCATTTCGTGAGGTTCTATAGGAAAAGCCACCATAAAACGGTGATCAGTGCACCTCCTGTGGCATCGCCCAATTGTCATCAATACTAATAGTACAATTTGCATTTGGTCCCTGCCAAAGTTTTGAATTTCGAGCCACCGCTCCATAATCAACGCCAGACATGACCTTCAGTCCGGTTACTCCATCGTGCTTCGTTGAGACCTGACGTCGGATTTTTCGATGTTCTCTCTCCAACCTCAATATAGTCCACTTGATTGTCATCAGACTCGACCAAGTCCACCGACGATCAGAGTCTTCAGCGAAGCCTTCCTCACAAACCACTTGCTGCAAAGCCCGGTCTGTCGCTGCCAGTAATAGGCGCGCCATGTGTGGGCTGCATGCGAGTAGTCTGCTCAGAAGTTTCATGCGAAAGACTGCCGGTCTGGTCGGTGTCGAAGGCATCGAAATCAAAGAATGAATTAGTGGGAAGTTGGTCAGGATGGAGGAGAAATCCTGTTCCGTCGAGGTCATCGACAATTTCCGAGCCAAAATCTGGAAGAGATTGTATATTGGCAAGAGAGTTGTCGTTGAGAAGGTTTGAAATATCATCAAGGTCTGAAAAACCTGAAGGAGGTAGCTGAGCCCAAGGTGGGAGCTCTGATTGGATGGGAACGATGGCAGATTGATAGCCCATGTGTCCGGTTGACACTGCAGGTCACACAATACCACGGCAGGATATTGTGTCAAACCGGAGACAGGGGGAAAGCTGCCAAACGTCGCCATAGAACCAGAGTTGTCGGCTTCGGCTTCGTTGATGAGGTTGAGTTGAGGAGCGAGTGCTGGGGATTCATGTTTGAGTGTAGGTAGGGATTCGGAATGAACTAGAGTAGGGTGATCCGCAGCTTCAGAAGGTGAGGCTGCGAATGTTGATGGTGTGAAGGATCTCTTCATGTCCATTGGTGTGGAATCGGAGTCGAGATCTTGTGTCTCAGATTCCGCTAGTGACGGTGCTGGGAAATCAGATTGGACACCGAAACGAGACTGGTAGCGAGCCAAAAGATCCCTCAAGGACGCATTTTCTTGCTCGATTCGAACCTGTCGAACTTCAAGATCGGCGACAGCAGCCTTTTGACGTTGTCGTGACTTGTCGGCGGCTCTTCTGTTTCGAAGGATTCTTTCATTCTTTCGTTGCTCCTTCTCCTCTGCGGTTTTGGCGCGTTTCCGAGGAGGGAGGATCTGTTTGATTTCAGGGACTGGTTGACCCCATGCTTTCCGCTTCTTCTTCTTCTGGGTTGGATCTGCTGCTTCTGGAGTGGGGCTGGAAGCGTGCTCTGACTGGGGTGGTGGTGTTGGGTAGGAGGAATCCTCGGAGTAACCCGTCATGTTGATGAGAGAGACAGGATCAATGCTGTCTACGGGAGAGGAGGCGTCCATGATGTAATGAGCAGGTAGATCGAATAGGTTGTAGAGTAACTGAATACCCTACCCCCTTGGATGGACTATCTTCTGCTTATGATTGCGGTAGTCAAAGTGACCACCTGTCCTTTATAGTCGCATGTTGTCACGGAGGACGGTAGAACGCTAGGTGGGGATGAACCATGAAATTGGGTGAAGGCAGAGAGTGAAGATAAGTCGATCACAGAGAGGTCTTTGAGGTGGATGGGTAGAATGTTGCCTGAGGACAGGGCAGGCAGCGAAATAAATAACAGGCCACGGTGTCAAAACCAAGGGGCGCAGGGGGTTGACAGTGACAGTGGGATGCTGGGTGTGGAGTCTTGGCCCTTATTCAAGTGGTGAGCCTATAGACCCCTAACCCAACTTCCCACTTCCCCCGTGCTCCCGCTTGGATGAGCTGAACCACCCCCTGGAAGTCTGACGAGGTCCTCTATTTTGGTCCACCATTCTTACCTCTGGGTGCCTCGTATGCCTCGCCTGATTAGCCACCCCTTGCCTTTGGTCTTCCATCAGCTTCTCTCAGCTCAGCCTCAGATCGTCCTGCTTGACCGCACGTTTTGTCTCCATGGTTCATCTGCCTTATTGGCCCACCTTTGTATGCCATGATTCTGAGGACTCAGGAGTACTTCAAACGGATACCTGAAGTATCACGTCTAAACCATCACGATGCAGGGGGTTCTCCACAAGGGATCCAAGGAATCACAAGGTACTCCAGACTCCCACGGAGTACGCACCTCACTTCCTGCACGACCTGAGACCGACGATCGTCTTCCTTCTGACTAGGCAACGCACAAAGAAAACCGAGTACCGAGTATGGTTCAACAACTTGGAAGCGAACCCCGAGCTGACCGCAGCGTGAACATTTGCTGCTTCCCGTCAGATGCTTCCTGCAGCTTTCTAAGCTTACGAGGCACTCTACCAATAGCGCTAGCTTTTATTTTGGAATACATGATATTTTTTCTCCATGCATGTTGCTATCGTACATAATCACTTGCTGAAGGGGGTATCTTTGCTAGGCATGAAATCATTTTTTGAGACTCCGCAACCTGCCACCTGCCAACCTGTCATACTTTGGGATCAGACTCGAGCACGCCATTTCCCAGACCAACCTCCGAAAGTGCATCACTTCGTTGAGTTTCTTGTAGTCTGGCGAAACCCCCAATCTCCAGAGTTCTAAATTATTTCAGTTGTGTTGAGAATTGACCGTCGCTGCTGCGTTGAGTACTCTTTTCTTCATCCAATCTGCGTCGTGATACAGTCGTTCCTGGTATATCTCATCAATCAAGTCATTAACCACATCCTCCACGATCTGTTCCTGATATCGTTCTCCGATGGGCCGAGCTGTCAGATGTTGAGGGCCGTCTTGATCGTACCCGTACCACCACGGTCCATCAAATTTGCATTCTATTGCGCCACCCGTATAGTGGCTGACTGCTGGATAGTACCCCAGTCCACCATCATCAACGTCTCCAATACCAGAGACAGCTCGACTTCCTTTGTCCATGTACGAAGCTGGAGGAAGGAATGCAAATAGATGCTCCCACACAATTCCGTGATATTTCCCATTAACCCAAAGCTCAATCTTGCTGCCTGGAAGCGTACGAAGATGGGGAAGCTCGTGATTCGGATGGGGATCTGTCAGTAGATCGTATTTCTTGCCTGTTTCGGGATTGAGAGACTTGTTCTTGGAATTCAGCGTCGGCCGACTGAGATCATGATTGGGCGTGTACTCGGGACATTCAAAATAGGTCATTCCTTTGTGCAAGAATGGGTTGCGATCACGAATAACATCGTGGTCGGAAGGTGCAGGGCAGCCTTGTGGTGGATGGATTGTGCTTCGGATTGCTGTCCGAATATTCGATTTCCTGGCTGTGTCTTCTCTGCCCTTGAGAGATTCTCCATCCTTGGGCTTTGGTCCACTCTTTGTGATTTTCTTTCCGGCTCCAGCTCGCTTTTTCAGAATCGCAGGTCCGCATTTGAGGTGGGGATATTCGGCGGGATTAAAAGTGCCTTCGACGACCTTCTTGTGCACTTCCAATGGTGGCAATGTGATCATGAGTCCTACGACATCCCCTGGACTCAGATCCTCGGGGTCCTTGGCCCCCTCGCCTTGCATGTGATACATCATGGTGTTGAAGCGTACGCCGCCGTATTCTCGAGCCCTTCCACTCCGCAAGATGGCAGCGTAACTATAAGCATTGCCACCAAGATTCTCGCTCCAGTGATGTTCTCGCCGGCAGAATCCTACCCGTAGCCCGCCCCGGTTCGTTGCTGTTCTGTCTGAGTTTTGGGTATCTGCAAGTGCACGATCTGGCGCTTCTCTGCCTGGAGGAGCCTGACTGATGACTTTTGCTTCGAAGAAGAATTTGCCTTCCCTTGCAGAGACGTTCGCCCTTGTAGTGTAGCTGCCAAACTCTCCACTCTTGCCCAACATGTCTTTTGTGAAAGTGTTCTTCAGATTCTCAACCCCACATTGCGGATGGTTTTCGTCGCTGAGTCGAGCATACCGAGGAGGAGCTTCGTCAGCGTGGAAGTAGAATGATTGAGGGTCTCTTTTCGCCCGCACATAGTATCGCTTCTCTTTGCTTTCGACACTGTTGCGAATTAGCAATGGCCAACGGAAAAATGGAGGTGTGTTCCACGAACTGTTGACCAAGTGAATAAAAGTCAATTTTTGACCCGTCAGATGAGATCTTGGTATGATCATAGATTTTGGGGACTTCCTTCTGTTCCTGCAAGAATTTGCTATCGTTGGGCGCAATATATGTTGGTAGAACAACTGATTTATCGTCCTCAATCTTTTCAATCTTGCCTGACACTTGTTCCTTGACTTTTTCACTGGGCTTCTTCTCCCGATGCCCACGGCCAGACGACTCGTCCATGTTGAACGTCTGAAGATCACAATGACGCGTGGGAAAGATGTGGTGTCGCGCCGCGTGGTTGAAGGTTATTCAGTAGGCTGGGGGAGGGGGGGCGCACGACAATTGCAGACTGTCACGTGATATGATTCCTGTGCGGTGGATCTAAGGTGACAACGAGCGCGCTGAGAAGCTGTCCACATGATGCATACATCAATGATTGTATTTCTAACAGATAGCCTCATTGATCTAGACTCAACCAAGTTCTGGCATAGCTAAGCGCCGCGAGCACATCACCAATGGGGCTCGTGTCAATGCCCAGTCCCATCAAGTTCAAAATCCAGCTTTCCACAAGCCATCTGGCAATGACTCCAGCAAGCGCAAGCCCGGTCGCAATTCGATATCCACAATTCAATAGAATTAATAGAGCCTCGATATTGTTGAGGAGGACTGCCCATCCAACGTAGTTCGACGCCTGAAATGCGAATCCGAAGGGATCGCCCTCATTCGCTTCGGTTGGCCATATCACCAGCAAAATGGGAAATAGTTTAGAACAGCTCGAAACAAGCAAAGCAGTACTGATGGCATTTGGGCTCGCATGGCCAGGCACGACTGTCGCTTGGCTGAGCCCATCTTCTACCGAGTTCTCAGGCGATCTGCTTTCGTCCGTCTCGTTGTCTGGTGGCGAAAGAAAAGCACGAGCTAAGGTTCGAATGATGCCATGTTGAGCTACCGTGGCCAATATATTCATCGTGAGGAAGAAGAGATATTGAGTCAGGATAGGCATCTGAGTGAGTCGAGAGCCAGCTTCGTTGTCACTCTTGACTGGACTGGTTCTCTCGATCCGCGCCCACGTGATGTATACATCGAAGAGAACAAGAAGAGTTCCAAGTCTTAAGATGCTCGGATCAAATTTATCGTCTGATCGTCCAAGCCGGTTGAACAAAAGATGTCGGTAGACCTACGAATGCGTCAGAACGGTCATGTGTCTTTCGACGAAGGTGAAATACTTGAGGTTTGATCAACATCAAGTCTATGAATAACACCACAAAGTCATGCTCCACATATTTGTCTGCAAATTGTTTGCAATTTGGACATTGTGTAAGGCGAACTCCTTTCCCAAGGGATCGATCATCAGCCTTGCTGTAGGTAGTGTACAGATGCTTGACGGGAGTGCTGCATGTTATGCATATTGGCATACCGATGATACAGTCTCGACGGTCTGGCAAAGCAGATGGATTATTGTACTCGTATCAGTGATCAGTGAATAACTTGAGATAGAACGAGGTCTTCGCAACACGCTGGATTCCGAAAGGACGATCTGCGCATAGACTACGGTGGACCACGACGAATACGTCCAAGTACTCAGCGGCATCGTCGAACTCTCCAAAGCCTGCAGTCATCGAGAATCATTCTGCCCACCATGACCACATGTATCATTGTGGTATTCGAACCACGACCCCTATGGGCGGCGATATATCTCGAACGAACCACATGTAAGGCTACCACTATATTGACATTGCCAGATGTGGCCGTTCCTCTACTTCGGCTTCTGGAGCCTTGCGATATGAACACTCCCAACAACGGTTTTGTCGGATGGAATGAACCAACCATTAAATACTGCTAGGACACAGATATGAAGATATTCCTCTGCTATTATTGTATGACTCATGATCTACCATCATAATGAGCATGGGACGACTCTGTGTTCGCACTTAGACAGTCATTTACTTGTTCCTGCTGTGCGAATCACATCCTTCAGCTCTTGGGGACGCTCTCAGCATGCTACTAGGCCTTCAGTACCCAGAGTTTACCTCGAGGTAGGATAGCGCAAACTGAGCGGAAAATTCGATTTCGGACTAGAGCCTGGGGGATCGCATTCTCAAGAGTTTATACTGACCACCGGCATGCGAATCTAGAATTCATGTTCTAGAATACTTCCGAATTCTGGATAACCTGGGGAACAACGCCATTAAGGTGGAGTGAAGTTATGGCTACCCTCACATCAGAGTTTATGGATATGGTGGGGAAAGGAACATGGAAGTTACGCAAAACACTGCTATGCTCCAGTAGTGATGAGAAGTAACCAGAAAAGCGGTCGTCGACAATTAGCAGCGAAATTTTTAATAACCATTTTCCTTTGACAGATACTATGGACAACTACCCTCTACGCCATGCGAAATCTGTTACTGTCGAGACTGGAAGTTGCTCATGAATCTATCCACTGGATCGATGCCCTTGTACGAGGTACTACCTCAGGAATAAGGTCAATTCCTGCAAGCGAACGTTTGACATGATTCCATGGCCTGGACCCCTTCAACCCTGCCCACAAACCTTGATCTTTCCCACCCGGAGTCTAACTGCTCCGGGCATCATTCCGGTGGCCGCCGTACAGCTACATTTGCCCGCGTCACCATCGATACAAGGAAGACATTAGGGCTTCGGCAGCAAAAAGGAACAGCAACGCTAGATCTGCATCCTATAACTATCTGTCCTAATTCGATGGTGTTCGCCAGGTTCGGATATAACATCCAGATTTGCCACTTCTACCAACTTAACCAAGACCCTCATATGATCGTCCACAACCTCAATTGATGGAGTCATCACCACAGGGATCTGGATGTTGGAATACCGTAATTACCTCCTTATTGGCGTTGATATTCCCTGTCGTATGTTAAACCCTTCGCTCCGAGAGTCTTCACGAGACTCAGGGTTTCGTTGCTCATTATCAGCGCGCATGCACCCAGGATGAAGGAAGGATATAAAACAAGAAGATGGCGCCAGCTGATGTCCCTTTTCGACCGTTCCCAATATCACGAACTATCGAAGACCAGCGATAGCGACCACCATGGCGAAACTTCCAAAGACATATAATTCTTACTTTATAGCCTTCGTGGCGACCGTGGGCGGAATGTTGTTCGGATTCGACATTTCGTCCATGTCTGCAATCATAGGCACAGAACAGTACAACACGTTTTTCAATAAGCCGGCGGGTATTGTCCAGGGCGCTATCGGTTCATCGCTAGCCGCGGGCTCAGTCGTTGGTTCAATCATCGCTGGTCCAATCTCTAACAAGATTGGACGGCGTGATTCGATCATGTTTGCGTGTCTCTGGTGGCTGGTTGGCACTGCAGTGCAGACAGGTACGAATGGCGTTGGCTCTCTGATTGCCGGCCGTGTGCTTAACGGTGTTACCGTCGGGGTAAGCCCTTCAAATGCTTGAATTTGCTTGGTTGGAGCTAAAATCCCATAGATTACCAGCTCTCAAGTGCCCGTTTATCTTGCAGAAATCTCTCGCAAGGAAAAACGAGGTAGATTAATCATTATCCAGCAGTTGGCAATTGAATGGGGTATCTTGATCATGTTCTTCATTGGTTAGTAGATTTACTGAATGGCGAAAATGCTGGTCTTTCCGGAAACTGACTTGCTACTCACAGGCTATGGCTGTTCGTTCATCCCTGGTCCGACAGCTTTCCGAACTGCATGGGGAATCCAATTTGTCCCTTGTGTTTTCTTGATGGCCGGTCTTCCATTTCTCCCACGATCACCCCGCTGGCTCGCCAAAGTGGATCGGTCCGAAGAAGCCATCAACGTACTTGCTAAAATCCATGCGGGTGGGGACAAGAAAGACGTTCTCGTGCTCGCGGAATGGGAGGATATTTCCACTACTCTCGCCCTCGAGCGTGCCGCTGGCTCTGGGTTTGGCAAATTCTACAAGAATGGAATGTGGAAACGAACACTGGCGGGCTTCACCGTCCAGATGTGGCAGCAGAACTCAGGAGGTAAGTACCATCCACTAAAACCACAAGCTTAGGATCCATTCCGTTGACAATTGAAAGCCAATGTAATGACATATTATGTTGTTTACATCTTCGCAATGGCTGGTCTTGAAGGCAACATCAATCTCATTGCGTCTGGTGTGCAATACGCCCTGTTCATTGTTTTTACCACCATAATGTTTGTAAGTCCTTCATTTGACTCGTCTTGATACTATTTTCTATACTAATTTCCCTAGTTCTACATCGATAGGACTGGCAGGCGACCCCTCCTGATATATGGAGCACTCGCAATGGGGGCTTGTCATTTCTGCGTAGGTGGAATTCTGTCGGCTGGTGAATCTGTCCCGGAAGGGGTTGGGGGAAACCCTAACGTGTTGATCAAGGTTACTGGTGGCAAAGCCAACACTGTGATCGCTTTTTCCTACCTATTGATTGTCGTCTACGCTCTGACTCTGGCGCCCGTGGCATGGATATATGCAGCCGAAGTTTGGAGTCTAGAGACACGCGCCACTGGTATGGGCATTGCCGCGCTGGGCAATTGGCTTTTCAACTTCGCTCTTGGGCTCTACATACCACCTGGTTTTCAAAATATCAAATGGGGAATGTTCATTGTGTTCGGAGCTATGTGCATTCTGGCGGCCATACAGTTCTATCTGACCTACCCAGAAACCTGCAACAAAACACTCGAGGAAATCGAAATAATGTTCTCTCACGATGGGCCAAAGCCATGGCATACCAAGCCAGGCAACTCCAGGCTCGATGATATGGTAGTACAGGCTCGAGAGAAGCATTCTTCTGTGGACCACGGCACGGTGGGAAAACCACATACACTTGACGATGGTAGTCATGTGGAAATGGCTAGTGATAGAGCCACTCGTGATATTGTCTAAGTCGAACGGCAGAGTCGAGTCAAAACATCCCAGCTGGAGGGCTGTTGGTACGGGAAAGCTCTCCTTTATCATGTGTAAGATGATCCTCGAGTATGCTAGGAAAGAGATATATCCACACGAAGTATAAGAAGCATAATGGCCTGGGAATTGATCCATAGTGTTAATGAGGCTGAAGCTTTGGTCTGGGGAAAGTCTTGACATCTCCAGATGAAAACCAATATGAGTCGCGTTTGCATTACCAGGTGCCATTATTCGGACCAAGACCACCTACACTCCATTTACAGTGCGGAACCATATCACTTGATCCTTTTATCCTTCTGAACAAGCTAATGAGAACTTCGGCAAAATCCTCCTCCTGGTCTGTGCTGACCGGCGTCCACGCTAAACTTACTAACAAAGCCGAGGGGCGCACTTGCCTCGTACGACCATCAAGGCGGGGAGGGGACTTTCCCAATCAATCAAGGCCAAAGTGTGTTGGCGGCGATATGTTGTGAGTGCTGCTGATGAACATGATGATATTTCGCTTTCGCACACATGGACTCTCGCCGGTCAAAGGAGACCTCGAGATATGTCGCCCAATCTGCTGTCTCGCTAAGTACCAAACCGATGGGGGTCTGAGGCAGGGACCAGCAGTCTTTCTAGGTGCCTAAGCCAGCACCTAGACAAGCCTCTATCGGGACTTCTACCGCCCACCAAGTGTGGGCCACAATGCGGTCGGCTGGTCTGGAATCCCCGCAGTTTTCCAGGCTCCAGGTCCCAAACTTGGGGCATTGGTGGCACACCTCCGAGCACTGCATGTGGTTAAGTGGCCAGCCAAATCCCTGCTGGCCACGGGGTGTCGTTTCTTCTTAAGTCGACTCGGTTTTCTGGTGTTGGATCACTCGGTTCCTCGCAGTGTTGTACAGCCACACGACACACATCACTATTGAGAAAAGGAAATCTGGTCACCTCCGCCTTATCACTCTGACAATCTCGACCTTCGGAATCTCTTCCATGGCGACAATGGCATCGCATGCATCGTGGAATTGAGATATGTATCAGTAAATCCCACCACGATCATTTTACGACATTATGGGCATAAAACGAATGACTCGTCAACGGACCCCGGCTTCTGCACCCTGCCCTCATTGTGGGCGCGCATTCGCTAGGAACGACAGCCTTATCCGGCATCTGAAGACGCATACCAGCCATGTTGAGGAGCGACCGTTTCATCGTATTATAAACGAGAAATTTCGAGCTTGCGATCATTGCCGTCGCTCAAAGATTAGGTGTACCGGCGACATTCCATGTGCGAGGTGCGAGGTTCTTCACAAGAATTGTAGCTATGAGCACAAGAATGCAAACGGTCAGACATCGTCTCCTCCACCTACCGCTTCAAATCACGAACCGAGTGCTATGCTATCAACAGCCAGCCCGGCAAGTAGCACTCGAGATGAAGTCCCTGACTTGGATGCGTCAACCCAGCTTTTGCTGGATGCATCAACTGTGATCGAGGAAGACCAAGCCCCGAAAACTACCAGCACCGTTGTGGTATCTTCGCCAGAAAGTACCCGAAGTGTGCTGCCCCTGCTCAATATCGGCGGCGAAGATGCTCAGGCTTCGTTCTTCGCCTTCAATAAAGATTTTGCCCTGACGAAATCAACATGCGTTTCTCCAACTTTCCACATCTTGGATCCTTACAGTTATAAATTGCCATCCATCGCAGATTCGAGAGAGCGGTCTACTCCTCGGGCCCAACCGCTGGGCAATTGCAGCTATCCGGTTCTTCAGTACCTAGATCCATTCATCGACGTTGATTTCGGGTCAAAACTAGCCTGTGATTTGTTGGACACCTATTTTTCCACAGCATTTTCCAGCCGTATGCACCCAACATGTCACCACGTCCACAATTTTATCTTGCGCAAATCAGATGTGCTGGACCCTCTTCAACCCAGAAAGACTCATCCGGCACTGTTGGCGAGTATGCTCTTTGTGGCTGCTCTGAGTGACAAGGCCTTGGGATTATTCAATGGCCCTGAAGAACGTGATCGTGTGTGCAAGTATCTCAGTCTAGTCACGTATCGTCTCCTAAACCCTTCCCGATATGAGCCCCTTTTGAGTCAAGAAGATCTCGGCTTGCTTCCGGCAGTCGAATCGGCGCCGGGGTGGACAAACGAAGATCTAAGGAGAGCACTTCTTTCACAAAATCATTCGGACTCATTCCCTATATCATGGCCAACGGATTATATCATTGCCCTGGTAGGTCACCTAATTTGCTGAGTATGCCCTTTGGAGCAGCGAGAGTTGCTTTGATCTCGAGGTTGTTCCTGCGGTCTTCACCCCTGCTGGCATCTCGTTGATCACACAAACTAATGTCTGCTTCGATACAATTTAGATCCACGTGTCGTCCGTGATAAGTGGTAGTGAGAAGAAAGCTGCGAGCATTCGATGGTATGTCAAATATGTCTGAAATCTGTCTCATTCTGAGACGTGAATGCGTTTCTTACATTGACCGTTTGTAGGTGGAACGTGGCCTTCAACCTAGCCAGGGACTTGAAGCTCAACCAGGAAGTAGAAATCTTCAACCCATATCATGCAACAGTAAACCACACCTTCAACTGCCAGTGTACGGTCAGTCCAGAGATTGGATCAGACACCATCTCCGAGGTCCATCGAGAAGAGCGACGGAGGACTTGGTGGCTTCTCTTCCTAATGGACCGTCATCTCGCTTTGTGCTATAACCGTACCTTAGCCCTGCTTGAGGCAGAGTGTCGAGACTTATTGTTACCTCTCGACGATATAACTTGGCAGAAAGCCAGCCAACTACATAGCCATGGGATTCGGCCAAATGGTCCTCGATGTATGCTGCTGCCGATGGGTACAGGGCGCATGAATGGGCCTCCAATAACTTGCACCGGACCTGGACTCTTCGAGTTCTTTCTACCACTTATGACCACGACAGGTCATCTGTTGGACTACAATCGAGCGAAGAACAACCCGATACTAGCCGCTACAGGGTCTTCGATCTGGACCTCCCAAGAAGGACAAATCCTCCGACAGCTTGACCTTTACCAGTCAAGTCTCGATCGTCTTTCGGGCACGATGCATCTGCTTCATAGACGTGGTTCTGAAAAAGACTCGTCGTGGTCAACGTCTCCCACAGCCGTGGCAGAAGATTCCGAAGGGGCACATATTGCTCGGACAGTTGCAGCATATGCTAAACATGTTCTTTGCGTCCTTCGAATTCTAATTTCCTCAAAGTGGGATCCGCTCTATCTTTTTGATGATTCCGACTTATTCACATCATCACTATCATTCAAAGATTCCATATCGCATACCATGGCCGCGTCAGAGTGCGTAACGCAGATCCTGGAGGAGGACCCAGACATCTCGTTCATGCCATATTTCTTTGGAATCCAACTACTCCATGGTAGTCTACTCCTCCTTCTTGTCGCTTATCGTCTCCAGACAGATTCTGGAACGGCGATACTTACGGCATGCGAAGCAGTAATTCGAGCTACAGAAGCTTGCTTTGTGACTCTTCCAACCGATTATCAGCGCCAGTTTCGCAATGTCATGCGATCTGCTATCGGGCTTGCTAAGGGCAGAAGAAGCGACCCGGCTGACACAGAAAAGCAACTTACTTTCGTCCTTGCGAGATATCGATGGTCAAGAAATGGTGCTGGACTTGCTCGTTGAGATGTCTGAAGATGAACCAGATTCACTGAGACCAACTTAGAACGTGTCAGTTGACGAACTGTCAAGAAATATCTACCTGTTGCAGCCACATGTCAGCGTCATCATGCAAAGCGCGCCCTTGCAAGGGCGCCAAGTCCAGCCAACCTTTGCTTATCGATTCAAGCGATTAGCTACAGTAACGCATCAGCAAGCTGGCAAGAATCGTCGGTATGCGATGGTTGAAGCAAGTGTACGAGTTGTTCTGGTGGCCCTGGCTGGTTTGACAGCGAGTTCGTCCAACACACTTGTGCAACGTGACGCATTCCAAGAAATTACTTCCTAGGCTGAGTTGCGCATTTGATATGCTATTATTGGCAGACCTACGCAACCACCAGAACATCCGATATTCCCAATGGGAACTCTAGAACAGTAAATCACCCTTGCTTGTACTCTGTGCATGGTCAAATCACAATCAGCGCCTTACCTAATATCAGACGAAAGATCCGAACGGATCGGCTCGACTCTCGGATGGGAATGGGAACCTGGACTAACCTTTCGTCTTGAGTTAGACAAGCATAACGCCACAGGGGAGTCAAAGTTGGAAAAGCTCGTGTTAGTTTCAGCTTTTGCGTCCGGAGCCGCCGAGCGTTTCTGTTTAGGGACACTTGCTTGGACCTCTTGCAAGCCCAACAGCTTCTGACTTCTTGACATCCACCTCCAAAGTACCATGAACCAGTCATGCATACTGGCGGTCTGGACTCTTTGAATTCGTGCCTCTGCTGGCCCGCACCTCTGCGTGTACCTGTTGGAGTAGTTACAAATTCATGGAGATGCACCGCATAACCAAACCAAACCGTCACCGGGAACTTTCTTGGGGGCGCGAAATTGCCCCGTGTTCTGGTTGGCCAACTAGTTGGCCCGAACCATTACCCCCTGCACAAAGTAGGGGATAGGTGGACAATGTTTGGATCTAATCCGTCCCGAGTATACGAGGCTCGATTTCACACACCTCCTTTTGCAACAACAAGCACACCCGAACTAAGAATAATGGTCTTCTCAGTTCGGAGCACCTCTTCTCTCGATTGTCCATTTCCGAAGCTTGCGGCCATACGTACACGAGGTAAAGATGCCTTCCCTCGCGAAAAAGTCGATGAATTTCATGAGAGACGTGTATGCATTGGCAAATGAACACGCAAATGGTCGACCATCGACTCAACCACCATTGCCAGTAGGAGGTCTATCAGCGCAATTTTCCGCACCACCAAATCAGCAATATAATACCAGTTACTCGTCCTCATATCATCGACCCGTTTCTTCTCAAGGCCAAGCATCTTTTCCACAGCCACATGTAATAGCAGGTCCAAATCCCCTTCAAGTACCCGGGCCTCAGCAGCAGCCTTATGGTTCTTGGTCGCCGACTCCACCAACTAATTTTCCACCACCTCCAATTCATCACTCGTTATCCGACCCGAATGTCCACCATGGTTATACACCTCCACCTCAGCAATATCAATTGACGCCTACTACATCGTTCTCGACACCAGTCTCACCTGAATCGCAAATCTCAACGCCAGCTAGCGGCCAGTTTCAGTATTTTTCTCCTCAGCAGAAGCCTCCTCTGCCGGCCAGACAACCCAGCCACCACACAGCTCAGTGGAACAATCAACCACATGTGACCCCCAGTACATCGTTGCCATTTTCCACCCCATTAGGTTCGTTTCCACCTCCTGCTCAATACGCCAGTCCTTCGCCACAAAATGGGTATGACCAGTACAATCACAATCCCCAATACCAGGCTGTCAATGGCATCCCGGATGCACGGCCACCGCCACCGCCGCTTCCGCAACGACCCATGGCCCAAGGTCCTACTACTGCTCCGTCGGAGACAAATCCTCAGATGCACTACTATCACCATGGCCAACTACCAGCACTTACGGTTTCTGGGCCTCAACCAACAGGCGTTTATCATGAAATGTCTGCAGACCCGGTTTCAAACCGTCCTAAACCAGAGCAGCTGAGCAACACGATGGAAAGCACTGCACAACTCCAGGCCTCGGCAAGGCAAAACAGTCCGTCACGAGCGCCGGTACGACCAACGTATATGGCAGAGTTGCCAGGATCCCCGGCCACCTGTTCTGAGATTAGACCAGGCTCTTCGCATCATTCAACGGCAAGCTGGCCAGTGCCTGTTTCAAACGGTGCCCCATCAGACCCTCCTTCGCCTTTGCACAGCATATCGACCCATACTTCGGAGCACCAGAGGCATGCGAGTCAATCTGGGCAAGTTGTACAGGATGTCAATCAATTGTTGACTTCCCCTCCTCAGCAGTCAAGCCAGCACATGGGATCAAATATATCTCCTCAAACCCCAACAATTCCGATGGTTCAGTCACCCACTCCCAGTCAGCCTCCGCTGCATCCACAGTTCTATTCAAATCCCATCCCTCCCCCCCCTCCTCCCTCGGGTTCGGCATATAGTCCAAGCGATTTCACACCATCGCAACCATATCAGCATAATCCAACAATGCCCACGAGCCCGCCAATCTCCCCCGCACCAGCGGCGACACCTAGCTCGGCCTGTCAAACATCCTTCGACATGAGCTCACTGACTGCTGCAGTCAATGATGTCAATGGTCGCCAGTCACCTTGGCAACATCAGCCGTCCTCAGCCTCATATCAACAGAATGCGTACCACAACACGATGAACGTCCCAATGCATCACACTGGAACCACGCCTATGGCGCCTAATCAGAATTATCCACCCCTGAATGCCTGGAGTAGCGCACCATATGATCAGTCATTGATGGTTAGACCGCCACTGGTGGCACCTGTGTTGTCACAGCATGCCGTAGTTCAATCAAATGTGCCAGCGATGCAACCATATCAGCACCAGTGGCCCACACCAGCAAATGGCCAAGTCTACACCTTGCCACCAACTCCTCAGATGACTCCTCAGCTTCCTGCTCCCCAGCATGCACGAGCACCATCTTACCAGGGGGACCATCGACAGCATCCCGAAAATCTTCCGAACACCATGCGTGTGCAGCGCAGTGGTGATCAACCAAGGGTTCGCAAAATTCTATCGCTTGATGGAGGTGGTGTTAGGGGACTGTCGTCGTTGATTATCTTGAAACATTTGATGAAGATGCTGGGTAGGATTCGAGGCGCAGAATTAAGACCGTGGGAAGAGTTTGATATGATTGCGGGTACATCAACTGGTGGGCTGATCGCTATCATGCTCGGCCGCCTGCGAATGTCAGTTGACGAGTGCATTGAAGCGTACAAGCACCTTTCGAAAGAGATTTTCGCACGAGCACGATCGTCAGCAAATGTTCCGGGCAGGGCTATCGATCTTGTAAAAGCTAAAGGAAGATTCAGCTCCGAACCATTGGAAAGGTGTATCAAGAAACTCCTCAAGGACCACCACCTGTCTGAGGATGAGTTGATGGCCGATAGGAATCCGGACTCTCCAGCTATGTTTGTATGTGCTGTCGAGGGTCTTAACGCTGATGCTATTGTGATTCGGTCTTACACAACTAAAGAGTTTGACGACCTGTCCGATATTTGCAAAATCTGGGAGGCTGCTCGAGCCACCTCGGCTGCGTCCACATTTTTCGACCCTATCAAAATCGCTGGTCGAGACTTCGTCGATGGAGCCCTGAAGCGTAAGTGTTGCGAATGGCGCCTCCCATCTGCCTCTCTCTCGCCAAATTTTGAGGAATGTATGTTGACTGGTACGACAGACAATAACCCCATCGAGAAGGTCGACGAAGAATCCCGTGGTAGGTTGTCTCGTACTCCAAATAGCATTGAAGATACCATCAGACGGCTAACCAAGCATCAATGCAGAAAAATGGCCATCAGATGAACGATTGATAATTTCGATCGGTACAGGCAGCGCCCCTGGACCTGACGTAACGGGAAATTTGAAAGATCTTGTTGAAGCAATGGCGAAGATTGTCACAGAGACCGAAGACCGGAGTAATACTTTCCGAAGACGAAATAAAGATATGGTTGACGCACACCGCCTCTATCGATTCAACGTATTCCATGGACTCGCAGATGTGGGACTTGCTGAACACGAAGCGGCTGCGAAGGTTGAGGCTCACACAGGAACCTATCTGCGAAAGTATGACATAGCGAGGGAAGTTGAACTTTGTGCTTCTTCATTGAACGAAACTGGTCAACGGCTTGGTATCATTGCTGGTGAAGGTCGGTCCTACTGTTCGTGATTGCAATTTTCAGCCATCATACAACCACTCTAACAAGACTCGTTTCCAGAGCTTGCTATGTATCGCGAGGTCCAACGAGTCTCGACAACGACTTGTGAGTTTTGTGAGGATTGTCACCGAGGTAAGAGGAGTTGATGAGAGCCATGTACCACCTTGCTAAGCAGATTTTCAGGCATTCCATATTCCGAGCCATTATTTTACTGTCCAGAAGATAGTATGCTATTCTGTAAAGATTGCCAGATCACTCACGACGATGGTCACATGCGCAAGATTCTCCGCCTCAAATCTCTTCAGTGGATGTCGAAAATATCTGGTGTTGCCACCACAGCATCTTGTTGGCACTGTGCCAAAGAAACCAAAGTGAGATGGGGGTGCGAAAAGTGTGACCTGGCGCTTTGCCGAAGATGCGTGGGAAACAATAGTCGTCGGGAGGAGTTTCTGAACGAACATCAGACCAAACAACCTGATCACCGTACATTCATGGCCATTTATCCTCCTTATTGGACAACAACGGAACGCTGGATTCGAGACAACTGCATCTGCAGCACTCAACCAGAGATCCCGGTCTATCATTGTGACAGGTGCCACGACATTATGAATCTAGGAGCACGATGCTATAACTGCAGTACGTGTGCGTCCGAGTTCGGCTGTTCCCAAGTTTTGTGTACGGCTTGTTACCAGAAAGAGGACCAAAGACATCTTTCACAGCACAGATGGCAGACCACAGACTTTGTCAGATTGCAACACGGCCCTGACGAACTGGACAAGGTTAAGATATACTATGCTTGCCAGCAGTGTCCTGGTCAAGGTAAATTACTCGCCAATGGGAACTGTGCTAAGATACTGACATTTAAGCAGAAATACAAGAAGGCCGCGAATACCTTCACCCGCATCTGAATCTTCAGATGCCTATCTACCCTTTGATGGAAGAGCTTTGCCGCTTTGCAAATACACAATTCTGCCAACGATCTCGCATAGCTCGCGACAAAGCCGCATCCGACGACCCCACCGAGTTACTCTGCAAATCATGCCACGGATTCGTCTGCTTCAACAAAAAAGCAGCTATCTGCTTCACTAAGAAATGTCTCTGGACATATTGCGAGGACTGCATCAACGCCAAGACCATTCACCACCGCCATCCGCTTTATGAAGTGACGATCAATCGAACCCCAGAAGGTGCAACAAACATCGTCAGATGCTGCAGCTGCTCCGAGATGATTGTTGCTGGGCTTTTCAAGGGTCTGTGGTGTAGCGATTGTAACAATTACGATGTTTGTCTGCAGTGTGTCGCCAAAGTCGGACAGGGGACCCTGACGTTGCCGGACAGGTTCCCGCATATCAAGCTCTTGAAGCAGTGTAAGACCCGGAATTGGATTTGGTATATTTGAGCGGGCCATGCTCGGACGGGCTTGTTGACGATAACCACGGATGAGACGACTTTTCAACGCAATACTAAGTATGATGCCCAGGAGTCTAGTAAGCCCTCGCCGGCAGACGGTATACGTCAGACGCGACGCCATGAAAACGCCGCACCCTGTTGAGATAGAAACATGCCAGTGTAATCGAAATGAATGATGCCCTGATTCTCCTTCGGCCGGAAGTTGCAAGGAGCAAGAGCGTACCTGAGTCCTGCTTGGTCTAAATGTGCAATAGTAGTGAGTCTTATCAACATTCGTGTTACTGCCCAGCAAGGTCTTGTCGAATTGCCGTCATACCCATGAGTCGATCACGTTGAACTCTTCCCGGGGTCAACGTAAACCCGGTTAGTTAAGTTAACTACCTAACTTAGGTAGCTAACAAGTTAGTCAGTCCTGGGGCTTCCCCAGACTTTCCTAACTACTTCGTAGGTGAGTGACGCCTTTCTCCATCTCACCCGCGGCGATCCTCCACACCGGCCGAAAGAAGGGCTTGGACGGGGACTTTCTCAGGCCTAGACGCCTTCCCCACCCCCATAGTTTCACTGCTTAATTCCGCGAAGCCCGAGGGACAAAGGCGCTGAATGATTGATCGCGATCGTCCTCCTGGTAAAGTGTGTCAAATATGAGGGGAAATGCAATGCTGAGAATCCTCATACCCGAGGGCCAAGCACTGGTGTGTATCTCACGTCCTCAGTCATCTTCGACACATCCGATCCATTGCCGATAGTCGTGGCTTCACTTTGGTGTTTGGTTATTTAAAAGACCTGAGTCCTGCGCTTTGTCGACGGTATGCTCAGAATAACTTGGTAGTTGAGCGCTCCAAAAAGGTTCTTGCACTGGAATAATCGCTGCTGGCATATCTATCTGTCTAAAATACCATATTCTGGTGCTGTTGATCAGCCGCTGCCTCTTGTCAAGTATACACAATCATCCACTTCCGACTAAGACAACCCTCCAGCCCACAATGTCGCGCCACCGCAGAAGCGTCGAAGTTGGACTCTGCGGCGGCGGGCTCGGCGGGCTCATGGCAGCCATCGCACTCGCACGGGGCGGTGCCAACGTCACAGTCCTCGAAGCCGCCGCCGAGTTCACCGAGATCGGAGCGGGCATCCAAATGACACCCAACGTGGCGCGCTTCTTGCTTCGCTACGGCGTCAGCGACATCATCGGCTCGAATCTCGTGCAGTGTGATTGTATCAATATCCGCTCCGCTGATGGGCAGTTGATTGCGTTCTCAGACTTCAAGCACATCCTAAGAGACTATGGGTTTCCCTGGTGGGTTGTGAATCGGTATGATTTGCTGGCTGGGCTTGCGGAGTCGTGTCGACGGCACGGTGTGAAGATGGTGCTTGATGCAAGGGTGGACGAGCTTGCGTTTTCGGACGATGTCGATTCCAAGGTGACGGTCACGACAGAGAAAGGGGCAAAGTATGATTTTGATCTGCTTGTGGGATCGGACGGCGTCAAGTCCGTGGTGCGCAAGAAGCTGTTCCCGGAAGTCAAGCCCACGGCGTTGACGATGAATGCGGCCTATCGAGCTGTGATACCGTATGAAGAGGTGTTTGCCAAAATCCCCGAGGCGAGGTCTGTCCTGAAGAATGCAATCGATGTCTGGACGGGGCCTGGGAGCTATTTCATCTCGTATCCGATGACGGCGGGGAAGGACTTCAACGCCGTGCTGTCCCATCATACACGCGATAACCATCTCGTTGAGGATGTAGAAGAGGCGGATATGGATGAGTTTCGAGAAGCCTTTGACAGCTATGATCCGATTGTGAAGAAGATCATCGGGTTGATCCCGGAATCGAAGCGCTGGCCGCTGCTCATGACAGGTCCGCTGGAAAGCTGGTCCAATAAAGCGAAGAATGTGGTTCTCATGGGTGATGCGGCTCATTCGATGGTGAATCATATGGCACAGGGTGCTGCAACATCCATGGAGGATGGAATCTTCCTGGGCAAAGTAATCGCGGATGTTGTTAGAGGTATTCTCAGCCTTCCCGAGGCTGTGCACATATATGAGAAGACACGGATGCCTAGAGCATGGACGAAGCAGCAGGCTTCGTTCACTAATGGTAAGCACCCATCATTTCCTTGCTTTACTGACGAATTTTCAAAAGTATGAATAGCCTTCTGACTTCCCCTTCATCTAGGTCAAGCCACGTTCTCTGCAGAGCCCGAGTTGTCGCGTCGTAACCTTGCTTCTCGTGTGGAAACGGATTCGTACTTCAGCAATATCGTCGACCCTGCGAAGCCACCTCCGGACTATCGCTCATGGGACTTGTGGGGATATCCGGACAGCATTCCCGGAGTTTACGCATATGACGCTGAGTCCGATGCCGACAACGCAATTTGCGAATTTCTAGGTAAGCAAGGTCCCATCAATCCGGCAACAAGGGTCAGTAAACGATTGAGAGAGAAATGGTGGAGCTGGAATACAATTGAGGTGGAAGATGCCAAGGGGAGAGGGAAGTTCAAGTTGTAGATCATAACACAGTTTTTATCCACAACCCATAATACGTGTCCGCACCAGAAAGGAGGACGAGAGTTGCAGTTGCCCCGAATTTTCGGCGGTGTAGTGGATGGATGCATTTTGATACATTCGTTGGGCTATTGCATATTGTCCGTTGCAGATTAAATCCCTTGTCCCATTTTCGGCACCTCCAGTGCACGAGAGAGTGATAAACCTCTTGCGGCTGCGCACAGAAAGCATTTTACCAGCCTTGCATCCTTGCATGTATGTCCGGTATGCAAGCGAAAGAAATGGTCGAATAGGCACAAATCTTCCCGAACTCCGCGGCTCCCCTGGCAGGAGAGAACACAGGAGAATCACTGTAAAACTGGGGTCGGTTCTCCGGATCACTTTGAGCAGCAATTACCTCCTGCTCCAACACAGCTGTGAATACTTCATTATGTGCGCTCTCTCCCCACGAAATAACGCGTGCCAGGTCGCGACCGCGGGGCCAATAAGATCCCAGACCGGCTCGTAGATTTTGTCGAAGCTCTTCCCAGTATGGTGAGTCCTTGGGACACTCATAAGACTGTAGTCCTGGTCCTTGTGAGCATTGTGACAAACCCATACTGAAATTTCTTATGCCAGCCGCGGCGTAATAATGGCTGGACAATCCATGGGAGACTCCGAATGGTCCGGTGAAGGCAGTCAACACCGTCTGAGTATAAAGAACTAAGAAAGTGTTGTCGTTGTCATACCGGAACGATGCCTCGTTATCATGACGCGGGTCGCTTCGTCCGCCTATACTACTACTTAATCCAATGCCATTACCAGTAACAGCAGCATTCAATTCGTTTACAGGCCATTGTGCTTGGTCTCCTGAACGATAATTGGGTAAGGTAAGCAGCTGAAATTTGACATGTTCCGCTGCGTCATGCAAATCTTCCGTATAAATGGCAGGGAAGTCAGGCACTGTAATGAAAGCCATTTCAAGTGTGCCATAGGGGACCAGAAAGATGTCGACTTGTTCTTTCAACGGCCCAAGCACGTCAATAAGCGCAGCGACTTCAGGTGAAGCTGGTTGCCCCTTCTTCTTTCGGAGATAGCGAGCCCATTGCCTTGAGATATCATTGAATGAATGAGCGCAATTGTAGTATGGCGGACTTGTGAAGTGTCAGGTTCTTCAAGTATATCCAATGTCAACGTATGTTTTGCCTACCTCGGATGAGCAGATGATGGGTCGGACAATATGTTCAGAACCTCGTTGTAGCGTTCAGTTGAATCGACTCGAGCAACGTCGACCACTGTGCCGTTGAAGAAAGACACAGAAGCAGTGCTATACACAATCATCAGGCCGATCCAACTCAGAAGTTGAATGAATCACTGAATGCAACTTACCCATAGCCAGCACTCAAGTCGAACCCTACCGTGAACGATTGATTTTTGAAGTCGGAATACCGCCTCACCTGGCGCGGCGGATGAAAATTTGAATAGCATGACACGGTTGACACGAGCCAGAGATAGAAGAGGCCGAAGCAAACCAGTCCAACAATCAAGATTGAACCTAGTACGCAGCAGCACCTTGCGCAACAGCAATCATTGGTCCTTCTCACTCGCCTCCTGCGTGTTCCGAGAGGAGTGCGTTCGCCGCTTTCGCGGTCGGATTGATGTGATTCATGGCTTGAAGAGATGACAACTATTTCGTTTTGCACTGCATTCAAAGTTCCATATGCGATCGCTCGAGACATTGTGAAATCTGGTGAGTCGGAGAATTCAAGAGTGGTGGCTGGCGGGTTTGCGATTTTAGCTACGATCCTTATGCTGTCTAGGCTAGGATATATAGACAGCCAAATCGTAAGCTTGACCAGCCCAGCCAGGTGACGGAGACTATCCGCCAGCTCTTAATACGTTCACATGTTGTCCGGGCAGGGCAGATTAGAGGCTGTCGAATCGATCTTCTCCAGGCAGCACCGAAACGAAGGACGTTAAGGGCCGCATCCTTGACTGGGGCTGGATGGGGCCAAGGGCGGTTTTCTGCAGCAACTCTAAACCATATTGGGTGTCAGGCAAATATTCACTCCAGTTAGAGTATTGAGCGAAAAAGCCAATCAGGTGATCCATCAGTTCTGATATCCGCTGCCAATGGGTGTCTGAATGCTTGAGTACCTCGCAACGACCTATTTAAATTTGGTAAACCTCGAACATACGGTCACACGAGTTCAAAACTAACCCTTGGCCACAATTTCATCTCCAAATGTTGGCCCAAGTGGCGTCTTTATCTGGTCTCTAAGAAACTAGCTGGTAGTGGTCGATCAGTACAGGCATCGAGAAAGCAGCATTTTACGACTGCAAGAATACCCTGCCGTCTCGTGACAAGGTCTTGATGATCAACATGGAGCCTAAATCTATACATACGACTAGGTCTTTACCACGTGCGCCTCGGACTGCGTGTTCCGAGCTGAATCGCCCACCGATGCGCCAGCACTCTCCTCGATGCTCTCAGGAGTATCGGCGCTGCTCGTCAGGAGGTTGCGAGCCTCTTTCAGGCGAAGATTTGGCACGAAAAGGGCCACAACGACGCAAATCGCCGAGGTTGCCACGGCAGAGTAAGTGATATCTCTCAACACGTCCGAGTAGGCGAGGTTGATCGCATCACGTTGGACTGTACCGACCGCGGGAATAAGAGTGCTGGTAATCGAAGCATAGACTGCGTCCTCGATGTCTTCCGTTGCTCCAGGTCCCAAATGAAGGCGCAGTGCACCTTTGAAGCTCCCCGTGTAAATTGCGCCTGCCACTGTACCGCCTACCGAGCCACCTACAAAGGTACACAGCAGGACCAAGGCTGTTACCTGAGGCATCTCCACGTGGGGCACAACGACTTGAGCGGCAACAATGATGATCATCTCGAGGAATCCGGCCCCGCTGTCAAGGACGGTTTAGGTTAGCCAGCGACTTTTGACATTCCGGGTACATGGTTGCAGCATGATGGGTGTTCGGACGATCATACTGTCAGAGAGTCACCGAGGGAGGCAGTACTTACATGCCCTGAATTGATTGAACGACAAAAATCTCAGCCCATGAGTTGTGAGCTCCACGAAGGCGAATCATAAGCCCATAGCCAATTAATTTGATAATCGCACCAGCAACCAGCAGCCACTTATATCTCTTAGTCCTCCACATAATGACACCAGAAATGATTCCAGTGAGACATTGCCAGACTCCGTTGGTGTAGTTGAGGAAAGTGGCATCTCTAGGGCCCATATTCTGAACCACTGTGGCCCCTGGAAAGAACGTCGTTAGTACAGCTCAATGAAGGTGGTCGTTCGGTGTCGTAGACGATTAGTGCTGAAGGAAAAACAATCAACTCACAGGGATAAAGGTAGGTATGCGTGCCTGAGAAGCCGAAGGTGTCAAGAAATCCGAGGGTGCAGCAGAGTACAATGGTGAGATTTTTGAGGTACCGAGGAGGTACGATGGGGTGAATGGCGATCAAAGCTTCATAGAAAACCAATCCGATCAATGTCACGAAGCCGACCACAATTAGCGCTATAATATAACCTTGTTTCCATTTCTCAGTGGATGATCCAGCTATAGTGAAGGGTAGGAGAAACATGGCAAACCCAGCAGCTAGCAGAAATGAGCCCCCTAGGTCGATCTGCGAGCAGAACTCATGGACGTTGAGCTTTTGGGTCAGGATGAGGCTTTGTTTCTTCGCCTTTCGTTGATAGTACATGAGTGGCAGAATCAAGGCCGATGCAGCTACTGGCATTATGAGAGCGAACATGCCTGTGTTCTTTAGCGAGTGAGCTGGATTAAAGGGGCCCGTCTTACCAATTCCCCACCGCCAGCCAACGCCCCCTGGGTTAACCACATCCTCGACAATGAAGGCCGATATCCACGGCGTTATGAGAAAGGGAAAGAAACTGATTGATATACCAAAACCTCGAGCTCTCATGCTAGTAATGTCGGATATGATGATATCATTTAGTATGTTTACCCCAGTTTGGCCGATATTAGCAAAAACAAACCCTCCGGCATAGACACCAAATGAGCTTGACGAAGCACAGAGAATATATCCCAGGAGATAGCACATAATGCAGAAGATGTAAGCCTCCGCTCGTCCAATCGTGTTACTGATCTTAGCAATTGGAGGCTTAGCAACGGCGAACACTATGGCACCAACCACGCCAAGTGTAGAAAGACCTGCCACGTTGTTGAAGGCCGATGCAGCATAGTTTCGATAATTGTATAGCAAAGCATTGTCGAACTGACTGTGATGTATCAGATTCAGTCGTCTCTTCATGACCTACGGTAAGCATCAGGTAACTTACTAGACGATCAACATCATGCTAATGCCAACCCACACGATAAGTCTTCCATGCTTTCCCCAAACAAGCTGCATTGCCTCGGCTCTTGCTGCACCACTTGTCAAGTTGGAATCGACCACAATGGCGCTCAGTTTCGCGCTCTCTAGATCATCGTCGCGTTGCTCATGGGTATTATTGATGAGTGGTGTGGGTGCCTTCGAGGCATCCTGCTCAATTGCTTCTGCTTGATGGCTAACCTGAATGGACGACATAGCTGTCTCATTCATTCTTCATGGACCGACTTTATAAGGCTGAAATTAGTTGGTCAACATCAGTAGACTTCGACGGAGTGCGATTGAGCGCAGAACTCCTTATGTATCACATCTAGGACACACACACAGAGACGCCTGGCGTCCCTCTGAACACCACAAACCAACATAGCCGAGAGTCCCTCACACAGTGGCTGGCTATCGACATGGCTGCAATATCCCCGAGTAAGTCACTTCCGATGTAGTACAAGAGTGTAACCTGGAATGGAAGTAAACTTGAGGAAGATAGCATCGGTGTCAATGGGAGAAGCGAGAGATAAGTTCCTTCTCAGCTTATTGGCTGCGCCTTGAGGGGTTCACAACACGCACCCAACCGCATGAGTGCCATTTCCAAGAACCATTGTTCGACGTAGCCTATTGCAGTTATGATCGACAATGCCATTAGAGTCGGTTTCCTAGGAACCTTACCTTATATCTGACATTTAGGAGATATCCGCCGTTGGAAGTGCTCACATCTTGGTGGCCAAGGCGTTGGCAAGTAACCCGGTAAAGCTACGTGCGCACTCGGGCCCCTCCGGGGGTGGGGACACCCAGCCACAGGGTAGTGCTTCACTATCTACGTTGCTCGTAAATAAATAGTTCGGGAATTACCAAGGGAGGGGCTGCGGACAGAGTCAACTACCTAACTAGGTACCTACTTAACTAGAAAAGCTGTCTGCTACATAACCGAGCCAAGGGTTTACACATCAGATAGCGATTTTTTTTTAATCTCTTTAACTTTCTGGACTCTGTAATCAATATGTATCTACTGAGTGTTTGATTTCTGTGATCTTTATCTGCAGCAGGACTGTACATAGTCTAGATTATTTGGGGTTCGGGAATGAGCAAGAAGAAGAAAGTGTGCCAATCTGCCAATGAAGGATGCCATATGTTTGATTCTCCTTGGCCCCCAGAAGTCACCCATCCTTGACTGATAAGAAATGTTTGCTGTCAGTTGCCATTCAAAGCAAACAACAAGACCTGAGAAGTTTTCAATTAACTAGTTACCTACGATATTCCACCCTACCACGGATATGGGCATCAAGTCGACCCTAGAACCACGATGGAGTTCTCAGCCTCGAGCCATGCAGAAGGAGCAAGGGAGCAAAGTGAAAATGCTCTGCTTCTGGCTCCTAGTCGTGTTTGCGTTCGCGGTAACTAAACCCTCGCGCAAATTCCTGAAGTTATGGCAGGAGCCAAATGTGCTAGCCGATGATCGACTGGCCAACTCTCCCTCATTTGAATGGTCCGAGATTGTCGCTTCAAACGAACTCCAGTATCACGACTGTTACGATGGCTTCCAGTGTGCTCGACTTGAAGTACCAATGGACTACCACGGTCCCATCGAATCGAGCAACAAAGTGGCATTGGCAGTGATCAGGAGGCCCGCTCGAGTCCCAGTCAATGACCCTCATTATGGAGGAGCAGTATTGATCAACCCAGGCGGTCCAGGTGGCTCAGGCGTTGCAAAAGCGCTTGTCCACGGTGCTCTGATCCAACAAGTCGTGGATGCTGACCGAGAACCGAGCGAGGCTGAGGCCGAGGACAAATATTTCGACATCATCGGCTTTGATCCTCGAGGTATCAACCGCAGTACACCTATCCTCAGCTGTTTTCAAGATAACTTCGCTCGTCAAGTTTGGACCTTGCAGAGTGAGGCTGAGGGCATTCTGGGTAGCTCCGACGGTTCCCTAAGGCTTGCCTGGAGACGTGCGAGAGCATTGGCAGACGGATGCTCATCCCGCGATGATAGTGCAGATGGTGGACCGTCAATTTTGGAGCATGTCAACACCACTCCTGTCTCCGCTGACATAGTCGAAATAATTGAACGGCATGGTCAGTGGAGAGAACATCAAGGCATCCAAGCTCAGGAGGCTTTTAATAAGGCACACCGATGTCACAACAACTTGGATATCGTCTCACGGACGAGGTGGCAGCGAGGAATGGAGAAGCTCCAATACTGGGGATTTTCTTATGGTACACTCATCGGCTCCACATTCGCGTCAATGTATCCAGAACGTGTATCAAGATTGGCCCTCGACGGAGTAGTCTCTACGGATGACTATTATAATGGCCCCTGGAATACCAATCTGGTAGATACGGATCAAATTTTTGTGCGGATTTTTGAATATTGCAATGAAGCAGGTCCAGATCAATGCCCATTCTGGCGCCCAGGGGGTGCTAAAGCCATTCAGGCCGCATATGAAAAACTCTTGCACGACATATGGGATGATCCACTCTCTGTTGTTGGGAACAAGCGTCGTGGTCCGGAAATAATCACATGGTCCGATATCAAATCGGTGACTAAGAATGCGCTCTATCAGCCCGTCATCCTCGGACCAATAATGGTAGAGCTGTTGCAAGACATCACCAATGGTACTGGAAGCCTCTTTGCGGACTATAAAGAGAAGAGCCGTGTGCCGGCATATAGGTCGAATGAGTGCATCCTCGACGGCCCCTACTCCGAAGCTTGCGTTTCACCCGGCTGGAACGAGGTTGAAGCAACCGCTGCTGTCTTATGTACCGATGCTGAGGGCATAGGTAGTTTCACAGAGGACGAGTTTCGCGAATATTGGCAGAGTTTGAAAGCTCTGAGCTCAAGTATGGGCGACTACTGGGCGGAGACGCGTCTTGCCTGTGGGGGATGGCAGAAGCGGGCGAAATGGCGATTTTCAGGCCCCTTCTCGGCCAACACTTCTCATCCCATTCTATGGATCGGCAACACGCTCGACACTGTCACGCCACTACGTAATGCTCAATACATGAATTCGCAATTTCCAGGCTCGGTGCTCCTCCAGCAAGACTCCGAGGGCCACTGCTCTCAGACAGCACCAAGTCTATGCACTGCCAAGGCCGTTAGAAAGTACTTCCAGACTGGTTTACTTCCCCCGGTTGGCACTATATGCCAGCCTGATATCAGACCTTTCAACTTGCAAGGTGATGGCCTTAAGGATCTCAGCACAAAAGATTCGGAGCTGCTTGATGTCTTGAAGCAGATCGCCAAGACCATGCATTTTCCCTGACACCGTCTTCAGCCGACAGAACTCCAGATGTTGAAGGAGCCCAAGTATGATCAGGAGTCTCAGAGCAACAGTAATAGCGACGTGAGCAATGATTAAGAAAACTTCCCACTAAAGGATGCACAATTTGAGTATACCTGATAGAGTTCCTACATTTGCATTGTTCATACCCGGCTCACCTGCGCATTGTAGACAACGGCGGTCTCGGGTACAATACTCGACTCATATCCAGTGCCTATTACGGTGAAGTATCAGAATCGATGAGCTCCCACAAGCGCTGCTGGTCCGCACAGATTGTCGGTCAACCCAAATCTCTCCTCCCACTCGCCCTCTTCCCTCTCAACAACGACCAAGTTGAAGGATAAATCAAAAATGCTAAAGTCCCTCCGTTTTACTTTATACGCTTCCAAAGTCACCAGAGAAACGAACACTAAGTATAGGCAGCACCTCGCAGGCTGTTCTTCTATTCAAGGTCGTCCAGAATCCCTAACGGAGCGCCTTGGCTTTTTATGACTAAATTCTATCATACCGATCTTCATGTTCTACCTCGAGTCTGCTTAGCAGTTAAATGTCAATTTGCCAGTAAGATTCTTGTTATGGTACGGAATGAGTGGCTGAGTTCGTCTCCCCAATAGAATGGTAGTTAGAGGGCACGATTAAAACGTGCTGATGAAATCCAATAAGGCGAACAACAAGGATGTTTCAACCCGACAACCTTCATTTTGGTGTTTCCCACGCCGGAAGCCTTTCTCAAGCCAACCTCGAATGGCAATTTCATCCATTCCTCGAATATTCTGTTGCGCGATTAAAACGGATGCATGACTGCAAAGCACTGTGGATTCGTCTTGGAAGGAAGGATATGTCTTGCAGTCCGACTCCTGGCCTAAGAGGCCCTGAGAGGCATCCTCGAATTGGTCGGCGAATGTGTCGCCGTAAAGTGCTGATGTAGATTCCCTCTCTATCTCAGTACTAAATTGCGGCACCAGACTAGATTCTGGGATATGCAGAAGAGTCACAGAGGTTGCCGTTATGAACGCTGGTAATGGTTCCTGCGGTGAAATTAATGGGGTAAAAGAGCCCTCTACGATCATAGATCTCTTTGCCACCAGAGAGGATTGAGACTTGGATGTGGTAGCTAGATCGGGTGTCTGACTGATTTCTGGGACCCACAAGGTGGTTTCCAGGGTCTCGTTACCCTCTTGTTGATGTTGTCCTTCAGTTGGTGCCAACGGTTCCGAATTCACATCTCGATCAGGATGTTTCTTAGCAGCCTGATTCCTCCAGTGTTTGCAATCACTTTCTAGTTCCGCAATCCTTGCTCTTGCCTGGGCGAGAAGATTTTCACTATGGTCGACCTTCTCTTCAAGGAAGGTGATATACTGTCGTCGTCGCTCACGGTGACGTCGCTGATTGTTCCGGACTCGGATCAGTGTGTGTGCTGGTGTTTTGTTTTGCGTCAGCCCAACAGAGGTGACTTTGTCATCCGTCAGATGCATTTTTTTTCTCCTGAAGGAAATTGGTTGGATTGACCGAAGGAAACTAATAATTGTTGCGATTGAGAACAAAATGGGTGTTGAAAATACTAGTCGAAACTTAGATGACCTCGCCAAGATGGTGACATATCGACACGCATACGAGTAACGCCACAACCGTAAAGAGGATAGCTCTCCTGCATCTCGCAGCCGGTCTGACATATCTAGACCTTGGGAAAAGATAATATTTCATGGAATGTGTACGCGCCTCAGGAATTCATTTCTAGCTAAATTAATATCTAAACAAAAAAGGGTCAACAAACGCCCAACTCAAACTACATTGATAGTGGGAGATAAGACTTGAAATGCAAACCTCGAGCGAGGCCACATATGAGACGTTGCGAAGGATGAAGTGTGAGCACCTTTGCCTCAGCCGTTACAGCCTTTCCGAAATCTGCATCAGCTAGAGACACCGGAGAAGACGTGTGAGTTACCAGTGCCAGTGAAAACTTCACAACTGTACGATCCCACGACCTAAGACTCAAGGGAGAGTCTTCAGCATGTAATCAGCTGTTCTGGTATCTATTCATGGATCGTCACCTCTTGACTGGAATCATTATGTACTACCCAACAACCTCCACTCAAAATGCTGAGGTGTATGTGGAGAGTCGATGACTTGGAAACAAGAGCTATGCCATGATGAAAATGTTAGTCAATGTGGGATTCTGAATCGTCACAATAGTTCAATACAAAATCAAGGTAATTGGCCAAATGCTAAGTCAAAATTACAGAAAGGGGCTTCGTGAGATGTCTTTGATGATGTCTGACTGTTGCGAGCCTATGGAGATGCGGACTTCGCGACTTCAAAGAGATACTCTGCTTTGCTTCAGGTAACTCAAGGAAAATTAAATAGGAACAACCTGTTGCGTCTTTACCTGAGGGGAGTCGAATCATGCTTTGATAGCATAGATCTTGAATGATCCTAAATCGCGTTTAGTAAAAGCTGACGAAAATGGGCTTGAAGAACTATGGTTACACGTACCCGCCCACTCATTGAAATCCAAGTTATCGAAGTCATTCCTAATCGCTTCGAGAGCGTCGGCTTGCTCGGCGCCCTTGCCAGTGCAGCAAGAGGACTCCTTCTCATAGCGGGAGTTCTTTGCATCTGTACCACAGCATTGGGTTGAAGTTTGTGCCCCTTTATCCTTGTACACATTCAAGTCATTGTGGGCATCGACGATCAGAATGTCTGTGACCAGCGGTATTGGTTCAGCAAACTTGACACAAACAGTACTCTTCCAAAAGATAAGGGAGAACCTTACCGACAAACCCTGCTACATGAAGGTACTGCTCGTACTCTTTCACTTGGCTTGCACCCGCAATGCATCCCACATAAAGAGCCATGTCACCTTTCAGCTCTGGTGAAAGTTCCTTTTTCGTCAGAATATCGCTGATTGCCACGCGCCCACCAGTCTTGAGCAGCCGGAACATTTCGTTAAACACGAGCTGCTTTTCTCCTTCTGGGACAAGATTTACAACGCAATTACTTATGATGCAGTTGGCAATAGCGTCGGACAATGCCACTTTGGTGATTCGAGACTCCACGAAGGAGACATTGGCGGATTGTGTCCTTTCCTTGTTCCTTTCTGCTCGCTCAAGCATGTCCTGTTGTATCCGTTCAGTGTGCTTCTGACCACAGCAAGGAAGAGATATGAGATGTCATACCTTGTTCATATCCACTCCGATAGCTTTGCCTTGGGCTCCGACCCGTTTTGCCGCAAGGAACACGTCGAACCCAGCTCCACTACCAAGATCGACAACGGTCTCTCCCTGCTCAACAATTAGATAATAGACTGAGGCTCTTGGCAATATATCACACAGTCGTGCCAAAATACGTGAACGCAAGGGAGGGACACATGTACTTCTCTCAGTTTTGCAAGCGCTAATGGGTTTCCACAGCTCAGACCAAGATTAGCCCCATCAGGGATACTTGCCAGTTCTTGCTCACTGTACCCAAATGCCGCAGCGATCTTGCGTCCATAATCACTACCGTTACCTTTGACGGCGGCACTGTAGGCTTCTTGGACCTTATCGTAGATCCGGCTTTCGTCCATTTCGACTCTCTGCGCAGGAGTCAAAAAGCGAAGAATAATAAATCTGTAATTGAAATGAGTGCACAACTGGGAAGATGCATAAGGGGAGAAGGCAGTATGGTGGGTGGACTTTTACAGCGAAAGCAGTATCTTGATATCTCTGCTCGTTACCCCAACGATATGTCACCGCGGCTCGTGGATAGCGCGGAAAATAGTAAATCACGGCCCAGTAAGGGAACGACGACTGTCGACAAGGGGACCATTTATGTCCGCGAAGCTTGTTTAGCATTGCCTCTTCTTTGTCATAGCTACTTATTAGCGCTTTATTGTACCTCCAATTCCTTTCCAGAACCAAAGATGAGATCAATGACTTGTTCCCTCTCATCTTCCTCCGCCAGACCTGTGAATCGGAACTGCTTTAACATTGTTGCATGCATTGGCTCCTCTACCTCAACATATTCGCCACCACGACTGTATATGCATTGACAGGAACGAGTCTCATCAGAGGCCAGCAATGCCACGCTACGGGCCACCGCTTCAGGTGGTTGGCTAATGATGCCGAGATTTTCGAATTGCATCTGCGAGACTGTCACAAGACCTGTCCGTGTCCAACTGGGTGCTACAGCATTGATTCTGAGTGGCAAGTTATTGTTCTTAGCATGTACACTTGTACCTCGCATCAGACCGATCACGCCATGCTTCGAAGCAACATAGTCTGGAGCGTCGAAACGTTGATAGGAGGTGCTTGAGGCTGTGAGAGTGATACATCCGCCTCTAGGCGTTTGCTGCGTAGTCATATAATGGGCCGCTAGGGCGACCTGATTCGCAAGTGCGCTAAGATTGACTTGGAATGTGAGTTTAGAAGGCTCCTCTAGTTGTCCATCTGTGCCTTGTCGCACGCTGAGATAGTCCTCGCGTGAATATATGCCGGCGTTTGCGAACAAAACATCAATGCGGCCCTGCTCGGCGTGGGCTTTCTGAAACAAAGCGCATAAATCCGGCCAGGATGTTACATCGAGCGACGTAAAGCTGAATTTGGGGTCGCTGATAGTAGCTATGGGCGCCTGTAGGTCTGCCCCGTATACTATGGCGCCTTTGGACAAGAAAAGTTGTGCTGTCGCTAGACCAATGCCAGAAGATGCCCCTATATTTTGTCAGTGCTGTAAGCCAGGGCTATGCTGTCGGGGTGCTCACCCGTAATAATGGTGACTTTGTCATTCAATGGTCCGATGTCGCTTTCCGCTATCTCAAAGTACGACATTGTCAACCGTCCGCTATGATATCGGCAAATGCTGGGGTTTATAATGAGATCGTCGGTCAATTCTAGGGTTTCTGCTAGTAGCAAGCACACTGGCTGAAACTAAGCGATCCAGAGGATCTTTGAAATATACATTAGGGACTCGGGATCCTGTGTCCTCATCGCAAGGAAACTCCGCCTCCCAGATGAAAGACGGTATACCCTTGTGTACTCGCAGTGATTGTCCATCTCGTGTATGCAGATGCGTCGGAGCAGGCGGCCATGGGATTAGGGCCTACGCAACAGACCAACTTCAGCGCCCCGAAACTTGGAGCGGGATTCGGAATATTCATGGTGGGGCAAATGTATTCAGCTTCTCGTGCTCCCAACAAAGGTGTGTTCCTTGGTTGCGTCCACAGTCATGAATAAAAACTCTCATCATATGCCAGGTCCGCACGCTTGAATATCTTTTCTCTACTGGGCATCAGACCTTTCCATATGTGAGTGGAAGCGCCGACCATCACAACAAAGAACATGACAGAGAAGTATAAATTCGCCCCGGTGAAAGCATGGCCAGGCAGGCTTCTCCGATGGGAAGGAGCAGCCCTCAGTGTAGCAACGATCTGGGCGTATCGAAAGGCCGGGGGGTCATGGTGGTTTTTCGCCTGTGGAATACTTGTGCCCGATCTGAGTATGGTTGGGTATCTTTCAGACGCTGGTACAGGAGCGGCCTTTTACAACATCGGCCACACAGAAATTCTTCCGATACTGCTTCTGTGTGCTGGAGCTGGGCAGCAAATTCCACGCCTTGCCAGCATTGCACTTATATGGCTAGCACATATCAACCGTAAGAAACCTCATCGCAGTTGGCATTTTTGCGGTCACTGACCAGCTTTCTTTGTGGGCCAGTGGATAGAATGATCGGTGCCGGACTCAAATACCCCACAGGATTTGGAAATACTCATCTCGGGTTCTGGGATGGCTTCCAACGACGCAAGGAATGAGTTAGTCTGTGGTTAATTGGTTGTCCATGTGACAGCATGTCGAGAATTCACAATCCCTGAGCGGATGCCTGGGCGAGAGAGGATGATACATGGGGCGTCGTTAAGTTAAGGGTACTAGGGCGTGGAAGTACAGCCAACCCTCTAAGGCACCTTGCCACCTATAGCTGGGTGTAACAGAGGACCCTCGGGACCTCCAAGGCCTAAGGTCTAGGGAGTCCCTTAAGCAACCCATTCACTCTCAATTCTTGTCCCATCGTGACTCCCATGGATATCCGACACCTTCCCCACAGGCCTTCAGCATCATCTGTGGAGACGACAGCGGGGGGGGTGGGAGAGTTAGGCCACCATTATCCTTGGAATAATCCGTGTTCACCGACTCATCAAACTAGTTGACCACCCCGCAAGCGAATTTTGAGGCTGGGCCTGCCGGATATAGCAGACGAAATAAAGTCTGGGGCGTTGCGGAGCCCGAGGCCTTCGGCTTAGGGATCGAGGTTGTCTGCTTTTTTGCTAAAAAGACAGACATTTAAGGGTATGTGACATGTCATTAAGAAAACAAGACAGTCTTTTGTCCTTTTCTACTTTCGACCTAGCGCAAGCCAAGGCCCTAGCTATATAGAATTATCGCCTCTATAGGCTTTGTATCTTTTCTAAAAAGTTTAGTCGCATTCGGTGACTAATTAGCTCGTCGGTAGTGGCTCAAGATTTGAATAGACCGACGAAATGTCAAACCGTAAAAAAACCCAACACGTCTTTTATCGTTAAAAACCGGACATTTTGTCGTGTGCGACAAGGGTCCCTCCATCCCTACTTCGGCTGTTAACCAGTTAGTTTCTCGCCAATGAACTCCGCCACACTGTGGTCTTCCTTGTCCCTTTGGTTGAGTCTGCAAGACCACGCTGAAAAGTGGCACAAGAGCATTTTCTGTCTCCGAAGCCCTCAATTCTTTACACAGCGGTCTTTCCAACATGTCAGGGCGCCCAAGGAAGGCTTGCAGCACCTGTAAACTCCAAAAGGTAAAGTCGTGGCGGACTTGCAACAAGTGCCTTGACCACTGATTGACTGGTCGTGATAGATACGCTGTACGGGCGAGAAACCCAAATGTAAACGCTGCGTACGACTTGAGCATAGCTGCAGCTACGAGGCTCGCAGCACCGTGCCACGAAAAGCACAACAAACGCCTCCAAGTTTAGATCCTTATTACGGTCAGACCAACCTGCCAGCGCTTACGCACAATAGCAATCGAACACATGTGAATACCGTTGGTCAAGGCATCTATCTGGGGATCCCGAGACCACTGATAAAAGAATTGATAGAAATCTATTACGAGAATGTCTGCAATTCAACGCTGCTCCTACACAAGACAAGCTTCCTGGAATCCGTTTCAAAGGGCACAGTGGTTCCTCACACTCTTCTCAGTGTCTGTGCTTGGGGAGCAAAGTAAGTGTTGCAGAGCACCGTAAGGAGATTTATTACTGAGCCTACGATTATAGCTTCTACAAAGATAGCAATGGGTCTGCAACACTCAAGGCAGGTGGTTTTATGACTGAATGGGCTCAGCAGGCTGGAAAGCTTGCGTTCCAAGAAATTGAGAATTTCAGCAACGATCTCGTTGTGACCTTCTTGAACCTGACACTTTTCTGGCATAGTCAAGGGTCCTGGAAGGTCAGCTCGCTCTACAAAGGTGAGAACTGGCAGACGGAGCAGTTTCACCCTTGCTCACAAGCATCCAGCTAATGCGTTCCACTTGCTTTGTATTCTTGGTATCGGAAATTCGCAGCAACAGAAGATCCAAGCTTTCGACGTAGAAGTTCAGCGTCGCCTCTTCTGGTCATGGTACATCATGCATTGCCACAACACTGAAAGTCGCGGTGTTCTGGACACGGTCGGCGATCTGATGAGCTTACCTTTGCCATGGCCTGAGGAGGACTTTGGCCTTGGTACTCTGACCTCACCCACAACGACCCTAGCCTCCTCCGAAGGTTCTACTTCAGTTTTTGCGGAAATGTCCAAAATCATGACACTCTGGTAAGCCGCCGTAGCTTTCCAGCGACTGTTAAGGATCGTCACTCATATCACAACAGGTCACAAGCAGTCAATTTAATCAAGACCCCAGAGACAAGTCTCTCTGCTGGCAGGGTAACAGCTATCCTTACTTTGGACGATAAGGTCGCGCTCTGGTGGCGGAATCTGCCCTCAACCCTTAAACTCGAGGCGGACTCCCTCGCCACTGTGCCCGGTGCACCTCTCCCCCTTCTCTTACTTACAAACTTGATCTATCATCAAACCCTTTGCGTACTTCACGCATCGATTGTACCGTTATTTTGCTGGACTGCAGGCGATGACGCGTGGTCATTGACCAGGCAATCCTCTGCCCAAGTCGCATATGAGCATGCGTGTACAGTGTCCGCTCTGATCAGAGCAGCTTTAGCCTCATCCACGAAGATAAGTGCTATGCCGACATTCGTAGCCTATGCGGCTTATGGTGGCTGTGCGATATTGATGCCTTTCATGTGGTCCACAAATCTCAGTCTTCGATATCAAGCACAGGCAAATGTGAGAACAAATGTCCGCATGATACATGGTATGGCTGAGTACTGGAAGTTTGCAAAACTGCTGGTAAAGTAGACTTCTGGTCCTGTTCTTGACCATGATTTCGCTAATCAATTTGGGCTTCCGTAGACCGTCCATGTTAATTGCTTGTACAACATACATAAACGAAATCCACCCACTCTCGACAACGAACCCAAATACATTGATGTTGGTGAGCTGACAAGTTTCAAGATTGAAGCTTTGTACGCGAGGGTATCGATTCTTACATTCTTGGGCGTCCTCCAGAAAGGGTCGAGCAGTTTCGCAGACCCTGGACAGGAGACAACCGACCTTGGAATTGAGCCAAGTGTTGCCGAAGGAAATGACCTTATGGGTGGACCTGTTGGCGATGACTTGGATGGTAATGTATCCATCGACGTCCTGAATAGACTCTGGGACTAATGACTCTAGGCCCTGTCGAAACCTCCCAACAGAAAGTTCTTCCCACCATTTCCACGCAACCAAGCGTCAAGCGGAACGACCTTCCTGACCTCATGCAGTCTCAGCAATGGAATCTTCTCCCGCCCAGTGGACCTGGCATTGACATGTTCTCGCCATCGTTCACTCTTAGCAACCTAGAAGCCTTAGCGGACAGCAGCGCAACTGATGTCATGCAGTCTGATTTTGACCTTGAATTCGTGGATATTGATGGATGGGACTATGGGACTATGAACCTATCTCCATGGCTCGGCGTCGCTGAAGGTACATAATCATCAGCCGTACAAGCACGTTCACAGCTTTTCGGGCTTTCAACAAACGCCGTCCATAAGCTTGCCTAATAGCTGTCACGGCGGGCTCCTGCAACCCATTGAGCCTAGATATACTCATCAAATGACCCAGAATATCAAGCGACTTATAGCTCGATTTCTAGGACTTCAAGTGAACATCTTGTCGTTGGCGCAGAAACGACTCCCATCGAGTCACAGCCACCGATAGGGCTTGCAGATGCCGAAGGAAGCTTTAGTTCTTCAATGCCCATCCATGGAAATGATCGTGGGTCTTCTCGAGACTGCTTCACAGGCTCAAGAGATGCCGTCTGGGTATCACTAGAATCTTGATGTGTCTGTCCTTATCGCAGATGAGTCGCTCGAAGCCGCCGTCGACTACCTCATCAAGTCCAATTCGCGCGGTCACCATTGATTCAAGATTCCCAAATCTGCCTGTGTTCTAGAGTCAGTCTCTATCAACAACTTTCATTCACGAGGCCTTACCTATTGAAAAGTCGTGGACGACGGCAGCGAAATCCTCGTCTTCATACGTTAAAGTTCCTTTGATAGTGATTTCCTTGAGCATAAACGCTGTCAGAGGGATAATGGGCTACGAGATTCTCAGCTTCTTCCTAGAAGTGGTCTAGACATCACTTACCGGCGACTGCCATGCCACTGCAACATTGACATAAATCCCTCTATTCTTCAGGGCGTCGAATGCAGCATTCATCGCAGGGAGAACACCAGCACAATCGAATACCAAATCAATTCCAGACCCACATGTTAGGTTTTTACATTCAGCAACAACGTTCTGCGCCCTGGGGTCGATCACAGCGTCTACCAAGTGCTTGATCTGCTCTCGTCTCAAGTCGGCCGGCTCTGAGGCAATAACCTCCAGAGCGCCCCAGTTCTTCAAAGTCAGCGCTACAGCCTGACCAATTGGGCCACCCCCAAGAATAAGCACTCTGATTCGCGAAAGATCAGTAATACCAGAAACCCGCACAGCATGTCTGGCCACAGACAGGGGTTCAATCAGTGCAGCCAATCTCAAATCGACAGTTTCGGGTAGGGCGTAGCACATGTTGACATCAACGGCTGCTGTCTCAGCGAGACCTCCTCCTTGCCCATTCAACCCAAGAAATCCTATCTTCGGGCAAAAATTTGTCGAAATTTCATTGCAGGTATTACAGATGCCACAGTAGATCCGCGGATCGACCATGACAGGTTGTCCGACGGCTAGAACACCGCGATAGCCATCTGGTAGTTGGCGGATACGGCCGCAGAACTCATGGCCCATAACGATAGGCATATGCTCGCCTGTCAGAGCATGAGGTTTGTTTGTAGGAGATATCAATACAGGGCCAGCGAGATATTCATGAAGGTCTGTGCCGCATATGCCGCACCACTCAACATCGATAAGGGCGAGACCCGCCGCTGTGGTAGGCAGTGGAATCTCCTCAATGCGAATGTCTTTTACGCCGTGAAAGCGTGCAGCCTTCATTTCGTATAGCCTTTAACTCCTCGGTACCTGTTGTCCTCGATATATCCAAGAACGACTTGAGCACTCAGAAAAGTCGCCAAGCTGCTGTGATATGAACTCCGTGTGGAGTCGATCAGCGTCTTCTGAGGACTACCCAGTATGTGTGATCGATGGGCCCATACTTCTAGGTTGAGAAATGGCTTGTGCCGGGGCGCCAGCTTTATCTAGCCTGTCTCCTCAAGTCAAAAACACAGCACACTGATCAATGTAGCTCACACGGATAATGCGCAATTCATGACCACGTAATGGACCGGCAAACAGGCGTAGATGGCAGTTTGGTCGACTTGGCCTTGTATTTGACGCTCACGAGGACGGCTGACTAGAAGTAATAAATTCTACTATGCTCAATCGTAACCATGACAACAGTCAAGACAGTGGATATACTTCAAGTTTACTTTCTACGTTGTGATCCTTAACGTTCTCCTCCCAACCTCAACTGGTGTGTACATTCAGCGAAGTTTCGTGCCTGTCCCATCCGCATGACCATTGGTTATAAGGACAAACAGCTTTTCATAGCTTTTCTTGTGTGGTGTTCAATATAGATTGAACTTCTTGATAGTCCAGTGCCGAATTTGAGCCCCATACATGTACAAAGGAATCGTCGTTAAAAGGAGACCTCCTTCAATGAGAGTCATATATCCAGACATCTTAACATAGCCAGAGTTCGTGGTCCACGGAGTGACCGTGAAAGAGACCGCAAAGGCAAAAATACCCCTGAAAATCTGTAACACGGTGATGGTATCGACGCTCAGAGGCTTGTAGCTATCGACCATGTAGGTGATGCCAATCGTTGCAACGGCACAGACAACTGCATAGGTGATTCCGGTGCCTGCAATGGCCATGTATAGGCTCAGATGACTACCTAGTGCGCCACCCCATAGCATGAGGCCGATCGGACCAAAGATAAAGGGCCCAATCATGCACCATAATCGATACTCAGGCTCGAATTGCCCTTTGTTGCGTATGGAGAGCCAGCGCACGATAAAATCACTGCATGGGCCACCATAAACGCATCCCAGGATTCCACCAATGAAAGCCTGAACGGAACATTAGCTGCGTGAAACGCACTCAAGAGCATACTAGGGGTAACGAACTCCAATATTGATATTACCGACACCTATGGCGGAGGAATTGTAGAGTGTGGGAAATGCTGTTGCATTAGCCGTTGCTTGAATGACACACCACCCCAGAGTTACGCCGTAAGTCAGGGAAGCATACAATACGGCTGGAAGAGGCAGGAGAACGATTGGTCGAATGAAAAAGGTCCAGAGGGAAGTTTCCCTGCTTCTGTTAGTAAATGTGCCTTTTTTGAAATTCGAACCGTGGAGTGCATACCGATCGTACCAGCTAGTCACCCCTAGAGCCTTCCTGTGACTCAATTTCAAAGTACGACGGAGCTCTGCGAAATTTGTAGAAGTCATGCCTACTTTAGTAGCCTCGACAGAACGACGGAAGTTTGTTTCTGGGATGAGAAAGATTACAAGAAGCAGGCAAACTCCGCTCGGGATAGCGCTCAACCACATTGTCCATCGCCAATTATTAGTCGCATTAACCACAAGGCCCCCAAAAACTGACCCTAGGGCAGGTCCTGCTCCTTGCATGAAGCTGCGTTTGCGCCTATATCAATATAGAACTCTTTCGAACTTCGAACTTAGGGGAAACTTACGCGTAGAGGCTAACCATAGACCCACGCTCGTGGAGGAAGTAGAGGTCCGATGCCTTGTGGAAGTCAGAATCCAACCAACCTTTTCCTCGGTAGGGTAAGGACTCACAATTGCTACTCCAAGTGTCTCACAAGCTGCAGCTGCGAACCCAATGATGATACGGCCTCCCAATAACGACGAATAGGTTGTGGCCACTGCACACCAGATACCTGCCCAAAGGTCAGCATGCTTTTGCGCTCATTAATAGGGCCAGCGATTGATCGTGAGAACATACCACAGCCAAAGAATAGAAGTGCACAACCTATGAAGGTCGGCCTTCTGCCAATCTTTTGCGCGAGGGGAATCCAGAAGAAGTTCTGGAAAGATATTCAGTGCCATTATGCGGACAAAGGAAATGTTTCCACGTACGCCGACACCTGTGAACAGGATATTTAGAGTGATGAGACGCGTAGCCTGATCTACACTGATGTTGAAATCAATAATAATGGGTACTATGAGTGGTGTGATCGAGCCATTGGCGAATTGTGACATGAAGACAAAGAAGCATGTCGATATCATGGCAAGATGCTTTCGCCACTGGCTCCAAACCTAAGAACCAGTCAACAACACTTAAATTCCATCCATCTCTCAATGCTGCATACCAAGGGGTCGGCGGGATCTGCTGTCGGACATGGGAGAAGGTATTTCTCAATCACCTCTCCTTTTGTATTTTCTAGTCTGGGTTAGCAAAATCACTTAGTCACCAACGTGCTTGCAACGGTACCTTTGTACAAATACGTGGCATCAGTCTTGTTCACTGAGTCACTAATGGCTAGCTCTTGCTCTTCAACTCCAGGATCCACGTTGGACATCTGGCTTCCATGGGTGAAGCTATTCTTCTCGGAGAAGGTAGTCATGTTCAAGGTGCTGTGCATGTGCGAACACTGGCTTTGTTACAGTATGGACAGTAAGAGATCCATGCCAGAACCACACTCTGAGGCTGTCTATATATAATCTATCTTTAGCAGCGCTTTGCGGTGCTGCCCCCTGTTACTCCACGATTCCCCACGCAGGACGAGATCTGGTGAGACCTTGATGAGAATCTAGACCTTGCCGAGGTCGATGGGCGGACATTCTTTACCGTGCTCTCCGGTCTTACTCCGTAGAGTGCCAGGATGTTCAGATGGCCCACAACCGCCACACGGAGAGACGTGAATCTCTTATGACGGTGATTCTTCATGCATATATGCAAGAAGAATTTACAGAAGCAGTAAACTAGCCCATGAATTGTTGTCCTAAGCCTTTCTTTTCCGTGCGTAAAAGTATGAGACAAGGCTTGCGAGGATAGAGTGTTTATGGCGGGATTGCCCCCTAGAGCTCTGGGATCAGGAGTTCGCCAGTCACCCAGCCTTGGGTTGTATGGTGGCCCATATTAGGGTGCTGCACCATAATCCTCTGACAACGAACATGGGGTTGGTGTGGGTCTAGCTACGGGAGAATTAGGGAGGGTTCAGTTTAGGGCAAGTGAATGCTCTCAGATTTGTTCGTGAATATCAATACGGAGTAGTTCGTCACTTCCAGAAATTGACATATCTGAATAAAGTGCCTTTTAAGCATAAGAAGACGTTTATTTAAGTCACAAGTGACAGTCACAGAGGATATATGCCATCTAGAATCCTCCTTGGCAGACGAGCAGTGATATGTATTTGGCTTGTATGTAGTCTACAATCCTTCATATCTGCTCTATTCATGCTTGCGATCTAAAGTAGAACGCCTGTACCCAACCCAGTGTCAGTTTATGCCTGTGGGATTATTGGCACAGTCAGGTAATTGTGGGCGCCTGGCGCAAAGTGAATGTTGTTTGTGCCGCGAAAAACGCTTGGACTCCTACAACAATGTCAGTGCCATAGTACCGCTATCTCAACACACTATAGATCTTACCTATCCACGGGATCGTTGTGCTTGAACACATCCGTATGCTCCAGGTCGCTCGATCCAATCTCTAAGACAAGACGGCCACCTTTGCCGACCACAACATTCGTAGGAATGATCTCAATGTCCACTTCGTATATCTCATTCGGAAGCACAGGCTGTACATCAGAAGATAGGTAACTGCGATATGGCATCCATGTTCGGTGGTGCAGATGATTTGAATCGACCTTGCGATGGCTCACTCTCAAATGGCCATTTGTCACGGGAATGGGCTGTCCGGTGGTGCCAGTGTATAGCACCTGCTCACTGTCTTTTGTAAAATGTCGGAGCGCCACAAAGATATCAATATCGGATGGACAAGGGTTTTGAACCACACCGGCGACGGACACCCTAAGATGAAGCACAATATGACCGGTAAGCTCGAGTTCGCTGGGAAGCGGTGTAGTACTGAAAGAAATAGAATGTCCCAATTCGGTCCAATTCAGTGCGTCGTAGCTGATTTTGCTTGTCTTCGTTGACGGCTGCTCAAATGACAATTTATGATCCGTCGTGAGGTAAAGTTTTTTGTACTCAGTCCTCGCTATTGGCCACTCAAGCTCTGCTCGGCGAGAGAAACTTGCTGCTTCTGCGGTGATATCGTTGCAACCGGGATTACCTTTCCGCAAAAGCAGGCTTACAGGAGGTAGCTTGCCTCTCTGAGACCAGCCATCCGGATCCTTGTCGTGCAAAAATGCATCGAGAAAGCTGCGCTGAATCTCGACTTCTTCTGGAAGGAAAAATGGAAGATCGTGCCGGCCGTTGATGAAACGTAGATACTTCAATTCTGAAGCCGCATGCGTAAATGCGAAGACATTTCCACGAAGGTGAAGTCCTGTGCCACCAAGGTTTGCGACACTAAGCAATGGTACAGTGATATCATCATAATTTATGTTCATGCTAGCGAACATTGGGTCGTCAGCGTAGCGCACCTTGGTGACTTCCTGAGGTGTATTGACTAGGTTGAATGACAGCTCTTCTTCGGACAGGGCCCCTTCAATGGTATCCGGGCCCCATTCGCGACTTGCTTTTCCTCCTCGGCCATACTGGCTTGCCTTGACCTGGCGAGCCCACCAGACGTCGAAGAAATAGTTATTCAGTATACCGCCGTGACGGACGAAGTCGCGATAAAGGTCTGAAAAGCCTTCCCATGGTATGATCGCAGCCAGTCCCTTCGGGTTTTGAGCTGCAGCATGCCATTGAGTCGCCGCGTAATAGCTAATTCCGAGAAGACCCACTTTGCCAGTAGACCAGGACTGCTCGCCCGCCCACTCTATAACGCTGGGAAATGCATGTAGAATACTTGAAGAAAAAACCTGAAGCACTCCCGGACTCTGGCCTGACCCGATTTCATCAGCCCGGACGACGACATAGTCGTGAGCTGTCCAGTACGATGGCGTAACAAGTTCAAAAGCTGAGTGATCCGATTTCTGTTCTTCCGGTACTTGAGCATAGCTTGCAGGATGAAACCTAGGTATGTCAGTCTCGATAGAATGGGATCACACGGGTTGTGAAACGTTACTCACTGATGGTATGGAACGTCTTTGCCATATGGCCCATAAGTTACGATTACTGGATATTTATGACCAGTGCGTATGCCTGCTGGTAGGAAGACATTGCATCGAACTACACCTCCATTTTTCAATGGCACAGAGACATTTCGTTCGATAATGTAAGGGTAGTTGCCCTCCTCTACGGTATGGATGTCGCGTATTGGGAGCGGCATAACGGACGGTACGCTAGGCTTTTCCTCGATGAGATGCAAAATTTTGTCCAGTGTCGCTTTTTGAGGATAGGCATGTAGAGAATGAAAAGAAATTCGGACGACCCCTGAGAACTTGATATCAAGTTGTTGATATTGGAGATTTATGCATCCGTAGATCTCAAACTACGGAGCCAGGTAATCTTTATGTGCACAAAGATTAAATGATACCCCTGATTCTCCGCCAATTTACCGAATGGACAATGCTGAATAAATTGAACCCATACCTGCCCAAGTCTTAACTAGAAAGAATGGGCCTCGGAAGCCGCAGCGTGGACTTGTGCGGCCGGGTAAGAGGTTAATTCCAGCGATGCTGCCCACTAGGCGAACTCGTTTTCCGCGACTCATTTGTCATGCACTGCATGATTGTGATTTTTGGTGCAGGCTTGCCCAAGCCTTCCGGGATGTCCTCCAACAGCTCTACGAGCAACGAGGTGAACGAGGCCATCTCGCAGACTCGGAAAAAACCCAGGCAGATAAACCTGACGAGAAACCTGACAAGAAACCTGACAATAACTATTAGAAAAAACATCCTCCCATTCCCCCCATTTCCAAGGGGTCTGCAAAGCCTGTGTCGGCAATGCTTCCATCATTCTGTTGCATGAGCATTTCGCGATCCAACATGACTCCGTAGTAGAGGCTCTGTATGCTATGCAGCATCTCAATTCTTTCCGATTCACAATTGAACATTCTACGAATGATTCCACTTGGGTCGAGAAGACTAAGCTTTCCCTAGATAAACGTGCTTGGTAAAGCATTATAACTTCATCGCCAGCCATACCCAGCCAGAAAAGTTGAAGTTGTGGACACGATTCTTCTGCTCGTACGGAAGCTGGAGCGTACTTAGTAGTTTTGCTTCTTCTTCGTTGAGCTGTGCACTGTCACTTGACTCTTTTTACTGTGGCCGTTGAGTTCGACGGTTAGAGTGGCGAGAGGGTAGACAAATATTCGGATTCTATTCTGGAGCCACGATCTTGGTAAATGCGGTTTTGTCACTGCTCAATGGCTGGCTCTCTGTAAATATCATGACTGCACATGTCACGTTCCATACCATCCTGATTGCAGTCAAAGCTAGGCATAAAGCTCAATTGTGACATAATGCATTTGAGATACACTCGAAGCTACTAGCGACTCGCCGTTCCCAAATGTATCTCACCATTATCCACTTCTCGCAGAAGTGCAACGCAATCCAGCTTTTCATAGAACACACGCACAGGTACCAGCTCTGCTTGGACTCCAAGTTGACTTGCGTTGATTTCCGGGAGATCGCTGGTGTTCTCAAACGCTCTCTCCTCAAGCTCACTAATGTACGCCATCATTTGCCCGATTTCGTTGCCTAATACGCCCCATCTCTCTTCGATAGATTGCATGGTACACTCCTCGAAAGTGATTGTTTTTCGAACTCCTTGCGACTTGGCCGCCGTGTCTAGGCATGCTACCCATTGTCGGCAGGAGATGCGCTCTGACTCACAAGAGATCCATGTGCCAATGGACGTTTCCGGCTGTTCGAAGATAGCACGTACGAGAATTCCAACATTTTCGTTTTCGTCCCCAGCGATCGAAAAAGGTACATCTGGTGAACAAGGGAGCTGGATCACATATTCGTCGTGCTCATGCTTCAAATTCAATGTCAGTAGGACCTTGAAATCCAGAATGCTCGTGCTCTCACCTTCTTGGTAGGCCTGTAGGAGTGGTTTCGGAAATTGCTCCCGTACACGCCGATGGACATCAATGTGCTTTTGTCCCTTAAGCTACCCCAGCCTGGCTCCTGCTGTTGTCTCCTTGCGTCACAGCCTGTGTATCCACCAAGGATGTACTCATTGGCGTGTTGTTTGCTCATGAAGTGCGGTACTTTCCATTTTCCCTGGCTAGTCACATTGCTATCCGGCAAAGTACTCCAGATAAGATGCTTCAAAGACTTTGTCTCGGCTGCCGCGCGCACAAGATTCATACCCTGGGCATTTTCCAGATCCTCACCAGCCTTCTGACCTTTAGCAAACAATGTCCCTCCATGAAACGCAGTGTTAGCGAATATGTGCGTGCAACCTTGGAATGCCTCGTGGATGGACTTCGGGTCATTGACGTCGCAGTAAACGATAGAGACGTTGGCCTGTTCACTGAGAGCCCTTGCGGATTCTGACTGCGGCGAGGAGGTTAGTGCATGAATTTTCCACTGTGAGGTGATTGGCGATGATCTGAGCGCCCTGATCACGGAAGCACCTTGGGTTCCAAGGGCACCAACAATGGCGACCGTCTCGTTTGCTTCAGTCATTGGAGCAGCCACGTTGGGGGTCCAGATCTGTCCTCCTTTAACAATGAGCAGACCTAGATGAAATACTTATTATTGACCTTTACTTCATGAACGTGATCTTGTTGCAATTGTGGCTGACATATCATTTTCTTTGTGCTACTAGGGCATCGCCTTTGTGCCTGAATCCATGTTCTCCAAGTGACTAAAACCAATCGTCGATCGGAGACCTTTTCGTCCGCACGGGTATTCAGGGCGAGCCTTTTCCGCCATTTATTATGTGATGACGGTTTAAGTGTCCTGAGGAGATGAGGAACAGACGGAATAAGTTTACCGTTGACATTTCTGCCTCGGGACTGCTCTTAGCATCCATGCGAACCAACACTTATAGGTTTAGCGAGTTCTCACTCCATGACAAGTATTTTGTGCCACTGCTGCTCTCTGCGAATGATCCAGGACTGACACCGAAATTGGTAGCGCATGACTGTTCCATCCCTTCTGTGAAGTAAAGACGTCGAGATACTTTAGTATCCCGAATAGAATTTATTTGAGGAAGTGGACTGATATCTCTGCATACGTTGAGACTCATCTGTCAGATCAATCTTAAGACAATATGGCGTCCCTCGAAGGCAAAGTGGTAAGATTATTGGAGTCGAACCCTACCCCTGAGCCCAAGTTTATGTGTACCACGAGGGCTCCAGACATATCTTGGCCAATAAAGGGGGATGTATTGGCTGACTTCTAGTCTTGCGATATAGATAGGGATTACAGGGGGCGCAAGTGGCATTGGTCTTGCCACAGCTCAATTACTTGCATCACGAGGGGCCGTACTGTCCTTAGCGGACACAAATCAGGCTGGTCTCGACGAAGCAATCAAAACCCTCTCCACAAGTGGATCTCGCAAGCATACCAGCACCACATTAGACGTGCGAAGCAGTAAAGCAGTTGACGCTTGGATATCACAGATTGTCACTGACCATGGTCGCCTTGATGGGGCAGCAAATGTGGCCGGTGTGCATAAGAACGATAAGCGACTCGTCGATGAGACAGATGAAGGATACGCTTTGAACATGGATGTCAATGCTGCCGGGGTGTTTTATTGTCTGAGAGCGCAACTTCGGGCACTCTCCAAAGGTGGAAGTATTGTGAGTATTCATTGTATCCTTTGTCTGCACAGAGGCCGGGACCCAAGAAATCTTCGGACCTGAGCATCGCTTTCGATGGTTTTACCTTCGTCAGCTAAGATGAGAGAGTGTCTGACCACTTTTCTAATAGGTCAACGTTGCTAGCGCGACAGCTCACATCGGAGCGGCTGGCATGGGCAGCTACTGTGCGAGCAAACATGCCGTACTCGGACTGACCAAAACTGCAGCAAGGGAGCATTCAGATGCCAGAATCAATGTTGTGTGCCCCGGTAAGCCCAAAATCTGATCTGCGTAAGCTGTTTTCAATCCATGCTTATGTGGCGCAAAAGGCATCGTGTCTACAGCAATGACAGACGAAGTAGAAAAGAAGCTGGGTCACCCCATGTCTACCTCAATGCAGTGCTTCGACAGGCATGGTGAGGCGATGGAGATTGCGACAGCGATCGCGTTTTTACTGTCTGACGAGGCGACTTTCGTGACAGGCGCGATTTGGGATGTCGATGGGGGTTTACGCGCTTAGAGCTCTCAACTACTGGCAATAGATGAATCCAGAAATGTTCATCACCAGTATTCTAGAATAAGTCATATGCTCGCAGTTCTTGGCAGTAAGATATCCCTGGTCAATATCAATTTATGGCCAGCGGCTCTCTTTTGCTAAAACGATCGCTAAATAAGGCGATATGTAGTCGCATAATAACAGTATAGTTCACAAATTCCTCAACGAAATCAACCAGTAGATTTCGATTGCTCCCTGGCATTAACCTCGAGCCCCCTTCGTCCGCATTCTCATCTGTAAATAAGGTATAGGCTTGCCGAATTGATGATTTGTTGGGGATGGTGAACATGCACATCCATCTACCCAAGACACGTAAGCTGTTGATGGTGTTGAAAGACTGTGAGCCACCAGAGACCATGGCCAATCCTAAAGTGCGTCCCTGTGTAAGTCGCACTGATCCAGTACTCAGAGGAATCCAGTCAATTTGGTGCTTGAAGACGGCCGTGAGATTACCATGTTGCTCTGGTGACACCTAGAAGTGTCCATCGCTCCAGCGACTGAGATCTCGTAGTTCTTGTACCTTTGGATGATTATGCTAGTCATCATCTTTGATAGGCAGACCTTGCGGATCATAAACACGCACGTCACAGCCGAGTCGCCAGAGTATACGGGCGACTTCAAAAGGCGAGAAGTTTCGAGTATGATCTCCGGAGATTTAGTATGTATCAGGCAGATATACCTCACAGGCTAGCTTACCTCCGACGAAGACTCGCGTATAGTATCAAAATTATGATCCTCTCGCCTCTGAGACTCATGTCGTTATACGCCAATTCAGTTACAGTGGCAAGCTCAAGCTTGGCGACCTAATCCTGCTGTTGGACATTGTGCGGGAGCAGGAACGGTCGATATCTAGACCGTATCGTAGGGTCATCCATAGTTGCCGACATAGCAAGTGATCGATAGGCGAAATCAGGACGACCTTCAGGTTTCAGAATCATGCGCATAGACGCCGTATTATCAAGATCGCCATTTACCAATCGTTGTTCAAACTTTGGGCATACTGATGATGCCCGTTCATTATGCGCTTCTGCAGCCATCGTCATTTTGTGGTTGCCAAGTTGATTTGACCGTCGAGGAAGACCTAGTAATGATTTTGCGAGAGCTGAAGATAGGGCTGATGCAAAAGGCGATAATCCCACAAGATTGAAACAAGTGGTGTTTTTACCACTCAGCAAGTTCCGGAGTTTTTGAAGCGACTTGTATCAGTCCGTTGATCTTTTACGAGCTTGCTAGAAATGCATTCGAAATGGTTGACCTGTTGAGACATGCGGTGTGCGAGACCGCTGTGTCACTCGGCGATCATGATTCGTCAGGCGCGAGGCTAGCCTCGATAATCAGACATCCTGTGGCGCGAATGCGTGGCGTAGGCTAGCTGATGTCACCATGTTCTATCAGCCACGAGTTAAGACCTTTCCCAGAGACATGACTACTCATATTCCATTTGAATGAGCTGGCAATATACAGCTTCTCCCTTTCCGGTTTTCTTTCATCTTTGGTTTACTGTGGCGGAACGAAGGAATGTCTGAAGTGAATGCTCGAACATCATGGAAGTTCTACTGCTGCTCTCGGAATGATACTCTGTCCCACATTATTGTTATCCCGAAGCTGTCCAGTGTGTTTGTGCCGCATTCTAACACTTAACGATGAATGAAGGTCTAGTTACTGTCCGATCGATTAGTCTGACCTTAACGCTCTCCAATATGGCTGTCATGGTACGACGGCATTAGACTAAAGTACTAGGTGTTTGTTGAATGGGCGGCCGCCATTCACATTTCGTATTATGCGTGCCTCGAACTTGACTCAAAGGGCTGTCTCAGCACTCTTACGTTGCTACAAGAACTTAGAAGTTCCAAGAATTCTTTTCTACTTTTGGTGAGCTATCCTGCTCTTTCTTTTTTATTTTGTTATTAAGGGAGCATCTTTCAGCCTTGTGCCACGATCCCGGAGCTGGATCTGATCAAGAGTTGAATCTCAACCGATATTATGTACATTTGTGCTAGACGAGGGCACACTTCGAACACCAAGTTTGCTGCAGCGAGAAACTGTTAGCATACCTCGATCATTTTATAATCTTGATCGGAAAGACTGATATTGTCGTTTGACTTACCTAGCCGCGTCTGGACGAACGCTACGCAGATTCTCAATATGTTCATTAAGGAAGTAGTTGTTCAACATCGCACTTGTCATATCTTTGGCCCCGGAGATTCGACCCAAGCAGCCTTTGGTACCACACTTGCAGTCGAAGGGCTGAGCCATGTCCCACTCAGTGCTGGGGTAGAAGAACGTGAAGAGCTCACCCTTCTTGATTCCTTTCAACTTACCATTGTCGTCTTTGCGAATGGCAGCCCGGACCTCAATAACAGGTTTGTCGGCGTCGGCTTTGACATGGAACTCGACGCTTGGCTCACAGCTATGGTTGATGAAGAGAAAGTCGGTGTTGAGCTCAATGTTTTGATTCTCAGAGATTTGAACGCTTGAGTATCGCTTGGTATCTGTGATAGTCATGGGTGGCGTCTCCAGACGGGCAATTAGATCTCCTGCATCGAAGTCCTTGACCGCAATGGCATAAGACGAATAGGCTCCTGCTTGACGGACAACTTGGATGACTTCTGGATGAGTTGGCTTTGGTGCTTGTTGGTCAGCCATGTTAAAGATGTGGAAGACAATTGGTTTTTCAAGGGGAGAAAACCCGAGAAAGCTTGTGGCGATATGCTGTTGTTGGGCACTGCTATCAGTCTTCTCGATCGCTCTTGTTCTTCAAGTTGCGTTGGGGAAGGGAATGGTGATGTGGAAGAACCGAGTAGCAGAATACCGACCGAAACGAGATGCTTACGAAGCACAGAAAGCAATGTCTAGGACTGAAGGGCAAGAGTGAAGTTATTCCAGAGCATGAAGACAAACAATGAAAAGAACAATGCCTCACCAAGACCCCTCGTCCGAGACAAGAGCCAGTTCGTTCTTTCTCTGTAGTCCTTTCATGAGGCAGTGAGTGGATGATAGCGGGGCAGTGCTTCACCAACTCTCAACACGTGAGAGAACACCTGCCCAAGCAAGCTGCCTCCCTACAGTGCCTACCTGATGTGTGTCCGGCTGTAGTTGTGGAATCTAAGTGCCAAAAGTGCCAATTCACTCTGACGTTTGCGTGCGAGACCATAATTACAATTGGCTGAGTAGAACAACAAGGCCGATCCAAGCTGCCATCCCGGCCCTCATCAAAGACTGGGCATTCTTCACGTCATACATAGCGTCGACTGCAAAAATTTTTCCACTGTTCTTTCATTTGGCCATCGAGTTTGAGAGCTACAGCTGTATCCACTGGGCGAGTGGTCTGGTTGGCGGAGAGAGGGCTACACTGGAGCAGGAATCCCTAGTCCGTGGGGTAGGGCTGTCGAGAGTAAGGCTAGGCTAGGAATGCTCGTTAGAACTTCAAGCCTGGGCAACTTCCGGGGACCATGTGCGTTTGAAATGCAGTGACAGCTGAGTCGAGTCTCCATAAACAACTACCGCGAGATGCCGGTCGCCCGCTTTCGACGCCCCGGACCAGAGGACTTTCCTTCCTCAGCGAACGGGGCTGAGGCTCTGGGGAAGTGGCTTGCTGAGGTGTTGTTTACAGATTGGCCTCTCATGAAATCCAATACAATAGCCAAATTTTGCAGGGAAGGGATGCTATGAACTTGCTCGCTGGAAATTTTGATACAGGTTCACGGGCAACTTCGGCAGAAATTGTATCGTGCGATATTTTAAGTACTTAGCGCCCGGAGAGCGTCGGGAAATCCAGGAGTGTGTTCATCGTTACGAGAATTTACATCCGAGGCTCAATTGGGACTATGGAAGCCGAGCACTATGTCGAATACGAAGACTGCCATGCTGTGCCGGCAGTTGCCTTTCAAATTGGATTGCCAAATCGAGGGAATCACTGGTAGGTCTGAAAGCCGTTCCAGATTGAGATGTTCAAGTCGAGACACGAGGGTGATCAATAAAGTTTCACATGGGTTGAGTCGATCTGGGCTCTCTGAGTGTAAGTCTGAATATCCTCTTAGAACCTCAAATCGTTACCACTGATCAAATCGATGTCCCCTCGGATCTCCCAGATACTCCCGCCCGCTTTATCAGCACTTGCAACTCGCTGCTGCGTGCTGATCTCCCACCATCTCCTAACTAGATTTCCATCAATAATGCCTCTGCCTCCGACGCCGTCTGTTTCCACTTCGCGATATGCCCGAGGGTTCAAGCTGCATGCTTGGAAGTCCAGTGTTGTGAGGAGAACATTCTGGAGTGTGGAGAGTCGGCGATAGGATGCCTCAGGAATAGGGGTCAGCATACATAATGAGCCGGACTGTGTGCTGACAAGGATTTGTTGTTTTGTGCTTGCTTGTGAATCGTTCGCCATATCCATAGATCCATCCGAAGAACGCCGTGTGCTGGCAAGAGATTTACGCGGAGTAAGAGTCATTGTTGTTGGGCTTGCACCCATCTTGAACGTACTTCGCAGGAGAAGGTTGCTGCCACGCTCGGTCTTTGGATCCTCTGGGTCATACTGGAGGACTCGCAATTGCCCGTCGACGTCCGACGAAATAATGTAGAGAGATTTGCCATCAGGGAGAAATTCTGCTGCAATGACTTCCGGATTTTCGAAGTCTCGGCCAAGGATCTGTAGTTTGTAAGGCTCCTCAGCGTATCCTACCAACCATAAACCAGAAAATGCATCGCCGAGGATACACAATCCTGTCCCTTTGAGTTCTTTCGCCACTTGGACGTAGAAGCGCATGTCAAGAAACGCCACAGGAAGAATTGACATATCCTCCTTTAGACCCCTGACCATACATTTCTGGCCCTGAGCAGCAAGCACAAAGCCCTGGGAACCAACGTCTGAAATGGCGGAGACCGCGCCACGTACATCTTCTTTGGTGAGCATTTTCAGTTTCAAATCCGTCTCAGGGACGTCGGGTTCTGGAACAACATCGACGACATCAAAGATGTAGAGATTTCCTCTCGTAGTGACGTTTTCGCCTTTCACAATTGCCGTTCCAACAACAATCAAGTCTTTGCGTTCATGCGTCTCCTCAGAGATTTCAAGGTTGAGGCACTTGACACACAAAACGCGTTCTGAGACATCAAAGTGATATTGACTGATTACTGAATTGGTCGAAGGACTGAAAAGTTTAAGTGAGCTTTGAAGTGTTTTAGGGAGGAAATCTGTCGTTTCTTTCTGCCAGTCTGGATGCCATTCATCATCTTGAGGTAATTGAAACCCAGTGCTATGGTTTGTTCCGAGGACGTACGAGTCAGTTGGCTTGAAGTAGGACAACGAGGCGACGTCTTGCCCCAGAAGTATTCGATTGACGGACCAAGAAGAGAGCCCAATAACACTGCCTGAGGGGAATTCCGCCAAGTAGACATCGCCTCCTTCACCAACAATCATGAACCTATCATGCTGTTCTGCGAAAATTACGGTGGTAACGGACCGAATACTTTGTGACTTCAGCTCATATACACATGGACTGGTTCTAGCGTTTCTGAGTACAGCTGCAGAAACCGAGCCAGGGACAAATACCCAGGTATAGCCATGTGAGTTGCCGAGAGCCTGCATAGGAGGTCGAAGAAGGCTTTCACCCTCTGGATTGTACCGATCCTCGAAATTCGCGAAGGCCTTTGTTGACACCTTTTTGAATTTGAAGCTGCCAACCACGTCCGGCACTGCAAAAGGCTCGTAAATGATAAGATCTCCCGTTGTGTTTCGTACCAAGAGATACGGACGACGCTCAGTCTGGTCTCCAAGATCGGCCAGCAAGATCTCCGAAATTTCATCCTGATTCCTCCAATGCTTGGGTATCTGCAAGTCTTGCATCAAGAATGTTGGCAGGAAAGGAAGACTGTCGCATCGAAATACCTCAAAGGTCATGTTAGGTAGTGACAGGAGGGTGAAGTGACCCTCAGATGTCAAAACACATAGAAGAGGTCCCGGGGAAGAAGAATCCTGAGAGAATCTTGACGTTTGAAAGAAGTCTGAAGTATCATGATACAGTACGACAGACAGCATCCACTTAGACGATAAATGGCTTGGAAGCTCAACCTCGTCCAGTTCACCTGCTTTGTCTGCCCGCAGGAGCGCCACTTTACCGTCATCTTTGAGAGCCACGACATAAGAGCCGGCGAAGCTGCATTTGACGACTTTTGCAGTTTGATCTTCATCTTCGTCCACTATCGGAAAGATTTGTGAAAGGGCAAAGTCTGGTCTCGCGTCAGAGATCAATGCGTTAACAAGGAAGCCAGAGTTTCTTACCTGCATCATACACTCGAATCTCGGTAGGTAGAACTTGCACAGTATGATTTGTCTTCTCAAGCTTTCCGACACCAAGAGTCGGCCCAGCAGAGCCATCAAACTCGGAATCCTCGCGTGGCTGGAACTCTCCATCAATCACACGCAAAAGTGAGGATTTTCCCACACCATCATGCGTCGTCTGGGACACTATGACAAGATTGTCGATCACTTGCTTGCTTGTTCCAGGCTCGTCGTTCTGCGGGCTTTTTGACGAATTGAGGGACCAGACCCCACTAGCATCTTCGACCTTGATCCGCTTGATAATATTTGGCTCAAGGTTTCTTGAGAGAAATGCAACACCACCTGATCTACCTCGACCATATGCAACGGCTAATTCGACTTCATTGCGATCATGATTCTCGAGGGCAAGCTGGTCTCCTCTTTTACGCTTCCCAAGTACTCCAAATGCCGTGTCATTGATAGGACCGATGGATGGAAGATGATCAGTAACTCGGATATGATCACTGCCGGAAGCTCCAGCATCTCCGGACACGTCACCACCAGGGCCATGTAAGTCACCACCATACAGATCATCGTCGTCTTCATCCTCCGATTCTACACCTTCACCATTGGAGTGGACTTGTGCTCGAGAGGCTATCCGCTTAAGCTGAGAAGCTCGTCTCTTAGTGGCTAACACCACTGAGTCCAAGTCTTCACTTCCCACGAAAAGGTAGCCCTGACCGAGATGAGCGGTACATGTGGCTGCTCCCAATGCAACATCCCCAAATTTGACATCTTTTGTTCGCCGGAGCGACATACCAGATAGCGAGCGGCCATCCATTCGAAAGGATAAGACAGCTGTTTCTCCGTTCTGTAATATAACGAGCATGTCTCCACTTGGATTTCCCATATGCTCTATCTGGCATCCTTCCAGTTTGACACGAGCCTCGGAGTGATCGGCCATCGGGAAAGCTGAGCTGTCTCTAGCAAACTCGTTGAGTGCGATGGCAGTGGATTTGCCTCCTTGGTCGATATGGATAAGCTCGTTACTACCAACTAACAGAGCCCCACCCACTGGCAGAGGAAGTGGAATGACTCTGTAAAGGTCGTTGGGGAGCTTCTGAACCGATTGAAGAGATGTGGAAGCCTTTTGCTCCAGGTCCAATGCGTATACAGCATAGATGATGACATCCTTTCGCTCATACGACATGTTTGAGGAACGAGCGGCGGTCGAATATAATATTCCAATTGTAGGGTCGCGATACTCGTGAAGAAAACCAATGTCGATAGGATGAAGAAGGCCAGGGTCGAGGGCAGTTGTCGGTAGGACAAACGAAGGCTGATGAGGAACGTCGTGAGGATCAGCAGGACCATCAGGATGTTTGGTTGGCGACTGCCCATTGCTCGTACCCCCATTCTCAGCATTTTCAAAGTCGTCATCCATGGCCAGGTCGTCGCTTGTGCGGGAGAAGGGGATGATTGCAACTTGATTGATGCCAAAATTGAAGGCGGCACATCTACTGCTAGGGTCGATGGTGAGACGACTAACGCAATCAGACAAATCAGCCTGCCAAGGGGCAGCCTGTAAATCATCTTGTTCGTAGTAATGTATAGATGTGGTAGTTATGCTATGCAGAGCTGGATCCCACTCTATGACACTCAACTTGGCGTCTCGGAGAGCAACAAGAACTGCATCACCGCCACTTTTAGATGACCGTGGTTTGACTCTACCCAAGGAAGTGACCGTTCCAGCAAGGCAGTACTCAGCAATGAGAACGAGTTTCGCGTCCTGTCCAGCATTGACATGCTCAACTTTGAAAATCTGGAGAAGTGAGGTGCGTGCAACCACCAGATTATTGGCCTCGGGTGAGGTGTAAGGCAGAGACAAGGCAGCACTGACTCCAGATGGAGGGATCAATTCGGTGTAACACTGCATCACGAGAGCAATTGTTATGGTGCTCTGCCTTGTGCTTTTCAAGGAAGTGGTGACTGCGATGTCAACAACTTGGGTCTTTTAACAGCTTATGCATCATAAACAGATTAGTCACCGGCAAACAAAGGTATCAATCAAGTATGTCAGATAGACAGTGTAGAGAAATTCCTCAACAGGCTCTTCAAATTAATCAATACCCTTTGTGAAGGGGTTGTAACTTAAGTGCCCAAACCACCGAGTCCAACACGCGATAAATGCCAAGTTTCATATTAGACTTGGCAGACACGTGATCATCACGCTAGCCCCCTCTGGTACTAGCTTGTCTGGAGCTGCAGCTATGACGATTGTGCAATGTTGATGTCCTCGTATCCTGTTTGCCTGCGTTTCACCACCACTTCTCCCGCTATTGTCGTCACTTCCACTGTGTCTATATTTCGCTTTGGTCGACGAGAGAAATTCACCGTGAGATGCCGGGTCATTATTCTCAACATAATTCTGTTGTCTCCGGGCTCTTCTTCTGATTATTATCGCGTGCGGCGGCACGCTACCAGTTGCAATGTCTTTAATCCACGAAAGCGAGTTCTTAACCATGGCTTCGGCAGGTTATATTCAAATTACTCTCATTTGGGTCGTGTATGCAATCGCTGTTGTCCTCCTACTTTCGGTCGCCTCCCTATTCGTCTACCTCTACCAAACACATCGCGATCGATCCGTCTTCGTCACCGCTGTGTGCATCCTGACCATCACTTCTCTTCTTGCGACAGTCCTTCTGCTACCGGTTGACGTAGCGCTGGTCTCGAGCACAACGAGCTCGAAACTAGGAAGACGCAAGGACTGGGCTAATCAAGAGAAAGTTGATAACATCACTTTCACCTTGCGAATCGTGTATTATTTACTTTACTCTCTTGATGCCCTCCTCTGCCTGATTGTGATCCCATTTACATATTTCTGGTATGAAGAATATGATGAGGTTGCTCAGGAGGAAGGCTCGCAGACCTTTGGTTCGAGATTCTGGGGCGCCCTGAAGTATACCTTTGTCTTCATCTTTTTGTGCCTGGCAATTTTCCTGGTCGGATTTTTCATTCCTCGAGTATCCAACACCAAAGGCGCACATTTTGATCTCGACTTTTTCAAACGCCTCCTGGCCGAGAACCGAGGCGAGAAAGCGCTGACCTTTGCCCTCGGCATACTCATTACCCTCGGAGTCATCATTTACTGTTTCTACACGGCTGCAGGACTAGCACTGCTTCCTCTCACTTTGATAAAATCGGCACCAAGCATTTCCGCACCTGCTTTAACCGAAACAACTGCTACGCAACTTGAGAGCAACCAGGAGAGGCAGAGACAACTCGAGGGCCGTGCGCAGGGTAATCCAGATGGACTATCATCGAAGGACCAGCGAGAGCTCGATGCTTTAGTTCGTGAGGAGCGCACACTTCGACGTCATCAACGCATAGCTGCCGAGGCGTCTGGTCAAGATCGGAACATCTTCTGGAAGATTTGGCTAAAACTCGAGGCCATCTTCCGACCAATCAAACTCATCCTCGGCCTCCTGTTGGTCGTTGTTGTTTTACTTATCTTCGCAAGCATGCTCGTCACTGGCGTTGACAAGGCAAAGAACTCTATTTGTGGACGCCACTGCGGCTACTTATTGGGACACATTAATATTTTCCAGCCCATTAACTGGATCCTGGTCAAGTCGTCTGCGGTCTTCCCAATCGATTACATCATCTTCCTCTTCATCGTCCTCCTCTTTTTCAGTGCCTCCATCATTGGAATAGCCACGATTGGAATCCGAGTTCTCTGGATCACAATTTTCAGAATCCGAAAGGCCCATACGTCTCCCCAGGCATTACTTATTGCGACGGTCCTGCTCACACTGATGACGCTCGCCATCAACTATTCTATTGCCATGCTGGTGGCGCCTCAATATGCTACATTTGGCCCTCAGACATTCTGCGATCACCCTCCGAAGCATCCTGGAGAGCAGCCAGACTGCTCTGACCATCAGCAGCATGTCGTACCGTGTACAGAAGTTTCCGACAATCCGGCTGCTCGCAATGTTTGCACCCCGTCTGTGGTGTCAACTTTCTTAAACAGAGTGACTGTGAACTACCCATTCCTAGGTATTGTCGATTTCTGGGCTCAGTTTGCTTTCCTTGGCATTTTCCTGCTCGCATTCATTCTGCTGCTATTCAGAACACCGAAATTGAGCGATCCGGACTCTGATGATGACGCATTGGAGGAGGAGGAGGAAGGCTTGTTGGCAAGCACAGGACGACGATTTGGGGCTACATGGCAAGATATCACCGGAAGGACTAGCCACGATGGCAGGAATGGCACAACACAGAGTCGTGGCACACGGGATGGTGGAGATGATTAGTCGATTGTGCGACTTATAGTAACCAGTTATCGATGCTTGAAGAGGGGAAATTGTTTTCGCGGATTGATACCATGGGCTTTGGGAAAGGCGTTTACCAAGAATTATTGATACAACATATGAAGTATCGGAGTCATTCGTTGAGTTCTATGTAGCGTTTCGTAACATTGATACTCCGAAAAAAGCATCAAAGTGTTATTTAAGCAATCATGCTTGGCTTTTGGTGGCCATAAGGTCTGAAATGGTGGTCCTTAGAATATTTGAGGGACAGGAGTGCGGCATGTAATGATTGAAACAGACCACGAGGTTTAAGGGTCGGTCAGTCATTTCTTTGTCCCTGGGTTTCAGCATGACAACTTCACCCTCATCATGTACACCACCCCACTAAATCCTGCACGCGACCAACGAAAGATCTGACTAAGGCAGTGAAGGGTTGATATGTTGCTCTTTCTTCAAGCGATGGTCAGCATTGTAAAATAACAAACAATGCCTGCCTAAGTTGAAGCATTTGATTGTGCAGGTCCAACCTCACAAGAAAACAAATCGAACTTCACGGCATTCACATGATTCCACCATTAGCAGATGAGTTCCTGGTTGCTGGTCATCTTGCTTTGGACAGTGCATTAATACCGATTCTTCTGCCAATATATCTACCGAATGCCTGCATGACACAATTTGTCCTCAAGTCGTTTTATCAACCTCATCCAACACATTAGGCTGCAAAGCCATCGAGTGTCTTGAGAATGAAGAAGCAAGACCTTACTGCATCACGCTGGGCGAGTCCGGATGTGCGTCAAATGCGAGAATATCCCCGGATCACAAGAACGCCATCGCCACAGAAGACTCCCTGGAATGGGTCATTATTCGGTGATAAATGGCATGAAAACACACCTTTGCCATCAATCACCCACTCGACAACATCCTCGGACCCATGCGTCAAGAAAACATCCGTCACGCCCCAGCCGTTGGGTGCCTTGCAACGGCAATTCCAAACACGACAGCTTGATCTTCAGCGCTTTCAAAGATTGTTCCGACGTCTAAAATGGAAAGCCAACAGTCTCACTCACTGGTCACATCGAGCATTGAGTCTTACTCAGGAGCACATTCGTGCTCAGCAAATGACGCGAGAAGTAGTGCATGCTCACCCATCGCCTCAGAGAAATCCAACAACGTCCTTAGGTCGCTACGAGATGGAGATAGATCCTATCGAAGCCGAACGTCAATTCAAAATTGATTTCTACGAATTCTATGCCCTCCTCGAGCGTGGTATAGTCTGCTTACTGGGAGTTTGGGGAATGGCGGTTGATAGCTCCAACAATTCCAATACGAGAGAGAATGATCCGGATAACATGGGTCCTGCTGCGCTGGGTAGTGGGAATTTGATAGGCAACTCGCGTGCATTCCATGGAAGTAGCCATCGGTTTCACGCCAACTTACTGGCAGCGCTGGACCACCCTTCGAACCCACTCCACCTAATTCTTGGTACTGGCGATGCGAGGGATTACATCGGTATTGCCAAAGAGTTTCGGAACAAGTGGAAAGATGTTGAAGTCCGACCTGATGAAGCCTTTCAAGGCGATGAAAGATTGGAGGAAGAATGGGATAGGAAAAAAGCCAGGCGGTACGAAAAGGTACTTCGAGATCTGAAGTTGGATGAGCTCCTGGGATCAGTGCTTGGAGCATTGGAAATGGCGGGGAGCAAGGCGGAGCAAGAGGTTGACAGGCTTGCTCTTGCTCTTGGAGCTACAGCAAATGACCGAATCACTCTTGTGGACACCGCAGGAGTTGATTCGGATATGGTACACGCGCCCTTCGAGGTTGGGTATAATCCTATGGATTACGATATTGAGATGCAGCTTTGAGTGGATTTGTCAATGGATGTGGACAAGTAGTCGTTATGCGTCCCATGAAATAGGATAGGCATCATTAAAAAGACACACTCAATATGAAGTCGAATCATCCATCGGCATAACAAGTTGCAGTACCTATGTAGTCATTGGATGATCACATTACACGAGAAAGCAAATTCACCCCACACTAATGCTTCACTCTTCTTTTCAGCTGAACAGTACTTGCCAACCTCGAAACATGATAACAAATGATGCTCATCACGGAGGTTATTTTCCCAGGATTTGAATATCTGACGCACCCACTTCATTCTTCCGCAAGGCTGAGGTCGAGTGTGGCATCAAGTGCTCACGCAATCGCGGCGACTCAATTGAACAATAATGTTCGACTTCATAGCGTATCTTGAGCGGCTTGATCCGTCATACGCCTACCAAGTCGAACAGCTAACTGGCGGTGTCATCAACTTCACTGTGCGAGCCAGCAAAGTCACCTTGACGGAGTCGCCAGTGGTACTCGAGGCAACGCCTGGTGCAGGTAATGGCTTGGATGTGCACTTCGGCAGGTTCCCCGGCCACGGGTCGTTGATCCTGAAGCATGCAGCCTCTCATATCGCGGAGATGGGTGAAGGTGCCCACATTCCTCAGACTCGTCAGGTAAGCTCATGCTACCTCCTTTCACGATCTGAGTGGTAGCTGATGGCAACAAGCTCGTAGAAGCAACGGCTTTAGCACTGTTCCTAGACGAGACGCGGAAGCCCGGCATAGACTCCTCTTCACTGCCTGGTGCACGATTGGGATGTTTACATACTTTCCTCGACGGAACAGGGATAATGACACCTGAAATCTTGCACTACGACGCGTCTGATCATGTACTTATTCTGTCAGATCTTGGAGCACTACCAGATCTGTCAAATGTGTTCTGTGAGCTAGGTGGCTACACACCGGGATCTGATAACGGTCGTCCAGAGGTGCCACTGCCACCTCCCAAATCACCAAGAGTAGGACAACGACTCACAGATAATGAGGTGACTTTCTTCGAAAATCTAGGGACGAAGCTTGGACGATTCTTTGCCCGGCTTCATTCCCAACGTGTCCATCAAGCCATTCTTGATCCTGCCTCCGGGCAACATACGAGTCTTACCGTTGGCGATGAAATATGCGGCTTTCCATTGCTGCCCCAAATGAAGACGGTTGTCCATGAGCATGTCATTAAGCCCCTCAGATCTCAGTTGCGCCTGTTCCCATCTCTTATCGGCATCGAGGAAGCTGATACTCTTTTCTCAGCAATTGAGGCGGACTTCCTGCGTGATACAGGTGAGCAAGAACGATGCTTCGTCATAGGTGATTGCTGGACTGGCACTATCTTGGTCGACCTGGATCGACCTGAAGGAGAGACCAAGGTCGGCGTCATAGACTGGGAGTTTGCGAACATATCTGGTCGCGGTATCAACGGAGATATCAGTCAATTCACTGCTCATCTCGAACTTTTCCTCATAGCGGCTTCCAGCTGGGGTGGAGACGGTGCTCCCGGCCACATTTCACCCTTGAAAGAAATTATGCAGGCGTTGATAGCTACATACGAGGCTGAGCGAGCCCAGGTCGACGATAGCACACTAAAAGAAACCATCACTCGGTCAGCGTTCTTGTCCCATGGCGCGGAGCTCATCAACTGCGCGTTTTGGAAGATCTGGATTTGCAAGGATTCAGAATGCCTCGCATGCCGCCGGCAGAACGAGATATCATCAGCTGAGGGGTTAAGCGAAGACCCTGATGGAAGTCAGAGGCCTAGCCATGCGTCTCAAGCCACAGAACAGGCGGATGCTCCGGAGCAGTGCACACTCATTGCGAAGATGGTCAGCAGAGGCCTAGCTTTCCTGAGATGTGCAGTCGCCGAAGACCTTATCAAAGCTACGATTTCCCTACGCCAGTGCGAGATCGTCGATGGATTGCAGCCGAGCTTGGTCGATTTGTTTACTTGAACCTTAATCTATGGAGCACGAGCTATTGTTGTGGAAGTCTCCCTACGAGTACTTCTCTTGGTAGCGGGCATGAACTACTGAATACCGTTGAACTTCGCCAATAGGTCAAAGGACCACGCCTGAAACGCCCAGCTCTAAACACCACCGGAGGAGGCACCAAACAACAACTAAGCACGCCTAAATGCGTTAGTCTAGACAATTAATTTGAATTCTCATCAATATTGCTGGCAAAATAATCAGCATGGCATCAATTTGACGAGTTTCAAGTCTACGAGCGCTTGTTCCTCAGTTGTTCCACTAGTAGTCGATAAGGCACATATCTTCACTTGTTCCTTTTCGTGTTCTACTCCACTGAACCTTGACTATCGATTCACAAAATCACAGCTATTTGCCATCAGCTACGAATACGAGCAGGAGCCTCCTATGGGCGTGTTTGTGCCTGATCAGCGCCACTATGGTGCCTAGAATACAAGCGAGCCACAGGGGCAACCACGTTTCGACCGCCACTTTTCCGTGGGAGACGCGTTCCTGAGTGCCGGGACCATTAGACCCAAGCTAAAGCTGTCATATTGTTAGTGTCGATCTCGAGGCCATTGGGCTGCATTCAGATGTCGCGTACAACACCGATCACAGCCTGTCAGCAAGATGATGGAGATAAAAGGCGTCGTCAAGTCCAACGCTCTCTTCGTACAGCGTTCCGAATACCTCGAGGCGGGCTCAGGTCGAAACCGCCCGCTCCAAGGCCGATGAAGAAAAGAGCTTCCCGAAGCACCCTGGATGAGCACGAAGGATACGTAATTCAAGCAAGCCGTGAACTGCTCCTTTCGAAGGATTATCCATACTTGGCAGCGCCGTTGGTGACCGTTGCAAGAAGAGTTGCCAAACCATCATTTCGCTCTAACTAGTGAACACTATTCATCTCGCGGTACACACTACTTCCCAGACCATTGCAGCCGAAACCTTCAAGAACCACCTCTTCTAGCTTTCGTGGTGTTCACTGCGGTACCACGGACTCCGGAGTACCGCGTATAGTGTGGACGCTTCAGACATTTTCAAAACACTCTGGTCGACTCCAGTTCATGGAGCCTGATCCCTGACTTATGGCAAGGAACCTCAGCCTGAAGAAACTGCCATCCCTGTAAACAAACAGGTTATCCACAAGGCATAACGTCTGGCACAAACTCAATTCTTGTCTTTTGGAGATCATAAAAGTCTTCATGATTCACCAGGCGGAAACAAACTTTCAACGTGGGTTGCCGTTCAACTTGCATTTCCGTTTCTCCACTGAAGAGATGACTCGGATCACGATGGTAACATCCCCTTGGTTAGTGTACCCTTTGTGCCTTGCTCTTGTTTAGATCAACTCTTCAGAAGATTCCTTTGGCTATCTCGTAACTCTAAACTCCACTTCCCATCCCCGCTTCATGTGGCTGGAGATTATCACAGACGGAGTAGGACCCAGCTGACATACAGGGTTTCTGCTTGCTGGTAAATCGCTAAGGGTATCCTTCTGTACGAGTACCTGATCGGCCTGGAACGTCTTTCACGTCCTTGGGGCTTGAGGAAGTGGACCGTGTTAACAGAGTACAAAGTGTCAGTGACATCCATGCGTCATTAACCTGGGGCAGCCTCTCCTGCATTCCCGCCTGCAGTGCACTGACAGCAGAAATCTACCATCTCCCTTCCTACCAACTTAACAAGTGGCAATTGAGTTTGTGTGCTCGTGCTCCCTCTAACTCTAGAATTGTTATTTATGATCAGCGATGGATCCACCGGTGGTTCCTCTCAGTCGAACTCGATTGACCCGAGACTATACCTTCGAGGACGACATGCCGCCTGCAACAGCAGTAAAGAGTCCTCCAGCGCCTAAATCTGTGGAAGGAACACAGGGCACTTCGACACCACGACCCAGCTATCATGAAGGACGTTCAGAGTCATCTAGGTCTAACGATGGTAGGAGCAGTGCACTCAGAAGCCAAGCACCAGAAAGTCCACACCATAGCAGAGAGTCGTCAGACATTCGCAGCCTGGAGACGGCAACACCCACTGGCCAAATGGAGGACAAAGGCAACCTTGAAGAGCTTCGCAAACTCGACTTCAATCTTGACCCCATAGAGGAAACAGACAAGAGCGCATACGAACCTTCCATCAGCACATTCTCGCGCACTTCTCACAACACCACACTGACCGTTGCTTCTTCAAATAAACTGCCAGATTTCTTCGCGCAGGAAGTCTTTCAGATAGTACTTCACAACCCGACCACCTCGCATCAGCTTCTCAAATACAGTCAGTCACGACTATGTGGTGAGAACCTGGAATTCCTGGAAAAGGTCACCAGGTACAACAATCTCCTGAGCGAAGTTGCGAAGAACATGTTTGACATCCATCGCAACTTCATTTCGGTGAACTCACCCAACCAGATCAACATTTCGGAAAATGTACTTGTGAAGGTCAATCGAGATCTCAAGTCCGCGTTGACAACGACCCTTCCAAAACTTGAATCCGTGTTCGTCGATTCGCAGAACAGCATTGAGAGACTGGTGGCGGATGATGTATACCCGAAATTCGTGCGACACCAAATGACCATGAGCGCTGCAAAAGCACTGGCGGGCGATCGAGGCAAATACGCCGGTTTGGGCGACTGCTTCGTGCTGAGCGATCCCATCAAAGCCGATAATCCAATCGTCTATGCCTCAGACGGCTTCGTCAAAGTCACAGGCTACGCGCGCAACGAAATCATCCCCCGAAACTGTCGGTTCCTCCAGGGTCGACAAACGGATCCCGCGTCCGTCAAGCGCCTCCGCGAAGCCATCAGCTCAAGGGAAGAGATTGTGGAACTACTGCTGAATCAGAAGAAGTCCGGCGAACCCTTCTGGAATCTGCTGTATATGACGCCCCTTTTCGACGCTACCGGGAACGTGGTATTTTTCCTCGGTGGCCAGATCAATTGCTCAACGACAGTTCATAATCAGTCAGATGTTTTACGCATTCTCGCCATGTCGAATGACACGGATGAGAAGGCGGTTGACGGCGTACTGGCGCCCGAGATACAAAAGACGCCTTCCCGTGCGAGCAAGTTCCTGGCGAACTTCCGGAGCAAGAGTGGCACGGTGGAAGCGCATCGGATGCCTGGCATGGAAGATAAACTCTTGAATAAAATGGAGACAGAGAAGATGAATCTCCGGAGGCAGATGGACACTTTCTACACTGCTTATTCCAAGGTACGGCCGTCCCCAGCCCCATTCCTCTTTGAAACCTAGACCGATCATCTTTTCTTTTGGCTAACCACATCTCCCCTCTTTCCGCCGAACAGTTCCTCGTGATAAACTACTCGACATTCTACATCTCCTTCCACTCGGCCGGTGCTGCCACACTGCTGTACCCGGCACGCCCGATCCCCAACAGCTCCATCTCGCAGATCGTCGGCATGGACATCTTCCGCTGGCTGTCGGTGCACTCGGCCTCAAAGGTGTCCAGCGAGTATAAGTCACGCGTGCGCACGGCCCTGAAGATGGGCAATGCCGTCTCGCTCGATCTCACCATGTGCACCCGGCGATTCATGGGCTTCGAGAAGTTCGCGACGCACTGGACGCCCCTGAAGAACGAGGCTGGCGAGATCGCTTTTGTTATTCTCACGCTCGGTGGCTTTCAGGATTGAAGGCTGGATGTCTAGTTGTACGAATCAGAGCACAGAGCATTCTCTAAAGAGCGAGTGAGCGAGCGAGCGATAGCAACGCATTTCTTTTCACGTCTGGGGAACGGGATGGATATTGTGAGCGTTTTGGTCTGGGCTTTGCTGTTTGATTTCAATGATGTTTCTGTCTCCTTTTTATCTGTGTCACGACCCCGACTGAGCCTGGGGCTGTGTGTACCACAACAGGCACCATGTATGTCCAGACGAGACACAACATCTTTGAGCGGATTACTGCTTTTTTTTAGAGACGCGTCCCAGAATGGGTTCGATGCGCAGCCTCGAAATATTGGATGACTCCAAGCCTGTTGTTATAGCAGGCTATCTCTCTTGCCCTTCCGCTCGATCTTACACCAGGGTTTGATTTTCCTTCCTACCCTTGAATTCCACAAGCTTGTAATAATGAGGGGTAGCTTAAGGTGTACACGTACGATCAATCATCCAAGTTTAGACTTTAATGATGCTACTGTAAAGGCATAATTTGATTTTCAAGAACTCACTACTGAGGACTAGTTCTTCAGCGAACTCTCCGTGAATCGATCTGCAGCGTCGCCTATGGATATCAGAGTTTCAACGCTCGGACCGGATCGTCCTCCTGCTAGCATCGACCAGATCTTCTGGGCTGCGGTTCGCGGCCTCTTCCCGATCGTGAGCCTTGGCTGAAATGCGATAAGTGGATGATGTGTACCTCCGCTGACGAGCTCGGATGTCGTTATTACTCCGAAGCCTGTACGGTTGATCTGGTTTGAAGTTTGGGATGGAACACTTTCAGTGGCTGGGATTAAGAAGACTACACAAATGCCTTTCGGGAGCCCAGGGGCGGCAGACCTGAGATTCATGGCGAGATGCCATACTATTGAGACGCACTTAGCAGTTGCTAAATCGGCATGTAGCGGATAGATCTTCATTCAAAGGCGAGGTTTGGTGCGAACATCAAGAAGTGGATATTTTTATGATTCCTTACCAGAGCGCTGCTTTGGGTCATTCTGTGAATCTGCTTCTCTTGCTCCCAAGATATCATTGCAAAGGATTCATTTTGGGACGGTTAGCTGTAGATCTCTCCCGGCACAAGGTGCTCAACTTCACCACTCGACAATGAACAGTGTCCCGGCTTGCCATCAACAGGCTTCTCAGTCACACCCCAGAGTAGTGGTTTGACTGCCTCGGTCTCTCGGTCATTCGGGTGGTGACAAACCGCGCTGATGATCATGCTCGACGTTCCAACCATAGGTATGTTGGAGTCCAATTTCCGATTCGAACAGGCCACCAGAAGCGACAGCATGCACACTAGCGTGAGCATGACGAGCAAGATCATTAGATTGTTGAACCCGCACGCACTGATATCTCGATCTGGCTGCCAATTGCCATCGAGACCCATGACGTTGATGTTCACCAAATAGATACTCCTTGACACCAGCCAGTGTGTGATGCTTGAGAGGAGCAACAACGGCACGCTGTAGGACCACGGCAGGCTTAGCCAGTATGTTGAACGTTGACCGCGTTCCGGGGAGCTCACGCGCAAGGCTTTGCGCTGTGTTGCAAATCCCGCGAACTCCTCAGCGGCATGCATACACGTGAACATGCCATTGTATAGGAAGTATAGGAAACTAAAGGCCAGTTGCGGGGTGTTAACCACGAGAACTTTGAACATCATACTTGAGCCCGGGTCGACACCACCGAATGTTGTAAACTGGAAAACTGCATTAGGGTTGATTGAGCCGAGCCCGGCAGTCCAGACGCTGCCCCTAAGATCAATCATGTTTGTTATTCCCTGTGCAAGGATCCATCCACCGACAGTGAATAGGAGACCTATGCTGTTGGAAAATCAGCAAGGAGTAATCAATGAATCGCTTGGTACCCGCCAACTTACAGTAGGATGCATGAAAACCACCTCTGTAGTGATGCTGCATTACCCCATTTTTTTGTTGATATCACCCATGGGGTGCTTTGAGGGCCAAAAACCTCCGGCCAAATCTCAACGAGCTTCTTATCTCCAACACCTCGACAGACATCAAAGGGTATCAGCCAGTAGAAGTTCGACTCGATGAATCCCTTATCCTGTCCAACTAAACATCGTCTTCTGGTGCACTGCTCGGGGTTCTTGAGAAATATCGCAATACTATCTCCAATTGTGACGAGTGGCGGGTCACTGATGACACAAAGAGCGAACAATATAACCACTATTTTCACAACGTCGCAACCGATTGTGATCCAGAGAATGAGACGGTTAGATTCGAGGCGACAGACCTCGCCGTTAGTTTTACTGCTGAGACAGTGATCGATTGGTATGTTGGCCAAAGTTACTTGCCAGTTCGACGCGTTTTGCAGAGCGGCATCTTTCGTGCAGGAGAGCGAATAATTGCGCTCACACATCCAGATCGAAGGATCGTACCCGCTCGCAGCAAATGTGCTCTCGTTCTGTCCCAAGAAAGTTGCGTAAGATGATCGCCACTTTTTGTAGTCTAAGGCATCATAGATTCCAAATAAAGCAGACAGGTTTTGCAAACTTTCAGGGGCCCCGAGGTTAGCCTCTTTGTCATGAGCAAACCATTCATAATCTTGGGTGAAATTGAGGTAGCTGAGATCCTTCGAATTGATGCCACCAAGACTACAAATTAGCACGAGTACCGTGTGCGACAGGAGAAACCGTACTTGTCATCAATTACATCTCGATCCGATGAGCTAACATTTGAAACGAGGACAACATTGGACCGCTGGGTCAATAGTGGCCGTGTGTACTGCTCGATACACTCGTGGTTCTCCAATCGTTCATATGTGCTCACGTCAGCAATAATAGAACATACCAGGGTAGTCCAGGGCCCACTGTCGCTCAGAGTCACATTGTAATTGCTGTTGCTCGGGGAACAACTGGTCCAGAGTGATGTGTCATTGTAGTCTGATGTCAACACGGCGATTCCGTAGTTATTTGCTTGGAGAGACGAAAAGAGTGCGGAATTGAGGAGAAGATGAACGGGTATCGAGCTCAAACTCAAGAGCCACCACAAAAATACCTTTTGGCCCGAGAGCCATCTGAGATTCGATGGCGACGAAACTCCAAGCTGCAAAGACCTGCCGTTGTCATGAGCAATTGCGAGCTCTCTTTCTGAAGGGGCGCTTAAGCATTGCATAACGTAATTGCTGGAGCTTATGGTCAAAGTCGCGATGAAGTTGATAACGAGGGATGCGAAAGTGGTCCAGCGCTTGGTGATAGTACAGCTACCTTCCCACAGCACGTTCTGGTATCCTTCTTGATACATCTCATTCTGGAAGGCGTTGGCAGCGATCAACAGTGCACATTCTATACTAAGACAGAATATGAGGAGAACGCAACTGAGTAAAGCACCGAGCCGCCATCCTGTGAAGTGGCCTCGCTTGCTTGCTCCTCGTGCTGTTTCAATCTCCTGGTATGCTGGACCGGATCTCAGTACTGTATACTTCAACCGTGTTCTCCCGGTCCCAGAGAGAGGATTGTGTGCTGAAAGATAGTTGAGGACGGTGAGGGTGATGCGACCAAGATGATCGAAACAGACATCCACATGGTCGGTAAATTTCCTTGTAAGCATGTCAGTCCATTTAACTACAGCGACAGCGTCCTCACCTTGTACGGTCTTTGCTCTTAAAACGGGGGTCATGTCCCGCTTTCAAAATGCCTGATTCCCTCCCTGTACTCCTTGAGTCCACGGATATCGGAGCCTGCGGTCGTCGATAGCGAAGGATCAGTGGATCATCGTGAACCGGATCCCGCTTCAGTTGAGGCTCCATCCTTCGTTATCTTGTTGGCTGATCCTGATCGTTGTCCTAGCACTGAAATAATCGTGCCGCCAGATGCGATTACCGATTCGTAGCTTTCTGTAATCAGAGTAGACAATGCGCTTCAGTCGTGGTCAACAATCTTTCGGAGCGTTTCACCAGGTACTCTGATCAAAAAAAAAGCCGGGCCAGACGAGCGTCAAGGTAAGATGGATATTCGACGCCCTTGGCCCGTGATCAACTTCGTTCCATTTTCTCGATGGGAATGCTTAGGTGCACAGGCTGATCTCCTGCCTTCCACTTGTGAACCGAGTGAAGCTGCACAGCCAGACTAGGCGTCTCGGCCCAGGTTTCTTTGCCCACTTACCACTCGCCCCACAAGCAGCTGATTCGCATTTCGAATCTAGATTGGACTTGCTGGATCTCAGATACGAATCAGCTGTCTGTTAGATGCGGTGGGCGACAATGGGTGGCGTTTAATTGGGGTTGTTGGCCAATCATAAGCACAGCGATGTGGCTATAGCTCTTCGAAAAGCAAGCATCGAACACGGCTTGTCATTGGCGATCACTGGCAGTGTGCCTGAGGCAACTGGACGGTTTTGGTGTAGATGAGCATGTAATGCTACTGTTCAGCCTGATCGAGGAACAGCTTTTGCTGAGCCAAGTTCTGATCAAAATCATGCAGCGCCGCTTCGCAAGGTCCTGACACGGACTCCATTGTTTGTCGAGCCCATGCCAAGGAGATCATCTAGCCTCGCTAGCTAGCGAGGTACGTTGGAAACCTTTCAGCTGCCAAGGAAAAACTGCGAGGGCTGCTCGGTCAGCGGTTGACAACTTGAAGATCCCACAACGCAGTATTGGATAATGCTTTGCGATGTGGTTATTTTTATGAATCGAGTTCATTCTTCGATTCGTCTGGCACACGGGGCACTCGAACGCGTGTCTCAGATCTACTACGCAAATATTGTAAAGTATATATGGGCAGTTCGATGAAGACAATAATCCACATTATTGCGAGCAGTCTCGAGAGCCTACGTTATCTAAAATGTCTTTGTCACATCCATAGACACAATTTGCCGGAGGCAGTGCCAGCCGCGACCCAGTCCTTGGATGGGTGAAAGACGGCTACGGCAGGGACGGCAGTAATGCCATCACCACCTAGCTGTGCTAGTTGGGTGCCATCAGCACTGTAGATGTCGACAAACCTGGAGATTAGGAGGAGATATTGTCAGTCGTGATGAAACCAATGGGAGCAGAGAAGAATATAACATCTATGAGCTGGCGACGTACCTGTTCATGTTACCGACCACAAATTTCTGAATGCCGTCTGATGGATACCGCTGCCAAAGGGGACGAAGAATTGTAACCCATCGACCGCTATGTTCAACATTGATGGTTAGTATCCAAAAGTTTTCAGGCCGGAAAGGGAGTTGAGGAGGACCACTCTACTTACGTCTGGTTGTTATGCCTAACCACAGTCTCGGGCTTCATGACATCGTCCTCGAGCGTCGTACCGGATTTCCAGGTATTCATGCTCTCGAGGGCATCTGTTCCAGCCTTGCCACGTGCTCCAAACGAGTGTATCTTGATTGTATCATCATAACTCGTGGTAGCAACCTGGCCCGCAGTATTGAAGGCTGCATGACTTACGCTCAACCGTGACTCGTGCTCTCCAACCAGTGTTGGAAGCTTTTTTGTCATCTTCCTCAAATCCCACAATCGCATGAAGCGGTCCAGAGACGCGGTTGCTAGATAATGCGGCGCCGCTGGGTTTAATGAAAAGCCTCCGATCTTCTTCTCGGAGAGTTGGTAGACCTCGACCGTCGAAGGCGCTTGGCGGGTGTCGTACTTTCCGAACCCGCCATTCAGGGTTGTGAAATACAGGGTGTTAGGGTCTGTGGCTGCCATGTCGATGCCCGAGACCGGCTCATCTTCTTCTCTTGATGTCGGACCGTAGACCTCAACCGCGACACCTTTCTGTAGGTCCGTTGCCCGAATGGATGAGTCGTAGGACGCCGTATAGAGCGTTTCTGGCTTTGACGAATGAGTGTGCATGGAGGAAATAGTCCGGGTATGTGGTTTAATCGTGGTGATATCAGGACCGGGATCGTCTTCATCCTCGTCTGCTTCTTCTTGCTTGACAGCCTTAGACGGTCTCTGTGATGCATCCACAATCCCTAGGTTCCCCATTTTATCCGCAGCAAAGACGATTGGTTTTGTTGCGGTGGGATGGAAGGCCATAGAGTAAATCCGTTCAGGTGTGATCTTGATTCGACTGGGATCCCACGCATCCCAGATTTCTAGCGAGGACATCCTTTCACGGAGTTTCTTGAGATCCTTGTCGGTCGTCTTTTTGACATCCGTGTCATCGAACGTCCGCTCGTAAGGTTTTGCGACACCTTTGAGGATGACGTCTGTCCCGAAGAGACCGTTTGTCCCGCCGTTGGCGAAGTTCAGGTCGCTAGTAACTCTCTGTCTCTTCTCCCTCTCCACTTGTTTCGCTTGCTCGTATTCTTTCTCGGCTTTCTCTTTCGCAACCTCACTGTCCGCTTGTATGCCTGCTAACCGACTCGAAGTCCGCCGAGGGGCAACATCAAGCTCTTTCTTGACACGCTTCGCCAGTGGCTGCTTCGATTTTGCGGCTCTTTTCGTGCCATTTTGAGGTCCACCATTAGCTGGCTTCGAGTACAGCCCAGAGGCGGCAGCTTCTTGTGTCAACTTTTTGAGCAGTGCATCTCGTTCGGCGATGTTCGCGAGCCGTTGTTTCTCAAACTCGGATTGTTCGATTGGAACCGGGCCACGAGCCATGTTTCTCGATTGATTCTCTGTGAACAAAGGACCTTGGTTGATGATACAGGGTGCACTGCGTTTTAGAAAAGTCAATGACGTCCGCAGGGAGCCCGACGCGTCGACGCGTAAAGTGGCTCCAGCTTACCTAAGCGAATTCCCGTTGTTCATGCTTGCGAGCCTTGCGAGGGGTTCCGAGGCTGGCACAACATTGGTCCGCCTTTCCCTCGGTCAGATGCGAGATGCGCTTGACGTTCTCAGTCTTACTCGTATGTCTATACGCTCTGCTTCTCACTTGTTTCCTACTGGCGCATCATATTGGTCATCAAGGAACATATATTGTACAGTAGCCAGGTCGGCACCTAGGATGGATCCCAAATTACTACAGATCATTCAGCTCATTGAGTCAAAGAAGAAGTCCTCGCACCCTTGGAAGAGACAAGAACGCTACTCACAGCCATACTACTCGTACTCGGCCACAGAGAAGCTATGGCGAGAAGTTTCAGATTTCAAAACGCAGACATCACAGCCGGTTGCGAAATTGTCGATAATGTCATGGAATATTGATTTCATGCTTCCGTTCGCGAACGAGAGAATGACTGTCGCATTAAAGCACCTGGAATCACATGTCAAAGCCAATTCAACTCCAACCATCATCATGCTGCAAGAGATGCTGGATTCAGACTTAGAATTGATTAAAGCTCAACCATGGGTGACGACGGGGTACAACATTACTGATGTCGACAATACGCACTGGGAGAGCGGACACTATGGAACAGTAACATTGGTCCCACAAGCCTTACCCATCAATTCCGTCTTCCGAGTACACTACGAGAAAACCCAGATGGAGCGAGATGGTCTTTTTGTCGATATCGATGTCGGCAATGGCCAGACCATCCGCATCTGCAATACTCATCTCGAGTCTCTGGTAGCCGATCCCCCCCTTCGGCCACATCAACTTGCGACCGCAGCGCAGCATATGCATGATCCTGCAGTGAGCGGCAGTATATTGGGAGGCGACTTGAACGCCATTCAACCATTTGATCGAAATCTCCACTCGGACAACAAACTTCAGGATGCCTACCTTGTACAGGGCGGAAAGGAAGACAGCGACGACGGCCATACCTGGGGTCAGATGGCTCAGGTCAAGCTGAGGAATATGTTTGGATGTAGCAGGATGGATAAGTTATACTTTGTTGGGGATTTGAAGCTGGAAAATTTCGAAAGGTTCGGGCTTGGTGTTGAGGTTGAAGACGAAGCCGTAAAAGAAAAGCTGATCAAAGAAGAAGGTCTTGATGGTGGCTATGCCACTGATCATCTTGGTGTCAAGGCTGATTTCAGCATTATCCCACCGCAATCACCTGCTTCCAAGATCTAGCTATGTAGTAATGTTTCACGATACTAATGAGGGCCTGTCTTTGACCAAAGAGCTACGTTGAGCCGGAAGCGAGACCGGATCCCAAGTTTGACTTCTCAATCACACTTTCCATGATACTTCTTCCAGAGATTACCCCCGTAGTGCAGATGACGATCTTCTTCCGCTGCCCAGATTCGGCAATCTTCTTAGCTATGAACCTGAGAGCCGCAACCTCGGTGAAAGTGATGCCACCAACAAACATGACAAACACTGTCTTCCATCCAGCCGCACCCGAAAGTGCCGCTCTTGCCTTTGCAGCTTTTTCATCCGTAGGTTTCTGGACGAGGTTGAACGTGGGGCCTTTGGCCGATTTTAGGATGTCTTCGAAACCGGTCCAACCAGTACTAGTGGGCGTGAGTGGTAGCGGCGATTTGTGTAGAGATTGGAGATATTGCTTTTGTAGGACGCACTGGACGATTCTGATGCTGAGGGGTGCATATCCAGAATACACATAAGCAATGTCTTCTGGGCTATCTTCATTGTATTCGTCAATGATAAGTCGCAGCTCTTTGCGCAGGTAGGCATAATTCGTCTTTGTCCCTTTCTCAGACTGGGAAGAGGCACCACCCACAGGAAGTAGTAATGCAGAAGCAGAAGATCGAGGCTGCAGTAGCTCCATTTTGTCGAGCGCGTCCAAAGTCAACAGATGTTGGTAGCCATAAGCATGCAATATCTGCCGGCGGAAGGAATCGAGATCTTTGGGTCGAAGACCTCCAGCTATTGTCGATTCAAGACACAGCAGACGAAGTACAGTGCTCAACGGAACATCGCGTGACATGAGTTCTTCGATTGTATCATGTTGGTAGATGGGATCTGTTCCCGCAGCAATGTTTTGTTGCACCTCGAGCTCCCTTGTGAAAGAATCGGATCGTGTATGCTTTGTCATGTCATCAGCGAGATTGGTGTGGACAGCTAAAGATTGGTGCTCTTGTTGATATCCTGGTAGTTTGTTGACAAAGTCTCGAAGTTCATTGATGCCTCTCGCACTGTGGCGACCTTCATAATCTGACTCCAGGCGCCGAGCTATCTTGTTCAAGGTCGGGCCAATAAGCGCAAAATTGGAGGAGCGCAGTTCAGCGAAGAGGCTGTCGGATGAATCAAGCTGAATCTTCCGTTTCAATCCCTGGCGAACAGTCGGTGGAGGTGATGCAGCAGAAGAACCCCCTGTTTGTGGACGCTGTTGAGGAGCAGCTCCTACAATGGACGAATCAATCTCTGCACGGTTATGTTTTACTCCGATGAATTCATCAATCAAGCCTTCGTACGTCAATTGTGTAAGCATAGGCGTAGCGAAGTCAACATCACGATCAATGACAATCAACTGCTCGATAGTTGTACTCGGCATGCTAGTGTACTGGGTGGCTGCCTCGTCAGCATCAAGTTCTTTGCGTGCCCGCAGAAGAAGGTTGGCGAGTTTTCGCGCGTTGTCGCCCTTCCCGAGAATCCTTGGAAATAGACCATGCCTTTGTTGAATCTGCATGAGTGCCTTTGACGCAAGATATAATGGAGAGGGATCATGTTTCTTGAAGGCAGTTAGACTGGGATTCACTAGTGGTTTTGACCTTGCCGAAACTTACCAGATACAAATCACTGAAAGCACCATCCAATTCCAGGGAGAGCATGTCATCTTCCAAAGGCAGGAAGAACAATGGAAGCTCCGAAATATTGACATCTCCAAGCACACCCTCGGCTTCTAGGATTTTGTTAGAAACCAAGGTCCTCCTGGGTACCCAGAAGATCGAGATCTCGTGCTCAACCGAGCCATTTCTCTGAAGCTTCTTGATCTGTTCTAGAATACAGAGATGTCAGCATCCGCAGTGAGAACTCTTCTCCGTGATGGATGGGGAGAGTAGGAAAGGTACGACATCGTGCTGTTTTGAATTTGCTGTTGGGAACTAGACTGATAGCGAAGAGTGGAAGAAAGGTCATCTTCGCAATCTCTTTGAAGTCCCGTCTATGGCCACAGAAAACTGCTCATGTCTTACCTGCTACATTCTGAACGAGACTGGCCTTTTCCCCATGGACCAAATAGACAATATTTCGCTGTGAAGAATCGGTGTTGCCATTTTCGAGCTCGAAGACCTTGTCTACACCGTACTCCTTGAGGGTAGAGAATTGGACAAACAATCCCAAAGGACCGGTTAGGTCTCTACCGATGACAAGATTCTTTTTGCCGCGGACCTGTTCAGATGTTCAGCATCAAGGAAGTGAGAAGCATCACGCTATTTGCCTTACTCACGCCTTCGAGTAACCCAAGCAACTCCTTCTTTGCCTTGTTCCGGATATGCTCTGCTTCTTTGTCTATGTTTGGGGCCATGGCCCTTGTCCTTGACCGAATTCTTCCACTTTCACATTCCAAGATAGAGACCGAATATCAGCTGGACCTAGTCTGAGAATCGAGACACGAGAGCATGCATCCCAACACGAGGTTTGGATGAAGTTGATTTGGTGACAAACTTGCCAAGATCCGATGTCCCACTCTGGAATGAGCGGTGCCTAAGTCACGTGACGTCTGGCGAACCCTCTTGGTGACTCCGGGCCTCTCGGGCCTCGACTGTCAGAGATTCCGTGCCTAACGCCAACCGCCCCGCCACCTAACGCAGCCAAAACCAAACACCGCCCACTGACACTCAGCCACGGCCTCCGCGTTTCAGCTTGACATCCTTCCATAAAACTCCTGAAGTCCCAAAGGAGCTCTGCTGCCTCAGCCGTATTCTTATTTTGTAGAAGAGTCCTCACTCCGACTCTACACATCTTTATCTCATATCGTTCGGAAAAAAGCACCAAAATGGGTAGATTCGGCTTCAAGAAGGGCGACGACGATGACAATGACTCCAGCAGAAGTGCGCTGTTCGGCTCCCGATCCTCAAAGAACAAGTCTCCTGCCTCTCCATCCCAAAATCCATATGCACAAGCCGCTATCCCTCCAGATGCCTATACAAAGGCTAAAATGAACGCTGGAATCGTCCCACCCCAAGCTGGAGGCTTCCAACAGGCCTCCGACCCTCGACGGCAGCAGGGTAACTATGGTGGTGGCCTTCCAGCGCCCGGCCAGCAGAGACCAGGCGGTGGCGGCGGCGGAAACCCATATGCCGGAGGTGCACCAGATACTTATGGCAGTGATAATAAATATGGCTCTTCACAAGGCGGTCAAGGCGGCTACGGGGGCAATCAAGGAGGTTACGGTGGCGGTCAAGGGGGAGGTTATTCTTCAGAGAAATTCGGTAACCAGAATGGGTATGGAGGAGGAGGCGGAGGGAATCCATACGCAAGCGGTCAGCAGGCCGGTGGAGCACCACGGCAAGGTGGTTATGGTGGACTTGGACCCAGCCAGTACGACCAAGACAGCAATCGAGACGAATTGTTTGGTGGAGCTCGTGAGCGGGTGCAGCAGCAGAAGCCACAAAATCCTGCTGGAGGTCCTCCTGATTATCAGTATAACCCAGAAAATAATGCCGGAGGAGATAGAAGCTATGGGGCATATGGCGACCGGCAACTGACCGCCGAAGAAGAAGAGGAAGAAGATATTGCAGCAACCAAGCAAGAAATCAGATTCATGAAGCAACAGGACGTTGCATCAACACGCAACGCACTCCGCATCGCTGCACAGGCGGAAGAGATGGGCCGGAACACGTTGGCCAGACTTGGTGCTCAAGGCGAGCGAATGCATAATACCGACCGAAATCTTGATATTGGAAACAACCACATCAACGTTTCGGAAGACAAGACGAAAGAACTCAAAACCCTCAACAGGAGCATGTTCGCTGTGCACGTCAACAACCCATTTACATCCAAAGATCGGCGTGCTCAACGTGATGAGGCCATCATGGAGCGCCATCACCAAGAACGTGAGCTCCGTGAAGCCACCCGAGATCAAGCCTTCAAGTCAACACAACGGATGAACCAGAATTTTAAGGGCATCGACGAGGCGTCGAACGGTCCAAAGGCCAAGACCAGCCTCGCTGAGCGAGCCAAATACCAGTTCGAGGCGGATTCTGAGGATGAGGGTATGGAGAATGAGATCGACCGCAATCTGGACGACTTGAGTGGTGCGGCTAAGCGTCTCAACCTGCTGGCCAGAGCCACAGGAGAAGAAGTCGAACAACAGAACAAGCTCATTCAACGAATTGCCGAAAAGGTAAGTACCACTGATCCATTTGGTCCCTTACGGCTGCACTTACTAACGTGGAAATCAGAGCGACCGATTCGACGACAGACTAGTCTTCCAAACCGAGAAGCTGAAGAGAATCCATTAAGACTTGATCAGTTCTATTGGACACATACGAAGAATGGAATCATAGACATGAGCGGTCATTTGGAGTTTGGGAGTCTGCCTCAGTGGCACAAGCACTCTGGATATATTTTCCGTCCCAGGATTTTTTCACGGGTAGCATTCTATAGGACGAGTAAGTTGTGGACGAGGGAGCGAGTTTTGTTCATGCAGCCCCAGAGATCATCACTGCACCCAGGAGAGATAAACTATCCCCCCGTTTGTGAATGGCCAAAATTCCTGCCTCAGGCTTTCCTCACTGACCTTTCAACCGTTTTCTCATATTTTCGGATCGATCGGATGCACCCGTGCGGGATGCAGTGATGTACAGAGAGATCATCGATCAACAACGAACGTGCCCCGTCTCAAGCCGTTTGATCAACGCTTCTCCATCTTCATGATTGATCTGATCATCTCGCCCAAATACTGAATCGATGAGCAGAGCAGAGCAGAATTCTGAGCCCGTTGATCGGCCCTCGCTCCACGAGTCTATTGCAACGTCAATTCACCCCCCCGGATCAACCGCCCACTCCTGGTCTTCTCTGTGCGGAATGGAGGTGAGATTCTCAGAGGCAGGCCTGACAAGACTAGAGGGGGCATCGTCTTCAGATCGACAGGCACAAGTGATTTCTCCTGGCACTAATAAACATGAACATTGTTTGCAGTGGGTACCACGGGGGTTCAACAACAATCTTCAATCACCTCTCTCTCTCCCTCTCTCGGACCATGTACGGGCAAGGATGAAGAATAGTATTTTACGTACATTCGAGCCATCTAGACGTGCCTGCCTCAACACTCTCAACGTTCAAATCAGGCCCAGCATCGTGACTGTTGACTACTGTATCCACATCCGCATCCCAACCCCTACTTACTACTAGTCTAGCCACATCGACGATCGGTGTGCATCTGTCTCCTGCGGCTGCTGACCAGATCACCAGATGAAAAAAAAAATCAAAAATCAATCATGACCTGCATGTATGCATGCATGCCGCCAGGCCCAGGGGAGGGAGGAGCGGGTCCGTGCTCGACAGAACAAACGGTAGCAGTTGGGAAAGCAGATCGATGATCTATCTACGAGTATCTGCAGCAAGAAATGTAGAATCAGTCCTTGCGTTCCGCTTCTCTCACTTGACTTGACTCCCTTTGGCGCCGTGCCGTCCCCATTCGAGTCGGCGGCAGCAGCTGCTTACCGCTTCGAGCGTCCTGGTCACCCCCCAGCCCGTGCAAGGGAGGGAGCCTGGCGAGGATTCCGGGATATAATTCGTCATGTTATGTTACGGCGCATACTTCGTAGTGTGTGCAGATCTACTGTATTAAAACTGGCAGCAAGGCTCTGTCTGTCCTTCCTCTCCTCTCCTCTTCCCCCCTCATTCCCGCTCGGTCGGTGTAGTCAGATTTCTAGCGGCTAGCCTTGCAGTGCAGTGGGTGTGCCCTCTTTTGCACGCACATCGACATTGGACCGTGGGGTCGGAAGCCACTTCGCAATCTCCCATCTCATCGTGTACCCTGCCCTTCCGCCTGCCGAATTCGGTCGCTACGGAGGTAGGTCAGGGAGGTGGGTTTTCGGAGATTTTTTTTAATTTTTCGTTTCTGTCGAGATCCTTGTTCTTATTGTTCGGATTGCTCAATTAGGTTGGGTGCATCGAGTGAATGGGGGAAGAGAGAAATGTCCTTTTAGTTTCCTGGCTAAGCTACGAAGGAACGACCGTTGTCAACTCCACGGTCTCCTACTGTCTATGGGGTACTCGCACGTCTCGTCCTTCCACCCTGGCTATTGCCCGTTGCAGTCAAGGTTCTTTCTGCACAAGTCTCGGTTGGTCCACTGTGATGTCGCGTCGTTCCGAAATTTGAAAGATTGAAGAGGTTCGTTAGACCTCTCGCTGCGGTCTAAGCAGGGTCTTGCTGTGCGCTGCAGATGGACGTTAGTGGTTCAAGTCCACTGATTTGTTGTCGTTCGAGTCCTCTCTAGACTGTTTATGGATTCATTTTCCCCAAAGGAATTATCTGACATTTCCGCTACTACGATTTTCTGATTTTTTTGAGGGTTCTGGTGTTGTGGCGTTCCTGGATCTGCAATGATCGTCGCGTTTCAGAATGTAGGCTAAGCCCCATGACAGTGACTTTTGGGTCTTAGCTCACCAGTGCGACGGCGAGACGGCTGGGGTCCTTTCTACTCCGTAATCTCATCTGCGCCTGTAGAACTGTGGACACCGTCTTTGCGGTCGTGGTTGGGAACGAGCACGGAACTGGATGTCAAAAAGCTGCACGAGCGAATACTGTGAGTATGACCTGTCACTGCCAAGGTGGGTTACATTATGCCGTTGCATCTGAATATATCATGTGCGAAATCTGTTGTCCAGCGTCGAGAGAGAGTTTGTGCATTTTGAAGTTTAGACAGCCCAACGCCAGTCTTGGAGACCCTTTCGGAGAGCTTGGAGAATGAGATAAGGTTAGGGAAGGGCTCTATCGAGGGACGCCGAGAAACCTTGTGTGTCGGAATGGGTATAGTTCTATTACGAACTACGAAGTAGACGTGATATTGGTTAGGTAGGCGGGGTCATAGCCGGAGAGGGTATCGTCTTCAGCTAGGTAATTGAGTTCCGGCTTAGCGGCGTTGACGAGGAAATTGTACGGAGTACATGCAGCTAAAAGATCACAATCCTCAAGCTCCCAAGATGCCAATGTTGAAAAGAAGCCTACGAAGTAGGCTGCCAAACAAGCGAAGAACAATAAGAGAACAAAAGTCGCAGGATTAGAAGAAGCTAGCATTCGCAAAACAAACGCCACCAATGGCGCCTCTGGCACTCAGGCGAATTCTCAAAAAGGATCCAAAATAATATGTGGACATTGGGCACTAGGACACATTCGCAGGATGAAGACAGGACTTTGATTTGCGCAATGCCAGCTGGAGATGATTACCATGCACAACCAGGCAAGCAGCTTGCTCTCCAGTCACTCAGGTGGTTCGAGTAGGATGACGCATTCTTCAACATTGTTTGATTAATTGGGGTTCAATCGTATCAGTACGGAGTAGTTCTTTTCATGTCACTGGCGTCCTTCAGTTCGAGTTAATACTAGTAGCTTTCTCGCTCAGACCTTCCATCAAAAATCAAGAAAGAGCAGATTGGGTCATTTGTTTGGGAAGTTAGAATGATGGCTTTTGACAACCGCCGTCCGTCGAGCCGCGATGATCGACATCATCTTAGGCCAATGACAAACAATTTCCGCACACCACAGGATCTCGTATGACGTTGAAGGCTCGGGGAGGAAGGCACAGTGGATTCTTCTCTGGCTCAGTGTTGCCCAGCAAGCGGGTTTACGACCAGGGCTTGTAATTCGTTTGGTGCAAACGCCACCCGCAAGATTAGCTGTACCACTGAGCTTTAACCCTGGAAATGACCCGATAGTGAACTTGGGCGGGCGTTTCAGACTGGGCCCACAAAGTGGTGACTGCTTGCTCCCAAGTCCTGCGTACGAGATTTTAAGTCAGCTTGCGAGTGAATTCTCCCAATTTTGTGGAGGGGGCTCGAGCAAAGTACTACTCGTAGTACGGTAGCAACTTGCAATATCGGAGAATGTCAATGGTTCTGGGGCACCACTCGCGACTCATGAACCATACACAGAGTATATTGGCCGTGTTTACATGTACTTGGGCAGTTCTTAAGTCGTGGTGTTCAATAATCAAGCTTGATGCGCCTCGGACTTACCCCTAGCAAACCCTTACAATGCAGGGTACTCTCAGTGGCTATGATTTGAACCCTAGGATCTGGTTAACCGGCTTTTGTGTTTGAGACCCTGCGTCGGCGATGTTCCATAAAAGAAGATATTGCGCCCAAACGTCTGCAGGGTCTGAGTCCAAAGCAGGGCAGATGAAGGTTTGAGGTGTTCGAGAAAGGAGGCTGAGCAGGCAAATGTTAATCAGGCATAAATGCAGCTTAATGAGTGGATGAGGGGGATCTGGGGACGAACCTACCTAGGTAATTGTATTCGAAGTTAGCGAACCTGGTTGTGGCAAAAGCCTTCTTGAGGTAAAAGCCAATGGGATCGTAATGCTTAATGATGGCCAACCCAGGACGAAGGTGTTAGTGTCAGTTCGGCGGTGGATGGCAATGTAGTAGTAGACCTATCTGATATGTTCCTACTGTGGAGGTGGTTTGGGTGGTTTGAGTGGCAACCACTGAGGTAGGCTGGAAGTATAATTTTCTGAACAAAGGTTTCGATCATCAACCCTTATGGCGTGCTGTGCTGGGTACACTGGACCCATGAACAGCCAAAGCAAGAGTGTCTGTCCAGTCTGGAGATCAGCATAGTCAAAGAGTCTCAAGCTTCGCACATGGACCAAATCTTTGCTTTCCCCAGGTGATGAGCAGATCTGCGATGGATCACAAACGGGATTTCGTGCAGCCAGATCCAGTATCGAGAGTCTATATGAACGTGCAGAATCTATCTGTGACGGCAATGCAATATCTACACATCCAGGTGAGACCGTGAGCGTGCTCCTTACGGGTACGATGCCCTGCAAGAGGGGCAATTCGACCGGAAATCGGCACAAGAAACTTCACTCGCAGTCTCTTAAGCGGGTGATTTATGGTTGTGGAGCAATGTGGTTCGGGTCAGCAGTTGGTGCGTTAGTGCAGTCTGGCTTGCACCGGCAATGTTGATACGAGTCAGACGAAGGAGGTATTGGAAGCCCAAGATTCGTCTGATTGATATCTACGAGTACTAGGCGGTGCTCGTAGCGTGGTGCGAATGAGAAATCGTGTCGGTCAACGCTAAGGGGAAAGGGTGGGATTCAGAGATACGGAATAGCCCTGGCCTTACACAGTACGAAGGAGTAGTGAATCATGGGAGGGTCCCTCCCCGGATGTGATTAATTCCCTACGAGTACGAATAGGTCAAGCGAGAGTTTCCACGGCGAAGGAGGCACATCCGTCAGCGGCGTGATCCAAGCTTGGGCATTGGCAGTTGACATCCATCCAGCGACAGACGTCTAAACCCCTAGTAAAGGAGGGTCTGAGATGATGGTATGTAATTGGTTGGCTATACCATTATCTTAAGCTGTCTCGAGATATGCTTTCGTCATTAAAAACATACTAAACCCAGACACAAGACAGCATTGCCCGGATTGTGCAAAGCGCTACGTGAAGTACAGAGTACCTTGGAGATAAGTACAAGCATTAGATTCTTAGGGCAACCATTCAGAGACATCAAAGTGGTAGAAGGTTGAATTCGGGAGAATGTGCCGAGAGCTGTACCAAATGATAGCAATTGTAACCTGAGATATCTTTGCATTTGGTAAATGAAATCCACCCATTTCCAGCCAACATTCTCACCGCTTTCCTTGGTTCGGTTTTGCGGGTTAGTATCAATCTAGCTTTCATGTCCAGAGCTCCAGCGACAGACATGTCCGGTGTTCGAACACCCTGTCAAATTCCACTACAAATTCATCATACTGATCTGCCACTCACAACGAATTAGTGTCTGCCCAAGTGTGAGGTACCTACCTAGGTAGTATGTATCTACTCGAATATCAACTTGAAGATGCCCTGAGATCTCAATTGGGGAGTGTGTCAATCATCACCTCTCTGGGCGTCAACCCGTTTCGCCTTCTACTATACCAGGCAGAGGAAAGTCTCATTAAAGCCAACGGGGTGGCTGCAACTAGGCAATGGAACTAGCTGGGATCTGAGTTCTTGATGCCCAGAAGTTCGACTCCACCGAGGTCAAGGTGTTCTGCAACGAATAACTCCGTCGTGTAAAATGATGCAAACATCCACCAAGGTGGAGGCCCGTAGTGGGAGGGTGGAACTACTTGTACAAGGGGGAGGGGGAACGACGATTGTGCAATCAGAACCTACTTGGTAGGCGGGCCTTCAGCATCCGATTAGGACTACGGCCCTAGGAAACTAAAAACTCTAGGCTAGATTCTAGCGGACTAATGATCAGATTGGGGGGCCACTGGGGGGTTTGAGGGAGGCTTCAATGCCAAAAGCCGGTGGCGTCCAATTGCTATCATGACCGGACGTCGACCTTGATGGCCCTTGTCTTGACACTTGATCCAAGCCTCATCCAAAGGGACCGGGGTTCTTAACAACATCCGACGACTGAGACTCTCACGCTCACGCTCTGACCGTCCAAAGTCACATCCCTGTCACTTTCTTCTGTCATTCCTCAAGGGATTCCCACAAGTGCATCATTTTCCGGCCTGGCATACACTGACTCCTCCACTCAGACAGCTGCCTTGTTCTCCACTGTAAACACTTGCCCAACCACCACCCCGAGCTAATTGCCCTGCGTCAAGGGAAGGGAAGGGCTTTGATTGTAACTGAAGCCAGTCCAAGATTCACAAACACTCACGAATGGTTCAAAGGGTCTGGAGAACTATCCACCGACGTAACGGCACAGACAACCAGGACATCAGTACCTCTGGAGTATTCCAATAGATATTTACCTTCACATTCCCCACTGCTGGACTTGATAGAATCGATCTGCTTTTTTGAAACTCATCATTAAACACAACGACCAAGTACCCATCAGCATTCCACTATTTGAAACAACAAGCTCGGAGGCACACCACTTCCTCCAAGCTTACTTACATATATCAACATACTTCCGAATAACACGTAGTTGTTATTTCTCACAACCTCACCATCACTTTGGTTCACTTCACGTCAACTGGCAATCGCCGTTGGAAGTCTGAACAATCTGCTGCGACGATCTGCCGTTCGCCGAACTGGTTTGAGAATTGTGCATCCTCTGTAGCAGAGTTATCGCTATCAAAGTTGGAAAGGGGGCATTGCACTCAAGCTATCGCCACAACTGCAGAAGATCAGCATCGATCTACAGTGGACCCTTATTTACTGTTACCACCTCCACAACATACGTTACAGAGTACATAATCTTCGCTGATCCCTCGAGAGAGAGTTCGATCATCCCACATCAGATTCTCAGGCACACAAGATCTTCTGGACCTTTCGACATTTACCAACTATCTAAATTGTGTTGCGAAGCTGGGACTATCGCATCACAACAACATCTGAACCCTTCTTGTTCAACTCCAAGCCTGACATTGATTATCTTTTTTTCAACCAACCGCCCTCATGACGATGGTCATTGACAATCAAGGTCGACATTACGGGGGGATGGGTTACGATCACATGTATCCCAACACCATGCATACCTCTCCGCAATTCAGCGACCCGTGGCAACACCAAAGTGCCACTTCTGGCTCATCATTTCCGGCGTTGTCCAAGACAGATAGTTCACGATCTGCACTTTCTATGCCATACTCTCAGCTACCCCCAGTGACAGGGTCATTGGCTCAAGGTAGCAGCTACTCCAGCGTCGGATTTTCTGCATCGGATTTACTAAGTTATCCTCAAGACATTCCTCGCTCAACCTATAGTGAGCAGGCTTACACCGCTCCTTCGGTCACAACTTCCTCATATGCACCATCATATTCCTCCATGAATTACGCACAATCGATGCACCAGCAACAACAACATCAGCATCAGCAACAGCAACAGCAACAACATCGAAAGTTATCTGATACGTAAGCTTTGTCACACCTTCCGCCTTTTTTTGAACATGTCACTAACTCTTTTATAGGGTGGATAACTCGCGAGCTGCGCATGCAAGCTTCGGCGAGCTTGATGCTTCTCGAGGCATGCTCGCACTTAGCCATTCCAATCTACAAGATTTGACACCTCGCAACATATTTGAGGCACGCGCTCAGCGACCCACATCTGATGCATATGGGTTTCCACAAACAGCCTCAAATCAGTCATCTATTTCCAACGAGTCTGGTCGTGGTTATCCATATTATGCCCCTAGCTCCGTTGGTTCAGTCGGCGACAGCGCAACCGACTATAGCTCGGCAGCATCGGACGCTGGATACGAGTCGATGGCAGCATCGCGCACTTTACCGCGACCTAATCAAATGATGGGTCTACCATTAGGACCTCCAGCACCACAGTCGATGATGGGACAATTCTCTTCCAAGATGTCGGCAAACACTCAGAAGAAACATAAATGCAAAATCTGTGATAAACGCTTCACACGACCAAGTTCGTTACAAACACACATGTACAGCCATACAGGCGAAAAGCCATTCGCATGCGACGTCGACGGATGTGGCCGCCATTTCTCAGTCGTCAGCAATCTTCGCCGACACAAGAAGGTCCATCGAGGAGAGACTACTTCGAATGCGAGCCATTCAGACATTGAAGATTAGGTGTTTGAAACCCCTACCAAAAGTCATGCTATGAACCACTTCACCTTATTGACTACTTCACTGCTCCACTGTATACCAAAGTCTGCGGTGGCGCGTCTGGAGCAGCGCGAACACGCAATGTACTACCAACTGGCGAATAGACAGAACTGGGTCACTCGAGAAACCCTGGGAAAAGCCACAAGACGGAGGGACTTGAAGTTCCCTCATCAAACGCATCATTCATTTCACCACAGTCGCTACATTATAATCATTTTCTAGTTTTACGACCACTTGATACCCAGAGATGATGGCACCAAGCATCAGGTTTGTTTGTGTGCTTTCCCGCATGGTGAGCCTTTGAGCTCTTCTGCGAATGAAGCTAGGCGTTGGGCATGGAGATCTTTGGTCTGGGCACTATTTTGTCACGATCTGTTGATCGAGAGACCGGTGGTGATTTGTGTAGAGCAAATTGTTAACGTGAGCACCAGGATTACTGAGCTATCGCCAGCAAGGTGCTCTGATATACCCCGCCGCGTTAGATAGTACTATGATGATAGTATCACTCCCAATCAGGTAGTTTAACGATCAAGAGATTAATTGATTCTTACGGTTTTGCATGCAGTTTTTTCAACCCATCTCGCTACTAACTACTACTGTCCCCTCAAAGCCATACATACAGACAAATGTCGGATCTTCTTCATTCGCACAGGCTCGCACAAGATATCACGTGACACAAGCCCTCAGCCTAAGATGACGCCGATGATGTCATCTTGACTGCCCTGCATTTCGCTGGGGCGTCTCAGAGCATGGGTGTGTGACCGAATTCCAACGGCAATCATCGTCCTCCTCATTCCCCTTGTCTCACACCAATTTTGCCCAAGTCCACCGACGTGTCCGATTAGTGCCCATCCACGTAGTACTTGGTTAATCAACTTTTAGTGAACGAATTGTTTCTTCTTTCACGGACAGGCCCCAATTCCGGTGAAGGAGTACGGAATGGTGCAGTGCCTTTCGGTGGTTTGAACTTTCGAGGGCCCCTCCTTGGCCGTGTGGATGCCTGTTGCCGTCAGTGGCGTTTTGTCACGAATGCGATTGCCCAACAGGAACTCCACATCAGACGCCATCATGCAGCCACCATCTCATCTGGTGGGCAACTTCAATCGCAACTACCCTCAAATCTGCGAAGTACGAGTACACAAATGACCGGGGGGTTGGGAGGGGAAGTTACTCGTACTGGAAGAACTTCGTTCTCACAAGCCACCACAGATGCCCACCATGATGCACCTAGCATTGGGCGACAACTTGAACGAGCTTTTCGACAAACAACTTCAAAGTTGAAAGCTCGGACTTGCAGATAGCCCCTTGGCACCTTCTGCAATCTTATCCAGGATACCATGACCAAACATATCCGGGTCCAATTGGCACCATTCCGTCACTCATACAATGCCTGACTGGCTATACCCAACTCCTCGTATCCCAGCAACATTACACCTATCTCGTAGTTCGGACAGGCGTACTACCAATCATTGGATTTCCACATGGACCCTGATGGTTGGGGATTAATCGGTGGCCGGTATAAGGTCCTATACAGGAAAAGGCCATCACAACACTCTGACGTCGTTTCTCACTCCGTGTAACCGGCTTGTATCATATCTTGAGAGAAGCGAATTCCTCGCTACCACTCGATGACATCGTGCCAGTGACCAGACGGGCACTCCGTCCACCAGCCCTCGTTATATTGCAACGACAACAGAATATCTAACGGTTCCGAAAATGATTGCGAGCCGAAGTCCCAAGCAACCATGATCTCGTGCACACACAATTGGGTAGCCATTCCCTGCAGACCCAAAGTTCGGATTCCAGGGTTCAACTTCCCCTGTCAATGCAGATCACACCGACAATTGGGGAAAGCGTTGCCGCCGCCTCAGGTTTCATGCCTCATTGTTGACCCCTAAGCGCGACTTGTCTCGTTTCGTGCACAGGAGCAGCCAACAGAGCGTTGTGGACAGAAGACTGCCGATCCCTTCCTCGTCGTTGACTGGCCACCAGTGCAGTGCGAAGTACGAGTATGTCGGGTCCTTTCTGTCACCGATGCCAGTCGACCGAGTATGTTTGGTGCAAAGCATCATTTCTATCCGAGAATAGGCTTTCCTGGAGCGTCTTGTATGGTTTTGATTGCTCTACGAAATACTAGCAGCACACGACAGCAACAGCAATAGCAACAGCAACAGCGTACGGCATTGGCTTCGCCAGCGTGCTGGGCCGCTCTGCATGGTCTTTTGTGTTCTCCGGAGAATATCCGAAGTGTCTCTCGAACTTCCTGAGAGTCTTCCCCCGAGACGAGGCTGAAGTGATAGAACAAGATGAGGCTAGAGGTTGTGAGATGTATGTGCCTACGCCTGTACGTGAAGGACCTTGCAGTCGAGGTCGTTGACTAGGACCAGCCGTGTACGTACTTTGCCCCAAGGTAAGGTGGATGCCATTCATTGCCCGCTTCAATAGCTCCAGCTCCTCAGAAGCCTTTCCGTTCAACAGGCTTGCCCTGTCTCCACGATCACGTTTGACGAGTGGCTACTTTCTGAATTTCGAATACGGCATCTAGCCCCGAGTCAAGCAGAGTGACACGCACGAGGAGCATTGACGATCGAGCAACTCGCAGCAAGCAGTTTCTGTCGACACAGTGATAATAGTGAACCCAATCGCACTGGAAACTAACAAAACAACTTTATGATCGCCCTCAGAAAATCTCAGGGAGTGAGTGAGTGAGTGAGATGTCCACTGTGTGAAATCTTGCATTCTTGTACTATCCAAGTATGTCTGTGCATTTGATATAGCTCATGTGCAGTCAGTGTGGCATCGTGCGGCCCATGGCCTGTAGTTTTCAAGATATTCTCGAAAACAGCCCCGTCCCCAATTGCTTCCAATCCGTTTTCCTTTCCTTTCCCTACCAAACACAAGTCCGTGCCGAAAAAATCATCAACCCTTCCAAGCATATCAATGATGGATCCTTTAAAACAATATATTATCCCCAAAGAAGAGCTGCCACGTCAATGTCGAATAGCAGCCAACAACCTCGTCGTCTACGACCCGTCCAGAGCAGCCCACCCCATCCCCACGGAAGAGAAGAAGAAGATGCCCCTTTCCATCCATGTCTTTGCATTCTCCAAGCTCCGATGCTTTCTCCCCGAGATTCATCGAAGGATCGTGATCCATATGCATAAAGCATCGCTATCCCATTCAAGTGTCGCTGAATCTCGCCTCAGATTTGGTGCTGGTTCAGCCATGTCATATCATCGATGGACATCGCATTTTGTGCATGAGCTTGCGCCTGAGCCTGAGCCGAGCCTTGAACTTGAACTCGACTGTGTAACTGAGCCTGAGCCTGAGGCTGTGTAGGCACCGCATAGGCAGTTCCAGGACACAGTGTATATGCACTCTGTCCGCCGAGGCCGGTTGTACTGCCACCAATTATTGGTGCTGGTGTTCCTGGTTGGGCTTGACCAACTCCGGAAGCAGCATTGGCATTGACATTAGTATTGGCATGATGTTTTTCGGTGTCGGTATCGGCCAGGTCATCCCATCGACACTGAAAGCTGCGCGTGATGATGTCTTCACAGACCTCCCTTTGCGCAGGCGTTGCGAGGAAGTCTTCTGGTCTGCTGGGGATCGGGTTCGCCATCCTCGGGTTTTGGTGCAGGGGGCATGTTCTGTTGCCGTGGATGGCCTGTGTTGCGTACAACGGAGATCCAGTTAGTTCAACCAGGTTATGCTTACGTGCAACACAACTTGGAGAGCAGGGAAGATGGTTAGGGAACCAGATGAGAATACAGATGTGGGTGTAAATACAACAAACGAAAGACAAGAGCGCACTCAAGAACTCCTCTGCAAGGATTAACACATACCTCTTCAGCTCCCGTACTGAGACAAATATCACAACGCAATCCGTCCGGGCAACGCAGACACCCCAAGACGAACTGGAAGTGGACACAGATCCCCATGCTTCGGCACTTCTGGACACACGAGTATTGGACGTACAGTACGCATGGCTTCATCAGGTGCAGGCTTCTTTGCCTATTCTCCGGGGAGTCTTGTTTTGTGACTGTCATGTGTGGGAATGGAGAGATTTCCGCCGGCCTAGCCATCTTGAACACCTGACCGTTCGGGATGTTTACGTTTTGTATGAAGGTGGTGATCATTGGAGGCTGGGGCTTGGGTTGAGCTCTGGGTTGAGATCTGGGCTGGGCTGCTTGGGCTGTGCCTCCTACTGCTGCTGAGGACGGTTGATGGAACGTCATGTTATTTGTATTGGTGGGGAACCGTCCGTTCGGTGCGTTTGTGCTGTAGGAGAATTGATTTTTCATGATGACTTTGTTGATGTGTGATCTGTGGAGAGTATTGATATGCAGATCTTGATCGACGAGGATGCTCAGTGGTGAGTGTAAGTACAGCAGTCATGAGCTCAAGCTGACGGAAGCCGACGTGGGCACGTCGCGGTGTGCGAAGTTGAGTTTGTTGCTTCCGACAAGGGACGTTTTCACCAAGATCGAGAGGGATTGATAGAAAGATTCTGTCGGACTGGGTGACTGGAAAGATCGACTGTGCTCTGACGAGATGCTTGTCATGAGAGAAATCACCAACGAGTCGTATCCAAAAAGGAATAATTTCTCCAAAACAAGAAACAAAGAAGCAGGTTTTATACCTCTTGCTCATCGACCGTCACGTCACGCAGCCTTGCCGTGAAGGAAGCGCAAACGAAGTCTGTCACCGCTGCGTGAAGAAGCAGCCGGGAGGGGGACTGCCCAGTAATCGAAAGGGTCCACAGAAGCACATGGCATGTTTGCGAACGCCGCCGACGGTGAATGAGTAGGGAAAACAGACGCCGACGACTACAATGGCAGTAGGGGTGGAGCGGGTGAAAGATCTGTCGAGGACGCCTATTGGTGCGGAGAGCCTTTCACGGCGGGTGAGGGACTCGAGCAAGGGATAGCAGAATGATCGGCGGTAATCTGGAGGGTAGTGAGTGAATGGTGAAGACCTCGGACGGACTGACGATACTGCCAAGCTTCGGGCTTTATTGTGGTGGTATAAAGTGAATATTTCACTGTTGACACAATAATCGTGGACATATGACGCATGGCAGAGATAGACGAAGGTTGAGCAGAGGGTTTGGGAATGCTCGGTTTGGCTGTGAGTTGATCCTGTAGCAAAACCATGTAAGACTAGCAGTAATTCCAACTTCGGAAGCACTCTGCCATTGGACTGGAGATCAACAACAGATATCGATTGTCATGCATCTCCCTAGGCTGTCTGGTCTCTTGTGGCCATTCGGACTGTGGCGCATAGCAAAGCCTCGGGTGGGCAGAACTGCGTAGAGGGCAGTCTTGATTGAGTCCATCCCTCTCTCTCATGCCAGCGTTTCTAGCATGGAGACGATTGCAAGTCTCTCGCCGTCAAGTTATGGTAGACATGATCGAGGTAAGCGATGTCAAGCTCACACCGAAATAAGATTTATATAAAGAGGATGAGACTGTGGGTTCAGAAAGGAATATTCTCAAAGTAGGATGTCAAGATAGGAGTATCATTCATTCATGCCCGCATCCAATTCCGGATGCTTAATAGAAGTGGAGTATAAAGGTGTACGCTCAGAAGTAGCAGATTAGGGGAGAGAAAGTTGCGGCCGGGGTTGCGGAGGGATCATCATGAACCCTACCTAGCACCTCAATTATATCTTTTCCCAAACAGCGCTCTCGCTTCCTATCGAATTACCCCCCCATGTGGCAGGCGATGAACGAACCGGAGTAGCCAGGCCAGAATCACCGATTGTTCCGAGTTGGGTTGGTTGCACTCTTGGACCACTCGGACTCGATCTGTGTTCCTCATACAACTCTCGATGGCGTGCGCGGAAGCCCATCATCGAGGCGACTAGTCCTCCGGGAAGGAACCGGCCGATCAGGTCATATACTCGGGCCCCGCTTCCAACGAATACAACATTTGATCTTGTGACACTTTGCCATTCGAAATGACCAAATGCTTTGAAAGTTTGGGCCGGAGCCAGAGCGTCGAAAACTGCATTGTGGAACTCCCTGGCTGCGCTGCCACGGATGAAGCTGCGCTGACCCAGAGTTCTACGTTGAATTGCTGCTCTTTGCGAGCTATGCCAGTGGGTGTTCGTTTGTGTGAGCGCCGAATTTGAGGGATCCAGTCTACCCGCACTTTGACTTCCTGTCGTCCGAGTACCAGCGACAGAACCCATGTCAAAATTGCCCATCTTGAGTTCGCTTACTGTAATATTTGCATTTGCTGCATTGATTTCTCTTCTCAGACTTGATGCAAGCGTAGACAGAGAGCTTGTCACCAAGCATTCGGGGATTTGCCTTGGTGAGTGGAGTGATTGTGGAATGGAGGGGTAGGCAATGACAATGCTGGCAGGAGATTTTGGGTCGGTTGAGTGATTGGCAAGAAGTGGAAGGAATTGCTGAATTGTGAGAACTGGAGATACGAGACGTGTGTTGAGAGTGTCGACAATGTCGGTTGGAGGTAAAAGTGCGAGAGGGCCTTCTGAGTAGCCTGAGCAACCAGGGAAAACGACGACGCCGGCAAGTGTCATATTTCCCATTGATGAGCCTTGAAAGGATCGACTGGAACTAGGAGATGAAGGACGGGAAGATTTCGTGAGTAGTTCCCGTATTGGTTCGAGGTTGGGATGAACATCAACGGCGGGGTTGGGAACCGTAGATGTCAAATCAATCCAGAGAGGCCGTAAATCAGCTTTTGCTTCTTGCTGGATCAAGGAATCTTCATCGGTTGAAGACACAGTCACATAGACAACATAACCTCGTCGCTCAAGATCGAGTGCCAAAGAACGAGTGAGAGCATCATGGAATGTCGAGCAGGCCAATACAACGATCTCTTTCTTGGCTCCATTGGGAAGTTTCCTAGCCCTTCGTTTTCTCGCATGAGCCCTCTTCCTGCGATGGATCAGGTAGATGCTTGTGCCTGTGAATGCCAACACAACAGCAATTGCCGTTCGATTCTTAGATATCCAGACCGTAGTCCGCTCGATTATGCCTTGAGGAGGGGGTGGAGTGCGGGCGAAGAAGTTTCCGACGCCGCCTGATGGACGAGGAGGACGGAGAGAATCAGGGATCCAGCTTGCCGAATCTATCGCATCGCGGATATCGGAGGCAATGCCGTTTGTGTATTTATCGACGTAGTCTGCCACACGACTGCTGTAATAGGCAACATCTTGAGGAATGCTTGCCAGCTGCGAATGTCAGGATTGGAGGCGAACGAGATGGGCAGAGCAGATATACTTACCAGATCCAAGAATTGCTGGTCGTCGCTAGACATTGTTATGAGAGCCGCAGTCGATGAAGCGGCGAGAGTGACAAACTATGGCATACAGTGGAATGCTTTAATACCAAGCAGCCTGCGTTGGCATAGAAGGCACGGCAATCATGGTGATGATGTGGTGCCTCTTCGGCCCACGGGCAACGACGTACGTCGACTTTGTCCAATCGGCAGATCCACTCTAATGCTTCACGTGACATGACACGTGGTTCGCCTCACAGCATCAGGCTGAGGCTTCTTACGAATCACCCTTGGATCTGTCGATGAGATTCCTTCTGGCATCTTCCGGGGGCTACGTGTGAAAGACACCTATTCTTTCTTCGCGTGCACGATGCTATGCATTTTCACAATTGCTCCGCGTTGAGGACAGGCTAATGAGGCCAGACAGGCAGCCCGTTTGGTGGTCACTTCTTTCTCGGCCTCAAAATTCAAGTTTATATTCTCAAACCTCCTTTTAATCTCTTTGCGTAGTCTTTGCATTTGCTCACCCCGGCTACCACGCGAACTACTGTCACTCAGCAGACATGTCTCGAGGAAACAATGCCCGGGACCTGGATCCCCTGATCGACCAATTCCAGCACCTCAAGGACAAGAAGCGAGCAGGTGAGGCTCTGCAGATGCTGAGAAAGATCGCCTCTATCGTCAAACCCATCATGCGGCAGCACAACTGGCGAGTGGGCACGCTGTGCGAGTTCTATCCTGCTCAGCACAACCTACTAGGTCTGAACAGGAATGCCGGTGAGCGCATTGAACTTCGATTACGGTATCCCGGGGACGAAAACCAATTCCTGCCCATCGAACAAATCATCGACACTATGCTCCACGAACTGTCCCACATCGTCCATGGTCCGCACGACCAACAGTTCCATGCCCTATGGGACAAGCTCCGCGATGAGCACGCCGCCCTTGTCGCCAAGGGCTACACCGGCGAAGGATTCCTCGGCAGAGGTGACAGACTAGGTGGGAAGCGCGTGCCGATGGGGGAAATGCGGCGGAGGGCTCGTGCTGCAGCAGAACAGCGTGCTGTGCGAACAAAGAACAGTGGTTCGGTGCTCGGTGGCGCTGGTGTGCTACGCGGCCAGCATCCCAGGGACGCCATAGCAGCTGCCGCGGAGAAACGAGCCCAGGCCGAACGCGGCTGCGCCAATGGCACAGACGAAGGGAGAAAGATCGCCGAGGGCCTCGTTGGTAGAGGTGGGCAGGTCACGACCACGAAAGCCGGTCAGGAGGATGAGAACGAAGCAGCCTGGATCCAAGCCATGATCGAATTGGTACGAGAAGACGAAGCCGGGCTCTTCAACCAAGACCACATGGACGGTGCCGACGGCTACAATAATCCAAACCCCACCGCGGCGGCCGTACGTGAAGAGCAAGCCAATCTCGAGCGCATGATCAAGAAGCAATCCCGCTCCCAATCAAAGCCAACCCCAGCCGCCCCAGCCAAACCAACCCCACAAACCTGGACGTGCGACATCTGCACACTGATCAACCCAATCGAAGATCTAATGTGCGGAGCATGCGAAACGGAGCGACCAAGCAACACGTTCCCGACGACGTTCGCACCGCCACCGCCGCCAGCATCGTCCGGGAGAAATACCACACGGCCGAGCTCCGCTGCCGCGCGCAAAACCGACCATCACACAAATACACATACATCGCCGACGGCTCTGCAGCCGCGCCTCAACGCCAACGACTCGATCGCCCGGATAGAATCCCAGGCGGCGATGGCGAGGAAGAAGGCCCGGCCCATGGGGTGGACGTGCCGTGGCTGTGGGAACTGGATGGAGGAGATGTGGTGGACGTGCGCGGCGTGCGGGACCATGAAGGCGAGTTCTTGATGCGTGGGACTTGGCTTGGCGAATCGTGGACGCTGAATGTTGATGGGAATGTAAACTAGATGGTGGTGGGATGGGATGGTCTTGTCAGGTGGACGTACGGTCAACTTGAATACCAGCCTTCGTGGGGAGACGCGGATACATAACTACGGCTGTTCTACCTTCCTTCGAAGAGGAAGAAGCCTCGGCTACAGATGATGTGTCATCAGCGGCCATGGCTTCGATAGCTACGAATAAATGAATGAACCGACAGCACACGCATTTATGAACTTTCCTTCTCCAGAGCGCGCTTCCCCTTGCCGAAATATAATTCACCCTTGGATACCAGTGGGACAAACGAATAGCTGGTAGAAACTTAAAGCGTGGAAGGACAACACGAACAGAAAAGAATGTACGAAGTATCCTACGTTGAAATTTCATCTCATTGCTTGCCCTCTCGTTTTGATTTGATTTGGTTTGTCTGATTAGATCTGTATGTAGGGCAAAGGGGAGGATTGCTTTCCAAAACAAGTGATCTCTAACGAGGCGACAACGGCCTTGTCGATAAGGTGCGAGTGCTAGCTGGCCAATTGCAAAATAGGGGCATGTGGTATCTAAAGTGCTTGAGAAAAGAAGATTCGTTGTTGGAAAGTGCAATGCAATCAAGGGAGGGGATATATGAGGGCTGGAAGATCCGAATGACTCGTCTAGCAGGCATCCATACGCAGAAGTCTTTCCATCAGGTTCGTAATTGTCTCGGATGAGTCAAGATTCATTTATCATTTACTCGTCCTGGAAGAACCTAGAGAGAGAGGAAAAGATTAGTATTGAAATGGGTGCACTGGACAATGAAAGACTTACCTCATGATCGCCTTGATACCTCTAGATCCGAGGCCGTGTGGAGGATATGCAATCCAGATAGGGTCTGCGACTGCGCCCATCTTCTCTCTGAATTCCGATTTCCTCGCCAAATTGAATTGCTTGACAATAGCATCATATGTCGCCTGGAGGACCTTCACTTTGGCACCGCTCATGTGGTGACCAGGTGTCAAGTGAGTGGCCGCTCCACCACCAAAGGTAACAGTCTTGACACCAGCATTGGAAGCGACGCTCAATGCATGTGTGGTGATGTACTCGATCGTACCAGATGGAGCTCCTGGGAAATCAAGTGTGTACTTGGCCTGCCAACCCTTACGAGGGGCAATCTCAGCCATAACGGCAATTCCAACAAGGGTTCCATCCTTATCCTCTGCGATGGTATACCGTCTATGCTTCTCGTCACGAAAGAGGTCGATGTTCGAAAGATGAATTTGAGTACCCTTACGGTTTGCCAGCCAGTCCTTCACTCGAGCATTGGCGCGTTCTTTGATGCTGTCTGGGATGGGGACGTTGTGGTCGAGATCGGTAAGCTTCACGCCGTCGTTCTGGGCTTTACGAATCTTTTTGGCGACTTCAGGGTCCGATTCCGCAGACTTCTTGTTTGGATCGACACGCTCTTCCGCAACACATGAGAGAGTTTTCCAACCGAGTCGTTCGCCTAAGACTTCCTCCATCTCTGGACTGATCAAAAGCCACAGGGGTTTGAGGCGAGTCTCCTTCTTAAGCCATTGAAGGAACGACACAATGACACGATAATATTGACTTGGGTCACATAGTGGATCGCCAGGAAGGATAGCATAATGACCTTCCTGAACATAGGACACAGCAGCACCAGTGTCTGCATGGCGCCAGATCTTATAACGCTCATCACCCCATGACGTGGCAGTGGCGTCGCCATAATTGGCGATAAGATCATAGAGATCAGGTAATTTGCGATCTTCCACAGCAACTTCACGGCCACGTTCTTGACGCCAGACAGGGTTCAATGTATCGGCCTCAGGGTGTCGTAGCTTTTCGACGACAGCCTTGGCTGGGAAAGATTTGGGATCTCTGTGGAAGAGGGAGGCAAGGCGAATATTGCCTAATTTGAGAATGAGCATGACGATACGCTCGAGACCAACACCGCATCCAGCGTGCGGTGGTGCACCCCATTTGAAGCCTTCCATATATTCGGCCATATCTTCGGGATCAATACCCACTAGACGCATGTTGTCTTCCAACAATTTGGATTCATGGATACGTTGACCACCAGAGATGATCTCTTGACCGCGTACGAATACGTCAAATGAGTTCGTGTATCTGGGATCTTTTGCATCAGGCATAGTGTAGAATGGTCTGGCAGATCGAGGGAATTTGTCCAAGATATAGTAATCGGTCTTGTACTTCTCCTTGATCAGCTCACCAACACGGATTTCGTCCCTCGTTCCAAAGTCTTCCAGTGGAGAAATTTGTTGACCTTCTTCGTTCAACCAACCGGATTCGTTCAAGAGTTTCACTGCGTCGACGAATGGAATAATTGGAGTTTTCTCCAACCAGACGAGATCCTCGCTAGGGAATTGCTGCTTGATCAACTCGACCTCTGTGCGGTATTTTGTGTAAATGCCATGGAAGATCTTTTTCAAGACGGAATCTATGATATCCATCATTTCATGATAATGTTCCTCAATAGACATTTCTAGATCGAGGCCAGTATACTCGGTCAGATGGCGATGGGTATTTGAATTTTCTGCTCGAAAGACTGCGCCAATTTCATAGACACGCTCAAAGTCAGAAGCAATTGCCATTTGCTTGGCCAGCTGAGGGGATTGAGCCAGGAACGCGGGTCTGCCAAAGTAATTGACTTTGAACACCGAGGCACCAGATTCCGTGGCTGCGCCCTGAAGTTTTGGAGAATGAATCTCGACGAAACGTTCATCGTCAAGAGCAGAGCGGAACATATTGCCCACGCCGGCTTGGATGCGGAAGATCGACTGAGACGGAGCCGTTCGCAAGTCCATGATGCGGTTAGACAGCCTGACACGGTCTGGGATCACACTTTGGCGACCGTCGACCTTTTGATCGTCGTCGAGAATGGTCAATTCTGCCTCTTGGACGGAAAATGGTACTGATACAAAGGTCAGCTCAAAGAAATGAAGATGCAGTCGGGATGTTACATACCGGGTTCAGCGCGCTTGACAATAACGTGGAGATTGGTGAGCTTGATCTCGACCGTGTGAATGGAAGCCGACTTTACAGGAATCTGTGGCTTCTGAAGCACACCAGTGACCAACAGAATGTTACCAGTGCGCAAATGCTCAGCCCAATGAATCATCAGGGCTGAGACTTTGTTTGGCTCCTCGACCAAGACACCCTGGATTGTTGAGATTTGTTGACGGAATATCAGGAAGACGAGCTTGGCACCCATGTTGCGGACGTGATGGAGTCTGGCACGAAACTGGACTTCCTTGCCCACCTGATCTTCAGTGATGGTACTAATATCGAGTCGTTGAGTGACACCACGAGAAGTCGACTGCATCAAGGGCAAGTCGCCGTATCTGGCCTTCATGTCTTCGGTCTCGACCTTGGCGGCTTCGTCGAGCCTCTTCTTGGAGCGTTCTTCTGAATCATCACGATTTTCCAAGCTGAGACGTGAGCGATGTTCTTGTTTTCTTTGCTTTGCTTTTGCTCGTTTCTGTGCATTCTTGCTCACACCATCGCTATCAAACTCGCTCATGTCGGATTCATTGTCGCTCGAGGTGTAGTCCTTGTCACCTAAGTGGAGGAACTGAGCGAGGGATCGGCGGTGGGGCCCAGGACTCTGAGAGGTAGTAGGAGAGGTCTCTCCGCCGAGCTTAGGATCACTCCCATTGTTGGTGTGTATCTGCTTGGACAACTTCCTGAGCACAGACATGCTGGCGGCCCTCGCGGAAACACCTCAAATTATTCTGAGATCAGATTCGACGTTGATGAGGGTTAGGCTGAAACGGATATCCTCTTGGAATGAGAGGCCGGGAAGGTTCGGTCTTCAGGACACAAGTCACCGTCCTAACTGAAGACAAGGAGAGGCGAGCGGAGTAGCAGGCTCTGCCGACACCTTGGACAAGATTGGAGTAGGTATTGGGTGGAAGAATTGAGTCAACCCCCCAAACCGAGTATGGTAGGAAGATGAAAAGGTACAAAAGCGGACGGTTGGAAGGTGAAGATAATAGAGGGGAGGACGAAAAGATCCGAGTGATGCAAGGCAGAGATGAATTAGCTAGGCCTGAGTGGAAGCAAGCAGGTGACAGGATGGAAATTAGCTTGCAGGGCCTGCCTGAGTCTGGGACCCGAAAAGCGAAAAGCCTGACAAAGTGAGTGCCACCCGTGGATTGCAGTGGGAAGTACAGTTCAGTAGAGGTAGGAGAGGTAACAGTACCTACGGAGAGTCTGATAGTCAGGGTAATCGCAAAATCGTACTCGTACGCTCGGCTGGTTCGGGATGTTTATTGGGCCCGCAATGTGAGCTGAGGGGCATAAAGCTGGATGAAAATGCATTGGCATACAGGAGGCGGGCAGACGTCATACGAGCATGGCCCTGAGTGATCTGTATCTTGCTTACTCAGGCGGGGGAGTCCACCCACGTCTCATCAAGCTTAAGCTTCAGCTTCAACCATGATCGAATCATTCACCTGCTAAGTGAAAAAGCCAATTCCAAACGAGGAAGCCAAACATCGGTCCCTTGCAAACGTCCCTTACCCTTGAAAGAGTCAGCAGGTTCTGAAGCTGAGATTCTTGGTGATTTGGCTCATATGTCGCTATTCCTGTTGATGAAAACAGGAACATGAACAGAAGATGAAACAAGATCCATGTTAGAACCCTCAAAGAGGTAGACTGGTTGGACGGATTGATGCCCGTCCTGCCAAGCCAGCACAATTCCTCGTACGACATGGAAAAAGACTCGATGGCAGAGTGATGAGCCCGAGCGGGAGTGGGCACTTGATTACTAACATATGTAGGTTAGCTAAGTAAGTGCCCTTCTGGCTTGTTAGTGTAATCTCCTTGCCCAAAAGGTCAATACTTTAGTTGGAGGAGAGCCATTGCTGCATAATACATTGTCTGGTGTACCGAGAACTGCCAGTGGTGCTCAGAGATTGGCTCTCATGCCATTGTGCTGAACTTGAGGGAGAATCGGCACCTTCAGATTGTGGTCAGGTCGGGGACAGCAACTGTACGAGTATTTGTAGACCATCCCAGTCCGCAGCACCCACACCAAATACCCGACTCTATCGATGAGTAATGTTGAGAGCATCTGAGTACGAATACTCATACGCCCAGACAAAAAGGGTGCTTGAATCGTCGAGTGGTGACGTGGATCCTAAGCACACTCCTTGTCCGTCGCATCCCTTTGCGTATCCAAGTGTCCTTCGCATAGGTATACTGCGGCGAAGCGACTACATGTATCTCGCAAACATGCCCGGAAAACGGGCGTGAGGGATCATGGTGCTGGGCAATTGACGCTGGTTGGGACGGCCCTATGGCTATCCGGTGCTGTTGCTACGCACCTAAGTACGGTCCCCATCCAGTGTCCTGCGTTAGATCCCTCGGGGCCGACAAAGACTCTCTTATAGGCGTCAACATCCGCGATTTAGGCGCTGCTTCAGTGCCAATTGTCCCAAAGGCCGTTCTCCGCGGCAGGCATATCTCCGTTAAAGGGGCCTACACTTGATGCGATTTGCTGCTTAGGTCGCTGGTCTGGGTGTCCGAGTCTCGCAATCACAGCCACAATCACCACGTCATTGCTCGCTGTTTCATCGCTGGACTGATCACGGATCATCATCGAAGAATTAACAATTGACATTTCGTTTCTCTCCATATCCGTATATTAGCACCTCGACTCTGTCTTTAATTGCGCCATAGAATTCCAAAATAGACACATTTCTGCCAGCCACCCTCAGCTCAGTGTCTTCCATCCGACACTAACAACCATTGTAAAACCCGCGTTTTAAAACCCCTCGCTTATCGTCCGTTGCGCTCTTTCTTCCTCGCATGGGCTGATCGTTAGACTATATCATTTTCCCGAGCACCACCAACGTCACACGCTGATCTCCCACTCCTCCTCGGTACTTGACCTGGCTACACCTCAATTGCCTTGGAAATGATCCCTTGTGTAACATGTCTGGGACCTCTGCTCCTCCTACAATACAACTCAACGACATGTCTACCAACCCTCATGAGATGACTGAAGCCAAAGACTTCGCTGCCAATCCAAAGAGCCCAACCGTGGTCTTCCACACTGATCCTTTCGACAACACCTTGCTAGAGCCGCCCACAAATACCTTGACTGAAACGATTTCGGCCACCGACAGTGAAGATCCTCTCGAAGATGGTTACCTTACCAGCCGCAGGCGGTCCATGAGCCACCACTTGGAGAGAACAGACGTTCCCTCGAGAAAATGGCTTCACATCCAAGCAAATTTCTGGAGAGCCTGCATGCGACTAGGTATGCTCTTCCACGACTGGGCTCCTCCTAGAGCTCCACGGCCTGCCTTCAAGCATGAAATTCCTACCGATACCATTCCCATTCAGCTCTTCTTCTACCTACCTCCGAATTACGACAACATTCTTCGAACAGATCCTCATTACAGATTTCCTGCGGTGATAAATTTCCATGGAGGCGGATTTGTACTCGGGGATGCGAGCGACGATCGTTATTGGGCGAGAGTTGCCATGGAACGGACGAGTGCAATCTTCATCAGTGTCAACTATCGCAGAGCCCCAGAACACCCATTTCCCATACCCGTGGACGACTGCGCAGAAGCTATCCTATATGTGGCAGACCATGCAACAGAACTCAACATAGACCCGGGGAACATTGCATTGTCCGGATTTTCCGCTGGTGCTAATTTGGCCCTGGCTGCACCGTTGAGAATCCAGTACCACTATGGCATCGATGTTATCAATTCCACAAAGACACCGGTATCCCGTCCCACAACGGCTTCAACTTTCCAAACCGACACAAGCAATCGTGAAGACAACTTTCCTGATGCCGGAAATTTTCTGAGCGCTACGCAGTCGACTGCCAGTCTGCTCCGCGCAAAGACGGCGAGTCCCCTTCGAATTCGGTCCATAGTGGCTTGGTATCCTCTCCTGGACTGGACCATGTCTCGGTCCCGGAAAATTCGAGAATCACGAAACCCTAAAATGTGTCTGTCCAAAACCTTCACCGATCTCTTCGACGTCAGCTACCTACCTCCTCCAGATGTCGCTGGGGACCATTGTAGCCCATACGCTTCCCCAGGCCTGGCACGAGACCACATGATTCGTGACGGTCTTCCTCAGGAAATGCAGATGTGGCTGTGTGAATGGGACATGCTCCTCGCTGAGGGACAACATCTGTCCGACAGATTCGAACGGTTGGGCAAGAACATCGACAGCAAGATGATTCCACGGGTACCCCACGCCTGGGACAAATCTGTCAATCCATTCCGGGACCAGAAAGCCATTGACATGCTGTACACAAAGTCTGCAATCAATCTCAACAAGGTTTTCCAGGACAAAGATGGCATTGGCTGGGGCAATTCCATGAGCTCGCTCCACCCAACAGATACCATTATCGAGAGACAACCCAGAAACAGCATCATCTTGCCCTTGTGAACGAATATATATCCTTCACTTGCCAGCACTATTCTCGGGGTCTTGATCACATGGCCACCAGCACTTCGGAGCCTCGTTGCTCAATTGGCGGACCTGGCTTTCGGATGCCGTGCTTTCTCCACATCCGGCCGAAGCGTAGGTTTATGCCTCGACATAACAAGTGCACATCACAAAATAAAGATGCGCTGCCACAGCGGATGCGGTGTGCCTCACCCTCCCTGTACAAGACGACACGACAGGACACGGGAAAAGCAAAGAGATCACAACCCTACCATCCGGGACCCATCATCATCGTCAGATCAATTTCCCTCATCACCCACACATCCACAACCATCTCTGCAATTTTTTTTTCTTCTTCAGCGTTTTTGAGCGACGGCGTTCCCGGGCATTTGGGGGAGTTTAGTTCTGAAGGACGAAAAGGGGACGTCAAGAGGAACACACGTCTGACGCCGTATATGCGCCTATAGCATCTAACATCGAGATCGATCGCCTCAAGATCAAGACTTTTACGAGACGATCCCTTTTCTTTTCTTCCTTCCATCCTTTCTTCCCCCTCCTGTTTTTGCACAAGCAAGCGAATGAGGTTCCACATAAGAGTTGAGAACCATTCCATAGCCAGTCGTCGAGCGATCGAGCAAGCGAGCAAGCCAAGCAAGCGATCTGAGCGGTTTCGAGCGAAAATCCGAGGCAAGCAAGAAAATCGTCAGCGTTGGACGTTATTGAAGACGGGGGGAATCCTGCATCTGCATACATAACTACCAACACACCCACGGTCCCCACCCAACGCACAGTAAATAGACTGAAAGTTGTATGGAATGATATTCCAAACACGAGCATCACGAGAACATGACCCGACGAGGGAAAGAGAGATGATGGAATGAGTGACACGAATGATCAGATGTATATATGTCTACCTATATGTATCCATGCATGAAACTTTCTTGAGTCGAATCAAAAAGTATTCTGATTTCTGCCCATTCTCCTTGCTTGGCCTTTGCGCCCTGCCCTGACCCTTTCCCTGCGCATTTGGCTACTTACCGACGCATTCAGCATCACTACGATATTTGTTCCGCCCCTGTTTTAAGTCCTTCTCCCCACTACATCTATCGGTCGGATGGTCAGTGGAATGGTTAGGTTGATATGAAACCGGTCCTAGAAATTATTCCTTCCGTGCTTATCCGTGCTGAGTCCAAGGGGCATCCTATACGATGGACCCTCTGAGTGCCATTAGATATCCCTGAGGTTTCAAAGACTACGGGAGAGGACTTTTTCTTCTCGATTTTGAATAGCGTCTCAATTGTATGTCATGACTACCATAATGGACTACATGCATACAATTCCGTTCGGAATCCTCCCCAGTGACTTGTCATACATGCTCTATGATGCATAGGTATGATCCACGTGTTTCCATCATCATTGTATGATTTCAACTTCCTTCACGATGTTCTTGATTAGTTTCACTCTGTTGTAACACTGTTGTACATTGTGTCAGGTGTAACGATTGCTCAGCAGTAGCTGAGGCTAGTATCGCTTGAACCAACCTCGACGCTCCTTCTCTTGTTGGTTTTGAACGGCAGGATAGAATGCCTTGGCATTGGGATCAAGAGGGACGTGAATTGCAGTACTTCCATTGAGAGTTGGAGTGACATCTGGATGACTGGTGGAACCGGCAGTGCCGGAGATTGTGCTTGTAGTCCATCCAGTCACTGAGGGTAAAGCATACGAGAAGTTGCCGGAATGCCCAGTCCCTGTAGGAAGAACAGAAGTCCAGTTTCCTGGATGGGTAGGTTGACCAGTACCTGTCCCACGAGAAGAGGCTGAATAACCAGTACCTCCAGAAGTGTGGTTGAAAACTGTCGCATATGTTGCACTAGGTGCTCCAGTTGGCCAGATGGTGGCGTTGGGGTTCCAAGGAGTGGGATGGCCCCAAGAAGTGGTGCTGTTGACTGGGTATGGGATGAGAGGGATCACCGGAGTGGCACCATAATAGCCAGATGGAGAAGGAGTCTCTGAAGGAAGGTGGCTACAGGCATATTCTTCAAATGCCTTGGTGTTGATACCCAAGTAGCCGCCAACTCGATAGAAGAGGTCGAGGTTGTCACAGATCTCAGTTCGATTGTGTGTGAAATCCCCGGCAAGTTGTAGAGCATAGACAGCAGCCTGTAGATTGGAATAAAGCTCAGCTCGAGTGGTGTTGAAGTTGTAACCATGATCTGCAATCCAGCAAAGGATAGCCTTGACCTGGTCGGGATCAAGCCATGATTCTTTCAATTGGTACTTGACTTCACTTGTTTGGACTTCAGCACAAGCCCACGAAGCGTTCAAGCCACTGTCTGCAACATTGAGAGCAAACTCAGCCGACATAACAGCTGTCATGAGCTCCTGAGCACGACCGGGAAGTTGGCGAGCATCAGGGGGAATGTCATTGATGAAAGTCATGACCAAATCTGTCAAGGCACCATGCTCTGAACGCCGTGTCAAGTGGCCCAAAGGAGCGGCTTCCATGTCATTGGTGTCATCTGCAGAGGGCAAGACCAAATTCACCTTGGGGTGCACAGCAGCTAGCACTGGAGGTGTTGGGGTGGGCTCGACTCCTCGTGTTGTTGCTGAACCTGAAGGAATGCATGCAACCCGGCTGATTGTCAGGACATCAACGGTGGTGGCTTCCGTGAAAGGACCCTGCCAGTGGATGGTTAGTTGAGAATTTAGGAAGACAACAGAAAGCTTACCCAGACGATAGGATTGTGGTTCAGAGCATTGGTGACGGTGCAGAAGTCACAGTCAACAACCTGCCAAAATCAGCAAAGGGTCAGAGAATGTTGGGACAAGCGTACAAAGTAGTGAGTAGTCAGAAGTTCACGGTAGTAAGTGGTGGTAGGGGCGATTTGAGGAGTTATCCAGGGTGTGAAGGTGAGAGTACAGCCATTGGTGGTGGGGATGGTGTCGGTACAATCTGCCATCACTCCAAGATTGCCAAAAAGTCCCACGAACGCCATGATCAAGAGGAACATAGTTCGTAGAGCCATGGTGAGAAAGGGATGAAAGAATGAGAGGAAAGCTCTCTGGGCAAGATTTGATGAGAACGATAATGAAAGATGAATCGAACCAGAGATCTTTGAGAAGCCTGATGAGGAAATGGAGGTGTCTGGGTGGTGTGAGAGAGAGAATAAGAAGTGAGCAAAGAGATGGGAGGATGTAGAGGTTGGGTGAAGTGAGATCACACACTGGTGGAAGGTGCAGACACTGACGACAAGGGGATTGTTGAATGACGGTGAGCTCAACATTCATCTTCGAGGAAGGCACGAGAAAACCGTGACTTCCATTTGGGTACCTGAGGTAACAGCCAGATACAACCTTTAGTGGCAATACCACTGCACTGCACTTGAAGCTTCAGTGAGGCCAAGAAGCCTATGACAGCTCCCTGTCGTTGTGGAAAGAGCACACTGCTTGGGCATGTCATTGGGGAGCTAACCATCAGTTGGATTCATCCTATACAGGAGCGCCATCTAACATTGGGAGAGAGCCTGGCCAAGTCTGATTCTGCTGTCCAGGTGGCATCTCTTCCCATCATTCTGATGTCCCGTTTGTTCATACCTACCTAGGTAGTAGGTAGATCGTACGGTTAGGTTGTAGTAGTCACAACCACTGGCGTACCTCAGCTCCTCAACACCATCCGATAACCATTCTGCGTCAGGAGATATTCATGTCCGCCGGCCTAGAGCTTCGTATGACTTACATAGAGACTGTGAAGACTTGAGGACACTTGAGGCACTCAGACTTGGGGAGACAGATCCCACTGCTATTTTCAAGTCTGGATAGACGTCAGTGAGCCGGATAGCACGTGACCAAGATAGATCTGAAATAAATCGCAGCAACCCAGTTGGTACACATGACACCGTTACCCAGGTACCTAGGAACATGCCAGACATGTATGTCTAAAGTTCATTCTTGTGTCTTCATGCATGGTAGATCTTTTTGAACACGATAAGGGCCCCCTCGAAAAGTGGCTTTCCTGTCCATGGACCCTGCTTCTGTGCTGGCAAACTCTGAACTCTTCAGACCATTCGAGACCAACATCCTGGCATTTCAAGAATGAATCACAACTCACAACATGGCAATTGAGCATGAAGCAGGTTCATTTTTTGCGACGAGTTTATCCATGACAAGCTTTCATGGAAGCCCAATATCATCATTCTTGATGTCCATTTAATGGTCAGACGTGCGGGGTGAGGCATACTTCGCCTCTGTTTGCCATTTTCTATGCCACCCCATGGAGAACGGCACGGCTCTGAAGCCAATCTACCAGGATTGGTGGTATGCTGCATAATGTATTGCGTACTTACCCCTCCAAAGTGTCAAGTCTGCTGCATGATAGTGATGCAGAGAAGGGCCGACATGGTGCCAGATACGATGGTCGAGATCAGTCCAAGAGGTCAAACATAAAAAACTCAATAGTTAAACCAGTCTACTGCCGGCTATTGGTTAGCTGCGCCGGTCGATTTCAACGTCGCGGCGACAAAAGTCGCTGTCGAGTCGAATAATTATTGAAATAGCATGTCTGTATGTGCCTTGAACCTGGAATGATCTCTCTGCCGGTTTTGTGGGCGTAGGTCGCTCAGAGCGGTTTTCAATCTGCCGCGTTAATGCTGGTGTGGAGCGCGGTTTTGACGCAGGACTATTCTCGGTGCATCCATTTCAGCCAAATGGACTTCGCCATCTGCACCCAAGTGCTGAGAAGTATGAACGATTCTAACGGGGGCAGAAAATGGGTGCGACAAGGTGTTGACCGCCGGGAAATGAGCCGTTAATAGCGCCTGAGTGCGCCCGCAAGAGTCCGAGAGACCAACCATGAAAAAATCCACAGGACTTATTCCAGAACTGCCTACAGAATTGTCAAGCCGTTTAACATCCCAGCAGTTCTGGGTCCTGCGATGGTGGAAACGCAGTATCAATTGCCTGGATGCATTCCTCAGAGTTGGATTCTTTTCTTGGGTGATACAGTCGGTGAACCAGCTAGACCGAGTCTACTCTACTAACCTACTGCACAGGTGGGAGAGATCGGGAGTTGAAGAAGTCCTGGCGCAGAGGACACGACGAGACGAGTCTCCGCCATTCCTTTGGTTACATCCTTGGCCCACCGGTCATGAAATGCCTCACTTTGAGGCTTTATGGAATGATGGAGAAGATGGGGACCTGCAGCGATCATGTTCGGAACAGCACGGCGACGTTGACCTGGTGAAATGCCGGATGTAGCATCGATAAATAGTTTTGAAACGAGTTGCATCCACAATTTTTCCCTTAGTAGTCGACAAAAGATCCATTTTTCGAACAAATATCTGCCGCGCATGTAGACTCGCCTTGAGGCACACTGGGATGATTTTGTCTACCAAATAAAAAAATACCTCAGGCTTCACTGATGAAACGGGCTCAGCATCTCTGGCACTCATCATGCACAGTCTAGGCTTCGTCGCAGACTCGCCGGCCGGGTGCCAAAATTCTTGGGAGCACTGGGCGCCGAATTCAAGCCCCATCAACAGAAGCCCCAAGGACGTTCTACGCCAGGTTCGAAAAAGCAAAAACAAAACAAAAATGCCTCCCCGGCATGTCACACAGATAGTCGTAGTCGCACAGTCTCGGGTGTCAGAAATAATGGGCCACGGGCTATGGGTTGTGTTTTGGTCAAAGAAATTGCATTCAAACGTTGATCTGCGAATAAGGCTGAATTGTTGATAAGAAATGCCTCCGACAAGGAGCCTCGCAGCCTGATTCAGTGGAAGAGGCCGTGAGATTCGAAGCTTTAATCTCAGCAATCGTGAATTGTTTACAATAATTGTCAAAGTTTCCGATTTGGGATCCAGCGGATTGGCTAGACTGGGGCGTTGGCGGCGACGCCAGATCAAACCTACCCAAGTCACCTCCACTGCGAGCGCTTGTTGTTCGCCTACCTGACTAGTGGGAAATTCAGAGCTTAAGCTTCAATCAAACTGTGGATGTCGACTTTGTTTTGAATCTCGCAAGCAGAAGCATGCACATGGACGCCGCTGGCAGAGCAAGGGCATATTGGTCAAGGTATTATTTTGATTTTTGGGTCTGAGACCTGGTCTTCCGGATATGCCTATCTAGGGACTTGTACGGAAGAGGCTTGTGAAGACACCATAGAAATTGATAGAATGGCCACACACCTCTGGGTAGCGATGAATAAGCCCCGAGACGGGTTTAGGTCGGTCTCCAAAAGGAATGAAACTTGGAGTTGCAAGCCGTTCAGTGAGTCCACGATGACGGAAACTTGCAGCCATCTTTGCACTGGGCCCTGGGGGCGAGTTTGGGCCTGCCACGGCCTGCCTCGGGATCACACCTGGCGCACACTCCTCTGACAAGCCAAACGCAGTGACAGATAAATGTTGTCACCGGCCGCGCTCGTGGCTCACGGTTTGGGCGAACTGGGGATGCTTGTCGGGGGAAGAGATATCAAGCGCCGATGGATTTCCAGGTGAAAAAGATTGGAATGACTCGCTGGAGCAAATGACGGTTAATTACTGTTAAATACGGGCTCACCCGAAAGAATTGTCTCTGCATGACGAAGGCGGCGGCCACTTTCGTGTTCTAACTCTCCCCAGCTAGACCAACGGGCCCACCCCACGCGAAGCCGGCGGTTTCCAATAAGCCAGTGGTCAGTGGTGAGAAAATGCTGCCGACGCAATGAGGTCAGTACTCGAGCAACTTGAAGTTCCAGATTGGGGCATGTTCTTTCAATTGTTGGCTTTGCCCGTGGGATAAGCAATTGGCTTTGCGATGTAAGCACGCACAGACAACACCCAATTCTACATCCGTATGTAAAGCCTCCATGGGTACCTGACTGAGGTGGATGGCCACCTGCACGTTGACGGGGATCCAAAATTGCATCAGACAAAGTACAGCTTCGGCGACACCATCAACGTTGTAGATAGAAGAAGCGTTATCAACTGAAGCAATGACGGCACCGAAAAAGACACATGCCCATAGCCGCTCTCAGGTTGTCTTTCCTCGTAATCAGCAGTACTGAACTGGATGCGCATCTTCAGGGTCCCTGGAAGGATTCGTTTCTTTCTCCACGAATGCAACATTAAAATCTTCGCTACGAGTGAAGAGCTAGATGCGAGATGCTGAATGCTAGATGCAAGATTCCATCATAGTCAATGCTGCGTCACCAGCCGAACCAGCCGTGAGGGACGGGCGATCATACAACCAACTAGCTGGGGACTACATGAACGCACATCAACACCAGACTGGTACAAGTTCAGGCCGGGGCGGCAAAACTTGATACACTCGTCAAGATGGCCGATGCAAGAATCGTTGAAGATAGTGATTCAGTGTTGGTCAGAGATGCTCTGTGATCCTCGTCGATCAGCTGTGGACGAGAATGGGTGAAGAGGTCCCAGACTCCCAGCCACCGAGTTTGATAGTGAGCAAAGTCTTGAATCGGGTGTCAGTTGTGAAACACTAGCGAGCAAAGGTTGCCAGAGGAATGCTCTTGAATACTCCATATTCCTGGATGGCTAACCTTGAACGTCTATACTACTCGGTAGACATTGTTTCGCAAATAGAAGGCTATGAGGACTCGCATTGTGTATCCATTATTGAATTGGTATGCGACGGCAGGATGGACAAAGTGCCCCCAGTTTCATTCTGCCCGTTCATGTAAGAAAAGACAGTTTTGCCGACTTGAATACGAAGAACCACAGATCTGCGCGCACACTAGTTACTTTCTCTGGCACACCATCGACTAGCATTACTACTACAGGGTGCACGATTATCCGCACCGGGTCCTGACTCCTACTAATGGGGCGGACAACTAAGATGTCCCTCATACCTCATATTTGGGTGTACGTGGCTGCGTCGTACTCAAGAGACTCGCAAGTGAAGAGTGTTTTCGGCTGTTGCGGGTTGACGATTGTGATGGACGACCGCGGATGCCTGATAGCAGCGGGTTAAGGCACTTCCGGACACTCGACGGTTAGGTGCCAACGTGGGCGCCCAAGGTCTGCCTTTTAGGCTGTCAGTCACGGTTATTCGGTACTGATGAGTTACCTCATACCTACCTAGCGGAGCACTGAACGCGGATATTTGGGGGTTGTTTGATTCGCACTTTCCCTTTCTCTCCCAAGGGCCCACGCCGGCCTGTCTCGGGAGTTGGTTGGTCGGCTACTCGGACCACACTTGAATGGGTTTAGGCTCCTGCTCCAGCTAGCCAAAGTCTAACGGAGACACCTTGCAAGCCCAAAATCTCCTACTGTGGAGGTCTGTTCTCATCCACATCCAACCATCACTCTCATTTTTTCATCCTCACTTCCACCCTTGCAACTTTACAGCAACTCCATCCTGACCCCCCCGGTCTTGACGGCATCATCTCAACCTGTATCCCTGCTCCTCTCCTCTAGTCCCGCCTTCGTCAGCTTGAAAGCTTTCCCTCAAGGTGCGTGTTTTCCGGTACGTCCTGGCGTACGAGAAACAAGCCCTCATACCGTCAAAACACCCCCGTCCCTCGTCTTTTGCCTTATCAATAATGGCTCAGCGGCATGCTGGCTAACTTCAAGCTCAAGGAAAGCTTAAGCAGCCAACCAGATCACTGTCCAGAGGACCTTGCTCGAGCTATCGCAGCTCCACGGCTTGACGGATCGCTGGTGGATCCCATTTCCTACAAACCCTCCAGTCGACCTTGAGTTCTGAGAAAGGTCCTCTGTGAGCTGCCCATAAACTCTGCTCGCATGTTGTGAACGGTTCTTTGCTTTAATAAAGAGGGGTTGCACGCTTCGAGCTCTCACTGATCTTCTTCCTCCCTTCAGCTTGGTCTTTCCGCCTGACCTTGTCGTCGTCGTCCATTTTCTTCCTCTTTGTTTTTCTTTCCTGCATACTAACATCTCCACTCCCATAGTGAATCATGGCGGAAAAGGATCTCGAGAACGGCGACCCCAAGCGGGAGAGAATCTCGTTCGCTGACGGCTGGGATCCTGACAAGGACGAGGGTGAATATGCCAACCTCATCCGTTACATCTCTACCTACCGAGACCGTCGTTTCTCCAAGGCCCCTTCCCAAGTCTCTGGAGACGATGTGGCCGACGCCTCAAAGGAAAAGAAAGTCCCCTTCTACCGTAAACTCCTCGGTGGAGGCAGCAAACAAAGCGAACTCTATGAAGTTCCGGAAGAGTGGCTCAACACAGACATCAAGGCTGGTCTTACCTCCCACGAGGTTGAGGAGAGAAGACGCAAGACTGGTTTCAACGAGTTGACCACGGAGAAGGAAAACATGTTGGTCAAGTTCATCGGCTACTTCAGAGGCCCAATTCTTTATGGTATGTTGACGCGTCGAATCAAGCTCTCACAACTGTCCAGACTAATCATTGACCAGTCATGGAACTTGCTGTTCTTCTCGCTGCTGGTCTGCGTGACTGGATCGATTTTGGTGTCATCATCGGTATTTTACTGCTGAACGCCGTGGTCGGTTGGTATCAAGAAAAGCAAGCTGCCGATGTCGTGGCTAGCTTGAAAGGTGACATCGCCATGAAGGCCGAAGTCGTTCGTGATGGTCAAGTTCAGGAAATCAAAGCCCGTGAGCTTGTTCCTGGTGATATTGTAAGTTTCTCATTCTTGACATCTCATTTGATCTCGTTACTGACTACTTTACCTCAGCTCATTTTGGAAGAAGGTTCCGTCGTGGCTGGAGAAGCTCGCTTGATCTGCGACTTTGATAACACTGACACCTACGAAGAATACAAGGAAATGATCAACGACCCTGAAGCTTACCACTCCAAGAATCACACCGACTCCGATGACGACGAGGAACACCACGTCGGTGTCTCCATCGTGGCTACCGATCAATCTGCCATCACTGGAGAATCTTTGGCTGTTGACAAGTACATGGGTGACATCTGCTACTACACCACTGGCTGCAAACGTGGTAAAGCCTACTCTGTCGTCACTGAATCTGCCCGCGGTTCTTTCGTCGGTAAGACTGCTTCGCTCGTCCAAGGTGCCAGTGATTCCGGTCACTTCAAGGCCATCATGGACTCCATTGGTACTTCTCTACTCGTTTTGGTCGTCTTCTTCATTCTCGCTGCGTGGGTTGGTGGTTTCTTCCGCAATCTCCCCATCGCCACCCCAGAGAAGAGTTCCATCAACTTGCTTCACTACGCCCTCATTCTCCTCATTATCGGTGTTCCTGTCGGTCTGCCCGTCGTCACCACAACCACTTTGGCTGTCGGTGCTGCGTACTTGGCTCAACAAAAGGCAATTGTTCAGAAGCTCACCGCTATCGAGTCCTTGGCTGTAAGTAAAAAGCGATACTTTTCAAGTGGACTTAAGCTAACCGTTTCTAGGGTGTCGATGTTCTCTGCTCTGACAAGACTGGTACTTTGACTGCCAATCAATTGACTATCCGCGAGCCATACGTGGCCGAGGGTGAAGATGTCAACTGGATGATGGCCTGCGCTGCTCTCGCTTCCTCGCACAACTTGAAGGCTCTTGATCCCATCGACAAGATCACCATTCTTACTTTGAAGAGATATCCCAAGGCTCGTGAGATCTTGCAACAAGGCTGGAAGACCGAGAAATACATGCCCTTCGACCCTGTCTCCAAGCGTATCACCACCATCTGTACCCTCAAGGGCGAGAAGTGGTCATTCTGCAAGGGTGCACCAAAGGCTGTCCTGTCTATTGCCGAGTGTGACGAAGCCACTGCTAAGCATTATCGCGATACCGCAGCTGATTTCGCTCGCCGTGGTTTCCGTTCTCTCGGTGTCGCTTCCAAGCGCGGTGATGAACCATGGAAGGTTATTGGCATGTTGCCCATGTTTGATCCTCCTCGTGACGATACTGCCCACACTATCTTGGAAGCTCAGAACCTCGGCCTCAGCGTTAAGATGTTGACTGGTGATGCCATCGCTATTGCCAAGGAAACTTGCAAGCTTCTGGCACTCGGAACCAAGGTCTACAACTCACAGCGCCTAATTGCTGGTGGTGTCACCGGTACTGCTCAATATGATCTAGTTGAGAAGGCTGATGGTTTCGCCGAAGTCTTCCCCGAGCACAAATACCAGGTCGTCGAAATGCTGCAACAACGAGGTCACTTGACTGCCATGACTGGTGACGGTGTCAATGATGCTCCATCCCTCAAGAAGTCTGATTGCGGTATTGCTGTTGAAGGTGCCACTGAAGCTGCTCAAGCCGCCGCCGATATTGTCTTCCTCGCCCCCGGTCTCAGCACCATCGTCGATGCTATCAAGGTCGCCCGTCAAATTTTCCAGCGTATGAAGGCTTACGTGCAATATCGTATTGCTCTTTGTCTGCATTTGGAAGTCTACCTCACCACTTCTATGATTATCATCAACGAGACCATCCGTACCGACTTGATCGTCTTCTTGGCCTTGTTCGCTGATCTTGCCACTATTGCTGTTGCCTACGATAACGCTCATTACGAACCCCGGCCAGTCGAATGGCAATTGCCAAAGATCTGGGTTATCTCAGTCTTCCTCGGTTTCCTTCTCGCAATCTCCACCTGGATCATGCGTGGTTCTCTCTACCTACCAGGTGGCGGTATTGTTCAAAATTTCGGTAACGTTCAGCTCATGCTGTTCTTGCAAGTCTCACTGGTTGAGAACTGGCTCATTTTCGTCACTCGTGGTGGACAGACCTGGCCATCATGGAAATTGGTCGGTGCTATCTTCGTCGTCGATGTCTTATCCACACTTTTCTGCGTTTTCGGCTGGCTTTCTGGTGAGCCTGACCAATTCTTCACCAGCCCTCAAGATGCTTTCTCCCGAGACAACTACAGCAAGGATACCTCCATCGTCACTGTTGTGGTCATCTGGGGATATTCAATCGGCGTTATCATCGTCGTGGCCATTGTCTACTACCTTCTCGTTAGTATGAAATGGATTGACAATCTTGGCCGTGCTACTCGCAGCCACGCCGATACCACTATGGAGAACATCCTTGGCCATCTCAGCCGAGTTGCAATTGAGCATGAAACTGATGTTCACGGCAAGGCCAAATGGGTTCTGGGAACCAAGGGAACTGGAGAGGAGGAGGAAGAATAAACGGTTGATGGGTTTGAAGGTGTCTCATTTGAGCACAGGGAGAAAATGTGCCAACACAACATCTTCATTTTATTTCATAATGTGAGCTAATGGACAAAACTACTATGGGGGTGGCAATAACCATCAAACACCAACTGTATGTGTTCCACAAAACAGCGAAAAAACAACAGGAAAACTCAACATCAATTCCTTCGTGAGGCTCGAGTCCAACTGCTTGTGATTTAGAGGGAGTACTATCTCTACCGCGTCCTTTCGCTGTAAGCGGCAGTCACCACGCCCGCATGCTAGATAATAGCCTGTCCATAATGCTCAGACCAGAAAACTGTTAGCACTAGTCTTGTCAAGAAATTCGTTTAACACCCTTGTGCACATACTGTTAGCAGAGATCATTGTTCATTCACATGCTTGAGCACTCTTGATCAGAAGGGAAAAAATCCTCTTTCGGCCATGTGTTTATTGTTGACCAGGCCCCAAAAAATTTCTCTCCAAGCAACAAGAGAAGGGAACTCATTTCGCTAAAGATCTCAAGGATCATTCGTCATGGTGGTGCCGGTCCGGGGTCTCTATGCCCATATCTCTGAAACGAGATTGGGGTCCAGCGCAGCCAGCTGGTGGCCAAGAAGGTTGAAGCAACATGGAGGGATTGGAGCGATCTTTTTCTGGTCCAATCTAGACCGTCTGCGGCGTAGAGCCTCGTCTTGTCTGAACTGGACTGGGCTCCCCCAATTCAGGCCAGGGGATCATCCCCAGGATGACTGTGAGTGAGGCTCTCCGGTCGGGACTCCGTGCGGATACGGAGTATGGATGTGGCCTGGGTGTGCAGTGTATCGAGATGCGACCCGTGGATCCGCGGGCTCCATTCCATGGCTGACCGCAGTGAAGTCGGTTCTGTGACTGTCCAATGCCCTTCCTCGCTCGGCATGGGCGCGCTCCAGGGTTCTTGGGCAACCAGACACGTCCCAGCCTTGCTTCTGCTTGGAAAGCTTCGACGTTCGCTTCGACCCGCTGCGGTTCTGCTTCTCATTGGGTGGCTTGGGCATTTTTGGCTCGAGATTTGCTATCCTGGTAGCCAGCCTTGTCCTCGTTGTTGAGCTGGTCTGCTAGCGGTCGCTTGCGGGTTTCCCTTGACCCCCTGATTCATATTCGTGGGGCTTCACACCTCCGTGTTGATCTCCCGTATCTTTTTATCGAGAGTGATCTGTATGCGATCCGTCGTTGGCGGCGCCCCAATGGATATTTGAATAGACAGGACGCTGTGGAATCTTAAAACATACGGATACCTTGCTGATAATGGATCGTTGCCACTCACTGTATTCGTACGGGGTATTTGGGGCCAACGGAGTGTGTGTTCGCTCTCCACGTATCCCACTTGCATTGTTTCATCTGCAAGCCCCAAATATCCTGGTCATGGGAGTCAAGAGCTAAAAAGAAACATGCATATCGACTGTCAGTTGCGCTACTCTGAATCCGTCTTTCGCGAAGATCACCACATGCGAACTGCATGCCCGACCCTGCTAAGTCAGAGCCTTGCCTCCTACGAAGTAGATCCCTTCTTTGGCGAGAGACCGGCGCGTCTGCTCGGCCGCCGATGCCAGGCCCAGAGCGTTCGACTCCTCCGGTTTTTTCTGTACAACCTACCTCATACCAGATACCATACAAGTACTTGTACCTGTATCCGTACATGTCACGTTAGATAGATACATTCCATTCCCAACTAGCGGGATCCGAACTTGTGAGCCCCAGCGACTGGCAAAAGATTACCGCCGTTCACGTGTCTGTTGTGGAGGTTACTGCGTGTGCAATTCATCCTCGGTCGTCCAGATGTGGCCAATGGGGATATCTTGCTGCCATTGTTGCATTTCCGGAAACGTGCACAACAAACAAACATTTGATTCTAGAAATGACACCCAGGGTGTGTGCTTCTGTCAGACGTCAACTCGAATGACAGTACTATTTTTTTTTAACGAAATAATGCTGGACCTGTGCGGCGACTAGATTGGCGGTCTGTGCCTGGCGTCGTAGCCGTCAAATTGCCAATAGTTTGCTTGTTTGCTTGGTTTTCCATGCGCTTGTGCTATTTAGTTATTATTGATTAGATTCGGTTGTCCTTTTTTTCTATCTTATTTTGTGGGGCAGATACGTGCTTTAAGAGGTAATGTCGCTTTATTGAACGCTGTATTCAAAGTTCACTTTTGATCTTTCGATTCCCGTGCTTGGCAATATCCGGACGATATGAACTGCAATGCTAAACCATCAAACTCTTGTACACGAAATTGTGGCGTATCGTTTTCAGCGATTGAGACTGCTCATCTGAGATCGCTTGGAGGTTAGCACCGGCACCCTCAATATCCTCGTCATCAGAAGAGGGAACTAGTCTCCAGCTCTGAACTTCGTTGGAGCGATAGGTCAGTCGGTTGGGTTTAAAGCATGGCAGAATACGAGCTGCGAACTCGAATGGCTTTGCAGCGCAGCCCTGTAGAGCTAGACGTGTGACACAATGAAGGATGTCGTTCGAGCTTGTGGTTCTCACCTGGTAATTGAAGCCCGGCGTATCCGTGATCTCAAGCCATTTTCCACATCTGCCTGTGGTCATTTTACGTCGAGTTTTCTGGTCATGCTAAGTTGACGCTGCAGCCTTGCAACAGTCGCAACCACCTCTTGCGGCTGGACATCAACGATTATACCTTCTGATTGACGATGTCTTCAGGTGAGTTGTGGCATTGCTGTGAATACAACGGTGTACGATGATCGGTGGGCTTCGATAATCATGATATCCCCGTGGCATGGTTTGATGGTTTGTATCGGGCTTGTTTTTGAGCTTTTCTAACATCTCGTATTGTGCGAAAATCGCGTCTTACTTCGCTCGACGTTGGACTGGGCTGGAACATGAAGATGTTTGAGGTGGATGGGCATGGTAAAGTAGCTATCCTCGAGGGGAGACATGGATGACGAAACTTGGTCGGATGGCGTCAAGTTTGGTCAGGCACTGAACAAAGACATCTCGATAACGACAATGCTTGACACCAACGTTGCGTGAGATTGTCGTTGCTAGATTCGAAATGTTTATAAGCCTAGATCAATGACTGGGGAAGCCTAGTAGCCCAGAGCAAATAAGGAATTTCCGAAAGGGAGATATTGTGAATCTTCAGATTTTATATCAACAAACAATCTTTAAGTTGGGTATGGTGTAATGGTCAACATTACTGTTTCTCACACAGTAGCTCCTGGTTCGATCCTGGTACCCAAGTATCTTCTCTTTTTTTTTATGTTTCTTCTTCTCTTCTTTTCCCATTTCTCCCGCACTTACCTAAAGCTGGCTGGAGTGGATTTCCATCTTCCAGCGTGGAGGGTACTGCGTTGACACCTCTCGTGTTATGTGAAGTGAGATCGTTACCTTCTTAAGAACACAAGTCACGAGCTCAACTTGTCTCATAAACATAATCCAATACTACCAATACGCAGAGAACACTCGCTCAAAACCAACCGGTTCGTTGAATCATGTGTGGCAAAGGATGCGTGAGTCGCCTCTGAAGCCATCCTACTGAACCTACAACCAAAGTGCCGTATTGCGAGATTCAATGGTGAGGTGGCACAGGATCCGTCTTGTTGAAGATGAAAGATGCCTCATTCTGTGTCACGAAATATGATTCCAAATAATAGCGGTTCTACCACATCAAAGTCATATCCACAGCTTTGATACCAGGTGGAAAGCTGGCGATCACAACGAAGGAACAGATTGTCAGAGGCATCGATTTCTTCAAGCGCCACTGAGAGCACTTAGGTAAGGATGAAATATGAAGCCTCGAGAAAACGAGAGAGATTCGAAAAGAGTTCAACCGCATGGAAAATGCCAAGCCACTAGTCAAAACGTGTTTGGGCACTTTCGGCCCTCTGATAGGCATGCTCTGTGTTTTCGGGGTTAAGGCTTAGGGATGACGAAGCCGGGAGACATTCTGTTTTACTTAGCGTTGGGTACAGCGCCACGCCCCAGCCTTTTCGCCCTCACGTTTCTTGGCTCGTCAGCACAAAGCTTGTGCACTTACGAAGTAAACATCGAGTGCACAGCCTGAGGCTCGTCAACCTTGAGCAGTCTATGTCTCCACCCTCTGGACGGCAGAAGGCATACTTGACTCGGATGAGTGTCCAGTACTGACACTACGACTTGCAAAGCCGTTGTACATCGCTGCACCGCCCCCGAAAGATCATTCTTGTGCCCTCAGACTACGACTAACAAGATAGTCTGGCTGTTCAGCCGCACGAGCAGCAGGGCCTCAAAATGGGAAAGCGCCATGCAAGCACTTCGCTGTTTTGGCTAGGGCTCATAGAAGGCGACAAACCAGAATCATCGGATACTCGGTAGGTAGGCACAGTCTGCTCAGGGCCTTGTCACTTGTTTTTCTCACGTCTGCATGTGGGACGATGCGCATTTGCGGAGGCTCGCAATGTCCCCTCAAATGCTCTTTTCACCAACATCAGGCTGGCGGTTGGTAGCCTTCTTTTCCAGCATGCGCATCCCTTTCAACCTTTCATTCATAATCTCCCTTCTCGTTGAATAGCATTGCTCTCAGTATGACCAGCCATTAGACTTGCACCAATGTTTTTGTGGCCACTCTGATCTAATTTTCAAGAGCCCCTTTACACAGCCTGACGAAACATACATCACTTGAGTGGTACCTGTCCAGTCCATGACATGGCCCTCAGCGCCAGACCTACCCACCTCCAGAAGCCAACGCATAGCCCAAGGTACACTGCATCCGAAGTGGCCAAAATATTTCACGATAAAATCAAAGAATTGACGGTCACTCCTCATTGCAGCAAATGTGCTGGTTGCGGCCGGCCTTACATTCAAGTGGAGGAACTGCGGACCTGGCTGAAAGAGAAATGGTCAACGCACATAGACAGATCTTGGGCCGATTTGTGCTTAGAAGCCTCCAATCAGGGAAACAAGGCCGGCTCCTTATCTCTGAGTGATATCGACGCGCCAGGAAGTGGCTGTCTTTTGGTATTTAGTATTTTACACGATATTGGTGCCCCCAGCCTGATTCGAAAATTTCAACGTCAAGGCCTGATAGATAGGAAACTACCGATCAATCTATCGGAGCTGGAGAACGAACTCAGCCAGCTAGGAATCGACAACGCAACCATCTTGGCTGGAAAATTTGATGAGCGACAATGGGCATTCTGTCCTGCGACATTCGACTTGTCAAGCACGATTGCTTGCAAAAGAACTACAGTTCTGCCAATCTGTAGGAGGGAAATACTTAGTACTAAAGGTGGGACAGCTCTTCTATGGCAGATAGCTGTACAAGAAGAATTCATTGGTCCGAGTCTTCGAGAACAATCGGCCAAATCTAAATTCAAGGACCCGAAATTTGGCACAGTAAGTCAAAACGACACTTCACATTCTTGGGATTCTGACTGAACCGTGACAAGTGTTATCAATTCGTGCTCAAAACTTTTCGCGATGACCATGCGGCATATTTCAAGGATGAATGTGACGCATTCTGGGCTTTACGTGAGCATGACGGTATGATTAAATACCTCGGGGACTTTTCCCATCCAAACGATTCAAGCTGTCAGTTCGAGCAAGACATTGGCTTAAGAAGGTTCAATGAGTCTGGTAGTATTCGGGACAAGGCCACGATAGAGAGGACGGATACTACAACAGAGTATATTGGCAGAATGAGCACCAATATACTCCTTGAATGGGGTGAAGCGGACCTTGAAGACTTTTTTGCCGAACGCCAGCCACCCGTGTTCAAATCCGAAGTCGCAATCTTTTGGAAGGAGTTATTTGAGGTTGCGGATGCACTTCGAAGAATGCACAATTTTACGAACAAGAATGGTCATCAATTTGATGGGTAAGCCATCCACCTGAAGGTCCATTACTTCCAGATATACTGACAACTCTTGTAGGTGGCATGCAGATATTAAGCCAGATAACATTCTTCGAGTGCAGTCAAGCTTCAAGCTCAGTGATCCAGGTTTTGCAAAGTTTCTGCCAAAGAAGCCAAACAATAAAACACAGATTGCTGGTGGTACCTCAACCTACGGTCCGTTTCCGTCCTGTGTCTCTCTGATGCTATCTTACTGATCCTGGATAGGGGCACCTGAATGGGATCTTAGTCAAGACACTGGAGATCCTGTTCCTCAGGCGATCGATATCTGGTCACTGGGCTGTGTTTTCTCCGTTGCCGCAACCTGGATTGCTCTAGGATTTCAGGGCATCCTTGTATATGAAAAACTCCGAGAGATCGCAATCAAGGCTAGCCTGGCAGCTCCTCGTGGTGAGCAATCTCACCACCCACAATATCGACGGCACGATAAGACAAGGCCAGAAGCCGACTATTTTCATGATGGATCAGATGTCTTGGGTGCGATTGATCAGTGGCACACAGCCGTCCGTCAATACGTACCAAGCAGCGACACTATAACACCAAAGGTTCTCGACTTAGTCAGCAAACGTATGCTGCTAGGAAACCCGGAGAACCGCATCAGCGCCGCCGATCTGTGTGATCAATTATCTCTAATAATTGGGAGTTGTCTCGAGGAGGACGAATTTATCGCGTTTCCCAATGCGCAGAAAGCCTTGAAGGAAGTTCAAACCCAAAATGAGAAACTTCAATCTCAAGGTATTCCTCGACCTAGCAGTCAGGAGACCGGTTCTATTCAAGGCCGCGCAGCTAGAGACTATCGGAAATCATACAACGTGCACATGGCACGAATACGGTCGGAATACGCTGGTGGCGCTTCAGTAGCGCCTGTCTGGCCTTCAACTTCCCTCTCGCATTCTAGGGCTCATGATTTCCGAGCTGGACCAACACCCAGTCTACTTGGACCTGCCCCACCGAGTACCGGGTTGCTCTCAAGCGTGTCTTCGATAAGCCAGCTCGGAGCCTCTGCTTACCAGCAAGATATGAATCTCAGAGAACGACCGATAAGCGCACATATTGGGCGAACCCTAACAACGAGACAGCATATCCCGCAGGATGTTTTCCAAGCGCGACAAGAATTGGAGGACCAAGTTGCAGAAGAGAAAAGGAATTTCACCGCCAGGTTGAGTCGAATGGTGACAACTAATCGCAAGAAGGATCCATTTTTGGCTGAATTTTTCGAACACCGAGATATCGTAAGTTGACTCCCAAAACAAATGTACTGTTTGATGGCTAATCATTATCAATCCCAAGATATTTGTTGCAGACAATGCGGGAAGTATGGTTGGCTCATGGCCACAGGCCACGGAACTAGTCGATGTCCTCGCGAGGAAAGCCCAAAATCTGGACGATAATGGAATGGATCTATACCTCACTCACACAAGCGGGAGGCCGAATGCAGTTTTGAGCCCACGGAAAAACGGACCTACTGTGCGAACTCCTACCTCCCCGAAAGTTGACGGCAAAAACACTGCAACCAAGTTCAAAGAGGCCATGAAGTCTGCTGACTCGCTCCCTGTCTCTGGAAAGAAAACAGACATGAGCTTGCTATTGGGGTATCTTCTCGATGGATATATCAAGCATCTCAAAGATGTCGGTATTAACAAAGCCAAAAAGCAGACGATTATCGTCCTTACCGATGGTAAGTGGGCTCTAGAGCCTGTATCTGAAGCTATCAAAAAATTTGTCGATGAGTGGAGAGGGTTGGATCGTGAAAACATCAAAAGCCGTTCAATGGGAATCCAGTTTGTTCAATTCGGTGACGATCCAATTGCAACCTGGGGTTTGGAATACTTGGACAACAAGCTGGAATCTGAAGGCATTCCGTGAGGCAGAAGCACATCCAGTTTTCAGACATTAGGACTAACGATTATAGGGACATTGTTGACACGGAACCATCTCTTGGTGATGTGTACAAAATGCTTTTGGGAAGTTTCATAGCAGACTATGATGAACGTAGTAGTTCAGTGGCGAGATCGCTACCGGACCCTGCAATATCGTCGCCTCCTCAAGCAATTTCGCCACCTATGCCATCATCGCCCTCCCCAACACCTAAGATCATGTTGTCCGAGCATTCTACAAACAATATACGGATGTCGCCAACTCATATGCAACACTCGGATCCATTCTCATGAGGCTCCAGAAGGGTTTCACATCACATAGGAGACAAGACAAATAGTCCTCCTTCCGCGAAGGATCTTCTTACAAGCAGCAAATGGAGCAGGTGTACTCTTCGCTTGTTCACGCTGCCTCGAACGGAGCATAGTTGGGGAATCCAGGGAAGGTGTAATAAAAGGGCATAAAAGGGCGTTGAGTGTCTGCTTGAGATACCCCCAAAACTCGTTCGTTGTTTTAATAGTGGACTGGTCACTCTAGCCAGAGGAATTACATTGACTAAAGGAGCGTTGGGCGCACTGGGAATGAAACTACATTGCAGCGTTTGTGACTTATGTCAATTCACATGTCTCATGTTTCTCGTTATCGTCGTATCCCTCTTGGTCCTCATGTTGCCCATGCCATCAATATCGCAGATGCCATAATTGATAATACAAATCTTTACTCCTGATCGCCTTGCTTCAATGAAATCTCCATACCTGTTCAACGGTTTTGAACTGTATCCCTCTCTGTCCTGATCTAGCAGTTGATCTACGAGACCTGCCCGCTCGAATCAACCTGTCATCTGATATGCATCAGCCATCGCCGTTACGTCCCAACCGCCTTGTCAAGTTCACCCAGCAGTGAATGCTCTTTCACCTGATTTTTGCCTTTGACTCTTCGTTCGTTCCCATCCTTCTCATGTCGGTCACGCACGCATTGATGCCGCATGACTTCGCCTCAAGCTGGAATATTCGGGCTTTGATTTTGATAGGAGCTGACACTTTTTCCTCCATATCTTTGTCGCATGTCTCGGGGGACAGCTTTTCGGCAGCTCCATTATGCTAGGATCGCTGATTCGAGACGAGATGGTCCGTCGCACCGAGCCTTGACCTGACAGCCTCGTATGGCAGTCTTCTCAACTCGGCAACTCCAATCTCTTCTTCTCCTTTCTGAAGAACCACATCGCAATGGCCAACGTGACAGCAGTTAATGGCAAAGTCACCTGCAACCATCTCTCCAGCGCAAGCTTCGAATAGCTGCTCGTGTGATACGAGTGGCCGAAATCATTCTGATCTTGATATTTAATGACATCGGTGCTGAAGAAGGTCGACACAAAAGTTGCCGGGAGATATATCAAGGTGATGAAGGTGATGATCTTGACCGTGATTGCGTCTCGCTGGGCTATTCCTGTCATGGTTTCCATCTTCTTGGTGGCTTCGTTCTGGAAGGCGGTGGCTTGGCTCGTCAAGTGCGACTGGATGAGCATTTTCCGGTCAGCGGCGATGCGCCCGACCAGTTTCGCCCTCGAAGCCTGCATTTTGGTGTCGTGGACAGCGTCCTGAAGTTGGCGGGCAAAGTCGATGATGCTATTGCGGCAGCTCTGTCGAAGTGGGAAGTCGGTTTCGGTCAAGAGACCTCCGTAGTATGCAGAAAGCGCTGTGAGGACCTCTGCGTTGGATTCGAGGATCATTATTGCTTCGTTGGTTCTGTCTTCATAGTATTGTACATTTTGAATATTGTCAGGTGTGTATTTCGTCTCAATCTTCTCGTTCCTTGGGCCATAGATCGCATCACCGGTCTGAATTCGATTAGTGAATGAGTACAAAGGCGTTCTTGCCATTGAGGTATTGGAAAAGGGCAATGGACAGCGAACAAGTGTAAAGAACTTACCGATTGCTCAATGACCTCCTCGAGCCACTGAATGTAAGCTGGCCAACCCTCCTTCGCCCAATGAGCTGCCAGAGCATGGACTGCAAAGGAGGATCGGAAAGCTGCTTCCAAAGTCGAGTAGTCCCGATCTTCAGCTCGCCCAGGCAAACCAACTGTATCCTCAAGTCTATCTCGAAAATACTTTCCGCCACAGGTGATAACCCAGAGCGCATTTCCTTCCACAACGTCGAAATGATGGTACAAAGCAACTGGTCGCCTAGACCATTGCTTCTCCTTTAATGCAGCCTTAGGGGGTGTTAAACATGTCACAGATATCAGGTTATAGCACATTTGGATATGACAGCCGCTTCTCCCAAGCTCAAGAGCCACAGTTTCTGGACGTGGCGGTGTTGTCAGGCGCGTTTTACCTCGAAAGCCACTATACCGCAGATCACGTTGGCGAGACTCCTGACCAAATGTTGTCAGGAAGTCAAGATAGGCGGGCATTATCTGATAGTAGCTGAAGATTCGGCAGAGCATTGTTCTACTCATTGACAAGGATGCTTTGGCGTGGGGCGGGTTAGGAAAGCTTTTGCAATGGGATTAGCTGAATGCCTCACGAGTTAGGGTTTCAGTTAAACGCAAGATGGATGAACTAACACATATCGACATCTTTCATCCGGACGAGTGGCCAATTCTCCCGTATAGATTGGACTTGCCGCGGTCAAAGCTGATCGGTCAGAGAGGAATTCCATGAGTTCATCCTCATCTCGGATGTACCATTTGTCAAGGACTTTAGGTGCACCCGGGTGAACTTGCTGGCCTGCCGGTACAGCTGGGGTTGGTAATATCACATCCCACACAGGCAACCTGATGTCGTCGGCATCACATTCATCGATGAACAACCCGCCGGCATCTTCTTTCAGTTGCTGGCGATAGTTCTCAAGCGTGGAATGGTAATACCCCGTGTCAATCAGATTACACGGATACAATGCAAAGTTGGAGTAAGAGGACTTGAATGAGTCGGGAACATGCATCTCGAAGATATATGACTAGGGAAGTGCGACCTCTCAACGATCGATCTTACATGGAGGAGTCTACCGATCGTCCATCAAAAGTTCCCATGCTGAACAAAATATAGGAAGTATAAAAGAAAAGCGATGTCGCACGGATTGTGGTACAAAAAGGAGCTACCTCCGTGCACAGCCCAAATCACCCCTCTTAAAGGGGCGCAGAATACGCCGACAGACATACAGGCATCCGAGGCTGATCACCCCGCTAATCCTTCGACCTCAATGCCTGAGGGTGTAAAGATACATAGATCAGAGATCAAATCATCATCAATTCGTAAACGCTAAGCCTGCCAGTTGGAAATTACAAGTCACTGAAAGCCCTTTGTCAGTAGTGTCTCTGGCGTTCTGGTGACTGGACACGTTGTCGACGGCTGCTGGAAGGGTTGCTGCTTCGCCCGGTGGCATCGGCCGCGGCCGCAGCCGCAGCCAGAGCTTCCTGCTTGCGGCGGTAGATTCTGTCTCGCATTGCAGCAATGCTTCTGTCGTCCTCCTATGAAAGACAATAAGCACGGCGAATACAGATGAGCGGTCATACTCGTACAGCCGCCTATACTTACATCGGTCAATTTCCGTGGGCATTTGAACACCCAGGAGTCGTTCCTAAGCTACCTCGAGTCAATGGGTAAATCTGCCATCGTTTTCGCCCTGGAGCCTCAGGCACCTGTGGTTCAAGGTATGTACTCACCTTTCCTCGATCGGGCTGTATGAGATTAGGAAATTTCTTCTCCAACCAGTCCTTCAAATCGGACCACTCCAACCTGTAGATGCGATAACTATCAGACTGAAGTTCCTGGTCGTCTTGCTGCGGCACTGGCGGAGCAGCGCTTGTAACCCAAGACTGGATTCGTGGTGGCAATCTATGAGACGCGGCTGTCCCCTGTCGGGAAATGCCCCATGTGGAACTACGACCGGAAGCCATGACGATCAGCAAAAGGGGAGGGTAGAAATGGATAGATTGGATGTTTTTAATGTCTGCAATGCTGTTAAACCCAGGGTTGGGAACTGGGTGTCCGAGGAAGTTTGAAAAGTAATTCCTCTGAGTTTCGAGCCTTAACTTCAGGGAGTCATCCATGGCTATTCGGATCCCACCGAACTTTGGCACTACCTTGCAAGATTGCAAGGGTCATTGTGTTCACATGACGCCCAGGTTGAGGCTGAAGGTCTGTCTCTCATGGGCGGCAACAGTAGGCAACCAAAATGTTGCAATTGGTTGTGATGCGCCTTTCGTCCTGATGATTGGTTGACGATTAGACTTTAAGGCCAGAGAACCTATCTGTACTTCGTACCTAGGGAGGACGGAGTATTCGGTACAACCGTAAACGCAAGAGAGGATTCCAGGTCAAAAGATTGGTGTCAATTCTGGCTTGCCTCTCTACAGTCATCATTAACCGGCAGCACCCTCCAGGCCTTTTGGCTACGATCACATCCAGCAGGCTATTAGCAGCCCTCAGCCGTCCATAGGTATGCATAGTCAGTGATGACTATCGAGTACCGAATTTACATTCGGACGCCCAGCAAGCAAGTTGGCACCAATCTTAATACCCAGCAGTCATTTTACTACTACTGAAGTTAGTTAGTACTCTGGATAACCCTTGGTTAGTAGCTCGCAGTTGTGAGAGAGATAACCTTAGATACCTCGCCGAGGGACCGTACCGAGTCTGCCGACTGGCTACGTTGTAGGTATTGCTTAACTTTGCTCGCACGTATGGCCATCGTGAGAGGTAAACTGAGGAATGCTTCCGCTCCTTCGTCAGTAAAATATCGCGATGGCTGTTTTGGCTTATCGAAGTATCAAGCACATTGGCAGATGGTATAGCCCCAGGTCTGTTCCAAGTCTCTGAGCCCTCTCTGGGTACTGAAGCTTAGTACTAGACCGTAATCCGAGGTTTGCACCAGTGCCAAGTGAAGTGTACTCCAGTTCAGTTGTTCTGTAGGTATTAAAGGCCGCTGATGGGCTGATGAGGACCGGGTGCGCCTTGTGGCTGGCAGGACCGAAGTTCATTGCCGCGAGGATTTTGGCATGAGTCGCACTTCTTGTCTAAATATTTATGGTCGTAACTCTGTGGCTGGTGGCTCAGATGTTGAGATCCCCAATCCCCAATTCTCACAAGGACGAGAGTTACACATACATAGTCTGATCATGGCCAAGGTTGTGCTGGAACTTGGCTATTTTTATTCTTCATAATTCACGAACTCGGCAACGAAACTCTAATTGTAGATCACTATGAGAGAAGACATTCTCAGGGAGATATTGGTCGTTGACTTCGTCCTTTCTGACTGCAATTGTGTCCTCGCCTTGTGGCTGCCACTTTTTTCTCATGTGGCGACAGAAGCATGAGGTTGCATGGTATTGGCATCGTCTCATCGACTCGTAAGAGTAGATCAGATATCGAAATATTTGCTTTCGAATTTGCTGTCATTCTCCTCCTAGTAGCAAGCGGAAAGTGTCTCCAGCGTTTGAGTCTGAAGTATTAGGTAAAGAGAAAATAGAAAATGTCAGTGAAGAAGGAACACCACGGGGATATAGCCAGCGTTACGTCGAGAAGCATAAAGTCACCTGCCTTGTGTTCTGCATTACGGCTAGATACGTCAGATTCATATAGCTCACCTCAGCTGGGGTCTTGACTAAAGCCGAGGAGCACACCTGGAAGAATCACTAAGCTGTCTCGAGGGGCCAGTGTGAGCCTGCCAGGTGCTCCTGAGAGTAGAGCACTTGGGAAATCTGCTTCTCAAGATATTGCAGGCCCAGAACAATGAAAAAAAAAAAATTGAAAATTTGGTGGCAGCCATTCAAGCGGAAAAGGGGGAGGTGGGCGCTGCAGCATTGCGCTGCAGTGGAGCAACATGGATGAGTCTCTTCAGAATATCGCGCCTAATGCATTGTCCTTCATGAGCAGCTGGGAGACGCGTAACTAGATAAAGTGTAACGAAAAGACACAACATCCGTAACGCATTCCAACGCGGAAGCGGGTATGACTGAAGAGTTAGCATTGAAGCGATCTTCCAACCTTCTTCTTTTCCATGTCAAGGACCACGTATCAGACAGCCTGTTGGGTAGGGCGAGCCAGTGTTGCCAAAAACAAAGTTGCCCGCAAGGGACGCACTTCCGGAGCAGGGTGCTGTCAGGTATTGCTGAAAGGTGAGTGGGGCTTTGTTTGGGGCGCGAATCTCTTTGATATTTCGGACACTTCTCACTCCTCCATAAGGAACAAAAGGCTGCTCGGATCCCAAAGGAGCGTGCCTCCATTCGGAACACCTATGCCTGTTCGCCTATGCTGTCTAGGCGGTGGTCACAGAAAGGACAAGACTTGATGAGCAACCTCGACCGGCGTACCTCTAGCCTTTCATTATTTGTACCTCGTACTCCGCAGGATGTTCATACAAGTCAAGAACACAGCCCACATTGACTGCAATCCCTTGTTCCATGCATACATGCTTTCGAGAAGCTTTTTTGGGCTAGTGGTGTGTCTGAGGCAGAGAACGGTTGATATTTAGGTCGGGAATGCCAAGGCTCGTAACAGTCCATCTCATTCGCACATTTTCTCCTATTGGCCTCCAAGATGACCTGAAGGAAAAGAGGCTTGACACGTCATAGACGAAGCTGCCGGGGGAAAGTGGTCTTGTAGTTGTCTCGGAAATTTGTTCGTGGTAGAACGTTCGTAAATCTCTCCCGGTGCACCTGCAAGGCATATCACAACCCAAAAATACGCCTTTTCCGCCTTCCGCCCGTATATCGTCACCGGTTGCTGGGATGGTGATGCATCGGGGGAGGCTTCACTTTAGTCCCTAATTACCTAGACGACCATGCCTCAAACCGACAGTGATTGATTCTTGTGGACCCCAAATTGTAAATATGGATCGCAAAATGAGAGATCGATGAGGCCCATCCAGCAATCGGTTTTTGGTCCAGGTCCGTGGTTCCCCTTGATAGCAACCCGTTTCAGTGGGCATGTCTTGAACTGTGTCAGGTTATGCGACCACCTGGCCAGCGTATACAATACCAATCTCTTAACCAGAACCTAAAGTCATGGCTGGAACAGGTCAGGAAGGAACACGAAACGAACGCAGAGAACAACAAACAACGGGAGAAAGGCTGTTGTAACTTCTGGAGCCACGCCTCGCTATTCAACAGAAACCTTGAAGCCTCCAGTGCCAGAAGCCACTCCTGAGCAGGTGTGCGTGTGTCTCCAGCATTTTCTCGCAAGCCTGCATAACATCACACCTGGACGGGATTTCGGTATTCAGCACACTGTTTCTTGGGTTCTCCTACTAGCAGGTGATGCAACAAAGGGTGGTTTCTCAGTTGTTGCAATAAAGGGTTACTTCTTCCGTCTTGCTAGGGGCCTCTGTGTTTGGGGCCTACAGCCGATCGGCTCGTAATCGTACTAATTCTTTCCCCGTCTGCAACTCGTTGCCAGCGAAGCGAGAAGAAGAAAGCGTTTTTTACGCATCTTTTCAACGGACCCACTCCCCATACCCGTTCACTATGGTGCACTGGAAACAAATCGTTTTTAGCAGACTTTAGCGACAGGACCCGTGCAGAGGATATTAGTGTCGGATTAGCGTCCAAAACTCGTAGGTGTGGGATGGATTGAGCTAGGCAAGGATCTGATTCTCACGGCGACTGTGAATTTCTCAATAGTGTGTTAGTAAAGATCCTTGATGGAGTAAAGTAATTGAAAGTGGACTCGGTGCTTGAGAAGTAGATTACCGTGACGGTGATTGCTTCAATCCAAAACCTTTAGTTTTAAGGGCCAGGGGGGCTTCGGAAGGCATAGATGTTGCTCCTGAGCGTCAGGCTGATGTCCTTCGGCTGGCCTGCCACCCTGAATATGCTGGCATAGCGATTCCACAAGATTGCCACGGTCGTCCTTACATTAATTCAGCAAAAGGCGGTGTGTTAAAGGATCTATAAGATGCCTTTCTCTTGCCTGAGTGCAGTGGACATCATCAAGGCTAGGAGAAGGAAAAAGTATATGTACCAGACGGCACTTGCTCATCCGTTTGCGCTTTAGGAAGCAAAATTCCAAGGCCCTAGCTCCGAAAGACAAGGCCAAAGCCGTGTTCTCCATCCGTCGACTCCGGCATGGCAGATCAGGAGAAGGACAACGTACCGATTGAGAGTGAGGTGCAAGATGGCGACATTGACGAGTCATATGGCAACGACGAGCGATGGTCGAACGGTGAGCACCAGCTTCCGGTTTCAAGATTGATCTGACCATATTGCTGCAGCTTGTTCACAGTCTCACGAGACAAGGTCAGACAGGAGCGACGCAGTCCCTCTTGCTGCTGACAGTGACGCTGCACAAGAAGGGGCAAGGTCAAATACTACCGAAGACACTGTTGAGACAGGGTCTTGCATGCCGCCATCGCCATTACATCCCACAATCCTGGAACTCGACGATGAAAACGCAGCGGATGTGGTGGAGGATGACAACAAACACAACAAACAAAGCAGTGATCCTAGCGGAGTCGACACAATCGTCGCCAGGGCCTGAGCTCAGGTAGAGGCATGAAGGCCGACAGAAGGCCAACAGCACACATACAAACACCAGAGATGGATGACAGAACTTTTCATCATTATCCTCAATCGATAGAGGGTTATCGGGCCCTAAATAAACAATCAGCATGGTTTTGCTATGTTGCGATGCGGTAAATTTGGAGTCTTGAGAAAATCAGAGAGAAGATTGGTTCAACATAGTGGAAGGTCACGCAAGAGCAGTCATCTAGCCAGGCTGAGGCTGCTGCTCGCACCACTGTCTGGCTAAGGATGATACATTGCTCATCACAGCATTAGATGGGATAGAATAAAAGTTAATGCTTACACGATTATTAGTCCATACACGCTTCGAGAGAAGGCGCTTTGCCTCCAGTAGTTTGATCTGCACAAGAACCCGGGTGATTCGTAGGCTCGCTTCTCAAACCTCATACGTCTCGAAGCTGAGGCCATAAGAACTCTGTTTTGGCCTTCGTAGTGACCAGATTCGGCGCTTCCGCAGAATTCGAGGTATCATCATCGTAAAGAAGTGTCTCGATCTGGTTTGTAGAGGGGTCATCATAGTGCGGGCGTTTCTTAACTTCGACTGTAGTCGAATTTGTGTGCACACGATCGGATTTTCTTTTCTGTCTTTCTTGTCGCTCATTTTTGGCCCGTCTCTCACTAAGAAGGCGTTGGATCTCCGAGTGTCTGAACATTTTGATTTGCTCATCGGTTAGGGTGCGCCTCGTACCATCACTGTAATATCCCAGGCCGGTTGGTTCGTCTTCAAGATAGACCGTGTCGGTCGCCAACAAAGTTGCATCTTGTTCGGAAGGACTTGTGAGAGATGGGACTGGTTGCCCCGGGAAGTGTTTCGTGTGGAAATCCTGCAATTGGGCGGCCTCTGACTCTGAGATCATCCTGGCGCGAGGAGGGCAGTCTCATACAGCTAAGCGCTGTGTCTGCAGGACATCGACAACTAGTTTTTGAGAGGGCGGTGTCGTGAGGCACGCATTTGAGGAAGCAAATTACCTCGGGGGTTCCAGTGGAAGATGAGGACAACTTGGGTAATCTTTGTGAACCTGCCCAATGGTGTTTGCTGAGGCATCAACGCGACTTACAGTTCCAGATCGCGGTCGTACGGCCGAGGTTGAGTCCTGTCACCACTTACCCAAGTGAGCAGAAATGACCATTGTCACGTGAGACAATGCCAAGAAATGGCAGAGTCAAATCTTTGCCATGAACGCATGTTTGGGCGATGACTCCACTTAGTCATCATTGTATACTGACAACGGATCACTAAACATCTTTGCAGGTGAGTGACTTATTAAGCTCGATCTCCATCTCCACGGATAGTGACCGGCCGCAAGCGTGTGAGGCAATCATGGGCGCCTCCGTGGACGGAAGAAACCCATCTAAGTTGACCGTGCGTCTCTGGTTAGGTACCGAATCAGGTACCTGCGTTTTGTCTCGAGTCAAAGACCTCGGGAGTCGGGGCTCCAAATTGTTGGTTTCAAGCCTCTCTCCTCGGTGGACGCCATCCGATTTAGGCAATCAACAGTCAGTGACATGCATAAAGTGCAAATATCTAACCTTCACTTCTGAAAGCTTGAGACTGTGGTTGATTACGTCCGTTCTAACGAATGCCCGGGGGGTAGTCATCATTTGAGATTTTATGCTGCTGTTGGTTTTCTATACTGCCACAATGGGCTGTCGAAGCGCTCGATGGCAAGATGTATATATAGTAGGTCCTCCTTGATCAGATCTGCTTGAAGGATCATCATCTCGCCATCATCCTTACAAGTCCTGAACTGGGTCACACTTCCCTGCCCCGCCCTTACTTCCAATTCAGCACACCTGAGTTACTTGAGCCCGGCTTTAAAGCAAAGTCTAAACATGGCTGGTGAACTTATACTCCTTACCGGAGGCTCAGGACATCTCGGTTACCGCACGCTCGTTGAAGCCTTATCAAAAGGCTACAAAGTCCGCGCTGCTGTTCGATCAGATGCGAAAGTTGCCGAAATCAAAGCAGCTAAATCCACTCAACCCTATATTGACCAGCTGTCGTTCATTCTGGTCCCAGATATAACCCAGGAGGGTGCCTTCGATCAGGCCGTTCAAGGCGTTGACTATATCGTACATCTTGCATCCCCGCTCGGAATACCGTCCGACGACGATGAGGCGAATATCATTCAACCGGCTATTCGTGGAACCTTAAGCATACTTCGATCGGCCATGAAAGAGAGCAAAATACGACGTGTCGTTATCACCTCGTCTATTGCGGCTGTTGCACCTGCCACGAACGGAAGCACCAAACCAACGCAACCGTACACAGCAGACAATGTCCTACCAGATCCACAAGGTCCATATCCAAATCCGTTCGCAGCATATGCCGCTAGCAAAGTGCTCGCCCACAACAGGGCTCGGGATTTTATCGCAAAGGAGAAACCAAACTTCACAGTGATCAACATTATGCCCACCTTTGTGATTGGCAAGAACGAACTGGCAACAACGCCGCAGGCTGTCGTCTCGGGCTCCAATCGAATTGCACTTGCGGCTCTCCTCGGATCGAAACAACCTCAAGGTCCACCAGGTGCCGCATGCCATGTCGATGATGTTGCTTTCGTTCATATTGCTGCACTGGACCCGAAGATCGAAGGCAATCAAAACTTTGGACTCAACTACAATGGAGCCAAGGGCATCGTTTGGGACGATGCAATTGACATTGTCAAGAGACATTTTCCAAAGGAAGTCGAGAGTGGCATATTTCCGCTCGATGGCTCGTCACCATCGGTGCCCGCGGCGTTTGATGCAAGCAGGACAGAAGAGGTATTCAATTTCAAGCAAAAGAACTTCGAAGATATGATCGTAAGCCTTGCTGGGCACTACGCTGCGGTTTCTGCAAAGCTATAAAGTCAAGAATCACTAGCTAGTGCTATAGCAGTAGTATGGAGAATAACAAACCGTTCTCGACCATTCCTTCGAAAGTTCAGCCTCGTGCTCGTGAGGCTGGACTGAAGAACTCTGATTGGCTCGGCAGACGGATTATCTTCCGGAAGCTCTACATCAACCTTCTTGCGCCTTTTGCTTCCCAGGATCCGACGGCTAACATGTAACTGACAAACTCGTAGTTATGGTCCTCGTCCAGGGTATGAGACTATTCTCCGACCCTAAAGTTGTCGTCCTTTACTGACAGTCACGACGTGGGAAAATTCATCCCAACCTAGACGTTCACATTCTGCACAGTGACGAGGCGCCTATCCCGCTCTGACATCACCTATGATAATCCTGGCCAAAAAGTCCCATGAGATCCACGTCTGCGACCAACACTTCCTAGTCGTGACGCTCGACTGTCTTGCATAGCTTCTGCTTCTGCCTCATTCTGTGTCCCTCTGGCATCAAAAATATTTACACTTTCCAAGTCGCTATCAGGATCCAAATGAGTTCCGAATCTGATCCATCTCAGGTCAACATGTCTGCCACATCTCGCGCCATGTTGAACAAAGTGCGCAAACTCGTGCCCCCCATGCTGGAGAAATTCCACAAGGGCCAATTGGGGCGAGTAGCCGTCATCGGCGGCAGTGCGGACTACACAGGCGCTCCATATTTCTCTGCCATGGCGTCGGCCAGATTGGGCTGTGACTTGTCCTACGTCTTCTGCGAGCCTTCGGCGGCACAGACGATAAAATCTTACTCTCCGAACCTTATGGTGTCGCCGATCCTCAGGTCTACGGCGTCGATCTCCCAGGCGCAAAAGGACAAAGATGCATCCGGCGACGAATTGGCCAAGCCCATTATTGACATGCTCCCTCGGCTTCATGTTCTTGTTATTGGACCAGGGCTGGGCAGAGACTCGGTCACCCAGAAGCAAGTCAAGGCTGTCATTCAAGCTGCTAGAAAACACGACCCACCTGTCCCCATGGTTCTGGATGCCGACGCTTTGTGGCTCGTGCAGACAGATCCGGACTTGATTAAGGGTCACAAAGAATGCATCTTGACGCCCAACGTGGTCGAGTTTGGGCGACTCGCCAAGTCTGTGGGCCTTGAACAAGATATCGACAAGCCAGAGAAAGCGTGTCAGGAGTTGTCTAAGATTCTAGGTGGAGTTTGTATAATTCAGAAAGGCGCAGTGGATTATATCTCGTAAGTGATTCACTCTGTTTGCAATATTGCTTTGCTCAAGGCTTTTGCCGCTCCATCATCTGAAATCTGGTACTTACTCGCAACGCTTGCAGACAAGGAGTCGATACCTCGATTTCAGACTTCCAGGGCGGCCTGAAACGATCTGGCGGACAAGGCGACACACTGACGGGCTCCTTGGGCACGTTTCTTGCGTGGCGTGAGATCTACCATGAAGGCCTGTGGGACGTTGGTGAGCCGATGAGCCGTGAAGAAACTCTGCTGGTTGCAGCGTTTGGTGGAAGTGCAATCACCCGCGAATGTTCTCGTCGGGCCTTTGCAAAAAGACAACGCAGTCTTCAGGCAAGTGACTTGACAGATGAAGTGCATGAATCTTTCTTAGCACTGATTGGGGAGCCTGAGGAAATTGCCAAGTTATGAGAGAGCTGGGACATTTCAGCAAGCCATAATGTATCTGACCTCTGCTGAGAACATCTTGAAGAATGTAATCAATGCGGTGTTAGTGGCACAGACGCTTACGACAGCGCTGAAATCCCCCGAACCAGGTGAACAGTTTGTTGTTTCGATTTTATTTTTGGTCGGCCTAGCCATTGCCCATATATACAATGTTACTGTTACGTAGCAACCCCGCCGAACAGAACTAGCACAATTTATTCATAGACACTTACAACCTTGCCATCCTTTAATCTTGATAACCGTTCTTCTTCTTGAGCTTGTGCTTTCTCGTGATAGAACTTTGTCAGTGCGTTGAGATCCGCTCCTCCTTGTCCAGCAGCAACATTCCATGGGGAACCATGATTGAAGACCCTATGAAACAATGTCAGTATTGAGCTAGCGATATAAACGCCAAGCTGGAATGGCACATACTCGGGATACCGGATAGGAGGGCTGCTTGAATCGCGGGGGGTGGAGGCAAAGAGCTGTCTGTCGGCCGCAGCTTGCTCCATGAGCCGTTGATGTATCAGATTCTTCCTCTCTTCAACCTCCTGGCCGATCTCGTAGCGCTTAACTAGTCGGTAAACAAAGTTGTCGTTGGGATTCGTCGCAACGACATAAATTGCGGCGAAGAGGGGGATTGAAGCTAGAGAAATGTAGAATCCTCTCTGTACAAAGAGTCAGCTACAAGAGACGATGTCTGCCAGGCAGTATTCTTACTCCGAAGGACTCGTTTGCCGGTCCGTGAGCCACATGGAATGCACTCTCTCCGTGGTGTGCCTCTTCGTGACCGTGAGGTGCGTGGTGGGAGTCGTATCTTCGTGTTTGGCGTTGGACTGAGCGCCTCAGGGGACGAGCTGCAGCTCTCGCCCCTCTAGAGACGTACGACATGGCTGAATAGGCTGCAGAGATTCAACAATGGCGAGTTCACGGGAATCTACTTCATCTGCGCAGTCTTGAAGATGAGGTCAAGTTAGCTTGGGGAGTGCCAAGACCGACCATTCGAACTAGTCTATTTTGGGAACCATCTCCTTGCTCTCCTCCAAATCGATTTCAAGTTCAACGAGCAACGTCCACGAACAGTCCAAACCAATCGACATCTGCCACGATCTTGCCCTACAAGAAGGGTTTAATGGTTTCGATACCACTCGACTTTCTTGCCCCCTGGTGACAAGAACGGTTGTTCATGCAAAGGACGTTCATATGCCCGCTTATGGCTGATCATCACGTTTTGGGCCCCTTGTTGGGCAGCAAGTCCTCGCCTGGAATCGCGCTTGACCACGTCGGATCCATGACTATTAATTCTTTTTTTCCTTTTTTTTTGTGCGACTCTTTCAAAAAAGAATTTATAAATTCTAGCGTGGTGCATTGACGAGTCTCCTGGTTCATCCTTCCACTACAAAATATATCTATCTACCCAAATGTGTACTCTCAATCTCTTTTTGCTCCCTCAATTTTTGCTGTTCAGTTTCGGCCTCCAATCCTGTTCTGCGCATACTGCTAACAACCTCGAGCTATACAACCAAATACACGAATCCCAAACCTCATATGTGCCTCTTCGAAGCATTGATATCTTTTGTTCTTTGACGTTTTTGCCAATCGTCTCTTAACTGCATGATGTCTACTTCTTACCAGACCAACGCGAAACCCCGCGGGCGTAGGGGGAGCTATTCGGAATCCTCTGAGAAGCAATCTAACAGTAGAGCTTCCAGCTCTGCATCTGTGAGACTTTCCAAAACTCTTTCCAGACATCTAGATGAGGTGTCAGCTCCCAGAAATAGCCGGCCAAGTTCTCCTGCTGTACACAACCACAGTCACCGACACAGGAACCTGGATTTGAGGTCTTCCGACCCATGTGTCAATTCCAGAGGCCAAACTCCGGAGCGAAGGAGTCGAAGCAAGACCCAATCAGGACTATCCTACACTAGTGATAAAGATGCACACCCAAGCACAGCGACAGCCGCGTCCGTCGCATCACCCGAGCCACACAGATCAGCTTCCTTCAGCGTACTTGGTAACTCTAACGGACTCTCAGATCCCAAATCACGGAGCCCCGAGTCGATGAACGTCCCACAGGGACTGACTCGAAACACAAGATCTTTCAAATCATTGGCATCCATGCAACCAACTGTCACTGAGGAAGCTGAGGAGCACATTGGCCAGCGGAATTCAATGACACCCCAGCCATCCTTGCAATCCCCCACTATTGTTCCTTCGCCTGCGCCTCCTAAAGTGTCTGATATGCTGCCGCCGCGTGACATCCCAATGCCATTCTCGCCAGTGACGGCAAAATCGTCCCCACAAGTTCTTCCGGGCTTTGATCCCAGGACCTCGGACACTTCATTAGACGAGTTGCTTCTCGCTGCACCTGCTCCCAAAGCTCCGGTACCATTCATATCCCAACCTGTAATCAGTAGCGATGAAGAAGGAGCTCCAGTTACGATTGTCCCAAGCCTGGCAGGGGGGTGGGAACAGCCTCAAACGTACGAGCAAACGCCAATTCAGAGTTATACTCCTTTGGCATCTCCTCCACAGTCACCAATGCTTCATCAGTATATGGGAAGCCCGCCCCTCCAGGCCGTACCTTACATGCACCCATTCCCATATCCACCACCGCTAATGCCCAACCCAACCTATAGCCCTGGCTTCTATCCTACCCAATTTGCACCTCCTCCTCCTCCGATGCCAAACTTTCAAACTGACATGATTCCAAGGTCGGGATCTGCGGGAGCCGAGGATGAGCGGACAAGACTTCTTGAGAAGGTCTCCAACGTCCTTCCGGACATCAATCGCCTTCTTCATCACTACCAGGAGACGCAAGGTCTTCTGTCAGAGAAAGAAAATCTCGTCAGACAAGCTGAGACACATCATGTAGAAGAAGTGGCGAAACTCCAAGTCGAGCTGACAGTGACCAAGGAGGAGTTTGAAAAGCTCCTTGGGGAGCTGGCTACAGAGAATGTGAGGCTGAAGGGAGAACTCGCAGACCAAGCCGAAAAGCTCGCGCGAGTAGAAGAGAACTCTGTCAGATCAGCAAGGATCCGTGAGGAGTTGGAGGAGCATAAATTGAAGTACAAAGAAATCGAGGCAGAGTGTCAGCAAGGCAGATCTGTGGTGGAGAACTTGATGTTGGAGAAAGTAGCTTTGAGAGCGGAGGTCGAGGAATATAAAAAGCACCTGGAAGCCAATGAACTTCGGCATGAAGACCAGATGGAGGAATTGAGACAGAACCTTGAGGAACAGTTCCGAAAGAGGGATGAAGCGTACAACAAAACCGCCAGCGAACAGAAAACCGGCCTTTCGAAGATCCAGCTTGATCTAGCAGGAATGATCACCAAGCACAGCATCCAAAAGAAGGATCTAGACTCGGTCAGGTCATTGCTTAGCGAACAAGAGAAAGTTGCAGCCTCGAGAACGAAAGAGCTGGCAGAAACGAGACAGATGCACAAAGAAGAGTTGGAGGCCCGGGATCAGCAGGAGCAAGAACAGGATGCGAGGCACAAGCACGAAGTCGCATTATGGTCGAAGAAGATGGCTGAGGGGATCGTGAGACGTGAGGAGATGATACACGAGATCCGCACATCCATGGAAGCACAAATCGAGCAGGAGAAGAAGACTGCGGAATCTCGAATCGCCTCGCTCACGGAGAAATTCAGTGGTGAAGAAAATAGACTCAGCACTGCGCTTGATGCGAGCAAGGCATTGGTGGAACAGTTGAAGGAAGAAATGGGCAAAGAACGAGAGGCACATAACGCCCTGAAAAGTCTTCATCTCGAAGAAAAAGTTGCTCACAACGCTTTACAATTGCAATACAATGCCGCCAGTCAACACCACAGTCAACTTACAGATACGATGCTCGTATTGAAGAGCAAGCAGGCAGAGTGGCACCAGCAGAGTGAAAAGATGGACCGTATCTTGCAAAGCCTGGGACAGCTCGGCTCTGGCAAGAGTGGGGTTGGTGGTGATGAGTACTTGTGAGTATGATCCAAGTTTACTATTTTGAGGAAGGTAGGGGGATGCTGCAGGACCGACTACTCAACTTAGACCAACTCATAGGCCTTCTGAACTACACAGGGTTTTCGAATACATTTCCACCGGGAGTGATAATTCTTGAGATTGATTGATGGCTACACAGGGGCAGGGCAGACAGGTCCCCGCTAACATATTGACACAGTGTGAGCGCATTTGATCAGCTTGCATCATCCGTGGAAGCGATCTCCAAGCAGTTCTTGCATGATGACCTCGGTGGGAGAGCTTTCACTAGAAATGAATTTGAGACATCTGGCCTCCCAGACCTCATGGGTCAATCTGAGTGTGCACGAGGACTTCGCGGCCTTGTGATGCAGAGCCAGATCTTCAGAATCTTGCAGCAGCGAATATTCGAGCCTTTCCTGTTTGTAACAGCATACGATGGAGATGACAATTATGGCGTCGATCACTGCCTCGCCATGATAGCGCGTTTAATACGAGCGAAGAGCGTCAACAGAGAAAGGATCTGGAGATCGATGACTATGCGAGCAGTCTATGGAAGCCCCTATGGGCGCAAAGCGGCGGTCGCGGCTGCTGGGCGGATCAGTGAAGAGATCATGGAACGACTTCAGACCATGGCACATCCAACTAACTATGACATGCTACTCAGGGCAGTACGACTTGTGGTCAAAACGGCAATTCAGCTCTGGCGAAGGTCTCGGCTGGAGTGGGATTGGATCTCTTCAACGATGCCACCGGTCCCGGATCGGAAACGAGAAACGGACACAATGCTTTGGGTACGACCACATGTCGCTCGCGAACGGATCATGGGCAGCGTTGATGGTGAGGAGTCCAATCAGCACGGAGCATATGTCTATCTGCAAGGCACAGGAATACGTGAAGATTCCCCATTGGTCACTGCACGGCGTCAGGAGTTGTTGGCGGGAGTGGGAGGATGAATATTTTTTCCCCATTTGTACCAAAAAGGATTGATCTCAAAAAAGGAGCTCGGAGGAGGGAAACTGGTTTTTCAGCTCATACCCTGTATTATCGTCTGGTTCGATCTGAAATGGATATTCAATCATAGATTAAGAAATTTACGGCCATTTCACCTGGTTTTCGCAATTTTTGAATCGACTTATCTTTACAAAATTTTGCAAATTTGGCCGTTCGACCTAGGTATTTCGTGAATGGGCGGACGCCATTCACATCTGGCGTTATTCGTGCTTCGACCCTAAAACCCCCTGTCTCAACATCGAGGCCTGAACATCGACTGAAGGATAAGTGCATGTTCTAGTTCACTGCGCGCACAGAGGTGTCGAAAGTCGCCCGTGAGTCTGCCATCACCATGGTCAACCTATTGGAAGTAGCCCTTTGATCAGGGAGTCGTTGACCCACCTTGTTACAGCAGGCTAGCGGGCAGTGCTGGTTTTCCCCTTGTCAGTTTGCAGGATGCCATTGGTCGTTGAGGTGTAAGGCTGACTTGGGGCTGTGCTCCCTCCCCATTGCCCTCTCCAATGCCTGAGAGCCCCCTCGTTCCAGTTAAGTCGGTACCCCAGCAACCCCACCCGTAGGCTTCCCAGGCTCACTCGCAATGCCCAGTGCTCAAAGCTTTTTCCACGGCCCGCAGGTGTTCCAACTTTGATCATTCGATGCTGTTTAGATGCCGACATCCGTGATCTCCATTACCTCGTGGGAATTTCTCCATAGATGAGATCATGAAATGCTTCACCTGACCAGTTCAAGATCCACAGGACCACAGCAGAAGGTAAATATGTACTTTCGTGGGTTCGTTAGTGATATCATACAGATACGGATCCAATGTGGAAGCACCAGACCAGGCTGGCCATGCCATTTTCAGCCCACCGGTTAGAGGTCTGTGGCTAGTAAAGCAGAGCTCCCCTGCCGCCAAAGCAGCCATGAGGCACGCCTAACTGATCATGGCACCCCTGCAAGCCTTTGACAATTGCCCGTTGTTTACGGAGTAAAGGCCCCCTCCTCAGAGCGACAGCGGAAGTAGCCCAGAGCCCAAAGCCCAAGCCCAAACCCTCCGTAACCCTCCACCCTCCACCCTCACCCATCAACTTTACCGAGCTGCGGTGCGGCTGTGTCACCTTATTCAACTCCCCCTCCACTAAACGCCAGTCCTCCTGTTTCCACATCTACTGCACTGCCGGCTTTTGACTTTCAACACAGATTTCCCATCGACACTTTGGCAGTATCCGCACAGGGTGACTGCAACAGGAAAGATAAACATTAAACATTCACGGAAGCGTCATATGTTTTTACGCGCCCGTCGCAGGAAACTAGCACCGAATCTCCGACCGTGACCTGCTGTGGACTGAGGCTGCCCTGGTCGTGCCTCCCAGTTCGCCCTACGCTACGCTATCCATAGCTGCCCTCCCACTAAGAACATCACTACGACCTCCACCACCACCACCACCACCACCACCACCACGACGTCCTTCAACCACACTCAACATCTGTTCCGAGTCTTCATTCACCTTACACCTCGTACTTCTCACCCTTGGATATCAGAATCTGCCCCACGATCTGCCGCCAATCGCGCTAATTCCTTTAGGACCAATCCACCTGGACATTCCTCTGGTTCGCGATCATCCACCTCACTCAGGACCCTATCACCCGTGCGACTCGACCGGGCAGGCTATCATTCATTCGCTCGTACTACAGAAATTCCCTCTTTCTTCTCGATGACTGCCTCCTGGTTTCTAGCGTCATAGTCACACGGGAACGTCTATTCATATCCTCCAGACTCTCGAGGCATGTCTGCAGAAACCGCGAACTCACTATAGTTTCCACTAGGCGGACGTTGCTGCGGCTCATCACTTTCCTCTCTTGCATATCTCGCTCTCCGTCACAATCTCTGACGTCTGTTTCATCGCACAAGGGCATCCAACCTCGTCGCAAAAGCCCCTATCTCTTGCCTCTGCGCATGCTACCCTGATACACTTCACAGCCTCCCAACAGGCGCCACATCCCCGGCCATGCTATAGCGCCCTACTCGCTCCTCTCGTATACCCTCTATCCACATTCGGGAGACAAGCATAGGTGAAGCGCGGTCTTATCATTGCTGTCTCGCCTACATTCAGAGTTCGGACAAGATGTCGTCCTCTTTCTCAAACTCTCAGCCTGTCCAGTCTCTTGGACAGTCATCTCCTCCTTTGGCCTCACACAACCCTTTCCGAGTGCGACAGGGCCAGACCCAAGCGTTGAATAGCGGACAACAACCATATCAGAAGAAGCATACACAGAATGGAAGTATAACTTCCAATCCATCACAACCCGTCCAGTCCTCTCAGTATTTGGAGGGCGACAGCGGGTACTTTTTCACCGACCAACACTTTGACTTCTCCGTCACTGGAAGCCCCGGTACAATTGGCCAATCTACTAATCTCTATAACTTCGAGGAGGACAGTTCACACCACGAGTCATCTCTGGATGATTTCCTGACAACAGAGACTTCCTCGGAGAATCCCCTGAGTGAGCATACCACCCCTCAAGAACTCATATGGGAGCAGCAATTTGTTACTCAGGATACTTCTCAACCTTACATTGTGGATCCTTACGGTGTTCATCAGTATTCAGCCCAGCAAGGAATAGCTGGTGCCGATAACCAAGCCGTATTCAACACCGCTGGAGGAACGTTCTCCAAGTTTGGTCCCAACGAACATCTTCTTGAGCCAGATTTTATTGATCCTGCAGGAACACAGCAACTGGCAGACGCTCCCACCGAGCAGAGTTCGTCGATGGCATCTTCTCTAATATCGCCGCTCGCCCACAGGAAGGGAAGCTCGCAAACGCTGAAAGTCAACACCCAGGGCGATCCATTTCCGACATTCCCCCAAACGACTGGTTCTTGGCCACCACCAATTTCGAACAATCCAGTGCCGAGCCCCTCTGTTGTAGTATCTAGTTATGAGCGCGAGGCTCACTCGGGCATCCAACAAGCTCCAGGAAAACGTAGCCGTGCGAGCGATAGCTCGGAAGATGAAGACGACGAGGAGAACCTAGAAAACTCGGATTCTGGATCCGGGGTAGCTAACACTTATTCATCCCATCTGATGCCTCCAGACGCCAATGATGTTGGCACCATACGTTCTGCTCCATCTCCACGTGTTGGCCAAGAACCGTCTCGAAGAAATGAGGACACAGTTCCGTCGCTCAAAGATATCGAGCACAATCAAGACCGACATGAAAGAGATGCCAACGTTGAGACCTGGTTAGCAACGAGTGATGCTGGGAGTGAACCGGACGATCAAGCCTTGCCACGCCCGACTCGTCAGCGTTCTACATCAGCCCGGCGCCGTACCCAGACTGTTGGAGCACAGACAGATGTACTTGGCCGTGTCTACTCGGACAAAGGGATACCTGGTCCAGGAGCCCTTATCGATGTGGAGACGGACGACGAATATTTCGAAGATGTTGCGTCTGTTGCATCATCAATACGTCAAAACATCACCGAAGAAGCTGTCGTTGCTTATCATCGAATGTCGCCCAAGCTATCCCCACACACACTCGCTCCTGTTCAATCTCCAGAGCAAAGCTCTTTCCCTCCTCTTGATAGCGAAGTTCCTCTAGAATCAGAGGAGCCCCATCCCCGACAGTTTTTCAGGAGAGCTGCTCCCGGTTCTGGAACGAATGAGAGCAGAGAGCAGGCAGATTCGTCAAACGCGGCCGCATACAAGTACAATCAAGAAGCCGCAAAGTGGGAGACAGCGTCAAGAGCGGCGACTTGGGGTACACGCCGTCGACTTAGCGAAAGTGAAGTCAACTCCATTGTTGACGGCAGTCAGGTCCGGCATTTATCATTGTCCAAACGCGGTCGCGAGCGGGGTAGCAGTATACTGAATAAGGCTCGAGGACTCTTGCCTCGTCGAAGCAGCAGTAATATCAAAGTGGAGCAAATTGATATGGTCAAGGCCCCGGCCGAGCCTGGTCATGCCCACCGAAGCTCCGTGGGTACCCTGAAAACAAGTCAACGAAAATCAAGTTTTACGAAAGCTCGATCGCCACCGCTAGATACTGGCAGTGCTCTCATGGCGATGACTGGCCAGCTTACAGCGATTGGACGGAGTAGCACAAAACCGCAAGAGCCCGATCCGCCCAAGACCTCTCGCGGCTTAGGATCGTTGCGAAAGCAGAGAACCAAAAGTGATGTAACGAAAAAGTCTGCCAAACCAGGATTGGCGGAACTGATGACTAGGCACGGAGGTCCACCGATCCCTACCCTTGCCTCTCCGATGCATGAGCGAGAAACGATTTTGGCCGCTCAGGTCATCGACAACGAAGACGTTGTAGGTGATGATGACGAGGACGACGAAGTCGGAATACACATGGAGTTGGAAATTCGAGCCGATGAGATTACTCCCAACTTGGAGGGATTCAAAGATCATTCCCGCAAACTCAACCCTAGACTTGAACCATATCTGATTGAGCGGATTGGTCAGGAACAGGTGCGTAGGTACAAGAGATTGGTCGAGCAGAAAATCAAGCATATGCACTCTGTCCAGAAGGATCAAAAGTGTGGTTCTGGGACCTTTTGTTTCGATCTTGGAGGTGAGGCGAAGCTTTTGGCGCCCCGCGTAAGTTCTAGAGATCCTGAGGCGACCTTGACCCAGTTCCAAGTTACCAACACGGGCGAAAATGAAATCGACGAGTCTGGATTCACAGAGGGAGTTGTGACACCAGCGCTATTTCCGCCCGGGATCCCTTTACCACCTGCTAAGCGACTTCCTGCAGAGTTTGAATGCCAGCTGTGCTTCAAGGTGAAGAAGTTCTCCAAGCCCAGCGATTGGACAAAACACGTACACGAGGACATTCAACCATTTTCATGCACGTTCCCGAATTGCACCGAGTCCAAGTCTTTCAAGAGAAAAGCAGACTGGGTTCGACATGAGAATGAACGACATCGTCATCTTGAATGGTGGAAATGTAGCCATCAAGAATGCTCCCACATTTGCTATCGGAAAGACAACTTTGTTCAACATCTTGTTCGTGAGCACAAAATGACGGAGCCAAAGGTGAAAGGTCGAGGATCTGGCAGCAGCAAGAACAAGCCAATCAATGGTGCATCTTGGCCAGCTGGACAGGAAGATAGTGAACTCTGGCAAATGGTGGACGATTGTCATTTCGAGACGACCAACAAGGCTCGGGACGAACATTGTCGCTTCTGTGGAAACGTGTGCTCGAGTTACAAGAAGTTGTCGGTCCACATGGGCAAGCATATGGAACAGATCGCAATGCCCGTACTCGAGCTGGTGAGGATGCGCATAGTCGGTCCAGACACCATCATCAGTCCTATCGAGCAAGCTCAGCCAATTTCGTCGTTTGTTTCTATTCCTGGGAATATGAACGGAGTGGACTCGAACAATTTGTCGCCCTATCCGACAAGCGCTGTCTCGGCGTATCAAACGTCCTCTGCAGGACAGTCGCCAGCATCCATGCAAGGCCGAATTCAGCACGGGAATTTTACGTTTGACCAGGGATACTACAGCCCACATTCTATGGGCCCTGGCGTACAGGCGCAAATGGTCACAGATCCCTACAGTTCCAGTCCGTCATACCCTAATCACAATCGTATGTATATGGACGGATCTGAATTCCTACCCACTCAGAACACCGTGAGGAAATCGCACAGCCATTCTCCACAGAACCAACTTGTGACGCCTCGGTCCCAGCACATGGGACCCGGATTCACGAACACTTACTTTGATCCAACGGGAGCGGCGTACAGCCAAACTCCATTACAGCCGGTTTACACAGATTCGAGTTCTTCCGGAGGTTACATTTCCCAGTACGCCCCATCAGGTCTACCAAATCATCCCGTACATTCCCCACTGGGGATGAACGGGCACTCGGGACTCGGTTTGCAAACGATGAACCAACAGCAACAGCAGCAGTACATGTATGGGGGTCAAGGGAATGGCAATGGCCCGCCCATGCAGTATTCTTAAAGTTCCCGCCGAGGTCTTTGGCTTACCGAGAGGTTTCTAAGTGAGGCAAATGGGAGGGCGGGTCTCGCCGAGTGAAGGCGGGATGATGGGGGGGTGTGGGCCGGTGGACGTGATGAAGCGAAACTGAGGAATTATTTTGGGTATGGGTTACGAGTATGTCTTATGTCTTGCTATAGATACCCACGGAGACTTGTTTCGGATATTGATGACTTATGTTCATATGAAATATGCTATGAAATCTAGATTGGCATTTTGGGTCTATGTGAGACTCTCGAGAGATAAATCGACCTCGTTATCCATATAAACCTCGGAAGTAGAGACGATGAAGGTATGAGTTGGGTCAACTTGAAGGTACTAGTAGCGAATAAAGTACCCGGCATTAGGATGAAGCTTGTATGTCACAATAGGTTACCTCACTGAGAGGTATGCTTGTTGAAAGCCACCCCCTTGCAGATGACGAGAATTAACCAAGGAAGCCGGTGTGATCATGTGAGTCCAAGGAATACGAAAAACACACCGAAGATTGATGGTCGCTGAGTTCATCCGATGCCAGGAGAGTCCGGGAGGCACCTACCTCAGGTAGTGTACCTCACCTGTACGGTAATATTACGCAGGCAACTGTGCATACGGCCTAGGCTCAAAAGTGACAAGCGCAAGGCGAACCAGGTCCTCCAAACGCTTGGACTTGGCGCTCGACCTGCAGCCAGACTTACTTTTGCACCACGTTTTTTGGGCCTCAGACCATCGAGAATGACGAGCCTGAGCCCGCCAGGCAAACCTGCGTACCTAAAGTTACCAGAGGTGTAAAGTCCAATACCAGTCGGATGACGCCCAAAAGTGCCCTGTTTTCAAGGTTCTGCCGCCCAACTCAAGGTTGTTTCTCCCGCCTCAGGCTCAGGCTCATGCTGTTGTCTGCCTGCTCACCGGTTCCTCCTCCAGTCGACTACATCCATGCAACTTGGGCTCTTGTAGCAGTTGTGTCTTGGATGACTTCCATGGCTAGTGCTTCTCTCCGTTAATCCTCAACCGTACAAGTTCGAAGTCGGGCTAGTAGTAGGAAGAATTGCGGCTCTCCAGTTGACAATACACTGCTGTGAGTCGTGACTTCTTGCACCGCCCCGCCCATTCTGAATTCCACTTCCCTCGAGGTCCTCTCAACCTCAACCCACATAACAAGACCGCTTCAACTTCCTTTTCTCTTTCACCATTTTCTTCCATTCCCCAGCACCTCGCCTTGTCTGAGTCGCCTTGCTCTTTCGGCTTCGCCTCATTCTGACAAGTGGGCAACTCTAAGCAGAATCATCTTGGTCTACCAAGCGCGATTCGCCAGCCCTGTCAATCCATCCTTCGCAACATTCACCAAGGCATAACCCCGTCTGATAGACCAGAGGCTGTGTACACACCAAGAGACACAGCACGATCTCGCTACTACCGCCTTTCCGCTTGCTTACTCGGTGGCATCCTACCACCGCTCCATTACCGACTCTCCTCCTCGACCTCTCCCTGTGGGATCAACCTCTCCTATGATGTAAGATAGACCTTCCCAAATGTGTCACGCCTCACTTCCCACCTTCCTGAATTTCCATTCTCTGTTGCTGATCTTTTCATAGTCCTCATTGATAAAGCCCCCGTTGCTCCTCTTTGAGATGGAGCATAATTCAGCTCCAATGCGTCGACATGGCTCCGGCCAGAGGCAAGTCGTAAGGTCAAATGTAGTCTCGCACTGCCACCCGTTTGTATATACGGGCAAAGTATCTGACAAACTCCACTAGACCAACATCAGTGTGTCCCATGCCGGCGGCGCTGCTGCGGCATACCCAGCCTTCACTTCAGTACCAGACTTGAATGAGATCCAGTCTCCATTAGCCGGCATGAAACCTCTTCTGGACCAAACTTCTAATTCCCCATTTTCTACTTCTGGAACGGTCTTCTATGCCAACCCTCCTTCGTATGAGCCTACTATTGCTGGTGATCCATCCTACCAGGACCACCTGAGGGACTGCTTCCCGAGTCCTTCATCAAACACAAACTGCTATCTGGATAATTCACAACTCAATATCTTGGGTGACACCAGTCACCAGGATCTGCACATAGGCGTGAACACGGACCCTCCCACTGCTGATCCTTGGTCTCATCTGGTGGCGACACAGGGAGGAAATCCTCCATTTCCACAAAGTCTCTCGCCCACTGGGGTAGTGGTCCCACCCCAGCAAAGCATCCGGAAAAGGCCTCGGGACAGGTCGCCAGGTAGTGGAAGAGGTTCATTTAGAGATTCGGCATATTCTACCTTGCCGCAAGAAGCTCGACATGAGCAAGAGGCCATGCTAGGTCTGTCGTCAAATTTCAACAACATCAACATGGATCAGGACAATATGAGTCTCCAGAGTCTCCAACATGGCCAACACCCTTTACCTGAATTTCATCCACCAAGCCAACAAGGAGATTTTCCTACTTATCCGATGCAAATGAACCCGCAGCCATATATCGACCAGTCGTCTACAGTATCCCGCCAGACCAGTAAACCACAAAGACGTGGTCGGGGGACAAGTCCCACAACATCCTTGTTGTGCGAGGAGTGTAACTACACAGCCAAGAGCAGGTCTGACTTGAAGTAAGCCTTGTTCCTCTTTCTACGTGCTCTACGCTGATGAAAATAGCAAACACAACGCTCGGCACGACAAGAAGTACAAGTGCGAGACTGGCGACTGTGCGCGACAGGATAAAGCATTTCCTACTTTGAATGATTTGGATCGTCATCTAAAGTCCGTGCATGGCATAAACATTCGTCGTACCAAGGACTACAGGTGTTTTGCGAAAGATTGCACGAAGCCAGACAAGACATGGCCACGTCTCGACAATTTCAAGCAACACCTTAAAAGTATGCACAAAAGCGAGGACCTGGGCGAACTTTTGAAGAAGTAAGTTTCGGAGCCGGGATCTTTGAACGATGACTGATTTTGCCAGGTCCGAACAGTGGTATGATGAGTTGATAGCGACAACACAGTCGCAGTACAATGATGAGACGAGTTCCAATTATCAGCAAAGTCAAGTATCTGTCGGCGACATCAATGAAGTGGACAACAACAATCTCATGCACTTCCAACCAACGCTGTCGAATCAGTATCCGGAACAAGTCGATCCTAATATGCAGCAAATGATGAGCCCTCAGCTTGACATGATGGCACCTTCACCGATAGACCCAAGGCTGCAAACCCCGCATGCCAGACTACAGGACACTCATCACCTTAACCATAGATTCAACATTCCACAAAGTCGGTTTCAAGGAAGTCATAACCGACGAGCTTCCAGCCCAGAACCTTCATCCGTCAGAGTCCAGCAACGTCCTGTTCCTTTCCGAATCAATACAACAAACATGAACTCGCAAATCACGATGATGCAACGCACCGTATCCCAGACTAGTCATCCTCAGACTCAAAGCGCATTTCCCGCTGCTAGTGCCCAAAACCAATTTACTGACTTTCCACAACTGTCAGATTACCCCTGGGACGTCCGCATGGGCGTCTTACAGACGAGAGGGAATCAATACCTGGAGTTGCCGACGAGAGAACAAAAACGTCCCCACACGACACCTGATCCGATCCTTGAGCCAAATCGAATAGCGACTGATTTCTCATCCCCTCTTGAGATACAAAGTGCTCTTGATCAAGGGACCAACAACGACGAGTTATTAGGCAACATGGGTTGGAGTGCCGATGCTGGAGGATTACAAGCAACCCCTCAACACCCAGCTCTCGTTGTACACCCCCCTTCTGATGAGCCCAACTCACGAAGAAGCACACTTCACGTTGTGGTTGAGGAAGAAATTCACCACTTCCTCCAGCAGTATAAAGATCAGGAGAGCTCTCTTTTGCAAGAAGATATCAGGAAGCTCATCAGACTTTCGCTGCGAAATTCCTTCGACACCATCACCAATGCCGATAGCTCTGTACGGAGTATGATCGGTCTGGCTAACGATAATGAGCAACCTCCAACTCCAGAAGGAAAGAAGTCACCTGCTGACAAGGAAGAATCTTTTCCTTGCCCACACGCAGGTTGTTCAAGTGTTTCCAAAAGGGCAAGTGGACTGAAGAAGCATTTACAACGCCACAAAAAGCCATATGGTTGCACTTTTGATGGCTGCAACAAGGTCTTTGGAAGTAAGAACGACTGGAAAAGGCATGAACAAGGTCAACATGAACAAAAGGAATGTTGGCGTTGCCACAAGTGTGAGAAGGCCTTCTTTCACGGGCAAAACACCTTCATCGATCATTTAATGCAGGAACACGGAGTCAAACATACAGGCGAGGCGATGAAGCAAGCAAAACTCCGGAGTATTCCACGCAATAATCAACGTCAATTTTGGTGCGGATTCTGCAATCGGATCGTTTCTCATGATCTGACCGGCGTTGAGGCCTTCAACAGCAGGGCTGACCACATTGCCCTCCATTTCAAGGAAGGAAATTCCAGTGGTGATTGGATTGAACTTCGTGGATGTGGAAAGACGAAAGCTGCCATGAGAGACGAGTCTCGGGTACAAAGTCCTGCCAGCGCTGAGGATGAAGAAGAGGAAGACAACCCTGGGCGACAGAACGCGCAGATGATGCCGGAGAATCACTTGGTCAACTCTTTTGCACCAGGGAATTCCATGCCTAGCGGATCTCCTACTGGACACCAAAGCCTATCGCAGTACTCTTCTTCAACCACTGAAATGAATCTTGGTAACATCAATACCAATATGAGCCTCGGTCCATCTGGCATCAACACTCAATGGGTTCAGCAACTTGGCACCGGACATGAAACTATGTCGACTCAAATGCAGCCTAGCCGTCTTTCTGCCCCTGCCCAATACATCGTTTGCTGCCATTGCAACAACTCATACACCATTGCACTGAAACAAATATGTATTGATTGCAATCACCCTGCCAAAGGCTGCAGCCGTTGCAAACCAATGCTCTTCGATCCAAATTCTGACGACATGCCTATGATGATGATGTGATGAAGTTCAGTTTCGTGCTAGGGGAGTCCATCACATCATCCCTAGCACGAAACTGAACTTCATCACATCATCATCATAGGCATGTCGTTAGCATTTGGACCGAAGGTTGGGAACTTCTACTTTTCGTCTTATGAACGCTCTTATGCGAGTGCGATGTCGTTCTCTCGATGAAGCCTCGGTGAACACATTTTTGTTTTCTTTCTATCTCATTACAAGCAACAGAGATAGCCTATGGAAGTGTTGATCTTCCTGAAGTCTTTCCACTTTCCCCACTCAAATACGCCATCGCCATGCAGCAGACAACAGGATGGGTTGGCCGGCGGACCATGAGGATGGCCTAGTACTCTCCAGGCATGGACACCCTTCATATGGTGTTCATATTGATTCTCTTTTTTTCGGTTCTATGGTTTTTTGGAGTCGTCGCTTGGACCATGGGTTATGAATTTTATTTTATGTCATGTCATGTGGGATGGCCATTTGGTTTCTCAAGGGTCGGCAAGAGTTTGGGTAGGATCGCCAACTCATCATCGGCTAGGGATTGTTTTCCCCTTCTTGTTCTTCTTGTTTCGGTTTTTGGTTGTCCCAGCGATGTATGTTTACGAGTGTCTCACGACAGAAATTATCGATACCCCCTCTTCCTGTGTACTTTACGCTGCACACACATTATCAAGATTAGTTTAATTTTAGAAAATTTTCCCTCTTCATTTTAGAACCGATTGATTGATTCCCCACGATATCGAGAGGTGTTAAGTGACCTACGGTTTAAGACTTATGAAAGATGCAGGTTAGGTATTTCAAAATATCCGAGTCAGTTGGCATGGCATTCCAAGCTGGGAATCTCCCTGGTCCAGCAAGATAGTTAAAAGTCTCATGAGGTTTTTGCTACATTGGGAAGTGACCTCGTTTTGAAATGGCAATTCGCGACCCGGCAAAATTACGCTGGGTGTAAAAGTCTCACGAGATTTTTACCACTTTGGGAAAGTCAAACTGTCCTAATAAGGAGGTTAACCTCAATTTGCAGACCCAGCAAATGCTATCGATCGATCATGTCAGTTGGGCCTGGGCAATATCTATCTAAACACGATCTACTCGTGACGCTGCCAAAGTCGAGCCAGAGGGGGTTTGGGGTCTTTCTGGTCTTTCTGGTCTTTCTGGTTCAGAGATTCCAAACGATCCAGCATATCCGTGGTCATTTCGCTGATGGGATGTTTGGCTATCTAGGTATTTCGACGGCGTGATAGTCTCACGCTCCCCTGGAAAGTCTCTCGAATCCCACTTTTCGATCAAGTACTTTGTGACAGATGTGGCTGAGCCATCGAAACTCGAAGTTGGGAATTTTTTGGGGACAGGTTTATTCATTCATTGTTCATGCCCATAAGGGGAGTGCGGAAGAGCAAGTCAATTCTCTTTTCTCGTCACAACGACGCCAGAAAATGACATCACTTGAACACGACCCTGACGCCCTTGGAATCAGCATGACCATGCGGAATGAAGAAGTCGTGCGCAATCTCTGCATCTCTGGCCGTTGTCTCGAACAGCTCGAGGTCGAATCTTCGAAAAACCGTCGCCAATGTCAGGTAGATCTCTGCCGTGGCCAGGTTGATCCCCATGCATTGACGTGTGCCCCTGCTGAAGGGGACAAGGTATTTCTCGCTCTTCTCGGAACCGGAGACCAGCCAGCGGTCTGGGTTGAATTTCATGGGGTCGGGAAACTTGACGGGGTCGCGGTGCTGGATCAGAGAGGTCATGGACACGGGTGTTCCGGCGGGGATGACCCAGTTCTGGTAGGGGATGGGGTCGTTGGGCGAAATCCGTTCGAGACGCCCTACTACTCCGTGCGAGAAACGGTGGCCTTCCTGAACCACGGCGTGGAGGTACGGAAGTGCTTCCAGCTGTGCCAGGGGTGGAACGGAGTTGGGATTGGGGATGGCTTTCTTCAGCTCCGCCTTGAGAGTGGAATAGATCTCTGGATTCGCGATGATATGGTAGGTCGTGGTTTTGAGGAAGAACGATGATGTCTCTTGGCCTGCTGCGATCATGGTCTGACCCTCGTCGACAAGACGGGGAATGGATTTCTCTTTGGCAGGGAGATCTCCATTCAGGAGCTCGTGAAAGATCGTTCGATGTGAAGATTTCTCTTTCCCTTGATTTGCTGCTGCTTCGTTGTTGTTGTTCTTCAAGGCACTGATTTGTCGTGCCAAGTCCTGTCACATATGGGTCAGTATGGAAGGTTGGATCTTATCTCCATTCAGGAGAGGTGTACCGTGACGCACCTTCTGAAAATTGATGATCTTCATTACCGGTGGATTCACCTTTTCGACAATCCATACAGGGGTAGCTTGCATCGCAGGAAATAGCCATTTAAATTGTTTGTTCAAATGCACGCTGGCTGTACTTTCGACCATTGCTTGTGGCCATGTCCAGTTCCATTCAGGGTCTTCTAAACAGCCATAAGAAGTGTTGAAGGAATACATGGTAATTATATCCGTCGTCAATGCAGCAAAAGCATGGAGTGTATCAACAGGCTCCCCGGTTTCGCGGAATTTCTCAAATCGTGCGCAAAGTTTTTCGAGGAGGTCACGTATCAATGGCTCCATTCGAGTTATGGCTTGCTTGGAGAAGAAAGGGTTCAATGCCCCTCGTCGAAGCCGATGTTGGTCGTGAGAAATGGTTCCAAACATGGAAGAACTGTTCCCAAACATTTCTACCGCCCACCACCACTTGTCGCGTTTCTGTCCTGGACCACTGTAGAGTACATCGTAAAAGTCTGGGTCGCGGACATGAAGTTCATATGGATTGATCCTGATTATTGGCCCTGAGAATTTAGAGCCTATCGGCGGGTAGGCTCCAGGGGATTTCCCTTACCGTATTGATCGTGAAGTTCATTGATTTTGAAGCAATATTGACCGCCGCGTACCACATCGTGATAGAACTCGTACCATAAGGTGAGTGCGGCCAATCTAGGACCAGGAAACTTTGCGATCGGACTCAGGTACAAGCGGTATATAGCTAGTGCAACCCAATACAAGAGCAACGCACCTGCTCCGTAAGCAAGCAAATTCAGGGTTGACGGCGCCATGGTCTCTTGGGCCCCTTTGTTGCGTTGGGAAGAATTCAGAGAAGAGAGCAACTTGAGGATGAACCGCTATCTGCCAGCCGGTAGAAAAGTCAAAAGTCAACTGGGCAGATTGTCAAGCACAACGAACGATGCTAAGGATAATTGCATCCTGGCATTGACCTGCACAACACTGCAGGAGTGTGGTGGACACCTGTTAGTCGGTCGCACGGGCATTTTTCATGAACCATTCAGATACGCCCGGTTGTAAATAGAGGTGTTTTAGGATAGAGGATTCCACCTCAACTTGCAGTGATGGAGAAGAATCAAAGTTGCATGATGCAGGCCGTGGACAAATACGAATCAGGCGGCTCAGCGGGTCGAGGGCCGGGAAGCACCCACTGTTCCAGTTAAGTCTCCAACAGGAACAGCGCCTCAACCACTGAGGTGGATGCCCATTAAAGAGTGTAATCATGCCGACCATAGAGATGTCCTGTATCACAATGTAAGAGGTAACACCGGCCTAGATAGTACTCTAGGGATATACGGATCCGACTGGTTGGAGCTCAATAGGCGTTCGGATACATTCTTCATGGGCTCCAGCGATGGGTATTCTGCTAACTGTGGGACTCCCCCTTTCGTCCCAACGAGTATGTTTGCTCAATTGCAAGGGTCAATGAGATTGGACTAAGAGAAGAAGAACAAGACATGTTCTGGCCGTTGACTTAGATCTCGGCTTTTGATATCTAATTGAACCTACCAAGGTGTGCAGTCAACTGCAATGCTCAATATCCCACGCACAGTTATCTTCCTATTCTGTAAAGGCATCATCCTCCGAAATAAATCCAGGCCCTTGCTAGAATGCGTCAGTGAACTGAACTGACAGGTCGGCAATCTGCAACCAACACGAACTACCTAAATAGTCACCAATCAATGCCTGCGGGTCTCATCAGGCCGAATGGCCCTGCTCTGACCGCCACCGATCCAATTCAATGCACCGAAATGACTTAACCTCATCTCATCTAACTACTCCTGCTGTTACAGTGGTCAGAGAGAGCAAAGTAGTATGGTCAATTGGTGCTGAACTGCCAGACGAAGGCATTCATAGCGGCGAACCATGACAACCTTCCCCTTCAAGTCCAGGGCAGCGGTCAACAGCTCAATGTCAAAACTGTCGGTGCAAAACTGGTGCGTTGTTACTCGGAAACTTAAAACAGGGTGCTGCTGCGGATTAGAGCGGCCCTTATGATGACAGCTGATCCACGCGGAAACAGTTTCCTGCTTGCCGGCTTGGAACCTTGATGTTCAAATTTTAGCCGATGCCCTCGTGGTCATCTCAGATGTACCTTCCTAAGTACCTGGGGTTGCCACGTGTGCTTAGATGTGAAGAGGCGTACCGATTATCTTTTCCAGAAGTAGCAGCAAGTCTGGGGAGTTCCTATCCACACGCGAGGCAGGCGCATCGCTGTACCATTCATGGTTTGTGTCTGATCCTCTGCTTTGTTTCAGATCTTTCGACAAGCCAATATCGCCAAACAGGCTTGCGAACCCCGGGCAAGACAAGACATCTTCTGACTCGGTCCATCTCCACGATAGTATTGATGTGTTTGCTGTCTGGGCAGCACATACTGAATGGGTATCAAAGTCGGTTTCCTCCCGTATACCTCGAGACTGACATAGTCAGACATTGAAGTTGATTACGACAATGATGCAGATTCCACACTTGGAGATGATGACATGTAAGATGTTATGAACCACTTTCGGGCGTTGTTGAATGAAGCCACTGATCTTGTTCCCACCTTCAGCGCCGATGATACCGCGTCTTTGACAACAAGCATCTTCAATTACCGCTGGGAGAACGGCCGTCGTTACCATGCATTTCGTGATGGCGAGTACTGGTAAGCTCATTTCATCGACTTCATCGATATGGGCCATGAATAACGCTATATAGGTGCCCTAACGACGAAAGTGCAGCGGAACAACTCGACCTTGGCCACCACATCTATTTGATGCTGCTCGACAACAGACTATTCCTTGCTCCAATCACGACTGAACCGCAGAAGGTCTTGGATATTGGTACAGGCACAGGTATATGGGCAATTGATTTTGCCGATGCTTGCCCAAATGCTATCGTGATCGGCACCGACCTAAGTCCGACTCAGCCAACTTCTGTACCCCCAAACGTGCGGTTTGAAATCGACGATGCTGCCTCTGAGTGGACATTTCCCAAGGAATCTTTCGACTTCATCCATGTTCGAGGTCTCTTTGGGTGCCTCCGCAATTGGCCTGCTTTCTACCAACAAGTGCTTGCACACCTCAAACCAGGTGGTTACTACGAACAACTTGAATGCTCTGTGGAATGTCACGCCGATGATGATACAACCCCTCCTGGTTCTCCACTAAGGCGTTGGGGCGAGCTTTTCCATGAGGCTGGCCGCAGAATGGGCAAGCCCGTTGACGTGATTGATCGTCAATATCAGTGGCTGAAGGATGCCGGCTTTGAGGACGTACAAGAACATCGGTTTAAGATGCCGGACGGACCATGGCCAGCCGCCAAAACTGAGATTGGGAAAAAGCTGAAACAGATAGGCAAGTGGAGATTGTTGGAGGTGGAAGCGGGAATGGAAGGCTGGTCCATGGCGCTGTTCACCCGAGTACTTGGTATGTCATATGAGGAAGTGCAATTGTTCTTGGTGGAAATGAGAAACGCTTGGAGGGATAATCGCGTGCATGGTTACACTCGGGTCGGAGTTGTCTATGGCCGGAAACCGATGCGGTGAACAATTTTATGATATCGTTTGGTGCATAAAATTTAGTCGCTTTTGTATGTATATGATTGTCTGGAGGAGTGCCACACGGTGGAAAATGACAGCACTCTTTGTAGATTGCCTTATGGAACGAATAACGAAGCTTCGTCGAACATGAGGTGTGGCAGATGCCTGCGTGAACACTATTCCCCCAAGTACTATGACAAGATCAATAAACACGTCTTTACTGCTCCTAGTCATAGCATCAACCCAGGGGTGTCCGTGAACTGAACTCATCGTCTTGCGCGCAGCCTTCAAACACACATGTAGAGCACGATCACAGACCCATCCACGCAGTCTTGACCACGCACTCGACACCAGGCTTGCGCTTGCTCGAGCGCACGAGACCCAAGTGCCTGAGGTCAGCCAGAGCGCCATAGAAGAGCGCGAGAGCACGGCGATCCTCATTGATCTTGTCCTCGTCGTCGCCGTCGCCGTCGTCCGCCGCGTCCTCTACAACTCCCTCCGCAGCTCCAGAACCCGCGACGATCTCGCGGAATGCATCCCACAAGTCTCGCACATTGACGATATTGCCCGCCTCATTGAGCAGCGTCAGCAGCAGACTCGTCGCGGGCAGCGCGCTGCGGTCGGAGATCTCCCCATGCTTGTCCGCCGCGCAGCACTCGCAGCCTAGGTAGTCGGCCGGCCGGATCAGAGCGCGCTCCAGTGCGTACCGTGGTCGTGCGTGCAGCACCGCCGTCAGTGGGGAGCGTGTGTGTAGCACTGTGGCTTCGTGGAGGTAGCTCTGGAATGGACTGGTGGCGGGTGTGGCGTTTTGCGTGGTAGATGATCGCTCGTTATCTTTCTCGAGGTATTGCTGGAGTTTGACCTCGAGGTGTGTAGATAGGAGCTTCATGAATCGCTGCTGGGGAGAGTCTGTAGCAGATTGTGAAGTCTTGAGATTGCGGATCTCGCCCAGGAACTTCTCCAATTCCGTATTGTTATCGCTGGGAGATTCGCTTGGAAGGTTTGCGGTTGTCACTGATTCAGCGAGGGCTTCTGTGAAGTCATGGAATTGGTCAGGTCCTAGGTCGATCACGGCTGTTTCGATATCTAGATACACGTCTGACTCCAGCAATCTGGGCAATGAAGTAATTAACTGGACCTCCAGATCAAGCGGTGCCACCGGAGCGACTTCTAGTGTATAGTATATTGTGTGTAACATTTGGACAGCTGCGAGTGAATTTCTCAATCTTGTCCGGCTCGTTTGCAGTACTTCCAAAGCGTCTCTGAAGAGTGCTTCGTCAGATGACATGACTTCGTGGGCCCGTTGGCGGCTGGCTTTCTCGCCCTTGGCGAGTTGTTCGCAGCGTTCTTTGAATCCTGGGGTGCAACGAACAGCCTGACAGAGCTTCTTGTCGTTGGAAGGATCTGAGGTGGTTTTCGAGTCGAGCGTAGATAGCGGGTTCGCAAAGAAGTGGGTCATGAAGGCGTACTTTATTGCTCGCGTAAAGGTTGCGGTGGTTGTGCTTTGGTCCTCTGCGAGCTCCGCTAGAACTTTGAGTACTGTAGGCCCCAGGAAGATGTCGGTGTCGTTATTGTGCTGTACAGCACTATATATTTTGTAGAGGGGATCAGCTGTGTCATTCGCCGACTGGAAAACCTCTGCATCAAGCAATGAGGCGATAGACCTAGAGATCCGAGATTCGAAGAGCTCAACCGTAGTTGCTATATTGATAAGAAGTTGGAATGGAATTCTGCCGAGCCAGGAGCTGGTCATGGAGATGAACTCAGACAAGATCCCAGTGTCAAATGTTTCGACATCGGCTAATAAGAGGATAACTCTCGATATTTGATGTTGCTCGACATACCGCTGTAGTATCTCCAGGTCGAAATTCATTGGAATGAGTGCTTTGTGTTTGGCGAGAAAAGTGGTGTACTCCTGCGACCCTTTATGTTGTGAAATCGCCATCCGTATAAGAGTTTTGAGAGTAACTTGAAGATTTGGACACTGGCTTGGATGCAGCTCGACGAATATCTCCTGAACGTCTTCCAATGTTCTTGTCTGCCATCCCTGTAGTAGGTCCCGTTGTGTGTTCTTCGTTGGCCCAGATACAATCAACCCAGTTCTGAGCTTGGCCTGGGATTGTTTCCCGTCTGGCGACCGAACAAATTTCAGCACGCTGTTCACCAGGCTTTCGTCCACCTGATTGACGACATGTTCAATTTCATTCTGACGGAGTGCCCAAAATTCCTGGAATTTTTTCTGCCGATTTGCAATGGACTGTTGAGATTCTTTGCCTGCAAAGAGACTTGGCCATGTTATCCCACCCTCCTCAGAATGTTCCGATGCAGCTGCTTGACTAATCTTGCGCTTCTTTCGGGGCCGTTGCTCTTCATCTGTTTCGGTGACAGTCGCAGGTTTAAAAATGTAGCATCCCTAACAGTCGATTAGTACACAATTGTAACACAGGATACTTGTTTGAATTAATACAATGTGCGCATTATCCTCGACGCTGTCTTCTTCGTGCTCCATGTGGTCTCAAGCGCATATGAGTGTAAGTGGGTTGTACAGCCTTGCATTTGGTAGACTGCCGTAAGTTCTCCTACTGCACTCCATGGTTTTTTAACGCGTAAATTGTCAACCACTTAACGCGTCACCATCCATTCAAATACTGTACCGTAGAAATACCGCGGCAAGGCTGACGAGGCTGAAATATTTGTACCACCCGAACTTTTTTCTAGAGCGTGAAAGCCGTTTCACACCAAGCCATCATTCCCATCGCACCCTTTCCACTACCAACACAAGTCCGACTTCTTATCCTTTCAGGATCACCAAGATCCATGAGGGGTATATGTAATCTCTCTCGACGGTGGCACCAACAATTTTGTCTATCCTCCAACTTCGCTGCTCATCGGGGATGTCTCCAACACTTGCAGCCCGTTCGATCATATCGACAAGTTGCTCGTAGCAAAGTGCCTCGAAAGCCTACCCATCCCTCCCTTGGCAATGTCAAATTCCGCGAGTACGAACAATCTGGCGAAAATGAAGCCACCAGAGTACAAGTTCATGATGCGCTCGACTCCGAGGGTCAGCGAGTCCAGGCAGAACTGAAAGAACTGGAGGATGAATTGGCTATATTACGTGAGGGCCCTTTCGGTCCAAACAGCGAGTTCATGCAATCGTTTGACCCCAGGGAGCGAGAAGAAATATTGAAGGCCTTGGAAGAAGAGGGCGTTAATTTGGAGGCTGACGAAGAGTTGCTCACCCCTGAGGAATTGGATGACATCGCCAGGGCAGCGAGTAGCGACAAACTTGTTGAGGGAGCCAACGACAAATTGAAGGTCACATTAAGCATTCCTACCAAGGATAAAGTATACATCAAGAGGTTCAACCTGGCACTCGAAGAAGCCGAAGGAGTTGGCGCAAAAGATAGCGCTCGACCATACTTATCTCTTTGGAAATGGTATCTTCGGTGTCAACAGCAGGTCAACAACTTCTCTGTTATAATACCCGAGGAAGTGTGGCATTTCCTCTGGAAGACGCAAAGCAGCCAGCATAATTTTCGATACCAGCATTTGCAGATGCTTGCCAGAGATATGATGAAAGCGGATGTCTCGTTAACGAATGAGGAATGGATACAGCATATGCATGCGCTTCAAGCAGGTGGGAACATTGCTTCCGCAGCCGAGATATGGGAGTCTCAAAAAAGTCGAATGGGCATCAAAGGTAAAGGTGCATTGGAATTCTGGATGACTGGCATCAAGATCTACGTCGCATTAGGAAGGCCTCAAAAAGCACAAAAGCTGGCACTGGAATGCTACGGCCGAATAGATCCAGTGGACCCTGAGCCTCTTGTGACAGTCATAACTGCATGGGCTCAGAGCCGGAGTTCTAATGCTGATGAAAGAGTATGGGCATGCTACATGGAATTACGAAAACGCCTGGAAAGTCAAGAAGCCGAAGATGACACCTTGAGTACCCTTGGCCGCATCAGCAGTATACTCCTGGAAAACAACCGCCAGCACCTTGCTTTAGCTGTCTTCAAGGACATGTTCATGCTACGCGCCAGATCTCCCACGGACTCGTGGAAGCTTTTCAAGTCTATGGGAAAGAAATTAGACAACGCAGAATTAACCAGCGAGGACCAAGTCAGCAAGATTGGACTGGCTTCATTGGCTTTCCTTCCCAAAGCTTTCCACAACAAGTTTTTCTTTGCGTCTTGGATCAAATGGCTTTTAGGAGAAGGACAGGTCGACGAGGCGGCTCTGATCGTGGAGTTGATGTATGAACGAGGTATTCGGCCTGATGCGCGACATCTGAATGGGATTATTGCGGCTTGGCTTCGTGAAGGCTCGCCCGCTACTGCTGAGAAGGCCGAGGCTACCGCTTGGGCAATGATTCGCGCCCGCATTGAGATGGTCAAATCTCGCAACCATGAAGGCACTGATGCTACGAAGCCTCTACTCGTCGAGACGACAGGTGAGGTGCGCAAAGTGCCGCTGTTCCTCCACCGGGGTGCCCCTGCTGCAACCATCGAAACCATTTCGATTTTAATGGTGTATTACAATCGCCGGTCGAATGCCGTCAGCGCCGATCACCTATCCAGGACGATGATGGGCCCTGCTGAGATGAAACCCAACTCATTTATCCTCAACCATTGGATGTACGCTTCACTACGATCAGGAGACATACCCGAGATCTGGAAGACTTACACAGCCTTCAAGTCCACGATTCAACCGGACCTGGAGACCTTCGCAGTTCTATGGGACACGGCAAAAGTCCACTTCGGCTCACCAGCAGCACACCTGGACAACATCCCATCTCCCCGCCATATATTTAAAGAGATGAAGGAATGGCATGCAGGTCTAAGCCAACAAAAGCGAGACAATGCACGACAAGAGCTCTCCAACGAATTCTACGAACAGGTCGTCCGCTGCTTCTGCTTCACCGCAGATCTCGAGGGCACGCTGTGCGCACTACACGGTATGCGCGAGATATTCGACGTGCTACCACACGAAGACATCACGCGTCTGATCATCGTGCAAGTAGCGCGCTCGTTCCCATCAGTGCTCGGCCCCGCTGAGCGCGCTCGCCTGCGTCGCCGAGGTGGTCCGCTCCGGGTGCGCGGCTCGCACCTCAAAGTCGCCGTCAAGGCGGTGACAGAGATCGTCATGGCGATCATGGAGAAGAAGATCGACGAGCAAAACCTTGACCCAGACTTGCTCAGGGGAGGGGACGACGACGACGAGAAGGGCGAGGAACTGGATGAAGATCCCGTCGACTGGGATTCCTTCGAAACGCCTGTTGCGCAGACCCTGCGTCTCGACGTCCTGACGTCGTTCCTGTGCATGGTCTTGGAGCGGCGCAGTGTCTCGGCTGTGAGCAGCACGGTGCGCGAGATGCACGACACTGTCGAAGTGGCGGCAGCGAGTCCAGGTGCGCTGCTTGGTCAAGACGGCCGGTTGAGAGTACCTCGCTCGCCTGCTGAGACCGTCACCCTCGCTGGAGAGGAAATGAAGGTCGCCATTCCTGCCGATGCCCTGGCTCGGCGAGATTGGACGGACCTTCGTGTCTAAAGTGCCAGTTTGACGCTGAATGTTATTTTCTCCCGTGCCGGCGAGAGGGGGTATGCAAGAAGAAAGATGTATCAAAAACATGTACAACGATTGTGACAGTAGAATTTGTTGGGGGGTTTTCGCATGGGGACGACTGCCGGTATATATAAATACACACCTAGCTTCTATATATGTATCACGCGAAAGGCGACGGATGAAAGCATCTCAAATCCTGGACAATGACTTACAACAAGTAGTGGAGTCAGATCACCAATTCAATCATACCCACACTTATCTTGGGAATGAAGACAAAACTGGGAGAAACTCTCATAACGTGCTTAATTAAGCCAACCCCTTTTCCCAGTCGCTATGCCAGTTTCTGCGATGCTAGGAAATGGACTCATCGACACCCTGAGCTATATAGGTATTTACTTTGCATAACATCATTCATTGCGCTTTCCCTATACTTGCGCCGCAACGCCGTTGCAAGCACCTCACAGAGGTCGAGTAACATAAAGCAAAGCCCATGGTTCGCGCAGTTCTTTCCTTATTCATACAATGGGGATAGAATTTCGGTCAGAAAGAAGAAGGGACTAGAATTTCTACTTCTTACCCTTCTTCTTCTTATTCTTGCCGCCCCCTCCACCACCGCCACCGCCTCCACTGGTAGCGGCGCCTGTTGCATCTGAGGTGGGCGGGTCGACAATGACGCCGTCTTCATCGCTGCTCACAGTTGCCTTCGGCGCTTGGATGGGCGGTTGCTGGACCGGCGGAGTTGCTATTGAGACAGGAGGAGCAGCAACGGCGGCAGGGGCTGAAGGGGCGACATCTCCTTCGAGTTCCCGCCTTGACTGTTCGCGTTGTTGGGCCCATGCCTCCTGTTCGGAACCCAGCTTGGCCTTTACCTTGTCGATTTTCTCCCGCAGCATTTTGTTCTGCACCATCTCACTTGCACTCTGGAAAATAGTCTGTCCCCACCCAGTCGCCAAAGCGTTGGCCTCGGCTATGACGTCCTTTAGTTCAATTTGCATTTCCTGCTCGGCGCGGGTGAGACGTTGGAAGATCTCGTCGCCCACAACACCACGCTGCAGTAGAGTTGCGAGGGGCGGTTTCCGTGTGCGGATTTCCATCATGCGATTAACATCTTCCAGAGCACGGGCGAATAGAGCTGCGCGCAGAATCGTGTCGGGGACTTTGGTATCGGGGTTGTCTTGTTGGTGTAAGAGGGAAAGATAAATATTGCGCGAGGTGTGTGGACCAAAGTAGGGGGCCAGGCGTAGTTTCGAGTTGACTTGCCGCTGTCGATAGAGATGGGAAAATGTGGCCATGCTACCTATCAGGATGCCCAGGTAGGCTATGGGAAAGAGGATGGAGAGGGAGAAGTATGCCATTGTGGTGGTGTTTGTGGCTGCTGGAATTGGCGATCATGCAGAGGTGGTCTTGGGCAGGTAGAAATCGGATCTTACTGTCGAATTGGTCGCATGAAGGGAGGTTGCTGAGTCCTTGGGTTGGGAGTAGACCGGGCGCAATAGTGGTAATAGTGGTTGTTAAGGAGTGTGAGGAAGTGGGCAAGAAAAGGACACGAAGACGAATTACTAGTATTGAGAAATATGAAGAGAACAAGTTGCAAGTGCAAGTGCACTCACTCGTAACTGGATTGCGGGTGTCCGCCGCCCAGAGCTTATCGATTAGCAATTGTTCCGAAATCTTGGCGGCACAGTCACCATTTCATCTGATGTTAGTTCAGAGTACGAAACTCATGAATGTCAGAAGGCACGCAATTGCATCATTGAAGCTCCTGGATTTGACGATAACAACTCTCAAATCTCTCACACGCTATCATAAAAGTATCCTGATCTGACTTGTTCGCACACTGGCACAGTTCTCGCAGATGTTTAAACAACACGGTGCGCAGCTTCCCAAAATCTTGAAGCAAATCACCAGGTAGGATCAACATCTTATCCACAGCTCTAGCAGAGCGCTCCACATCGTTATATTTCTGAGCCATGCAGATGGGAGGCCTTCCGCTCGTGACTAGGTCGATGAGCGTGCCGAAGTCCGCATCAGCGACGCTGCCATTGTGGTCGAGCACGCTGAACGACGCGCAACGTAAGGTAGAAAACGGTGAGAGTGGACTGTCGATCTGTGGGTAGTCGCGGACTCGTGTTGCTAAAGCTGCTGTTGCGCGTCGAGTAGGATTTCGACGAGGTGGGATGACGGTGATGTGTTTATTATTGAGACTGTACGCGATGCGCTGAATGGCCTTTCGTAGCGAGTCGGGACTGCGAGTATCTAGAAGGCGGAATTGAAAGTGCGAGAATCTGTCCAAGAAGAGCGCCGAAACCTCACTCACGACCTCCTGGGCGCGATATTCGCAGATGGAGTGGTACTTTGTGAAATGTAAGGACGTAACCGACCCGTGGCTGTCGACTTCTATCTCGAATATGTTTTCATCGTGGAGGAAAGAACTGGCTTCGTCTCTTAGCTGCTTGCAGGTATATAGAATTCTGACATCGATTGTGAATGGAGCTTCCTCTTGATCTTGACGCAGCGCGATAGGGTAGGGTTGGGTCACGACATATCTGACAATTCGGTTACGCAGCTCCCCTGGCAGCTCCAGCAGTCGGCTCAGTGGTTGTGTTACTTCGTGCTGAGGCGATACGATAGTTGACATATCAATGCGATGTTGATGTATGAGGGCTGAGAGATTGGCAGAGAGACAAGTCGTTTGCCAGGCGGACGCTCATACTCCATACCAAAACACCGGCGCGATGCTTTAGCAACTGGAGCCTTTTGGAGTGCGGCAAGCTTTCTCGGTGGAAATGAGCGGAGCCAATTTCGGTAAACCCTACACAGCAAAAGTACGACTCAGTGCGAATGGGGGACTGATCTTCCGACGAAGGTTACCTAGTTAAGAGTAGAGGCTTTTAGCCATTCTCCATTGAGACAGCCATAGTATCATCCCTTTTCCCCTCTTCACTAGGTAGCGACTGCGCAGTCATCAGCCAGGAACACACCTTTGCCATTCACTGTACTTGAAAGAGACTGACTGAGATACCGCCTTCCTAAACATGTCTGCCCGCTCTAATCCAGTATGTGTAACCAAATCCCTACCTACATGAGTGATCGAAGGATGCATGTCAACACCAATGGTCTAGGTGCGCAAGAAGCGAAATGCGAAAAAGGCGATTCGGTTTTCAATGATGGTATGCGGCGCCAGCGGTACTGGTAGGATCACACCTGCACGGGAAGTGCTCATTGTCATTAAAACCCATCTAGGAAAAACAACTTTCGTGAACACGCTATATGGAAAGAGAGTGTTACTCCCCAAGGAGGATGACGGCAGTGCCATGGATGCGCATCTTGAGAGCGATGTGCGAATCAAGCCTGTGACTCTTGGTGACTCGCACTGGGTTCTCATTGTAGCGAGCAGCCCCTAACCTTCGACAGAAATGGACCTCGATAGTGACGGCACGCGAATGTTCTTGACGATTGTCGACACCCCGGGATTTGGAGATCAAATCGACAACGAATCTTCATTTAACGATATCGTAGGCTACCTCGAACGCCAGTATGACGATATGCTAGCTGAAGAATCGAGGATTAAACGCAATGCCAGATTTCAGGATAATGAGGTGCACGCCCTGCTTTATTTCATCACCCCGACAGGACATGGCCTTCGCGAGCTGGATATTGAGTTGATGAAGAGACTATCACCGCGCGTCAACGTGATCCCAGTTATTGGTAAAGCCGATACTCACACGCCAGAAGAACTTCAAGAATCAAAGAACTTAATTATGGCAGACATCGAGCACTACAAGATCCCTGTCTACCAGTTCCCAGATAATCTCGAAGAGGATGATGGCGACACCATCCAAGAGAACACTGAGCTACGGAGTCTCCTCCCTTTCGCGATTGTGGGTTCAGAAGACACGATTAATGTTACAGGGCGCCGAATACCTGCAAGAAAGTATCCATGGGGAGTTGTCGAAGTGGACAATCCACGCCACTCGGATTTCCTGGCCATCAAAACCGCTCTCCTACATACCCATATGACTACCCTAAAGGAGATCACGCATGATTACTTGTACGAGAACTATAGAACGGAGAAATTGAGCAATATCGTTGGTGGAGATGCTGGAAGGTATGTGTAACCCCCGAGATCTGTCGGACCTGGTACTAATCCCCTGGCCTGTAGCGCTCAGGATGGAACAATGAACCCCCATGATCTTGCCAACCAGTCTGTCATCATCAGAGAAGAGCAACTCAGGCGTGAGGAAGAGCAACTGCGCGAGATTGAGCTGAAGGTGCAGAAAGAAATCGACGAAAAGCGACAAGAGCTTTTGGTGCGGGAGAACCAGCTTCGCGAACTAGAAGCACGCATGCAGAGAGCTCAAGCTGGTGCTGCATGATTTCTATGTCGGTGTGGCATCCAGGCGATGCCAGGATTCGTGAATTACTAACCGTCTTATGGCCCTGTCGCCCGCCTTGCCCAACGACTACGCCAAAACCAGTGTGTCATATGACCATATATCTCAGAAAGCATTGCACAAACTTGATCTATTGAAACGTGTTATCGATGGTCTCTAGCTAAGAAAAGTACAAGGCTCCTCCACCAGAATAGCTGTGGTAGAGGTTAGAAGAGCCTTCATGGAAAGACTCAGTCAGGCGATCCACGAACTCTGACAGCCGTTGAGTGTGTGGTGATCGTCCTGTCCACATCAAAAGCTTTGTCTTTCAATGACTATTCCCAGCTCAGGACATGTCACCATCATCAGCGCGTTGGAGAGGAGCGAGCGCCGTGGCTGAAAAGTGACGTGAAGAGCCGTAGTGGGAGGATATATCGATCCTTGATGCTCTTCTACCACCTTAGATTGTAGGAGCATATATACATAAGGGACTCATAAGTGGAATCCTTCTTATCGTTTCAGAGTGTTCGCAATGATTCTTGCTAGCTGGTAGGGTCGTGGAGAACGCCTACCCCAGACTCCTTCCGAGGAAGTTCCTAATCGATAAGGAATTTTTCCGAAATCTTGGCATGCAGGTTGGTTGGGTGCGACCCGAACTTGAAGTGCAGGGAACTTTTTTCTTGGAGAGCCCGTTTCACGAGCAATGGACTTTCCTGGACCGGACCATTGACAGTGAAGTGTTCAGTATGGCGCCCTCACAACTAAAGCAGCTGAAACAATCCCTCCGAGATAATGGCGTCCTGGGTCCCCAAAAGTCCAAGAAACAGAGAAAATCGACCGCCAAAGACGCCCAGAAACGACTCCAACGCAATGCTGCCCTCGAGGGCATTAGGGATCGCTTTAATCCCTTCGAGGTCAAGGCTCCTGCTCGGAAAGAAAAATATCAAGTTGCAAGCAGTCGAGTTACCAAAACATCCATTGATCGGCCTGGTGTCACTCGAGGATTTGGTGAAGAAAGGCGGCGAGACACCCTCTTGAAAGAGATGCAGAGCCGGAACAAAGTCGGTGGAATGGTTGACCGTCGCTTTGGCGAAGATGATCCTAATATGACCCCTGAACAAAAAGCTGCTGAAAGATTTGCTCGCCAAAATGAGAGAAAAGCCAGGAAATCCTCGATGTTCAATCTCGAGGATGAAAGTGATGAAGAGATGGCCCTCACACACGGAGGCAGAACCCTTGACTTTGGCACTAGCACTCAGGACGATTTCGATGAGAAAGACGTTGGATCATCAGATGAAGATACAGACAGGCCCAGTAAAAGACAGCGTCTGGCTGCGGAGAACGCCAACGACGAGGAAGACGATGGACTGCTTCCACGGAGGAAAACCAAGAATGAAGTTATGAAGGAAGTCATCGCCAAGTCGAAGCTCTACAAGGCCGAAAGGCAGGCTGCAAAGGCAGACGACGATGACATCAGAGCAGAGTTGGACAAAGGCATGTCTGAATTTTACGAAGCCCTGAGGAGCCACAAACCTCCTGAGAAGAAGCCCTTACCTGAGAAGACTCCGGCCGATGACCCTCACATGGACCCATCTAGGGCCGCCATGCTCGCAGGTAAGAGCAGGAAAGAGGCTGAGAAAGAATACGAAGCCAACCTCCGACAATTGAAGTTGGACGCTCGTTCAAAACCGAGCGTTCGCACCAAGACCGACGAAGAGAAAGCCACTGAGGAAGCTGCCAGACTCGAAGACTTGGAGCGAAAGCGCATCCGAAGAATGAAAGGCGAACCTGATAGCTCTGAAGATGAACAGGATGAGGAATTAGGACCTGATGAGGACTTTGAGAGGGAAGAAGAGGATGCCGATGATGCTCAAGCTTTTGGTCTCTCAGCACGTCAGAATGCCCCTGTTCCGAGAAAAGAGCTTGATGTGGAGGACGAGGACGACTTTGTGCTTGATGATGACCTGATAGCTTCTGATTCGGATGCGGATATGGCTAGTGAACAAGACGAAGACGATTCTGGGGTCGAGAGTGATGAAGAGGACGACGGCGATGACGACTTTATAAACGGTCTGGTCCTTCCAAGAGATGGAAAATCATCCGTCAAACCGAACAAGACAGAAAAGAAGACAGGTGGCAGCAGTAACCTTGCATATACTTTTCCCTGTCCCCAGTCTCACGAAGAATTGTTGGAGATCACTAAGGACACCGATGTCAGAGATCTACCGACGGTTGTTCAGAGAATACGCGCTCTGTACCATAAAGGACTTGCCGAAGGCAACCAGGACAAGTTGGACATATTCGGTGGCGTTCTTACCCAACATGTGGCATATCTAGCGGATTATCACATCGATGTGCCATTCTCAGTCTTGGATCTTCTCATCCGACATCTTCATTCCATGGCCAAAGGCTCGCCTCAAGCAATCGGAGCCGCTTTCCGCGATCACCTTGAGATCGTCTCCGAGAATAGACCACTTCTGCTGTCTCCTGGAGACTTGATCATGCTGACAGGCATTTCAACCATTTTTCCTACTTCAGATCACTTCCATTCAGTGGTCACGCCAGCCATGCTCACCATCACTCGCTATCTTGGACAAAGCCCAATACAATCATTACAAGATCTTGGAAGGGGGGCATACTGTTGCTCGTTGGCTCTTCAATATCAAGCCTTCGCCAAAAGATACGTTCCAGAAGTGATAACATATCTGGTGAACGCGATTAGCATCCTAGCACCAGTCCCACTACCACCGAAGGACAAAACAGGAAACCAACTCCTCGTTCCTGTTCGTCTGCCTGGGGAGTCTCTGCGTATAAAGGCTGCAAAGCCCATGGATGATCTACCAAAATTACCGTTCAAAGACCTCGTGATGACTCGAGGTAACCCAATCACGAGCAGTCATGCCATTGCACTTCTCCATACTTTCATTCGCCTGTCTCTACAATCTGCCAATCTCTGGAATTCCAAGACCTCCTCACCAGAAATATTGTCTCCAATGATCCAAGTGATCTCTCACATCGCCTCAATCACAACTAAACTCCCTTCACAAACCATTACGCTGGCCAAATCCACCCTCAACACTCTGCAATCACAGAAAACTTCAAACATCGATTCTCGCCGCCCACTCCTTCTTCACAACCACCGCCCATTGGCCATCAAAACCTCCATCCCACAATTCATCGAGAACTACAATCCGGACAGACACTACGATCCCGACCGTGAGAGAGCAGATTTGGCGAAACTTAAGGCAGAGCATAAGAAGGAACGCAAGGGCGCGATGCGGGAGTTGCGTAAAGATGCCTCGTTCATGGCTCGTGAACAGTTGCGTGAGAAGAAGGAGAAGGATGCAGCGTACGAGAAGAAATATAAGAGGCTTGTTGCTGAGATCCAGGGTGAGGAGGGCCGTGAAGCGAAGGATTATGAGAGGGAGAAGGCGAAGAGGAAGGGCAGGTTCTAAGCCTTTGGTTTCGAAGAAGTGCTATGATGTATGTGTCGAACGCATGAGTAGGAGGACTGCACGCTGTTCACTTCAACTTGTCGAGAAGTAGTGTCTACCCAGGATATTGACATCCGGAAGACAGATCCAGTATAGCATCTACTTATAGGCAGGTGAGTAGGGGCCACGCGGTATAAGAGAGCCCTTGAGTATCCAACACATGTATACACTTGTCGAAATTTATATACCTCAGATTATTTACCATTATCCCTAATTGAGATACTAAGTAGTCAGCTTATTATTCATAGATCCAAGTGTACCCAAAGCGCAAAAAAACATCATTAGAATGCAATGCATCGAGTAAAAAAGGTGGCAAAACTTGCAAGGGCGTTGCCAGAGCAAATTTGCTCCTGGAGAGGATCGAACTCTCGACTTTCGCATCTCTTGAGAAAGATAACATCATACTGGATGCAAGCATACAATATAAGAACGACACGCTAACCGCTGCGTCACAGGAGCTTATGGGAACAACATGTTTGAGCAGTTGTCTGTGATGAAGTGTGGCCGATTTCGCGACTATTTCAAGACCATTTTTGGGTAGTATCAAACTATAATACGCCGTCACTCTCACGTGATACTTGGATTTTAGTGGCCACCTACAGGCGCGACTTATCCCTCACAGGCTGTGAGTGAATCTCGTCTGAAATATTTCAAACAGCACGACTCTGAAGCTGCCAGAGATATCTTCACTTTATGTTATCTGAAGGTATTCATGACCATGGGTCCACTTGGTAAGGACGGCCCTATGATTCATTCCCTTCCCTGTGGTCGAGTTAGAAAAGCCCTTTATCTTGATTCTCCCAAGAACTTCCTGACGCAGTTGGTAAATCTTTGATCTCGTTCAGCGCGTGATCCAGACACCGCCGACTTAGACAGCCCTCACCACCACCCCAACATGGCTCCAGCATCTACCGCTGATGACGAAGATGACTACATGAACATGACCTTCGAGGAAGCCGCTCCGAACAAAAAGGCGGAAACCCTCACACAGAAAAAGAAGCGACTCGCCCGTGAAGCCGAGCAAGCACAGCCAAAATCCAAGGCGCAACTGGCTGAAGAAGAGCGCAAAAAGAGAGAAGAGGCTTTGAATAAGACTGCTCTAGACACCAGTAGCAAGGGCTATAAGATGATGGCCGCCCTGGGCTACAAAGCTGGAAGTGCGCTGGGTGCATCACGGCCTACGGTAGACGGCGAGAAGGACTCTCGACTACTCGAACCGATTGGTCTCGAGATGAAAGACTCGCGGAGTGGGATTGGCGCAGACGCCGAGAAGAAGCGGAAGTTCAGAGAGGAGGTCGAGGCGCAGCAAGATGTGGACAAGAAGCGGAAGGTCGAGGCCGTGGACTTTCGAGAACGACAGCAGAAAGAGCGAGAGGATAAACGGAAAGAGGGCCAGATGTGGGGTGCGATGAAAGTATGTGAACGGCTGGAGGAAGAGGAAGAGGCAGATGTTGAGGCAGCAACAGACGCCGCTGATCGTACATTCAAGCACACAAAACCACTGCGAGGCGTGAACGTCCTCTGGCGCACACTCATTAAGCAGAGAGCAATCAACGAGCGGGATCGCAGGATGAGGTATGATCTCCATCAGTCGCTGTCGCGGCGGCCTGACTACAATGACCCCGAAGAAGATGGCGAAGAGCAGATCGCCTTTGCGAAGAAGCCTGCAACTACAGAGGAGGAAGATGTCTCCTTGGATGAGGAGGACGAGGAACTGGATGAATTCGAAGCCCTCGAGGTGTCGGATAAGTTGGACAAGCTGGTCGCTTACCTCCGTGAGCGCTGGAAATACTGCTTCTGGTGTAAATTCAGATATCCGGATGAGGCTATGGATGGGTGTCCGGGCATCACTGAAGAGGCTCACGATTGATGAAAGTATCATTTTGAAATGCCTAGTATGTATGGCATGCGTATGATGCCGGAGGCGACTCATCGGACTACCACATACGTTGAACTTATAGACTGCTAGAATCCATAATGGTTGAATTGCACGGAAACAACGTACCAATTGAATTCATTGTCAATATGACCCCGATCGTTTCCTCCCTGGGTGCTTCTCTAGGCACTGCACTAGCACGAGTGCTTTATTACGTAAGGTTGCTCAGCCTGATCACCCATCACTCGTTCCGCAATCCCTTTTGAATGTTTCAACCCCCTTCGAAGTTCATCATCAATCATGTCAGTTTTTGATTCGAATCGAATACTATGGGCAGCAGTGTTAATAAGTCTCGGTACAGCGTACTACACAGTTCCCTCGCTGTTACGCACAGTCAAAGACGCCGCACGGTCCCCTCAGCCAGACCCTGTCCCACCAGCACGACAACTCCAGAAAGAATCCGAAAACTCACTGAAAATCGAGACTCTCCGAGCGCTCGCAGACGGACATAGCTATGACCTGCGCTCTTCGGCGATCAAGATTGTGGCGTATCGCACCATTCGCACAAGTACCAAAGATCTACTTCTTCGAGATCTAGCAAGCAAGGACTACGTACGACGAGACAATGCCATCAATGCGCTTTGGATGCTTCTCTTCCACGCCAGACTCAACACGACATGTTTCGCTGACGCGTTCAGCCGGCGAAGAGGCATCGAAGCCGTGGTGGAGGCCTTGATTCAGGGACTCCCTGCGCACGACAAACTCAGCTCCACGAAGCGGCCGAGCACCAGCCCGGACGGCGAGGAGAAGGACGATATCCCACCATCTCCACTCAAACCGAACCATCGACCTGCTCATGAGGCCTCACTACTCATCATCCTCAATCATCTCCTCAATCAGACGAGCCGTTCTTCCCATTCGTGGAAAGCCGACGAGTTCCAGCCTATCGACCACGCCGTTCGTGCCGGTCTAGTGGATCGCTGGCTGGCCAAATACCCGTTTCCTTGCTCTCTGCCAGAGAATGAGAAGTTCGGCTTCGTCCGCTCGGACGTCGCAAGGCTTTGTGAACGCTCGAGCTGGGGCACCGACGATCCTCTCATGGCGGACATCGTCAAAGCCGTGGTGGCGACTACTGAGGGCCAACGGGCTCTGTGCAATGCCGGGCTAAGACGAGGCGGCAGTGTGCGCCACCTTCGCAGAAATGGTTTCGACCTTCAGTGGCAATTTGACCCACTCCGTGAAGCACACCGTACTGGTGGCGATCCGCATGGACCCAACGAGGACAATGTCGAGGAAGACCACGACGTGGCTATGACGGACGGTGAAGATACTGCCGGCGTTCCCCTCGACCGAGACAACCAGGCCGAGTGGCTACCTCTTTTGCCCCGCCCGCGCTCCGCTGAACGGAGCCAGGAGGAAGAACATCTGAGGCGCCGACATCGTGAGGCCGTCGTCGTGGCCGAGCGAGGAACACCACTACGACGAGAAAACATTTTGCAGCGGGAGAACAGTCAGTTTGGGTTTCAACCCATGGCTGGCGTCAGCGAGGTGGAGGGCGTCCTCAACAATCTCATCGACCTTTCTGACTCCGATGGCGCTGAACTTATCGTTCATGACCAAAGTATAGAGAGGGTAGAGGTGTTGAGTTCCCACGAAGACGGCCTTGATCCAATGGAGCAAGCGCTGGCTGTTCAGCATACGGTGGGAAATGAGTCAGAGGAGGCTTCTACGGATCATGACGAAAATGGAGGTGAGACAGAACAGGCTGCCCCAGTGGCATAGGGTTAGTAGTCCATGGAGGTGGAGAGCGAATTCCCTCTTTTTGGGTGCTCAGCGGATTGCAGATGTATCACTACTGGCAAAATGGTCTATTTGTTGCGTTTTCAGCAGGGCGTTCCGGTTATCATGGGGGAGCATATCCCGGTCTCGAATATGAAGGGCCGAAAGTACCAAGGGATGAGAACATCGAACAAGCGTATTGGCAGCAAATGTTGTATTTTTCATTGGCAGTCTTTCAACCACCGAGTCATTGATTGCTAGGCATGGAGATCCATTACTTTCATAGCAATAGAAGGAGAAAATCTTGTCAACTTTGTCGCCCACGGCGTTTCATAGTGACAATAACATCCCCATTTCACCCCACCCGCACCATCACATATGCAGAAAAAGAGGCCAGTGTCGAAACTCCCATCTACAACCACAACAACCATCATCACCACCATTCAAACACTCCACATATCCGTCCTACTTCAGGGGAATAAATCGCGAGGAGTGGGTGGCACCGATACCGGGACGACCGTGCTTGACGGGCTTGTATGAGATGGAGAACTCGCCGAGGTAGTGACCGACCATCTCAGGCTTGATTTCGACTTGGTTGAATTCCTTGCCGGAGTAGATACCGATGACGCTGCCGATCATCTCGGGCACGATGATCATGTCACGCAGGTGTGTCTTGACCAGGTCGGGCTTCTCGTTGGGTTTGGCGTTCTGCTTCGACTTTCGCAGCTTCTTGATCAATCCCATGGGGCGGCGCTTCAGGCCACGGTTGAACCGACGACGGGCGCGGGCGTGGAGGATGGTGAGGAGTTCATTTGAGGGGATGTCGAGGAGTCTGTTTTTTTTTAGGTTGCCCAATGGTCAATCTCTATTCATTTCATACGGGGGTCTTCAAGGGTTTCGGATTCGCAGATGTCGCGGTGTTCACACGCTGGCGTGAGGATGAGGTAGCACATACTGGTCGAGATCAATACCTCTGTAAGAAAACTTGCGGAAGGCTCTTCTCTTCTTGAGCTCGGCGGCTTCCTCAGCGTTCTAATTCCCAGGTCAGTTGAGATCCATTCATTTCGTGACGAGGTGTTCAAAACGTACGTATTCGGCGTCGGCCATGATTGCGGCGGGACTGCAAATACGCTTTTCGATATGACTGTCGAAAAGCGAGGATTGTTGCGATTGTGCAGATGTTGGCAGTTCGACGTTGAAGTCTGATATTGGAAAATGTGGCTGCACTGTGGGCAGCAGAAATCTTGGCATTCCAGTCCCATGCAGGCAAGTTTGCCGAAAATTTCTATGAAATCTGAGAATGACATGGGCGTTTTCTGAGCAATTTGGGATGTGTTCTTATGCAGGACTATAGTTTCAATGCGACGTACGACAGTGCTCAGATTATGATTGTCTGAGCCAGAAAATAAAGCACGGGGGAAAAGCGATGTGGTTCAAGTTTGCTCATTGATCCATGACTTGACTAGCCACTCATGCTGATGGCAGAATTGACTTCAAAGATTACAAGAAGTCGTCGTTTGATTGAACAGATTCATGATTTGTCTTTTGAATCGTATATCTTGTCCTGCCCTTGCATCACTGAGGTTTCCGATGACTTCTCAAAGACAGCGCTGGGATATGACTGTCTTCATCTTCGGCTCAGCAACAGTGAGCAATTTTGACCAGTATTGTAGCATTTCGTGAGGCATACAATTTGATAGCCGGCGAAAGAAGTCGCTTAGTCGAACAGGCCGAATCCCATGTCATCATCGGATTCTTCCTTCTCTTCCTCCTTCTCAGCAGGCTTCTCCTCCTCAGCGGCAGCAGCACCACCAGCGGCGGCACCACCAGCTGCTGGGGCAGCACCACCGCCACCACCGGATGGGACGGAGGCGAGCTTGGTTGAACCCTCAGAGATCAACTGTAGATTTGTTAGTCTAGATTTCCATGCATTTCCCATAGCGGGTCCGTACTTCGCTGATGTCCTTGCCCTTCAATTCCTTGAGGAGTGTGGAGAGGCGCTCATCGTCGGCGTCAATTCCAACAGATGAGAGAACTTCCTTGATATCGGACTCGGATGGGGAGGTGTTGCCAGCGAGGCCAAGGAGGAGATAAGCTGCGAGATGCTTCATTTTTGGTGTTGTCTGGAGATTGTTAGCGATCCGATAGAGATTCCTCTGATTGAGTGAGCATACAGATTTAGTTGCTGTTGCGAACAGGAGAGACAATCAATTTAACCGCGAATTGGGCGGAGACTGGCACTTCAAGTTCTAGGAGTTGATATAGAACGTGGTGTCGGGTTAAACTAGGCGCACAAAAGAAGTTCTGAATGTGCGTCAAAAAGTTCGCGGGGGGAGTCTGAGCCAAGCCCGATTAAAGCGGCAGCGCATCTTAGCGACAACGTTCTAGCTAGTGCTAGCGACCCTAGTGCCATTCGGCTAACTTGCCAGCCTTGCCCAACAAATCCGGCGGGTGAACTTCGACTTGCGGGGAGTCACTTTTCTTTGTCCTTCTTCTTCACTCTCGGCTGCCTATGCTGTTTGCTCACTTCACACTATCATCTGGATTGTCTTACACTCATCGTTTCGTCCGTGGCATCGATCCTGTCACTTACAACTCAAGAGGAAATCTTCAAAGTCATGGAGCAGACATGGTGATCATGTCTAAGAAGCCAAAATTGTACATCTGACCTTGCCACGCTGTTTCCTTTTGCTCCGGCAACAAATCTATCAATATGAGTTTCTTGGGCGAACTCGTCGACTCAATTGGCAGTGGGAAGGCTCCAACACCTCCCAAACCACTCGTTCGACCCATCAATGCTAATTCTCAACGTCTGACACAAAACGCCGGCAAGCCAGGTGCTCGCACGGGCTTTCAAGCTACGCCTTCACCACTGAACGGTACAAAACGAAAGGCGGATGAAGACTCTCTGAAAGTGGTGGAAAAGCACATCAAACCGAATCCGGCTCCTGGTTTATCAAGCACGGTCAACAGACGAGTGGCTGCACCACCGCTCAATGCCCCTAAGCCCTCGCTCGACAAGCTTGCCACGACCGCCCTCAAACCGAGACTTGATACTACCGCCAATACTTCTAAGTCTGGCTCAACCCCTCCTGTGACACCAACAACTTCCAGTACACCGACAACTTCCAGTGCGAAACCGCCAGCGAAGGGGTCATATGCAGACATTATGGCACGAGCTAAACAGGCACAGGAGGCCAAGTCTCAAATTCAAGTTGGAATGATAAAGCATCAATCTACAAATCGTGAAAAGATTTCAAAACTTGCTGAACGGAAGAAGCAAGAAGAAGAGAAAATTAAGGCAGCTAAGGAGAAACATAATGGTCGATTGGCGAAAACTGGCAAACTCGACAAAGCACGCAGTGTTAGCCCTGCCAAGAAATCAGACCTGCCACGGACTGCCAAAGTTGCTCGACCACCTCTTCATGCGCCAGCCACAGCATACCGAGGCACAATGGGCACTTCTGCGGCGAAACCTCGACTACCACCATCCCGTAAGAAAGGCAGATACGATGAGTATCTGGGCACTGATGAGGAGGAAGACTCAGAGGTCGATGACGAAGATGAGGGAGATTATGACTCTGACGCGTCCTCTAACATGGAAGCGGGGGCCTTCGACATTGATGAAGAGGAACGCAGAGCCACGAAAGCAGCGAGAGATGACGACGCCAGGGAGCTCGCTGAAGAGCAGAGACTTAAGCGCGAGAAGGAAGAACGACGCAAGCGTTTAGCCAATCTTGCAGGCAGACGCAAATAGGGTCCTTCGTGACTCTTTTATAACCTGTTTTTCGCCCATGAAATTTCCACGAGCAAGCCGGTGCGCTTGTCAATTCAGATCTTTAGCAATGGAGTTGGGGGGTCTCATGGATGCGACAAACAATCAATGCATGAATACAGCACGTGGTGGCGGGTCTCTGGTGGCGTATACGCCTGTATTGTTATTTTTAGACGGTGATAGTCATTCATTGGAGAGCAAGTCAATTGCTGAGCACTCGATTGACTTTTTGTGCAAATACACCGTAACTTAGTTCAAGTTTCTACACCCATTAATTGTGATGTATCGTTTGTGAGTATATATTTAATGTCTACCGCCTAATCCGACACGAAGCTCTCGACATCGACGCCCTCCACCCTGTAAAATCCAAGAGAAGTCAACATCGGTTTGTCATGGAACCGGTACAGATACACCGTCTCGTCGCCTTCGGCTGTGTGCTGATACTTATTCCACGCGGGGACGCAGAACGTGTCGCCTTGCTTCCACTGAATCCTTTGTCCATCTACCTCGCTGTAGCCTCTACCGGTAACGATGTGGTAGACAGATGAAGCCGTCTCGCGCACTGCGGGAGATTGTGTTCCCGCGTTCAGTCGTTCGGCTGAACCGCCGAGGATTTTGGATACTGGAGGACGTTAGTCTAGTGGTCTGCGGTACCAAGAATATTGAAACAATTTGGACTTACCTGGTCGTCCATCCTTCTTAAGGTAATCCTCAGACGTCCAGTTGCCTGACTTGTCATCGAGGCGCTTCTGCATGACGTTCCAGGGGAATACGATTGGCGAATCAGTCGAATCAACGTCCTGGGCTGGGTACCGGGGGTTCTGATAGTGTTCGACAAAGTGCACGGGGAAGTGCCTGAAGTTGGGAAGATCAAGGCCATCAAGCCAGATCATGGGTCCTGAGCCATCCTTCCCATGGTCGTGCCAGTTCCACGTAGGTGTAAGGATGACATCTCCTCTCTGCATGGTGATTCGTTTGCCGTGGACGGCGGTAAAGCCACCTTGCCCCTCGATGATAAAGCGCATTGCAAAGGCTGTATGTCGGTGGGCCTTTGCTGTCTCGTTTGGCATCACGAGCTGAAGGCCGGCGTACAGAGTATCAGTCGTATATGGAGCATCTGCTTCTTGTTAGTGGCGGCCTTCCGAATTGATGACGGATAGAGAAACACTCACCTCTAGCAGGATTGACCAGCATCAAGACTCGTCGTTCTGCCTGTGCTTCTGGAACGATTTCTCCTGCCCGAAGTAGGCTGGGCCGTACTTCATCGTATCTCCATATATATGGGATGGCTGTGGGATTGGGAGCGGGCGGGTTTAATTTTGCCATTTGTGTCCATAATGGCTTCGTATGCACTTTGAGAGCATTCTCTATCAGTTCCTCATTGGGATCCTGTGCCGATGTCCGTGCTGGAGCAGTGGTTTCTGAGATGGTGGTGGTTTGAGTGGCCATTTTGAATATCGGGTTTCTCCTTTCGAAGAGTTTGATTCTCAGAAGTGAATGGAGTTCCTTTGGTTGGCACTCTTAAAGTTTTCCAGCAAGCCTTGCCTCTAATAATATATGTGTCCGATGACAATGATGGAGGCAAGAAGAACCGTTCCGTTTGCTGATGTACGATTAGTTCACCAAAATAGACTCTCCGTGGTGGTCGATCTCCGATCCCGATGCTTCCCCGGCCGATCCTCCGAGATCATGTACCGGTCGAGACTGCCTTTGCATGATGGAGATAACTCCCTCGAGAGGTCAACGGGTCAATATCGGCTCTTAACACACGGAACACCTGACACTTGTTCCAGGCAAGTTCCAAGGGAAGATTTATACAAGGCCATCCAGGTATTGGCTATCAACTAGTCACCGAATTCTCCAGCCTGAGAAACTCAAATACCATTCCGAATATCTGGAATTCGGCGGAATCTCAAAAAGAAAAACTTCAAAGATGATTCAAGCAGACTCAGAAACCACAGCCAATGGCAATGGCAGCTCTCAAGTGAAGACCGAAGATACTGCACAATTCATCAAGTTACCAGATGTAAGTCTCCTGTCTCATGTCTGAGTTCCGAGCTATGCAGGCTCACCAATGACGATAGACTGCTTCTTACCCAACCGGAAGTTTGGACTTCTTGGTCAAGTTGAGGAAGGAACAAGCACAACAAGAGGCAATGGAGAAGCTATCCTTACATGACCGGAGAGACAAGCCATCACGACTAAGCCTCAAGATTGTCATTGTGGGCGCCGGTCTCGGTGGGCTGGCAGCAGCCATCGCCTTGGCTAGGAAAGGCCACAAAGTGACCGTGGTTGAGCAAGCCCCATTTTTAGCAGAGGTATGTCTTCTCAGCCCTTGGATCTTGCACAAAGACTATAAAGATATACTAAACACTTTGATCCCTTTTAGGTTGGTGCTGGTATTCAGATCCCGTCGAACTCGAGTCGACTCCTGATCAAATGGGGCTTGAAACCCTATCTTGCCGCCAAAGTCGTGACGCCTGAGAGCATAGCATTTAAACGCTGGCAAAATGGCGATGTCATTGCACTTACGAAACTCGTGCCAGAGTTCCAGGAGAACTTTGATGCTCCGTACTATGTCGTTCACCGAGCACATTTCCACGATGCTTTGTATCAACTGGCACTGGAGCTGGGTGTGGATGTCATTTTAAACTCCAAAGTGAACAACTACGACGAAAATGCGCCATCAGTCACCGTCGAAGATGGCAAGACATATACCGGAGACCTGGTCATCTGTTCCGATGGCGTTAAGTCCATCGGAAGGAGTAAAGTCCTCGCTGGTGTCGATCAGGCTCCCTTGCGGACAGGCTTCGCCGCATACAGAGCCACTGTCGACGTCGAGAAGATGAAAGCCCATCCGGACACGGCCAAGCTGTTGTTGGTTCCCGGCCTCAACTTGTGGATTGGAGAAATGCGACACGTGATGACCTACACCATCTCCGGTGGCAAGGCGTTCAATATGGTCTTGTCACATCCCGACCGCTCGGACCCCGCAGGCTGGGTCAAACAAAGCCCAGAAAACATCCTCTCCCAGATGCGAGAACACTTCAACGGCTGGGACCCGACACTCACCAAGATCATCGACATGATCGACACAACCCTGAAGTGGCCTCTCCTGAGCGGTACACCACTGAAGAGCTGGGTGGCCTCCTCGAACAAACTCCTGATCATGGGCGATGCCGCTCACGCCATGGTGCCATACATGTCCCAAGGCGCAGCCATGGCCGTCGAAGATGCAGCAGCACTGGCCGAAGCGATCGACCTCGTCGACAATGCCGCCGATCTCCCCGAGGCTTTACACATCTGGGAGTCCGTGCGTATTTTGCGAACAAGCCAGATGCAAGAGGCGAGTTTGATCAACGGTAAGCTGTGGCATTTCCCGGATGGCCCGGAACAACGTGCACGAGATGCCGCAACCAGGGCTGAAGTTGAGGGCCGTCAGTTCACGACGAGTGCCAATCAGTGGAGTGATCCGACCACACAGCGATGGTGCTATGGCTATGATGCCGAGGCTGAAGTGAAGAAGGCTTGGGATGGTAGATTGCCCAGCAAAGGTATATCGAATGGTCATTGAACGGGGTTTGATTCTTTTGCATGGTGTTCAGGGGAGACTATTTATAGTATTATATAGCATACTTAGGGTATTCCAAAAGAGTTGTCCTGTTCATTCATCTTTGACGTATATCCATGACATGAAGAGTATCTAGGAGGGCTGATCTTTGGACCTGGAGCGGAGTAGCTGCCAAGAATGTCTACATAGCCTCAATAGCGAATAAAACAGAGCAAAACAGAATATGTAGTCCTGGCCTTCGTGTGTACCTCCCCGTTGGTAATTCGAACTCCGTCTGTCAGCATCCTTCAATTGAAAATTTAGTGACGGGCGATCGAAAATGCTTGACTTGAGGCTCAGCGAGCCTCTGTAGACCACAGGAGAACGGCAAGACCAATCACTGCGCCAATCAATAATGGAGCGACACGTTTGTGCATTTTTGCAGCAGCAATTTGGCGGAGCGCGCGCTTCTGCTGCGGTGAGGGAGTGCTTCCGGAAGCCTTTTTCCAAATCTTAACCATTCCTGAGACAGCATCCACAAATTGAGTTACCGTATCCGCATCAAGACTAACATCCGCAACCTCACTAGGGATGGGGATGGTTCCGTTTGCCCAGCCTTGCAGCTCTGCGATCGCCAATTCTGAAGGAAGAAATTCTTGCTCTGGGTCTACGACGCCCGATCCCGGAGATAGGACGACTGAGCGATCACAAAGCAAGAGTTGACAGATAACACTGTCAATAATGGGAATGATAGTGGTAGTAGTCGGAATACTGGCGCCGTCCAGCTCGGAACTGTCAATCTGCACAATTGAATAGATGTCGTCGAAAGCTGCATTGACGTTGGCGATGATGTCTGAGGAGTCACTGATCGATATAGCAATTTCTTGAGCACCAGAGATGACTTCGAGCACTTCATTTGATGAGGGCAAATCGTCAGACGTTGACAGAAGTGCTCGACGGCCAAGGGAGGCGATCGGATTTGCGCTGTATATCGTGGTTAACTGGACACTTTCATCCCATTTCAGTGCCAAACTCACATTGCACCTTGAAGGATCGCAAGTCCTGCACAGGCAAGAGCAAAAGTCTGCATGGTTTCGCGCGGGTACCTCTAAGGAAGGAAAACTTTCCAAATGATTGTCGAAGAACAACGAGGCAGATAGATGGTAATACTGATTCTAAGGATGGATTGCCTATGCGCAGTAAAAAAACTTATCTTCCGAAATCATGATTGTGACTCTGCTTAAATACCTCTTAATCAACCACCCTCAGATCTATGGCACTTGTGATTGTTGAAGTTATGATGCTGCGATATAATTTCAGGGGCGCCCGAAGCACATCGGGCGTGTCTCGATACCTCTCAGCTGGAGGGCTGAGAACAAAGCTACCGACAAATTTTGAGCTTGAAACAGATGGCGAAGGTGACCTGTAATCCAATGAGCATATAGAATGCCTTCACTGCGACGACGGTTTACTGGGTTTAGTGTTTCAGCCCAATCTGCAACATTATCAACAAGATACTATGTACTGGTTCTAGTGGGCACTCGATCTCGTCCCTCAGGAGAGAGCTGATGCACAATCAATGGGTCTGTAATGTCGGCGTTAATGCTTGTGAAGTCGGGCCACTCGCATTTGAGTATCCTAGCCCATGATAGACTCAGGGGTAGTCTCAATGCTGCGACTTACTCTGAGATCGGTGGGGACCGTTTAAGGCTAAGTCGGGGCCATTATGGCGACGATATTTGGTGCCATTGGAAGAGAAAATCTCCATTAGCTCTACTTGTGGCATATGGAGCAGCAATGGCCTCCAAGGAGATAGGCTCGGACAACGAAGGCGCTGAGATGGTTATGAAAATCAACGAAGATGATCAGACATTATATTTATTAGGATTTGCAACTCATCTCAAGGTCCGCAGCAGTGGCAACCCTACCTCACAAATTTCACCTTAAGAACCGAGAATACAATTCATCAGTCTCCATTATTCTTGAACAGCTGTCCCGGCTTTGATTTTGCATTGTGTACAATGAGAGCTCGACTAAGTTAGCTAGTCGTTCGAGAAAATTCGCCCGGGTTGGGCTGAGCTCCGCGATTCACAGTCCTTGGACTGACTAAAGTCAAATGCTCAGCTGGGGTTTCAAACAATGCTGGAGTTGACCATTGGCTGAACACTTACCTCAGCTCAGCCTTGGTAAACCTCCAGAGCCAGAAAAGGTAAAGCTGCTCGCCTCAATGGATTCTGAACCTCTCTGAGCTGTACAAAATGAAGATTTTATCGCAAAGACTTGGCCGACGTCGTATAGGCCATAAGTTTCACCTGGTTGGAAGATGACAAGCAAATTTTAATGATGGCATGGTGCTTGGTAGAGGCTGGCACACGAGTGCCCAGATCGGAGCCAAGCCAAGCTGAACTGGTTCCCCCGATCACATCCCAAGTGCTGGGCTGTGTACCAAATGGGGTAGGTCAGCCGAGCTCACGTGCTGCTGCCTCTAGACGCTGACACGGAGTGCGCGGGTATTTAACGGTTATTGGGGGGGGGGAAAGGGGGGGGTCGATTCTTCCTGACGTAGTCAGAAAAACAGTTATCACAAAGTTTCTGAAGGGTGGAAATCCCTCGACGAGGTCGCCCGGAGTGGCCAAATAGTGGTAAGAAGGAACTCTGAACATTCACTCCTGCAGCCTGCTAACCTAGCGGGCAGGTAAAGGACAGGACCGAGCCGCGCAATGAGAATAATGACATCCTCGCTGTGATCGACTTCGATGTGCCGTCCCCGCAACTGCTCTGCGTCGCAACTGTCGGGCATCTGAAATTCGACTTGATAGTCGCAAGCATGTTGACGACAGGGACTGTCCATACGCGTCGTGCTAGGGCAATGTCCCAGACATTGGTGTCGCACGGGATCGAAGAGCTGAGCAATAACAGCATCATTCTTCAGCAGCAAGTCAATGCCAAAGTCCGAGTAGTCGTCTGAGCAGAACACAGAAGGAAGCGACTGGAAATCGCGGATTCATGAATCGTCATCCGAGCAAGGAGCTCAAGGTGCGAGCTGTTCCCACCAAGTGCTCCTGGGCAAGGAGGGCAGGAAGAATTTAGCACCGAGCTTGAATGCTCCACGTTCCGGATCGGCACTAATTCCAAGTGGTATCTTGCGCTGCGCTATGCCTGTTCCGTGCCATGATGATATCGCCGTCTCTTGTGGATAAAGTCCGAACTTCCTCGTCATTGGATCTTTTCAAGCCTGCTTGGTATATGAGCTTCTCAAGCTTGAATAGAATGATATTTCTAGTATCTCCGGATACAAAATGAGCGTTTCTAGTTTCTCTCGTTGATTAGCGATGTCTCGACGTTGAAGAACTGGGGACTAGCTGAAGGCTGTCGAATAGGTTTCGGAGGTACTTGTAATCGGGCTGGCCTTGATCGCCCAATTCAGAAATGTAGCTCATATACCGTGGCTTTGAGTTGAAATCGTTCATGACTTTTGGTCTTTGAACCATTGGCATGTAAGTTGATGGATATTCCATCGAACAGATGAACAGTAGACTTCATTAGAGTATCTTGGTCATTGCTGCCGGAAGGCACTCGCTATACATACTTAAATCGGGTCTGGCTCTCACAACCTTTCTTCTGAGTACTGTGTTGCTAGGCGATGACAGGGTTAGGCACCCGCCTGGGAGTTCCTACCCAGCTGGTCGACCATCATTGCTAATACTCGTGACCCAATGTGTCATCATCAGCCACAAGGAAGAGAACGTGCTTCGCATCGCCCTGGGGCCGTTCGAAAATCTGCCGTTGAGGCACGGAGATGACGATCCAGATTCTGGGAGCGCTTACACCACTCAACAACTGCCAGTGGTGAATAATTGCCAAGGGAAAAAGGGGAGACTCTTGAAGCTAGAGACAACTTCAATACGACATCTGCACGGAGAAACAGGATCGGCACAGGTTTGATCTTGAGGAGCCATGCTTCGAAGTAGATATTTCGACCCGCTTTGTGCCGCGTATTTTAGGACGGGATCATATGTGATGGATGACTGTTAGAGGCGCATGATTCGTGTCGCCGCAACTTTGTCCTGAAGACGTCGCCTCACCATAGGTGTGGCTGGCAACGAGTCCCTTAGTTCATTCTTATGATAAACCAAATGCTGAAGCCGGCTGAATACTAAGTCCCCGGTCATTGTCACTTGCCCGTACATCCACTTCACAGCAGGCTTTTTGAGTGCCATAGTTGCGAGTGCGTAACAGAAAGGCATCCTTTTCAATGACGGAGGTCAAGCTGCTCGGAGAAATGTGGTGCCGATCCGGCCTCCATGGCCCTCACGGCCGTCACGTGGGAACAGATATCGAGCGTGCCCGCCAAAAGATTGACAGAGGAGAGTCACTTCGGGTAGCAGTTTCCTGCAACCTCAACTGTTGGTCGCTTCAGTCTCGCGTCACAGGACCTTCTGTGATATCGTTTTCATCTTCAGTCTCGAAGATACTCCTCCACAGCCATTTCACTATGTCTATTTCTTGACCAGCATCTCCTTAACTATCTCCCTATTGGCGACTTTGAACATCTGCAACACGATGCCTTCTTCATCCCCCTCCCCCATGAAGCGACCGTCGCTAACCGAGCGTGCCTCTTCCACTCACTCTTTATCCTCATCTGGGAAGCAGGTCACAACAACACACAAAGCTCATCGGCCTCATGTTGTGAGCCGTCATTCAAGAAACGTCTCCCACGGAAAAGGACTTAGTAAATTGGCCAAAGTCCATTCCACTGCGAACATTGCGTCCGATACTCAACAACATGGACACCAGAGAAAGAAATCCAGTAGCTCAACACCTCCTCAAAGCCCAGGTACCTCACTTGTGCGACGAAATACCTCGCAAGCTGCTCTGGCAAAGAATCTTTCCCACGGCAATCTGCGAAAGAATCATTCTGCACATGCTCTTGCACGAAACCTCTCCCATCCCGCACTGAAGAAGGTCGGGCTGGCCCCTGCTCCTAAGAGGAAGAACAAAGATAGAAGAGATAATGTTTTTCAAATCGGTGATCACTCATCGGAGGACGAAGAGGAAGGTGAATGGGAGGATTCGACGACACAATCACCAGAAGCTACTAGAAATAATTCAAAGACATCCACCCCTGCCAGGATAGGGACTCCAAATGGCGATTCAGTCCATCTTAAAGAAGCAGAGGCTACAGTGCACCGTCCTCATCGGACTTCTTCACCACCTCAGCCCTCTCTCAAGACCAATAATCGATCAGCGCCGAATCTCTGGAAGCAGTCTGATATCTCACCTTCACAAACACCACCAGAACCACACCTATTGCAACAAAAGGCACGTGGGTCTCGAGCGCCACCTGCCATGTCAACCGTGTCGGCACACGTTACACCCACTCCGATGACGCGAACCGAATCTACCAAATCCTTCTCTCAGATCACTCATGATGAAGCAGCATCCATGGAAACGACCCCAATAGCATCCAGAGTTGCACAATCATCTTCGATTGACGGTGGCGTGTCTCATTTCCTCGAGACTCCGGCTTCATCCCAACGCCTTGTTGATGAAGAGCTGGAGTCGGGCTCACCTTCAGCATTTCTTTCCAATTATAAGCCACAACCCTCGGAAAGTCCAGAGAAACCAAGGACGTTTCACAAACCACGAGGAAACCAAGCTCCTTCGCGGACACAACAGAAACTGGAATTACAGAGGAGAGAGATGATTCGTGCCAGTGCATCGACTCCGACCACACCACCGGCTTCGGGAATTGGAATGGATGTAGGGTCCTCCACATCTTTGCACAGTAGAACAGGGTCAAGAAGCCGAAATCGAAACCTGGCAGCTGGTGGTCGCACCCTCGCAGGGGAAATCAAAGCCGTTAAGCAAGACTATGAAGGTGCCGTCAAACAGCTGACAGTTGTGAGAAGATTTCGAAGTCCCGTTGTTGAAAGCATGACCAGGCTCAAAGAAAGCGGTGCCCTTCCTCAGGATATCGGTGTGTCATCCGCGAGTGGAATAGCATCTAAAAGTCGACCCCAGAGCAGGCGCGGTATCAGTTCGAACAATGTTAATGGACATGCAAAGGGTGGTGTAAGCCGCAGCATAGAGGATCGCAAGCTGTCATTGACGTCGCGATCCTCAAGCCGAGGAGGGGGAAGAGTCCACTTTCAAAGACAGACTAGCCATGATGATATTGAAGTGACTCCGTCGCAGGGCAGTCCAGACGGATTGCAGGATGACGAACATGACGGCTTGTCGCCCGAAGAGGCACTACTACGCCGAATCTGGGGAAGCCGAGAAGTGTACGATTCTGGAGAGCAAAGCGGACCACGGTGAAGGGACAGTCTCATGTTGCAGGGCTTGTTTCAGAGACCCGTGGCGTCTGGTTTTGTTGTTGGCTTCCTTCCTTTTTTTGCTGCGTTTAAGCGGGATGGGATATTGTTCGATTGTAATTACCTTGGTATCCAAGTTGCAATCAAACCTTACTGTGGGGGTTTTGGGAGTGATGAGCACTTGGGCATCTGGCCTCAAGAGGCAGTTTACCGGTCTAGGCGAGTCAAAGTGATGAAAATGGCACCGAATCAATAAGGTTGTACCCTTGACTCACTCAGATACTCTGCCATGTAGAGATGAATATAGAAGGCCTGACAGTCCAAGGTCCACTTTGGGAGTCCAAGGTACAGGTACAGTTACCCAGCTTCTCAAACTCGGAACGATGGTAGACCCCGGACACCGTAGTCGGTCTGTATCATTGTTAGGATACCATGTCTAGCTCAAGCGTCGGAACAGCCTCTCATGCAACGGCTTCAATACGTCTCAGTCAGTAATCGTCAAACGTTCAGTAGTATGCGAAGCAACCACATGATGTCGATCGCTTGAAATCGCCACAAAGGCGATAGTACCCGCATTATCGGCGCCGCCACGGGCCTGGGATTCCTCAGACTTTGTACTTTTGTTCGCATTGGCGTTGTTCAATTTATTCGATCCACACTGTTTCCAGCTTTGGCCCGTGGCCCTTTGCCAATCACGCTCTCTCACATCAGGTTTTGCCATCCTTCAACGGCAGGGTCATCAACGTTAGGGGCCCCGAATAATGGCTGTGCGTATTTCACAGTGGGTCTTGATAAACACTACCATGTTCTTCTGATTCCCGGATTGCTCTTTTTCTCCACTTCATTCCTCTTCCAGACCTATTGACGGGCTTCTGAACATGTGGTTTCAAGAATACAATTTCGTACTCAGCGTATTCCGTCCGCGGAGGCATTGATCGTCGGGTTTAAAAGAGTACCTCGAGTCGTTGCTATGGGATCGAGCGGACTTTATTCACTCCTTGTCGCTTGAGTTCCTATCATCTCAACTAAGGCCCTGTCACATTCTGCAACTCAGCATCGCGCACCCCGATATTTGGATACCTCGGTCTTGCACTCATTTCGCTCAGTCCACCTGTACCGGCCTCACATCGCCACTTCCACACAGTTCTCAAAATGAGTATAAATTTCTTCGAAACCCCCTCAGCCACCATTAGAATGAAAAACAAACCTACCAAAAAAGAATCCCCGCATCATCCACCAGCATTCGATACTAGCGATCAAGACTCACCATCCACAATGGCAACACCCACAAGCACATCAACATCGCCCACCTACAGCTCGCCACCCACCTTCTCCGCCATCATCGAACAAGACCACAACAACATCAACAAACTCGCGGGCCGACTAAGCAAAGCCCGCACAGCCGCCGAACGGGGCCGGCTCCTCCTAGACGTGACCTGGCGGCTAGTCCGACACGACGTGTCGGAAGACATCGTGATGCGGCCGGCGTTCATCCAACAGCTGGGCGACGAGGGCCGGGAGATGGCCGAGCACGACCGCACCGACCACGACCGGGCCAAGCAAGAGCTCCTGGCCATCTTCGAGCTGTCCCTCGACTCCGACGACTTCCCCAACGTCATCAACCGCCTCTTCGCAGAACTGCTCGAGCACATGAAGGTCGAAAGCGGCGAGCAGATTCCCCGACTCGAGGGCATGTTGGATCTCTTCGAGAGCCAGAGGCTCGGCCGCGAGTATATCCGCACCCAGATGCTCACGCCAGACTTGGAGTATCTGGATGCGAGTGGCATGAGGCGGAAGATGTGGAGGAATGTAGAGGAGTATGCTCGCACCGATCTCAGCAGGTTTAGGGAAATCTGGGAGGATTTTCTCGCCGGGCGGTTGAGGTTGATGGCTGAGACTGGTGGTGTTGCTATGCCTGTTGTCAAGGGCAAATTATGATCGAATCATGAACCGGAGGTATCATCAACATTATTGAAATTACTGTTACGGGGTTTGGGTACTTTTATCAAGACGCACAACTGTACATGCATCGTCCCAATTGATGATATAATTATTATGACGGGTTTTGATCCCAACGTAGCACAGAGGAGAGTGGTGCATTCTTGAGTAGACGCCAGAGGATCCGTTCCTTTCCATCCTGATGCAGTCAACCAATTCGAACTCCCCACCCACAACCACCTGAGCAATCATCTTCATCCACATTCTACTCCTTGGACCAACCAGGAATCAACTCATTACTCTCATATCGCTCCTCATCCACCACCTTCCTCGCCGCTTCCTTCCCACAGACAGGAAGCCTCTTGACCTCTTTCTCCCTGCCCTCCTCCGCCGTCTTGAACGTCTTAGGAACCAACTCGGGATCAAGCAGGCCAATCTGCACCAATACACTGGCCTGGTCCCAGTGAATATGTTCGTGCGCGAGCCTTCCAGCACGCATGGACACCACGCTCACCAACACGACCTCGACACGCTTCTCCGTGGGCGGCACGCCCGGCAGCATCCAGGGGATCTCGGTCGTGTGGGTGAACTTGACGAGCATTTCGTCGACGACGCGGTCGGCGCCCACCGTCCGCGACAGCAGGCGGATCTTCATCGACGGCGGGTTGTTCGGCATGAAGAACTCCGAGTAGAAGCGGTGCAGGTCGTCGCGGCCGATGCCGCCCGTCATCGTCGGCACGTGGTTCACGTACGGCTGCGACGACACCATCGTCCCCAGCGTCTTGGCCACATCCTTCTCCTCGAACTCCAGCCGCGTGTGATTCTCCCAGATCGCCTCCAAGTCGTACTCGGGCATGTCGAACGATCGGTGTAGAAGCGTGATGTCCCGTGACCACGCCAGTCGTGCTGCCACTTTGTCGTACTCTTCCAAATCGTGTTCCGCGAATCCTTCGTACGTGTGGTCGTACCGGTAGCTGGGATGTCGAGTGCCGAATTTCTGCGAGCTCGCGAGGTGGATTTGTACGTTGAGCGTCGGTGGGAAGCTGGTGGTGGTTCTTGGCATGTATGCTGTTCATTTGGATTAGGAGTGGTGGGTGGAATATAAATGTTTGGAGACAGAAATCTTCTTTCCACTTACGAGGGTAATAGGCAATGACACCGACCAATTTAGGCATCGGCTTCATACATGCTTCGAGCACCAATGCCGCAGCATCTCCGTAGGCTGAAAAGGTTTTTATTGCGTTAGACAATTTGTGCTTGTGTCGACTTTCAAACCTCCCTGGCGGCTGGGATAGTCGGCGATGTTCACAAACCACTTACCTACAATTGCGTACTTTTCACCGAGTTCCAATGGATCCTGCAAGTGCTGCAATCTAGCCACATAATCGGCATGATCGCCTGTATAGGCCAGATAGGCAAGTTGAAAGCCTTCTTCGTGGAAGTGCTGGATGATAGTCTCGTCGAACTCGTCGGTATCACTGGTCAGCACGAGCCGTGGAACGGTCGTGGTCCAACTCAGTTTGAAGCTGCTGCCTCCTTGACCTTTCAAGTTTCGACGGATCCTTTGCTTCAATCGTCCTGCACTGCCAGGCTCAGTGGGGATGCCACCGATATCGATGGCTGGGAAGCCGGACAGATCGATTTTGACCATGATTATATATTGTTCGTTCTGCTGATTTGTGATATTGATAGCTACTGCAAGATACCAGCATCTAGTGTTCGTGATTACTTCTTCGTCCAGAGATACTTTGTGGCAATCCTATTCGGCAGAGACTGGAGGTTATGAATGTGGTCTGAAGCAGAATCTCGTCAAGATTCCAGCATCCAAGTTTCGAGACGAAGAATGACGTCGGTTTGACGTTTGACGCGTTACCACGTGCCGTGCCCGGCGAACTTACCATATTGAGAAATCATCATCTCGAGAGGAGGGGGCAAAGGGTATATGATATTCCGAGTCCGAAGTCCAAGAGGCAATGTCGCAGGTCTGGAGCAAGCCTAGACCCGAGGTGCCCGAATCTGGAGATTTCCAGGTTGGAGATGGGGGACTGCATACTGGAGACGGGCGGGGAGTGCAACCTATCGTGGCATCCCCTGCTACCTAATTGGCATGTCTAACTCATTTTCGCATGGGGGGTTCCTCTCTCCGTGGCAAAGCTGACAACTCTGGCCACCAGTCTGGCTACTGTTCTTCCCATCAGGCTTTTGTGACACCAACCAGGTGCCAAAGATTCACACTTTCCTATTGCGCTCAGGAAGTTTTCATATTCCCTGGTCGTGACCCCTAAACAAAAGACAATTTGGAATAGTGCCAGTATTCGTACCAATCGTCTAAAAGAAACAATGTTGTGCCTCGCTAGGTCAAGAGAGGGAGATGCAGGGGACTAGGCGACATGGTTGGGCGATATTTACCAGTGGAAATAAGTATTGACCTCCCTAAGGCAGTTAAAAAGGGCGAGCTCGTAATGGTGAAAAGTTAGGCTAAAGAGCATCGCCTCCGGTGGATCAAATGGCCCGGTGTTTACCGTTCTGGGCAAGTCTGGGGCTTAACCATTTGAGATTTACTCAATCTTCATCGTCCCTCTTTATTGTTGTTAATATTATTAGCCCCTAGGGTTTGGGATTCAAATCCCTATGGCCCAGACCGTAAAGTTGTGGGCGCGCACATCAATATCGACTCATGAAGAATGATGGAAGGGCCAAACCCGTCACCACCTTTGACTTCCTCAGATTCTACAGGCAAGAAGAGGAAACGCTCCAATGACCAAATCTCACACACGAGAACGTTAGCCGCTTGCGAGCACTGCAGAATCAGCAAGACAAGATGCGACTCTGCTCGCCCCGTATGTTCCAAATGCGCTAAACGTGGTGTATCGTGTGTATACCCTGATAAAGACCCCTCCTCAATGTAAGCCATTTCGTATCCTTGAGTTGTCCTTCGTGCCTTGCCTGCTCCGCTTCCAATTCAACTACTACTGTGCTGATCTTTCTACCACCAGTTTCGAGGTTTGGGCCACCAAAATTTTGGCTGCCATTGACAATCAAGGGCGGGTTCTATCAGACCTCGCACAGAATAACAAAGATGGCCTTCGCCAACAGCCATCTCCTCACCCGTCGCAGTTCTCGGTCATTGAAGAAGATGACCTCGAGGCTATGTCACGGAAGGATATTCCATGGACTCCGATAACTGGCTCCGATATGATCTTAAGCTGGTCGGTCTTTCCCACCGAAAAACCTGTCGACACATTTCCAGCAGCAGCATATGTGGAAAAACCACATATTCTTGCCTTGGGTATGTGCGACTCTTTCTTATGAGCAACTTGGGCATGCTCGGCATGCCCGGAAAGTGACCTCTGCTGACAAAGATGTGTGCGCTATAAAGAGAATTCGAATCCGTCACCTTCACGTCTTTTTGAATTAAGAGATATTTACATGACCAAGATTCAACCTAAGAACCCTATCATAGATGCTGATCAGCTGGAGACCTATATTTCCGATGCTCTCGAAAATGGCTTTGACTGGTCGGCGTCCTCCTGCCTGGTGCTTCTAGTATTCGCGCTGGCAGCAATCTGGGGAAACTATCCGGATGATGAGCGTCGATTGATTGAACCTCATGAGCAGAGCGATCCATATTCTGATCGATATATCACTATGGCTGTGCCGGAGCATCGTCTGAGAGAATCACTCACATACTTTACAATGGCACAGAAACGAATGTCTGCAGCCCATCTAGACGCATCTTTGCTTGGAGTTGTATGTTTCTGCTTCTTTGGGTAGGTTCCACTGCAAAATCGTGACATTCAACATGCGTACTGATCTGTGGGTAGAATGTGGCATCAGTATAACATCGAGCCCATTCAAGGCTGGAAAATGTTCCGCACGGCGTCGATGCTGTGGGAATCATACAACCTAAAGCATGCTCATGGCAAGACACAAAGATCAAAACAGGAGGAGAGTATGTTCCTATTGCGCGGATGAACCCACTGTCAATGCTACGTACTAAGTGGGTACAGGTCTTGAACAACGACTATACTGGACATGTCTCAAATCCGAGTGGTAAGTTGTCTCATCTTGAGTTGATGTCAACAATGTTCTTATTCATTGCAATAGCGAAATCCGCCATGAACTCGTCGATCTTCCCTCCTGTACGCTCCAGGAATCATCATTCCCCTTTTCTCTCCCAACATTCCCCATGATCGACAGCTTCGACCAAGGCCGAGTCGAAATCATTTCTCAAGAGTCGCCCAGCTTTAAAGCAAGCGCCGAAGCATCCTACTACTTTTATCTGGCAGAAATCTCGCTAAGACGTCTACTCAACCGCACGCGGACTGTTGCAACACTACTCTCACCAAACATCACCGCACACACCGCCAGCCGATTAGCAGACACGCTCCAGAACCTCGAGGAACAACTCCAACAATGGCTGGAGTGCCTGCCGCCCGCCCTTCGCTTCAACCTCCCTCCCGACACATTCCCATCACCCGACGAGTCGGAACTCGTCAAGCTCGTGCGCGAAAGATACGTCGAAGTCCGCGAAATCCTGTGTCGCGCGTATCTCTACATGTGTCTGCACGGCGGCTCGCGGCTCACATCGTCACAAATCGAATCCTTCGGCGCCCGCGCATCCGCCGGCCTCCGTCTGAGCGTCTATCGCATCCAGACCGAGGTCCCGTTCTTCCGACACCCGGGCTCCTGGGGTGCATGTCGCGTTCGCTTCAACCACGCCCTGTGTTTGATCGCCGCGCAGCGCGGCACGGAGCGGAATCTGGAGTCGGCCGCTTGTGTTGTCGTGCCGGCCCTGTGGAGGGAGTGTGTCAGTATGGTGCAGGATCGTCTCCAGGCCTGGAGTCACGAGGGTGCAGGGATCTCGGAGATGTGTATTCTGCTAGATTGGTTGGTGAAAAGTATCCATTAAGGCCGGGGTAGACCAGGGGAGAAACTTCTTCATTGAAAAACGTCTGTTTTTGGCGTCGTGCTTTGGGTGAGCGAGCGTGTGCCTGCTTATCGATTGGTACTATGGTTTTGTCCTCCATTTGTTAAGTCGTGGTAGACTACATACAATAGAAATCTATTGAGTGTTCCCCTAAGATGTTTATGATTCAGCCTACTGTGTTCTATTCGGGAGGACAAATACTGGCAAAAATCGATCTCCTTGACAAAAAGCACGGAAGAATAAACCCATCAGAATACCAGATCAATTCGCCACCCAGATGCGCCCGAATGCAGCATTCGTAGACAAAGGCCGAGTGACCCAGTCATAAATTCTAGTAAGTCAGTTAGAAGCCTATCTAAAGACCGGCGAACCCTCCCTCCCTCTAAAGACCGAGCCAATACCTTGTCTCAGGAACAACCAACTTGCCAGTGCCCAGGATCTCCTGACTCGAAGTGCCGATCAAAACCTCGTATGTGCCAGCCTCGCTCTTCCACATGCTCTCGATCTCGTCCCAGAAGCTCGTGGCATATTTGTCCACGGGGATGCGGATTTCCTGCTCTTCTCCGGCCTGCAGCATTATCTTCTCGAAGCCGTGCAGTTCTTTGAGCGGGCGCGGCGTCGGTGATGTCGGCGCGCTGATGTAGAGTTGGAGGACTTGTTGGCCTGAGACGGCGCCGGTGTTCTTGACTTTCACGACCGCCACGCTGGGGTTTTCTGGCGTGAAGACTTCTGGGTCGAGGCGGACTTCGGTGGATGAGAGGGCGAAGGTTGTGTAGGAGAGGCCGTGGCTGTGAGGGTTTGAATGGTTAGCTCATATTCTTGAAGGTTTCTTTCAATCAGGGGTGAAAGGGAAGGGTGGAATGAGATGTGCTTACCCGAAGGGGAACAGGACTTCTCGGTCCGTCTTCTCGTAAAACTTGTAGCCAACGTAGACGTCCTCTCCGTACAGTACACGACCTCCAACACTGGCATAGTTGAGGTAGGCCGGGTTGTGCTTGACGCTGACGGGCCACGACAACGGCAACTTGCCACTGGGGTTCACGTCACCGAATAAGACATCGCTCATGCCGTGGCCGGCCTCGTTGCCTCCGTACCATGCTTGCACGATACATTTGGCTTGGTCAGCCCAGGGCATCGAGATCGGCGTTCCAGACTGGTTGACGATCACGGCATTCGGTGCCACCGCCAGGACCTGGCTGATCATCTCGTCGATTCCGGGAGGGAGGTCCATATGAGGACGGTCAAAGCCCTCGGACTCCCACTCGCCGCTGAGTCCCGTGCAGATGATGGTCTGTTCAGCCTCTTTGGCTGCATCCACTGCCCGCTGAACCATTTCCTCGCGGCCCATTCTCAAACAGGCTCCGAGGTGCGCTGCACCTCCTCCAAAGTTGACCATACCAATGGTCTCCATCGTTGTGGTGTTGGCAGAACCGAATTCTATGCGGATGTTGTAGGATTTGCCAGCTTCCATTTCTTTGGACCCGATCTTTTCGACTGTTCCCTTGCCGAAGAATGCTGTGCCTCGCGTCTGGTTGGTCGTGTTCTCGATGATGAGCTCGTCATTGAGGTAGAGATTGGCAGTACCAAAGACGGTGAGACCAAAATCGTATGTGCCAGTGGCTTCCGGGATGAACTCTCCAATGAGAGAACCCCAGAACATGCCTCTGTTCAGTGCTGGGATTTCGTTATAATCCATTAGCTGGAAAGTCGCGGACTTGACATGTTCAATACCAAGTAATTTCCGATCTGTAACTTTTGGGGGCTCGTTGTAAAACTGGATGATTGCATTGCGCAGCATGGAGTTGATTGCGGGCAGCATACTATGGGCATATGCACCGACTTCATGTGTAATGGTTGCACCTGGTACAGCTTCGGTGACGGCATCATGTAAAGAGACGGTATAGTAGGGGAGAAGGGTCGCACTGCCTCCACCAGAGATTTGTGGCGTCCGTACATGAGACCCGATAAGAGCAATTTTCTTGAGAGTCTTAGGTAGAGGGAGAATGCTGCTCTCATTTTTGAGGAGAACGATCGCATTGGACGAGACAAGACGATTTAGAGCACGATCTTCAGGATAATCGCGTCCTACCTCTTCTTCTGACACCTTGACCTGGCTAGCTCTGTGGACAAACTTCAGGACGCGACGAGCTCGGGCATCGATTGTTGACTGTTTGATCAGACGTGCTTGGACTGCAGATTCAATATATTTGCCCCGGTATCGTGAAACACCAGGCATTTCGAGATCGAGGCCTGCCACCATGGCATCGATAGTTGTATAAGTTCCATACCAATCACTGACAATCAGAGGGTCCCACTTCCATTCATCTCGAATGAGGTCTTGCAATAATTCTGGGTTGTCCACCACGTGTTTACCGTTGATCTTGTTGTAAGAAGTCATCAGTGCACCGGGATTTGCATCTCGTGCTACAATCTGAAATGGTCGAAGGTACACTTCTCGAAATGCTCTGGGAGCAATGAGACAGTCTACTGCCCGTCTTTCATGTTCCTGGTCGTTTCCAACAAAATGCTTGACCGTGGAAATGATACCAGTGCTTTCACAACCAATGATCATGGAGGCGGCAATCGTGCCCGCGAGATGCGGATCTTCCGAGAAGGATTCAAAACCACGGCCACCAAGGGGAGACCTCTGCATATTGACTGTCGGTCCCAGCCATCCATGAGCACCTTTGGCAATGCATTCGTCTCCAATCAACTTTCCTGCCTTTCTCAGCAACGCCTTGTCCCAGGTGGCACCAAGTGCTGTGCCGCAGGGTAAACATGCGGCTGGAACACCAGCAAAGAACTTGGTTCCTCGGATACCATTTGGCCCATCAGTGAACCGTACTGATGGTACATTGTGCGCTGGTATGGGATGAGTATGCCAGAAATCAATGCCTAGAGGTTTTTGATGTTAGAAAGGGACTCCGTGACAGCTACCCTGGGTGCATCAATCTCACCAGAGAGCAAGGCGATCTTGTCGGTCTGCTTCAACTGTGAGAAGACGGTATCGACATCAAAGGCCATTGCAGGCTCAGAGTCCGAGTCGGCCATGGAGCGAGTCGTCGGTGACAGCCGTACGATCGGTTCTGCTGAAGACCTGACCATTTGGTATGTTGTGAGATGTTTGAAGAAGAGAACGACGATGAGTCCATTGTGTCGAAGTACATTGTTCTTTGCTTCCTCGAAGGTCACGGGCCTGAGTGGATCAATGCACCCAAAGAGAACGATTTCTTCAGAGATGACCACGCCTTAGGCGCAGTTGTGTAGTATTTTCGGCGAGGATACCCCATTCATAGCGGAGGACGGTGTATCTTCGGCGGAGTCTCCCCGGTTACCCCAGGTGCTAACAGGCTGATTTTGTGGGATCATCCTCCAAGTTTATCAAGCATTCTCCGAATCATCCGGCCTTGGTGGGCCTAACGGTTGCCAATGTACTCCATGTACAAATAATGTCGACTTCCTCGAAAGGCCATGCTGAGATTTTCAGTTAAGCAAATGCCACCCACAGCTTCCGTCTTGTTGATGGCCATCCAGGCTGCTTTGGCACTCGGCTGTACGGCGGATGTTCCCCGGCATTCCCCGCAATTTCCATCCACTCAAGCCCACGCCAAGAAATGCTAGTGCGCTTACGTGCAGGTGCCTCAAGTTCTGCGAGATGTTGATACCGAGGTATCGAGTACTCTGTCCTCGTACTTGCCGTCGCAGGCTTCTGGAAGGTGCAACGTGGGATTCTTTCTTGGTTGCGCCTTCCCTCAAGGTCGGGCCGCTTGGATGAGGCTCCCTCTCAATGTTCCAGGCGCCCGACATGATAAGGCTCGCTGGAAAGCCTTGCGTCGGGGGAAGCCTTTGACACTACTACTCTTGTCTAGCATGCTAGCAAAATGGCTTCATGTTACACCACATCCATACCTAGTATTTACTCAAATACACTGGTCAGGTCCAAGTCATCAGCCCCTAGGGTGCAACGAGGTACGTTGAACAATAACTAATGAGGTCGGCGCGGGACCTTCTTGCCTTCAAGCAATAATACTGTCTTGTGCTGGGGTCGAGACCACCACATGGGCTCGGTACATACCCACGAGTACCTGTGTCCCTGGTGCCTTGATGATATCTTTCAATGGTACGACCGGCATGGTGCGCCCAGCAATGCCAAGGCTTTGCTGACTTCACCTCGCCAATGGAACGTGGCCTCGAGGCGAGTCCAACTGATTTCAACTTTCAACCAAGGTTCTCCCCACCTCAAGCCTTCATGATCATTGATCCAATCTCACATCTGGGCCTCGGATTTTGTGACCTCAGTTCTGCAGCCACTGATGCGGTTTTTCATCTCGAAATAGCTAAGCCTGCGTGCGTCAACCACCCCGGATATGGCCGGCGAATGATTTTGTTTCCGGCTATTTACCTCGTCGCCGCTTCTCCAGATCAACTTCTCCATGCCTTGAAAGTGTGCTGAATCTGCTGATCGATAGTTCTTCGGCATATCCGTTCACATTTTGAAGCAACCAGAACCCCAGCTTCCTTTCTGGCCCCGGCATCGCAGCACTCAGAGGATGCCGTCCGCTTGCTACGGTTCGTACCTCTTCATCCTTTAGACTTTCATTTTCTGTCCTTGGCGCTATCTTCGACAAGCAACGGGGCCTCTACACACCAGAAATTAGCCTATTGGTTACCACCTGTCCTGGCGTCCCCTCTGCAATGATTAAAGCCATCATTTGACACACCTCATACTACGACCGGCTGATATCGTGAGAGAATTAATACGTTCGGCTTTGAGCTTCCTTGGTAGGTTGGTTCAGCACTCTCTGATAACATGGATAATAAATAACCTGTGATTCCCTCCCTCATGCATCGATTCTTCGCTTAATTCACCATCTACTAAAAAGATCGTTTTTCGCTCGACATCAAGATGGGCCTCCTCAAACCCGCAACTGGTGCCACTGGGGCTTCTGACCCAATTCTTACCACCATCGTCCAAGAAGATAAAGTCCCATGGTATAGAAAGCGAAACTTGAGATATCTTTATTTTATGCTCTTCCCAACTTGTATGGGAATCGAATTGACTTCTGGCTTTGATTCTCAAATGATCAATGCGCTACAGATTGTACCATTTTGGATCAAATGTAACGCTCCTCTACGAACCTGACACCACTCAAATGCTAGATCACTGACAAGGATACAGACTTCAATAATCCTCAAGGTTCTCTCAAAGGCATTATCGCAGCTGCTTACTCGCTGGGAGCAATTCTTTCCTTGCCTTTTATTCCGATCGTCAATGACAAGTTTGGTCGACGATGGTCCATCTTTGGAGGATCTCTAATTATGTGCTTTGGCGCAATTCTCCAAGGTTTCGCACAGAATGGTAAGTTGTCATGTTTCTGATGTGAAAATGTATAGAACCCTGACGTCTTTCCAGTTGGCATGTACATTGTCGCAAGAGGTATTCTTGGTTTCGGCATACCAACTTGCATTGTATCTGGGTCATCACTTATTGGTGAATTGGGCTATCCCAAAGAGCGGCCGATTCTTACCTCCTTATTCAATGTTGCCTATTTCGTCGGCTCAATCACTGCAGCTGGAATCACCTTTGGCACCAATAATATTGCGAGCAACTGGGCATGGCGCATTCCATCTCTACTACAAATCGCACCTTCAATTCTACAAATCGTATTTGTCTTCTTCCTCCCTGAGAGTCCTCGATGGCTAGTCACCAAGGATCGAGCAGAAGAAGCCTACGAAATCCTAGTCACCTACCATGCTGAAGGAGATCATGAGTCCGAGTTCGTCCGCGCTGAGATGGCCCAAATTCGGACTACGATATCCCTTGAGCTTGAGTCATCAAAACAATCGTGGTTTTCGTTCCTTAAAAGTCAAGGAATGCGACGAAGGGCATTCATCTCCGCATTCTTGGGCTTGTTCACTCAGTGGTCTGGCAACACTTTAATCTCATACTATTTGGGTGATCTTTTGCAGATGATTGGACGCACAGAATCGATCTTCAAGCAAAAGCTAAATGTCGGATTGAGCTGTTGGGGTCTTGTCTGCGCATTCACGGCAGCCATGCTTGTCACCCGCTTCAAACGCCGAACCATGTACCTTGCGTGTACAATCAGTTTACTCGTGGTATATATCGCCTGGACGATATCGATGCAGCAGAGTATGGACGCCAAGGCTGCTGGTAGATCCAATGGATCGGCCGGCATAGCCACCATCTTCTTCATCTTTGCCTATTCACCATGCTACAACCTTGGTTATAACGCGCTCACTTATACATACCTTGTGGAGTTGTGGCCATATGCGGAAAGGTCCCGGGGTATCGCACTCTTCCAGCTCTTCGGTCGCATGGCTGCGTTCTTTACAACCTTCGTCAATCCGATTGGGTTGAAGAATATTCAGTGGAAGTGGTTGATCACCTACTGCTGTTGGCTAGCTTTTGAAGTATGCTTTGTTTGGTTCTTCTTCCCAGAGACGGCAAACAGGACCTTGGAAGAGTTGGCTTTCTGTAAGTTGACGCGTTCTGTTCTTTTCCCTCTACACCCACAAATTAAGATGATACTGACACGTCTTTCCAATAGTGTTCGAAGACAAGGCTTTGGCCGATCAGGCGGTCGTTGCAGTAGAGAAAGCTGTGCATCACGAAGATATGAATCCAGCCTCAGTTCCATCCAAGCGTACCGAAAACGTGGATATGGTGGAGACTGTTTCAAGAGATGGCAATCCTCCACCAAGCAAAGTCTAGACCGATGACTCAAATTTGAGGCGAGATGATCTTGGGTGCCACCTGCGTTACCGCGGTGCGTTGCCAGGAAGTCACCGTCTCCCGTCCATTACACTATTCATCGCCGCAGAAGGAAAGTTGGAAATTTTATTGTCTTCTTGAGAAAAAGCACCGTATCTGAGGAGGCATAATTTGCGTACAATTCCAAGTGCTAAGCTAATAACAGATAGTCCGTTTAGTCATAAGTTCCTGAAAGCAACTTTAAATCTCGTTTGGAAAAGCTCGTTCCATATCCTCTTTAATGCCATCGAAGTCAAAACATCTCATCTCAACGTTATTTACTGCTGGTCATAATGATAGACTTGCTGACTGTGACACGGCAATCATTCTTCTAGTCTCCTTCAATCATCCCATGCATGTCTCCTCATCTTCGACGGGTTCGGCTCATCCATCTGGGTCACGGTGGTGGTGACATTCTTCTGGATGGTGCCGAGTGGGATGGGCTTGTCCTCCAAAACCAAGCCACGCTGACTGCCGGAGCCGTCAAGGTCATGGAACTGATCGTGCGAGCTCAAACGTTCCTTGTCGCGGTTAGTGGTAAAGACTTTGTTGGAGAACGAACGCTGGTGGCTTCCAGCCGCCGGGTTGCTGGAATTTTTTGCATAGCCATATCTGTTGGTAATTCCCTTGAAGTAAACGCTGTCGAGCATGGACTTGAAGATAGGCTTGAGCGCAGGCATGCTTCCGGCGATGATGCCGGTGTTGAATTCCGCAACGAACCAGATCGATAGGCCTCGACTGTCCCACAGGAAATCTCCGGCTTTTCCATAGTTGACGATTGTTGGAACTCGTAGAATGCCTGCCAAGCAGACGAATATACCCAACGATAGCATGATCATGACGGCAGCCTTCGTTCTTCTGTTCATTTGGAGACCCCACAAGATCGGGATCGGGATGACAATAGCGAAGATGAAATCGGTCGCGATGTTGAGTGCCGCATGTGTGAAAGCCAGCGCCTGTAGGGTCTCGGGTGCCCAACAATCTCGTGGAATCGAAGGGTCCCATTGCATGGCAACTTGTTTACACTGAGTGAATAGTGTCTGTGGATGTTAATGAAGGCACAGTTATTTGATTCAGGTCCACCACTTACGGTCATCGAGCCGAGTGTGTAGAAACTCATGAAGACCATAATACCTATGATCGTCCATCTCATCGGCTTTTTCGTCGCAATTCTCAATAAAGCACAGCCAACGGAAAGCTTCACGATACAGACGCCCCATTGCAACATGGGCTGTGAAACAAAGTTCAGTTTCATCCCTCTCTTGAAGATGTGCTGCTCAACGTCACCAATGCTGTTGGATTTTGTAAGCTGATAGAGTTCTCTAGAGAGGCAAAAGCGTGGGGACACTCTTACTGCTGGCCTGCGCCATATTTCACAGAGGCTAGAATGACGCCCGTGGTGGATATAGACTGAGTTATCATCATCAGCAAGGTGGTATTCTTAACAATAGGTCTCAACATCACTTACAAGCGCCAAAGCAATGGCCATGAATAAGTCATCCCATCCCAACGCTTTCACCATAAAGGCTCGGACGTAGAACCTAGGCATTGCAACCACAAAAGCGAGGATGGTCGTCGACAATACGGCGCCGAAGATCTGGGGGCCAGCATTCTCATCCGGGTTCGAGGGTAGTGGTGGAGGGCCTGTCGGTGCTGACATTATCACTGTGATCCTTCTCACACGACAAGTGGATGTTTTCGCAACTGGCAAGAGCTGATGATCTGCAATAGGAAGAACCTTGGGGAAAAGATATCTCCTGATATGAAAGGAGATCTTTGAACTCTAAATAAGCCACTGTTTCGATGCGGAGAGGGGATCTTCAGCATGTCGAAAAAGGTTACATCGTTTACGAGATATGCACTGACTAAAGAGAGATTCGAGTCTCAGACAGGCCGGTACGCATTGGCTTGGAAGGGGATTGGGAGGGTGAGCCTTGTAAATCGCCGTCCTTTCGCAGAACGATTCCTCTATTACCGCAGAGGATTTAGTCCAAAGATGTTGCATAACCGATGACCAGCCATGCAGGAACTGAACTCTTATCCCGGTCATTCTCTCGTACCTGGGTCACGCAGCATGTATCCGTAGTCTGTAGATATGTCCCGTCCTGTCTGAGAAAACCGGGTCCTGTCCTCCAGTCTGATCTCGGTGGCTTCTTGCGATGTTCGGGGTGCTCACCCACTTGCTCTGTGACAGTAGCGAACCTTTAGTTCTCGGAATGGGTGTTTCTGGGTGCTGTATGATCAGTCCAATTGGCGGTTGAGTTCATTCCAGGTAACATCCGTTGTCCCGCATGGTAGCTTGAGGTATCTGGGTACCTGGGTAGCCAATAACACATTAAACAGTGACAAGGCTGGTCTGTCCTCCGACCTTGGCAGAGGCTGCTAGTTCGAGGCGACTCTAACTTGAAGTGCTTCGACTCCGCAGCTACTTATTGTTGGTAGCTCGTGCAAGACTGACTCTGCGTACCTGAGTATCTCATACGAAGTAGACTGTCGATGTCCTCAACAGGCATTCCATGGCCATTCGAGAATGCGTCATGCTTCACGACTGCGTCAAATGAAACAAGCATACCCCTACTGTGAGAACATATCGCAACTTCTCCATACTATGAAAGCCGGAGAGTCAGAATAGCAGACTCATGCTGAGGGATTATGTAAGTCTGGTCGATATCCTGGTTCCAAGGCCTTTCTGGTGGAGTAGCGCTCGGGTTGTTGATATTACGGATACACGGATAGTGCTGATCACTGACTGCTTCCTTGACATGGCAACTAGTTCCTTAGTACTACCCCTACCGTGTCCCTAATGTCTTGGAGAGGGATTGCCCCCAGTCACTATCTCAAAAGCGGACGTTGCAAGAATACGAATGATAATACTCCAAAAATCCCACTTTCTATAGCGAGGTGGGTTCTCTTTGTTCACGTGGGTTCGATTTCACTTTTGCAATTACACCAAGCAGTCCCCACTAAGCTGCCACCATTAACTGGCCCCCGAAATCTCTAACCTGAACCTGTTCCACCCAACTGGCACCATTTAACATCCCGCGCAAGTTGAAACGGCTGTAGAATATGGTGAAGATACTTTCTATGATGGTCCGACCCGATATGTCTTGATATATGCGAGGATAGTGGGAAATCCATATAGCTGAACTCCATCCGGCTATTATCATTTTCAGCTTCATCGTGGTCCGTACCTCCTTGTAACATCTTGTTCTAGAAGACAAGGGTTGCCATTGACTTGGTAAACCAGGTACCTCGTACAATGTGCAGGGACTGTCCAGAATCCTGGAATCCTGTCCCTTGCAGTAGCCACAGTGCAGATCCTCGCAACTTGGGCCAAGAAAAGCGCTAAGAGGCTCGGTTGTGTCAACCCTAGGGAAACCCACTGACTGTGGGTACGCAGAATAAGTGGCCCACTGACTGCAACCTGCCAAATTTCCGCTCAATTCGACTTGGGAGTATCTTGATACTCGTCCATGAGCCTAGATTGATCAAATAGTAAGTAGCTTTTCACAAGCGATATCACTCATTCAAAAAACCCTCGTCATGTCTGCTAATGCTTTCAGAACATCTAGTCATTTGCACAGCCTGAAGAAAGTCGGTGTCGAAGATCTACGCAGCTTCTTCCACGCTAGTTGTCATATTAGACTTTCTCGGTTGTCAAATCGGTATCGCCACGTCGTCGACTTCAGGCTATGTTCTCAATGCCGTAAGAATGGACACGATCTCTTCTCAACATTTCCATTCTTCGACTGGCTGGGCAATGGCAATGGCACCGGCAAAAGTGAGAAACAGTCCACATAACTCAGACGCAAAGATAAGGTCACGATACATCCTAATATCAAAATCTGGCTACTAGCATGAACAGCCCACTTCATACCTCCTACAAAGGGCGGCCTGAGGTTTGGCGAAATCCCTCTAAGCAGGGTTTGTAGATCTAATTATGCACTATACCTTAGCGGAGGCCCTATGTTAAGGGGTCCAGGGCCTAATGGGGCATTTTTCAGGAACTCTTTCCTACGGAACCAGACGAAAAGCCAGCTAGCGTGATCCGCAGCATCGGCATATCCATGAGCCAGACGCACGAGGTATCCATATGGTTTGTAGCGCAAATCTTTCCAATCATGTTCAGAGACAAGATCTGTCAACCGAGCTTGTCAATCTACCAGTTCCGACGCTCTTTGTCGGTAAATAGATTGCACCAATCTTTTCTCTCAAAGAGGGCAAATTCGGTCCACGTACCTCGTGGCATTTTAGTGACATTCTGGAAAGCTATATTGTCTCGATCATCACTGCAACTTAGGGTCTCTACTCCTGCATATCCATCAACTTACTCTTTCCTCTTAAGTACTACTGGTCTTTCAGCCAACCATGAAGATCACTTCCATTGCTCTTGGCGCCTTATTGGCAGTGCAAGCTTCATGCGCTGCTCTACCAAGAAACGACGACTATACCGAGCTCGAGAACCTCCTTCGGCAAGCCCAAGAGACTGCCGAGGCAGAGTTGGCAGCTTCTGCAAACACAACACAGAAGCGTACCGGTGCCCCTAAATGTACTTTGCAAAACCTGTCAATTAGAAGGGAATGGTATGTCAAGCGAGCTCGTGCTGTAAGGCGTGGATCACAGCTGACTATCCTCCAGGAGTACTCTATCAAAGGCAGACAGAAAAGCCTACACAGCTGCTTGCAATTGCTTGGCTTCTAAACCACCCAAGACTCCAGCATCATTTGCTACTGGCGCCAAGTCGCGATGGGATGTGAGTGTTGCTTCTCGCTCTGGACTCAATACATACCTATTGACGCATTCAGGACTACACTGCAACACATATTGCACAGACACCATTCATACACTTCACAGGCAACTTCTTGTCATGGCATCGCTGGTTCATATACAACATGGAACAGGACCTGCGCAATGTCTGTGGCTACGAAGGCCCAATGCCATACTGGGGTGAGCTCGCCTTATCATTTTTCTTCCAATCAACAGAACTAACGCTCCACAGACTGGGCACAAACCGCCATGACTGGACTTCAGAAGCACGCTCTGTTCGACGGTTCTGATACCTCAATGAGTGGCGATGGAGAACACGTCGAGCAGAGTGGTGATATCCTCCTGATTCAGCCAACACTTCCTGTCGTCACCCTTCCATTGGGCAATGGTGGTGGATGTATCAAGTCCGGACCATTCAAGAACTGGAAGGTCAACATGGGACCTCAACAACTGTCTATCCCTGGAGGTGCTGTCGTTGGAGCTCCTTCTGGCAATCCTCTCGACTACAACCCTCGCTGCCTCAAGCGTGACTTGACCGATGCCATCAACCGACGCTACGCCAATGCGACCTCGGTACTACAGACCATCTTCGAGAAGACCATTGTCAACTTCCAGGCCAGAATGCAAGGCAATCTTGACCTCGTCAACGGCGAGATTGGCATCCACGGTGGCCCTCATCTGACTTTGGGTGGTGACCCAGGGCGTGACGTTGGTGTTTCGCCCTCCGACCCCATGTTCTTTCTGCACCACGGCGGTATCGATCGCGCCTGGTGGATCTGGCAGATGATGGATACCAAGAACAGAGTCTACGGCAACAACGCTATTAACGGAACTGGTACATTCCTGAACCTGCCACCTAGTCCTCCTCAGACTCTCGACAGCACGATCGAGTTGGCACATGTGTCTGACAAGGTCGTCAAGATCAGAGATCTCATGTCTACCACAGCAGGACCCTTCTGCTATATCTACGTCTAAGCTGTCTCTGACGCTCGCAGCATTTTCTCCCCAGGCCAAGTTTTTCCTCTTATGGCCGTTTGTTTTGCATGCATAGCAGCCAGCATATATACAGACTTTTAGTCAGCGTTTGATACCACCTTTAATTGATGACCATTATTGAGAACTAATCATCGCTCCCATACGTCAACAACGTGTAGCTGGATCGTTTTCAAACTGAGCGAGCTCACAAGTACTGTAATTGGTCAGTACCATCCCGTGCGGCGAAGGTGGTGATCTTAAATATCTTCGAGGTCTCGTTGTACGCTTAAAACATCATCAATAGCTTTCGCAAGAATAGCCAGAGCACGGACACGGCCTATGAAGTGATTCAGAACGGTAGGAAGGATCGTGACTCGAAATTTCAGCGTTCTTGAAAAGGGGTTTGACCATTTGAAGGTCGCGAAATAGAGCACCTTTAGGCTATGTCTCGGATGAGACGGCTGTATCCCCAAGAATATTTCGAGATGCTACTTCATCGTGCTCCTGACCTCGTGGGGGAGCCCGCATCCCCCCACAAGGCAACAAGAGGTACTATTTTCCAACGCCACCAATCAATCGAAAGAATTGGGCTCAGCAGGGCGTGCATGGCATAACCCTCAGAAGGATAATCTCAACCCCTCATAATTCAAGAGTATTATAGGTTCCTCTTCAGCCTGTACAATTATTCCTGCGGCGGTGGCTCCCCGTGAAATAGCTCAAATCCCACTGATACGGTGTGAGACGTGAAATGTCAATTGTAGGTAAGCAGAGGGGTGAGTTTGACTCCCTATCTTATAACTACTTCTCCAGATTTACCGAATCTCGCTTCTGCTTTTGGACTGCAAGACTTCGCTCCGCACCTATTCTTTCAGCCTCCTGACCGAAAGAATTGTATTCACACCCATAGTTCCCAATTCGGAATCTTCGACGCAGCATCCGACAGAATAAGTCACGGCACTGTGTTTGGCCTGTTCCATCCAATATGGCCACTCCAACTATCGAAGAACTCCTGCAGCACCAGAACTTGAAAACTTTAAATGATGAGCAGGTGACATCGTTCATGAAAAATGGCTTCCTGCGTGTGCCAGGGGCCATCCCACTAGATAAGTGCGATTGGTGGACAAAGAATATATGGCATCGGCTGGGAATGGACCCCAATGACAAGTCGACATGGACAACTGAGCGATCCCATATGTCCAAGCACCACGTTGTTCCAGCCAAGGAAATTGCTCCACGGGCATGGGCGGCGATTTGTGAGTTACTTGGTGGCGAGGACCGGATAGCGAAAGGGGGAGAAATGTGGACAGATGGGTTCATAGTCAACCACGGGAGCCCAGAGACTGAAGGCACGAGGGTCCCGCCAAAGGAGTTGACTCAATGGCATGTTGATGGTGATTTCTTTGTGCATTTCCTTGATAGCCCGGAACAGGCGTTGCTCGTAATACCCTGCTGGAGTGATGTTGACGAAAACGCTGGAGCAACTTGGATCTGTGACGAAGGCCCAAGGCGGATTGGCCAGGTATTGGTGAGTCCATTTCTTTAATGCAAATACTTACTGCTTGAAATGATGGGAACTGAGATCGTGTCATACACGAGCCAGTATGATCATCCCGAAGGAGTGAACCCAATGATGAATAAACGTGGGGAAGAAGTCGTGCCGAATGATCAGCATTCCTTTTGCAACCAGACGATTAGGAAGGCATCAGACGAAAGCTTTCACGAGATGACCGGCAAGAAAGGCGATGTCATTCTGATGCATCCACTCATGTTGCACAGCGCCAGTAAAAATGGATTAAGATCAATTAGTGAGTGTTGCCCTCGATACATCCGAATGCTGCTGCACCCTCACAGGATTGCTGATAATCTGACCCCGCCGCAGGGATTATCACAAACCCACCAGTCTCGCTCTCAGCTCCCTTCGAATTCGATAGGGCAGACCCAAGAGAATATAGTCTGGTCGAGCTAAAGACGATGCAAGACCTCGGAGGACTCGAGAAGTTCAAAAATTGGAAAATCACAGCAGAGAGAGAAATGTTTCTCCCTAAAAGCTTCGCTTTGAAGGAGCAGAAGCGCCAGCTCGAGAACGACAGGCTTCGGAAGTTGGGGTTACCTTTGGCTGATGACACGATAAACCAAATGCCACACTTGATGGCGTCGAGGCAGCAAGCAGCTAGGGCAGGTGCTTGATCTTGGTGAAACATCAGGTGGACATGTTCTCATTCACAAGAACATCTGATCCGACCGCTTGTGAGACTGTCAGAGGACTGCGAATCTCATAAACCAATCTCAACTCAGTCAACACCCTCTCTTCAATGCGCAAACTTCTGTACGCCCAAAAACTATCGCTCTTACTGATAGTTTCGGCCGCTGTAAGAGAATCATAACTATCGTCAGCAAAGTGATATACGAGATAAAATGTGTAAGCAGCACCAAGGGACCTCAGAGGATAATTGGAGAGTTGTGTCAAATAATCAGTAAATAACGAAGTGATCTGGAGGTGCCCACACCTGGGCAGTGCTCCAGATCCGCTCGTGACCGGCTGCTTCTGGGGATCTAGGCTAGCTAAATGGAGCTTGGGAGTGCTTCCTGCCTGGGCTTTTCGCCTACTCGTAGCTGTCGACCAGCTTACCCGAATTTCCAAACCTGCTTTTTGCTCCAGGTGTCAACAGCGACGATCACGACGCTACTTCATTGTTATCATTGACGACATCCTAAATGAATGTACTTTGGATGGCACGGCTAAGGAGCTCGCACACATTTTCTACACATTTCTCGATTTCGTTCGCTGATCTGGCCCTTCCCCTGCTGTGGCTTTCCCCACGTATCTCAAGAACGAGCAATCATTCCCATTGTATTGCGTCACTGCCTGGTGATTTCTAACAATCCTTTCGAAACACGAGTCAGAGATCGCAATGATGTTCAATATAATATGGTTGACATACTGAAACACCCGAATGACAACTCTTCAAACGTCACTCACTACCTGTATTTTTCTATGCGGTGTTATCGAGGGCCTCCAATTTGTCAAGCGCGAGCAACAGGCTGCTAGCGAACTGATTTTCTTCCCAAGCATGTGCAAATGTTTCTCGATCGGTACCGTTGCCATCTGTGCCAAATTTCAACCCGAACCCGCTCACCCAATTGTCATATGTTGTTTCGGCTTTCTCATGGCATAACCAGCACATAATATCCTTGAAACCATCACGGTTGAAACCCGCGCGGGGGAAGAGCTTCATCACAGCATGGTACTCGTCCAAAAGAATCAGGTCAGACTCTCCTGTGGAAAGAGAGACGCTTGGACCGACAAAGTCTGCAATGACGCCCAGGTGGATAAGAGCCACTTCAGGGGCGCCAAACTTGGCAATGGAGGGCGTAGCATGCAGTGCAATACCATCCCACATACGCTGGATCTTGTCCTGCCCCCAAGTTTCACGCAGTGGCTGGCTATCGAGGAAGTCTCGCGCGATGTTCGCGCTGTCGACTTCGAAACGTTTGTCTTTTGACAAGAGCCCCGCGGTCCTTGCCCAGCCCATGTCATGTAAAATGCAGCCCACAACAACAATATCGAGATCTGGCGACGGAGCGATCGTTTTGGGCAGTCTCTGGGAGATGATCAACGCCCAATATGCGGCTCGGACAGCGTGATTGTACACTGGTTCAGAACAATGTTCTTTGCAGAAAGCTAAAGCTTTGGCGGCCAGTGGTATCTGAGGGATTTGGAGTCCGATCTCTGGGATGTCGACAAGAGACATGGCGAAGTTATAGGTGAGTTTCGCCCAGACCGATATGAGAATGATCAATGATTAGCAGGAGAGATTTCTGTTCCATGACCATCGTCCACCATGATATATGCCTTTTGATGGACTTGAGACTATGGTACTAGTGACATACTACTTCGTTTGATATACTCACCTCCACCGCGTGCTTACCCAGACTTCCATGATGCTTGGTAAGGTTTCTTGTCTAAGGTAATCTTCTAGTATTGACACTCACTCCCGTTCAGTGAAGTTTTGGCTTCCGTGTGGATTGGCAGATATTCGGGTCGGGATTCACGCTTTTCCCGAAATCGAAATTCCTGACATTTTTCCAATTCGAGACTAGCCACTGATCCCCGACAGATTGATTGTTAATGGCTAAGCACTGAGCGTACGGAGTTTTCACGGCCAATGACAAATGCGAGAAAGATGCCTTTGGGCCTTTTTCATCGTATGTCACCACCATCAGGTCTAATGAAGATGCACGTAAAAGTGTATCAGCTTGGGATGAGTTGGTAATTGAATACTAAGGGGCGTACCACAATTACGACCACAGGCGGGCAGGATTGCCGCCAACAGGACGCATCATGAGGAATTAGATCTCGTCCTAGGATCACTATAAATGATCTGCTAGGTCGTTGCTTCTCAAGCAAGCCTCAATTACCGTGGCTCCTTCACTTCTGAATCGCCCTTCTCTATTCGACACCCTCGAGACAAAGGCGTAATTACTCCAGATCAGCATTGACGGCCTAAAAACCCGACTTGGGAAACAATGGGTTACAAGGGACTCAACGACCTGGCTAAAAGCTTTGGTTACCTGCATAGACCAGGCGAGCCACTCATACTCGCAAATGTCTACGATTTGCTGTCTGCCAGAGCGGTCGCTCCCCTCCCATCATGCAATGCTATTGCTACAGCCTCATACTCGGTGGCGATGGCTGCTGGGACAGACGATGACCACTTGTCACTCCAACAAAACATCGCAGCAGCACGTCTGATAGGCAATGTGGCAGCGGAGTATAATAAGCCTTTCACAGTCGATCTGCAGGATGGTTACGGTACCAAACTCGAGGATGCAATACGCCAGGTCATCGAAGCGGGTGCTGTTGGCATCAATCTCGAAGATTGTGATAAAGAGTCCAAAACACTGTACGCGCCAGACGAGGCGGCAGCACGTGTTAGCAGAGCTTTGAGTGCTGCGAGCAAGGCCGGTGTACCTGATTTTGTGGTCAATGCAAGGTGTGATACCCTCGTCATGGGTGGAAAGTTGGAGGAGGCAATTGAACGTGGGAAAAAGTACCTCGAAGCTGGAGCGACTACCGTCTTTGTTTGGGGAGGAGGTAAGAGAGGCGTCAGTCGTGACGAAGTTGAAGAAATGGTGAAAGCATTCGATGGCCGTCTGAACGTGTCTTTGAAATGGGACAAGCAAGGCCTGTCGGTGCGTCAGCTGGCTGAGCTTGGTGTGGCAAGAATTAGTGTTGGACCAACGATCATGTTCTTCGCAACAGCTGAGTATCAGAAACGTGCAAGGGAACTGCTAGAACAACTGAAATAAATGGAAGGCTCAATCCCCTGACCTAGTCCCATCAAAAATTCTGTCTCATGCCAAAAAAGACATGTAACATGGAGGTATCTGCTATCCCTCAAAAGCCTGTCACACGCCGCAAGAGATAATCGTACTCACAAAGCAATTCTAATAATCTTCAACTTCTGAGCATCTAATGTAAAATATTCTATGAAACTACTGTGATCTCGTCTGTTCGCTCTCCAGGTACTCGGGACTAAATGGATAATCAATGTAGCCCTTCGGCTCCTTCAGAGAATAGAAGGAGCTCCGATCATACGGATTGAGTGCTAAGTCATGTTTGATCCTGAATACTAGGTCAGGGTTGGCGATGAAATGTCTTCCAAAAGCCACAGCAATATCACTCTCTGGAAAATCTTGGTCCACTAGTTTACGTGCAGAATCACCAGTATGCCCTCCAGCAACGATGAACGGGCCCCTGAATAAAGGGAATGCGAAATCAAGTTTGTCGTTGCTGACCACATCGTCCCCTCCTTTGACCCGGGACTCGACCAGGTGGATGTATCCGATCTGTAAATCATTCGCTGCTCGTAGGACCTGAGAGTACTGCTCGACAGGATCGTCCATCCCCATGTTGAGATATCGGCTCCATGGCGTGAGTCGAAGTCCCAGTCGCTCAGGTCCGATATTGGTGGCCATAATTTGCAATATTTCTTTGACCAGACGAGTCCTGTTTTCGATGCTGCCGCCGTACTCATCGTTTCGGGTGTTCGTAACAGGCTGGATGAACTGCTCAATGAGCATGCCATTGCCTCCAAGCACTTCCACGCCGTCGAAACCTGCTTCGATGGCATTCTTGGCAGCTTGTCCGAAGGCCTGAACCATCTGTCGAATAGACTCCACAGTCATGGGTTCAGGTACCACGGCCCCCTCTGTCCAGGGAATAGCACTGGCTCCGACTATGGTGAAGCCCTCTTTCTTCGCCTCAGCTGGATCAGCCATGCGGCCCATAGTCATCACTTGAAGGAACATGTAGCTCCCCTTCTTGTGGACCGCGTCGGTGATCTTCTTCCAAGCGCTTATCTGCTCTTGTGACCAGATTCCAGGGGCATTCGTGTAGCCGCGGTGCTCCGTTGCGATTAGGTTGGCCTCGGTAACTATGAGTGTTCCTGGGACAGCAGCTCGCTGAGTATAGTACTCCAGCATCATGTCCGTTGGTACATGGTCGTCGGTGGCTCTCATGCGGCTTACACCTGGCATTATGATGCGGTGATTGACTTCGATCTTGCCGATCTTCAGGGGTTCGAATAATCGTGAATTCATTGTTGCGTCTGTTAGATTGTTAGGGCCGCGACTTCAGTCATTATCTGGACCTGGGCACGACTAAATAGTGCGAATCCATTGCCATACCTCCCTCTCTCCCCTGAATAAGGCGAGTTCCGTCATAATGGCTGCGTTATTTTCCCGCCGACACACTGCTCTATCCTTCATCCACTCCAATGACTATCGCTTAGACCAGATTTGGAGCATTCAGTGAGTAGAACCAAGACCCCTTCGGACGTTTTACTCGCACATTCTATTCAAGCGACTCAGGTAAGCAGGCTTGGACGGAGCCAGAAGTATCCACAGTTCTAAAGCGATATTGTCGTCCACACTTGAGGTATGCTGACGTATCGGTATGAACGCGACGAGCATTTCTGGTTGATAGAACCACCAGCAAGGCTAAATGACGTAGTGCGGGTCTTTGAAAGCCTCTAACCTGTTTCAGTCTCACACTAGCCTATACTGGCAATGGAGCCGGCTGACAAAGTTTAGCAGAGAGTCAGTTTAGTGAACTTGGAACCACTTGCCCTGGAGAGGTTTTGCCGTTTAAGTACACCATCCTCTGTCTTGTCGTAGACATCTCGTAACCTTGGTACGCAGCCAGTGAGTGGCTTTTGGTACCATTTGAGATTTTGCCCTTTTAGGATATAAACCTCCATCCATTGCAGCAATGGCGCAACTGTCCCAAGCAGCAGAAGAATGCAGGGAAAGTAAGAGCAAGTCTCAAGAGAGCGACGGGACAAGTATGTTACTGCGGTGTCCCTGTGTCGCCCATTTACAAACTGACACTCAAGGTCCAGAGATACGATTCAAGTTCGCATCTATCCAAAACCCTCGTGATGCCAAGGATCGGGAATTTAGACGTCAAATTCGATCACATGCTGTAAAGCAGGGACTTCAAACCAAACGACAAAAGGCCAGTTCCAGGTCGCTTCAATTTCGTACAGTTTCTTTCGACCATGTAGACCATACTCAAGCTCCGCACGGCGAGAACGCCACGCAGACGGAGAAGCACATGCTTCAGCCGGTCTCCATCGCCCGGCCATTAAGGATTCTTCCACATCACAGTGCCGATTCATTGACACTAAGATGGCTGCTGGGATCTGGTAAGTGGGTTTGATCTCTAGAACTGGTATAGGGCAATATTATGGCACAGAACTTACCTAAATCATGTATCCAGCAAAGGCGAAGAAAGCCGTCGAGCCAGTATTCAGCATCGGAGACAATCTGTCGCTTCAAAGTTTCCGCTCCGTATTCCGTACAAGCCTACACGATCCAGCTCTATTATCGGCAGTGCTGCTAACTACTCACTTCGGAGTGAGTGGGGGTATCTTTGACGATGATTGTCTTCGGTACCAGTTGGAAACTATCAAGATTGTCCGTGAACGGATCACTTTACTCGATGCCACCACAGTAATCTCGACATTGGGAGCTATACTTCTACTTGCTGGCGTCGAGGTAGGGAAACGGAACAGATCCCTTCCTTCATTCTGTTACTGATCAATCACAGATACGCATGGGTGTTCGGCCTAGAGTGGAGATGCACATGAAAGCTGTCATGAACCTGCTACGGTCGTGCAGTGTATCCTTTATGATTTTGACTGATGGCATTAAACGCGCTATTTTCTGGTATGTGAAGTCCAAATTCTTCTCTGTAAAGACTTTTCCTCACGTAGTATAGGCAAGACTTGTACGGGCACGTTCTGACCGAATCAGACCGGACAGTGGACCACCGTACCTTTTCTGAGATGCATTGGCAGAGGGACGTATTTGCACCAGAGATATTCGTCTTACCGCCCGGTCTCCAGTCAAGATCATCAATATTCGACCAGGAGCTTATAGAAGTACTCAGAGACGTCAATGCCCTGTCAAAGATTCGTGATTCCCCAATCTACAGGTTCGAAGATACGGTATCGATGATGCATGTGGATAACCAGCAAGCCTCGATACAGTCCCGACTCAGCAATCTAGGACAGCTAGGGCAAATGTCTTTCCTACAGGAGTGCTGTCGGCTAGCAGCGTATCTATGTGCCAATATGATGTGCTGCAAGGTCTGGCGCATGTCCATCGTACCCGTAAGTTTTGCTGTTGCTACCCGCGGGAAAAAAGATCATCAAATCGTACTGACAGCATTTTCAGCCTCACATCTCAGCAGGTATCTTACAGCTACTCCAAAAAGAATACGACAGCTCTATCTGGGAGGGGCACGACGAGCTCCTGATGTGGCTGCTGTACGTTGGCGGCGCCTTCGCGCCAGAGGGGCCCACCCGCTTGAGTTACATTACGCTTGCACAACAAGATTACTACCCAAGATTGGCGTCACTAAACTACTCGTGGAGCACAACGATGGAGGTAATGAAGCAATTTATCTGGTCCGAAAAGGCGTTCGAGTCTCAGGTCAGGACTTTCTGGGAGGAGACGAGGAATCTATGATCATGAGTTCAAAAGCTCTTCGAGAATTATATTAATGAGCTATGAGGATGATATATGTACTTTTGTTCTAACGCTACTTAGGCTACCCAGGTAGCTCACGCCAAACAATGAATGTGTATCAATACGTGGCAATTAGAGGATGAAGAATGGTCACACCAATGTCTCGAGAAGCCAGGCGTGGGGGCTTTTAAGCAAGCTCTCTCATTCCGCAGTAAGAGGAATAACAGATGTGGATGGAAAGTTAACTAGCACTACGCTCAATTCCAATCTTCGAGGGCTTATGGATATCTAGATTGATAGTGATGGCTGTTCAGCATCAAGTTCATCTCTCAGCTAGCGTGTCAATCGTAAGTATTTTAACCCTTACTGAAGGCCTCCTGATCGGCTTTCATCTGCCTCATGATCCAGTCGGTATTTCTGTTCTGATAATCCTTCATAGCTGTCGCATCTTGGTTCTTGTCCTTGATCCTTAAAGGATAAGGCACATGGAAACCTCTACAGATCCCTGGCCTTTCGCTCATCATGACTTCCCACTTTTGCAAATGTGGAAATTTCGCCAGATCGACATCCACATAGGGACCGAAGATGACCCACGATAAGTTTGCAACGTCTGCAATGGAGATGTGATCCCCGACTAAGAATCCGGATGTAGATTTGGCCAGTTGTGTATCGAGGACTTTGTACAGCCGTTTTGTCTCTGTGGTATATCGATCAATGCCATATTGAATCTTGGTTGGTGCATAACGGGAGAAGTGGGCTGCTTGTCCTTGCATAGGCCCAATACCTAGATTGAGTAGATTATCGGTCAGTGCTGCAACACAGTATTCATGGAGTTTTCTACCAACCTCCATGCTGGAAGAACAGGAAATTATTGCACTCCCAATATTCTTTACTGGCCCGAGGGAAGGATAGCTTGTACTCGGGATCGTACCGCACGGTCAAGTATTGTAGAATGCTTCCACCCTCAAAAATCCTGATCTGCTCACCATCGTCAGATGTATCCACAATGGCTGGAATGCGGCCATTTGGGTTGATATCGAGGAACCATGGCTCTTTCTGGCGGTTGGTGCTGATATCGATGTGCTCAACTTCGTATGAGAGTCCGAGCTCCTCCAAGGCCATGCTAATCTTGATGCCATTGGGAGTTGAATCCGTATAGAGCTTCAACTTCGGAACAGTGGGCATGATTCCAGATGTTGAACACTAGAATGATCCTCTCCAAGATATACAAGTAGCTGAGGGCAACAGGCCGCACACAAGTATCCAGTCTAATAGGGTCGACAAACCTCAACGTCTGAGTATAGGAGCGGCGGAATCGTAGTTATCTGCAACGCAGTCCTGAGATATTTTCCCCCTTAAATGTTCCCTAAGAGACAATTTTGGAATAGAAAACTCCAAGCACTTACAGTACCAATACGTGAATGGTGCTGCTAATGTGCCGCTGCAGAATTGACTTAGTTCAGCGATTTATCATTGAAGTCTCCGACTGCATGAAGACTCTTTGCATGCCTGTCCATGAACATATAAGTATCATTTAGATCTCAGAATAACGACGGCCCAGAGTTTCCAAGGAAAGGAGGAAATGTCCCAATCAGGAAATAAAGAATATGCTCAAATAGGTATGAACTAGAGGCTGGTTGTGGTCGTCTCTGGACGGATATGAAGACCCATCTGGAGGACACTGACCGTAGGCTAGGGTCGCTCTTGCACATCGATTGGTAATCCGATCGTTCAGTTGTATTGCCTAGCATTCACATGATGAGTTGCTCTGTGAGTTAGGAAAGGAAACAAATATGTAATGGTGAAGACCATTGTGATGTTGATCACCCGAGCAATCAATTCGGCGATGCCTCGAGAAGCACAATACCACAGCACATCGGAAATCGGGTTCTCCTTCGTCATTTCAAACATCGAGCGACATAGTTACAGGCGTCGTCTAGAGACCTCAGAGAAACCGTTTCTTGCTTTGGACCACGGCACATATTACGCAGATATCCCGAAGGTGTAGCACTTGAATTGATACGAGACAGACAGGGTTTGGTGTTTTTCCAATGGAAGAGGTGTGACACCCAGTTGAGCGATTGAATCCTCAGACATGAAAAGGAGTGTTTATGCGAGAGTTAAGTTGTTGAAGTGCTGCTAGGAACATCAACGCGTCCCAACGAAGCTAACGCTATTTGGACAAGCCTCTAAATTTCTATAATTTCTTGGCGAGGATCTCAAACATCTACCTGATTCGACTTTTTTGACTTTCAAGATTCCTCACCCTCTCGTCCATCGCCATCAACCCCGTCCTGCTTTTGGAAGGTCACGTACTCTGATGCCGAGTATAGACGGCCAAGCAGATCGTCGGCTTGGTACTATGTTCAAAGTGAGCCTTGTTTTGCCTGGACTACCCAAACCGGTTTCGTCCTTCCACCATGAAGCTGTCTTCGCCTCGATTTATGCCTTTCATCACGCCAGTGCATGCATCACAATGTCCGTACGATACTAATGTTCTCGCCGACAAAGTGCAAGCCGAATGATCCTTCTTTTCTAACAGGTGAGTTCTTTCCCACATGGAGTCTTTCCCAAGCCCAACATAACCTCAACATCTACACTTCCAACCCCGAACAACAAGAGCACCAACAACAAACTATCAAAATACCAAACATGATGACTTCAAGAAACCTCACGGCATTAGGAAGAGCCGGAAAAGGATGCAGGCGAGAGTCCGGGTAATTTGGACCGAAAAAGCGACTCTTGTCCACCCCCATTTTGCCATTCTACCACTCACGCGGGAAAGCACTCCAAGGTGACGCGATTTTCCCTACCTTCAAGGCATCGTCAAATGCCTGTCAAGGAAGGGTTTTGACTGTTCTCTTGCTGTGTGGTCCGTGATTTGCGGTGTTATCGGCGGGGGAGGCGAGAGCGTGTTTCGAGTCTGGCCCGTTATGTGACTTTTGCTTGTTGTCGATGCTTAGAAAAAGGTTCTTCTGATAAAAAAAATATTTTGTTTCCCTGTCCCCTCATTGCGCTCGTTTTCTCGAGTGGCAAGATTCGCTCTGGAATCCTTCATACCGTCCTACCATAGATGTGTTGGCCTGGGATGAGAATATGCTGACTCTTACTTTCTGGTGTCGCCAAAAGGACTCTAGGTACCCGGCCGATTACCACGCCGTTGTTTTGAAGTGGAGTGCACGCAGTATCACGAACAGTCAAGCACCATGACTCGTGGAGAGCTTCGAAAGTTTCAACCAAAATCGGTTTGAGATCCGATGCTTTCCTTGTCAAGCCCGCTCTGGGAAATGTTGTTCAAATGCACGGGGACGACCAGAAGTACCCAAATGTTCTACCGTGTAGATTGTCACTTTGAATTTTTTGGAGTAATTGCGATCCACGACGCCCAGTGCTTGATGCAACAACATCTCCATAACACGTACATATTGGCACTTCCCTCTGGCCCTCTAAAGCCCAGGGAGTAGCAAGAGTCTAGATTTAGTAACCAGTGGTTCCACGCATCTCAAAGAAAAGCGAAGCAAGAGAATTTGTTTTGATCATTTCATTTCACGTCCCCATTTCAGTTCCAGGTAATCCTCTGTCTGATCCCTCCACTCTCCACATCCAACCCTTTATCAACCAGTATGGCTCTTCTTCAACCGCGTACTCCCCTCATAAAGGCCTCGATCAATCGCGGCCGCAACCGTCAACGTGCCCCCAATGACAGCACAAACCCCGGTCAAGAAATTGGCAAAAGTCTTTGGCCGAGCCTCGCGGTTCACGACCTTCATCGGACTGATATCATACGAGAAGAAGACGCCGGGGATACCGCCGTGGGCGTGCAGGCGCTCTTTATGGCCCTCGGAAGCATCGGTGCCGCCACTCAAGGACCGCTTGTGCGACGTGACCGAGTACTGGTGAGTTTCGATGGAGCCCTGGCTGCCGGCGCCTTTGCCCTGCATGCCGAGCGGGATCAGGTCCGCGAGGCTGGAGTGCTGCTTGAGCGAGCGGTCCTCGTCCCAGCCCAGGGGCAGATACGACGTCGAGACGACTTTGATGAAGTACATAAAGTTGAAGCCCGCTTCGTCGGTCTCCTGCTTGTTCCCGTCGAGCGGGTTCGAGTGGTGGTGGTCGCTCCATTTCTTGGTGGAGGAGGACGAGGACGAAGATCCGCCGTCATCGAGCTGTGGGCCAAAGCGCAGCGAGTGGATCTCGTGTGTGAAGGTGTGGCCGCCCTCGATCGGGCTGTCGAAGTAGTTGTTCAGGTCGTGCACGTGCATGTTGCCGTTGCTGAAGCTGCGGCCGGGCGCGATGTGGAAGTTGCCCACGACTTTGTTGACCCGGATGACCCCTTCGATCCGGCAACCCTCATGGCGTTGTGCGTCCAGCCGCTCTCCGTACCCCTCGCGCTCGCACTGCTCGACGCCATCGCCCCGGCCGAACGACCAGCTGTTCTGCGCGTAGGCCTCGCGCACCTCGTCGCAAGTGTTGCAGCAGCCTGGTTTCGCGGCGCCAGGCGGTGACGGGGCAGAGTAGCAGGAGCCACAGTATTCGGGGTCGAGGTGGGATGCCCCGTCTTGGGCGTGCAGTTGCAGTGCTTGCGTGTCGATCACCGTGGAGCCTTCGTTCGCGGGTGACAGCCGCACCTTGTTGACTCCGTGTACCACACCAGTCTGCTGCTCGCCGGAAACGTCCATGACATCGAGGGTGAGGAGTTCGCACGGTATTCGGGGGAAGGTTATGTTCAGATGTATTTCCATCTTCTCGCCTAGAGAGGAAAAGAGACACGAAGGCCATGGTCAGTCATGCTCCCAAAGCAACAAATATAGTTGGCCCCATTGTAGTATGTATAGACTCACCTCTTCCCTTGTCCACTATTAGCTCTGGCTGCACCAGTATTCGTCTGTAGTCCGACCATTCCCCCCAGACGAGATAGAAGATCAGTAGGATGGAAGTGATGGTCACGATGCCTCCGGAGGTGGTTCGTATGCGGGCATCTTCGACGGTCTTGGTGAATGCGTCAAGCCGCGTAAACCGTGACTTGACAGGCATGGTGGAGAGGTGTTCTGTGATATATCGTCAAACCGCGTTTGTAGAGAATGTTCAAGTTCGTCGTTAGCCGGAAAAGTCGCCTGGCGCAGGGAGGAATGCGCAGGATTCTCCGTTGACAGGCCACCACCCAAAACGCCACGGAGCATGCAACGGAGGCAGGGATGTTATAACAAGGGTAAAGTGATCATGGGCGTGGACAATAACATGTTCTGGTTCAGCCCCGAATCTTGGTCATTCTCATCTGGACAGAATGTTCCGTTCAGGCACTGCGGACAAAATGTCATTGCGGCTCGGGGTATTTACAGGGGTGAGGCTTGGCATTGGTGGTGGACGTTTGGAAGGCCGCATCTATGCCACCGCATCAAGGGATACAGATGATTGAGAGTCAAGAGCAAACAGACAATGACAAGACCGAGCTAGTTGTTCTGAATGAAGCATCACGTGGTATCAACTCCATTCTCGTGAAGAAACTAGAGTCGCTCTGATTTCACTACTTAGGTACCTATGCTGAGGCAAAATATTTCCTTATTCCACTTTTTGCCCTGAATTTCTGTCTTTCAAACCATTCACTCATTGCGGGGATATCGTTGATGAAAGGGAAGACACATTCGACACCAAACGCCAATGGAGATGACACAAGGACAAGCTAACCAGAGTGCTTGCCTATGAAACATCTACGGGGAAGAATCTAATCAACTTCCTCCATGGTGCTGGCACCCTCAGCCTCGGCGGCTGGGGCCTCATCAGCGTCCTTCTCTGACGAAGTCTCGACATCCTCATCAACATTCAGACCAAGAGACACCAACTTGTGGATACGCTCAGCAAAGCCAGCAGGTTCCTCAATAGTGAAACCAGAGACAAGGAGGGAGGTCTCGAAGAGAAGTTGAGTGATGGACTTGACAGTTCGGTCGTTCTCACCATCAGATTCAACCTTCTTCTTGAGTTCTCGGATGATGGGCGACTTGGGTGAGATTTCGAAGGTCTTCTTGGAGGACATGTACGAAGACATGGATGTGTCACGGAGAGCTTGTGCCTTCATGATACGTTCCATGTTGGCAGACCAACCAAATTGACCAGTTCGGATAGCACAAGGAGAGCCGGTGAGCTTGTGAGAAACAACAACCTTCTCAACCTTGTCACCGAGAACATTCTTGAGGCTCTTTGCGAGACCTTCATATTCCTTCTCCTCGGCTTCACGCTCCTTCTTCTCCTCATCGGTCTCCTCGAGCTCAAAGTCCTTGGTGATGTCGACAAGCTTCTTGCCTTCGAACTCCTTCAACTGAGTCATGGCGTACTCATCAATGGGGTCAACCAAGAACAAGACTTCAAAGTTCTTCTCCTTGAGGGAGTCGAGGAAGGGAGACTTCTGAACAGCCTTGAGAGACTCGCCGGTGATGTAGTAGAGCTGCTTCTGGTGTTCTGGCATGCGGGTGATGTAGTCGGTAAGAGAGGTGGTCTCTTCACCAGACTTGGTAGAGTTGAATCGAAGTAGCTTGGCAAGTGATTGACGGTTCTGAGAATCCTCGTGGATACCGAGCTTGATGTTCTTGCTGAAGGCAGTGTAGAACTTGTCGAATTGCTCACGATCCTCGGCAATCTCATTGAAGAGTTCGAGGGTCTTCTTGACAATGTTCTTCTTGATGACCTTCATGATCTTGTTCTGTTGCAAAGTCTCACGAGACAAGTTGAGGGGAAGATCTTCCGAGTCGACGACACCCTTGACGAAGCTGAGCCATTCCGGGATCAGATCGGTGGCATCATCAGTGATGAAGACACGACGGACATACAACTTGATGTTGTTCTTGGTCTTCTTGGTTTCGAACAGATCGAAGGGAGCACGCTTAGGGACGAACAGAATGGCGCGGAACTCAAGCTGACCCTCAACAGAGAAGTGCTTGACGGCCAAATGGTCTTCCCAATCGTTGGACAGAGACTTATAGAAAGAAGCATACTCCTCCTGGGTGATGTCTGAAGGGTTGCGAGTCCAGATGGGCTTAGTCTTGTTGAGTTCTTCTTCCTCAATCTTGGACTCCTTGACCTTCTTGGTCTTGGGCTTCTTCTCTTCCTCATCATCATCGACCTCTTCGATCTTAGGCTTCTTCTCATCATCTTCCTCGACTTCTTCGGCGTCCTCATCAGGAACCTCCTTCTCAGTCTCTTTCAGGACATGGAGGTAGATCGGGTATGAGATGAATTCGGAGTGCTTCTTGACAACCTCCTTGATCTTGGACTCATTCAGGTAGTCAGTCTGCTCATCCTTGAGGTGCAGGATGATCTTTGTTCCACGGCCGATATCTTCACCATCGGCATCTTGCACGATCTTGAAGGTACCACCTGCGCTGGATTCCCAGATGTATTGCTCATCATCATTGTTCTTTGAGATGACAGTCACCTTGTCAGCGACCAAGTAGGCAGAGTAGAAACCGACACCGAACTGGCCGATCATAGAAACATCAGCACCTGCGCTCAATGCCTCCATAAACTGCTTGGTGCCAGAGCGAGCAATGGTACCGAGATTGTTAACGAGATCCTAAAGCAAACAATTAGTTGAGTGGCTTCACAAAAAAAGAGTGTAGAAGGTACATACAGCTTTGGTCATGCCGATACCAGTATCGCGGATAGTCAAGGTCTTGTTCTCCTTGTCTGGAATGATGTCGATTCTGAGATCCTTGCCGGAATCCAGCTTGCTGGGATCCGAGAGAGCTTCATATCTGATCTTGTCAAGGGCGTCTGAAGCGTTGGAGATCAATTCTCGTAGGAAGATCTCTTTGTTGGAGTAGACGGTGTTGATGATGAGGGAGAGCAACTGAGAGATCTCAGCCTGAAACTCAAAGGTTTCTGAAGACATGATTGCGGTGGTGTGGAGAGGATTGTGTGTCTGGTGGCAAGGTGTAAGTGTTTGGCTCAAGTGAGGTTCAAGATGAATGAAGGTGAGAGAAGGTTGTGAGCAATCAGGTCGGCGTCGATGGTGAGCCAAATCAAAAGGAACAGTGAGGGCTGATCCAATATGAAGTTTGACGGTTTGGAGCAGAGAAGCAGAAGGTGTATGGGGAAGAGCTTACCTATTAGATATGGTTGATGAGTAGAGAGGACAACCAAGTGTCGTATGGTGGAATATGAAGCTTTTCAGGTGTGTAGAAGAGCAATCAGTGAGAGAGGCTGGAGGTGTTTATATTCTGCAGACACAAAATTTGGACCACAACTCCGTAGAAGTCGATGGAATCAATCGCTCTTTCCCAGGCTACCACCGCAGTTGGGGAAACCTGCCAAGACCAGCCTAGAGCGTTGGTCGGCCAATTGGTTCCAGTGGGCAGCCCCCACACGGTTCAACGCCAGACCCTGGCACGTGACTCGGGTCAGCCTCGCCTCGTCTGGTATCCCGTAGAAAATCCTAGAACTCACCGTTGACTTCAGAGAAAGAATGAAGCCGAGACTGTAAACATTCACATGTGGTATTTCTGATCTCTGCCATATAGGAAGCAGGTTTGATGATATCTGCTATTTATGCCACTTCCAAGGCTACCAACCATGGAAAAGCACAAAACAACAATCTCTATCTTGCTGCGCTTTCGAATATACTGATATCGCTTCGCGAATTGTGCTAATCCCATCCGGTTTTATTTCCAATGCACCAATCAAAATAGAGCAAGCCTCCCCCTCATTTCCATCTGGTATGTTCGCATTTCTGTCAATAGATCATCACACCTATTTCGCCATTAATCCATCACGTCTTGGGTGTAGGAATAGAGGTTGCCCAAAAGCCAAACCCCATAGATTATCATTCGATCATTCGGAAGCCTGACTTTCTGCACTGCTCGTCCCCTCGGCCAGCCGTTTTTCTGCTGCCTCTAATTTGTCTTTAGTCTCGGCCAATTCGCTCTGCAAATTCCTGATATAAATAATCGCCATTTCCACTGTACTTGCCTTGCTGGCTCCCTGAGCAGATGCCGACGCCGATGCCGACGCTTTGGCCTCCATTTCTTCGTTCTCATGCGAGCTCGCTCGATCCTTCTTGCCATTAAGACCTAATATTGATGCTGGTAAAAGCGCCTCGATCTCTTTGAGTGCGAGATTGATGCGATTGCGTCTGCCTTGCTCTGCGATCTTGTGAGAAGTTCGTTTTGATGTTAAGTTCTCGGCCAAGGTCTCCGGATACGACACTCCTGGGAGATGTGTGCCTTCCAAAATGTTTTGGTAGTTTGACTTGGACGCAAGATATAAAGCACTAGCGTCGGGCGAAATGTGTTGCATGCCAGGACCTGTCAAAAGTCAGTCAATCATTCACAGCCATGTCTAGTCACAGCCTTACCTGATGCGGGCACCAGAGGACTGATGCTTGGAGATATCTTCGGCCTCAATGCTGGCGAAATCGTAGCATTCGAAGTGCTTTGCCTCTTCTTACTTGCTCGTCCACCTCGACCCTCGACCTTTCCTGGTTTCGCAAATTTCTCCATCGACTCCGACCGAATCAACGCGCTTCGCGGTGTACTTAGGGCATTAAGTTTCGCAGACTTGGCGGACATGGTTGGTGTTGTCTCGCTGTCATCTCCAGCCTTACTGGTATCGATGGTTGCCAGCACTGGGGGCGCAACAGAGACTGCGGCAGGTAGCATCATATCATCCATGGGCTCCTCTGCTTCCTTGGGATCTTCTTGCTGCGCGAGTGCTTTTGAGCCTAGCGCTTGGTCGCTGGGCATCCTCATCAAAGTCGCCGGCGTAACCGCATTCCCGCCAGAACTTTTCTTGTTCAGTACTGGTGGGTGGGGTGATTTGGCAGGTTGAGGAACCGGTGGAGGCCGCATTACCGCTTCTGATAATGGTTCTGGTGATACCGAATCGTCACTTACAGCGAAAGTGGTGCTGCCGGGAGCCAACGGCAGTAGATTCGAGCCATAAGGTACTTGCCCAAGTGCGGGACCTAACCTGTCAATCGATATCGAACTCAACGATGGATTACGGCGTCTAAGCTGAGGTTTGGTAACTGGAGACGGTTTTACACTGCGTACAGGCGTACGGGCTATGTTGCTCGCTTTTCGACGAGGTCTTTTCTGGCCTGCAGATGCAGGCTGTGTATTAGCCGGGTCAAGATTGAGGTCTATGGGAGAAGCGGTGGCTCCGGTGTAGACTGTTTGCGCTTCTATGGCAGGCGATGTCAACGGACTGAAGAAATCATCTGCCAAGCCATAATCGGACATGACAAATGTACCATCCATGGGAGTCTGAGCGGGAGAAACTAATGGAGTAAAAGAAACCTAGACATATGAGCACGCAATGGAGCCCATCGCAATGAAAAATCGTACCTGTTGTTGATCAAAAAGGATTTGACCATTGCTCCCGACGTGCTGAACGTATTTTGCAGCCTGCATCTCGGCGCTCACAGGGGTAGGTGGAACATGATAATGAGGCTGCATTTGCATCTGTGGATATTGTTGAAATTGTGTATATGCCGGGCTTGGATGCATTGGATGCTGATAGCCGATATTGTCGTTGGTTTGAGGCATTGACATTTCCATCTGATCCTGGCCATTGAAATTCAGGTCCGCACCAGTGCCGAAAGCCAGGCGGCCCATCGGAGTGTCGAGGCCTGAAGAAGTCTGAACCATGTTGGAGAACGGGGAGAAATCGTTTCCATCGAGGTCGAGAAATTTGGTGAAGTCATCATCGCCGACCCCGGCGATCATATGGTCATCTTGCATGTCTTGAGGCCATCCTCCAGCCTGGCCACCGTCCTGAGTCATCATCTGAGGGTTCTGCGGAGAGATGGTGTATTGCGCCCGCATGTGGGCTGCGGGATGGGGATGGTAGAGACACGACGCTCAAGATAGGTCCATTTTGACGAAGTGGGAGGGTAGACACTCTTGGGAGATTATAAACTGGGGTAGCGGCGTCGATGCAATGAGTAGGGTCTACGACGCAAGTTCAATGAGTATGTAATGTCGTCGTATAGGCAGGTGGACAAAAGGTGAGGTCGACGAGCAGGTGGTGCAGTTGTGGTCGGGATGCAAATGATGCTGCAGGGCCGGGCGGGAGAAAAGTCAAGAGTCAAGTTGAGGGACCCCACAGGCAGCGGGGTCTTGGTTGATTGTAGACTGGCGTGGGCTGTTGCAGCTATCAGTTGATGGTTTCGGGCGCTGGACTCAACACAATTGGTAGCCCGAGCGTGGGTAAAAGACCAGGGGGGTGTTCGCTTCCTGGTAGGGTTTGGGCTTCTGCAGGCTGGGCCACTATTAATATGGCCTGCCATTACCGAACGCAGTGCGACTTTGGGGACACCTAGAGCCTACGAGTAGAGGCCCAGGGTAAACGCCTAGCCAAGTCACAGTCCTTTCTTGTGTATTCGGGTCTTCAAACGAGATCGCTGGATTATTATTTTTCGAGTATACCAGATTCAAGAACTAGAAGAGCATTCACTACTTGCTTCAGGCTGAGATAACCACCGGTGTATTCGACGTACACATCAACTAACCAGGTACAGGTACGTACTAGGTACCCGAGTTAGAGGCCTACGAGTAGGAAGGTAGGTAACTGTAACTGGCCCAAAGCCACCATGTGGGATGCGCGAATAGAGTAGCTAGGTACCTCGTACTTGGGCCATATCCGGCGGGATATTCGAGTCAAGATGTAGTCAAGAACCAAATCAATGTGCTGTGTGGCAGAAGAATCTCGTCACGGCGCCTGCCTATATCGATATATTACGTTCGTGGGCGTGTCTGATGCACAAATCAAGGTTGAGTAAATGGTGAGCCGCTGACATATAGGTAGATCGTCATCCCAATATCAAGGTCCGAGTCAAAATTGTTTGGGATACGAGACACACTCACACGACACCAAACTCTCCCTTCCTAACTTGCAACTGAATTCAAGGTCCGCGGAGTGGCAGATTCCAAGGTTGAAATGAATTCAGGCGGTTCGGTGGGGGTGAAAAACTCAACCACGGACTCGGAGAGGACGGGACGATGACTTTTGCCGAGATGAGTTTGATGCACCAACAGTGCCAGAGTCGCCTGGAGTTTTGACCACCACGGCTCAGGACCAAGTGTTGCTGATATTAACCATTCGTGGAATGGAGTACAGTGTCAGCGTGGAATTTTTCCATCCAATTTGAATCCACCAGAAGGGATCTCCCGGTGGTAGAGGATAGTTGCAGTCTTGCAGAGGGAGTGACCACTCCACTGCACTGGCATTTGAAGCACTCCAATTCTTTTCATGCTACCCAACTTTCTCCGTCCCACACTAACCTGATGCTGTGCAACATCTTACATACCTACTACTACTATTATTGATCCATCGACTGGCACCCTTCATGTGGCTGATACTCAAATCTTTGAATCTCCATGATTGAGTGACAAACCAAGAGACTGTCAGACTCAAGATCTTTGGGATTGCAGCGAAACAACACCCATGAACACTACTTCACTCAACTCCCAACTCCTTGCTAAAAGTGGCCCGCTGGCGAAGCCACCACGGGGTAGATAGTAGAGCCATTTCTTCTCGCTACCGCCACCACCGTCTTTCATGGTCGTCATGTCCGGCTCAAAACCTAAAGCATTGCTTAAGCATTCCAAAGGCAAAAAGAAATCGGAGCAGGTAAGATCGCCTTAACGGTTCATAGTGTTTGGAGACGTTGTGTTGAGATTTACTAGATCTTAAGCACCGCCGATGATTTTCAACAAGGTTAGTTTCATTGTTACTGAATCCGATGATCCGAGCCGGGTTTTGATCGTTTCTACAGCGGGAGTAGATTTCGAAGAGGCTGCAGGCAAATGGAGAGCTGGTGATGCCGCCAAGTCCATGCGCTTCTTTTCAAAGGCGCTCGAAACGTATGAGGAAGGGCTACGGAAGTTTCCTACTAGCCTCGACCTTGCATACAACAAGTTAGTCTCATCCGACATTGATATCGGTTTCTGAAAGAGGCTGACAACAGGGCTCTAGAGCGCGCGTTCTTTTAGAGGTTGCTACTCATCCAATCCTGGTCAATCAGCTACAAACACCGGTGCTGGAAGCCCTCCAGAGAGCTTTAGACGCCCATCAATATGCACTCAATCTGGACCAAGAAAATCCAGACACTATTTTCAACACAGCTCAGGTTTTGACCAGCATTGCGGAAATCTATGCTAGAGACGGCGCTGATCAACAAGCCCTCCAGACGCTCGAACAGGCACTCGAACTTCAAACTCGATGCCTTGCGCTCCAAGAGCTGAAACTGGAGGAAGCAACGCAACAACAAGCAGGTTTAGAGGCACAGAACGATGATGAGGACGACATTGGAGGTGTGAATCTTCCGACGCTGGAAGATACTACTGAACAAATCCCATCAACAACCGCGAACAACAACGAAGAACAGTGGTTTTCTATTGTAGAGCCTGTCACCAAGGATACTTTGATTGATACCATTCTAGCACAGCTGGGGACTTTGACCACTCTCTGCAGCATTGTTTCTTCGTTGGCAAACCCGGCATTGGCAAGCAGCCTTGCTTGGGTGGAAGAATTCTCTGCCAAGCTGGTCAAGACAAAACTACCAGTCCTCATCCGAGAGGCGACACCAGATCGAATGCAGGAGGTGGCTTTGACAAGTGCCATTTTCATGTCCAACTTACTCGAAGCCGGTTATCGCATGGGATCTATCGACGCAGAGACATACAAGAGAGAGCGTGATGACGCCTTTAAAACCCCTGAACTTGGCTTGAATGGATCATTTGCAGCTCTCTCGGCCAACGCCAGTAGCCTGATGTCATTTAGCGTATCGATCAAGGATCGTGAACAGCCATTGATGGCTTCTCATGCGTCGCAGAGCTGGAATGCCTTGTCTGCAGCCATAACAAATCTAGCCACCGCAGCGAATATCTCAGAGCCGATCCCAGATGAGATAGCCGAAACGCATTTACTTCGTGGAAACTGTTCTTTGCTGCAGTATCAACTTGGGCGGCCCCCAACGTCCTACCAACAAGCAGCAAAGAACGAGGGCCAGCTTTTGAAGAACGCTGACGTGTTTTACCGCAACGCTTGTAAACTCTACCAAGATGGTGAACAGAAGTCAGTGTCACAGTTTAGGGTGAGCGTTGTTCAAGCGCTACAACAGGGGAATGATATTACTGCCACTGCACGTACAGCTGGCCAGTCGAGGGGTCAAGAATGGATAGAAGCTCAATTGGATGACATGACTGAGGAAGGTCTTGTTAGCCTCGACGGCTAGAGTGACTGCTGAGAACAACTTGAAGTCAAAGTAACGAAGCAATGACCTAGAGAATGCTCCCCGGAGGCTGCATCTCATATCACAGATCATCTTGGCAGAGCAACGGGTGGCTATCACAAGATCATGTTATTATTCAGGCGGCCGCCCTTCACAAGCTTGTTGACATGATATTAAGTGAATTCGGGAGTATAGAGGTGACATTCTTCGCTCTCAGGCTGGAGAAACAATGCAACGATTGCAGCCTTTAATCTCACATGAATATCTGCCAGTGGATCGAACCATCAACTCTCACATCTTTCAACCACTGGCAGATTGTCAGCCATGGAGGCGCGTTGTACTCCAGCTCATGTTAGGCAAGTTCGAGGCTGTGGTGGTACTCTAGGAATCTACCGGAATGAATTTGTCAATGTCCAAAGTCTGTACCTGGCACGCAAGTACAAACAGTGTATCACTCTCTGTGAGGATCTCCAAGGACTGAAGGTAAGTCGATGCCCGTGATGGCGGTGGTTCTTCCGGCACCACAACGATGACATTGACATCTACATCTACTGACCAACACAGTTGCATCCGTTGCACGAAGGATTTCTCTGGTACTACCATGCCATTTGTAACGAGTGCATGGGTCTAGCTGCGCACAACTTTTCAAGAAACAAAGTCCACTTCCTCGAACTGGCAAGAGACAGCCTTGACACCGCCTTGAGGGTTCTTCCATTACCTTATGCGACCTCTACACTTCAAAATCAAAAGGAACACGAAGAGTCGCCTCTGGCTGCCAGATCACCTACGAAAGCTGTGCACTACCGTCTGAACATCCATTCGCCACCAACACCATGCGATAATACCTTGTCCCTTCCAGTCTCAAATTCCATTGACAGCATGTACTCCGTCCAGACCTGCCCTTCCAAACCTCAATATGATTCCAGTGGAGAAGAGACGGAGGAAGGAGAAGATGAGGGAGGAGTACCAGCAGAGATCCTTCCTCCACACCAGAGTCCTACCCCTACGACATCGACAGCTTCAGATCCAACCCACAAAGACCGTCTTCTCAAGAGTCTCAGTACAATGCACACACTAACCGAAGAGCTCGTGCCATCTCCACTATTCAGCCGATTGCGCAAGTCTGCCACCATCTCTCAAGAACCCGAGCCCAGTGACTCGGGGTGTCATGATACTCGTGGAAGCACCTCGAAACCCTTACCACCATTGCCTTTCAACCACAAAACAGACTTCCAAGTCCTCGGGACTCGAATCGTCCAGATTCCCAAATCTACCCCTGTACGCAAGACCGCTGTGCAAACACTCATCGCTCGCTATGATGGTCTCCTTCCATTTCCACCGTCTCCCGTTTCCACCGACCCTCTCTGGTCGCCTTTCCCGATCACCCCAAGATACGATAAGATCAAGGAGGCCTTCAGCCTTGATACGCACAATCACCATCTCGAAGCCTATCTCTACTGTGCCGACCTCACTCACTACAACGCCAGCCTGTCCGAATTCCGCCACCAGTTACGAAACCAGCTCACCTTCATCAACACGCAGCTAAACCAAGTCCATGCCGCGCAGGCAGAACATGCCCAATCGAAAGCCCTGACCCAGAACCGCCTAGCAAGCTTCTGGTCACTAGATCCCGCCTCCCACTCGGCCCGCGACATCTCTCGCTCGACAAGCGCGACGGGAGAGCGAGGACCACCGGATCCAAGAGCCACTGCCAGGCAAGCACGGATCGAGAAGCTGCGTCGCAATGGGTGGGCGGTGTCGAAAGAAAGCCACGGCTTCAAGGGTGAGCAATATTACGATGGACTGAGGAGGATAGCAGAGCGCGAACTCGAAGCCCTCGACAGACTGCATAAACGCCTGACCAGCGTGGAGCTGTGAGTGCCCGGGGCAGATCGATATCGGTGGTTGTTGTTGTTGTTCTTGATGTTGTTGGAGTTGTTGTTGGTGTTGTTGTTGTTCT